AAACCCAAACCCAAACCCAAACTAAACCCAAACCCAAACCCAAACCCAAACCCAAACCCAAACCCAAACCCAAACCCCAAACCCAAACCCAAACCCAAACCCAAACCCAAACCCAACCCAAACCCAAACCCAAACCCAAACCCAAAAACCCAAACCCAAACCCAAACCCAAACCCAAACCCAAAAACCCAAACCCAAACCCAAAAACCCAAACCCAAACCCAAACCCAAACCCAAACCCAAACCCAAACCCAAACCCAAACCCAAACCCAAACCCAAACCCAAAACCCAAACCCAAACCCAAACCCAAACCCAAACCCAACCCAAACCCAAACCCAAACCCAAACCCAAACCCAAACCCAAACCCAAACCCAAACCCAAACCCAAACCCAAACCCAAACCCAAACCCAAACCCAAACCCAAACCCAAACCCAAACCCAAACCCAAACCCAAACCCAAACCCAAACCCAAACCCAAACCCAAACCCAAACCCAAACCCAAACCCAAACCCAAACCCAAACCCAAACCCAAACCCAAACCCAAACCCAAACCCAAACCCAAACCCAAACCCAAACCCAAACCCAAACCCAAACCCAAACCCAAACCCAAACCCAAACCCAAACCCAAACCCAAACCCAAACCCAAACCCAAACCCAAACCCAAACCCAAACCCAAACCCAAACCCAAACCCAAACCCAAACCCAAACCCAAACCCAAACCCAAACCCAAACCCAAACCCAAACCCAAACCCAAACCCAAACCCAAACCCAAACCCAAACCCAAACCCAAACCCAAACCCAAACCCAAACCCAAACCCAAACCCAAACCCAAACCCAAACCCAAACCCAAACCCAAACCCAAACCCAAACCCAAACCCAAACCCAAACCCAAACCCAAACCCAAACCCAAACCCAAACCCAAACCCAAACCCAAACCCAAACCCAAACCCAAACCCAAACCCAAACCCAAACCCAAACCCAAACCCAAACCCAAACCCAAACCCAAACCCAAACCCAAACCCAAACCCAAACCCAAACCCAAACCCAAACCCAAACCCAAACCCAAACCCAAACCCAAACCCAAACCCAAACCCAAACCCAAACCCAAACCCAAACCCAAACCCAAACCCAAACCCAAACCCAAACCCAAACCCAAACCCAAACCCAAACCCAAACCCAAACCCAAACCCAAACCCAAACCCAAACCCAAACCCAAACCCAAACCCAAACCCAAACCCAAACCCAAACCCAAACCCAAACCCAAACCCAAACCCAAACCCAAACCCAAACCCAAACCCAAACCCAAACCCAAACCCAAACCCAAACCCAAACCCAAACCCAAACCCAAACCCAAACCCAAACCCAAACCCAAACCCAAACCCAAACCCAAACCCAAACCCAAACCCAAACCCAAACCCAAACCCAAACCCAAACCCAAACCCAAACCCAAACCCAAACCCAAACCCAAACCCAAACCCAAACCCAAACCCAAACCCAAACCCAAACCCAAACCCAAACCCAAACCCAAACCCAAACCCAAACCCAAACCCAAACCCAAACCCAAACCCAAACCCAAACCCAAACCCAAACCCAAACCCAAACCCAAACCCAAACCCAAACCCAAACCCAAACCCAAACCCAAACCCAAACCCAAACCCAAACCCAAACCCAAACCCAAACCCAAACCCAAACCCAAACCCAAACCCAAACCCAAACCCAAACCCAAACCCAAACCCAAACCCAAACCCAAACCCAAACCCAAACCCAAACCCAAACCCAAACCCAAACCCAAACCCAAACCCAAACCCAAACCCAAACCCAAACCCAAACCCAAACCCAAACCCAAACCCAAACCCAAACCCAAACCCAAACCCAAACCCAAACCCAAACCCAAACCCAAACCCAAACCCAAACCCAAACCCAAACCCAAACCCAAACCCAAACCCAAACCCAAACCCAAACCCAAACCCAAACCCAAACCCAAACCCAAACCCAAACCCAAACCCAAACCCCTTGAACTACTAGAGGAAGCGAATCATCTCAATCAATACAAACAACATATTCATCCAACCGTTACATATTGATTTAATAATCAATAAATAAATAAATTTTTAATAAACAGTTCAATTCCCTCCAAATTGTTTCCCACAAACCAACTTTTTCGATTTTCAATAAAGAAAAATGGGAAGAAATCCATTAAATGGCAAAGTTAGCGTCACTCAGAAAGTTATCGATCAAGTAAGGACAGCCTTAGAATCCAAATCAACCAACATCACTAGTCACGTTAAGAAGATACTCCCTTACTTTAAATTGCAAGATGGTATTCTCTACTTCAACAAGTACAAATCAGAAGAAAAGAAAGTCCTTAAGGATAATCTCACAGATGAGCAATTAGAAAGGATTATCGACATGACTCAACAGCTCCCCAAGGATGTATATGATGTCCAAACAATCAAAACTGATAAATGGGTTCAAATTCTCAAAGAACATGAATATGAAGGCATTATTATCGATATTCATGTCAATCAAGGTCATGCAGGTCGAGATATTTGTGAATCAGTTGCTTCATCAATGTATTACATTCCAAAGTTCCAAGAAAAATTCCAGAAGGTAAAAAGTTCTTGCGAGAGTTGCAGAACTAAAGAGGCATCTAAAGCTATCGTATTGGATAATCATTATGATCCTACTTGTGTTGGAGAATTAGTTTTTGTTGAATGTGCATTCTTTCCCAAATGTGGAACAACTGATGGTTGGGTAGTATTTGTTGATGGTTTATCCAAATATGTGTTTGGATTTATATTATAGTCTAGCAAAAAGTCAAGTGTTATTGCCTCTCATGCCCAGCAAGTAATTGATTTCTTCAAGGCAAGAGGTGTGAATAAGGTTACTTTTGTGTCTGACAACGGTGGTGAATTCAAATCTCAAGAAATTGAAGAGTTTTGTTCCAGCCAAGTAGGCATTGAGGTTAAATGACATTATGTATTAACAGGGAGACCAAAAGCAAATGGTATGGTTGAACGTTTGCAAAAAACCATCAAAAAAATGATACGTGTAATTTTGAAATACTTCCAATCTCGTAGTTGGCCAACTTATTTTCCAACAGTGATTTTGAATATTAATATACGTCCTCACACCTCAACTGGCTATTCGCCAGAATTTGTCATGAACTCCCTTCATCCGATTATGACTGATGACATAATTTCCAAACAAAGGATGTCTCAGATAGCAATGGATCGAAGAATCCTAATCGCAGAACTCCGTGAAAACATCGCACATAAGAACGCTAAAAACACGAAGAACCAAATAAGACGAGCTACTGTTGGTGGTGCAACCATCGCTGGACCAATAGCAATTGATTGTGCAGTATTAGTGGCTCCTCCTACAGCTCAATTAAAAACAAAAGATTCTGGTTTTAACAAGAAGGCTGTTGTAGTCGAAAATTGTGGTAATGGCTACTATAAAATTCGTTTCCAAGAAACAGGAGGATACAGACAAACTGAGACCGTTGGAAGCACAGCAACTTACCATCGTTCACATTTGAAACCATATTCTTTTGGTGATGATCATCAATTAACAATGGAACAACCAGAGGTGATTCCAGATGAATCTTGCTCAAAACAAATCGAAGAGGAAATGGAAAGACTTGAGTTGGAAGATATGAGTGATCTTGAAATTGGCTTGGAAGATTTTGAGGGTTGTCTAGCACACCTTGCAGAGCCGCCACTTTCCGATAACACTTGGATGTCGGAACCAGGGTCATCTCAAGATCATATTGTTCCCCATATTCAAGAAGCAAGTCCAACGGCCAATGACGAAACTAAGGAGAGTGAACCTCCACAAGTAGCACAGACATCCCTCTCATCTGAACGGACCGTGATGATATTTTTTTAATCGGAATTTTTAAAAAAAATATTTTGACGTGATGAAAAACGTTGCTAGCCATTTATTTCGTGGTAAACAAGCCTCATCAACAACACCAACACTCTCTTTCTCTCGGTTTTTCAGAGGTGTAGTTTTTGGTGTTGATACACTTGGTTCAGACTCTAACCTCTCGCTTCGGAAATCTTTGTCCAATCATCATCATACAAGGAACACTTCGGTACGCTCTTTCCATACATTATCTTCCTTGTTGGCAAAAGATGAAGTAACAACAAAAAGTCTTTCTTCTTCTACCGGACCGGGAGGAAACGGAAGTGGTGCTGAGCACAACCATGTAGAACAACCAACTGCTTCTGATGATCCCAACCAAAAATCAATCTATATGGCACCACAACCAACAGCTAATAATAACTCTCCCATTCAAGTAGTGTCCACAATAGTTCTCTCCTTCACTAATTACGATGAGTGGACAAAGGAAGAAGTTGCTTCTATCCTTTGTATGAAGAAAGGTGAAGGTGGAGCCTCATTGACCGTTGATGATGTCAAACCTCTCGTTGACGCTGGTTTCAAAGGAAACTCTCTTGATAACATTGTAAAGGATATCAAAGAGGTCGGAAGGCTAGCTGCTATTGCCTCCTTGTCTCAAAGCAAAGACTGTGCTCAAGTTCCGTCAAGTACTTGCAAGACTGTTGTTAATTGGGTCAATGAAACATTAATGCCCAAACTTTTTCGTTTGTGGGACAAGGATCAAACAAAGGATGCATTGTGCCAATCAAAACTAAACGGTGGGGCTGGATTAACCATAGAGCAAGCTCAGCCTTTCTATGATGCAAAATTTGATGGAACAACTCTCTCAAAGATTGTGTACGAACTCGAAAAAGCTCAACCAAATGGGAATGAACTCTCTGCAAATGATATCATGAAACAAATAATTGAAAAATATATTGGCCCACCTCCAATCACATGCGAAACTGTAGTCAATTGGGTTGTAGATGAGTTGATAAAAAAAGACAAGATATCAATACCATTGTTAACCTTTGAGAAGAACCTTCTTGAGGAAATAGAACAAGCATGCCATAACAAGGAAAACGATTTCCAAAAGTTTTATTCTAACACACGGAACGAGTTGGCAACCAAGAACCCTAATAAGGTGTTGACTATTGATAAGGTAAATGAATTTGAGCAAACATTACGCGCAAAGACTACTATTCCTTCTGTGAAAGTTAGATTTGGCTATCCAAACTTTTATGAACGATATCGGTCTACTAAATTGCCATTAATAGGTGATTCAATTGCCAAACATGAATTACCATATTTTACACAATTCCATATCACTACAGCAAAAGATGATGACTTATTGAAAAGGGTAGACGAGAGTAAACGAAGCGCCTTAATGTTTATGGGTCCATCCGGTGTTGGCAAGACATCAACTTGCGTGCGTTTATTATGCCACAATCCTGGAATGATTTTAACATGTTCTTCAACATCCGAGGCATCTAGTGGATTGACAACTGATGCATTGATGTGTCAAGCATTTTGCTACTTAAATGGGATGAAGGCTTATGAACTTTTTGGCTCGGTTGAACAAATAGTACTATTTGTATTCATCTGTAGATTGATTTATATTTCAAAGCTAATTGATGAAGCCAAACAAATGCCAACTGTATTTGAATACTTTGTTCAGAGAGATAAGGATGGAAATATTATTAATGGTGGAATACTTCCATATCTTGCGTATATGCAATCAAATGGCAAAACCGACGCCAGTCAAAAAGCTCTAGAGTACACATTGGAATATGTTTATTCTTCTCCGGATGTCTTGAGGGGATTTATTGACAACCTAGTGACCAAGATAATTGATTCACTTAATGACAATTCTGCTCTATTTGGAATAGTTAAGAAAATTGAACATTTTGTTGTGGTTATTGATGAAGCAAATGTTTATGCAAGGTTTGTATTGATTAATTTTACAAACATGATTCATAATATTATTTCATTAGAAAAAATACTGACTCTGATGCTGGTAACTCTTACATAGGTGGTTGTGAAAAGCTTTCCGAGTTAATAAGTTCGAGTGGTGAGAAGAGAGGACTTTTAACCAAGTTTGCACAGTTAATTGGTACCATAAGGAAATTTCATGTATCTATATTTTCTGGAACTAATTTTTCTGTCGATGTAGGAGGTATTATACAATCAGCTCTTGGTAAAACTGAAGCAAAGATTGATATAGTTAAAATATTTGACTTTGGTTTGATTGCGCGAGATGATACCATTTCATTTTTGGAAAAACATATCAATATACCAGACAACGAGAAGAAAGAGATTTTATTCTATTTACATGAAAAAGGGTACAAGTACTTTAGAAGAAGATTAATCACATGGGCATTAGAAAAACTTTCTCCAAAGAACGACCTGATAGAGGCTATTAAGAAGGTCATAAAGCTGTTTTTATTGGCAGCAAAAAAGAATATAATAGATCGTTATAACGAAACCTATAATTCGAAGTTGGCTCTTCGATTAGAAACACAACAGGCAATTCAACAAGGAATTCAAGACGCCGTTGTCAAATATGTTGCTCATTATCGTTTTCCATTTTTAGGTTCTGAGTTTAAGGTACACATAGATGGTGTTGCTGATGCTTTACTCTCTTCTGGATTTTCTGGACCAGAAAGCACTGCTTTTGAAAAATACCAGACCAGACGTTATTTTGTGTTTTCCGCAAAGGACTTTCTTGGATACATACTTGGACTAAAATTTCTAAAGGAAATATTACCCAACAAGGATGATCCGAAATTGAAAGCATCAAATGATTCAGAATTGAAAGAATTGGATGATTCAGAATTGGATGATTTAGAGTTGGATGACTCAGAATTATTTAAAGAATTGAATGATTCAGAATTGATGAAAAGGATTATTCAAGAAATGATCAAATTGCTCCTGGAATCTTCAGATCACAACATTGATTTGGAATCGATTGTTATGTTAAGACTTGCAGAGTTGGACGGTACACGTTTATCTGACATTGGTTGTTTCAAGCCACTAATCACCAACAATCCAAACCTAAAAGACCATATATTCAAGTGCAAACATTGTTTAGATCCAAATGGATATATTGAGTACTGTATTTCTAAAGGCGTTATACAACCAAAGAAGAAGAAAAATTTAAACGGAGAACAGTTGTTCTGGACACACTTTGCCGAGAAGAAGTGGGATTTACTTGATGGGGTTTTTATTACTCTATCTAATTCACACCATAACGACCTGTTTGGTATTAATAGAATTGATGGCTCTACAAATTTGATCATACCAATGGGTTTCCAGTGTAAAGTTCAAGCTGGAACTAAATTTGATCCACATTCATATTTTAGTTCCACTATCCCTGAACTATTTTATCTCGATAATTATGGAAAATTGAAATCTGAAACCCTTTACAATTTAAATAGTAATCATATTGAAGAAACTAAGATTAACAATGTAAATTGTTTCGTTGTGAAGGATAATTCAAAAAAGATTATAGATGATGTGAATGGTAAAGGCATGAAAGTTAATTCAAGTGCAAAATGGTATAATGATATCAGAAATGATGTTTTAGAAGTATTTAAATCATCAAAGATGATGCATGTGTGTATTGGACTTCATGCAACTGAAACATTTTCGAAAGAGGTTGTTAAGAAATATCAGAAAAACTATTTGTGCTCCTTTATTGACATGAGTAATTATGACTCACTTTTCGATGGAAAACAGGAGACATATTTAAAGAACTTTTTAAACACAGTGGCAGAACGAGTGAATAGCAATAATAAGACGAATAACATGAAATAGAATTAATATTTGCAGGAATGATCATGCTGATTCCACAAAGAAGGATCGAAGAATTTAGAGGAACAAATGGGTTAGTTCCGAGTATTGAAGAGTTTGGTGGAGAAGTTGTTTTCTGCAAAACCAATTCGGCGAGAATATCTAAGTACTGACTTATCTGACGCCCATCGACTCATAATCTTGTTGACTTCAATAGACATTCCTTTCGAGGAAATTTCTATACGTAAGCTATGTCCGGAGACTTTTGTTTTGCTATCCACTAATCTAATTGCATTTCGTATTAATTCTGAAATTTGTGTGGTTGTAAGGAATTGATTATCTCGAAAAGAGAATAGAGGTGAATCAGGAGATTTAAATTCCTTAACAAGGTTCATATAGGTCTTAAGAATTTGAACAGGACAAAAACTATTTGCACTGATCACTGGATCGATTGGATGAGGTCGATCATTAAAACTTGATGCATTTGAGTAAAGCCTCCATTTTGAAGGATGCTACTTCTATACCTCCATTGATAATTCGTAGATCTAAGATGAATCGAAAAATATCCTTTCCTTTCTTCGGGACAACATTGATTGGATTTAAGACTATTTGTGACGATCCTGGACCTATAATTTTGAGTTGCAACATTTTCAGAAGTTCTACTCTGATCCATTCTGATTCTTGCTGATTGAACTGACGTTGATGAAACTTCTTCCAAAATGAGGGGTTTGATGAAAGACGAACACCTTGGTTGATCATGTTCCAAACATAATGTGAAGTTCCCCATTCCTTCCAATTGTCTGAAAAGTTTAATAGGCGTCCGCCCATTACTTCCTCGTCAGAGGGTATTAGAAGAAGGAGTTTGTTGGGAGTTGGGGTTGGTGTTGGTGTTGGAGTTGTAACCTCGTCTTTGAAACGGTGGTTTGTTCCCAGAATGAGGATTTCCACTTGATGCTGGTTGTGGAATGTTGTATGGTTGGTATCTCTGATAATATCCACGATTTCTGTCATATCCGCCACGACGTCTGGATGATCTATTCATAAATTGGTTCATATTCTTAATAACATCTTCTTGATGATTTTGTTGAACTCTCTTTCTGCTCTTCTCTCTTTCTTTGGCAGTCAAATCCAAAAAGTTATCCGCTGCTTCAAAAGAGTTGTTCTCTGTTCCTTCGCTAATGAATACCATCACCAGTCTCATCAGTAATTCAGAGAGTTCAAGAGCTTCAAAATTGAAGATCAAACTGAAGTCTTTTTGACTTCTACCTGCTCTACAAACACAACACAATTTGTGGAGGATTTCCATCACGCGTTTATATCCTTTAGATTTGATTTTATCTGTACCATATGCAGAATTCATTGGGCTGATAAAAGGAGCGAACTTTTGCAATAACACGTTGATTCTTTTCTTCCAAAATGAAGCAGAGGTTATTGCAACGTTGGAATGAGCTACTAACAAGTTATAAAGCTCGTCATTGTTGTAATTTTCGCCCAACGAACCAAATCTCTCGAAGTGAGATTCAAGGAGAATTTCTCTCCAATAGTCATGCTGAGGTTCATTCGCAGGAATGGAATTGGATGACGGTTGGGTAGAAATGTTGTTTGAAGAAACCACTAGAGGAGTTGAATGTGAAGATTCTCCTTTGGACCCGTTTATAATTGGTGGTGGACATTCAGTTTCTCTAATTTGCTTCCGAATGTTCTTCTTAAGAGAAGCTGAGCGACGATTATTTCTCTTCTTTGGAGTGGATGGTTTAGGTGAGCTTGAGAGAGAACCATCATCACTAATAATAACTCCAAGAAGGGATTGAGTCTGTTCTGACTCATTGTCTTGAAAGTTTTTAGGAGTCGAAGGTTTTACTTTGGTCATGATGAGCGTGGGAATGAGAGAGCGAGAAAGCGAGATATATTAAGGGAAAGCTAGAAGTCACTAAGCAAATCAAAACGCACGAATATGCAGAAAATTTTTTGAGCATGAAAATATTTTTCGTTGCTCAACCAAACTCTTTTAATGTTTGCAATCGAAACATTCATGCCCTTCACTTCGTTCAGAACATATCAGTGCTTTGAGTGGAATCGTTACTACCATTGCAGGATCTGGTGTTGCCGGTTATAATGGTGATAATATTATGGCAACTAGTGCTCAATTGAACTCTCCCAATGCTATCTATGTTTCCAAAACGGGAGAGTGTTATATTGCAGACACTTTGAATCACCGCATTCGTAAAATTTTGTTAAATGGCAATATTGTGACAGTTGTTGGAAATGGTAATGCAGGATTTGACGGAGAAGGAACTCCTGCAACATCAGCTCAACTAAATTCTCCATCTGGAATTCACATCTCAGAGTTGGGTCATATTTTCATTGCAGATACTTTGAATCGTCGTATTTGTAAGGTTGATTCTAATGGCACAATTTCAACTATTGGGGGCCATTATTTTTATGGATTTAATGGTGATGCCTTATCTCCTTTCCAGACCTACTTGTATACCCCTACAAGCGTTTCAGGATCCAATGCAACTGGAAAAGTGTATTTTTCTGATACAACGAATAATATTGTGAGAGTTTTAGAACCTTATTGCCAAGACGGTTTAGCTTATGACTCTGCGACCTCGACCAGCGTTACAGATGTTCTTTGCAATGGTTTTTCCAAGTTCAGTCCTAATGTTTGTTCTTCGAGAGGAAAATGTGTAGCCACTAACACTTGTTCATGCAGTGTTGGATACACTGGAAATAATTGCGAATTTGTGACATGTGGTTGGAGTTTCCTCCACATCAGCTCAAGTTTGTTCTGGAAATGGTATTTGTTCGGATGTAGACAAGTGCTCATGTAAAGCAGGCTTTACTGGAAATAATTGTCAAACGAGAGTTGTCACTTCGAATAATCTTCAAATCTCAAATAAGCCCCAAAACAGTACCACGAGAGCAGTGAGTGAAGCATCACTTTTAGAAATGAAGTCATTGTACGGACTTCTTTTCACAATTATGATCTTGAGTGTTGTTGCTTCACTTTTCTAAGCAAAGAACAATTAATTGTTGCTGATTCCAGTCAATACCAACGTGAGTTAAGCATTGCCATCATTATTGAGACTCAGAAACTTTTTCAATTCACAACTAATTCCATTTGTGGAACCTAAAGTGTTTTTCAATTTTCAATGCGAAAAAGTCATGTTTTGCAACATTTGTTCACAACAACACAAACCACCTTATTAAAAATGGGAGATCATGAATTTCTTCCTTTCTTGAATGAGAGATACATGCTGAATGAAATGGACATCTTGTGAATGTACACAATCATAGATGAAATGTCTAACAAATTTAGTCTTCTCTCTCTGTCAATCACCTGTAAGAGTTCATGAATTTTAAGCTGATTTGTTCGTGTTTGTGATTTTGTTTTAACGACAGCAAGACATCTGATCAAAAACAATTCACCTTTTCTCCTTCAATCAATAATGCCTATGGCAACAGACACTTGGTCCTTGGGCTCGTTAACTGCCACTCTCCATAACATGCAACAACGCAGCAACAACTCTTCTTCTCAATCAACATGTCCATTGTTACTCAAGCACGAAATTATGTTGCCTCTCGTTACTCCACAAACTCTTCTCTCTACATGGAAACCTTCATCTATGAGAACAGCTCTCTCATCATTACCGATACCAATATTCCATATTCCCATTTGGTGGGTATGAATGTCGCAAATACTCTCGAGTTACTCTTTACATTATCGAATTTGAGCGTTCTCATGTTCATCATGTGTTTCATAGGTAACGTTTTTATTCGGACTGTAAAATTGGCTAATGCTCAAGAGTCCTTCTTGGGTGCAGGCTACAAGACTGCAACACTCATCTTCAATGTTGCTACTTTAATATTCTCCACAGCTTCGGAAGTGTGAATTTCAATCATCATGGCGAATTTTGTTTTTTTAGTGTAGACTGCAATAATTGCAATCTCAACAAATATGGAGTTTGAAAAATGTTATGAATGCTATGAAACAAAATTACGCCATTATCAGCGAACAATTGAAAACCAAAATACCAAAACAGCTCACCTCGCTGCAAGAACACAAGAATACAAAAATGTCATCAAATCATTGAAGGCAAAAATCTCTCGACGAGATACTACAATTAAGAATTTCGAAGAATTAATTGAAGAAAAAGATCAAAAACATTATTTGGTAGAACTTCTCTCGATTGCGCTAGAGGAAGGAAAGTTACATGAAACCCAGTTCTTTTATCAATTATTAGAAAATACTTTGCAAAATTTGGTTTCGTCGAAAAATGTTAACGGTTTTCGATACAAAGAGTGTATCATTCATTGGTGTTTATTACTTCGATTTTATGGTGGTTCTCGTTTGTGGAATATTTTGAAAGGAAATTCTCCCGGTGAAACTATAACATCTGAAAACGCATTAGATAAGCTTAATCTATTACTTCCATCTATCTCAACAATTAAGAGCTATCTTCCAGACTTGTCTTTTGGTAACCTTGTCGACAGTGATTTGAAAGATATTGTTAAAGCCATGGCATTGAATAATATTAGTAATAAGATCATAATTTCATATGATGAAATAGAGATTAGAGGAGGATTATGTGTGATGAAAAGTACTGGAAAAGTAATTGGATTCACAAATTGCAATGAAAAGTCTTTTGAAGATATATATAACGCAAAAAGAGAAATTACACCAGACGATATTGCTAGTCATGTGTGCCAGTTTTTTGCAACAACTATTGACGGTGAGATGTCTTTTCCTATTTGTTTTGGTGGTCACAAATCAAACCATTATGAATTTATTACAAAGAAAATGACAGAAATTAGAGATCAATTCAAACGAACTTCTTATGGAGATTATGTTTTAGAAGTGGTTGGAGGTTGTAGTGATGGATTAGCTGGTAATTATCAATATGCAACCTCTCATACTAATGAAAATTATGTTCACCTTTTTGATTGGTCTCATTTGCTCAAACGGTTGAGAAATTGTTTATTGAAAGGGGATGATTTGATTATTGAAAAAGAGAGTTTTTCTATGAATACATTATTGAAGGTTAGAAATGAACCCCAACTGCGAGACTGGGTATCGGAAAATATAATTTACCCAGTCGACATTATGAAAATGGAACCTGTTTTTGCATTGATAGATTCTAATGTTATTAGTGGAATTGAACAAAGCAAGCAAATAGGATGTTGTGCATTAGCAAAATATTTAACGTTAATGCAACAAATACATCAAATTTTTGACGATGAACGATGTTCAAACTGGAATGAGAAAAAACAATTAATTGAATCTGTACTGACAACACTTAAGGAATGGAAAGATGCAAATTCTAACATCATAGTGACGAATTGTATTCTCATATTGTGATGACTATGACTTCACTTCGTTCTCTTTTTGAAAAATATGGAAACCATACTCAAATTAAGGCTTGTGGAATTTCGACATTAATTGTTGAACTTTTTTTTCCTTAATTCGAGGAAAAATACGATACCCTAATTTTCGAGATTATTGTGGGATCTATCGAGCCGTATGGATTGCTTTGAAGACGAAATTGGCAAAAAATTCTCCAATTAATGTCAATCAACAATCAACCACAAAGTGTTATGGAAATTGTAACGTAAGCTTAGACTATTCTGAATTACATCGAAAATACTATGTAAAGAAACACATTCTTCAAGAAGACGATGAGGACACTTTGTTAGAGAAAGATCAAACTATTTCTGAAGAGATGTATGAATATGTGCTCGATGTCACTCAAGATTTTCTTCCACAGAAAAATGTAATGCTGATACGAGAGTATTTATGTAAACAAGCACCAGTCGCGGATGATGGAACTATTATGAACAATATTTTTCTCAGCTGCCCTGAATGTAATCAAATAATGGTCTGACAACGATCATTTATTAAGCACTTACAATGTCACAATTATTCACCTCAGCAATGCAAAGATACACTGTACAACACAATTATTATTTCACTCAAATCTCGCCAATTTGGCCAACATGTTGAGGGTATTGTTGAGGAAATAGCAACCAAATTGGTAACCAATACCTTTAAGCAAGTTCGAATTCGAACAGAACCTGAATTACCAAAAGAATCAGTTATTACATTTAATTCAGAAAAAGGATTATTTGTTCCATCTAACGAGAAGCAATCACAAGCAGAAAATATTTCAACATCAAATATCGCCACCATCGACTCTATTTCAGAAGATTCAACTCAAATGTCAGAAACTTCACCTCAAAACAAATATGTATTTTTTGATTTTGAAACGACTGGATTATGGAAGAATAATGATCCACCAAAAATTACGGAATATTGTTTTGTGGACGTTTTGACTGGAGCTGTTTTGTATGGCTTAATTAATCCTGGAAAAGTGATTTCTAACCAAGCACAATCAATTACAGGACTTAACTTGAATAGTTTAAGATCAAAATTGCCTATTGAAGGGCATGTGATGGATATTATCCAATTTTTAAACAATAACTCTCAAGGAAAAACTTACTTAATAGCTCATAATGGAGACCGTTTGGATTTTAAAGTTTTTGCCAAAGAATTTTTCGGAAAGTTTTCTGAATTTAATCATGACAATATTGTCTTTGTTGATTCTCTCCGATTAATGAAATCAGAATCGACTTTACACAATTGTCTTCCTCGGAAAATGACAAAGAAAGGGAAATCTAAACCAGTTTTTGCTGAGGATGTATTAATTGAACACTTTAATTTAGGAAATGACAACAATTCACATTGTGCATTTTATGATGCTATTGGATTGCTTAATATTTTGATCAAGTTTTATGGTAATCTCGATGATGCATTGAAAGCTATCGAGTGCTTCAATACCAACCAACTTAAAAGGAAAAGAGAGAAAATTAATGACAATAATGATGATGAACACAAAGCAAAGAAGAAAGTTGGATGTAGTTGTTTGAATTGTAATTGTGTCAAGCTTGGAAGAATATGTGATGCAACTTGTGGGTGCAATTCAGAAATTTGCAAACGGAGACAGTGCCAAGTTTGTTCCAACTACACGGAACTAATATTGTGTTCCTGTTGTTCTGATATTGTTTGTGAGCGATGTTCTTATAATGGAGAATGTCAACGATGTTCGATATTCATAGTTTATCATTGCAAATGTTGTCACAGACTAACCAATGCCGTTTCTAAATGCCTTCAATGTCAAAATTCAACATGTTGCAAATGTTACCATGACGGCCTTTGTAAGATCTGCCATCCAAACATGCCAACATTGCTGTGCAATTCATGCCACAAGCCTTGTTTATCATTAACTCCATGCAAGGATTGTGGCTTGAAAGTATGTAATGACTGTTTGAGAGAGAGAGATGGTGTCGATCATGTGATTGTGATGAGGGGGAATGGTTGTCTTCAACTCAGTCACAATTCCAGTCCTCCATGGACGTGACAAATTTTTAAGAAGTAGCTACCATGGCTCTTGTAATGCCAATTCAACATATTGACGCACCAATAGTGATGTGGTGTTTCCTTTATGTGTCAGAAACAATCAATTGCATTGGCAGGTTTTGATGGATTGAAACCATCATAAAATCATCCTATGATCGTTGTGTTATTAAAATTCCCAGCGAAAAGTTTTCTCGTAGCTTGAGGTGTTCACTAAAAATTGAAAAAATATTTATTGGCCCTTCGGTGCCTCAGGTCTTTCGTTTTCCCAGTATTGATTAAAAGCTCTACCCATCAAGAGTGATAGAATTGCTTGAATGTCTACCCAGTACTTGATGATGTCCTGTTTTCTTCTTGTAAAATATGTGTCGGAGTTAAGAATGATTCCTCTGCTGTCGATAAGGAATTTGGAGGAGGTTAGAATTTCATTTCGGTCATGGGGAATCAATTCAATGTTTAGAAGCCTCTTCATCTGTTGTTTAGCATACATTCTTTCCTCCGATAGTAATGTGCAACGTGTGGAATAATGTTCAATAGTTCCGGTGCAATTACATCTGGGGCAGATGTGAGTTTGTTGTTTAAATGTTTTCATGTGAACATTGTGCATGTTTCTCCAGATTGCATATTTTTGTTGGGGAGAGATATTCTTTGACTTCATGAAATTGAATGTTGTTGGGAAGATGCAAGAAGGGTTAAACTTATTCCTGCTCTTCAAAGTTATTGATTCATTCCATTTCTGAAGTTGTTTGTTCTTGATGAATGTTGCAATATCTGGAATCCAGTGGTTATTGGATTTGAGGATAATTTGGTTTTGGGTAAGTTGTCTGTGAGGAATTATCAATTTTCCTGATGTGCATCCCTTTTTGGCTAATTTGTCTACGTGAATGTTACCACTATTTTGGTGGCCTTTAACTTTGATGATGGTGATTTGTAGGTTTTTAGATTTCTTGAGGAATTCAAATTCAGTTTTAAGGGGGAGAAATGGTCCTCGGTATTTAGGATTTGATAGCAAATTGATACTTATTTCGCTGTCTGTGTAGATTTTTGCTTTTGATTTTGTTGGTAATAATCGGAGAGTGTAGACAATACTTAGTAGTTCAGCTAAGTTATTGCTATGGATTGGGTCAAGTTTGAATTTGTGTCTAGTTGTTATATTTTTGGACTGTAAAATAATACCAAATCCAGTTCCTTGTTCAGTTTTAGATCCATCAGTCCATACTTCAAAGTTTTTACATTTCTTATGGTATTTTAGTGATTCTTCATTTACAAGTTGAGGAATGTAGTTGCAGTTATCAACTTTAAGTTCATACTTCCTTGCTATGTGGTGGAAGTTTTCAAATATATTTAGGTTTTTGGATTTTTTGGTGTTGAATGTTGATGTGATAGCATCATTTACCGCTTCTTGCATGAGTTGGTAATTGTGACATGAGATATTAATTAATGATCTTAGGGTTATGATATCAGTCATCATTTCAAGGCATGGAATACCCATTCCTCCTTGGTAGATTTGTAAGTATAGGCATTCTTTAGGTGTTCTTGCATCAATATTTAGTTTTCTTTTGATTTGGTTTCTGATTGAAGAGTCGAATGATTCTATTTGGGATTGGTTTATTGAATTATTGCGTGCAAGGTGTCTAATTTGGGATAAGGTTTTAGATGTGACTACTTGTTTGAGATTATATGGTTGAATCAGATTAATTGGAAGGATGTTAAGGATATTCATCATCTTATGTTTCCTTTTTTCTAGTTCTTCCTTAAATAATTTAGATTCAAAAAGATATCCTCCGAGGATTCTTTGGTTGTCTTGGTTTGGAATTTTGGTATTGTTAATCAAGGCCTCATTTGGTTTAGGGAGTGAAGTTGTAACTGATTTGGATGGATTAATTTCTAGGAATATTTGTTTGAACCATCTGTTAATTTTCTTGAGTCTTTTGTTGTGGAGAGTAATGTTAGAATTGATAATTGACATATCATCGGCAAAACAAAGTGTGGCAATATCATCAATGTCTAGATCTTGTGGAGTGATTGGGAGTTTTTTCTCTTTCAATAATTTTATCAATAATCATTTGGGAGATGCAGTTATAGATTAGAGGAGCTAGAGGACATCCTTGTGGGATTCCTCTTGTCTTGGTGAATTTTTCTGATAGTGTATGATTCCATTCTATTTGGATTTGATGATTTGAGTAAGCATTAATGATGAAGTTTTTAAGTTCTTGGGGGAATTTGCAGTGGGTGAGCGCCATGTCAATGATTTTGAGTTCAATGGAATCATATGCAGCAGCAATATCTATATTGGTTAGAATGAATCCTTTCTTTTTGAATTTGTTAATGAGGGCTTGTATGAGGATGCAGTGATTTGTTGTTTCTCGATTTTGGGTGAATGCTTGTTGTCTAATGTTGATATTTGATTCGGCCCAATCTTTAAGTTTGAATGTTATAATGTTGAATAGGAGTCTATATCCAATATTCATGATTATGACTGGTCTTAGATCTTTGTAGTCTGTGATTATATCTTTTTTTCCGATTAATTTAACCCATCCTTGTTTCCAGCATTTTGGGATGTCTTGATTTTGGATCATGTCATTAAATGCTGATGCTAAATTATTGGGATTGATATTTTCAAATATCTGTTTTGTTGTGAAATCTACCCCTTGTGTTGTTGATTTCATTCTTTTCAACGCGTCCGTAACATCTTCTTTAGTTATTGTAATGTTGGACGGTCCTTCTTTAACTGTTGATTCACCTGGTTTAAATTTAATTTCTGTTTTGTCATCTAGTTTTGAGGTGAATTTGTTTTTAAAGTAGTTCACAGCTCCTTCTTTTGTTATTTTGGTTGAATTCCAATCAATTTCCTTGTATTTGAGATGGTGATCGAAGTTGTGGATTCCTTTGGTGTGTTTGTTATTAATGGAATCTATGAACTTTTTTCTATATTCCGCAAATTCAAGGTTATATTGTTCTTTGAGTTTCTTCTTTGTTTCCTTTATAGATCTTTTGATAGTGGATTCATCTTGGGTTGTTTCGGATAATTTTTGTTCATGGAGATTATGGAGCTGTTGTTTCAAATTGGTAATGATTTCAGATTCCTTAAATCCCTTAATAGGATGTGGTTTATGAGATTGGTTCTTGATCTCATGATTGAGTTTTTTCAATTCACTGTTGTTGACGGGAAGAGATTTCAAAATTTCTTCGAGTTTTTTTGCAACACTTTGCTCATCGCTGATTATTCGTTTCCAGGTTGTTGGAATTAATAATTTAAATTTGAACATGATTGGTATGTGGTCATTTGTTGTGACGAGTGGTAAAGCTTGTTCATATTCTATTTCAATGTGACTCGAGTGGAATAGGTGGTCAGGTCTTGAGATTGTTTCTAATATTTTGTTTTGTGATGTGTATTTTCTGATGTAGGATGGAATTATTGTTTCACTTTCTTTTAGGTTATGTTGGTCCATAAATGTTTTCCACTTGGTGTCTTTGTAAGCATTTCCTTCTGAACTAAAATTCATGTCACCAATCACTATTATTGGTTGGTGATTTAGGGTTGATAGGGTTTCAGATAATTTCTCGAGTAAAATATTTTCTTCTTCTTCATTTCTGTTTCCAGAGTAGTTATAAATATTAAATATATTCAATAAGCATCCACCGATGTGGATGGTGCATAGTTGGAGACGTCCTGGAATAAGGATTTGATGAATAGATTTCTTTTTGTGACGTTGATGGGTAAGGACAAAAGTTCCATCATGAGAATTATTATTGTTGAGAAAAGAATAATATCGATAGAGGTTTTGGTGAAAAGTGCGTGTGTATTGTGAGTTGTTAATGTGTGATTCTTGGATTGCCATGAAGTTAAGGTGATAGATATCCATAAGCCGTATGATTTTGTCCAATATACTTGATTGGTTGGGATCCTTTGGAAGGATTCCATTCACATTAAGGTTTGCAATAGTAAAAGTCATTCAATATCTTTATCATGCATGTCCTTTCTCTTCCCAGCTTGGACGAGTCATTTAACGCTGTGCATTAGAGTTTCCATATTCTTAGCAATATATGATATATTGCTTTCCATATTGGAGACTCTTTTTTCAAGGCTGGTAAACCTTGCTTCATAATTATTTGGAGTAATAATAGTTGAGAAGTTAGAGCTTTCTTTCTCTGTTGATTGATTTGATTTGGAGATAGCTTTTTCTTTAAAGAACTGCGCTTTGGACTTGAAGGATTTTGTGATGATTCTGCCATGCTTGGTTTCAATAGGATGGACCACTTCTAAGATACGATCGACTTCAGTATCAGATTTAAGAGTCACTATGATGTTATAATATGATTCTTCAGGATTAAAAGGAGATGTCTTTTCATCGATTTTGATAGAGTTTGGGTGAATAGTAATTCCTGCTTTAGTGGTGATATCTTTAACGACGTTTACGATTTCATGTTCTTCAAAATCTGTAGAGAGGTTGATAAAGACTTCAAAACGGGAATCTTCAGCTAGTTGAGTATAAGTTTTGAGGCGAGACCATTCGGTGTTAGAGAGGATTTCTTGTAGTGATTGTAAATTCTTAACTGTAACAGTGGTTTTGAAGCAGCTTGAGTCTGGTGGTTTACTAATTCTCATAGCTATTAAACCTTTAGATTTCTCATGCCAATTGCATAGGCAGGAGATCATATGAAGAATATTGTTTTCATCGTTTCCAGTAAGATGTTGAGCGGTGAACTCTGTGATTTGGAGACATATCAGAGATAAAGTATTTAAAGTTTGTTTGACTTTTGGCGCTATTGAGGTTCTTGATGATTTCGTCCCTTGAGCTTGATGAGGACGGAACAATTTGGAGTATGAATGGTCTTTCAGAGGGGACCCATGGATCCTTCGCAAGTTTGGAGGCCTTGAGGTGATTGAGGAGAAATTGAAGTGCCTCTTTGTTTTTGTACAAGTTGGTTGCGCAGTATATTGTTAATCCTTTGTTGAAGTCGATAGATTTCTTAGTTGTTGGGCGGGTTGATTGCATTTTTGCGGTCTTTGGTGTTTTTTTTGGTTGAGGTTTTTTTTCTTAGGGTTCGAGTTATCTTTGGTAGAGAGACTTTTCTTGTTTAGGTTGATATTGGTTGTTGTTTCTTGGTTGAATCTACGGCTTTGGTATTTGTTCTTCATAGGAATTTGTTCTTTTTTGTTGTGTGTAAGTGTGTGTGGTGTGTGTGGTGTGTGTGTATGTGTATGTGTTTGTGTAGAAGATGGTGCTTGTATTTGTGTTTGGGGGAATATTGGAGTGGACATAACTGACTCATCATTTGGAGGGTTATCATTGATTTTAAGATTAGAAGTAGGTTCATGCAGTTGCTTTTCAATCATATCATTAATTACTTTAGTGAGATCATTCATGGTAGATTGTAGGTATTCAATATATTTTTCAAGGTGCGCAATTTTAGTGATTAACGAGGGATGATCGTCAGTCATTTTTTAAGGGCTCGTTCACGAAAAAATACGCTCGAGTTGTCCACTCGTGAATTATATTCATCAACAAAAAGGCCATCTCTATCAAAGTACTTCAAGTGATCAACTCGAATCGTTCGAAACACAACAAAAACTCCCAAATGAAACGAACTTTTCATTCATCGAACGCTGCTCCTCAAAATTCACATCAACACGAAGGAAATCTCTCCTCTATCAATGAAAGTATTTACAGCACTCGAAAACGAAATTCAAGTGCTGTTCCTTCAGTTGTGTCTTCTTTGTATTGCACAAGCAATGACAATTCACAAATGTCCACTGTTGCAAATGAGAGTGGAGCAACAACTATAGACACAGCCTTGACCTCAATAACACTAAGCCACACGCAGACTCAGAACCAACAACAGCATCATGAAGAAACACATGTGTTGGATGTGAGTGTTCATGGGGGAACCAACTCTTCATTAAACATGACCTCGAGTCCAGCAGAAATTAGCAGTGAGAATTCTCAGGTTTGAAACGAGTGAATGGAAAATACTATTGTCTGTCCATTCATTGCACAATTTTAAATTATGAGATGCAGAGAGAATAATTGAATTTGTCGATGAAACAGCTAGGTTGGACTTTTGGTTTGCAGTTTGGGTGTTGGAGTTCATTTTCCTCACTGAGTCTTTATGATACTACATGTTCATTCCCTCAATATTTAACGAACCAAACTTGCTAAATAGAACCAATCCTTTCACAGATTGAAAACATCACAATAAATGATGCCTTCCTTTTATGTAAATCTGATATGGAACAAGACTATTTGTTCATTAAAGGTCATCACCGAGAACAGCACAGAAAAAATGAATCTTTTCAAATTAAAGAGTACCACCTCCACGCATGAATTTGTGCCTGATGTGACACATATCCTCATCAAAAATTGGACCAGTGAAAATTTCAAACATTGGCTTATGAGCGAAAAGTATGATCAAAAAACGGTCATTGATGGTATGTTTGATTGTTGTGTCATTGGTTGTAATGGAGAATTGGGACTAAACTTTTTCAAACTATTCTTGTTTCAATTAATATAATGGTCTTGACGATGATGTTTGATGTTCATGGATTTCGTTGTCTTTTCGATAATGAACCTTCACGTTTGCATTGATGAATTCAATGTTTCACAATCTCAATGGTTTAATCTTTGTTTCTGAAAAGTCATCATGAAACAACAACTCACAGGAAATGCCATTCTTTGTTTAACCAAAGAAGATTTAACTGAATTCAAAGTTCCAACAGGAGCTGCCATCTCTATAGTGGCCAAACTTGAAGCACTGAGACAACAACAAGAAGATTTGTTACAACAGCCTCAACAACCAAAACTCTTCTCCTTGTCTTATCCATCCACCATCCAAACAACTACAGAACCCTCCAATTCGGAAATGAGTAACGATCATGATCAACATGATACCTCTACCACAAATCCTGCTGTCGTTCCTCCTTATTCTTCGTATCCAAGAACCTCTCCGAGACCATCCCTTCCAAAACCACCACAAACTCCAACCGTTCTCAAACCCATTCATCATGATCATCGTATTGACAATGAACAAGATAATATTATCAATCATCATACACATTCATCCACCACTGCAACTACCCCCCAAGTTTCTCCTCGAAATGAAGATTCTACATCCTCTGCGAAAGTGAGTCCGAGAAGAGATCATCACAAGCCTTTACCAACCATTCCTCAACAGGGTGCATCATCAGGTTCATCATCATCAATAACAAAAACATCCTCAACAACTGCTCCAGTACCTCCCGTTAAAAGATCCAGTTCAGTTGCTACGAATATTACTACTCAAGGTATTAATAATAATAATACTCGTCCTGAGTATTGGCAACAACAACAACAACCAATCGATCAATATCCTAAGCAACAATCTCCTCGTCTTCATCAACCACCACAAAAACAACCCATAACAACTCAACGCTCGAGTCCAACACCCATTCAAGATAGCAAGAATATGAGAACAAAGAAATTTGTGGATGCCGGGTTTTTCCCAGAAGATGAATTATAAGATTGAAAACATTTTTTTCCTTAATGAATTACTTGCTGTTAGTTGAGTTCGATGAATACTTGATGCTTAATAAAATGTAGAAACATCGGAAGTGTCATTAAATTCAATCATTCAATTAAAATTAACTGCCGTGACTATCCAAAGAGAACACGCATTCATGGTTGAGCAAAATAGTCAACTAAATTCGACGGGAGAAATGTTTTGGAACTTCGTCGGCGAATAAAGAGATGTTGTAACTTAGGATAATAGAGCTCAAGAAGGCTGCTTCCAAACTGTTGGTTGCTCCATAACAGACATCCATCCTCCGTCGCCAAGAGATGTTTCTCTACGAATCCTTTGTACATGCACAACTTTACTTTATGATACAAATATTGGATTTGTTCTATTACATATTAAATTTTAAATAATATATTATTCAAGAACAAGAATACATAATTTCAATTTACAACAAATCACACTTTCCAGCAGGTTTCTTCTCTGGTTCAGTTTGTTTAAACAAGAATGCTCGGATTGCCTCATCAAAGACTCCCTTCACTCCTTGTTGTGTCTTGGCTGAACACTCAACATATTTCAAAGCTCTGATTTCTTGCTTCAACTTTTCTCCTTGATCAGCAGTGAGTGGTTGCTTTCCCTTCTCACGCAATTTCTGTACGGTGCTTTCATTGTCTCTCAAGTCGACTTGTGTACCAACGAGAATGATTGGAACGTTCTTGCAGTGATGAGAGACTTCTGGATGCCACTTCAAACGGACGTTATCGTAGCTGGATGGATTCACCACAGAGAAGCAAATGAGGAAGACAGAGGTACCTGGATAGGAGAGAGGACGCAAACGATCGTATCTGTTGTTGTTATTGTTGTGTTATTGGAAGGGGTTTTGTTGTGGTTCAGTTGTTGTTTGGGTGTTGTTTTTGATGATGTTATTAGAAACGGACGAATGATGAAAAGAAGGAATGATGATGAGAGGAACACGGAAGAAGTAAAACCGTTATCATGATCACCATGATTCTAATCAAACACACACTCTACTTACTCTTCTTGACCAGCAGTATCCCACAATCCCAAGTTGATGGTCTTTCCATCAACCATCACGTTTGCAGAGTAGTTATCAAACACAGTTGGTACATATCTATCCGTCATCAAATTTAATGGTTCATGATGGTTGTTGTTCATGTTGAGTCATAATTAGGTTCATCATCACGAGAAGGATGATATCATTGTTGTTAGGGATGTTCATAGTTGCGTTTTTAAAAACCATATGCATCACCACAACGAAATATAACAAAATTAATGCATAACAACAACAGCGCACAAAATGAAAGGATGAATGTGGAATCCAACATCAACACCATTGTTGTCATCATCAAAATAATAATAATAATAACAAAAACATCATCATTGTTCACAACAATAGTGATTCACATCGTTATGTTTTACTTACTCTTCAGGGAAGTGATTCTTGGCATATACATAGAGGAGACAGGTTTTACCGACAGCTCCGTCACCTACAATGACACATTTAATATGTTGGATGGTGGTCTTGCTCATTTCTATGGTGGTTGTCTGTATTTTTCGTTTGTGGTTGGTTGTTACCTAGAAGTGCAAATGTTGAGGTATTGACAATTTTTTGAAAGATGCTTGACATTTGACATAACGTGACAAACAGCTTCAAATGGTGAGTTGGGAACAAGGAAGTCTGAACCAACAGAACATTGAACCACAGCCAATGCTTTTCTCTCCTTTTGAAAAACAAAGATGTTGAGAGACAATCACAAACGACAAATAAGGCAATGTGGATTGGAGAAGCAACGCTGCTAGGACAGAACCTATTTGCCAACCGACTAGTCGTTGCCGTTGTAAAAAAATTTCCGATATGAAGTGTTGAAGTGTCCATTTGGAGGAAGCTATGCATTTGCTGTCCACAGATGTGAAAATTGGCTGAGTTGACTCTGTGCTTTAAAAAGTGAAAATTCGAGGAAAACAAGAAAAACCCATGAAATCAAGCAAAAACAAGGGAAATTAATTCAACATCGATGTGCGAATTTGATCCAAATCATGTGTTTTTTCGTATTTGTTTCATTTTTGTCCTTTCATTCAACAGAGCAAAACTCAAAACTTGAAGAATTTGAAAACATCAAAGCTTTTGGAATTTTAATACACAGGCCCAAGTGGAACTTTTCATCACTGTCGAATGGAATGAAACATCCGTATTTTTGTTATTGTTCACACACTAGAAGCTCCTACTGGTCCAAATCATGAATCATCATCAACAACTTTAAAAAATGTCTTCATTTGCCTTGTTGGACCAACTCAAAGAAAATGAATTGGACACCAACACAATCATGTCTTTTCGATCGAAACATCAGAGCCAATCCAAAAAGAAAGCCGAAAAGAAATCATTGTATCGAGAGGAGTTTTCACACATTGCATTCAATGAAGTCATTTGGTTTCAAATGTTAACTTTTTTAGATTTTAAATTCTTGTTTCAATCATGTGCTCGAATTGATAAGATGAGATGCGAAATGATTTACTCTAAGCCCATGTGTCAACATGTCTTGATATGTGAATTTTTTACATTGCTGAATGGAGAAGAGGAGAAAGATACTCGAGTGTGGTTTAAGAAATTTATGCCTTTGAAACCAATGACTAAAGTGTTGACAAATGCCGATCCTCAATGCCTATTTAAGGAAATTAGAGAACTTGTGTCAGAATCATGTAGTGATTTGAAAGATCAAACATTCACAACGCCATCTCATATTTCTTCAATTATTTATCCATTGACCTTGCGTACTTATTCTGGAAAAGACACTTTTCCAGTTTTTGTGAAATTATTTCACAAACTCTCAAACAGAAAATTTCTCATTCGTGGTTTAAATAACCAATTACGGAAGAGATATCCACAATACAAAGCTCCAACCTATTACACAAACCTTTTTCAAACACATGAAAGCGCAATTGATCCACACACGAGGAGACAATTTCATTGCAATCATTTCGAGAATGTGATTCAAAAGATTTCAGCACATCCTCTCAAAATGACTTCACAATGTAAGGCATATGGAATCTCCATGGATATCAGTCATTACACACCAGAACATAGAAATAGAAAACATTAGATAGATTCTTAATATGCTCTCCAAAGAGAGAGGGACATGAATAGTTCTAATTGTGGTTGTATACAAGAGTTTGAAAGAGAAGGATGGGTCACCTTTAGAGTTCTTGGAGGATTTGGAAAACGTATGTTATTGCAACAAGACCAAGTAGCGAACACGTGTTTGATTTACAATTCACCGACCAATGATTTTTGACCCAATGACTCATCGAACATTGTCGTTGGTTTCAAATTTTCATTATCTTCTTCGTGTTCTCAGTACCACACAAAAGCACCATTAAATTGCTCTCGGAGCTTCGCCTTAAAAAGAAACCGACAATAATCGTCGAAGAAAAAATGAAAAAATTGTCCTAAAGTTTCGAAGTGACCTAAACAAGAAACATATTCATCTCGTTACGAATCATTTTGAATTTGTAAAGTGTAAAGAAACGCATTTCATGCTTTACGTAGTTTTACGGAAAATGAAAAGGTTTTTATGTAGTAGACGCTTGATGATCATCGGAATAATGACATCATTGATCATCATGACGGCCATCGGTTTGGTCACCTTGATCAGAGCTGATATTGAGAAGAACGACCCGAACAAACAAGACATCTTGGATCGTACCCGTTTGGAATTCAATACTATCACGAGCAATGATGAAGATATTCCCCAAACCGAAGATATTCCGATGCAAATCCCCACGGATGTTATTGAGGGCGATGATTCATCGTCCACAACCAGCAGCATCAATTCCTATCGATTCCATTGCGATCGAGATGCCATTTCAACGTCAGTGACTCTCTTTACCAATAACAGAGCGGGTGTGGAGAGAGTGTTCAAATTGACAAAGATGATCTCTTCACCGACCTCCAACAAGATACAAATCCAATTAACAGGACTTTCTCGACATGTGGATTTATCAAGCATTTCTGTGAGTGCAGTGATTCCACCAGTGAATGCCCCAGATTCAAAAGATGGCTCAAATGCTGTCAATACCATCGTTCCACTCTTTCTTAGAGACACACAATTTGAGCAAGAGGCCTATTCGAATTCAAATACAGTGAAAACTCAAAAGGAGGTATTGCAAGAGGAGTTGAAGCCAATCGACTCAAAACTATCAGACGTGGAACGACTAAAGAATATCATTTTACCACAAGTGAATGGCAAGTTTGAAAAGAAAGAATTTGAAGAGAAAATGCAAGCTTTGAATCAATTAGAAGAAATTGTCACAAGCCTCTCAAAACGAAAGAACGAAATTTTGAAAAAGATGGAACAACTGGACGATCAGCAAAAGTCAGAGAGCCATCTTCCATACATTTTCACTTTTAGCACAGCTCTTCCAAAGAATATCACCACGGAGACAGCAGAGATTATTGTGAAATATATTGTTGGCAAGGATAACGGTATGGATAACGAAGTGACGACGATGCATTACGTTCAACCACTCGTGAGTTGGACGCCCTATTACTCTCTTTATATCGACAGCAAGAGACAAACGGGTCGTCTTATTTTCATGGCAGATCTCCAACAGTACACTGGAGAGAATTGGACTAATGCCCAAATTATTCTCAACACCGATGCTTTGACAATGGCACCTTCTCTTCCAGAAGTTAGGGATTTGTTATTGAGTGACATTGGAATTAATCTGGACGAGCCCAGTGAACCACTTTACTCGTTTAAATCTTTTGCACCAATGAGCCGAATGGCCAATACCATGAATCAAGCCCAAGATAGTTCTGTACAGAGTGAGGTGGCTGCTGGTCAAGTCAATTTTGGCCAATTTCAAAATGTGGCACTTGTCAAACACAATCCTCTCCTCTCTAACTCGTTTATGTATTTCATTCGTGAACGCTTGACACTGTTGTCGCCGAGTGTTCCAAGTGAGGAGGAGAGAAACAAGATGACCACCGAATCAGGAAAAAGCAGCATGGTCAAAAAGGTTCTTATTGGACAAGTTATGCTCGCTGCCAAATGGTTCTACAAGGTAATTCCTCGACAATCGACCAAAGTTTACACAAGCATGCGCATTAAGAACAAGTCCAAGCTGATGCTTTTACCTGGCAATGTGGACATTTTCATTGACAGCATGTTGACCTCGCAAACCGCCATCGATAAGAACATCTTTCCTGAACAAACGTTTAATTTGGACACTGGAATTGATAAGATGGTCTCTGTATCAGTTATTGAGCAGAGTTCAAACCAGGACTTTTCTGGATGGTTCCAAAAAACCAAGATGGTCAACGAACTTTTCACAGTTCTTGTTGAGAATAAGAAGGACGTTCCAATTAACATCACTGTGATGGATGCCTTGCCTAAAATTATGAATCGACACAAGGACAGAAATTTGAAAGTACTTCTCACACAACCTAAACTCGATGGAAAACCTGAAACTGATCTCTTTGACCTCTATGACATGTTAACATCTAACCCCAAGAGCAAGGAGTCGGCAAAATCTCAATCATCCCCTGATTCTTTGTATCTGGCCTTTAAAGATAGTGATGACGAAAACATGGTTGTGAAAATTAAGAAATTGAATCGTGTGATGGAGCGACAATTCATTCTTCAACCACATCAACAAAAGACCCTCTCCTTGGAATTTATTGTTTCGTACACGGGATAAGTGTGGACTACCGAACAACTACTTAGATACGATGCAACATGTTGATGTTCTTCCTTTTTCTATGAGACTTTAAATAGGCAACTGGCCATTGGGTGACATTTGTCATTGAGCATCATCCTCAATAAACACGACACACACTCATATGTTAGCCGAGTCGTTCATCCTTCTCGTCAAAGACCTCCAAACCTCCTTGACAGGTGTCCGACGCATCAACAGCATTTGAACGTTGTGAAATTGGGCGGCTTTCGTTCTGTGAATTTTGTGTTTTTAAAAAAATAACATATTGAGAGGTATGTGTTTGCCTTTCGTACAGGAATGGCATTGAAAGATAACGCTAACGCCGTGTTGAATAATAAAACAATGACTTGTTGAACCACCGGTGATGGATTGGCTGAAATGTGTGGTTGTTGTTGTTGTTTGGCCACCAACTCTCTTGTAATGAATGAACACTCGCGTATATGATGAACGTGTTCTCAATTTATTTTTCCGTTACTGTAACTTCAACATATTTCATGATGATAATGATGGTCCTGGTTTTTGGCTGTACTTACTATGAAACACCTTGTTGTTGATATTCCACTAAAATACTATTATTTGGTATGGTGCTTTCTTGTTCGGCCGAAATGTTCGCTCCTGTAAATATTCCCATAACTCTTTAATTATTGTTGTCTAATATGATGATGGCGTTACACCTCTATCATTACGATGATGATGAAATCCTCTCCCTTGCTCTCAAACAATATATTGTAGTAATACTAGTGCACTAGTACAACAACAACAATGCCTCTCCTTCTTATGGGACCACTCCGCGAGTTCTGCCAACTTGTCATGGCAGAACCAGCCAAGCTTTTGGATTTGAATTTCCTTGCCACTCAATACCATCAAAAGTTTAGACTAACTATGGACCAAACTTACCTCATGAAGAATTTTACCAATGCGCTGCCAATTTCTTCAGTGATTGTTTACTTGTTCATTGTTTTTGTTTTGCCAAAATTGTTGCCAGTCCCAGCTAAGGATGCAAAGAGACCAATCTTGAAGATGGTCATGTTCTTGTGGAATTTATTCTTGAGTGTTTTGAGTTTGGCCATGTTGTTGGGTGCTTCTGTTCCATGGTTTACTTATTTGAAGAATGATTACGCTTGGGATTTACCAGGTTTGATTTGTGAAGAGAAGCACGTGTTAGGTATGTTGTGTATTAGTTGTTCGGCTCATTATCTATAATTATTACTACTACGAACACAATGACGGGTCTGTCTGTTTCAATTGTGTTATATTGCTGCTTGTTTCTTTCACATTTTTGTGAACTGGTGTGATTTGATTTTTTTTGTTTGGATATCGTTATGTGTCATTATATTCCGACACTCATAATATGACGTTTATTTGGTTTTTGTCACATTGGTGTCTATCTCACAATGACGACACATCGTCTCACATGAACCGTGTCACAACAAAACAGGTCCTGAAGAAGGTCTCCCACACATTGTTTGGGCCTACATTTTCGCTCTTTCCAAGTACTTGGAACTCTTTGATACTGTCTTGTTGGTTATCAAGCACCCAGATCGTAAGGTTCCATTCTTGCACTGGTTCCACCATTTGACTGTTTTGCTCTTCACTTGGTATGCTGTCTACACTCAATATGCTGTCGGATACTGCTTTATTATTATGAACTCTTTGATTCACACCTTTATGTACTACTATTATGCATTGACTGAATTGGGTTATAGACCAAGTTGGAACTTTTTGTTGACCATCGGTCAAATTACTCAAATGATTTTGGGTATTGTTTTCAATTCCATCTTTGCTTACAAGTTCTTCAAGAATAGAGATGCTGGTGTGCCTGCAGAGAAGAATTGTCGTTGTGATGCTCCATACGAAATTATGTTGAGCTGTGTTGCCATGTATGGTGCTTATTTGTACTTGTTTGTTGACTTCTTTGTTAGAAAATACTTTGGTGCTCCAGCTGCCACTTCTGGAAAGAAGAAGAATGAGTAATCATAGTCGTCCACATGACCAAGATTTTGCAGTGTTGAGCTGTTGTTAATTGTTATTATTAATTTAAATAATAATAATAAATTTTCTAGAAAATTATTCATCATCATTAATACTTGATACGGACATGAGAACAAGTGTGCGCCAATATCGTTGACCGGTCAAAATCTAAAGGTCAGAAAATGCATCTTTGGGTTAACTTCAAAAACAGTAAGTACATTCGCCTGTTTTGGAACTCAGTTTTCAGCTTGTCTGACTGAGGTATAAAGCATGAGCCAACAACAACGAGAAGGTCATCATTCTCTCAAAAAAGTCCGCCTCTGATCAGAGAAATATGGGCTCTGCCCCCTCATCCCATCAACCTATCAACATCTCGGGAGGAGAAGCTTCAGGTGAATTGTCTTCTTCTTCCTTTTGTTGTCATCTTAATCATTCTGAAAAATTGCAAAATTTCGGTTCTGGCCTTGCACGAGAAGCACACACCTTTTCATCGGAAAGAACATTAAGACAAAAGAAGAATTATGATTTACATCATCAAACCATTCACGAGTCGTTTCTTCAGACTCATTCACGACCGAGACCATTGAAAACTTTCTCTTCTTTACCGAACGAAATTCAAGTGAATCGTTCGTATCCATCATCTTATCCTCTTAAAACCTGCCATCATGAAGAAGTCAATGTAAAACTCAAAGAACCTCAACAAGTACATCTAGACGTTAAACGTCCACATTCTCTCAGTTTGCCCTCATCTCCCGGTCTGTCCATACCGTCCGACAAACATGGACGATTTCTATCCCTATCTTCTCAACATGTAAATTCTTCTTCCACCTTGATCATGGTAAAGGAGCGAAGCAAGAATTCTTTGAACAATTCAACACCTCCTCCCGTTTCATTATCAACAGTATCTACAACCTCCCAACAACCCAAAGACTCCCCCAAAAACCAGTCGGACGATTCAAACTCAAAATCAGTAGTGCTTCCTCGTCCAACAAAACCACCCATATCGTATTTACACCCCAATTATGTTTCATCAGATTCCAATTCTTCTTTGCATCGAAAGACAGTGGTTAGCAACCATTTACCTCAATTACGTCAACGCAGACGAGAAGGTCCTTTATGGCAGGAATGTGCCTCTGCTACCGCTTCACATGTGAATACCTTAAACTCTTCCTCCACTCACCCATCTCAAACCTCTCATTCCTTGTCAAGATCAAGTAATCAAGTAGCTTCGACTCGAATTCCAGACGATGTCAACCCACGTTCTTTTTCGCAGTTCAAAACATTTCACAATGATTCACAACCTTTGCAAAACAGCGTTTCAGATTCCTCAATAGTGCAACAGCATCAAAAATCACACGCGGATCGAACAACACCCTGCACGACACCTCCACCAGAAGTAAATTTAGGTAATGATGAGTGTCGCATTACAGTCACAGCACCTACATTTCCCCCCAGCATGACACCGAAGCACCGCCTCCACAAGAAACATCATCACATTTCAAAGCGTTTATTTCAACTCCATACACGTCGACAGGAATTAATCAATGACCATCCAATTTATGCCCACTTCAAGAATTTCAAAGAGGAGTCTTTGTCTGAGCAATACGTGGACGAGTTCGAACAAGAGGTTAAACTGTAGTTGGCCGCCCATAAACTACTTCCTTTTTCGTCAAATTCCAAAGACTTCGACTAAACAAACCACAGGCAGTCGATTTACTAAGTACACATGAAACATGTGAACATGAGAGGTTCTTGTTGGTGTGCAGACACCACATTAGTGCCTTCGAAATAATAAATATTGACCGAGACTCTCTTTTCAAATAAGTCTCTCCGGAGAATGATATCTCATGAAGGAGGGGCGTGGAATATCGCGTTTGTTTCACAAAAAAACGTTCGAGACACACACTCACCTCTCGTGTGGTCGTGTGGTGCAACAGCAGTTTGAATGGGATCAAGTGCAAGCTCCTCCTTAATCAACAACAACAACGGGAAATCGCATCATGGAATTGGTGAATTTAACGACAATGATCCACATACCAACATCAGCCTCCACACTGGATCGACTCCTCAGACAAAACAAACACCTCTCTCCAACAAAAACAAGGAATCTTCGACTTCTTTCTCAGCTTTCTTACAAAAAAGAGTGTCCCCTGAAAAGCATCCGCAACAACTCAAACATTATGACGACCTTCACTCCTTGAATGTGGATGATGAGTCTGAATCAGATCAAAACAACCACATCTCTCACCACATCTCTCACCACCCTTCTCACCTTAAACCTATATGCACTAAAAGCAAATCATCCTCAACGTACCTTGCTCTAGAATCCACAAGTTCTGACTGGCGTAACCATTCTCCCCAGAGACAACGTTCAAACTCCATCGCACCACCACAACAACAATTCTCTCAAACGAATAAGAATGTATCCAGTCCAGTTAAAACTCAATCCTCAAAGAATGAAAATTTCGCACCTAAAAATGTCTGTAAGCATCACTCCAAAACGAAAACATCATCACTTCCAAAGAAGCAGAACAACATTGTCAATCAAAAAGACGAAGATGATCCACCCATTTCAGAGGTCATGGACAGTTTTCGAAAAATGAAACTCATCACATCCAAAACAAACGATTCCTCCTCTTCTTCATGCTCTCCCAATAAGGAATTATCTTTCAAGTATTTATTACAAAAGTCGAATAGCCAGTGTGAAGAGTTTTTCATTGTGGTGACTCCTCCGTAACCACTTGAACCGCTTCGAATTTGAATGAAAAAAAAGGTAAAAAACTAGTCCTTGAAAGGATGGTTAGGATGCCAGCCATCATTTTGAATGCTATACTTTCAGGATAATCCTTGATGATTTTCTTTTGGTAGAAGTTTGTGAATGATTCTAAATATGGATGTCGTTCTGTAATAATATAACACCTGAACTAAAAAATTTGAGTTTGAAAACATTGAAGATTACTTTTTTTCTTGATTCATTTCTCTATTATTTCTGAGAGCCCACTTTCCATTGTTTTTGAAGTTTTTCATACTCTGTGAATTCTGCTGCTCCAATTTCAAATTTTAGAACTCTCTGTCGAAATCAACCATAATTCTTCGTTTGTGTCGAATTGTAACTTGCCAAAAATTGGTCTTGAAATATTCGGCATTTTGATAAAATTGGTCCGAATAGGCGAGAAAATAGGAGGCTGAACTCCTCCTGTTCTGTCTTTTACTCCAAATTCTTTTCAGACATGTTTTGGTGCAAACGAACAAAATCCCACGACAGAAGAGGTGCATCACTTCTTTTATTGGACATGTGCACAATTAAAACACACACAAAAAAACATTCCAACTTACATGCTTCATTTGTTGTTCCTCATCCTTGTGAATGGGTTCCAGTGTAAGCTCCTTCTCCTCTCCCTTATTAACAACCAACAGGAAAATTCATCATGGAATTGCAATTCGCCAGGACTCGCAACCGTATAACGAACCAACCATGTTTCATCAGGCAGATGCCAAAAGTTCAATCCTTGGGAACACTCTCGTCCAACGATCGGGATCAAGGACGAAACAAATCCCTCTCTCGAATGTCCACAAGACCTCTTCGTTTTCTGAGTACTTGCAAAAAAGAGTGATCCCTGAAAAGGAGCAACAATTCAATCACGACATTCACTCTCCTGTTGTCGACAGTGATTCTGATTCAGAACCAATCAACCACAGTCCACCCTCTCCCAATACCTCCAATCACCTGAAATACATGACTCAAAGAAAATCTTCTCCCTCAACGTTTTCTTGGTCTCCTGAATCTTCGAATGGATTCGATTGGAACACTCATTCTCCCCAAAGACAACGTTCATTCCCATTCCTACAACAACCATTCACCATTAAAACGAAAAAGAATACATCCTCTCTTGTTCACACTCAATCCTCCAAATATGACATTCAACAAAGAGGTCCAAATAATAATAATGAAAGAAAATTCCTCTCCCAAACAAAAAGATCAGTTCCCAATCAAAAGAGCCATCAAGAAGAAGACGACGAAAATGATCAACTCATCTCACAATTTATTGACAGTTTTCGATTGAGAAAGGCTAAAAACATCACTCCCAAAACAAACGATCTTTCTCCGCACCCACTCCACAAGAGACTCTCTTTCAAGTATTTATTACAAAACTCGAGTAGTGATCGAAGAGAAGAATTTTTCATTGTGGTGACTCCTCCTTTATTTCCTTAAATTAACGGTAATAATCGGTAATAATCGATTTACATGACTGTAAAAGACTTGATGGAACAAGAAAGTAGGCCTTTCAAATAATTTTAATGCAGCTGCCAAAAGTCAAGGGTTTGTACTTGATTGTTTCAGTTTCTTACAAATCTTCCTTCTCTTTGCACAGATTATCTTTTATGCGAACTTTTCACACAGTCTTTTGTGAATTTGAACTTCTTAAGGCACTTCCTTATTTGATGTATTTGGATAGGACTCATATTTTCGAGAGACCTCTGAGCAGTAAGGTAAAGAGTAAGACAATTTGACAGTTTGTTGATTTAGTTCGAGAAGAAAAAGCAACAAGCAAATGCAAAGTAAATGTTGTGTTTTTAGCTTCAATTTTCAAATAAGGAATTAAAGTAGTCCAGTTCTTGGAATGCATTGGCTCTTCATCAACAACATGGAAAACATTTTGAAAGTATTTCAGAAATTGGAGAAAAGGAAATTCAAACCCGTCATCCAACAGCACTTATCTCTTTTTCGTTCCTTTACCCTCGAAGATGATGAGATGTCTATTTAAGGAAACTTGAATGTTTTCAATATTTGGTTCAAAATACAGAACCCTGTCCAAAAATGATCATTTCAATGTTCATTGATTCCCAGTTCAATAATTTGTATTCTCTTATGGTTTTTGTTAAAGCCGACAATAAAGGCGCTTTACCTGAATTCAAGAAATTTCGGTATTTCCATTCGATAATGGCACCCTTGTCACATCATTGTCAAATTCTCGGTTTTCTTGTTGTTTATGAAAAGACACAATTAGTTGGATCACAGAAGAGGATTCTTTCGAATATGTCGGCGAAGTGTCATACTTTAAAAGGTGTAATCGCGTTCCGCAGTTCACTTCAGAGAATTTTTGGTTCAAACGAACAAAAAACCAAAAACGCGTCACATCCTTATACCAGAAGAGGTGCATCACTTCTTGTATTGGATAGGTGCTTGGGTGTTTGTTGAACCGGGAACACATGTGCAAAAAAACACAAACAGTCCAACTCACACTTTCCTTGTGTTGTGTGCTTCTCATCCTCTTGTGAATGGGTTCTTGTGTAAGCTCCATTTCCTTAACCACCACACACAGGAAAACTTGCGACAACTCGCAATGTTCAAACAAACCATTCCTATTGCTTCATACAGATGCCAAAAGTTCAATCATTGGGAACACACTCGTCCATCATCATGATAGCTTCACCTCTCTTCTGAGAGGGAGGAAACGAATTCCTCTCTTGAATGGCCACAAGACTTGTTCGTTTTCTGCCTACTTGCAACAAAGAGTGTTCCCTCCTGAAAGAGACCGACACCAGCTTATTCACTCTTCGTTTGTCGATGGTGATTCTGATTCAGAACCAAAGAATCACCACCATCAAACTTCTCACAACTTTAATCACCTGAAGTATATCACTAAAAGAAAATCTTCTCCCTCCACATACTTGTCGACTCTGGAATCCAATCGATCCGATTGGTATGATCATTCTCCCCAAAGACAACGTTCATACTCCTTCCACATTCGACAACATTTCACAATTAAAACGAAAAAGAATTCACCCTCTCTTGTTCACAATCCATTCTCAAAGAATAATATTGACAACATTGCACCAAGTAAAAAAGTCAGGAAGGGACACCCCAAAACAACAAGATCACTCCCAAAGCAGAAAAACCATTGGGTCCATCAAGAAGAAGAAGACGACGACGAAAATGATCAACTCATCTCACAAGTTATTGACAGTTTTCGATTGAGAAAGGCAAAACATATCACTCCCAAAACAAGTGATTCTTCTTCGGGGCACTCTCTCAGCAAGAGACTCTCTTTCAAGTATTTATTACAAAACTCGAGTAGTGATCGAAGAGAAGAATTTTTCATTGTGGTGACTCCTCCTCCACCTGTTGGCCTTACTTAACATGGTATATAGGATATGATTGACTTGTATTGGTCACTCAAATGCCATTCAAACACCTCACCAATGCGGAATAAGAAAGCCTGCATGGATTGTTATGAACATGTAATATCCAATGTAATTCAAACGTAAAAATGAAGAACCTGAATGAAAGAAATGTTCGGATCGAACAATTCCGGAGTCTTCGTAACATATTGTTGAAATGGACCTCATTCAAGAGATTACCAATAGACAGATCCAATAAATGTATGTCCGTTACTTTGAGCTACTTCTCTCCAAACACCTTTTTTTCGTAGTTAGGCTGCAAATTACTCCTTTTATCAATGAGAAAACCAATCTTACCAATTATATAATTCATGATGTCAAGAGTGGAGGGCTCACTACAAAACAGTAACGAGAGGTAGATATTGTTCTGAGGGTGAAGGAAAAAATTTCAGTCGCCTGACGTCTAACAAAAATATTTGGAGTTGCCGGGTATCGATCCCGGTACCTCTCCCATGCTAAGGGAACGATCTACCATGTGATCTACAACCCCATTACGTTGGTTCAATTTCTCTCATATTTAAATCTAATCATTACTGTTACAAACTCCTAACCAGGTTCTGCGAGATTGACACCCCCAAGGTCTTTTTGAAGGAACAGAAGTGGAGAGGTAAATGTGCGTGGTTATTGAAACTCAAAATAGTCAAAATGAACTCCTAAGTTACAACCCAACGAAAGCACCATCAAATTTTCCTTAATTGAAACTCAAGAACTTCTTTTCGAAAAGAACTTTCCGTCCTTATTAGTCAAGCAGCCAAAGTCAAAAATGACCGTTTCTCCCAAAACTCTCGAAACAACCACATCCAATATCGAAAAATGGGCTCTGCAGCTTCTTCTTCCTCAAGTACCTTTACTTCTTTATCGAATTGCTCAAGTTTGTCCCATCCTTCATTGTGTATAGGAGAGTCAAGGGTGAAAGAAGGAAATTCTTTCTTTCAGGCATCAAATATTCATCCGAACGTTTTCATGCAGAGAAACTTGGATGAATGCTGCAACTTGGAAGATCATCAGAGTCATCATCATTCACCCTCAAAGAATACAATCGAAAAAAACATCAGCTCGCATCATGCTCATCATCCATTCTCCACTTCTGTCCTCTCTATATGTTTAGAACGAAGGACACACACGAATCGACTGCATCCCGAACAACAAGAAATGAAACATCTTCATGTTCCCACACCTGTGAAAGATCTATACAACACCAAGTCCTTGTTTAAGGATCAGAAACCTGCTCTTATCCAAACAGAATTAAGAAAAAACAATTGTTCAACAAACAAGGAATACTTTTGCAAGATTAACTCTTTCAGAAAGTTAAATTGTTCTAATTCTCTTGAACAAGACTCGCATTCAAATTGTAAAACATCCAAAAAGGGTCGTTCTCTTTCTGAAGGTTCTTGTCCTTCACCAAAAGAAGAATTTCATCCAAATCCTCACAAAGATCATTGTGAAAAGAAAAGACATGGTGGAAAACTATCTTCATCAACATTGTCATCTTCTGATGTTCAAATTGAAATAACTGAACCGACTTTTGAACCAGCCATTCTCTCTCCTTTTTCAATCAATGTGGAGGAGGAAAGAAAGGAAAAGAAGAGAATTCTCAGAGACTCGAAGAAAAACTCAATATACGGAGAGCTGTAAATATCCCTTGAGGGCTTGTCTCCTCAAAACAGAGATGGTGTTTTGGAATTAGAGATTGAACTGAACTCTGGAATCTCCAAGGTTGAGTTCTGCCTCTTTCCGTATTAAGGTTGTGTCAAGGTTCCTTAAAGTCTCAATTAAGAAATACTGAGTCCATTACTCCCACTCTTGTTCCCAATCACACGCAGCTCATCACCATCAGATGTAGCACATACAAGAAAATGGGTTCGAGCGTATCCATGTCTTCGGCATCTGCTCGAATTCCTGCCATGAATGAACACTCGATCCATCGTGAATATGATCAAAAACGACGACGTGGCCATCTTTCTCCCCATCACCATTCTCATTCCATCACTTATTCAGGTGAAACATGTTCCTCCCATCGACCATTCTCAACTCCCATTTCAAACACTTGTAAATCTCTTTCAACCTCACCTCATGAATTGGGTGAGAAATGTTCCAATACAAAATCACCATTCACTTCATCATCATCATCACCAACGGCTATTGTTCTCCATAACATTCCTACCAAGACAAAACGTCGAAGATCTCTCCATCCTCGAGCGATTCATTCTCTTCCGAAATTCGAAGACAAGTTGTTGTTCCATCAGAATCCACAGCCACCTCCACGAAAACATCACTCTCTACCTTATCCAACAACAACAACAACAACCAAAACCAAACACAAGGATCCACTCTCCCTCTCGAGAGGATTTGGACATGCATCGAGATCCGGCGAAGAGGATCTTACGTTGGTCCGTCCCATGTCCATGAAGAATCATCCTTTGAAATCCCTTAAAGGAACACCCCTTGCACGTGCCAAACAATCCCACCACTCGACCATCACTTCAAAATCACAAAGTAAATCCTCTCTCTCCATCTCAGCAACAACCTCTTCATCTTCCAGCAGCTCTTTGTTCACCACAGAATCCATCACCTCTTCTTCCAGTTCTTCTCTCTTCTCTTATCTAAAGTTGAAGGACAATGATGATGACCTATCTAGTTCGGACGATGATGACTCGATCACTTCCGACGACGAAAAGTCCACCAATTTCAATGTTTCCTTCTCCTCTCTCAAAAAGATGTTGTCCAATGATTTGAGAAGGGCGGCCTCCTCCCTCCGATCGAAATCATCCTCTCCTTTGAAAGGTCTTGATGCATTATTTCCACACCATTTACCTCCTCCTCTCGATGCGACATCTCCAAACTCATCCCATTCAAGAAGAAGAAGTGCAAGTTCTTCAACTTCATGGCTGCCGCCGTTTGTAGGTCTTGGAAATTCTGAATGTAAAATTATTGTCACTCCACCTCCCTCGAATGACTCTCCTATTCCTTTCCACACGACTGCCACGGCAACAATAATGGAAACAGGAAAAATCAAAACCATTGAAGAAGAACGACAAGCAAGAAAGAAGTTACTGCTCGCAAAGAGAAGGACCTTGTATTATATACAGTGTTTACACAAGACCAAAGAAGGCTTTTGGTAATTATCTCTCATTCTTTAACATGACGTAAATGAAGAGACAGCTTACCTTCTATATAACCATGTGTTGCCCTTTCTGTAATTCAGTAATTCATGGTTAAAGGCCACCACATTTTAAAATCTCCATGAACAGATCAAACGCTCCAAAGCAACAAAGATAGAAAGATCTCCTAAATATCCCGATCCGTTTTGAATTCGCGAATCGTAAAGGGCAGTAAAGAGCGATTTCAAAGGAAAACAAATACACAAAAAGAAGAAGAAAATGGGTTCAGGTGTTTCTACGGCTCGTTTGCCAGCCATGAGTGATTTTCATCATCCTTCATCCCATCCAACCTTCCCACAACACATCATGGAAGCATCTGCAAACAATTCTTCTCACAATGGAGTGATCGACCTTTCCCTGCACAGGCCAACAACCTCTCAGACACAACGTGGTGGCAATGTTCAGCACCATCATCTCCATCTCCATCATCATTACAATCATGAAAATTGTTTTTCCAAACTCTCTCCATCTTCCAACATTCCACATCTTGCACCTCTACATGCAACAACCAAGAAAAATCATTCCCATTCGAAGAGGATCCACTCTCCTCCTGTTTCTCGAGTCGATGTTTCAACCAAGACGAAACACACCTGTAACGATCACCTATCCCCCACTCAAGAGGTCCATAGGTCGAAAAGTTTTTCTTCTTCTCCCATTTGTAAATTTCAATTCACAAGAAAGATCCATTCCTTTCCTTCTTCTCCAACAACACAAAGGAACAAATCTCCTTTGGAAACCACTCGACAATTGGTCTCTCAAATCGAAGAGGATGAAGACATGACTGTTGTGGAAGATGACACGCCGTGGATGCTTGCATGTCGACTTGACTTTTTTTCACATGAAAACAAGGATTCCATTGATCTTTCAACAAAATTCAAGTTAAAGTTGTAATATATGAACATCTCAAAGAATTCGAGAAGTGTGTGTAATGTATAATACTGTACAATAACTTCAGTTCCATGGAACATAAGGGGCAATGGTTGGGATGAGTTCATTCTTGTATCCCCTCTCCAAAATGATGTGATCAAAAGACTTCAAGAAAATCTGTAAAATACTATGACAAGAAAATAACATACATGTCACTAATCAATTATTCGAGACATTTCGTCTTCAAAAGTATTTCCATCTCTATGTCTGCAAAACTCTTTTTCAGAACCAAAATCAAAATTGAAATGACAAGCTGGATATGGATAAGTGTATTATAATAATAATAATTAAAAATGATCTAAAACTTCACATAGTTAGCACAGATTAATAGGAACTATTATGGAAATTCAGGAGAAATCAAAATGCCGAACGTTTTTTCTTATTTTAACTACAGGGTATAGCACAACCTTAGAGAGACCTCCAGAAATGTTTGAATTCGCACTCCTCTCTTCCCTAATATCTTCCCTAATATTCAACCGAAGAAAATGGGAGCAAGTGTTTCCCTGAACATGGTCACCTCTTCTCACATTCCGGCCATGAATGAATCAGAAGCAAATCATCTCCTTCACAGCCACCATCATGACCACCACTCCATGATCAATCGTTCCTTTCCATCTCATCAAGAATTTAATGGTTTCACAACCACCATGGCCTCCACAAGAAATGGTCGAAGTCATTCATTACCTTGTCCGCCTCAATCACGCTTGTTCCACATGTCCTCTTCTTTTTCTTCACATCCTTGTGAGAGTTGCAAACCTTCTCATCATCATGACTACTATTTGCATGTTTCCTCCTCAAAACAAAAGGAAACTCTTTCAAATGCTGAAAGCTTTCAAGATGAATTTAGTAATTATGAACAACCACAACAGCAAGTTTCCTTTTCCTCCATTAAAAAGATGTTATTGAAGAAGGACGTCATAGAACGAACTCCACTTCGATCCGAACCTTTGTTCAATATAAAGAACCACACTAGTGCAACCTTAACAGCACCAAGACAGAATTCTTCCACACCCAAAAAAACAATGCACTCTCTTGTCGATCACCACTCGTCGGGTTGTGAATATAAAATCTTGGTCACACAGAGTGATGACGACAAGGAATACTCCCCACTGATGAATCTCAATAACAGAAGAAGAATTTCCATCGAAGAGGAACGAAAGGAACTCAAAAAGAAGATTCATCTCAAAAAATCCACATTGCACTATATGTACAGTTATAGAAATGAGTGAACGATGGCGATTTCAATACTATTGTGCGGTCGTGGTATTCAATGAATGACGGCGATTTGAGGGACAAACAGTTCTGATCGAGGAAAAGTTTTTCGTTTCTTCAACGACTCGAATGCTGACATCATCTCGATCAGAACTACCATGTAAAGAGTTGGATTGTGATTTCTGGACTTGGGAGTTTCACTAAAATATTGTGAACAATTTCCAATAAATGTGTAGCTTCTCTAATGTGGGGATTATTGAACAACCTTTCACTTCTAAATTGGAATTTTTTTATATAATTTTAATTTTAAAAAAAAATTCTGCATGATTCATTGGCCAAACATTTTGGCATCACTTCGCAAAGTCTAGTAGGTGGAGTGCTTTTTTTATTTTCTTGAAGAAACATCATCATCGGGTTTTATCAATTTTGTATGCTTGTGTTTATGTCCATCATCGATGATGATGATTTTTAAATGGATCCTGAATTTGAATGACCATGCCTGTCTGCCTAATCGGAAAATGAACATTTTAAAAATCCAACTCGCATCATCATTTCCATTATTATTTACAAATATTGATGAACAATATGTTTATTTGTTTTAAACTCTTTATTCATTCATCATCACCACAGCAATCAATATATTCAAAAGAATCCCCGATTTACCAGAATCATGAATATTTTATGGTACGCCGTGATGATTATTGGGCTACTGCCTCTCTTGCTAGTAATTTTCAAAAGAAAAGATCCATCTGAAGATTCACAACGAAATACAGGACAATCCACGCAACAACAACAGAATCGATTTGGTTCATCGAGCAGTGCTGGTAAATCATCGGGGTTATTTGGAAAAGTCTGCCTCAATGCAAAGGCTTTCTTGTTGGATCAAGAATTGTACGAAAATAATTCATCGTCGAAAATTCAACGAGAGGAAAACATTATGGAAATTACATCATCGACCACAACGCCGGAGAATGATTATGCTAATGATGAGCGTATGAAATATCTAAAAAAGTTGGCCAATGATTGTGACGTTTATATTATTGTACAAGTCGCATCAGATGAGGAACAAAATTACTATCAAGATTTGTTGGAGAGCAAGTATGGATTTTTCAACCCTGTGAAAATTCTATTTTGTGAAACAGTGAAAGGAAAAATTGCATTTTCACGTCAAATTAATCCACAACTTGTCATTGAAGTTGACAAGGAGACAACACGAGAATTGAAGCGATTCTATGAGGGCGTTTGCATGGTTCAAAAGAATGCCAAAAACACCAAGAATGAGCACGACATTTTGGAATTTTCAAACTTTTTGGATCTGATGAAGTATTTGACAAAGGCTTAATTTATGGTAATGTTTGCAATTATTACCATGGTCTTCTGTGAGAACATTCGTGATTAGTATTTTTAATTCAAGAGCAATTTTTCCACAGACACTTCCACCATCATTTCTAATCACATCCTATAGGATCACGTGTTTGTTAATAACACCACACCCGAACATTGTAGTCGTATTTATTGTCATATCAATTGTTGTTGATTTCATGCAACCTCATTTCTTTCATTGTTGAGAAGGTTGATTACCACCCACAATATTATCCTTCCATTCAGAGACCTTGTTGACAACCTTGTCCTTGATATTCTTGACAGTGTCTTTGACAGATTCTGCCTTGTCCTTGACCTTCTCCTGTGCTTCATCCAAATAGGCCTCAGAATATCCTTTCGCTTCATAGTACTTGTCCTTTCCTGACTCGAACAAATTGCCTGCCTTATCTTTGAGATTTTCTTTGGCTTCAGAGGCTTCATTCTTGATATCTTGTGAAAAGAGATTGCTTGCCTTATCTTTAATGGTTTCCTTTACATCGTAGGCAGCATCTTTCACTTGATCCTTCACATCCTTGGCCTTATTGAAAAGACTTTCCCCAGTGGAGGGAGTAGATCCTGCTGCAAAGGTAGTATCGTCATAGCCCGAAGTCCAATTATCGGAGGAAGTCGAGACATTCTTCTTGACTTGTTCCTTCGTGTCATTCCATTGATCTTTGACTTTTTCTTTTGTGTCACTCCACTGATCTTTAACTTGTTCCTTCGTGTCCTTCCACTGACTTTTGGCTTGATCTTTCGTTTCACTCCATTGATCCTTATTGGATGAACCTTTCCATCCCTGCTGATTGTCCTTATCAATTCCAAGAGCTTTGTCAGTAGCTTCTTTCGTGGTGTATAAATCTTGTCCCTTAATTTCATTGTCGAATCCATAAAATCCACTTGGATCTTTATCAATGGATTTACCCACATTGGGACTTGGAATATCTGCAGTGCTGGATCCAGCCACATACGAACCAGGCGAGTAGGATCCCATTGGATTCTTGTTTGCCATCTTTTCCGTGGTATTCACATTTGGAATTGGATTGGATGTGTCAAAGAAGGAACTCTCAGTTTCCTTATCTTTTCGAATTGCAGTTGCAGATTTATCAGGCGATGACAAATCTATCTTGGAAGGGTTAAATTGTTGGTCCTTTTGTTGAGAGGAGGAACCACTCGTAGTAGAAGAAGTATTCACATTCTTGTTGCCTTTGTCATACAAATCACCAATGACCTGATTCATAGCATTCGAACTAAACATCATGGCTGCAGCACGATTGTTTGGATGAAAGCAAGCAGTGCTATTGCGAGAATGGCACCATTGTTGGACGAGTCGAGTGGTGGTTCTTTTCATGGCGTTGGTGATGATTCGAAGGAGATGAAAAGTGTTGGAAATTTTGTTTTGTCTTCGAATCGAGGGTGTGTGGAGGTTAAATTTTGTAAAAACCTTGTGTGGAATGGAACAACAAGAGAGGATGATGGATCAGAATGGTGAAAATCTAAATCAGATCTAGAAGTGAAGAATGAATTCCATTTGAGTTTTGTTGAAGTGATTCCAAAATACGAGTTTTTCCGGATATGGAAAGTTTCATGTTCTCGGACTTTCGGATCTACAGTGGAGTCCACAAATACATCCACATTATTTTTCAGAATGTCAACACAACTTCCAGAGCAATAAATCGAATGGTATTGAAATTGACCATGTTTTTCTTCCAGAATTATAATCTTTCCTTGCTGTCGTTTCGAATTGACATAGGTCATTCAAATGATCTATTAGATATCTGCATCTAATCCACCAAACATTTCCTCCTGCATTCGCTTCATTTTCTTTAACTCTTTTTGTTCCTTCTTTTCTTCTTTTTTTCGTTTCTTTTCTTCTTTGCGTTGTCGTTTTTCTTCCTTACTAAGTTTTTGCTTTTCTTTAAGGGTTTTGTCACCACCACTCGAAGTACCAGCTGCTTCCTCTTGCGTTCTACCGGGTGGTGTTGAAAGTTCTGATTTTTTAATATCCTCTTCTTCCTTTTCCTCCTCAGATTGATAATTAGGATTTTCCTCATATAACGTTTGCATGAGATACTTGTGAGTCCAATTTGGATCACGTTTCTTCATGGCATCATGATCAATAGTCCAATCCATGCTTTGTCTCTGTTCCATTGTGGTTGAGATGGTTCCCAAACTCTGAAGCGGCCTCTTGTAAATAATTCCATCCTTTTCCATATTTTCAAACAATTTCGGTTTGAGTTGCTCTTTTTGTTCTCTCTGATATCTTGAATTTCGTCCATGTTGTGAGTCTTTTTTATTCTCGTCAGCAGGATCCTCCACAATTTTCTTGTAATAATTCGGAGCATGATCCACACAAATAATTCTACTCCCCAACTCAATTCCATTCAAATTATCAATAGCCAATATTGTTGATCGGATATCTTCATAGGCAATAAAACAAAATCCTTTACTCGTTAATTCATTTTCATCTCGAACCAAATCAATATCCACAATTTCTCCATATTGAGAAAATACAGAAAGTAAATCTCCTTCGGTGAGTCGATAATCCAAACCTCCGACATAAATATAAGCTGTTTTGTTTTTTTCTTGTTGATGCCACGAAGAGGGAGTGTTGGTATATCCGAGAGCAAGTTCTTTCTGATTGAGTTCGTTGATTTGTTTGGCTCGTTTCATTTTTTTTTGATTGATTGAACGTGTCATGAATCTTGAGAACCTCAATTGACGTCAATTTCATTGATTTAAATTCTGAGGATCCAATTAGCAGGTCTTCTTTGCAAAATATATAACCGAAATGATGTCGACATTAAAGTCTCAGTAAAATTGAATGAGCAAAAGAGAATTTTGTATATTGCTTAGTGTGAATAGGTGGAATTCAGTCTTTCGAAAAAGGTTGGGAATATTGTTGGAAATTCTAGATATTATTATTGGGTAAATACAGTTTGTTTGTTAAATAAATCGAGAGTGAGAGAGCTCAAAAATCCTGGAATGGATCGAAATTGTGAAAGATATTTCATAATTTTCTCATCGATGGAGCATGCAAATTCTGAGGAGAGTAATTTCATGGCATTTCCGTCACTCTCAAAAAGAAGATAATCTTCTGGTGATTCTGCATACATGCTGCTTAATCTGAATCGATTGGTCTCCATCACGTCCACTCTAAATCCGAAAAGTAAATAGACAGATTTTCTAAATTCGTTAATTTTCTTTTGGAAAACTTCTTTAAGTTTGGTAATTCGACGTTGTGCATCAGCGTTCTCTTCTTTGAGCTTGATGATTTCCTGTTCGTTGATAGTGGCGCCTCCTGAACGTTCTAATTGTTGTCTCAGTGTCTCTAATTCATCATGCAAGAGTTTGTTCTCAGTTTTAAGTCTTTCCACATCATTGGAGCTAGATTTCTTTGCCTCAGTTTCTGGATTGATTTTCATGTGAAGAATTTTGATCTTTTCCTTATTATACTCTCCACGACCTAGTTTTTGTTCGTAAAGAGCAATCTCATGTTCCATTTCATCACGGAGCTTTTGCAACTTTTCTACTTGCTGCTGAAGATCCTCTGATTTTTGTTTGTACTCATTGTGTTTGGTGTTGACACGATCAAATTCTTTTTCTAGAGTTTCCAATGAGGTTTGCTTGTCGGTAACAGTGAGCTGTAGAGATTCCATTTTGTCTGTCAATGTCTTTATAATGGAATCTTTTTCTTCAATAATTTGTTCGAGAGAAGTAATTCGTTGCAGGTAATACGAATTCTTGTCGTCTTCTGTAGAGAATGCCTCCTCCTTGTCGTTGATATGTGCAAATTTGGTGGCACTTTCTAATTGCTTTTTCGCTCCGAATAACTTCACTTCAGCATTCGTTAATTTATCTTGCATAATTGAATTTTCGCTCCTTAATTGTGTAATTTCGCTCTCTCGGAATGTGATTTCATTTGTTAATCGTTGGACATGTTGCGATAAGTCATTCTTTTCGGTAAGCAAGTCCTGAATGCGTTCCTCCAGCCGCGAGCACTTGGAATTAAATGTTTTGAGTTTGTAATCAACATCTGCTGGAGTACAGTCGACAAAAGTTTGTTCCCACCTCTTGAGAAGCGACTCCAATTCGAGAGTTTTTGTATTCAATTTCTCATTTTGTACATTTAAAGTTTCAATAGCCATTAATTGTGATTCCAAATCTCGAATTTTCTCTTTGAGTAATTCTTGAGACTCTAAAGATAATTGGGCTTTTTGGAGTTCAGTTTCTAATTCACGAATTCTTCTCTTTTCGTCATTTCGTTGTGCAATCTCGTTACGCAAGTTCTTAATTTCAGTTTCCAATGTATTGAGCTCTTCAAGCTTTTTATCTTGTTGGGAAATTTTGAAAACAAGAGTCTCGTGTTTTTGTGATAACATATCGTACTCGACCTGTTGTGACTGAGATTTTTGAATTGCTTCAGATCTTGATTTTTGCATCTCCTCAATTTGCTTTTGTAATGTCATATTTTGACGCTCAAGATTATCGATTTGCAAGTCTTTCTGAACAATTTCACTCTTAAATGCTTCTACTGTTTTATCAATTTCCAAGAGTTTTCCTTCAATTTCGGCAAGCATCAAGTCTTTTTGGGAGCTTATAGTTTGTTGCAATTCTTGGATGGTTTTGTGTTGTTCTGAAACTTTCTCATGTAATTTTGTAATTTCTTCATTCTTGTTGTGTGATTCGAGTTCCGCCACATTGAGTAATTCCTCATATTGTTTCTTGTAAAGCTCGGTTTGGTTTCGTAAATGTGAATTCTCTCTCTCCAATTTGTCTACAATTACTTTCATTTCTCTAATCTTCTTTCGATCATTTTCAGATTCATTGTTCAATTGATCAATAATTTCGTCACGCTCCCTAATACTGATATTGAGAGCAGAAGTGTTAGTGACATCAAAAGAGCTCAAGTTCATGTCGGCTCCACGTGACGGTATTGTATATTTCAAAAGTGGAGATTGTGAGATGCGACTGGAGGCAAAATCTTGATTTCTTTCCACAGAGTGTTTTATCGGTGACAATTGCATTGGATTACTCTCCAAGTATGCATTTTGAACTCTACTTTTTCTATCTCTAGATCTACCTGTATAAAGTCCAGCTTCGAGAAGGTGTGGTGACGCGGGTTTTTCTTCCGCATCATTCACGTGGTCACTGAATAAAATATTTTCAGCATGGTCATTTTCAGATCCAAAAGCCACTGGGGGTGGAGAGATGTTGAGGGAAGAGTGGCTGGTATCAAGGTGATCTTGATTGGTTACTTCTCGGTCTTGATTCGTCATAACCGTTGTTTGAGAACCATTCTCAAGTGTAGCATTTAGGGATGTTGTCATTTTTCGTTTTTTAAGGGGTGAAACAAATTTGTCTGGCCTAGTTGATGGTGATGTTGATGATGATAAATATTGTTGTTGTGTAGGAGGTATTTTCTCGTTAATAATTTCTTCGTCCTCAGTATCGTCACCAAATAAATACTTTTCCTTCTCATTGGCATATCCTTCTTCATTAAAAGTAGCAGATGTTGCTTGATTTTCTGTTGATGAAGAGCCTACATTTGCTTCAGAATCGTCAAATACAGTGAATAAACTCTTGGCTAAGGGTGTGGTGGTACAAATTAATACATTTTCAAAAATGTTCGATACATGATGATGGTAGCAAAAATACAAATTAGCAAATCGAATCATCAGATATACAAATGATCGCACAACACTTACCAATTTGACTTTTTTCTCTTTCTAGTGCCAAATGTACTATGTACATGATGTATAAAATTGTTTTCATTGGTTTCTGAAAAATTTCCTTCGGAAGGAATGGTGTGAAATGTATTATTTACATTTTGATGGTTCGATGATGAAACTTTGTCCTTGGCTGACGATGAAGATGACGAACCAGAAAATGATGACTCATTATTTTCATTATAAATACTAGAAATAGCTTTTCGAATTGAAGGGCTGAGCAATTGCGAAGCCATCGGAGATTGTAATACTTTTAAAGTTTGATTTTCTTCTCCACTATTTGCGTTGCTATTCATTGAGCTTACACGTGTTGTATTGTGATCTTGGTTGTTGGAGGTAGATGAAGAAGAAGCGAGACTCTTCGGCCGATAATTTGCGTGTGGATGACTCGAGCTTGTTAATGATGAATTATTGAACAGGCTGCTTGTATTCGTTGCAGCACTCGACGAAGGCTTTTGAGGTAACTGAATATTCCAATATTTATCAAAAGGATTTGTTTGATGATCCTCTTCTTCCTCATCATTGCCATGTTGTTGTTGTTGTTGAATGGATTCCGAAGAGAGAGTGTTGTTGCTATTTAATTCTTCATCGGCCGATTGAGAAGACAAAACTGCTCCGAAGGTTCTTGTTGGTCTTCCAGTGCTTCCGCCACTACTACCACTACTTGTACCACTTCCTTGTATTTGTTGTTGTTGTTGCTGTTGGAATAATCGTCTTTGATTGAGTGCTTGCATCACAGAAGGAGGAAGATTTTCGGTACGATCGGCATCTGATGAACTGAAAACCTTCGAAGAATTCGATCGGGAATTTAAAGTTGTGCCTAGCGGTGCTCCACTACGTGTTGTCTGTTGTTCCGAGTCCGTCAAAAGATTATTTCCGGCATCTTCCTGATGGTAATGACTTTCATCGTGGTTTTCTTCATCTTCAAATACAGTGAACATTTTTTTTGTTTAATTTGAAAAAAAAGGAAATGAAATTGTTACAACGATGATTATGGAGTATAAATTTGTATCGACATTAATACGGTCAATAATATGAATATATCACCATTTTTCTTGCTGCAATTTTGTGTGTCAAACAAAAAGAAACTGGTTAACTTCTTGTTTGGGTAAAAACATCCAAATTTTTCAGAGAATTGTAAATGGCAAACGAGAATGGGAACTCCTCTTCCACATGAATGTCCGTTCGCTCAATAGATGCCTCCACGCTTGGAACCAAACACAAATCTGCCAATGTCAACTTTCCATACTCTCTTATCGAATATAAAGTTGTTCCAGAGTTCACTAACTCTTTCACGATATGAATGGACTCGTATTGCTCTTTCAGAAGAAATTCAATATGTCGAAGGCCTTTTCGATGCCACTCTCCAATCCACTTTTTGTTTTGTTCACCACGAAGCTCTTTTGGAAGCATTCTTAATAATTGAATATTTTGCATGGGTTGAATTCCTGCGTTAATAATTTCACTTAATTGTCTCGTTTTAAATTCAAGAAATAGATCATGTTTGGGAATTAAATAATTATTATTCATACAAGGATTCTTGAGAGAGCACATTTGTACATTTGATGAGGCTTGACTTTCTTCCATCTTTGAAGTTTTCTCATGAATTAATTGTACAAGATGATCTAAAAACTCAACAATAGGGAGAGATTGAGTGAGTGTCATTGCATTGCTTGGCATGTATTGGCTGGCACCCTCCTCCTCCTCATGTTCATGAATCGGTTGAATCAACAAGGAAGGTACTTGTTTCATGGGATTAATCGTTGAATATGAACTTTCTTCATTGGCTTTTGCAAATAAATCCACATGAACCAAATGATTCTTTTTAAACTTTTGATACAATTGATGTTGATCAATTGAATTTAAATTCGATTGGTCTGAAATGTTATTATTATTATTATGATTATTCATCATCATGGAAGGATCATGCTCTTTGATCCGAACCCATCGGCTTAATATTGGCAAATGATGAAACAACGCCGCTCGGACTCTCCATGAACAAGTCGAGGGAGGAAAGGAGTACAATGTAAATTCGAAAAGAGGTTGGTGGTGATGATTACGAAGGAGGAGATTCATGTTTGGAAATTATTTTTTCGATTCTTGTTTGAACAAACCAATAAAGGAAATCATTGAATAAAATTTCACTGTGAATATTCAGACGAAATATTGATCCTGAACATGCGACGGTGATTGTTTGGCTTTTGTTGACCTTCTTTCAACTCAGTGAATGAGTCATTACAATGGTTCAAGTGTATGAATTCATTGATTAAAATCAGCCTTATTTCTCACCTGTCAAAGTTCAATTACGATAATCAAATATTTTAACCAACTTCATCAAAAAAAACGCGACCACCATCAACGAGGATGAAGCCCAACACCATCATCATCCTTCTGTTCTCTGCTCTTCTCCTCGCTCTCTTCACCACCACTCACGCTCTAACCGTCGCTGAACTTCGTCAACTCATTCAAGATCGTCGTTCCAGCGCTTCCGAATATGGATCTCAACGAACTCAACAACAACCTACCAAATCATTCGATGTCTTTGATGAGTTGGCAGATTCCTTGTTAAACATGAATGAAGATGAAATGGAAAACTCTGAAGAAAACTCCTTTTTCGAAAATTCAGTAGAAGAATCATCAAACATTGAACCCTTGTCAGATGCCATGTGGCCTGAAACAAGATGTACCAATGTCCAAGGAGCTCTCAACGTTCGTTCTTCACCATCACCAAGTGCCTCTATTGTGAAAACTTTGGGTCCTGAAACTCAGGTCACTGTCTATCAAGTGGCCAACGCTGCCGATGGATCCAAATGGGCTCGTGTTGGTAGTGGACAATGGGTTTCTGCCAAATTTTTGAAAATGTCATGTGCCAATTCACAACCAACAAAACCTCCTTCATCAACAAATTCTAACATGGATAATACCAAGAAGGCAGAGGAAGCATTGGCTCAAATCTTTGGATCCGAAGGTAAATGTCAAAACTGGGCCTTTGATTCTGGAAATTCATTCCAAGGTAAAATTGGATACACCTGTATGGGAGTCATACCTGCTGAATGTTGGAATAATCGAAATGGAATTTTTGCTCCATTGTTGGGTGGATTTAAGGGTCATCCTGCTGATTTCTGTAAATATGCCTATGATAGGAATCAAGTCGTGTACAAGCAATGTGCAGCTCAATTGTATACTCAAATCTATTTTGGACCAGGAGGTTGCAATCAATTACCAATGCCTGCTTTTTACGTGTGCGCAGATATTGCAGTGAATTCTGGAACTGGAAGATCAAAGCAATATATTAATGAATTGGGTGGATATCATGGACAAAATGCTAAACAATTTGCTCGTGCTTTGAATGAGAAACATAGGGCTGATTATAAGAGATGGGGATGTCCAACTTGTAAGAATAGAGGTAAGTGAATGCGAGTGGGAATTGTGACATTTGATCATTCTATTGTGGATGATGGTTGAATTGTGAAATGTGTGAAAATTTGTGAACATGTGAAAATTGAATCATGAAATTCAAAATCCATCTCGTAATTGTGTGAAATGTGTGAATTCGAATCACCTTACCTCACAAACAGTATTCTTGAAGGGATGGTTGGCAAGAGCTGATGCAAGAGATCGCTACATTGATAACTATTAAATCAAGTTGATTCGCACTCTTTTGGACATTGAAGAATGGAAAAGATGTATGATCGATCCTTTCATCTGTTATCAATTGTTGATGTTTCGATCTAAATCTATCAACATGAAATTAAAACAACCTGTCAACGCACTCTTCAATGTTTGAAAAAACAAAATTTGAAAAAAAAATTTGAAAAAAAATGTTCAAATCCGCATCCACAAAATCCGTTCGTCAAGTGTTGAAGAAGAGTCCACCAACATCAAGTTTGACGATTCCATCATCATCTTCGTTTGTTGTTAGAAATCATTACGTTTCAATCAATCCAACAACCGGAAAGGAATCCGAGAAGAAGTTTACAAGTTTGAGTAATGAACAATTGGAAGAGACGATTCAAGCAAGTTGGAAATCATTTGAGGCTTGGAACCCACAATTGTATGGTGGTAGGTAATTATTATTATATGTGTATCATGACGGAAATGAATTCGGAACATCTTCATTTGGAATCAATCATCGCAAATATTTTCATCATCCATTTATGATAATAATAATTCCGCAATACTTGATCTCCTAGTCAATCCAAAGGAACTCTCAGACCTCATCAGATGGCGTTGCGAATCCGTCATGAATCCTCTCGCTGAACTTTTTGATTCTAAAAAGAATGAATTGGCAAAATTGATGGCTTTGGATATGGGTAAACCACTCGCACAAGGAATTGCTGAGGCCGAGAAGTGTGTGCTGCTCATTCGATATTATGCAAAGAATGCCGAAAGTATTATGCGTGATAGAATTGTTACAGAGAATGAAAAGCACATCAGCAAGGTGGTTTATCAACCATTGGGACCAATTTTGCAATGTGCACCATTGTAAGTGTCCATGTGTGAAACGTTCGACTTCTTATTTTCTATGATTATTATTGTTGTTATTATTTATTCATTGACTGACTGATGAATTGGTTGAAATTTTTTGCAACCATTTTATGATGATGAACAAATTTATCTGGTGAAATATTTTGGAATTTTCCTTTTTTATGATATGATCCACCTTTAATTTGACGACCAAAACATTGTTCGGTTCACAAACACAATTAGTAATTTCCCATATTGGCAAGTGATTCGATTTTGCATTCCTGCAATGCTTGCTGGTAATACCGTTCTAATTCGTCACAATCATCAAGTTCCTCAATGTGCAGAATCTATTAATCATCTTTTCGCAGAAGCTCTTGATAAGGGGTACGTATGAATCGAAAAATTTTTTTCCATAACTAATTGATATATCTTTCAAATAATTGAATTGATGAATTCTTACTTCTGCATCACCATGTCACATTAACTGTGATAATTATGATGACTATCATTGTCCTTTTATTCCACTCACTCACAACAGTAATGCACCAAAAGAATTGAGAAAAATCTATCAAAATGTTTTTCTTGAGAATGAACAAGTGAGTACTGCGATTGCTCATCCAAAAGTCCGTGGAGTTGCTTTCACTGGAAGCACACAAGTGGGTAAAATTATTGCCACACAAGCAGCAGCAAACCTTAAAAAACATGTTTTGGAATTGGGTGGTGCTGATGCTTTTATTGTTCTCAAAGATGCCGATTTGGAACTTGCTGTCAAAAATGCTGTCACATCAAGAATTAACAATTGTGGACAAACATGTATTGCTGCTAAAAGATTTATTGTTGAGAAGGATGTTTTGCCCCAATTCGAAAAGATGCTTGTCGAGAGAGTGAACAAACTTGTTGTGGGAAATCCTCTTGAGAACGGTGTTGAAGTCGGACCAATGGCAAGAAAGGATCTTAGAGACAAGTTGGATGAACAAGTTCAACTCTGCAAACAACAAGGAGCTAAAGTGTTGACTGGAGGATTCAAATTGAAGGACAAGGAAGGATGGTTCTACGCACCAACTGTGTTGAGTGGTGTCACACCAGACAATTTTGCTTTCCAAAATGAACTTTTTGGCCCAGTTTTTGTAGTCATTGCTGCCGAGAATGCAGATCATGCCGTGAGTTTGGCAAACGATAGCATTTATGGACTTGGTGGAAGTGTGTACTCGAGGGATTGGAAGAAGGGAATGAAATATGCTGAAAAATTAGAATGTGGCCTAGCATTTGTGAATGGAATTGTAAGATCGAGTCCAGATCTTCCATTTGGAGGTGTCAAAGAGAGTGGATACGGACGAGAGTGTGGACCTGAGGGAATGTTGGAATGGTGCAATGTAAAGACCATGTCCATTGAAAAGTAATAAATCCAACCACAATTTTTTAAACAAGCATAACATTCAACTTCCATTCTTCAAGAATCAAACAATGAATCACAGATGCATGGTGTCATGACTCGTTAACCTGATCTATGCATGACTCAAGTGGGAAGACAAATCATGATGATATTTTGGGTTTTGCAATTTTTATTGCCTTAAAGGATCGTGCATGTTCGCGATTTGACTGGCTCTAAAACGGATTGTTTTTTTTGCCGAAATTGTTCTTTCACACTTTCCTCAAAATTTGGACCGGTGTAACCGAATTGTCCACATTCTTTGATGAATACTACAAATTGTTCTGCAGGGTCTAAATGTTGTGACGAAGATAGAGTTTCCGATTCCACTCTCCGAATGATGTCCAGTCCATTTGTAACATCTCCAATGACAATGTTCTTTCCATCTTGTTCTTTACATCGGTTCACACATATCATGAATTGCGACCCGTACGTCCTTGAATTCTCTAAATCACTGTTCACATTGACTAGAGAGACAGATCCTGCATGATGAATGTTCGATTGTGCAGAAAGTTCCTCAAACACTTTACCGAATATTGATTCATTTCCTTCTCCTTCTTTGAAAATGCATGGTTCGCTTGCGGACGGCGATGACAATTGATTTCCCAAATAGTTGTGACATTTCCACCAACCACATGAACCTGAGTATTCTATATCTCCACCTTGAATCAAGGTAGCTTGGACCGCTTTATGAATGGTTGAACCTTTGAAAGTGAGAGGGATGGATCGTGAGGAAAGACCTTTTTCTCCTGTACATAAGCATCGAAAGTTTTCTGCAGCCTTTGAAGCTAATTTCTTGTTAAGCTTAATTTCAACAGTTCCAATGTCCATGATATCTGAACGAGTTACTGCATCCTGTGAACACGAGTCAATATTCAAATACTTCTTGCGACTCATCTTGGCAAACGTCAAAAAGACGATAGGGAAGAGTTCATTTTCTGAATTGTCGTCGAGAAGCATGGCTCGATAACCTCCAACATCCAGTTCAAGAATGGAAGGCCTGTTTTGAATGCTATCATCGTCTTCTTCTGATGGTCCAACAATGATCGGCACAGATTGTTCTTGAGTAGAAGTATTGTTTGGATTTGTGTTGGAAGGAAATAGTTTCGGATACCTCGTTATGTCACAATTATGGGGCCACAATCTCCTGCACTCTCTTTCATATAAATCAATATATTCATGTTTCAACATGGAGTTTCGAACTTGAGTGTCTGTTGAACAAATATTAAGGGATGCATCTCGCAATATTTTCCTCCAAAACGACGACACGTTGCTTGCCCTAATTAAATCCTTATATCTGAGAAAAGAAAATATTTTGTACATGATCACAGAGTCATCTTTGATGCATGAAAGGCTTCCACTACAACCGTTCGAATGATGTGGCAAATTTCTCTTTCTTTGATTCGACGACGAAGAGAAGGAAGTCATTTGTTGAGAACGCGATGAAAAATCATGACTCTGGTGATGACTATTTGGAGAATGAACCGTGCCATGACCATGATGTCCAATAGTCAACACTCCTGCACTCAAACTCTCGTGAGAGGACCTCGTAGTCAAGGTTGAACTCAATTGCAGCGTATGGAGTTGGAGAGGAGATGAAGTTGACTTAACATCTCCCGAAGTCTCTCCATCGGAATCAGAGGGTGTGATGGGAGATGCTGATGTTGAACTTCTTCGTACAATAAGCACTCGACTTCCATTCTCATCATCATCGATACGAGGCCATTCATCTTCTGTTGCGTGTTGAGGATGATTTTCCTTATTTTCTTGGGTGGTATCTTCGGGAAGCTTTACGACTTCCTTCTTGATATTATCAATAATGAGGAGATCATCATCTCCATTAACGTATTGTTTTTGAGAGGAGGAACAAGTTGTTTCAGAGGGGATGGTACTCATCTTGTGTAATGTTCCTTACCAAACTGAGAGTTTTCAGTTGTTTCCCTTATAATCCAATAATAATAAATATTCAATATGAATACTTTCAAGAAATTCTCGTGAATGAGACTTTTGGCTTGAAATTCTCCCCGCGTAAAGTTGTAAATTTTTTTTAAAGTGATAACGAACTTCAACTCCTTGTGGCGATTCTTTTTTTAATAATTATGATGGATTTGAAACCTTCGAGAACATGTCTTGTTGCTGCTGCTCACCATGATGATGATGATGGTCGTTGAAGAGAGATGATGATCATGAGGACAGAACATGAAAGAGATGTGTGGAATAAAATTTAATAATAAATTACAAATCTAGTTGTGTTCTTAGTGTGGATGAACTTGTGTGTGATCATGTGTTGACATGATGAGAGATAATTGTCTTCATCATTGTAGTCATCATCATTGGTGTGTTTGTTTGAAACAAGACTCTCGCTTAATCATTTTGCCGACGATGGAACCACTTGGTCTTCTCTGCTAAAATTCCCTTATTATCAAATCCAACAGGAAATCCCTGGTTATCGATATAAGTGACTTGATTCGTCGTACGGAATCGAGTTCTCTCCGAATTGGATCCATCTTTTAAGGAAAATTGTGATGCATTTCGTTGATATCTTTGATTGACCGTTTCATTAGGAAATCGAACCGGCAGCAAATTTCGAGGGGCATTTACTTTATAGGGAACGAGTGGTTTCGGAACGGAGTGAGTCCTCCTCGTAGAAGTGCTGCACCCCGAAGCTGAATGTGGTCTTCGTCCCGAGTGCAATTGCTCGGCCGTGATGGGCGTTATAAAGGTCGAATCGTAGGTCGATTCGGGAAAGTATCGATCGTCTCGGGCAGGTTTGGTAGCATGAATAGGATGAGCAACTCCGAACAACTCTCCATTCTTTCTGAATAATTTCCGAGTGCTGCCCGTTCGGCTTGGTTCATGACTGGCACCTCGTGACAAACTTCGAGTTGAGAGAGGCGACGAAAACATTAAGGGTGAGAGTGGTGAGTTTGTTTTTTTTAAAAAAATTTTCTAAAGATGTAACGGTTGGAATTTACTGTAATTTCATCATCGGTTAGATCAGTTGTTGGTATGACCAAACGTTTCATTCTGCAACACACGCACCGTTGTGATGAATCCCAAATCGGGAATGACACTTAAACTGAATAATAATAATAATTTATATCGAGGTTCATCCAAGTAAAGAGAGTTCAATGACTCTTTACTTTAAGAAGGTCAACTCATTGTCGAACATCTTGGGTTTGAAACGTCTTGGCAATTCGGAAGCAGATTTCAAATCCAAAACCTTTGCATTTCCTTCCAATTCGGAATTGTTGAAATTGAAAAGACTGTCTTGTTTGACTTTCTTTTCCTTTACATCGGTATACTTGTTGAAATCAATAGTTGGTTTTGCAAAGACTTGTTCCAATTTGGGTGCTTCTCCCAATTCTTTGATAATTTCTGAAGATGAAATTCCAGTAGCGAAATCTTCTGAAAGATGTGACAAGACAAAGCCCACTTGTTGTTTGGTGAGCTCTGGACAAACGAGACTTCTCATTTCTTCCTGTAAGAGACCTTTTTGAACAATACAAACATCGGCCACTTGTCGACACAAGACAAAGGACTCTCCTTCAGCACTGGAAGTGGTTTGTTTCAATGTGTGAATAATTCCTTTCGAGTTGAACCAATTCTCAATGGAAGACACTCTCATCTTGATAGAGATGGCACTGTTCGTGTTCATCTTGCTTTGTAAAAAGTGATTGAAGCACACAGCATCCAATCCACTTGCTAACCATTCAAAGAAGTGATTTGTCACTCGAGGATCTGTCATGTTACTGTCAAACTTGGCTTTCAATTCAGTCAAACTTGTCAACACAAACTTAATGTCAGGTCCATTTTCACTGTCCATTGGATTCGAGCTGAAGAGAGATCGGATGAGCTTGGCACGAACCTTACGAACGTTCTTAATCCACAAGTAGGAATAAGCCTTACCCAATGTCTTGGACATGGATACAAAGAGAGAATCCAAGTCAGTAATCAATCCCTCAGAAGTTGCAAGTTCACTCTCTTGTAGTGGTCGTGTGAAAAGTGTTGGGAATTCTGGTGGATCAAACAAATGTTGATCTTCATCTGATGATGACGGCTTGGTCTTTTCCAAAATGACAGTAGCATCTGCCGTTGCAGTTGGAGTAATTGATTTCAGTGCATTCTCAACAGACTTGGCAACGTCCTTACTGAGTGCATGGAATAGGGCAAGTAATCGATAAATGGCATTCATCCAATAAATTAAATAGTCATCATTGAAGGAATTCTTGTCCACAACATAATCCAAAGCACGTGCCACATTTGTGGCAAATAACTTGTTGGTTGGATGTGCCTCATCATTGATCTTCCACTTGTTCAAGCACAAGAAGAGAATTTTAACAGGTGTTGGAATCTTGTGGATGATGACATCGACCAGTTGAACATGCAAAATAGCCGACTCCACAATAAATCTTTGAACTTCCATGAGTTTGGATTGCTCCAAAAAGGTTTGCATTTGTTCTTTGAGAGCTTTAGTTTCTTCGTCGAGTTTGGAGAGAACGATCTGGTTCGACTCTGCATGGGATTCTTTCAGATTCTCCATTTCTTGGTCACGCTTCTCGAGAACAGAGTCCAATTCCTTGATCGACTTGGTCTTTTCTTCCAACTCGCGTGTCTTCTCTTCTAATTCGTGATCTTTCTGTTTGATTGACTCAAGAACTTCTCGTAACTCTGATTCCTTGCTGTCGAGTTGAGTGGCGAGTGTGGAAATACGTTGTTCATGCTCAGAGAGCGACACTAATTTTCTATTCAATTCATCATTCAAGGATTTAATCTTCTCTTCAAGATCGGTTGCTTGTTTCTCTTTCTCTACCAATCTCTCATTGACTCCATGAAGCTCAGAGGTGAGATGTGAAATTGCAACACCTTGCTGTTCTGAAGCTTCAATAAGCTTTGTTTTCTCTTGTTGTAGTTCAATCTTTTCTCTCTCTAACTTTTCGACTCTCTCCTCCAGTTCATGCTTCATGCGATTCAAAGCATCTTCACCGTTAACTTGCAAATCTAAGAGTTCACGCAGCTCTTTTTGTTTTTGTTGAAGCTCTTTTTCTTTGGACTCAATGATCGAGTTCTTTTCTTCGATCGCTCTTTCAAATTCATCAAGTTTTTGTTTCAATCTTTGGACGTGCTTACTCACAAGTTGAGATGATGAATTTTCATTGATTTCTTCTTCATTAGAATCTATCAATGACGCAAGTTGTGAAATAATTTCTGAGATGCTTTGCTCATATTCTTGTTCTTTCTCTTTCAATAAAGCGTTCAATTTGGCAACACTTTGTTCTCTATCTTGAACATTGGCAGTAAGTGTTTCACAAAGAGTCTTGTTTGATTGAATTTCTTCCGTTAGATGTGCACTCTTCTCTTCCAAAGTTTGAATGCTTGATTCGAGAGCAGTAATTTGGACTCGAGCTGCTTCGAGTTGTGCCAGCACTTCATTTCGGTCGTGGGTAGTTTCTTCAAGTGTTTTCTTCATGGATTGTAATTCACTGTCTTGTCTCTCAATTTCTTGTGTCAACTCATGAATTTTTTCGCTATTTGCTTGCAGCTCAGTTTGCAAACCATACTTCTCTTGGGAAGTGTCATTCAAATTAGATTGAGCGTTGTTCAATTGTTCCTGAATGCTTGAAATTCTTTCATTTAGAGTCTGTAATTCAGTGGTATTGTTTTCCAATTGTTGCTTGGTGCTTGAGAGCTGTTGAGCAAGTTCATTCTTCTCCTTTTCATAGTTTGAAATGATTTCTTCCTTGTGAGCAACCGATTGTGTCAATTTGAGATTTTGGTGTTGTTGCTCTGTCAATTGATCTTCCACAGAGGAAATGGTGCGTCTCAGTTCAGAAATGACGACGCCCAAATCTTTCTTCTCAATTTCACTATGTTGAAGGAGAGCTTCCTTTTCCTTTTCCAAGTTTCTCAATTTATCGCAGACTTCATTCTTCTCTTTTTCGAGTTCATCTTGTTCCTTCTTCATGTCGACATACTTTTGTTCGACCTCTTCCTTGCTTCTTTTAACTTGTTTCAATTGTTCAGAAAGTTCATCTTTTTCTTGACTCACATTCTTGAGCAATTCTTGAGCTTTGTTCAATTCTTGCATGAGTCTGCCTCCAATTTCTTCCTTTTCGTTCAAGCTTGATTCAAGAATTTCCTGCTTTTCTTGTTTCAAATTTTCAATTTGTTTCTCCAATTGACTGATTTGTCCCTTGTACTCCTCTCCATCTTCGTTGGCATTCTTTAGTTGTTGTGTCAAGCTCTTAATGGCAGAGTCCAATGTAGAGAGTTGTTCATTGAGTTGTTTCTTTTCAGTGTTGAGAATATTCAACTCCTGCTCTTTAGTTGTGATCAGTGTTGTCAACTCTTCAATCTTATTTTGAGAGTTTTGATATAAAATTTTGAGGTCATGAAGCTCAAGAGAAGTGTCTTTGTGTTGCTTCATCACTTCTGCCATGTCCTTTTCAACTTGGTGTTTCTCCTTCTCCAACTTTTCAAGATCATTCTCCAATTTATCCTTTCTCTTGGTTAGTCCCTCCAATTCTCTGGTCATCTCTTGTAATTTTTGAGAGGTCTTGGAGTGCTCTTCTTGCTCTTCCTCAAGCTGTTTGTTCAACTCATCTCTTTCAGAGGAATGAGAAATTTCCATTTCTTGCTTATCTTTTTGGAGAGTTTCCAGTATTTGACTCAATTTTTCAATGTTTAGAGACTTTTCATGTCTCTCCAATTCTAAACTCTCCTTGATTTGGAGAATTTCGACTTTGAGTCTTTGAATCTCCTTATCGAGATTATCCTTTTCTTCAGTCTTGCTTTGAATATCATGTTTAAGAGAGTTGATTTCCTCTTGATCTTGTTTGAGAAGATTTTCAAGTTCTTGCTGCTTTTGTTTGAGTTCACTTTCCTTAGTTTCGATCAATGAATCCTTCTCAACAAGAGTTCCCTTAAGAGAATTCAATTGTTCCTTCAAGGTGTTGATCTCCTTGTTCATGCGGGAATCTTTAAGCTTCAATTCTTGAATGACAGTGTCAGCAGAGTCGAATTCTTCATCACTGTTTTCAACGAGCTCTGAAAGTTTCTTAATGATAGCAGAAATTTCATTCTTGTAGTCTTTTTCCTGCTTCGAAAGGATTTCATTCAACTTTTCAATGGAAGAAGTCTTTTCTTCAATTTCTCTTCTAAGATCTTGCAACATGTTTGAATTGGTTGAAAGACTTTCCTTTGTTTCGTTATAAACAAGTTCAAGCTTGGCAATACTGTCCTCCAACTCGACAATCTTATTCTTCTTTTCATTCAACTCTTTGAGAGTTGTTTCACGTTCCTTCTCAATCTCAGTAATGCATTGCTCCTTCTCTTTGAGGCTTTCCAACAAAGAGTTTTCACTTTTCTTGGTACTCTCTTCCAAGATTTCCTTTTGTTTGATGAGTTGTGCCTTTTCATGTTCTAATCTTTCAATAAGCTCTTGTTTCTCGGAAGCTTCTTTAGAGAGCAACAAGGAACGATGTTGTTGTTCGGTGATTTTATCCTCCAGTGATGAGATGGTATGTCTAAGTTCAGAAATGACAATGCCCAAATCTTTCTTTTCAATTTCACTTTGTCTGAGAAGAGCGTCCTTTTCTTTCTCTAAATTGTTGATCTGGTTGAGGAGTTCCTTCTGCTTGTCCTCAATTTCAGCCTTCTCCTGTTTCAAAGTGTCTACATTTTGTTCGACCTCTTCCTTGCTTCTTTTAACTTGTTTCAATTGTTCAGAAAGTTCATCTTTTTCTTGACTCACATTCTTGAGCAATTCTTGAGCTTTGTTCAATTCTTGCATGAGTCTGCCTCCAATTTCTTCCTTTTCGTTCAAGCTTGATTCAAGAATTTCCTGCTTTTCTTGTTTCAAATTTTCAATTTGTTTCTCCAATTGACTGATTTGTCCCTTGTACTCCTCTCCATCTTCGTTGGCATTCTTTAGTTGTTGTGTCAAGCTCTTAATGGTGGAATCCATGTCTGAAACTTGTTGGTTGAGAGTGTCCTTTTCTTCTTCAACCTTGCTCAACAATTGTTCTTTAAGTTCAACTAATCTGTTCAGCTCTTCAATCTTATTTTCTGCCTCGTGGTGTTGCTTCTTGAGATCGGTATGTTCGAGTGAGACAGTTGTGAGTTCTTTAGACACTTCTTTCAGACTCGCTTCAACTTGCTGCTTTTCGGTTTCAAGTTTTTTGAGCTCGATTTCAAGTTGTTCCTTACTCTTTCTAATAATATCAAGTTCTTGCTTCAAAGTTGAGTTGCTTTCAGCCAATTCTGCTCCATTTTGTTGAACTTGTTCCAACATTTCATGCAATTTGCCAACAGTTGATTCTTTCTCACTTCGTACAGACTCTAATTGTCCTCGTAATCCAGAAATTTCTTGCTTCAATTTTTCAATTTGCTCGTTTAGGTCATTGTGTGTGTGAAGGGCCTTTTCTAACTTCTCTGAGCTTGTCTTGAGGTCCTTCTCTAATTGTGAGACTCTCTCTTCGCGTTGTGAAATAGTTTCCATGAGTTTGTTTTTCTCTTGCGATGAAGATTCACCCAATTCATGAATATTGTTTTGAAGCTCAGCAATTTGTTGCTTCAAAGTTTCTATTTCTTGTTGTTTTTCATGATTTTCTCTTTCAATGTCTGAGATTTTTCCTGACAACACTTGGTTGTTGTTCAATTGCTCATTCAACTCGTTCGACAGCTTTTGCTTTTCTTCTTGAAGTTTCTTGAGCTTTTCGGAGACTTCTTCGAGCTCCTTCACAAGTGAGTCCTTAGCATGGCTCGAATCTGAAAGAAGAGAATGTTTGTCCTGTGTTAACTTTTCAATCTCCTTGTTGAGCTCTGAGATTTGTTCATGCAAAGTTCGATCAAGACCTTCCTTTTCGCTGAGTACAGCTTCAAACTCTTTAGCTTTTTGTGTCAATAATTCAGACAATTCTTGAACTTTCTTTTCAGTCACTTCCACAAGACTTTCCAATTCATTCACTCTCTTTTCAGAAGTCTCCAATTCCTGTTTTGAGGCACTCCATTGTGATTCGAGTTCTTGTTTACTCTTTTCAAGTTCTTTCAACTTGTTAGACACATCTTCCTTTTCTTTCAAGAGCTGTTGATAGCGAGTATCAGAATCGCTTCCAAACCTTTCCAATTCTTGTGTAGTGCTTTGCAGCTTGTTTTGATAATCCTCAAGATCCTTGTCTAATTTCTCGCGAATAGAAATTTCCACAGATAGCTCTTCTTCCTTTTGTTTGAGTAAATCGGAGAGTTGTTTCTTTTCATTTCGTAATGCATCCTCAATTTCATTACGTTCCTTTTTGATATTTTCAATTTCTTGCATTAATTCATTCACTTCAGATGCTGTATTCTCCTTGTCACTGGTTAGGAGCTTTAATCGACTTTCGAGACTGGTAATGTTTTCCAAGGCACGATTCAACTCAATCTTTGTAGTCTCATTCTCGTGGAGTGAATTATTGAGTGCATCTGATTTGGATTTGAGCTCCTTTTGCAATTCGAGATAATTATTCTTCTCTTCTTGCAATGTTTGTTCAAATTGCTCAAGTTTGTTTGAGTACTCTTGAACAGTGTCGGCAAGAGATTTTCTTTCCTTCTCAAGAGAATCCTTTTCTTGTTGTGATTTTGAAAGTTCTTGCTTCAGTCCTTCGATGGTTTCGTTAAGCTGATTGCATGTTGCAGTGAGCTCTTCCACCCTCTTGGTTGAAGATTCCAATTGTTGTTTTACGAGTTCGGTCTCCTTTTTAGCAGAATCGAGTTCTGATGAAATACTTTCCAATCGTTGGTTCAAATCTTGATTGCTTAAATCTTTTTCTTTGAGGAGTCTTTCAATCGTTTCTTGATGCTCAGCAAGTTCCTTAGAGAATTTGTTCTTTTCTTGTTCTGTAGAATCGAGTAATTGTTGAACTTGTTTCAAGTCATCGAGCAGCTTCTTTTCAAGAGCGTCCTTCTCCTGAGTTAAACGATTCACTTCAGTCGACTTGTCATTTTCAAGTTGTTGGATTTGAGATTGGAGCAGTGATATTTGTGAAAGGGCCTTTTCTTTTTCCTCTCTTGTCAAAGTGAGCTCGTTGTTAAGTAGATTCATTTTCTCGAGAGTATCAGAGAGGTCCTTTCGAAGCGAATCATTCTCTTGCGAAAGTCTTTTGGACGATTCACCGCTCTCATTCAGTACACTGTTATACTTCTCGGAAAGTAAGTTGTATTCTTGATTTTGATGTTCTTCCTTAATCTTGAGCTCCTCGACTGTTTTCTCCAACTTGCAAATCTGTTGTGTGAACTCATCGATTTTTTCTTGTAGTGATTCATTTTCCTTTTGTTCATGCTCGAGTGATTTCTCACTATTCTCAATTTCAAGTTTCAACTCTTTTTCTGTATTTTGATGTTGTGCAATTTCGCTTTCAAGTGAAATTACCTTCTCAGTTAAGGTTTTCAACTCAGTGTTAAGTCTGTCCTTTTCTTGGAGTGCATCGTTCAATTCTTGTTCCTTTTGTTTGATGGTATTCAAAAGTTCTTGAGATAAACCTTGATGTTTTTCCATGGCCGATTGGAGAAGATTATTCTTTTCATTCTCCATTTGTTCGAGTTTTTGATTGAGAAGTTTTACATTATTCTCTGTCGAGTCTTTCTCTCTTCGAATGGATTCTAATTCGGCATTGAGTTTGGTCTTGGCATTCTCGAGTTCAGCATTGGCTTCTTTCATGGCGTTGAGTTTTAACAGTAACAAGTCTGTCATGAGTTGAAGCTCATTTTGAATGTCATGAAGGTTAACCTTTTCGAAATTGGCATTTTTGCTGTGATTGACAAACTCGTCAGATTTTTTGGTTGCCTCTTGAACCTTCTGCTTGAAATTGGAGTCTTCAGTGGCATGAATCATTGCTCCCTCAAGTTTTTTCTTTAGCTTGTTATATTCTTGAATGCAAGAAACAAGAATTTCGTGTTCTTTTTGTGATTTTTCAAGACTCTCACTTGTTTTTTCCAATTTGGATAACAATTCAGTCTTTTCCTTCAAAATTTTTTGGATCGTCTCTTCATGATCTTTGGATTCTTTGTCACGAAGATCTTGCAGTGATTTCAAGTCACTCTTAAACTTTTCGATTTCCTTTCCTTTGTTTTGCGAGTCTACTTCAAATTGTCTAAGATTAGAGAGCTCTCGATTCATCTCGTCATTTGCTTTCTTTAGCTGCTGGATGGATTCTTCGAGTTGATCATGTTTTTCTTCTGATTTTTTGAGTTTCATAGAGACAGAAGTAGCTTCTTCCTGTAATTCTTCAATTCTATGCTCATAGTCCTGAGACGCTTTTTGGTGTTGTCGTTTAGCCTCTTGAAGAAGTTCTTCTTTTTTAGCTGCCTCTTGTTTCAAAGCCTCTATTCTTTCCTCTAGTGTTTTAATTTCCGTTTGTAATTTTTCTTTTTCTTGCTCGACTTCGATACTTTGTGCTTCCATCTATTTGATATGATTGAAAGGTGATCATTGGAGTTCACATAAAAATTATAAATGTTCAGAAAATCACATATTTAACATTAGAACATACCTCTTCAATTTTGTCCTTCAATTGCTTGATTTGTTGCTCGTACTTTGTTTGAGCTTGTTTTTGCTTGAGTTGAAGTTCAAATAGTTTGTTGTCAGCCTCTTGATGAGCTTCTTGTACTCTTGAATGCTCTTCTTTCAATGTTTCTGATTGTTTCTGAAGTATGTCCAATTTCTCTAAAAGGGCGTCTCTCTCTTTTGATATTTGTGACACCTAATGAATTATGTGTTCAAAAAATTGATAAAAATGTTAACCAAAATTAAACCTACCACTGATGTCTTGTCATCTATCTCCAATTCTGTAATTCGTTTTTGAAGTGTTTCAATTTGTTTTCTAAGTTCAGGAACAAGACTATGGTCAGTCAGAGAGCCTTTTGAAAGCATAAATGATCCTCCCTCGTAGGGAGCATAATCCTATTGATGTGATGAGATTAGTAATGATAATTTTGCGAATAATATAGATGATGTCATGTGTGAAATGTCCAGTTTGGTTGTGTGTAAGCCGTGTTCGAAAAATTTCATTGTTAACCACACTTACATGATGGGTTGCTTCATCCTCATCTTCAACAGCATCTCCACCTGTATATGTACTGACTCCTTCAAAATCGTCGTCACTGTAAAAAATTTTTGAAAATATGAGCATATTTGTACCAATCAAAAGACAACAACAATAATTGTAGTTGAACAATTAAGAACATGGTTGACATGAAATGCTGCTTTCATCAAAATATATTTTCGCTTGTGAAACTACTTACGCTCCTGCGACATCTTTCAAATTCTTGGAATTGATAACAAGTTTAAGCTTGGCCTTTCCTGACAACTTTCCGATAGTCATTACAACTTCTTTGGTTTGAGTCATTTCTTGCTCTTCGTTAACAAACTGCGCCAGATCAATTTCTTCTTTTGCCAAAACATTACTCTTCGATTGATTCGTTTTCTTGTTTGTAATTTTCTCCTCGAGTGTTAACATGAGGTCCTTCTTTTGAAAGTTCCCCTTCTTTTTTGCAAGTGTACCATTGAATTTAAAAGTAGTATTCCAAGTGATGGTGTCACGTTCCACCTTTACATAGGGAGTTTCTCCCTTACGTTTCTTTCCTCGTTTCCATAAAATCTACATTGAATCATTCAATGTTAATAATGATGCCGATGTATGTGGTTGATGGGCAAGCAAGAGTATTGTTTTTCCACGCAAATGTGAAAAATTATAAAGAAATAGTCAATGGATAATGTTTTGCATAGTGTCGAAATTTTCCATGAGAGTGCGGCACAGAGTTGTTGATTTCGATATATTCGAACAATTCCATCAATGAAAACAAATGCGAAATTAATCGACCATTCATTATAACTCCGCGAACAAAACGTAAATAAATACATACAGCATAAGTAACTTCCTCTTCGGGACCTGGTTTGTTTATGGAGGTATTCTTGAAATCAGAGAGATGATCCACCGACAAGTTGAATTGAAACTTGACTGTATCCTTATTGAAAATTTTCTTTTTCAGCATGGTTGAGAAGATGAATAATAAATTAAAAGAGTGAAAAGGGTGATGACGAGATGATTATGAAATAAATAGGAGGATGAGATAAAAAAATCCAATGATGAGAAACTGAGATTCCGATAGGAGTAGTAGTGGGCGAGATGATGATGTCAAAATTTTGAAAACTCTAAATTCTCTTGGGAACTTGTTGTTGTTGTTTTTTGTTGGTCGCGACTATTATTATCGGACAAAATATATTCGACGAGTTCAATTGAAACGACACAAACTAGATAAAATATTAATCTATAATGGACGTCGACACCAACAAATCGAAGAAGAAGAAGGAATTGGATTTTTTTTTACTTTTTTCTTACCTGTTGGTGATGGGCGATCATGACGTCTCGTTTTGGCGTGACATCCAAATTTGTGTTTCGTAGATCACAAATTGTTAATAGGCTCCTATCTCTAATTATGAGAACAATCATGAGTCTGATGAATCCACATGAACATGTTTTTTGAAATTTTGTCAATGAAATAGAGACTTCTTTTGATTTTTATTGAAACACTCAAAATTCATTCTCTCTCTTTGACAACTTTGACAATTCTCTAACGCAGGCAACTGACGGCGGAGTGCTATTTATTGCAAAGTATTGTGGTGTCCTTGTATTGGATGAGATTTTGATACGATTAAGATCATGAGAAGGGAGCTAACAACAACGAAACTTCACCACCAAATATTGTTTTGATCAACCCCTGTTGTTAAATTCAACTCTTGAGACATAAAATATTCGTTCAAAAGATTCTTCAGCGATAAAATGACGGTGCGGAGATACCCTCTCCGGAGCAGGGGGTCAGTTTTGATGTGTCATTTTATTGAGGAAGCATTGAATCACCTTTTGAGGTCTTACACGCCCTTTGTGAAGTTTCGAAATCACAAAGGGCGTGACGACAAGAGGAATGTCATCAGAAGAGTCGACCTCCTGTTGCTGTTCGTTTCTTTCTTTTTTTTTGTTTGATCAAGAGATGATTGTTTGAACTTGGCATTGCTATTTATTGATCTGATCACGAAGATGAAGGTTTCACATTCACGTTCACGAAGCAAGACTCTCCAAGAAGTTGAATCTTCTTGAAGAACACAATTTTTTTGTTGAACGATGAGAATCAAACAAGTGACACGACTTGAGTTTAATGACCTTTCACCAAATTTCTTCATATCATAATCAATTTCGAAACCATTTAACAAAGGAATTGATTGAATTTCTTCATTACCTCTATTATTTAACGTCACTACAAGGATCGAAAGATTTCTTATCACTCACAGTTCATACAGTCAAAGATTGTAGCGGGAGAGTCGCCATATTCCTGCCAGGCATCCCGTCCATAGTTGACAACAAAGAGAACTCGATTAAAAAACTTGATGAAAGTCACAGCTGAATAGCCTTAGCAACTGTCAAATTTTTCAAAACCAAACAACTTTGAAGATTACCTGAAACGTTTTCCTTAATAGGATCCCATTTACAGTTTCCTATTTCGAGTAATGTCGAGTAATGAAGACTTTTTATGAATCTCATCGAATGTATTTCATGTCATCATCAATCAGAGAGATCAAATATTGACTCTCAAATTCCAGCTGACCATTTGTAGGTAATTTAATATATATATATATTTACCAAATTTGATTCCTATCAAACAGCAGCTTGTTCTTCAAAACATTGACATTCATGACACACCAACAACATCAAAAAAATGTCTCCAGCAAGAGATCCAGCAACTGGTCGATTTGTATCCTCCTCGTCCTCTTCAACTTCCAGTGGAAGCAGTAGTAGTAGCGGTGGTGGTAGTTGTTACAGTAGTAGTTACTCCAGTTGTCCTTCCTCTTCAAGTGGAAGTTCTGTGTCCTCATCTTCTTACTCCTCTCGCGCAAGAGATCCCTCAACAGGAAGATTTGTATCTTCTTCTTCATCTTCCTCTTCAACATCCAGTTCAAGTGGAAACAGTAGTAGTGGAAGTAGTGGTTACTCTAATAGTTACTCCAATTACCCTTCTTCCTCAGCTGGAAGTTCTGTTTCCTCGTCAAACTCCAATCGACCACGAGATCCCTCAACAGGAAGATTTGTTTCTTCCAACAGTGGTGGATCTAATAATGGAACCACTAGTTCAACAACGTCTACTACAAGCAGCTTGTCCAATGTTGAGTCCTCTTCGAGTTCATCATCAAAGCCAAGAGATCCATTGACTGGGCGTTTTATTTCTCCAAGTAGTAGTAGTAGTGGTGGTGTTATTGTTGATACTACTTCAAGTGCTTCCAATAGTGGTGTCAACAAGTCCAATACAACAACAAATGACAATCAACCAAGAGATCCAGTAACAGGTCGATTCATGCCAATGAAAAACTCCTCAACACCTCAACAAGATGACAATTTGGAACAAGTGACATCCAAGATGCAAAATCTTTCCATTAATAAATCATCGAAAAGAAATGTGGACCTCCAGAAAGAGTGTAGTGATTCATACACTGGAGATTATGTGACGGAAGCTTCACATTACATTTCTGTTAAGGAACGTGAATACTTTAATCTCCCAAACAAGAATGACAGCGAAGCCAATTACAGAAATCAAAACCAATTGACAAATAGATCTGTTCACACCACCATTGACAATTATCTACTTGCACAATCACCAAAACATTCGGTGGAAGCCACAGCATTAAAATGCAGTGCTGGATACATTTCAAAGGATGAAATCAAGCAACGAATTGAAATGAAAATCAAAGTGGCAAAAGAAACTGGTGATATTAATAATAAGAGGTATCGAAATTTTCTACACAAGTGTGCAGAAGTTTATGGTGTGGCATTTAATGGTTATAATTAAGGTGTCTAAATAAACCTATCTATAAACAATCAAATTCTGTTTGAAGAGATTAAAACCTTTACAGATTCCTCGAAGTATATGACTGGCTCTACAAAAAATAACAAAAAGGCTACAGATATAAACACTAAGAAGAAGAACTAGTCAGTCTACATCCTTGCATCGTCAAGCTAATTTTCTTGAAGCAAAAAAAAGGCTACAGCACTGCAGGTTCCCAAGTTGTCTCCAATCTCAGTACTGATGCAGCTCGACGATGCTTAACTTCTCAAATCGGACGGGATGAGGTGCATTCATCGTGATATGGCCGTAGCCATTCACGACTTAATAATGAATCTCAAAAATCAATTGGGGAAAGATGAACTCCAAATATAAGCATCAAAAAGGCAAGGGTGGATTTTCACCACCAATCGCTTCTGAATCATGAGCAGTTCGCGGTGTTAGAATTACACAACTTGCCTCAAAGTACAAGTCAGTTTGAATAGGATTACCTGTTGAAACTTTTGAAACTTACCTGCAACTTGTGTGGTTTCAGCTAATAATATGCATTTTCGAAAACAACAGTTTCGTTCTTTTACATTGAATCCTCAAGAGTTCCATATTGAAAGTTCATCTTCAATGTCGAATACTCATGAACCACAAAATAAAGCATCGATCGAGTGGTGAGTTAGCATCTTTAAAACCAAGAGTGCGTTATATATCATGATCTTCACCAAAACAAAACTCAAGTAAATCGTCCTGATTTCTTGTCTCTCACAGTTCATACAACCAAAGGTTGTAGCGGGAGAGTCGTCATATTCCTTACAGGCATCCCGTCCATATTCGTCAACGAAGAGAAATCTATCTTGCTCTGTTGGATTCCAACATTGCATTTCAGTTTATTTTGGAACAAAAAGAAAGACCACCTCTTCCTCCCTCACCGACTATCCATTATGAGGGCCAACAATAACAACAACAAACAGCATGTTTTCGAGGAAGATCTCTGATTCGGATCGATGGTTCTTTCTAATCTTTGGATCCACATGCGAGTGGAATTTGTCCAGAAAAAAAGCTCCCTGTTGGTTGCAAGTGTATTTTGACTCGCAGACAAGATGTGATGAAAGGACCCTGCCACTTGGAGGACATTTCCAAAAGGAGTCTTGCAATTATGTGCATGGATTTTTTCAACCAATGCCTTGGCTAATGCATATTTGATGCATTTGGATGTTGTGAAAAATTATGAAAGTGGATATTCGATGGAGCTTCGATGAGTGGATCTCGTGATTGTGTTGTATGTAGTGTCAAAATCATGAGAAAGAGGCCTTACATGATATGAAGTATAAGGATGATAAAACTCATTGACAACATTATTCATTTTCCATTAAAGAATAAACTATTGAATGTCCAAACAGTTCACAATTAATAGTATCATCTTGAGCCAAGATGCATCTATTCAGTTTAAAAGGATGATTATTCTTGTTGTTGTTTTCATGTGTGGACATTCAATTTTTTCATTTTAAAAACAACAGCAATTATGGATCACAATCATTTGAGGATTTTGTTACCGTTATTATCAACGAATACAACCAATTTGGTTCGAGAATATCCTAAATTAGTAACGACAGTACGTCAATCTCATTCCAAAACCACAACAAAAACAAATTACCAATTGATCCCACAGTCTCCTTTGCATCACCTTCTCACACATGACATCTGCAGACTCAGAGTTCGTTTCTCATGACCAACCACAAGCAACAGAGTCTCTCCCGTTCGAACAGAAGCAACAACAACCACACATTATTGATGAATCCAACACCTCCATGCTATCTCTCGTCACCTACAAGGATCAGTACATTCAAATCATCCAAAAAGCTGCTTCCTCTCTCTATGAACAATACAAGGAGATGATTCATCGTGTCGTCGGCTCAGTTCCCAAACAAAAAACCAAATTCAAGTATTGGTATGGAAAATATGGAGGTCCATTCACCTGGAAGGATCTTGGAGATCCAATCGATGATTTGGATTTGGCATGTTTTATGCACGACAAATTTCTTCCACTCTCTGATGTGAGGCAACTCACGAAATTGATGAGAGAGTTCTATGGAAGCGAAATGAGCAAACAGGCCATCGCTTACACTCGAAAAATTGAGGGAAAAGCCTTCGGAATTATTGAACCTACTTATATGAAGATCTTTGGAAAGATGTAGAAAAGGGTATGATGCAGCAGGATGAGCTGATTTGAAAGTTTTTCATTACTTTAAGAGAGCAAGAAACAGAGCTACAACACGGTTGACTTGTTTGAGGCTCGCCATTAAACTCCAAGTCAAAATAAGGAGCAAGATATTTGGTAAGAGTGAGAAGAGAAGAATTCGGAATTTGTTGCAATTCGTCTCTCAACAGGGTTGACCACTTTTTCAACCTTGTAGGAGGATGAACAAATTTATCCAAAAAGTAAACCTACAAAGTTCCTATCGAGTTTCGGAAGATAATGATTGGTGATGAAGGACGCGACCATTTAAATTAGTACAGACCTGTGAGTTGCTCCTCTTCTGTTTAGATCTGTACTCGAGTGTTTGTGTTTATAACCTTAATACAGGCAATCAAATTTTTATAAGTACCTCGTTCAAGTGGTACATAAAGCTTTGGGGATTTTTCCAATGAAGTATCAGCCTTCTCATACCTTGTCCGAATTATGAACTAACTGCGAAAGATAGATCTGTTGAGAAATCGATTCGTTGTTATGGGCCAGTTGTCAAAAATTGTTACTCCTCCATGATAACAGAGAAATCACGGGCCAACAAGCTCCAACAAGGACAGATTCAAAAAAAAAATCTGGAACATACCCTAACAGTCCCACTGCAAACAAGTGTGTGGTTTCTTCTGAACTGAATCTGGAGCACCTCTTCTGTAAATTCTCTCTCTAGGTGATTGTTATTCTCTCTCGCACAACCGACGTGAAAGAGAGAATTCATTGGTCGAGTCCACAATACTGTGTCGTCATCACAACGAAAAGCCCGTACGACACCTCTTTTTGAAGTTTCTCTTTCTCTCGATCGAGTGTTGTGTTCTATCACGAGTGGTTTCGAGAAATCACAACGTCTTTCTTGTTCGTTCCAGGTTGTTGTCATCCAACAACAAACAATTGACTCCAAGTCTGTTGTCATCCCATCATCATCCTCCCATTTTCAGAACGCTTTCTTTTGGGTCTATCAACAACAGGATTTTAACAATCTCCGAGATCCTCTTGAATCACTACAAAAACACCATCACCCACTTCAATAGTCAATGAACACAAACTCGTCATCATCCATGGTGGTCTCAACAACAACGGGCCAACCCGTTCCGCCTGTGCTGAGCAATGTTAACCACCATACTTCTTCTTCGACAACAACAGCCTCTCCTTCTTCCATGATGTCCTCTCATTCATCATCCTCTTCGTCCGTGTCTTCTTTTTCTTCATCGGGTCATTCCACAACAACTGCTAGCTCAGTCCATCCATTGTTTCTTCTCCAACAACAACAACAACAACAACAACGAAACATGCTTTTACAACAACAATACATCCACAATAACCTACAACAACCATCCCTTCAATCTCAGCATCATCAACATCTGCAACGAAACAGTCCAACTGCTCTTATTGGCCATCACACTTCTCTAGATTTAAGCCATGTCAGTGGTGGTGTTCTCAATAATACGAGTCCTTCCCAATTCACTCCTCGTATATCATCCCTATTGCAAGAAACGAAACAAACTTTGCACATTTCAGATCTTGAATTTGGACCTATTCTCTCCATTCTCAATCAGAACATGGTCAAAACAACCAATGCCTTACAAAATTGTGATCATACCGAGTTGTATAATTTAGGCGTTCCTCTCATGTTTGCCAAGGATCTGATGCGAAGATTCCAACAATTTCAGTTGATGAGTCATGGAGCAGCGAGTGCTCATTCCCATCCATCTCATCATCCAACAACAACTTCAACTTCAGCACACACGTATGGAGTAACTGCAGTTGCACAAAACACGAATAATATGGATCATGGCATCATGAATTCGAACACTCTTCCTCTACAATTGACCACTACAAACAATCCTCCGAATTTAGTGGGAGAGTTGGATCAGCAACAATTGAATCAAGTCTTGACCATGATGAATATGATGGCCGCACATCATCAACATTCATTACAACAACATCATTCTCAACCACAAAATCAACTGTTCCTAAACCCTGCTCATCTCAACTCCAATAACATTTCACCCTCTCTGAGTACGAATTCGAGTAACAGTAATAATAATAATAATAACAACAATAACACCAACCATCAACACCATCTCAATACTCATGCATCCTCCTCCCAGCAACAACAACAACAAAAAGCTCCAAATTCTCCACTTTCCAATAAGAGTGGTAGCCTTATTAACACCACCATCACCACCTCAACGACTGGCAATAACATCAATAATAACCATACGATGGCCACCACCACAACAGCAACAACCAATGCCAACAATAATAATCACTCATTCGTTCCGTCCTCATCCTTCACTTTGGAAGATCTCTATCATCATCACAATAACTCTAATTATGCTCAAAGCTTACAAAACGATGATGATTTTCAAAGCCTTTTACAACATTCCACATCGATGGGTTCTTCTGGAAGCATGTTGATTCCACAACCATCCACCAGTATACCGAATCATCATCAGGGCTCCTCAGCCAACTCTGGTGTCAGCTTAAACTTCCTTTCGAATAGTTCGTGTGCCAGCTCGTATCAAGACTTGTTTGGATCTTCGAGTGTCACTTCAAACAACATGTTGTTAGACACTCAGGACGTACGAACATCCTCCTCCTCATCATTGAATCATTCAAATTCTCATCATTCTGTTGGTCATACTCCAACCTCCTCTTCTGCTGGTCATGCATCGTCATTGAATTCTTCGGTGGCTAATCATCCTCTCGCCATCATGCTTTTGGGAAATATGAGAAACTCCTCTTCATCGTCAGTCACTGGAAGTGCTCAGAATAGTCTCTCCTCTTCGGGAATGATGAGCTTGGGAAGTGTTCAGAGCTCTTTGGGAGGTGAAAGTATGCTCGGACAAGGAGGAGAAGTAGGAGTGACACAAGCAAGTCACCATGCCAGCTCTTCGCCTCCTCTATTGTTGAATGGACCAACCACAACCAATACCACTCTCTTGACCATGCAGCAACAGCAACTTTCCAATAATTCTGGCATTTCTCCACAGCAACAACAACAACAACAACAATGGCCTCATCGACCACTCATGACCACTCATCATGGTGGCAATCACATGATATCTTCCTTTGAATCACCCAACAGCAACAGTTCTTCGACGTCGTCTCCTCACAGCAACTCTTCACATCAAGCGAACAACAACATGGTTGGAATGTATGGCACCAGCAATGCGCTCAGTGTCTCACCAGAAATGGTTGTCGATTTGGTCGGCAGTACCGACTCTCATGTACTTCCTCAGAATGGAGGTTCTCTGCTTGCTTCCATGGGTATCATGGCCAGTTATCCATGTCGAGTTCACAGTACCGGTGATGGACACAAGCATTGGCCAAAGATTGCCACTTGGTATCAACAGGATCTGAACTCGGGAGAGATGAAAGATTTATTCACCATTGTCATTAGTAAGGATAATCCAAAGAAGGCCTCATCTACCACAAGTAACACCAATTCATCGTCCTCCACTAAAAACACCACATCCAACAATGCTGCCTCTGCGGAAGGACAAGACACTCTTCTCGATTTTAGAAACAAGTACATTAGAATTTCACTCTCAGAGTCGTCACGAGAGGGTCTTATCAAGATTGATCGTTTGGAGAATGATGATGTTTGGGGTTTCCTCACGACCGATACTTCTTGTGGAGCTGACTTTGTCGATGAGTTGAAACAATTGGGATTCTCAGAGAGTTGTGTCACTCTTCCAACAAGTGCACCTCCTCACAAGCAAGGAATGGGCTTTGAGAGACTCTCTCATGAACAAACTGGATCTGTCGTGGTGAAACGTGACGATCAACTTTTATTGATGAAATTCCCTAAATATGGAACAGAGCAGGCAAAGGGTCCTCGAAAGAGAAAACTCCTTCTCGTGAAATATCGATTCAAACACAATGAAATGAATTATACCTTCTTCTCTTTATTCAATTTGAGGAAGGAAAATAGTAATGCAGCTATGAATCGAGAAGACATTTGGTTGAGCCATTTATTCTTGGAGAGCCCATCTTCTTCATCACCAAGCGGCTCAGGCTTGAGAAATCATTCACGAGGTTATCCATCCTCCACCACCGCTGGCTATGACAGTCACAAGAGCTCTCCACAAACCACAGAGAGTATAAGTCCTCCACGTAGCACTCACACTCTCATGTCTGGCAAAACCAAACGAACTTGTGATTGGGATTTAACAGAGTCTGATCAATTACAGTTCCGAAATAACACTCCAAAATCTGGAAGAGGTGGAGTCGATGTGTGCTGTTCCATTGATTTTGTTTCATTTAATGAAAGAGATCAACATTCACCCTCTCTTAAGAGAAAATTCGTTGCAGATCCTACCATTGAAGGTGACATGTTTCTTGTTGAGACCTCTAAGCCCTACGACTTTTTGGAGAAGGGATTTTTCAAGATTGTCCGTGTGACTCAACATGTGGATCATGTCGATTTGGTAGTGAGAATGCCACGTCCAATACGTGAAACAACTGCTCCTCAGACCGTGTATTTCCATGTCTTGTATAATATGAAAGTCATTCACTCCAATCCAATCTCTCGTCATCAAGGTAAATTTACCTATGATCCAATCGATAAGGAAGAATTGGCCACTCAATTCAAGGAAAAGATTTTCGAATATTACAAAATGTATGGCTCTCAATTTGAGGAAGATGTGAAACGATCGGCAGCAGAAAAAATTGCCAACGAAATTCAAAACTTGTCACTTTCGAATAATAATGATTTTGGTGAGTCAAACAACATGCACAAGAATTACTCCAATTTGTATGTACAATTTACAGAATTGTACTATAGAGGAGTTCACGAAGATTCAGACTTGAATGAGGACGAATTCATTAAGGCAGTCAATAACTTTGGCCACGAAACAAGAGATATCTATGGATTCTCATTACTCACTCACTTTGCTATCAGAGGGATGAAGAAACATTGCAAAATATTATTGGACAAGTTTGGCATGCCGTTTGACACGAAGGATAACTTTGGTATGGCTGTTTTCGAGTGGTGCAACTTGGCTAAGAACCCAAACAACATTTTAGAGTTAGCTCTTCAAGAGAAGAAGGCAAAACCTGTTGTGAGACATTCCATTTTAACCACTTCTCGCTCACAAAACATTAATGTTAAACCACAACAAGGTAACTCTTCAGGTCACCAACAGCAATCCAATACTACTGCATTGTCCACTTCACCTCAAGGAGGAACCTCTCCAAGAAAATCTGGATGGATTTCTGACCTCTTTAGAAAGGTATTTTATTCTGCCTCTGCAGGTCAACAAATCACGTTTGATGAGGAAGTAACAGGAGATCGTGACAACACTCCAATCGATGTGAACAGTACGGCCTATGACGAAAGATTACTCACATTCGATGAGAGACAAGCCACTCATTTCTTCTTGGATAAGTTGAGAAAATTGGATGAGAAAATTTCAAACAAGACTGGAAATTCCACACTCAAGAGTCAAATGTGGAAATCCTTATACATTGATGAAAACAAGAACATTGAAGCACAAAACGCTGTTTGTAAAGATAGATTCATGTATAGACACTTTGGTAAGGCTATGGATAATATCAGTGTGAAACACAAAGACGAAAAGAAACCTCCTCTCATGACTGTTAAGGTCATTATCTCAGATACAACAAGCGATTTCAGAAATTCCATCTTTGATCTCTTCAGATCCAATGACAATGATAATTTGTTCGGAACTTTCCACACAGGTCTATTGATTGGACCATGGAGATTTGACTTTTATGATCATTCCATTGTGAGAGTAAGAGGAGATTACAGAAACTTTAGAAACGAGTATGCTGTCTCAGTCATTGATTTTGGAAGCTATCACAAGATTGATCAAATTAAGACAGCTCTCGACACAATTGCATCTGTTTGTATTGAATACAATGGATCAAAGACTTACGATGCTGTTAAATGTAATTGCCAACACTTTGTGATGAATGTCTTGCGTCGTCTCAATTTATGGCAAGAGAAATTACCACAAGCTCTCACACCCTACGAAAGATACATGGAAGATTTAAGAAAAGGCATTAGTGAAAGAAGATTCTATTTATCAAAGGCAATTCTCGCCAAGAAGAAGGAATATCCAGATAGCAAATATTGGGATCAAGAATATGTCACTTTCCACACAAGAAAAGAATTGAATGAATTCTGTCATTGGCTTGACAGCATGAAATACTTTGAATCGGATGATGCTTCAGCTAGTATTGACATTCGACTTTTGAAATCATTCGACCGATCGTTCTGTTTGAGAAACATGAACCGAGAAGATGATAGAGGAGAGGAAGACAAGGATACTGTATGGTTCTTCTCTGAAGATGGAACTTATTTGGCCAACTCGATGAATAAGCTAGTGTTTAACTTGCCTGCCTTAACATTCCAACCTCCATGTCGAGTGTAAATTTTAATAAAAACACAAATCAACAACAACAACAACTGTTTGAATCAATAAACAACCATGATAATTCTGAAAAGTGAGTAGTAAGTTCTTGTTCTGAATAGTTTCATCTCTTTTGTCATGAACTGTTCTTCTCAGTGTTTAACAATCTCAAATTTTTTTTTAATAATCACTTTCCATGCGTTTATTTGTTCGAAAATTCAAACGTTATTCATGGCTGTGTGTGCAATTAGTACAGTTAAACGTGGTTCATGTCATCAAAGTTAGTGTAATTATTGTTGTAAATTTCAATTATTGTTTCTGTCATCAAGGTTTAGTGTTAATTTCAAATATTGATAGTGTCTTGTTCATATCAATGAAATTGGGATTAAAATCGTATTGTTGTTCAAATTCATTCCAGGTGAGTTTCAATTCTTCCATGAAAAAATGATTTCGTTTCATCCACATTTTAGTAATAGATCGATAAGCTTCCTTAGTAAATACTTTGTCCCATTTCTTACCCAATCCAACTTTAGCACCTGTTAGGCTATGGATATCTTGCTTAGTCTTGATGAGGTACAATAGTCGTTTGGAGAATTTCCTGTTATTCTTTGCATATATTGAGATATTATATAAATTCCTAAACATTTCTTTTCTAAGATCACTACAGTATATTTACATTCAAAAATAATGTGTTGCATTGTCTCTCTACTACAGTAAGGACATAGCAAGTTCGTCTTGGATATCTTGTTTGGATTTTCCAAAGTCTTCATCACGTTCACTCTAATTTTAAATATTAGATTTATGGTTCTGAAATCGATTCCTATTGAGGGGTAAATGTTGGTGAAATTTCTGTTCTTGGGAGGAAGGTTTGTTTAACAATCTCAAACTTTCAAAAAAAATGAAACAAACAAAACTTTCCTTTCCGACATCAAAAACAAGCCAAAAGCCTCTTTCTCAACATCATCATGAAACTACGGATGAAAATCATAACAAGAATGGAAAAAAGAGAAAACAAATTGCATTGGAGTCTACAAAATTAATGAATGAAGAAAATAATTTAAAGGATTCGGAGACTTCATTGGTTCACGAACAAACACGAGAAATCATATTGAATAGAATTAAGAGGATTAAAAATACAATGAAAAGCTCACATGATTTGGATACTCAAAATAATACGAGCGGTCCTGTCAATAATAATGCCAAAGAAAATAACGAAAAAAGTCTTCCACAAAAAGATTCCGAAGAGGATTATGAAATTATTTTGAACCACGGTTTTGTATTAAATTCGGAAGATATAGCTTCTGCAGAGAAGGAAACGTCATTTGTTCCTATTGAATGCCTGTTGTTGGATGAAGTCGATGAGGCTCCTGACTTTAATTCGATTGATGCAATCTCACACGAAACGATACAACTCTCTCAACTTTTCTCGAATGTGGATTTTGTTGTTTTATACTTTTTTAAACAAAGCAAAAAGTCGAAAGACCAATCAAATTTATCAAAGAACTTCTCAAAGAACTGGAAGACATTTACAAAGGAACGGAAAGCTAAGGTCATTGGAGTGTGTGCACCACAACATTTTCAACAACAAGAAAAATCATGCAAGCATTCAATCATTGTCGATAAAGACCTATCAATTTGCAAATTGTATAGATGCATGGATTCCAAGTTCACAAAGCCACAACTTGTGACATATATCATTGCAAAGGTTGGAGATGACACCTCTAGGCTGAAAATTGTGAAAATTTTTCACAAAACACCACCTAATACTCTTATTACTAACATTCTAACATTTATTGACAGTTTTTCAATGAAGGAATTTGAGGAACAATCCTCACACTTTCATTTTCAGCTCACACATTCACCCATTATGAACTCTATTCATGATGCAAGCAGTAAATTATTGGCAAGCGTCACCGGAGAGACTATACACGACAATATTGTGGAATTTATTTCTGAAGGAGAAGCTTTTCAAGCCTTACACGACCATTGCTTCGAGCTGGTTCAACACCTCAAAGATCTTGAACCTAAAACAAGAAAAGTATGGGAAATTATCCTTCTGTATTTGAAAAAGATTATCATGCTGTGTCAGAAAATACACAAGGAATATCATACTCAAGTCCATTCGTATTTTCAGTCCTCTAATTTTTGGACAAAATTCTGGGATGAAATTTTTGAGATATTTTCACAATTGAGAAATGGTTCTCTATTATCTTCTCTTCAACGTCATGAACTCATTCACAAAATTATCGCCTTAGAAAAGGATGGTCACTTGGGTTCAAGACTTGGAAGGACATTATTTGAAAAGAAAGAGAAAAAGAGATATTTACAAATTGTTTTTGAAAATTTTAAACAGAGACCCACACGAGAACATTTTATTGAAATTGAAAAGAACTTTTTTCATCATTGTACGGACAAAAAAGAAGAAATGATTGAGAAAATGATTGACTTTTGGGTTTCCAACTTGGATCATCATGCTCATGATGTACTTTTTGTGTCATTGGGATCTGAAGATCATTCTAAAATTTATCAAATTCTAAAATTATTGGATTCCCATGTGGAAGACACTCCTGAAGAATTACAAGCAGCAAAAATTATTGTGCCGAGCTTTCCCAAAGAAATACAACAATTGTGTATGAAGAGAATGAAGAGCTTGTGTTGTAAAATGTTAAATTGCCTTCAAGCGAGGATAAGGTATTTACTGAGCTCGAGCAAGGAAGATTCTCCATATTTGGAAATGTTGAGCGGCCAAAGCACAATGTCAAGCGAAGAAATGCAGCAGCGTGCGTTTATTCAACGACTTGATCTTCGATTTCAGGAAGAGATTCAATACAAGGAACTTAAACGCAAGCTTGAACATGTGGAGATTCCCTATTATGTGTACCCTTCTTTTCCAAAGGCATTTCAAGATTGGGCTCTCATACTCCGAGAAGCCATTCAGAATGTTATTGCTGCGAATGAAGATTCAACCAAAGATAAGAGCGTTCTGACAGCAGAATTAAGGTCTCAAATTTCGGCATGTCTTTCGAAGGAAATTCAAAAAGTTGGCCAAGAACAATATTGTGCCATTTGGGAATTGTTAAATCAACTACAAACAAGTAGGGCAATACGAAATGATTGTCTAGGATATGAATTTCAAGATCAAAATGGGTTGGGAATGGTCACAATTTTACTTTCCATGAAAAATTCAAAGTGATTCAGATAATTCACACACTCCATATTATTCAAAACAATAATAAGACACTTAAACATCAAATGAATGAAACGTTTTATTTACAGGTCTTATGGAGATTAGCTGATGCGTCTGAATCTATTTGTTATATACACTTGTTGGCGCATATCTTCCTGCAAAATTGCAAAATCCTTCGCAAACTAATTTGACTTTTCAAATTTAATTTCTTTCTCCAAAACTTGAGATAATTCCTTTTGTAATCTCACCCAAAATTTAGGAAAGCCTTCTCTCGTACAAATCCAATCATCAGCCACATGATCGTATTTGAAGTGCCAAGGACCGCTTAATGCACTCGAAAGCCACAATTCTCTCGCTGGTGTTTGTCTTGAAATCACAAAAATCAAAGGTCCATTTGACTTTCTCGTTGTAATTTTAATATTCACCACACCATCATGTCCTCCTTCAACTTCCATATCAATACCCTTCTCTTCCAAATAATCTGTTTCATTTTCATAGAATTCATCCAAAACTTCAGTGATGTATTCCACGGATCGATTGATTGCTTTTAAATATTGAGTTTGAGTAAATGGAAAATCTCCGAGTGAAGTATGGTCAACCATTCCATCACCAGATTTTTCTGAGGAAAGAGTAATGGAGGAATGGAAATTCCGACAATGATGAGAAAAATAAAAAGGAAATTGTTCATGATTCCGATCTCTTAATAATGAGCGAGAGGAAGATGAAAATATACAATTCTGTACATGATGATGATTCTTGCTGTATTTCACCACGTTCAAAGAAAGAGCAGAAAAGAGCCGATGATTGAGCATTTTTTTAATTTTTACAAATTTCTTAATTAGGAATCACCTCAAACACCATTTTATTGTTCATGATTATCATCTCGATGATGACTCTTGTAAAATACGAGTAATTGTTTGTACTCTTTCAATAATTTAGAAATTTCAGAATATTTCAAATCATCAAGATGTGCATTTTCAAATTGTCCAACAGGATCCTCTCCATCATGATTCGATGAGTTCAATAATTTTCCACTCTCGTGTTGCGACTTTTTCTTTGCTTTCACAAATACCATTGGACTTGTATTCACTTCATCGGTCTTGAAAATAGTTTCATCCACCTCTGTAGTTGTATTGTTTGAATACTCAACCATGTCATCAATCGTGTCATGACTTTGTGAAAGGGTTGGACTTTCAAATAATGTTCTGGAAGAACCAATAGAAGATGTATTCAAGTGTTGTTCAGACGTTCCATGATGAGACGAAGTGTTCGTTCGTTCTCGAGAATCTCGTGCCAAAGAAATGGTAGGTTTGGAAGATACTCTTTTCTTTGAGTGATGTGGTGAAGATGTTGTAGTGGTGACCGTGTTGGTGCTCATGCTGGTGGTAATTAAGGATTCATCCACATTAAAATCTAATAAAAATTGAACGGCTGTTTCAAATTGATTGAACCAATATTCATGTTCGGGAGGAACGCCACTCAGTAGTTGATGTTGGTGAGCTTGTTTGGAATAGTGAGAAGGTGATGATTCGGAAAAGACTCCACAAAATCTCTTGCAATAAATTAAATGTGAATACAAATAAGGAGTGTTTGAGCGGATAATGTTATACACGAGCAAGATTAAAAAATCATCAATATTGTAAGAATTTCCTGCCATTTTCATAGTTTCAATGAGAATGGAACAGCAATGTACAATGACTTTAACTTTTTCTTCTGGCATGATGAAAGTATCTAATTTTCGTAATTCCAATTGTGCCATTTTGCTGTCACAAACTTTTGAATATTTTGATGGAATTCCAAAGTCAAGAGGTTCAACGTCGAAGAGGAGGGAATTTTTTGTACTCAGCAAATTATCCTCCTTGTTGAATAATTGTCGTTGTGAGGTGTTTGCGTTGTCAAAAATTCTGGGAATCATTTGCCGATAAATCTTTGACATGATTGTTTTTTGTAAAAGTTTTTCAATGCGCTCCAATTGATGTTCTGGAATCTTGACTTCTTTCAACATGTTAAAGATTTCTGTTCTTTTAGAGATAAATTGATTCTTGATGAGTTTTTTCTGATCTTCTAAAAAGGCAGATTTTGAAAAGTCTTTCACAAATTGTTTAGAATCAATTTCATTGATAAACTCTCCGACTGAAATATTGTCAAAAATGTCATCGGCTGTTTTACGTTCCTTCTCCAGTTCATTCACTTGAAGTTCAACGCTGTGAAGAATACGCAATAATTTCTTGTGTTTAGTTATCATGAGCTGAATGTTTTCTTCCCAAAAATCCACATCTCTCATGACACTCTTAATGAGATCCTCCATGGGTTGATTTTCTGGGTGCGATTGTAATTCCTGTTTGAGTTCTTGAATATAACAACTAATGACACACCTTTCAATGGATCCATCATTTCGTTCCTGAGAATCAATCAAGTTTAGTAATTGTATAAATGTGTGCATATCGTCTTCTCCCAAATATTTAAGCTCAGAGCAAATTCTCTCAATAGAGTCCACAGAAAGTAATACATGTTTCAATAATTGTGAAGTACGTTGAGTAGAAGTGTGTCTGTTTTCATGGTTGTTATTGTTACTATTATTCGAAACTAAGACGTCTATATTTTTCATGATTTCATCTGAATTCAGAATCTTATGATTCATGATAATGAACTTTTCATCTCGATAATTTTTTCTATTCCAAGACTGGATTTCTTGAAGATTTTCAAGGATTATCTTTGGAACATCTTCACATGTTTGGAAAAACTTTGATTCCATGCATAAATGAAATAATAATTCTACATCCTTTGTGGAAATGCATATGGGGGACAATATTTGATACTTTTTCAATTCTTCAATGGAGGACGAGGTTACTACGGATTTTCTGACATGATTGTTAATGTAAATTTTCAAGTTTCCGACGAGATCTTTTCTCTCATGAAACCAATCATTTAACATGTTCTCAAACATTGAGTTGAGCTTAGTCGTGTGTCCTTTGATAAAGTCATTCAAATAAAAGAAGGGTGATGATTTGTCAAAGGTTTTTTCCATAGACGTGTAGTGCAGAACTTGGATGACAGATTTGAGTTTGTGTTGTAACTTGCTTCCGACTGGAACATCGGTCAATTCAAAGCATTCTGGCCTAGAGATGGCTGGCAACAAAAACCAGCCAAACAGAAGTCGCTTCAACATTTGAATTTTCTGATTTTGAGGAACTTGAGGCCCGTTTCTTTTCGTCAATCCTTTGAGTAAGTACTTGAACAGCAATAATATCGGAGGTGGTAGGGTTGAGATTTTCTCATAGAGGCTGTGTAGAATTCTTGTGCATATATTATATAAATTTGCATCAACTACAAATACATTTCGTTGAAACCGTATATTAGTGACATAAATCGAAAAAATAAATTTCATGATTTTGATTCAATTTTGAAGTAATACTTACTCATAGATTGTGTAATTAGTTGCTGTTTCATCTGTTGTTGTGTATTAAAGACACTGCTAGTGACATAGTCGGGTGAAACAGGAGAGACATCATTCACGCTACACGTATTTTGGAAAAATAAAATAGGAACCTTCTGTGAAGGTTTGTTTGATTCTGGTACTGATTTTTCTTGCTGCGTTGACTGTGATGCGAGGGGTGAAATGTCAAGAGGAACTTCGAGATCTTCATTTGAAAACAAATCAAATAATGGATCTGTCATGATACTCTTGATAAAATGTTTTCCTTTCCTCCTCAAATAAAGGAACACAAGTCGATACAGGAAAATGTTTTCAAATAATTCAAAAGGATTTTCTGAAGAACAACTCTCAAATACAATGTGGAATGTGGTCTATTCATCCACAAAAAATTTCCACGGTCACACATTTTCACAAACCGATGCTAAAGTACTTCCTTAATACAAACCTTAATGAATTTTAGAACACATTTTGTCTCTAATGGATTTCCAGAATTTCCATACAATGAATAAATCATTATAAATGCAAGTCGATCACAAGACTCAAACTCTTCAGTGATGGATGAGGATCCACTCGGTGACAATGTCTCTGTGGGACTTGAAACTTTCCCATTTTTAAGAGATTTTCTTTGCAAAATTAATTGATTAATAAATTGCTTTGAAATCCAATTCTTGATACTTTTACAGAATAGTTTTGGTTGATGACGAATATATTCAATAAATTCTTCATAGTGCCGTTTAAGTACAGAAAAAGGATGATCCTTATCGTGATATTTAAACATTCTTGATGGTTTAGTAACCGAGGCCAACTTGAGTAATGACGAGCTCTGTTGAGAGCTTCCATACGACGCCGTATTATTGTCATTGAGACTGGATGTTGTTGAATTTAGAGAATTGCCAACCGAAAGACTACTGCTGCTACCACTACTGCTGAAAAACCCTTGGAAAAGCTTTTTACCCGTTGCCTTGGCAATAGAGGTTGCAGAAGCACTGGTTGGAACCAGAGTGAGTATATCATCCGATGATGCTGTTAAATTACTGCTGCCTGCAGCCATTGTCGTGATGAGAATATTCATGAAGTTCGGATCATCGACCATCATGAAAGAATAATTCTTGTCTATGGCAACAAATTGTAATCGTGTATGATTAATAATTAATGGTAAATTCATTCTCCATCCATTGATTCTATCACATGCATTTTGGATATCGGTTCGTAATTGTTGATGAAATAAATGTTGTTCACGAAGTGTTTTTTGGAGTCGGCTCACACGATCGAGTATTCCCAACTCTTCCTGTACTTGCTGATGTTGTTGATGTTGTTGTTTCAAATCGGAAGGATTTAAAGCAATTGAAAAACGTTGATTGTTAATAATACTGAACATGGAGGGAGATTTCGGGATGGATTGGGGTTTTAATTTGGGGTTAGTCTCCTCTGTTTTATGGTAATCATTGGTTTCATTCGTGTTGTTGGAATTGGGCGGTGATGGATTACCGAGAGCAGGCGATGATGAAGGATTTACAGGAGGGGATGAGGGAGAAGACATTACAAATAACCGTTCATTATTTTTTTAAGGCTGCCAAAGCAATTAATTCCTTTATGACAACATGACTCTCAAGCTATTATTATTCGATGGTATATTGAAGAATTCCATCTAAATGACCGTCACCTGCAAAAACTGTGGCTTTTCCAGCCTTATTGGGCATTTTGGTTGTCAATGTGTAGAGACAAGACCCTTCCTTTTTTGAAAAGGCTCTCATATCAGAATCAATGGATAAATACATTCCCATAGCGCATGACTCTGAGGGAGCTTCAACCTTAAAGGTATATTCGGTGTTTCTCGAAAGTTTTCCAAATGAAGGCTCAACAAGTTTAAAACCTAGATCACCCATCTTTGGGAAAACGAGAGGAAAGCCTGAGAGATCCATGGAGGCTGAATCTGCAACTTTGAACACGTATGTACATCCCCAATCTTTCTCTCCGTTCGCCTCACGTCCTACAAATACCACCAAATGATATTCAACATTCTTCTTTGGTAAGAAAATTTTTACATGGGCGGTGTCACCATTCTCTGAATAAATAGGATTTACATTACTGAAGAGGGGAGAACCACCATGCCCCTCTGTTAAGTTAAATAACCATTTGGTTCCAGGGAGAGCTTTCATCACTACTTCCTCAATATTAGATTTTTTCAGAATATTGTAACCTTTGTGATGAGAGACTGAAGTGAGACCATGATCGAAGCCAATTATGCAAACTCGATCCTCAAACACTGACTTGGAAACGGGAGAAGGAAGAAGCTGCCAGTTACTATCTGATGGATAATGTGCAGCGATAAATTCATACGGGGACATGAAAAAGTATCTATCGACAAATCTTGCCGTGAATGTTCGTCCATTTACATGGCCAGCGCCCCAAGTTGCCTCTATCAAATGCCACTGACCATCCTCAGTTTTAATTGCTGTCCAAGCATGATTTGTTGATGAGATGGGTTTTCCAATTTCATAAGAGGCACCCTTCGCGTAACCGTCAATACTTTGGCAGTCAGTTATACCTGCCACTTTACACATCTCCTTAAACAAGTCACTGCAGCAGTTGTTTGGTAAAATTTTTGCAATGCAATGTAAAATAATTCTCTTACCTATATCCAGAGCATACTGCTTTTCGTGATTGCCAGGCCGAATTTGAGGTGTACGACATCTTACCACTATATAATCCCTCCACATCGTATCGAATATTGTTTGTGATCCATCGATAGATGGCTCTTGCTTTCTCCTCAATAGTATGATACTGATCTGTCAAATAGTGAGCGCACTTTTCTAAGGTTGCTTCCTCTGATTTTGATATGGAAAGAGCACGTCGATCTATTTCTGCATATTTGTGCTCGTATTGTCTGAATTTTCTAAAGTCTGGTTGGAAGGGGGTTGGCTCAAAATTTTCTAAGATTGCATCAGGAACTTGAGGACGTGGTATTGCCTGTTTTGATATCAAAGGAGTTGCTTGTTTGTCCTCTGTTTTAGGTTGTTGCTTTGATTTGTTGTTTCGAGCTGATACCTCAGCCTTTAGATCGTTAGTATTTCGTTGCGTGGCATGTTGTGATTTTGCCTTTGTGTTGTTCACAGTACTTCCAGGATTTGTGTGCTTATTTACAGAGGAACTAATGGCAGAGCTATCTTTTTGAGTGTTTGTAGTGGCATTGCTGTTGGTAGGGATCTTTTGATCTCTTCTCCGATTGTACTGAGAGAATGTTTTGTCTGGTGGTTTTGACGCAATAAAGGAATGCTTGACAATGGTTTGTGTGGTGGAGGTGGTAGAGGAGGTTGTGACGATGTTGTTTGAATTGTTGAGGGTGGTATTGGTTGTGATTGTTGTAGTCATGGAATTTCCTCTTGCTCCTGAACTACTGGGGAGTCCCCTCTTTCCCGACCTGCTTCCCAACAAGTTCGCTTCCCATGCAGGTCTTCGTTTGATGAGGTGAGTGTCTTTTGCCAATCCCGACGAGGAGCCACTCTTTTTCGGAATTGCGCTGGTGCTTTTCATGCTTCTAGATGTTATAAGAAAAACAAGCAGATACGTCGATGAATTAATATTTCCTACAAACGATTATGAAGATGATGTAATGAGGATGATGATGATGATGGGGTAGTCCTCCAACTCTTTGAGGGTTGTTGGGATGAACGATCCAACTGCCTTAACGAATTTTTTTTTGTGATTAAAAAAACTGCTTGTGATTAGGTATCTCTGCCTGATCATCCGTGATTATATGTTCCCGAGTTCAAGAACCATGCCGCAAGAGAGTCAAAGAGGACAACATTTGCATGAATGTTATTTATCATATGGTTTGGGTAAAGACATTGGAAACATAATCGAGTGTTGAGTATGGAAGAAGAATACTTTCCATCTGGAATTAGAATTTTTATTTGAGACCAAACAATGGATTCACATCTGTTTGTTGTTGTTCTTGTTGATAAGGTGCTTGCTTATTCTCGGTGCACATCTTCTTCAACTCTCTTTCATAAGTGTTCCATGTAGGTGATTGATCAACGAAATCATTCATGATTTGCTGTTGTTGCACTTCAATTGGTATGTTATGAACCGTACTAGTGGTGGCGTTGTTGTGTGTTTCTGTGGTGGTAAATGGCAAATCCAATACGGTTGGGTTCATGGAGCCCAGTAAGAGCGTCAATAATTGTTGTTCCATCAATGTGTGTTGTTCGCTATTTCCTTGCAATTTCAAACTCTCGCAAGTATCAAACAAATTGGATGCAAACATGTTGGATGAGGAGAAGGGTGATTGTGCACCAGCAGCATAGAAGGATGGTGTTGAGGCTGAGGTGTTTTCAAGACCAACAGATTCTTGATCTCGAGTTCTCTTTGAGCCTTTCTTGAAAGTTAGAGTCATGGAAGGTTTTGGAGAGGTTTCATTGGGAGAAGAAGACTCTTCGGGTGGTGAGAGTGGTGTTGCAGCAGAAGCAACTGTCGTTCGAGGGGAATCATGATCTTCCTCATGAGAAGAATTTGGGCTTGAACTACTGGATGATGTTGAAGCTTGTTGTTGTTGCTTTTTAGAGCCAGGTCTTGCAATGGGCTTTTTGGATTTGATGACAAATGGAGGTGATTTCAACACGACCACATCCTTGTAAGTGTTGGAGTTAGTATTTCCCTCTCTCACAGACAAGATCACTAATAACCTAAACTTTTTGTATCCATACTTGTAGGAGCAAATATTGAACTGAAATGGACCCAATTTCAAATTCATACCATCGAAGGAATGTTCTGTGTTGGACATGCAACAAGGTTGACCATCTCCTGGCAACACGGGAGAACCATCTTCAAAGCAAATCTCCACTCGGCACTTGACCTTATTCTTGTTCAGTTCATTGAGGGCTTTTCGTGAAGGTTGTTTTGCATTCTGTGAAGTGAGAGTGGCAGTACTCACATAATCGTTACCAAAGCTATTCATCTTCATGAGCATGTGATACTTGTATGGGATTTTGTACCAAATGGTTTCGAATTGAGAAGTGAAAAATTCCTTTCTCTTCTTACAAGCTTTGAATTGAGGAAATTCACCCAATTCCCATTCATGTTCTCGTTTGGAATCGAGCCATTCTGTTTGCCAAGAGTCCTGATGATTGGAGGATGCAGCGTTGTTATTCTCAACAATATTCGTCGACGAAGGGTCATTCACGACGGTGTTTTGAGAGGGAATGTTGTTATTTGCAGTGTTTTGAAGAGGAGTTGTTGAATTCAATGATGATGAGGTCATTGTAGTTGGAGATTGTGTGATTGCATTGGATTTTACTTGTTGTTGAAGTTGTTGTTGTTGAAGCAACGATGCCTGTTGTTGGGCGATGACCTTATACGAGAGTGTGTTTATCGTGGGTTGTTGTTGATGTTGAGAAGGTAACTGAATGGGTGCATGTTGTTGTGGCAAATGGTTCAAGAGAGAACACTGTTGTGGTTGAGAGGTCAATTCCTGAAGTTGTTGGATGTGTGAAAAAAGTGCCTCATCCATGTCCAAACCAAGAAAGTCTGTGTTGTTGCTGTTGGAATTGACCATGTTGGAATCGTACAATGCTTGTTGTTGGTAATTCTGTTGATTCAAAACAAGCAATTGTTGTTGGTTTTGAAGCAAATTATGAGAAAGTTGATGATGATGCAAGTATGGATGGTTATGATGAATATTCGATTGAAATGCAGAAGGTGAAGTGTACAAGGTGGAGTGTGGATGAAGTTGTTTTTCCAACATCAAAGAAGTCAATGGATAGCTGTTGTTGGCATTCACAGCAGTCGATAAGAGGTGTTGCATTTGTGTGGTGGTGGTTGTGGTGGTAGTGTTTGGATGGAGTGAGTGGAGAAGGTTAAGATGATTGGGAGATGACCGATTGGAAGAATTCGATTCGACTTGAGGTGGTGGTGCTGAATAGAGAAGAAGATTGGAGGTGCTATGAATACCACCATCGTTCGTCGTGTTCACAGCAGTGGAGGTAGTTGTTGTTGCTGTTGCTACTGCTGCTACTGGATGATAGAGAGAATGATATAATTCCATAGTATTCATCATCATCATGTTAGAGAAGTGGAGTTTTACAATTAAAGATGGGAAGTGTTGTTGTTGTGAATGTACGAGTGATAATTGTGATTTCACAAAATTTGTTCAATAGTACCGTAAGTGGTGTTGATGGCTGAATTTAGTAGAGACAGGAATATTGGGAGTCAAATCGAATATATTAAAACACACACAAATTAAAAAAGAACTTGGTTTCGTGTGATGATGGCAGCACGTGTTATCATGCGCGCTCTCTTTGGACAACGTTGGTTGGATAGGACAGGACAGACGGTGGTTGTTGAAAAGACACGAAGAGTCGAGACTTGTTCAGTTTCAGATCCACAATGCTTTCACTTTTTTCAAAGGTGGTTTTCTTCATTGTCTCAGCATTTGGTTGCTTCTGAAGGTGTTTCCCATGATATCACTCTTGTTTTGAAGCGTGATAAATGCGTGATAAACAAAAAATCACGAATATCTCGCGGCCGGAAAAACTTTGGTTCTTGACAGTTGACTGTCTGATCACTTTTGATGTCGGGTTTGTTCGCAAATTGGTAAAGGAATAATCAAATAATTTTCTTATTATTCAACATTAACTCTAAAGGAATAGTGACAGGTCATCAAGATCAATGGCATATCAATTTTCATTTGATCTAGTTTCTAGCCCACGACTTCAAGACACAACCCAAAATGTTGAATTCAACCTTTAATAATAAAACCATTGAGGTTCAGTCACAGTCTTATGAGCTCAACATGTATCTGAACCTTCCTTACAGTTAACAAAGAATGAGACTATTTTCTGGTGTTCAATCAGTTTCTCATAAACAACATCAAAAAAAATGTTCCTCTTCAAGCGAAAGAATAGCTCGGCGATCAATACCGGCAGTGCCAACAACAACTCGAATAGCTCGGAACAAAAACAACAATTTACTTTTGCTATTCAAATTGAGAGTATTGGTATGTGTTTTGATCCAAGATGATGATTTATCAAAGATGGATTGTATTGTTGTAAATTACCAATATGATGATCATTTCCATAATTTTTTTTTTGAATACAACTCGTGAATGTTATGGATCTTACAATCTCCAATTTTACCGACCATTTTGATGATCCTCCACACATCACAGAAAATGTTCCTCTCTATTTTCAAGTTCCGCTCGGCGTGGAGTTGCACAAATTGAATTTGACTTCAATTCCTAGCCAAGCCATTCTAACATTGAAAGGAAAGCTATTCAGAAAGAGAAAATTGATTGGAGCAACATCTTTTAAATTGACTGATAGTGCCTCAAAACAAATTACTTATGCCTCTACGTTGGAATTTTTGGTCAACATTCCCATCGATAAACAGAAAAATCGTATTTTGAAAGGACCAGTCACATCCTCAACTGTTTTTGAACCAACATGTTGTGATTCTCAACAGGATACCAATGATGATAGCGATGATGAATATGCTGCGATGTCCAATAATAGTAACGGAAAATTCTTGCACATTGTCGTATCCAAGAAATTCAATACTGCTTCTAAACCCGCCTTTGTCAATGATTGCTTATTGGATTTAACACATTATTGTAGTTTACAGCAAGAATGGCAGGGACGAGTTTCTATTCCTGTTGAAATTACGAAAGATGTGACTGCAAACATTAATTTACAAATATTTTCTGTTGTGGGAAATCAATTAAGTTCAAATGGAAGACGATCTGGCAGTTTGGATGTTCAAAGAGGTAAAGCAAATAGCTCGTCAACAACGCCACCATTAAAACGAATCGATTCCCTGAATGACAAAACAGATACATCTCCACAGCAACAAATTCCAAAAGTAGCCACCAATTCAACATCTTCAACGCCTGTAAGCGTTTCAACACCCACTTCAACATCGACCACAGCAGTTGTACAAATGTCGACTCCTACAACAGTTTCCTCTCCACAAATTTCACCACAAAACATTATTAAGGAAATGAATTTACTTCAGTTTGAATCGAGCACTAGTTCGCCATCCTCAACGAACAGCAATGTAAATAATAACAATAATAACGGGCAAACTACTGTAAATAGTACCATGAACAGTAATATGGGAAATGTCAATAACAGCTCAAATGGACTTTCTAATCAAAGCTCTATGAGCGACTTTTTCAAAAAGAGAGCTGAGGTGAATAACGGAAGATCTCGTTCCGACTCCTCCCCTGGGCTGCAACTAACAAATTTTGATAACAACAATGGTACACCAAACTCCACATTCTCTCCAACCAGTGCATATCAGGTGGACAACTCTCCATCTGAATCACCTTCAGTAGAAACTATCAAACAGGAGAACGCTCATCTTAAATCTGTCTTGCAACGAGCTAAAACCAGATTCCAAGAAGTTGTGACAGAAAACGCGCAACTCAAAGAGCGAATCAAACAACTAGAGGCACAAGTTCTCTCATTACAGCTTTCACAAAACAGTAACAGCATACAAATTCCCAAAACAGCCCAAGATTTTTTTGATCCATTTCAATAAGTATCATCCTGTTGACGATCAATGTAAATAGAAATACTTCAACCTGCTATATTAAATTATATTAGAACCTTTTTTACCACATGCCAATTCTTCTTGCGTATGAACGGAGGTATTTATACAACTGTATGTTTTTCAACTTTAAAGAAAAGAATTGAGATCTTCCTGTAGGCCTCAATGTCAATTCTCTTGAGGTGCGACTGTTTTGTCCATTCATCGTAGTTTGATTTAAACAAGGGACTACTTACCAAAGAGGAGAAAGAATACATGCGACGATGTTCATTACTTTTGGCAGTTTCATGTCGCTATTATTTACCTCAAAAGCTGTCAAGAATCAAACTTTGCCAACCACAATTCGCACGAATGAAATTCCTTTGTAATTGTCATATCAGTTATTTCTGACGATTCTCCCATATTTAAAAAAGAAATCAACCACATCAATCTCTCTCATCCGACTTTCTCTCATAGCATTATCGTCTCTCATTGCTGCTGCTGGAGTGATCGCCTTCTTGTACATCAGTCAACGAACGCGTATTCATTCTTCTGTGTGTTTGTCATTGAGAGAGTTCTGATCCAATTTTCTCAAGTTGCGATCTCTTTGATGTTTATTGATCGAACATCAACCACGACCCGAGCATTGTCATCACCCTTGAACAAGTTCCAAATAACACTTCAAGAGAGAATGCTTTCCAAATCTCCCAAAACACCAAACAACACCTTTCTGAGCAAAATTCTCTCCAATTTGTCCCCCAATTCAACAATTCCTTCTTCTGTAAATACAATACCCAGCAACACGAGTAGCAAACATTCGTCATCATCATCGTGGTCCACCTTGTTTGGTTCCTGTGTCATTCTGCCTCTTCATTGTCTCTTGTTGCATCCTTCGGTACATCTTTCCTCCTCACTTCTAAATTTGGAAATTCACGACAAGAAAAATGAAAGTGGTGATCATTGTTCATCATCAACGTCCTCTTCATCCTCGTCAGCCTCATCCTCCTCTTCTCACTCTTCCTTATTATTACAACCATCCAGTAATAATAATGAAAGAAGAAAATCCATCCATGGCGGATCTGCTGCTGCCATGATGATTCCACCACCACACGAATCTCGTTCAGAATTAACTGCCGTTTCCTCCGAGGGCCAGCTTGTCAAAAAGAGGCTTTCTGTGAATCGTCGTCCTTTCCAAAGTCGTTCTGTACCTAACCAACATCATCATCATTACAATGATCACTCAGATGAATCTGTGGGGAATCGCACAATGAGTAATAGCTCTTCATCCTCTTCAGAAAATGATAACATTTCTTCAACTTCGTCATCGGCATCTCCTCGCACCTCTCCTCAGAAGGCGAAGAAACAAGAGATGAAATTGGAAGATTGTGGGAACGTGGAATTCTTGAGAAGACGATTTATTGAATATATTGAAGGTCATGATTCTATGAATGTCAAATCTCCTGAAATCAAATTGTGGTTTTTAGATCTGTTTTATGAGACGACAAGGCGAAACTGCAAACATCCATTAAGGAAATGTATCGACGTTTTAGTGTTATTGGAAGAATTTTGTAAAAATTATATCACTTATTTGCAACTGCAGAATGATTTTCATATTGCATTTGGAACGATTGAGGAATTAAGAAGAACAGGCTGTGACTGCCCCTTTCTGACCTACTTGTCGCATCATGGAAGTCCGTTTAAAGGAGTGAATCATGAAACTCTTGAAGAGTTTTTATGCAATTCTTTGATTGTTTTAAACTCGCAGGTTATTCGGTATGGAAACAGTGAAAATTCAGAAGAATTGAACGCTCACAACCAAACTCTCGAGTCATGCCTGAGGGATATAGGTGCCATTTGTGACATGTTCTACATTGAATTGGACGACATGTTTTCGTATTTTCAAGCTGTGAAATCGAATCGAGAGTTAATGGCCGAATGGCTCAAAAAGGGCATCGAAAATCAAACCATTCCAAAACATGTGATCGAATTATATCGAAAGAAACTACAAGAGGATGAGAAAGCTTTAGAAACATTCCAGTTTCATCAAGATGATTTCAATGCCAAAAGTATCATTGATAAGGATTGGGAATTTTCGAAGTATTTCACCAAAAATACCATCTCATCCGATTGGTATCTTACATGCAAAGAATTTCCCAAATACATTCAATGGTCAACAAAATCTTCATATTCAAACAATGACTGGGATCTGAGAGGTCGATCTAAGCTCATTGCCAATTTAGATTATTCCATCGAAGATGTGGTGAAATCATATAATACGGACAAGCATTTGGCATCTTCGTTTTCTAATGTGAAATTTGATGAATATTTTCCAATCGTTGAATCCAGTTCTTTACACAAATATCCTTCGGGTGTGATGAGCTCCACATTGGACTTGGGAAAATTAGTCAAAAAGAGAAAAGTCAAAGTCATCTTTTCGACCAAAACAAAATTTGTGGGGGATGAGTTGACCGAATTTACTCTCTTCTACAAATCGTGTGAACTTGATAAAACTGCCAATGATGACATTAAAGTTACTGTGATTGGCACAAGAGTGTTCACACGCCTCGACAAGACTCGAACACGCTTCAGTCAAGTTCGAATGGGCAATTTGGGAGGATTTCTCAATTCTTCTCTCATTATTCGAAACAAATTAGCGTTGAGAAAAATTGCGAACGAGGAATATGAAAAATTGATGGAAATGATTGAAGAAGCGAAAAAAGATGGATTTCCCCTACCACCCTTAGAAAATAATTATTTGATGAGAGTGTGGTGCCAATATTGTAAACATTATTGCGGTGTGGATATTCGAGACAAATTAAAGTGAAAGTTGATTCAAGTTGCCTTACTCTATGATGAGCAGATTTGAATAAATTCACAGTCATTCTTAGTAACTTACTTTTGTTTGTCAGTTGGTTTTGACTGTATGTTCACAAAAATCACACTGTTTAAATTTTGTAGTGGTAAACAACAAATTAATTTAATAATTCATGAATTGAGATGGAGGTTCTTCCACTTCGTGCGAAAGTTGTTAAAGGTTTTGACGTGAGCTTGCAACTCGTGTAGGGTCTAGACACTGCACCACCGCTTGTCGACGTTGATGGCAAGTGATATTCTTTTGCAACGACCGAAATAGAGCTCGTGTTAGCACTACCGCCAATTTGTGGACTACCTGCCAAATGAGGAGGTTGTTCGACATTGACAACAGCCTGTCTTTGCAGCAACGAAGATGGTTGTTGTGTTTTCATCGTTGGCGAAACTGAGCATTCAACATTGTGATGCACGCTTGGCGATGTTGTTGTTTGTGAATGGATGATCCTGGTCATTGAATGATTGATCTCTGATTGAGGAAATTGTTGATATTGATGACGTGCTTGTTGAATGATAGTTGGTGAGTGACATTGTTGTATGTTCTGAATAGCCGAAGACAATCTTGTGGGAGATGAATTGGGCGATGAGCAGCTGCTTGGAGTCGTTGGCGATGAACAATTCATGAACACAACAGAGTGAGGATCTTCGCATGAGGGTGTTTGAGAAGGTGACATCGATCCTGTCGCCATCATCATAGCCATTCCATTCTTCTTATCTTTACATGTGAATACCTTTTCAAATGGAAGCATCACATCCTTCTTCTTTGCTCGTTTATGGATGCCATTGTGTTCATAAAAGACAAGACCAAGAGAAGATTTTGATTTGTTATGTGAAGATCCAGAAGAGAACGAGCTCAACGTTCTTCTTCGTTGTGGTGTCGACGAAGAAGCGGAAGAGGAAGAGTTATTGTTCGTTCGTCCTTGTTCTTGGTGTCTCATTGGATCAGAAAGGCAAGGCGATGAGGAGGCAGACATGTTTGGAGATGATCCATTAGCGGAGCTTTTCATCAAGAGATTGTGAGAGTCACGAGTTGGGTTGTGATTCACTGTCATTGGGGAAGAGCTGTAAAATACATATTGGTTGGAACCAACAGCATTTCCAGAAATGTTGTTGGCTTGGTGAGTGAATGATGGAGTTGGTTGCGCCCAATGTAATGGTTGAGAATGATGATGACTGGATGGCAACAACAATTGTGTGGTGGGTTGTGTGTATGTTGTCATGGTGCTGCCATTCGTGTTCATGTAATTGTTATTAATATGGTTATGATGATGGTGTGACATATTGGAGTCAAGGAGTGAATCAAAAAAAGTGCAGGCCTGAGGAGGTTGTGGATCAAATCCCTTTCTTCGACTTGTTGTTTTTTCTTTTCGTTGTGACCAATGACACAAAACGATCGCCTTTGATACCAATGTAGGAGGATGAGATCTTGCAATCACACACATTCTTGATTCAGTGTGTTCGTTAGAGCAGTTGCTGAATGCGGCGCTTGATGCAATCACACAGACTTGGTGTGGCGTGTAGGACAAACACACCGCTCTTGGTTATTTCATGGTTACCATTAGAGGCAGGTTTGAAGAATTTTAACCTGCGAAAGCATCAAAAAGCTAGGTCTATGTTGAAATGGACGACGTCGTGTGTTTGGAAGCGAGTGTGACTCTGGATGACCTTTGCTTTCTATTTGAACAAGAGATTTGCATGACAGAATAAAAGCAATGATTCATCCTGGCCTTTCTTGGAAATGCTAATGACTGAGCGAGTGTCACATCACGTATTGAGTCTTGTTGTTGAATTGGAGGTTTTGCAAAAGCAACCCATCTGTGGGTCTGACTTGTGTTGTATAGGAACAAACATTGTTGATGGTTAAAATAGACGATCTTCAATGATCAGACCTCTCACTTGTCTGGCACAATCTCTCTCGGGTAAATGCATCTCCTTCTATTCTTCGTTGTGCGTCATCTCCTAACTAAACAAGACGACATGTTGTGCACGAAATCAAACAAGTGTTCTCCTTTGGAGGACATGATGATATTTCATGGTTTGATTCAAAGAACTTAAACGATATTCATCGTTCACTTGCTCAATTTATAAATTATTCATTTGGCAAACACATCATTTTTTGGCAATCGCTCAATTTGATGATGAATTTCTGCTAATCTCAAGGTTTGTACTTTTTGAATTTTCTGACCCGAAACGTTTGTTTCTGAGATTGTGTGTTTCAATGAAAGGTAACAAGGGTATCATCAGTGAATACCCATATCACCTGGTAATAACTGATGATTCGCAATAGGGATGAATTTTCTGAATATTTGTTCTGTGATGAACTTTCATTCCGTATATACACAGTCAGATTAAAAGACTCAAAGCTGTAGTTGTGTCGTACGATGAAAAAAGGTTGTTCCTGAATAACTCTCCAACCTCTACGAACGAATGAAGAGGAATCCAAAAGAAATAAACACCCTCAACAAGAATCTCTAACTAGAATCTATGTAACAATGGGACAACGGAGTCATGTTCGGTGATTTTAAAACAGATTCCACATGTTTGGATTGTAATCCTTCTTTTTAGGGGCGAGGTCACTCGAAATTAAAGACCGCCATGAAATTTCCAAAAACTTTATGCGTTTGCCTTTTTTCAAAGTTGAAATGAAATGTATTATTTAATTGAGCATCAGTGTCCACGTATGGAAACAAGATGAACACGTATGCGAATAGCAGCAAAAGTACTCATGAAATCAGATGTCTTTACTCTCTAGCAACAATAAAGTACCTATGAAGCATCTAGATTGAGAGGATGATCGACGTCTCGGAGCAATCTCCTTCAATTTAAAAGCTCTTGAATGGAAATACTGGTACGTTGAGGCTTTTGCCTTAATGAAGGGTGTGGAGGTTGTTTCATCATTAAGCAACTGGAGTTGGTTTCAGTTTTGGATGATGTGATGGATGTCGTGGTCAAGCTTGTCGATGGAATGTCTTGAGGGAGTGCATGCGCTGCTGCTGTTGCTGTGAGTGTTCTTCGAATTGTTGTTGTTACTGCGGGGATTGTGGATGTCTTTAGGCATATGGAGAAACAGCACACCACTACGAAAACAAAGCGTGTCCACGAGTGACGATGGGATTCTTTTTTGAAGGACAACGGAATAGTCGAAACATCGATGTGGCGTGTGGTGGGTTGAAACCAAAACAATTTTGATGGGACACATTTCAGTACTCGAGTTTGAAATTTTTGACATCTTTGATCTGCCTCTACATCTGTCATGTCCTTCTTCTCTGCTGTGGACATTCGCTGATGTGAGGAGAACCATCATGTCCACAATGTCTATCATTTTAGGTTAATGTAACATGGTAGATCATTGGCATGAAACAAAACGGTGAGTTTACAAGCCATAAAAGAGCTGAAATCAACATTAGTCTTCTGGAGCTAATGCAGCCGTAAGTGATCTCGGAATTTCTTCTCCAATCTCACAACTCGCTTGGAATGGTATCTTGCCGTTGAAATTTGGCAAATTTTTCCTTCAATACAAAATAAATTTAGAAATGCTTTTGCCAACGACTGAAGATTTGTGTGGAAAAATTGTTGTTCATGCATCCCCAAAGTTGGACGAAACCTCCTTCCAATCATCTACTCGATTTTTGTATGTCTTGTTGTGCGGCTCCAGGTCACACAAACCAGCAAACAACAAAATCACAATAAAATATTCAAAAAAAAAGCCTCAAATGATTCAGCGGTTTTTATTTGCTGTGATGAACGACTACATTTGCTTCTCGGATGAAGTGCCAGCAATAGGTTTACTCTTCCCTTGCTTGATATGATAAATACAATCAACATTACACTTATCGCAACACTTTTTACACATTTTGTATTTACATTTACCTGACACTTTCACCAGATGGCAACCAGGATTTGTTTAAAAATAATAATATTTTACTACTGAACAAAATAGCCTATTATCTTGATGAATTAAAAGAGATCCCGAGAGACCCCATGAAATCCAATACTTGAGAGCATTTACAGCATTGTGCTGTTGTTTTTAGTGTTTGAGTAACCTGCCATTACCTGCCATCCATACTCAAAGTTTGTGAAATTACCAGGTAAACTCAATCAGTCTCAAAAAAAAATTGACAAGTTCTAGTAGTGCTTTATTATCTTGATGAATACTAAGAGAAACCGTGAGATCCCATGGAATCCAATACTTGAGAGCATTTACAGCATTGTGCTGTTGTTTTTAATGTTTGAATAACCAGCCATTACCTGCCATCCATACTCAAAGTTTGTGAAATTATCAGGTAATTGAAATCAAAATCAAAAAAAATTAAAAGATTCTCTCAATAAATTCCGAATCTTTTGACATACGGGTATCGAGTACAATCGATCAAAACAAGTTTACAGGTTTTTGCAAGAGTTGAGTTTCATTCCTAACCTCATTAAGGTTGTGACTTGACAGTGGTGAGGGTGAGGTGAAATTATTTTTCGTGGCCATCAAAAAAAACATTAAAAAATGGAAGCCTCTTCTTTCAGTGTGATGATCGAGAAAGGACACCAAGTCATCAAGGAGGCATCGTCACTGCTATCATCATTATCACCAACCTCATCATCAACTGAACAACAAGGACAACTCGTTGATAATATTTTAGACAAGCTTGACGATGTGTTGGAGTCTCTCCGAAATGTTCCGGACGAACCAGCCACCTTGACAAGTGACAGTCTTTTTTCACTCAACTCATCATTGAATGAAAAACACTTACAATGGTTCGATCTGACCCAACAAGTTGTTCTTTCACAATGTAAATTTTATTTATTATTATTACGTCAAGACTCCCACAAAAATAGGGACTCGATGATGAATACGTTGGAAATTTTAATCCGAGAATTAATTTCAATTCACGAGTGGATGAAAAGAAGGTGTATTTCCATTTTAAGCAATCCAAATTACAACATTGAAAGAAAGAACGAGATTCAAACAAAATTCTTGAAAAAATCAATGAATGATTGGGAACAATATGTTTCTCCTGTTTTGGAACAAATTTCACACATTACCATCGAGAATGAATATGAAACTGAACTTCCCAAGTATTTACAAAATTATTTGACAAAAGATGGAGGTGTGCCAAAGATTTGTGTGAGAAACAAGAATCAACAAGAAGGAAAGACTGTCTTGCTGAATTGTGAGAATGTCAACGACAAGGAATTAATTTTCAGAGAAGCTCCAGTCTGTAGTCAAATAATTACAGACTCTTCTGAAAATCCACTCTACAGAAAAATTGATTACTGCCATCACTGTATGAGGACCATATTTAGTGAAAAGACCATCTCACAGTCATCCTTATTACAGAAAATTCTCTTCACTCATCCTGCCACAACAGATAAGAATGCTCTGTTACCATCCTCTTCTCCAATCCTATCTCAGTATTCACATCAGCAGCAACATCAACAACAGATTTGTGTGAAAACAAAACCAGTCGCATGCAATCATTGCTCGCTCGAAGTATTTTGCTCCGAAACATGTCGAGATCAAGCATGGACACAGTACCACAGTTTGTTGTGTACAAGAAATTCCTCCGGGTTGCAAAGTGCTTCCTCCACGAGTGAACATCCAATGATTTTGTTGGAACGTTTGTCTGTCAAACAAGGTCGAACTGCTCCCTTAATGATCGCTAAAATGATGGCCTTTGTAGTGAATGATGTATTCATGAAAATTGGACTCACCAATGAAAGTGACAAGATTTCCGATACTTTGAGCCAATTAACACTTCAGCTCATTGAAACTCAACTCGCCAAATCAATGCATATTTTTCAGAGATTTATTCAACATGAAGCCACTCATCCATTCGATACACTCGCTGCTCAACTCATTCGTGAATCGATGGAATTGTCACTCTATCATCTTCCCTCAAATATTGATGTTGTGAAGAAGCAGGAACAAGAAAATTTGATTGAATATATGAAGCATCATCAGGATTTGTCAACGAGTCCACTCATCAGACAACTTGTAGAAATGGTCAGTGATGTCAGACACTATCGTTCTCTTCATGGATTAATTCTTCAAAACTGTTCCACCATTCATCCCATTACCGATATTCATCTTATTGCTCATGAGAACTCTACATTTTCTGAACAAATTTGTAAAGCTCTCAATGTTTCAAATTTCCAACAAGAAGCCACACGTAAAGATGAATTATTACAACTTTCAATGAAAGGAATGGGAGCATTTGCCATACATAATTGCATGAATCATAGTTGCGAACCCACTGCTGTGAGTGTCTCTGATCAGAATAATCATGTCTTGAGTGTTTATGCACATCATGAAAATGGACTGAAAAAGGGAGATGAAGTTCTGATTAGTTATTTCGATGAAAATGCACCCTATGAAGAGAGGAAAAGAAAATTATTGGAACAATACAAGTTTGAATGTCACTGCCCTAAATGTGAAAGAGAATCGAGAACTAAAAAGTGAACCTTATCAAGTCACAACTGTGACTGACACCTTAATTAAAATTTCACAACAGTGAATTTCGTGTGCTCCCAAGGCAGCAAAAAAACTGTTCGGTATTCAAGCCAATACTGTGTGTTCAAACAATTTGGATTATTTCCAATATCAGATTGAATCTTTACAATGCACTTATTCGCATTTTTTTTAAGATTTCCAATCTCCAAAAAAAAAGGTTCACAACATGAATCCTTTGAACCTTTGTAAAGTCTCAATTCTTTTGCGATAAAAACAGAATCATCATCATAATAATTGGAGACTGTTCAAGCACTAGTCATTCCACTTCATCTCCTCAAGTAGTCTTTTCACTCGTTCGCACACAGTCACCTGTCAAATCAGCAAAAAAATGTCACTCCGACAAAAATTCTTCTCAAAATCCAACAAGCGGAATCGTATGAGTGGGATTTTCACTTCTTCAGCGCTCGACACCTCCACAGAGCTACCCCCTCCTTCATTACAACAACAATCATCAACAAAAAACAAGCGAACAAGTGACACATCTCCCATCTCATCCTCGGCACCCTCATTAGCGAATCCACAACAAGAAGGTGCTTGCCATAATAACAACAACAACAACAAGTCTTCACCATCATCCTCTCTGATTTCAAACAACAACAACAACAACAACATCAGTGCTTCTTCATCGGATTCCAATTTGTTGGCCTCTGTTTCTCTTCACAAACAACAACTTGATCCATCATCACACTCAACAACAGAAGTTTCAGGGCTCTCTCCAAGAAGATATACGATGGACGGATCCATGTCGATAGCCACGTCTGGGAATGATGATTCTTCTTCTTCTTCATCATCATCTCTGTCCAACCACACTGTAACAACACCCAATCACTGTATCAGTAACAATGGTCATGATAATAGTAGTAGTAGTGCTATTACGACCGCTGCCAATGGAGCAGAACAAGATGATCATCTTCCTACAATGACGAAGAAGACATTCCCACAACAACAACAACAACAACATCGCACCATCATGAATGAACCTGTTGATTTTCAAAGACAAAGTTTTTCAGGAACCATGACGATGAGTTTTGAACAAATGCTCGCGGAGGATGTGCCGCGTCCGAGAGGACGTTCTTCTTCTCCTTTAGAAAAGCCGAATCAAGAAGAAGAAGGCTCTTCTCTTCTGAATCAGCATCAACAACAACAACAACCACTCAATTTTAACGATAACGACGCTGCTGCTCTCGATCGAGAGCCTTTTCTTCTGGAGGAGAAAAATGCAAATTGTTTGTTGCCGCAACAACAAGACTCCAACAACAACAACAACAACAGCAACAACAACAACAACAACACAACAATAACAACCACTCTAAAGAATCAACCCACAGTAGCAGCACAGCAACAAGAAGAAACAACCACGCCGGCGGAAACGATCGATAACATGACCAAACAACGGAGATCAGTGAGTATGGCTCCAGCCTTTGTTGGTGGAGGTACTTCTACGACCACCAGTAGTGATGATTCCATGATAATGATGAGCAACAGCAATAATTCCAAATTTAAAGGAATTAGTAGTGAAGATATTCGGAAGCAGCAACAACAAAACACATTGTTGAGCTCAGCATCGAATGGCAGCACGACCACAACACCAAATTCTCTCGTTACCCCTTCCTCTCATCTCACCGATGGATCCAATCAAGATCACTCTCCAATTTCACCCGCAACGCCGTCCTACTCGACCACACATTCAGCATCGAATACACCAAATCAATCATCAGGAACCCTCTCTCATGTTCCTTCCTCTTCATCGATGGTTGATCCAAAGGATAGATTTAAAGGAATTGGCTCAAATCAATCCTCATCATCAAAACAAAGTTCAAATGGAAAATCTTCAACACCCACCAACAACAAACCCTCATCGACCACAACAACAACAACATCACAACAAACTCCATCATTAACATCATCGGCAAGTAAATCATCGATGGACAGGGCGAGAAGTTCACAAGATGTTGGACGAGATGCCAAGAAAAAAGACTCCAAGAAAGGACCGACCATGCCCTCTCAGTCCAAGAACAAAATTGTAGTCATTGGATGTAGAGGAATTGGCAAAAGTGAAATGGTTTACAAATTTCTATTCAATGAAATTCGATATTTCCATCAATTAAAGAAAGAAAAAGGAAAGTTGATGGAGGAGTTGAAATCTGTCTCATCACCTGCTTCGCCGACAACATCAAATACTACGTCCACTACTACCAATGACGTCACCCACATTAGCACCACTACAGATCTATCGTTATCAAACAACAAACAAAATGGTGTAACACCTTCATCTCCACCTCAACAATCGAGTCCACAACAACAACAGCCACCAACACCTTCCGTAGCATCTACTTCAGACGTGCCCACTCCTTCAAGCCCTCCATTAACGAACACTCAACTCAACGCAACGAGTAGTACCACAACGTCAACTGGTGTTACAGCTGCTACGAATGATACTCTTCCAAAAGATGTGAACGAAATCGCGGAGAGTGAAATTGACATTTCTCTCAAAGCAACAGATACCTTGGAAGTACGACGATTAAAACTTCTCATCATGAAGAAGGATCAAGAGATCAAAAAGCAAAAGGAGGAAATGGAAAATACTATTCAAGAGCTGTCTAATATGTGGAAAAAAGAAAGAACAGAAAAATTGGATTTGGAACAAGAATATGTTGAGAAAGAAAACGAATTGAATCATTACATTTCGGTGGTAGATCAAATTCATCATCTCATTAACTTGGATCCAAATACAACCGATTTACCTGATCCCTTTGGATTCAAATTACCTGATAATCCTAACAATAGTATTCTGAGTCCAAACAGAAGGAAATTGAGCATACATCAACAACCTGGTACCAACACGCTTGTTACTCCAAAACCAGGCATTTCACAACAAATTCCAATCACCAATATTTCATCTCCAACTCCTAGAAATAATTCCAACGATGAATTTTTTGATTTACAAAATTTCAATCCAAATAATAGTGTTACCTTGACACCCATGTCTGCACAACGAAAACCACGTCACTTGAGAACAGAGAGCACTTTCCAAAAACTACGAACGAATCAATATCAAGTCGTTGCTCAAGATTTTAGAAAGTCTGTTGGTGCTGAGGAGGACGCCGACGCATCAGACCCAGAAACAAATAGCATTGCTGCCGCCACAAATGAAATTGAAAATGATAACGAGGACGAAATTAATCTTTTCCTGAACGAGTTCAATCGGTCGGAGGAATCAAATTTGATTGTGACAAGCCAGATTCCAAAGACTCAACCGATGACTCTCGTTAACAAAGCCTCAAATTCCAACTCTGAGGACAGTACTGGTGAGGAGGACACAGAAAATGATTATTCAGAAAGTAGTGATATCATGTCAGTTTCTTCGAATGCCAGCTCTGGTCCAAAAACAAAAGTGTCAGACTCTAAAGATAATATTGCTCAATCAAGTGTAACGGCTAATAGTTTAATTTTCCCAACTGCTGGAAAGTTAAAATCACCCACTGTAGTTCAGTCAACTGACTACAAATACGACGAAAATCTGTTTGTAAAACTCTTGACACCTAGTTTCCATTTAACCGAAGGCTTGAGAAGATTTAACACGGGAAAACCAAAGGATGCTCTCAAATATTTGACAGAAAACGGTATTTTACCAGACGTTGAGGCTGGGTTAACAGATTCAGGAGAAAGACCTGAAGCTGTCATTTCACGATTTTTCGCTATTGCAGATTCTCTAAATAAGGAAAAGTTGGGAGAATTCTTTGGGGACCCTAAGAATACTGTTTATTTGGAAGAGTTTGTAAAGTTCCATATTCAAGAGTTACATAGCGATGAAAAAAAACCTGGAGACGACACATACATGAGCAAATTTGATAGAGCTATTCGATCATTCTTTATCCAATTTAAATTACCAAAGGAAGGACAGCAAGTGACCAGAATTGCCGAAGTTTTTGCCTCTGTCTACAGCAAGTACAACAAGAATGACGGAGAAATTAATGGAAATGATGAAGCATGTTATTTGCTTGTTTGTTCCATCCTTATGGTAAATACCCAACTTCACAACCCTGCCTCAAATATCAAGCTTACCCGTGATCAGTTTGTCGGCATGTTCTCACTCTATAAGGACGTTAATCAGGCCTTCATTGGATCCTGTTATGACAGTATAGCCAAGAATGCCATGGTATTCTACGATGAAGACATTGATGCTGAGGATCGTACCAATTTTGAAACAGATGACCAAATTGATCTCTTCTTCAAGTGCTATAAACCCAGATCGACCTCTTCGTCAGCTTCAACAACACTGACCACCTCACAAAGTGAAGTTCAATTACATCCACACAGGGCTCTGAAATCACTCAGCCTGGATAACGAAAAAGTGAAACAATTAATGGAAGGCTCTATTACATTCTATTTTAAAGCAAAAGTAATTCATGATGGAGTGATTAATAGAATTCAAATCAAAGATTCAGATCCAAACTTGGAGTTGGCCACGCAGGAAAGCATTAACGAGTCAGGTATGACTGTGACCAAGGTGAAGCTTAAAGATCCAACTCAAGTTCACGAAGAGGCCAAGTCTGGCAACTATTTCATTTGTTCATACAGTGTCACAGACAGGACAAGCTTCCTTATTGTGGAACACATTATCAAGGCCATTCGAAAGATTAAGCGAAAAGAAAGAAAAAAGGAAACTAAGAAAAACAAGTCAAGCAAGTCGAAATCTACTTACAATACTCTGACTGGCTCTGTTACAGAAGAACTTTTGCAAATGCTTAACGATGATGATAGCGATTATAACAATGACAAGTTTATGGTGCTAGTTGGATGTAAGGCAGATGTACCCGATGAACAACGTCAAGTTTCCAAGAAGGAGGGAGGTGAACTCGCTCTCAAGTATAGCATTCCATTCTTTGAAGTTTCGAATCATGACATGCTGGGAATACGAAAAGTATTCCTTAATGCTATTGATTCTCTCAAGAGACAAAATGCATCCTATGTGGATGCTGTGAAACAAATGAATGATTTCCACAAGAGAATGAACATTGCCAAGCAAAACAAGAAGGGCCAAGTCGATGTCAATGCACTCGCCATCCTCCCCAAGTGTTACATTTAACACTTTCAAGCCTCCTTGTATCGATTTTCTCCAAATTTTTGTAACATTTCCCTTTGAATCTTTTAATGTTATTAAACAATTACAGCAATTTTGTGAAACTGAGGTGTAACCAAGATGGATTGACACAACAGTGGCGCGTATGAGAGGAGGACTTACAATCGGCCATTACGACGACGGAAATGTTGATTTTCGAGCACAAACTAATTTGGACAAAATCGCTGCAAAAAAACGTTTGAAAAAAATATCCTCATCTCAGAAAATGTATGTTTCGCCTTTATTTCCTTCTGACTTTCAAGCTCTTAACAACGGAGTTACGGAACTCGTGATGAAATTTTCATCATCATCGTTCAATGATTTTTTGACATGTTTATAATGATGGTGTGATAATGATGATGTACTTTTGAATGATTTTGCGGTGAATATCTCATTGCATTGTGGTGGTGGATGACTTTCTCATTGCATCGTCATCGCATATTCATCTCATCCGAAACGAACACTATATAGCTTTACAACATCTCACAACATGTCTGCTCCCTCGGAACCTATCGAGATTGCCAAAGTCGTTGATTTGGACTATAATGACTTGGTCAATGATGTGGATTTGACCGACAAGATTGCTGAAGCCTATGGACCTGAAGGATTAGGTTTATTGACTGTTTCCAATGTTCCCAACGTGATGGAGTACAGACAAGCTATTTTACCACTTGCCTACAAGTTTGCTAATCTTCCTGACGAGATTAAAAACAAGTATGTGCATGAAAAGTCCAATTTCTCATTCGGATGGAGTCATGGAAAGGAGAAATTCAATGGAAAGGTACGTGGTTTGTGTGTGAATTCAATGTGTATGATATATATTGAAAACATCTCATGTTTTGAATTGCAAAAACTTGACGTGTTCAACAATATGCACCACATGACTGAATGTATAATTGCAGACTGATGTGTTTAAGGGATCCTACTATGCAAATCCAGAGGTAGATGTTCCTGTTGAGGACAAGGAAACTCAAGAACAGTATCCATTTTACTGCACACCTAATATTTGGCCTAAGGAAGATCTTCCAGAGATGGAGAATGCATTCAAGAATATGGGACAACTTGTGGTTTCTGTTGGTTTGTTGGTAGCCAAGCAATGTGATCGCTATGTTCAAAAGAATTGCCCTACATGTGCTCCTAACATGCTCTACAAGACCATTAGTGAAAGCAAGAATACCAAGTCCAGACTTCTTTATTACTATCCAAGAAGTGATGAAGATGCTAAGGAAAATGATGTTGAAAGTGATGATGGATGGTGTGGACTTCATTTGGGTAAGTTAGGATTTTGGTTGCTAGAACTTGATATTCGAGAATTTATTTCGGCTCTTTGACATTCTTTATCATGTTTTCAAAATTTGAACTCACAACCACCACCATCATGTGCCTATTTAAAAAACATCAACAGATCATGGCTCATTGACCGGTTTAACTGCAGCCATGTATTTCAGAGATGGTAAAGTTGTTGAGAATGACGATCCAAAGGCTGGACTCTACATTAAAGGAAGAAAAGGAAATTATATTAAGGCTGGTTACAGACCTGATCAATTGGCCTATCAAATTGGTGAGAGTGCTCAAGTTCAATCTGGTGGATTGTTACAAGCCACTCCTCACCTTGTCAGAGGTCCAAGAACACCAGGTATGTATTGTTGTAAACATGTAATATTGAATCGACAATAATCATGTTCATGTTGTCACGGTCACTATTACGAATATTATCAATCACATGAACATTTCAATGATCATGACAATGAATTGATATTTTGTTGTCATAACATTGCCCTTTCATTGAAATGTGCCTATTCTTATGTACAGGCATTGGTAGAGCTACATTGGCTAACTTTATGCAACCAAAGCACAGCGACAAGATGGACATTCCTCCAGGAAAAACTGCCGAGGATTGCAACGTCAAGCACTTTGAAGAGGGAATGACTTTCCATGAGTTCTCTGAGAAGAAATTCTCCGAATATTATTAAGGTGATGATGTTTGTACTTGTGACTGCTGCTATGAAAGCCAAGACAAGCCAATCTATCTAAAGAATCATCAATGTTAATTTATCTATATTGTTGAGTTTTTGAAAGCACTGAAAGTTTCATCCGTAAAAAAATGCCTCACTACTGCACTAAGGCTCTTTTTTTGGGTATACTCTTCGTGATGGTGCTAGTGGTTGGATGGAGCGGTTACTCGGTGCGAGCACAGACAAACCCTACAACATCATCAACAACAGCAACACAACCATCATCAGGCTCATCCTCAAAAGATTCCTCTAATATGGACAACAAGCAACCACCAGCACTGGTAATTCCTAAACAATTATCCAAGGAAACATATGATAAAGTCATGGCGACCATGGATGCCCTACTCAAACGGCTACACCAACAACATTTGGCCCTCAAATCTCAAGTTGAGAATGCTCAAATGCAGCTCTTGATCGCACAAAAGGATGAGGAACAAGCCCGTCAGACCTACGAGAAACTTCAAAAGCAATACTTCACCACAAAGCTTCAGAGAGCATCGATGGCCACCAAGCTGAAGGCTGCTTTGAAAGCTTTCAAACAAGCCCAGAAGGCATCAAAGAGCTCTCTTTCTCGATACAACAAGATGATCAAGGCGAAAGCCGACGTTGAAGGAAAATACGAAAGTGAGAGAAGGAAATTGGCAAGCCTTAAGAAGAAGGCCCAAGAATTGTTGGACGTTCGAAATATTAATAATCGAAAGTAATCACTAGATCGGTACTGTTCAAACAAATAAAATTAACAAACGTGTATTGTACATATTGAAAGAGTGTTGAGGTTTAACGTGACCCCTCAAAGCACAAGATCCATAAATTTCTTCGATCAGAAATGATGAATGATTTATTGCTGCTGCACGGAAGAATTGGTTTTGGCGAGAAGTAACTGCTGGATTTTTGATGAAATCTCGTCAAGGGAGTCTATTTGTAAAAGCTTAAGACAATCACCTTTAAATGCATGGTTTTGGGAATGTTGTACAATGCCACTTATAGAATCAGCTACCAGAGGAATGTAGTATTGTGTCATTACAGATTGTCGCTTTTCATTCTTGTTGAAAAAGCTGTGTGGCAAGTGTAATTTAGCACATTCAAGCAAGGCAAGCGAGAGTGATTGAAACATGGCTTTGATTAGTTTGCATTTCGTTTTACAGGTTGTTTCAATGTTAAAAGCTATATAGATCGATCGAAGTGAGGAGTTAATTGAGCGGACCTTTGGAAGTTCTATTCTATGCAGTGCGGATATGTTTCATGTTAGTGAGGAGGGCTATTGAGAGAAACTTTGTTAATGATTCATACTTACATTAAACAACTCTCGTCGAAAGAATCTATCGAAATTTGAAGTCCAAAATTGCTGAGGTTGTTGCTCTCTGGTAGAGCGAGCGTTGACATTTTCTGAGGAAATGAAAGCGACTTGCGTTCCCAAGCTGTCTCATTAAAAGATATTGTATTTGGCTCACTCGAAATACTCAACTCGCATGTTCTGTTCTTTCCCTTCACTCTACCCATAATCATCTCTTGTCTTGCGTCTTGGCAAAGAATTTCTCCATTCTTACTCAAACTCGTTAATAACTGAATTCGATTCTTATTATTCTCTTTGTCATGCAAGGGTTGTACGGTGGATGGTGATGCATATTCAACATGAATGAAAGCACTCAAATGCGTTTTCACAATTTCTGGCTGAAGACTTGTTACTGTAAGTTTTTCAGAGGTCCAACTTGAGGAGTTCACTCCATGGAGCTCCTCCTGATTGAAGTGATTCTCAAAAGTAAAGTATGAAGAGAACATTCCCAAAGTTAACAATTCTTTTCTTATGAGGTCCATTGTTTCAAGAAAGGACTGACCCAACAACACTAAATGAACCATCAAATCGTGATCTTCGCAAACAAGTAGATCCAAGTATACTTGGTTCTCATTGACCAATGATGTTGCCCTGAATAATTCCAAAATTTTGTCTTGCCCAATAGCAGAATCAGACCCATTCATGAGAAGTTGCTTGTCCTTTGTTAGGATTGTTATCATTCTTCCTGCATGAGAGCCCACCTTGAGAATTTCCTGCAGAGACTCCTCGAATCGTCGTATGCTGTTCTTCTTTTTCTCTTCTTCATTTTGAATAATTTTCATCCTAATCAGACCAACAGCATAGTTCTCTTCCATAGCTCCATTTTCTCTTTTACGTTTGTTATTGTTGGAAGAGTTCTTATTCTGCTCCTCCCCTGCAATGGGTATGAATTGAACCGTAATTTTCTCTTTTCCGAATTGTTCAAAGACTGTTTGAATACAAATCTGGGCAATCTTTACAATATGGATAGACAGAATTGAACACATGTTTTCAAACCATAGATTGGAGCCTTACCTTCAGCACGCTTTGTGTTGCAAGGGTCAACTCATACATCTTGAAGCACGCTCAAATAAGAATGTATTTTTTTGTAAGTCGTGTTTGTAAAGCCTAAATAGATCTTGCAGGCAATGATAAGCCTTTGCTTGTAATCTTGAATAGATATTCATCAGAAAAGAACTTATCATTGATGATGGTATTCAAAAGAGTTGTTATCATCTTTACGGCTCAAGATGCCATCAAATTGCTTCAGCTTCAATTAACCATGAACCAACCCAAAAAAAGCTTGAAATCTCGTTCTCCAACAACACACCAGCAACATCATCATCACCATGATTGAAGTAGTATTGAATGATCGTCTCGGAAAGAAGATTCGAGTCAAATGTAATGAAGATGATACCATCGGGGATTTGAAGAAGTTAGTAGCAGCTCAAACCGGAACAAAACCAGAGAAAATTCGTCTTCAAAGATGGAATCAAATCTTCAAGGATCACATTACGTTGAGTGATTATGAAATTAGTGATGGTAGTGGAATTGAATTGTACTATGAATAATTGTTTTTGTAAATGTAAATAATCATAATAATATAGAAATATTAATCTCAACCCGATATTTTGCCTTTTCAAAACCTTCCCTCGGTTCATCATCACGAGAGCGTTCTAATTTGTCCAGTAACTACTGGCTCCTATTCATTCTAATATCTGTGGTGATGGGTTTCTTCTCAGGGGTTTCAGGGGTTGAAGATTTCATCACAGCTAAGAAATTGTTGAAAAAGTTGATGTTCAAAAAAAATGCAAACCCAACAACAAGAATTCATTCGTTTATCTTCGGGACATCTTCCTGCTGCAGCGGCTGCGACTTCTTCCACGAGTGGAACCGATTTCTACTTTTCATCCTTGCTCGGAAAGGTCTACACAACTGATAATGAGAATGATACCAACAATAAGAATAGGATTTGCTATACTCTGGATGGAACTAAATTGCTTTCTCCGGTCGGAAATAGAATTACTACCGTGGATTTTGCATCAAATTCGAGTAAGACAAGTTTTTATGGACACAAGTACAATATTCAGTCGTTTTGTTTACTTCATAACAATAGGGCTCTGTGTACGGTTTCACAGGACGGAACCCTGACACTATTGAGTTATCCAAAGGGAATCATTTTGTCCAAATTTGAAAAGTTTTTGGAACCTCGTGTGGATAGTGTAGTTCCATCTCCGAATGGACAATTGGTCTGTTTCCTTGGATCTAAATGTTCAATTTACAAATTCCAATCTGCTGTCTCTCCTCAAAATAATCTCTTCAATGATTCTTCCATACTCCATCAAACATCTTCGAGACCAATTAAATTGGGTGATGTCAAGGAGGCCGTTTGCCATACTTGTGCCGATTGGATTGGCTCACAATTTCTTGCAGTGGGAACCAATGAGGGTATTGTTCACGTTTACAAGTTAGATTTAGAACAAAGTAGCGGTATTGAAATGGTGGACTTCTTTTCCAATCACCACGCCCTTGCAGGTAACAAGGATGAAATTGTTGGATGTTATTTTGTTTTCAACAAGACACAACGAAAAAAGAATCCAGGTCAAATTTATTCCATCGATACTAGGGGATGCTTTATACATTGGGCATTCAGTCCAAGCAAGAGACAATGGCAAATTTTGAAAAAGGTCGAGTTATCGAGTAAGATGGATCCAGCTAAGAAAAATAAGCAAACACGAGGCGAAGGAAAATTACGAATCAAGTGTTGTAGCTATCATCCAACTGCAAACTTGTTAATTTATGGCATTGGAAATTCAGGATGTTTTGAAATTTTTGACATTGAAAACCAACAAATTATTTACAGGTTGAGCAAACCACACAACATTGACGGTATTCAATTTTTAACAAACTCTTCTTCTATTGAGCAATTATTGTCGTCACAGAATCAACAAGCAAATGTTTTCAACACTTCCCATTCCAAAAAGACAGATGAAGACAATGGCATTTCTACCGATATTACTCTCCCAAATAGCACTTGGATTGCATTTTCTAAGGAAAACCAACTCTCTGTTTTCGACTATGAAAGTGAAACATTTATTTATAATCAATCCAACCACTCTTCACAAATTCAAACATGTTGCTACAATGAAAATGGTCAACTTCTTGCGAGTGGAGACTTTCAAGGAACCATCAAAGTATTCTCAACGGAAAACAATCAATGTTTTTGCAATTTACCAAATGCTCACTCTGGCCCCATCACTGGTATGATATTCAGTAGACCTCCTGGTTCAAGAGATGCTGCGCTCTATACAAGCAGTCTCGATGGTACTGTTCGAGCTTTTGATATTTTGAGATATAAGCAATTTAGAATGTTCACAAGTTTGGACGCTGAAGGTTTCTCATGTCTCACTGTGGATCCAAGTGGTGAAATTGTGATTGCAGCAGGAAATACGACCTACAATATTTACATGTGGAATGTACAGACGAATCAATTGCTGGAAGTCATCAAGTCACACACAGCTCCTATCACTCGTCTTCAATTTTCTGTTTCCAACGAATCTACTCTCATTTCCAGCTCTTGGGATAAAACATGTAAGATTTGGAATATTTTCAGTTCAAAGCAAGCAGCAGAACCTATTGAATTTTCAGCTGAAATTTTGGATTGTGCGGTGCGACCAACGGATGGAGCTGAATTGGCTGCTGTCGTTATGAATGGTGAAATTCAGTTCTTTGACTTGTTGAATGTGAAAGCCCTCGGATATATTGACTGCAAACGAGACATTCAAACTCTCTTCTCAAATCCAAACGGTGACTACTTTTCATGCATTGCCTACACTGGTGATGGCCAGAATGTCTTGTGTGGTGGCAAGTATCAACCATTCGTTTGCATGTATAATGTGAGACAAAAAGTTTTGATTAAGAGATTCATTGTAAGCTTTAACATGTCATTAGAAGGAATGTTCGATATGGATTTATTGAATCCTCTCATTAAGAAATTGAGAGATGACAGAAAAGAAACACGAAAGAGTGGCAACAAGAGTAAGAAAATCGGAGAGCAAGTCATTCCTGGTAATCAGTTAGAACTTAAGCCAAATATTCAAGTCGATAGAATTTGCTTTAGTCCAACCAATACTGAATTTGCTCTCGTTTCACCCAATGAAGGAGTTTTAATATTTACCAATGTAACGAAAGAAGGATCCTTCCAACCACTTGATATCGATCCATCCATCACACCTGAGTCCATTTTGGCCCTACTCGAGAAGGAAAGTTATACAGAAGCTTTGATCAATTCGATTCGATTGAACGAGCCGAATATTATGGTGAAGGTTTTCAATGCCATTCCTGTGGAATCAGTACCATTGATTGTGAGATCCATTCCTGACAATTATCTCGATCGTTTTTTACAATTTTTAGCCAAAGAAACACTCGAATCAAAAAGATTGCAATTTTGCATGTTGTGGCTGAAATCTGTCCTTGCTCAGCGAAAGTTGTCGAGTGCTGCTCATGGTGCCAACTTTAGATCATTGGTGAGAGTGTTACAACAAAAAATGGCAACACTATCCTATCTGACACAACACAACCAACATACGCTCGACTTTTTATCAAGCTTTATCAAGCCAAAGAGGAATATTCTCGAGGAGGAGAAGCAACAGAAAAAGAAGGAACCAAAGAAGTCAGAGATGGAGACACGAGAAGAGACTTTGGAAGAACAAAAATTCAAAGCCATTCTAAAATCAAGCAGTACAAAATAGTCCTTATTATTTTTGAAAAGCATAACCTTAATGGAAATAAATTGGAAATATTCATCACGGCCTTATTGGTTGACGTGTCACAACATGCATTTCGTTCAAATGTATTAATGAACACTTAATTCAAGACATTGGACCAAATTTCAACATTCTAACCAGAAATGTTTTCAATTGTTTCGTGAGGTTCAAACACTAACGTTGGTAAGGATGACATTTCTTTGATGAGCTCATTAATTAAGAGAATTTTTTATTACTTTAGAGATGGTCTTCTCTGAATAATTTAGTAATGATCATACACATAATAATAATTAATTACTTCAATGAATGGCAATCCATTGATTATATATAATTGGTATATATAATTCAATGAATATGTGTAAATAAAAATTCTCATGATCATGTTGAATCAAAATGATTTATTGACCAATTACATATTTAGAAATAAACGAACTGAGTGCTTTGGCCATCTTCTCATCGCCCGATACGGAAGGGTGACCATTGCATCCCCAATCATTGGTTTGGAAATTTCTCCAAACATCTTCCAAGGATGCAAAATAAACAGTCTTGCCATAGGTTGGTTGAGATTGAGCAACCTTTTGAATGAATTCTCCATAATTTTCTGTCACAACCACGCTCTTAATAAAGTGTAAATCAACCATTCAAGTATTGTGAACACGAAAATGAAAGATGGCCAATAATAATTATTCGTGAGTAGAAAATTACACAACATACCACTAACACAAGTTTAAAAGATGGTCCTTTGAGTGGTAAATACTTGCTCATAATGAAATCAATAAAATGTTGATATCCAGTACTGAATTCTTCATAGGATGGTCTTGGAGGAGTGCTGAAATCATTTGAACCAAGTGTGATCACAACAATATCTGGAATAAAATTTGAAGTTTTGAAATCCCAACTCACATTTGGATTATTTGCCAATGTGCGAGGATAATACACTGGAAAGGGATCTTTTGAGGTGGTATTTTTGTCTCCATAATTTCGCACAACTCCCTTTCCACTCCAACATTCGACATGAATTTCAGAAGCTCCAAGATAACGAGCTGTCTTTTCCACAAAACTTTCGTGAACATCTTGAGTATTAGGTGTATAGGCACAGGGTGGTTTTCCTAAATTTCCATAGGCACAGGTGATTGAGTCACCAATGAATTCAATTTTCAAAGTATTGGAATTGCTGCCTCCTCTCAATGGTGTTGCTTGAGTGTTCTTCATGATCGCTGGCTCAACAGAAAACATGTCACATTTAACAAAAGAAAAGCCATAAAATGTTGCAACACCTAACATGGCTTCGGTTCTCTTTTCAATTTCAATTTCAAGAGTATAGGTAGTGAGACGAGCAACTCTGGCCCAAGAAAATTCCACTGCATAGCCAACACTATTACTATCGTGATTAGTGACAAGTGTCAATTCTTGCAAGAATTGTTTTTGTGAATTATTTGAATCAACTGCTCTCCATAAATAAATATTATATAAATTTCCAAGGTCTTTCAAATGAATCAATGTTTTCAACACTGCATTTGAAGAATGAAGTGATGAATTTTCTGTATAAACAATTTGAGTTGAAATGATAATGCCAGACCAATCAAATTCAATTCCACTGTCATTGCTTTTTCTCAAATATCTTCCGTTACGGAATGAAATGGATGAGCTTTGAGAGGATGCTCTTGTAGTAGGATCAATCATCACAGCAGGAATAAATAAATCACCACAGCGATCATTCAGATTTTCATGACATGTCCTCTCACCAGGTTCCGAAAGCAATGTTTCACCATGAATGATCGGAATGATGATATGGTTCATCATCATGATCAAACAAAAACACAAAACAACAAGTTTCATCATCACCCTTTGATTTTCATAAATCCCATTGATCGACGATGATTTCATTTTTTTTGTATTCTTTTTTTGCAGTTCAGTAATTCGGATTTTTCGATCAATTCCATTGACCGACTCCATTGAAATCTTCATCGATATTCTTGATTCATACCATCAAACACCTATTGAGGAAATTTAAATAGATCGGATTTTAGGATTGGATTGACTGACAGAAAGTTGAAAAATAATCCAATCTGTCGACCTCGATCGAGTTCCATCTTGAATTGAAGTATCGTCCATGCTCAGCATTCATAGTTGTGTGTTTCTGGTCAACAATCAATCACCTTCACACTTTCTATTTGAATCTAGTCTTCTTACTCCAAAAAGTACTAATTCCTCCTCTCACTCTGTTCAGTACTCCACGGTGTTATTGATATTTAGAGTGTGTGCTTGTGTTAGGTCGCTTGCCACTCTTTTGCTCTAGCAAATGGTCTTTAATCGACAGAGTCTTTTGGCGTTCTTCACCTTCCTTACGAACGCAACTTTTGTGCTGTTCACTTTGTATTTCTCTTGTCACACAATTTTTGGAATAATTGTTCACTTTGGTTGGTTTAAAACGAGTGAAGGAAAACAACAAAGAGAGGATCCATCGATTCTTGAATCTGCAATATAGACCAAACAAGGGCTGAATGTCATTTGGATTTTGAATAAGGATAGCGACATGGTGTTTGTGTTGGATTTTGGTTAAACATTAAATTTATCTGGATTCAATCCAGTCTCCACATGAAACAACTCTCCTCTCTGACACACATTCAAGACACACCACCTCTGTGGGTAAGTGAAGTAATCAAACCGAGCCAAACCAAAATGATTCAACATTTGAATTGGCCTTAACAACACCCAGAAAAAAAATGCTCATCAAGAAAAGAAGTACATCTCAGACACCAACAAAATCCGGATCATCATCATCTCTGACATCTAGAAGCCGAGAAATGAAGAAGATTAAGAAGAGCAGTTTGGAGGAATCTGAAGAGGTAAAGAATTTGTTGGACAAGATTTCTCAGCATGATGATGCAAGTCCATTCAAATTCGCAACAAATGAAGAAGATAGGCTGTTCCACTCCCTAATTTCTATTGAGGTAAGCCTTTCAATGAATAATTGCAACCCGTGTCCGTCATCAAAACACGTAGAACGAAAATATTGACATTACAACAAATCCATTGTATGAGGAAATTTCAAACATTTTTCATGAACAACTAAACGTGGCCACTGAACACAGTTCCACCTGGTTAGACTATTATTCCTTTATCAGCAAACTAAATAAGATTCTCACAAGTCAAGAAGATTCAAGATCAATGAATAATGAAGAAATATTTGCTCAATTTAAGGATCTTCCATCTCAAAGAATAATGACTGTGTATAATGAATTTCTACTGTCACAAAAGTCTCTTCCTGATAATGTTTGGGAACCCACTTTGATGGGAATGATTATTAATATTCTTAACCACCAATTTAAATTTAGGAAAAACATTATTTTCAGAACGTATGTTGATACTAACTGTGTATTTTACTCTTGTAACATTCATCTATCACAACAAGTCAAGAAGCAGTCCAATATGTTGACTCATATGCTGTTAAAGGTACATCACTCAAGAACAAGGCAAGACTAATTCCAGACGCGTTTGCTCAGACTCAAATTTTTAAAGACCAACTTTTCGTGTTCTTTAAATGTGAAGGACAGAGAGCTGAAACATGGACACACAAAGACCATTTTAAAAAATATATTGAAATGAAAAGCATGCTTAAAGATTGTATGTCCATCCTTTTCAAAAAAAAGCACATTCCTTTGAAAATGCTCAAAAGATCAAAGTTTACGGTTTACTAGTATCAAAGTTTCAGTGCATGTTTCTTGAAGGATCTATTAAGATACACGATGATCACAATAGCTCAGACGGAATACCTTTTGATTACGCTATAAGAGAGTCCGATATTGTTGATTTATCTTCCACAGAGGGAATTATTGCACTAACAGCATTCATTGAAAGTATGTGCGAAAATGTTTGCAATTTAGAATTTAATGAGGAAGGGTTTGAAGAAAGTGCACGTCTTTCTTCCTCAAGCACACCAACGAGAGCAAAAACTCAATCATTAGAAAGATTTGTAAAGGAAATGGATGTGAGATTTGGTACAAACATGCCGCCCTATATGCCCACAACTTCATTTGAAACTCTTGAAGAAGGGAAACGAGTTTCAAAGAAAATTCTTTCTGAAATGTTTGTCATTGGAGAGCAAATTGGGGAAGTTGAGGCAGAATCTTCTAATATTGTTTATGTATTCAAGATTTCGAATCCATATATTTTCGTCAGATCATACGATATTACTTCATTCGTTCTTGTAGAATGAGGAAGATTTATTGGGCTGAAACGAAATTTGCCCTCAAACCTTATCTATTTTCTCTCTCTATTAAGAAAAATCAAGAACAATTATGGATGAAAATTCTTGACGAACATCGAAGCGATGATTCAAGAAGTCGCAGTGAATATGAATATGATGAATCAAGTAGAAATTTCCATCATGGACACGATCAACAATCAAGAGGTACCTCTTTTGAACCACCTTTCAAATATATTCCTGACCCAATGAATGAAACAGAGTGTGCTATTGTTTTGGAGGAACTGTTGGCTTTGACAAATTTCCAGTTCTTACCAAACTCTATGAGATGCGATACATCATGCACCAGTTTTTATGGTTCTGCATTTTCTCAACTCTATGGACCAGTGTTTGTCAAGGGCACTGTATTCAGAACGGAAAATGAATCCGATATGAAACGCCTTGTCACTCTCTCTCAAACCAGATCAACTTTTTCAAACATTGTTCGAGTTTTTGAATATCATGCAATTAGTTCAAACTCAAAGTTGATCAGTGTTGTTTTCAATTTGATGAAACAACACAACGACAAGTGTATTCCTGAACTGAGAAAACTTGTAAACTCTACAGACCTGGTGAGTATCACCATTCAAGAGAGATTAATCTCTTTGGATGATTTTATGAATATGCCGTCGGTTCGTCGTTGGTTGAACAAGTGTAGAATCAAATTTTTCATGGACCTTGTGAGACAATGTTTCGACATATTGTTTCAATTAGACCAATCTAACATTCTCCATACGGACATCTCTTTTGGAAATTTAATGATTCGATTGGATCAGGATCATTGGGATAGTGCTTCAAGCGATGAGGGGAAATATGCAAGCTTTAAGCTTGTGATCATTGATTTCAACTCCTCAATGTTGTTGAAAGAACAAGAAACTACGACGACAAATAAGAGCAACGTGGTATATAGAAAAATTATTCCAAATCAAAACGTTGATCTTGTTTTCAAGTATCCATATTCAGCACCAAGTTTAGACACCGATGAAGCAGACATTTATTCAATGGCTGTGGTTATTGTTAATTATTTACATTACTTTCAACACAGACACACCTTGAATAGTGATAATTCATTCCAATCTTGTATAGAGTACAAGATTCAAATGTTGGACTTTTTGAATGATTTTCAAACCAATTACAAACACATGTATGGAGATGAAATTGTGCATCTTGTGTCGTTGCTTAAATACATGTTGGCAACAGGAGAAGAAGAGAGACCAGTTCTGAAGAAAATTAAAGACAAATTGGAAAAAGTGAAATCATTATGGATTCGCAACATTTTAACTCGAACTCCACTGAAGAGCATTTCAAATCCAATGTCCTTCCAGAGAAATGCAAACACCAATCATGAAGTTCCAAGTAAGAAAATGAAAACGCAAATTAATCAACAAGTAGGCGAGGAGGAAAATCAGTGCCCTATTTCTTTCAAAAATAATGATATCATTTTCAAATAGGCTTTCCAATATGTCACACAAAGGCCCCATCAAACATGCAGCGAACTAGCGTTATGTCACACTGTATTAAATAATTCAAGGAATGCCAAATATCCAACAATTCCATGAACTGCTTTATTTCTGAAAAAATCAAAATTTTGTTGTCCCATTTATTGCTCAAGGCCAATCTGTTGATCTTGTCAATGCTACAAAAACACTCTTCTCACAGAGTTGACTTTAAAGTGGTGTAACGATGATCTGATGACTCTCCTCCATTAATTCAGTCCTTGGAATTACTACCATCAGTTTCATATGTTTGTGAATGTTTCCAACCACGATCTGATATACTCTGGCCAGAATTGTTGTTGATCCTTGATTTTTTTTGATCCGTCCTCAACATTATTGAGGATCTAAATTATAGGTTTTCCAATTTGAGAGATTAAGCGCTGTCTTGTAGGAGAGAGCATCTCGAGTGGCTCCAATCGATTGATGATAGAGCATCTCCATTTGATCAAGTATTTTTTTGTCCACAGAATTTCAGAATAAATAATATTGTACCCTAATAATGGAGATTGTGAAAGTGGATAGTCCATATAGGAATTCTTATTTTGTTCTCTTCTTTCAATCATGAATGAGAAAATTCTTTGAAGAGTTGGAATATCCATGCCATCGATTCAATCTGTATAATAATGCTGGAAGAAATACTTTCTCATAGATTCATTGGACAACATTCGAGTGAGTAATTGTCTGAAATAATCTTCACTGTCAATAATATCGAGCATTGGTGAGCACAGAATCGATCCATTTTGATAAATTAACTGAATGGTGTTTTGGAGGAGAGAAATGGCATAGTTTGACCAAACGTGAAACGTTTCACCAATGATGAGGAAGAATCAAGTCGTAGATTTTAACATTCGATATATCTCATGAATCGACTCAACAGTTCCATATGAATTTCCATACATAAAAATTCCTTCACTGCTGAAATGAGGTAATTTAATTAAAAGGATCGACGGATTGGATTGCTCCAGCGATTATTTTTGAACTTTCTATCAGTCAATCCTAAAATCCGATCTATTTAAATTTCCTCACCTCATGATCGGAATGATGGTATGGTTCATCATCATGATCAAACAAAAACAACAAGTTTCATCATCACCCTTTGATTTTCATAAATCCCATTGATCTACGATGGTTTCATTTTTTTTGTAATCTTTTTTTGCAGTTCAGTAAATTCGGATTTTTCGATCAATTCCATTGAATCTTCATCGATACTCTCTTCTTCTTCTTGGATTCACCCCCACCATCAAACACCTTTGCAGATTTTCCAATAGAAACCCCTGAATGAAGAGGAGATTACAATCCGTTCCCTCAACCCTTTTTATCCGAAAAAAAAAGTCTCCAACATCGACTCTTACTTCCGTTCCATTATTGACCATTTCAATGTCATTATTGGCAAGAAGGATCAGCCTCTTGTTGTTTCTTGTGGTTCTTTTTGAAACCTCATCATCATTCTTTATGAATGGTGTATGGGCCATTCGTGGAGTGGACATGAGTTTACAACAATGTCAAACAGCTAGTTTGGAAAATTGGCGTTGTCTCAAGAGAAATGGGTTTGATTTTGGTAGGTCGAAGAATTATTATTTTGAAAAAAACAATTTTGAAGAGATGGAAAATGATCATCCGGTGGTGGTGTTGTATGAATTTCGACTTGAACTTTTTCCATATATATATATTTTTTATTATTTTCAAATTCATTTTAATTCAAAATGAACTCTCCACGAACAACAAAAATAATATGGTCACACACGCCCCTACTGCACTGACGTGATCTCTCCAAAGCCATCATTGAAGTATGGAATGGAGGCTATCAATACAACAATCGAATTCTTCAATGTGTCCAAGATGCCCGTGCTGCAGGATTTCAATACGTCGATGTCTATGCTTTCATGTGTCCAAATTGTCGAAACAATTATCCTGCATCATCTGCCATTGAAACCATACTTTCCCGATTACATGATTCCAAAGTCGATTATGGTCAATTATGGCTCGATGTTGAACAATGTGACGGATGTTGGTTTGGAGATTTATCTGCCAATGCAAATTATGTCACTAATGCATCTATGACTGCTGAGAAGTATTTTGCAAGAGAAGGAATGAATCGTCGAGTGGGAATTTATTCATCTGTCTATGAATGGCAACAAACAGTTGGAGGAGAAAGTAATTTATCACATTTGCAATTGTGGTATGCTCATTATGATAATGCAAGTAATTTTAACGATGCATGGGTGAGTATTTGTGTGTGTTTGTGTGAATGATTCTATGGAATGAGTTTTTTTCTTTGATGATGATGAATCCTTTTTGTATGATGAAATGTGGAATGGAACGTTTGACCAATTTATTTTGACAACCTGTCATGATCCATTCGTTCAATGTGAAATGAATCATTGGTTTGTGAATCCATTTGATGAACTGATATCATCATAGGCCTATCATTTTGGAGGATGGACCTATCCAGCCATTAAGCAATATTGGGATCATGGTCCTGCTGAATGTGGTGTGGATGTGGATGTGAATTTCTACTAATCATTGGAAGAAGGGCTCTCTTGTTTCAATAAATAATATTTTCACTAAGGATCTAAGGATTCACAATTCCGACATAACCATGTGCTATTCGTTATTCATGTCACAATTAATTGGAGCTTTGCTTACCAATTTCTGGGAACAAGGATTAAGATGCTCACGATGATTCTTCTTAAAGGCAGAGTTAAAAAATCTCATCGGTCTTGAAGTAAGAATTTTTTGAAGGTTTCGAAAAAGTAAACAATAAACATCGTTAGAAAGGTTAGTAAGGACTAGTTTGTGTTCTCGTCAAACACTCGACCTTGATCCCTAAGACCCTGTGTTTGTGGGATTTTTTGCATATTTTGTCAATTAACCTTATTCTTATTCTATTATTCTTATTAATTGTTTACAATCGAAACATTCAAGCCCTTCGATCATTCTCGGATAATACTCTCTTCTGTTGTGAGCTGTCCATTCAATCAAATTCATTGTAACAAGTTTTCCCCGAATGGCAAAAAGCAACACATTCCACGCGTTTTAAAAATCTCCTTAAACAACCTCCAGTACCATAAAAGTACATAAAATTCCGTATCGTCCCATTCGAACCCCTCATCGAATCTCTCCTCACACCCATGCCCATCGACAACTCGAAAGATTCAAGCGAGTGGAAATGGGCAAATTCCAACACAGGACCTTCTTCAAAGTTTCAACAGTAAATTTTCAAAAATTCCTTAATTCGAAAGCCAACCAGAAAAATTTTTACAAAAAAAAACAACAACCTTCTTCTCACGAGAGAATTATTTCAACAAAAAACCTATTCACACATTCACACCACAACACACTCCACCACGATGGCTCCAGTAATGCAAACCATTGAAGAAAACAAACTCTTCACCGATCTCCACTATCGATTTGACTATGTCTGCAAATTTGTTGGTTTCGGACCAGAAGATATTGAAGCAATTCATAACTCGGCTTCTGTGTTGGCTCCTCTCGTTCCAACTGTGGTCGATTTGGTCTATGTCAAGTTGTTCTCCTTTGATGTTACCAAGAAGGTCTTTTTGGTGAGAAATGATCAATTTAAGGGTGAGATGGAAAAGACTTTGGATGAATTGAGTGATACCAAATCGGAACAAATTAAATTCCGTAAGGATATGTTGAGCAAGTATTTGGTCAAGTTGGTGACTGCTGATTACTCATCAAAGGGTTTCATCAACTACTTGGATTGGGTTGGTAAAATCCACACTGCCAAGGCTGGTAATAAGGATATTATTGTGGATTACATTCATTGCAATGCCTTATTTGGTTATGTGAGTGATGTCATTTTGGGAGCTATTGCCAAGTGTGATCAATTGAGCGAGGAACAACGTGTCAAGACCATCTTGGCATTCAATAAGTTGTTCTGGATTCAAAACGACTTGTTTGCCAAATACTATGTCGACGATGACTGCAGACACGGTGTGAACACTGAAAAATGTTGTCCTGTGAGTGGACAAACTGGAACAAGTGGTGGATGCTGCTTTGCTCAACAACAATCTAAGCAATAAATGATCATTTTCGTTGGATTATAAGCTTAAATTCTTTGTATTGTTTTCAAAGTATTTAGTGTTTTATTGGTTTTATAGAATTTTATATTTTAATATTTTGTTGTTTAATTTAGAATATCATGCATCGAAATGGCCTTTCGGAATGTTTTTGGTGTTTGTAAGGTTGAAACTGGTGGAAGCTTTGGTGACACCGCTGTTGAGGATTTTGCACTACCACTCGCATTGACAATCATTGGAGGAGAAGGCATTGGCTCGATGGGCATCATTTGTGCACAAGACTGACTTTCAAGATGACTTGGAGAACTCCAGGATACAGGTGAAGCATTCGCAACGGGTGTAGCAATCATCGTCGTCATCATTGATGAGTCTGAGCAGTCGAATGACAACTTGGGAGAACAACAACTACTAGTAGAGGTGTTAGATGTGGTAGTTGTACTGTCTGGCGTGGATAATGCATGACTTGGGACTTTGGAATGGTTCTGTTGTGATGTTAACCTACTAGTTTGTGGATTCATCATCATGACCGTTTGGCAAAGAGCCGTTTTTGCATGACCATTGAGGGCCGTCTTCATCTTTTTCTGCTTTTCAATCTTATTGCTGTTCAGGATTGACGACGACGTTGAAGGCATTATCTTGTTTCTATTGTCAACCACATGTCCGAGTTCTGCAGATTGAGTACGTGACTGAGTTTTTTGTAACTTTTTTCCATTTCCAGGTTTATACTCAAAGAATTTGCATGGATTCCGAGTGGAATGGATGACAACATTTGAGAGACATTCATTTTTCAACCAATGGGTTGCACTAGACGATGGTTGTTGTTGTTGTTGTGGCGGAATAAACATGGTGAACAACATGTTGGAGGTTGGTGGTGTTGACGACGATGAGGAAGAGGACGATGAAGAGGGTGTCAAAGATAATTTTCTCATTCTTCCTGCAACAAGTTGTTGTTGTTGAGGCAACTGTTCTTGTGAAGGAGTTAGTGAAGGACTTATTGAGGCAGTGTTTACCTTCATGACAGATTGCATACTTTTCATGGCAGTTGGTTGTTGGAAAGTCAATGGTTGTGTTCGATAAAGTGAAGAAGACGATGGTGGAATATGACCACTCACCATTTCAGGTGGAATGAACGCTCGAGTGGAGGAGGAGGAATTGTTTGTGGTGGTTCGATGGACCATGGTTGTCGATGCAGTGGAGGATTGATTTGAGGAGGACGAGGTTGGAGGAATGACAAGTGGCAGCTGTAACTCCAGTAGTGAGGTACGTTGAGTCTTTTTCTTCAGTTGGGAAATGTGTGGAGGTTAAACAAGATGCATCTGAATCTCCTATTTGTCTCTCCTTACTTCTTGTTGTTCTCAAAATAGCAACCGACGAACAGGAAGCAATTGCTTGTGTTGACATTATCTTTTCCAAATTTGTAACATTTCCTTCCTTATCACGAGAGCGAAGCAAGGAAAGCTTTTCGAGAGATATAGGTAACGTATTTCCATTATTAAGAATAACCTCCTTGTTATCATGTGATCCAATTCTTCCTTTTGGTAACAATGGATGGACTTTCATGTCCGCGATATCCATACCTGTTGGAGGATGAATTGTAATGGCTAAATGATCTGTTTTGAGCATTGGATAATGATATTTTTGTTTGGTATCTACACTATTCTGGGAGAGAATTAAAGGTGTGAAAGAAGAAGAAGAACTCTTTGGGGTGTGAATTTTTCTAAATTTGGAAAGTAAAATGGAAGAAGACATTAGAGAGTTCGGAAAGGAATGAAGATGTTGCTGGTAATTCGAGTCAGAATGGTGTGTGGTGGATGGTGGATCACAAGTGTTCCTTGGTAATTTCAAATACCTTTTTGGTTCATTTTGATCATGATTAAGGGTTGAAAAATGTTCCATGTTTGAAGAGAGAAGATCATTCACCACATGGATCATTGGTGTGTTGGTTGATTGAGGGTGTACTTGATGTTGTTGTCGTTGTATTCGTTGTATTCGTTGTTGTGCATACTCTCCATGATGATGATCATTCTGTGACAATGTAAACTTGGTTTCATGAGAGTGCACTGGAATCACTGAGGAATCCTTTTGAATATTCGTTATTGTCATCCTGGAAGGATTCACATCAAGGTGATGAGTTGAATAGGATGGTAGGTGCTGGAAGTGTTGGTCTGGATTGTACGATGAAGAAAGAGCATTAGATCTGGGATGGATTGGAGGTGACAGTTGGTTGACAGCAGCACCACGACGAATCATCAATTATCGACGATTCATAAGGTATCTCGCACGTTGAGGAATGACAGGTCGATCATGATGCTGATGAGAATGAGGATGTATCACTTGAGGATGAGAAGGATGAAGAAATCTTCCATGTGTTGCAGGAGTCATCATGGGATGTGACGTTTTGAAGAGTGTTTTTCGAGGGATGGCAAGTGGTGGTTGTTGAAATAAATTATTTTGATGTTTGGGTACGATATTATGTTTGTACGATCGTGCAGGTTTGTTTCAAGATCATTGTCTCTCGCGAATAGATTCATACAACCTTGTAAGGAACAATGTGACATTTGAAGATTGGAGAGAACGGATGAATTTGAATGGCGGATTACGTGGTAAAATGTCAGTATCTGTTATCGCTGCTTTTGTATTTCATTTCACAATACTTCAAAATAAATACTTCTAGCCCAAAAAGGAATTGCCTAATAGAGATATATTCAACATTGCAATAGAGCGATGACAGTTAGAGATTATCTCTTTGAATTTCAGCATACATTCAGTATTATACCAAATTATTAGAGAGACAGCTTATTTTCATTTGCAATGAATTTATCATTATTGTTCATGAGCAAGAGGTTTTATGGAGATGAATGTCAATTTTTGTAAAGTGGTGAACTGACTCCTTTCCTCACATAATGTTTCGCAATAAATAATAATAATACCTCAAGACCTCCACTTGTAACTACACAACTGTTTCACTGAAACAATACACAACAACAAGTGAGACATCCATCCAATTTTGCTAATTCGTCGTACTCGATAGGAATTAGCTCAACATTGAAAACCTGTGACTCATTCATAGCATTCTTGAAAATAATCTCTGATTGGTGATAGCCACTTTTGTAAATAATTACATGTTTGTTGGTCTTTAAGCTTTTAAAGCTCACCACATTACAGGCTTCTTCCTCTGGAACAAAGAGAGCTCTGTATGTAAACTTTTCATTTGAATGTGATTGAATTTGAGAGAAAATGTCTCTTCCAATTTCATCATCGTTCACAGTTAACAAAATTTCAGCACTTGAACTCAAAAAGTAGGTCACGAACGATTTCAGGTGAAGACCTTGCTTCACTTTTACAGGAATAACTTTCCAACCAAGTTCTGAAAGTACTTTTTCATACAACAAGATACCTTCCATGTTGGTTCTTGATGATATTCCCATAAACAAATGCTTGGTTTCATAAATGGCACAACAATCACCACCATCCACAGTGGCAGTCTCACTTTTTTCATACATGTCCACCAATGTGTAGTTCCGAGTCCAACTGTTGGATATTTTGGAGGAGAGAAACACTTCTCGGAATGCGTCGATTTCACCTCTTCGGGATAAGGCTCCCATTCGATTGAGCTATGATATGATTCAGAAATTAATATCATTTACATGCCGCCATAAATTAAATTCATATGAATGATCATTACGGATATTCATCGGAAGAAATATATTTCATCATTCAATCAGCAAAATGAATGAAGTTCCATCCATCACTTACAAAAACAACATGATCAACCACCACGATCGGATCTTCCACAAAAACACAATCGGGATACCTTTCATCACTCTCCAACTCGATCACTTCTTCCAAATGAGTTTTCAAAATAGAAACGTATTCTTGGTGTTCCTTCTCAGCCTTGTGTTTGTTGATGAAATCCTCGGAGGAGGAGCAGTCCTTCATATGATCATGTTTGGAAGAAATTCCATGATGAACGTTTGGTGAAATTTTACGAATGATGCCTCGGGAAGCTTTCATTTCTTTTTGTAATTTTTTCAACAGTTGGTCAACTTGTTGTTGACAGTCTCATTCACTGCGTGGCTCCGATATAATTCCAAATTCGACTGTCTTGCAATCAAAGAAACAGAAAATGAATACGCTACCATCCAAAATATTTTAATAATACTAAAACCTTCAAGCAACTTGCGAATACGTTGTTTATATTGGAAAGAGTAGGGTGGCAGAATCTTATTTGAAATACACAAGGCAATCATGCCACCACCAACAAAAGGAAATTAAAAAAGGCTACTGCACTGCAGGTTCCCAAGTTGTCTCCAACCTCAGTACTAATGCAGCTCGACGATGCTTAACTTCTCAATTCGGACGGGATGAGGTGCATTCATCGTGATATGGCCGTAGCCATTGAATTATTAATTGTAAAACCTATAAATCAAGTTTAACACCATGAAAACCGATCCAAAACCAAAGCTTTGCATTATCAAAAAGCCTTAATGTATTACTTTTCTCTTGAGACCATTTTGGATGGGATGCCTGTTAGTAATATGACGACTCCCGCTACAACCTTTGGTTGTATGAACTGTGAGATACAAGAAGTCTTTCATACGAAATCATAAAAGGCCAATGTTGCTTAGATAGATCAAGCACCCGATCGGTTATGGCGGTTGGCGCCTCTGTGAGTGTTAAGTTGACTTCAAAGAGTGAATCCTTATCTCTGTTAATGGTACCGAAAAGGAGACGATAACGTTACTACTGTTCATATAGGTAAAAAAATCATCATGATTCTCTCTGAAAGCACTTCTTTAACAAGCGGCACATCACTCCTTGTGGTACTCTCGCTCATGATCGCTTTCCTCATGGTGTCACACGTCTTCGGTGCGGATAGCTGGAACAATGGCAATTGTCAAGTCATTGAAACTTTGAATTCTATTAGAGATAGTAATAGAGGAAATTCGATGATTAATTATACGCATTATTTGTCAACAACATCGACGAATGATTTCATGAGTCGATGGAGTTGCAATTCTCTTCCAAATATTCTCTATGACCACAGTTTTGATGGAATTCTGGTAGGAGCATTTAGCATTGTCAAAATCTATCCTAATGGCATGTCCTATTGTCAAACATTTCAAAAGAATTCATATCTCATGCTTCAATACGAAAAATCACTTCCTTATTTCACCAATGAAACAGTCATGCAACATTTTGTGAAAGATTATTTGGAACTGATGATATTCGTTAATACCTCTGAAAGTGTCCAACAAAAACGTAGTGATTTTGCTTTTTTGGAAGGAAGAAAAGTAATAATTCCAAAACAACAACTGAATTCCACATTTTCTCTTTCCATGCTTGACTTTGTGCATACTTTCAATTATTTAATGTACTGCCAAGAGAACAATTCCTATTTTGAAATATTTCATAGAGAATGGTTGCCCAGTATCGTCAAATTAAGCTCTTTGACACAAGTTCAAACTTTGGATATTATGTATGGCCAGAATATGGACGAATTATGTGGTCATACAGGAGTATATCCGTTGACAATACTTCACAACACGCTTCTTTGTGTGTGTTCTGTGAATGGAAATGAAACAACCGTTTCCTCATTCAATTGTCAAGATAGTTATGTCACGTTTTGGGTTCCACTCGCCACACATGTTTCTTACAAGGCCATTGAATTTTCATTTCATTTCATTCAATTAATTGCCATAACAGTTTTGGTTTCCATTCCAATCACATTCAGATACCTCAAAAAATGGAACGAATTTTTGAACAATCTTCAGAAGAAAGTTCAAATATGGAAAGCTGAAAAGATGGAAGAGCAGCGCAATAGAGTATCACCTTCAACATTAATTCCATCATCTCCATCCTCAACTCCTGTCATACTTTCGTTCAAACCGAAGAGAGATTTCAAATTATTGTATGATGCAATCCGAGCCCTGTGTGACATCAAAACCATGACTATGATCTGTTCCATGTTGTCACAAATATTGATTACTATCAATGCCCTTCTCTATATAATAATTCCTGGCAATGCATATTTTGAAAATTATAATTTAACATTAATAGTAGCAGCTGCTACCTTTCTGTGTACCGGAAATATTCCTCTAGCTGTGACGTTCTATGAAATCTTGTTAGAATTGTCATTTGAAAGGAAAAAAATTTCAATTGTTGGATTGTAAGTATTCACACTGTTGTTCATTCAAACCCAATACTGATCTCATCCATTAATGTTACTGCACCTACTATGCATATTATCTCAAATCAGAGTAACAACCACTATTGTTTTCTCTTTTCTCTTTGTCGTTCTCTCATCTTGTTTCATTTCCACTATTATTGCATCAACTGCTATTCAGGGTTATGTTAGAATTGGAACTATTCCACTATCATTTCTTGTACTACTTGCTTCATGGAGTGTCCTTGCTGGATATTCATTAAAAATCTATGTGCTTCTAAAAAAGAATCGAAGAGTGAACTTCCTCAAATTTAAGGTTAGTATAATTTGTTGAACAACTTTACGCGATTCTATGAACATGATCATTCAGTTCACTCATTACTTAATTTATCTTATTTGTCCTCTTCTCTTTCTTATTTATGAAATTTTTTCAGAAGTTCTTTACGAAGTGGGTATCTATCAAGTTGATGTGCTTTGGACAATTCTCTTCAAACAGCGTATTGCATGCTATGTGATCGGGATCACACTAGCAGGAATGAATTATGTACTATTCTCGAGTAAGGCTTTCATGGATACATTTGCCACATGTCTTCACCCATGTTGTCCGAACCGAATGAGAAAGTCAAACAGAAGGAGTTCCGTTTAAACTCCACCAACAAGGTTTCTTATTATTTTCAAGGAGAATTTCGAGTGAAACAATGATGCTAATTCCATGCGTTTGTTGAGAACATCCAAAGATCATGATCGGAAGAAAGCATTCCACACGTATCTATTACTCATTAGCAAATAAATTGTTTCCTTCCTCATGATGATCATCACAAATAATAATATGATGACCCACGAGTCCCCATTTTTTCTCAAACCACAATTCTTTCTTCCTCTCATCAAGCCTTCTCTTCCTTCATCATGGTAGAAAGGAATATGCAGGTAATGATGAGCAAAATTAATCGTTATTGTAGTACCTGAATGGTATCTGTCGAAAACTTGCAGCGCTTCTGAATTTGTAACTTCTTAGACCAAGAGTTGTTTACACAACAACAATTAACCTGCTCTCGGAAGAAATGGACATCCTTTGAATATTACAACATATTTTATTATTTACCATCTTCAACTATAAATTGATATGATTCTTACATGTAGTACATATCATATCCATTGATAATTGAAAAAGTGAAATCTCCCATATTTAAATTTTGATTGTATGGTCGTCGGCGGACCGTTAAGGCCGCTGCAGCAACAAATTGAAGGAGAAAAAAATGTGGAGAAGGCTTCTTCGTCGAGGTGTCCAACAAGCATCGTCATCTTCAACACCTCCCAACACAGAAGCAAGTCAAGCTGTAAAAACTGTTACGGCCAATTCAAGCCGCTTCGGAAGAAGATTTGTTATTGGATCGTTGATAGTCGGTGGTGGCATTACTCTTGGGGCTGTTGCTAAAGCCTATGAGAAGGAAGCAGAGGAAGAGATTGGAGTCATCCGAAAGAAGAGTCGATGGTTGAATTTGTTGTTTGGGTCCAAACCTAGTGATGAAAAACCTTCCTCAGAATATGGATTTGAAACACCCACTCTCATCAGCAGTGACAAATATGGGCAATTACTCTACGACCGATTCACTCATTCATTCTTTCATCGTATCTATTATTTGATTCATATCGGACAAAGATTGAATGAAATTATTTCAATTTTCTCACCTTTGGCTGTTTATGCTTTCGTACACTTCTTTGTGTTAAAACCTTTCTATAGACTCTTGTATACAAGAATTAAATTCGAGAATGGTCAAGAAATGTTGGAAAAAGCTGAGAGGGATCTCGATGAAAAGTTTTATTCATTTGTTGTGCAGAGTTTGAAGGATGGTGGTACCTGTTTCATCAAATTCTCTCAATGGCTCTCAACGAGAGCTGACTTATTAGACCCTCAAGTATGCAAACATTTTGCCACACTCCATTCCAATGCTCCAAAGCATCATATGAAGAATGTGAAGCAACTCATCAATGAACAATACAGAAAGAGAGAACACACCGACAAAGACATCATTGTATGGATGGACAGTGAACATCCATTGGCTAGTGGTGCCATTGGTCAAGTCTACAAAGGAAAGATGAGATATCACAATGACCAGACTGACATGGATGAAATTAGAGATGTCGCCATTAAGGTTAGACACCCTCATGTGGAAACACAAATTTTACAAGACTTGAAGATTTTAGAGCTACTTTGTGTCATTACCAGCAGATTCCTTCCATCTTTGGGTTGGCTTCAGCTCCAAGAAAATGTCAAGGAATTCACGAAATGCATGAAATTACAAACCAACTTTAGATTTGAGGGTGAAAATCTCAAAGCATTCCAAAAGAATTTCCAAGATTTCAAAAATACCATCATCTTCCCAACACCTTATTACTACTCTCCAAACATACTTATCGAAAGTTTTGAACCTGGAATTTCTATTCAACACTATATGGATCAAGCTCGTAATGACCGTGAAGTTTCATTGCCAAACCCAACACAACAACCAAACAAGGACATGGATGAGCTTGTAAAAGAAAAGGGAAACAAACCTATTCCTCCAGAAGTTGAACAACTTGACGCAAAAGAACAACAACGATTGCTCCAAAAGAAACACAGACATCGCGTTGCAGAGCTAGGTACTGATCTTTTCTTGAAGATGATGTTACACGACAACCTTCTTCATGCAGATCTTCATCCTGGAAACCTGCTCGTAAGAATCAATAAGGAAACCAATGAACCAATGCTTGTTGTGTTGGACGCTGGAATGGTCACCCAATTGTCACATGAGGATAGACAAAACTTTGTTGATCTCTTCTCTGCGATTATTCGTGGTGAGGGCTACTATGCTGCTCAACTAATGATTGAAAGATCGAGAAAGTTGAGAGAAAATAGCGGATACACTTTGACACCTGAAAATGCAGAAAAATTCAAGACTGAAATGGCAGATTTAATTACCTTTGTTCTCGATAAGCCAATTGAGGAAATTCAAGTTGGAAAAGTTATGGAGACTGTCTTGTCACTTGGACGACAGTATCACGTTCCTATCGAATCGACTTTCTCAACACTCGTCATTAGTACCATTGTTGTGGAAGGTATTGCCAGACAACTCAATCCACGCTTCCAGTTTGCCGTGAGCGCTCGACCTTTCTTGGCAAGAGACAAGACTCTCCGAATGGCCTATATTCAGAGTCGTTTGGGTAAGATCAAGGAAGCTGCTGAGAATCTCATCAAATAATTGTATCTCATCATAATGTTATGATGACAAATACCACACTCCAAAATAATTTTCACCCCACTCCCAACTTTTTCTTCGTTTCAAACAATAAACAAGCCGTGACATCTTTGCCTTATGATTTGTGTCGATATTTTGTTCAATGTCAACTTGGAGAGGAGAGGTATATACATGTTTTTTTAATATATATAAGTAATTAATATGATTTCGGAACATGTCGTCGGAACAGGATGCATTTCATTCCCTAGCCCGCCATTTTTTTACAACTTACAAAACAAAAAAAATTACACCCAATCCCACTCTCCTCAAACCCTACAATGTCTGAAAACAAGAAGGCTGTGATCAAAAACGCAGATATGGAAGAAAACATGCAACGAGATGCGGTTGATATTGCAGCTCAAGCATTGGACAAGTTCAACATTGAGAAGGATATTGCAGCTCATATTAAAAAGGAATTTGATAAGAAATACAACCCTACATGGCATTGTGTGGTTGGAAGAAATTTCGGAAGTTATGTAACACATGAAACCAAACACTTTATCTATTTCTACCTCGGGCAAGTGGCTGTATTATTGTTCAAATCAGGATAAAGAATTGATATTCCTAATAAAATTTCTAAGAAACATCTAGTTGTATATTATTTTATTATTGGATGATCTGTATCTTCATCATCATACAATGAACCGAGAAGCATCATCATTTAATAATGTATGATTATTGATCGGTTGTATATTGTATTGTCGTTCAATGGGCAACAAAGGCGATTCCATCATTAAAAAAAAATGAAGGAATTACAACTCAAAGAAACTCCCTCACTCACTTTTAATAACTTGTTGGTGCATACAAAAGGAAATTTATTGTGCTACATTTCGAATGGAAGTATTGTTACGAGAAGTTTATCTGAATTTTTTGCTGGAAAGGGAGAAGAGACCATCATTCCGAATATTTCCGATTATGAGGTCAAGCATTTGGCAATTTGTCTGAATGGAAAATGTTTGGCTGCCTCCTGCGACATTGGAGTGTTGGTAGGTACCGTTCAAACATATATTGATCAAGGGAATTTAATGATGTTTCTGTTCCAACTGATATCCCTTAATAATTTATTTTAGTTTTATGACATTTCAAGTTTTTCCCTGTTGTACTTTTACAAAATTGAAGGAAATGTCACCTTTTCTTTTGGTCCAATAGCAAGTGACGATGATCGAGTTTATGTGGGTGATTCATCTGGTAATATCACTTCTTTTGTCCTCCAATCGATGGATGACATCAAATTTGAATCTTCCGCAAATATTTCAACAGTGGCCATTAGTGCTTTGCAAGTTTTCTCTGGTTCCAAACTTTGTGCAGGACTGGCCAATGGAGACATTGCCTTCATTCACAATCTTAACACGATCATTAAATTGCACAAAAACAAAGTTGAAGCTCTCGAGTATCCATGTACAGGAATTCAAATCGTGAAGGATGTTGCTGTCACAGCATTTGGAAGCGGACACGTTCGATTGTATAGCTTGAAAAATGGGTTCAACAAGATGGCAGAAATTGCAGCACATTCGAAAGGAGTTTCTGCTCTTCATGCATGCGAAGATAAGGGTAGTATTGTTTTTGCAACTGCCAGTGAGGATTGTTCCGTATTCATCTGGAAGTATGACATTGAATTTTCAGCCATTAAGGGCGAACGCATTAAGGACTGCCTTCTCACTGGAGTACAGTTTGTGGACAATAATCGTGTGTTGGTCTCTTCCTTTGAGAAGAAAAGCTGCTATTTATTGGAATGCTAGAGAAGGAGCTTAATCCAAATCAAATAAATACTTATTTTTGAAATCGCACTGTTGGGGTTTCTCATCTGCTTCACATGGAGAGAAAGAAACTTTCTTTTTTCCTGAATTCTGTTCTGCCACCTGAACTTTCTTACTTTCTCGTTCTGAATCTACAGGTCTCAATTCTTGCAGTTTTGGGTTTGAAACCGCTGCAACATCCAATTCACTAGGAACTGTTTTCACAAAGGACGACAGTTGTTGAGAAGGCATTTGAGCAAGAGAAGACAACTTTGGAGCAACTGACTGCATTTGTGATGTTTCTTCATCTTGTGCACTAGTTTCATTATTTGATGCAATTTCCTCCACCAGCTTTGGAGTCATTTCGGTTGTTTCGGTATGTAAATGGGGGGATGTTTGCTTCTCTTCCTCTTCTTGTTCTTTTGGAATCTCATCAAAAATAGCTTTTTGAACGGGATCTGGTATGACTGAAAGTGACACTTTCAACGTTTTTGTTTTCTTGTCAAATTTGGCGGAAACCTTGTCACTATGAACGCTGTACGGCAAATGTATCTCAAGATGATATTTTGCAGGCTCATTAGAATGGAGCTTTAAAAAGTTTTCAGAGACGTCCAAATCCACACCGGCAGCCGAATCTAGATGAGGAAGAAAAATTCTTACACCAATCTCAGATGGTTTCGTTCTGTTTGTACTCGTGTAAGCGGAGTAGGTGTATTCTGACATATCAAAAGCATTCTTATATACAATTTCAAACTTGGGAGTTATTGGTTCATTCACTTCTTGGATTAAATTAGGTTTTGGAGATATTTTTGGTTGTGGCATCTTTAACTCTTCTTTTTCATCTTCCTGTTTCGTGTGTGTTGTAATTTCCTTGCCGTAGGACTTTATAATGGAGTTGGGATCAAATTTTTCTCTATCGTTATTTAACAAGGATTGTATGGTAAGTGAGGAAGGATCGCCTTTGCTTTTTACACCAAGCACTTCAGTATAATATTTCTTTTTAAGGGTCACGTTGCATTTTTTTTCAACATAATCCAAACAAAGCTCACAAATAAAATTCTTAAACAATAAATCTTTCAGGGCCCTTTCACAGGTTTTTGTGTTAAACACAACATCAATGACTGTTTCTTTTTCAGAGTCTCTTGGATTTCCAACAATTAAAGGAATTTTAAATTGAGTACCCTCTATGCGATTTGACATGAAAATTGGTAAACATTACAGAACGATGATACATACTCTTGTTTTGTTGTGTGGTTTTTTCTTCCTTGTACATTTCAACCTTATCACTCGAGCAAATATTTACAAAGAATTGTTTCGCATTCTTTTCTGCAGTTGAACATTGAATACAAAAACTCTAAAAAAAGATGAATCACAAAGAACCATAAAACATTGACTTACAGCTTTTGGAATCACAATAGATTCAGGCAACTTGCTTCCTTCTTGTTCCAACTGTTTGATATACAAATCCGTTTCCTTCAATGCGTTCGGATCGGAAATTTCTTTGGCATATTCCTCAAATAGCCTCAAAAACTCAGGATCTTTCATACATTGTTCTATTTTGTTTAATTCTTCCTTCGTGATGTCTAATTTTCTATCGTTGGAGAACAATGAAAGATCATTGAGTGATGGTGGTCCGATCTTCTTATTTCCCGACGTGGTCATTGACGATACGGATTTGATGGTTGTTGCAGACATTTTTTTTTGTAATTTTTGACCGCCAAAACTGTGGCATTGTATTTTCCTCTCTTGTTGCTATTATTATTACAATCAATTCAATTCAGTTGCTGTTCAATGTTGATTTATGGTGGGTCTGATCAGAGTATCAGCTTCTCGACGAGACGTGACTAGACATCAAAGGTGACGACGATTAAATCACTCAATTTGTTTTCCGAACATGCAATTTTCAGCTTGTCTTTGAAATATGTGATTTGCTTTGACAGCGATGGAACAAAAATCACATACGTGCTCAAAGTGTTAAAATTATTGGTGGCAAATCTTGCCATGTAATTCTCTCCTACTGCATTCTTAACCAGTTCTTCATAGTTGGGATTACTATAATTTGGAAGATCGAACACGTCATGATTGCGTGGTCTTCCAATTTGGCCATACGTCGTCATTCCCTTTGTGTAGACTTTACCCTTATTGGTGCCAATGACAATATGATCGGATCCACAGCAAATGTTCTCGATATATTCTCCAGGAGGAAGATGTGGAGTCATGTCCACCCAAGGCGTTATGTCAATAGTTAAGGGTGAAGAGCTTTTTTGTCTCTGGTGTTGAGGGTTTGGTGGATTTAATTGACCATAGCTATTTCGACCTGCTCCAAACAACTTTTCATCCGTCGTCAACACGATTGTAAAATACCATCCACATGAAACTTTGTTTACAATACCATCAAATCGATGTAAACGAGAGAGTGTATTAAATCGATCAGAAATTGAATCAGAAATTCCAAAGGATTCCTTTTCTCCCATCACATAAAGATTTCTTTTCGTTGTAATCAAGCAAATACTATCAACAGGTTCATTGATTGAAATACATTTGATGAAAAGTGCAAACATGTTGAAATTATTCGAAGAAACAATTGTTTGCAATGTGATGGTCATGTGACAATGTCTCGTTTCGTTCTTTTCGAGATCATTAAGATTATTCGGCATACATACCTATTTCCTCCAGTGACCAACTCGGCAACATCTTCATCAACCTCTAAAAATGATTTCAAATTCAATGGACTTTCAATCGCATCGGAATTTAGATCACCAACTCCATGCAACACCATTTCTTCATCCAACATCCAATAACACATTCCAGAAGCACCAATCATTCGAGCTCGAGGAATTTGTTCCAGAAATGGAACAGCAAGATCCGGATGATCCTCCAGTTTATACACCTTTCCCGATAAAGTCAAAAACAAAGCACCATTTTGTCCCGTTTTAATGTCTATAATTTGATCGGGAGACAAAAGATCAGGCCAATCCAATCGTTTCTTTTGATCCCCACAATACACATGATGATTGCTTGTTAGAAAATAGGAGGTGGAAAATTGAGTAGCCACTTGTATGATTGAGCCTGATCCTTGATCTCTCATTTCCTTCTCCAATGCTTCCAAATGAACCAATGATAAGAGATCCGATGATGATGATGATGAGGTATTCGTATTGTGTTGGTGGTTCTGATCATCCCGATCATGAACGCCTAGAAATGAATTGGTGTTGTAACCACAACAGAACGCAATGCTCCGAGATGATGAAAAGGAATGTTGTGAATGTAAATTTGAAAAAAACATTTTTTTTGTTCATTTCTTGAATAGGATGATGAATTGAGACTCGATAAAAATCACTAGGATTTCAAACAAAAAGGAATGTTGTTTGAAATCCTAGTGATTTTTAAGGTTGTGTTTGAATAGTTGTTGTTATTATTATTATTATTTGAAATGAAATGGTACAATATTTTCGAAAGGTTTTCACCCTCTAAAATTGAAGAGATGTCATCACACAATGTTGTGATCAATGATGTAAAATTCCTTTTGGTGATAAAAAGTTCATGACTTTGGATTTGAAATTGGCATGAGCTCCTCGAGGTGTATCTAAATCGGTGGAGGTTGGAACAATGGCTGAATTCTTTTCAAGTAATTGTTTGTGATGAGAAATCATTTCTTGATAGAGAGGTGAAAGTTGGAATCGTTTGAAGGCATCTTGCATGACTGTTTCAATATGTTTGGTGATGGATTCGAATAGATCGACGAGTTCATCATTTTCATCTTTGATTCGTGTTTTCACTTGAAGAATGGACTTTTTGTCGATATTGATGGCCTTGTCAGATGTCAATTCCACATAACCATTCAAGAGCTTAATGGCATGTTCATATCGTTGAGCTCTATTTCTCAAAAATTCATACTTGAGCCTCACCTCACACCAAAATTCAATATTCTCCGAGTTGTATTCTTTTTCACAATGTTTGATAAAATACTCTCGATGATGTGGTGAACGAATGGTTTCAATAAAATTATAAGAAAATGGTTCTTCTTGAGAATGAATCTCTTCTTCTGATTCTCCCAATAATACGGATGAGGAAGAAACAACTTGTTCACGTGGAGTGTATTGGTTGGTTTGGTGATTCAACTCATTAAGGGAGAGAGGTGGAACTCCTTTCAAATTAAGGGAAGGAACTTTAAATGGAGTATTGACAGTTGACATGGATCTGTCTTTTGATTCACCACTCGTGCCAGCAGAAAATGTTTCTTTCATGTCGTTCATGAACTTATCTTGAAGATTGTCTTGAATTTGAAAATGTCGATTCTTCAATTTCATGTCCTCATCTGAACAAGTGGAAGAATTTGACATTTCAGAAGAGTGATTTTCTTTGTGACGAAAACCATTAACGAGTGAGGTAAAATAATGCTCTCCAAAACTCTTTTGTTTCTTCAATGGACCTTGATTAGACACATTGACAGTTGACTGATGTGTCACAGGCTGCTCCGTATCACAATTAGTAAAGGAAATCAAATTCGAAGCACTGTTCGACGTAACAACCATCAATGAAGCACCACCATCATTCATCATTTGCTGTTGTTTAACCAACATTAAACTCTTCTTTGAAAGTTTTCTCTTCAACTGAGATCCAGAAATCGATTTCGAATTTTCATTTGAACTTTCATTCAAAGCATTGGATTTTCTAGTGAGAGCTTTCTTCAAACGACTCCATAATGGCCTTCCTTGTTCTGATTTCAACTTTTTTGTTGGAGATTCCACAGTTTTGTGAATTTCTTCTTCTTTGATTTCTTCATCTTCTTCATCACTACTTTCGACGTGATTCATTCCATGATCGTCATTGTCGTCATTATCCTCTTGCATGGAATTCATCACGGAAGATTGTGCCATCATGGAGTCGAGTGCGTTATTGTCAATGATTGTTTTGTGAAGAGTCACAAGATTCGAATCGTGTGAAAGATTTTGATTTTGTGTTAAAACAACTCCCAAAGAACGAACCATTGTGGAACCACCTTGAAGATTTTCATCAGTTTCGTCGTATTTTCTCTTACGTGCTGGAGATTTCTTTTTATCACTTCCAGTACTTGAAAAGGAAGAACTTGCTTGTTGTGCTCTTGTTGGCATACTTTCCATATTTGTACAATTATGGGAATTCTCAGAAGAATAGCCTTCTCTATGTGCATCATTACCACTATTAGTAGCTTGATGATTAGAAGTTGTGAAAAAAGTTCGTTGTTCCCTCAACTTGTTTTTCAAACTCTCAAGTTTTGTCTTTCTATAATCCTTCATCGAACGAATCAAAGATTTCTTTTTCGATTGTTGTTCTTTTGCTGTTGTTGATTGTTGACCAACTTGATTAAACTTGTCCTTCATTTGTTGTTGGGTATTACCAACCATCATCTTGTAAGCCTTTTCTGGAATGACATGAATGTGTTTCACACTCGAGTTTCCAGTTGTTGTTGTTGTACAATGATTCGATTGGAGAGGAGAAGTGAATGGATTTTTCATGGTGGATGGTGTCAAGAAGGATGGATTCTTTTTTGTTCTTGAATAAGTATCTTCGTAGGCCAATGAAAGATCTTCTGCTAATGCTTGTCTCTTTTTGTAATAACTTGGAGTTTTGAATGGAGATTGGACAAAGGTTTGACTTCGTGGTAGAGTGGTTTGAGAGTTGTCATGCAAGTGATGTATGACAGGAGAACAATCATTGGCACTCGAAGTAGGTGGTTCGAATTGAATGGGTTTCATGGTGACTGGCATGTTGTTGTTAGGATGATTGACAGTTGAACTCGATTGTGCATTCGCTTTGGGAGAGGGATTTCTTTTAAGAGATGCATTTCGATGGTAATTTGTTTTCTTCACAAGAGATGATTGCAAGTGCAATGGAGATTTCTTTTTTTGAGAGCCAGTGGTGGTGGCGAATTTGAGAAGAGGAGAAGGATGAGCATTTCGAAGAGAGGATTTGGTTTGTTGTGGACTGTTTACCATATATGGAGAATATCTGGGAGATGGTTTTTTACGTTGAAGATCACAGACATTGGATGGAGTCGTATTAATTGTATTGTTATTTGAAGGAGAATCTTCCATGAGTTGATTTGGTGAAATGGGACTCAATACTTTTCGATAAGGAGAAATAGGTTGTGTCTTTTCTAAATTTGGCGATTTTGGAGATGATTCATTTCCAGGACTAATTTCCATTTCATTCTCCTTATTCTCTAAAGGTGAATTCAATGCATCCATCAGCCATGCATCGTTGATTCTATAAAACTGAGACCCTTCTGGAGATTTCTCAAAGGCACGAGATCGTGAATGAATAATTTGAGTTTTTCTACAAGAAGACAATTTTGGTGATTGCCTTTTTTGTGGTGTTGATTGTTGTTGAGTTTGTTGGCTTTGCTTGGAAGGTGTAATGTTCAATGGTTGTGAATGTTGTGGTGATCCTACCGTTTGTCGTTGTTGTTTCAAATTTCGAAGAGGAGACAAGTCTTGAATTCGAAGTGTTGAAGAAGAAGAGAAGGGATTGTTCTGTGAAGGAGGAGAAGAGGCATTTGGAAAGGTAAAATCTCCTCCAATCATGGGTGGGGTTGAGGAGGAGGCAAACGGTTCTTGATTCATCGTTTGGACAGGTAAAGACATTGGATTTTCGGTGTTCTCATTCAACGCGCGTTGGATCATTTTTTTTTGACGTATGGCATATTGAAAATTGTTAACGGTCAAAAATTTGAAAGGCGGGAAACTATTTTGGTCAACGAATGTCAGAATTTTGATGTTTCAGTGATGATGTGAATCTTGTCTTTCGATCCAATCCAATATTACCCTCGTAATATTCACATCCCAAATATTCACTAAATTCCAAAAAAAAAATGTCGACTCAAAACACTTTCGAAGAATTGGTTCCTCCCGAAATTTGTTTTCAGATCTTTACCTATCTCGATTTTCGATACATGATGCAACAAATTCCGAAAGTGTGTTCCTCATGGAGAAACGTCATTATTACTCGAATTCACACCATTCATATTTATCCAAATGTGGAAAAATATATTTTTCAAAATTCGCTTTATGATCGACAGCATGCTTTTGAATCCAAAAATAATGAAAATGGAACAAATCACATCAAGATTGATGACCTTAATATTGAAAAAGACATTTTTCCATTCATTTCCTATTTAACTAAATTCATTCAAAGCAATTCGATGAAAGTTTACCATTTATTTATTCATGGAGATTTGAAACAAACACTTTTATTACACAATCATTCTCGTTTTATTCATCAATCTTTGAACGGTGGTGGAAAAATGGAATTTACATCTCGATTCGAACAAGAATCTGAAACATTTTTACAATTACTGAACGAATATGGAGAATATTTTCAAAATTGTTATACATGGCCTCTTTTTAACATGCATTCGAATTTGGATGGAACGGTTTCGAGTTCTATGGTGAGATTATGTGATTGTAATGTTGTCATTGACTTGTTGAAAAGTGTGTCACATTCTTTGAACACTTTGGTGATTAAGAACATACAAGGAAATTACCATTTTGCATCACAACTCCAACAATGTTCCAAGTTGAAAATTCTTGTTTTGGAGGACGTGACTCGAACGTATCATTTGGAATTGCCTGGATTAAGATTTCTCTACTGCAATGATATTTTTTATGTGAATAATTCGTTCGAAACTCCAGAATATTTTCATGTGAATTCCAATCTTACGAATTTTTCTGACTCTTGTCGACATGTTTCTTTTTGTGCCAATAACATGTCACTGATCCAGCTTGAAAATTTTCTCTCTCATCATTCAAATTACATTGAATCAGCAAAAATTGCAATTTGTAAGAATGAATATTCTGTCTCCAAGAAGGAAATGACGAAAATTGTAGAAAAATTAATGGAATGCATTTGTTTAATGCCCCGATTGAAATGTCTCGATTTGTCATTGGACATGATTTTTGACATTTGCATGTCATATTATCGAGATGGAGAAGAGAAAGTTTTTGTTGTAAAGAAAACGATGATTTTGATGGCCCTTCAAGGTCTCAAAGAATTGAGATTGAGTGGAAGCTCCTTTCTTGGCAATGGATTTGATGCATTTCTTGAAAAGATGATTCACTTGGAGTCACTGGCGTGCGCTGTATGCAATGAAGTGGATGAAGAAATACTTTTTGGTTTATTGGAAACATGTTTGAAAAAGTTGAAACGATTGGAGTTGCAAATTTCACAACCTTCGTACTGCACATTGAGTCCCACACTCTTGAAACATTTGTCTCAATTTCTTGTGAATCATTCTGAAACGAGTGCATTGACTCATATTTTAATCAAGAATTTGGATGCTGAAAACTCTGATCCTTTAATGGACATGCTGAATGATTTATACAAGCACTATGAACAGAATCGACCTTCCAGTCAAATACTTCATTTGGGGTTCCAATTTCGTAAAAAACCTTCGCAGCAAGCATTGGATAGCATTACCCACCAATGTAGACATTTCATTAAGGTTCACATGATGAGTCATGACGCCATCGATACCGATCCATTCATTCCATTCGATATTGACTATTCAAATTCACAACAAATGGATCAAGTCGTGTCAAAACGAAATGAGTTCAAACAACTAATTGCTTGTTCGAAAATCACATGCTTGGCGTGTGGAATGGTTTTGAATCGAAATGACTATGAAGAACATTGTCAAAGATTTCATTACTCACAAGATTTAATGTATGATCACTCGCTCAAAAGAAGAATGGATTTCAGTAACTATGAGATTCAATGTCCATCTTGTCATGCTGATGTACGGAGATGTGACTTTGATGAGCATGTCGAGAATGTTTGCTCTAGAAATCGAGTCAAATTATGTACAGAACCTAGAAAAACGTTCCAACAAATCATATCGGAATATCAGTCCATCCCTTCCAATACTGAACAACATGACAACCATTTGTAATAACATCTTAAACTTGATCGACTTCTACTTTCGAAACGCTCTTCTCGACAACTTCCCTAAGTTTTGTCAATAATATTGGCTTGTACAAGACCGAGTCAAATCCAATCTCAGATAATGATGTGACATTTTCCCAAATATTTGCAGTCACGGCTATGACAGGAACATGCATGCAATCGTTTGTCTTTTCATACTCTCTTATCAAGGAAACACATTGTTTTCCACACATGTTTGGCATGAGTAGGTCCATTAAAATGACTGAATACTGTTTAGTTCGAAACATCTCAAAACATTCTTTTCCATCGGATGCGCTCTCTACATTCTTGTATCCCAACATATGCATCATTTTAGTCATTACTTTTCTATTCACTTGATTGTCATCAACGACTAATACTGGTGCTTCTTTTTGAGAGCAACTGCTTTCATTGGAGTTAGAAGAAGGTATTGGGTTGTCTTGTTTGGGAATTTCTGAAACACTTCCATCTATTGTAATTGAGACCTCTGGTATAATGATGGTATTATTCTGTTGACATTGCTTCTGAACTTCTCTCTCACAAAAACTTATGAGTTGTTGAGCTATAGTGTGATACATTTCCTCAATTTTAAGAGGTTTGGTAATATAGAGAAGATTTGGATATTTTCTGGTTCTTCCACGAGTAGATATTGGCATTAAAATTCTATGTGAGCTGTTGAACGAGGTAAATAGGTTCTTGACTTGTTTGTGTGCATCTTCCTTATAGATGATGAGGGCTTTTTTGTGTTCGTTGGGAGGAAAATGAAGTTCTGTAGAAATGTTAGGTATTTTGACAATGTGACATTCTTGATTTGCAAATAATAAGTACTTTTCAAAAATGTCCAAGAATATATGATCAGAATCCACCAAATAGATTGTAAAATTAGACAATTTGGTTTTCAAAGCATACATGTCTTCATCTTGTAAAATAGATTCATTGCTGTTTCCACCAACCCCAATAGGGCCATCTTTTCCAAGTCTAACAGGCACAAGGATGGTGATGATCGTGCCAGACGACCCATGTGCTATCTTGCTACTGACAGCTATAGTTCCGTGCATTCTATCTACCAATCTTTTTGAAATGCTCAATCCAATTCCATTTCTATTTGTCAACAACATGCCTAATCCTGAGTTGCTGGAACTTTTGTGCATCGATTTGAGATAATATTGATCGAAAAGAGAGCCTGAAGATTCTACACTAGGACTGATGCCACTCTCATCACTCTGAACATGTGCATCCTGAATGGTTTTATAGGGCTGAAATAAGTCTTTGATGCTCTCTGGCTTAATTCCCTTTCCGTTATCTTTGCATTCAAATTTTAAGAACACAAATTTCTCGTCTTCTGAAAAATCAGGATTGTCTTGAAGCACAGCATTTATGATGCATTGCTTGTCAATTTTGAACTCTTCTATCAATTCTTTATCTTCACATAAGGAGCAACTTAATACCACATAACCACCGGATGGAAGTGAATACTTAATGGAATTTGAAACTAAATTCATTAGTACTTGCGAAATTCTACCCATCGTTAACACAATTTTCAAGAAAAATGAACTAATCATCAAACCTACCTCACATGATCTCCAATGACTTGTAAAGGCATATTATTACGGTTCACGTATGAATGAAGGACAACCTTCTTGTCGTTGGCTATGTTATAAAACACAGAAGTAACCGACTCAACCAATTGTTGCACAGAAAATGCTTCATAATGAAGATTGAAATTTCCAATCTCTAAACTTGATAACTGAAGTGAAGTACTGAAAACCTGAAGCAATATATTTGCATTGTTATAAATATCATTCACTAGCTCAATATGAGATTGGGATGTGCCATCACTTGATGTTGAATCCGTGTCACTGAGTCCATCTTCATGATCTGAGGCTTTTGGATCTTTTTGGAGCAGCAAACTGTTCTTTCTACGGCCACCTCTCTTGTGTTTGCAAGGGCTTTCACATTTTTCATATTCGTTTTTCAATATCGTTGCTGCTCCTAAAATTCCATGGAGTGGATTTCTTTGGTAAATTAAATGTGTCAAGATGGAGAGATATAGAAAATCACAAAACATACCTTGCTTCATGCGACAAATTTCCAATAAATTTTGTTTTTTCCTGGCTTAAGATCTTTTCTTGCAAATGTTCAAGTTTTTCCCTCAAGCTACTGTCTCTTTCTAAAGCCTGAATATTGGAAATAAAAATATTCATGGTTGATACAAAAATGAGCATCGTGGTAATTTCGAATATTGTGAACCATGGAGTGCTTGTGCAAATCAAAGCAACTGTGGTAAAGAAGGTCATGATGCAACAGTTAAATATTGTTGTTCCTAGAGATTCATTAAAAAAGAAGCAAAATACAATGATCTTAGTAAGTGTGACCATATAAAGCAAAGTCACTTGATAGTAAGTGTGAACAATGAATGCAATCAAGGTAGAGGCCAAACATCGTGAAATAGTTAGACGTTTTTTCTGGCTTAAAGTTTTCACTTTAGAAATGGTTAGCCAAGTACAGCACAGATGGATCATTGGCTCGAATAAAGTTGTAAAGCAAATTAATGCCATGGAACAAGATTCTTTCTTGAAATAGTATATCATTAAAATTACAGACAACCCCAAAATAATATTCAAATATTTAAAAGACTTCATGAACAAATAGTGTGTTTCTCTTGTTAACGCACTTGCATATTCAGAAAAATCGCCCCCAATAAATGAAATGTGCAAAAACTTTAAAAAATCCTTTAGGTCATCCATAATTTCTTCAAACGAATTGGTATTTTGGGTTTCAGGAGTGGCGTGTTTGTTCTCTGAGTTGGGCAGAGACGGTCGTCGTTGACATTGAGGAAGAAATACTTTTGTGTACGACGATGAAGGAGATGTATCTAGAGTGGAAATGGCAGGCAAGTGATCACTAGAGGAGGGGATTTGCAAACGAGGGTTAGAGTTTAAGGAGCTTAGAGAGCTTGTTTCAATATTAGACGAATCCATGAGCTCATTCTCATCCTGAATGCTCGACGATTCTGTGCAAATGGTATATAAATGTTCGATGCATTCTTGTTTTTTCAAGCTTGTCCTTCTTCTCCATAAGGAGTACGGAGGAGAACCACGAGCGTTTGACAAAGTCTTTCTTTTCGGTGAAAGCCTTGATTTTACTGGCGAGAATGATCGTTTTTCTTCCAGCAGCCTCTTGGTAGAGGCTATTTGATCTCGGCATGATTGCGACGAAGATGAACTTTTGGCGCATTGCCAAGTGTCGTTACTGGTCGCGGAATCATCAAGGTGAATGATGTTTGTAATACTGTTGAATCGGTGAAGTGATTGTTGTTGCAGTTTATCCGCGCAGCAATATGAACGAGGTAAGGCTAATGAAGGAATGTGTGTTGCACGTTCTTGTCGAGAAGAATTACCATCGGGAGGAAGCAAATTGGAGTTTGAATGGTCCAAGGTGGAAGGTTGTGGCCAATGTTCCCAACCACCACCTCCACCACCACCATTATCACGTGCTACTCTTTCTCCGAGCTCAGGCCTAAGTAGTACTGGTCGTCGCAATGATGATGAAGGTGATGATGAACGACCCATAATATCGTTCTCCTCTTCATCATCCTTTTGGTGATGATGAAATTCCGTAAACTCTGTTGTTCGCGAGGACGAAGTTGAAATGCGTGAACCTGAAAGAGACATTTTGTTTTTTCCAAAACAACAACAACCATCAAGCACGAATGGGGCAAAAAGAGAGATGATGGTGCAAATGATGGAATGGTACATGTAACAAATGATGGAATGGTACATGTAAATACTGAAAGGGCTGCTTCTTTTGAAGTTGTTTAGTGAAGAGAGGCTGTTCAGGCTTGTTATGGAAAATCTCTCACAGGTAGTGTGCTTTTCAAATAAATAAGGAAAACACTAATCGAGGTAATTTTGGATATTACTAAAAAGCAACAAATTTCGAATTGATGAATTGTACCGAGAGAGACACCAACACTTTAATTGTACCTCAATCATGAATATGAGATGTGGATGTTGCATCTCATGTTTTTCTGATTGATCAGCAGAATAAGACGGAACAATCCAAGCCCAAGTTTTCTTTTAAGGATAAAAACTGTAAATTCACTTCACATGGAATTAATAATCGCGCATCTGTTGTCTCATGGTCCGACCTGCTCCTTGAATCCAACTCCGATAAAAATTTCATTCTCATATTACAATAGGAGAATCATCTTTCAAAAAAATCATTCCACATACACGCGGCGGTGTCGATTCATCATCATCATTGCTGAAACTGAATTTTTGAAAGAGACCAAGAGACCACTCCATCATCCGAGAAGGTTTAAATTCTCATCCTTATTACCATCCTGCAGCGTTATCTTTTATCCGATTCTCATCATGAAAGGCTTGTTGTTGCTTCTCCTTTCCGTTGTTGTGGTTCTCACTTTCTCATCATCCTTGTGGGTGTGTGCGGATTTGCAAAATACCACCTACACCAGTCCCTTCCATCCACTCAATATTCCACGTGCATCCATTGGACTGACTCCTCTCTTCTCTCCTGATCACTCCACCAAGGAGGAAACCAATCTTGTTTTGAGTGCAACCTCCAGCATTGATATTGCCATTCCGGGATTTGATAGTTGGAGTGGATGTTCCTATCCAAAGGATGGCTGTATGGGTTGCTCTGCTTCTGATTTGTTGAATACTGAAAAGTTTCCAATTTTCCAAGCATTAATCAATCAAATTGTGAGCAATCGAGTTCGTGTTCGTATCATTACCAACAAGTATGATGATAAATTGTGTGACGGAAAGATGGACTTGTTGACCTATTTGAAGATTGCTGGTGCTGATGTGAGATATTACACAACCACAACATTCTTGCATGCCAAATATATTGCTATTGATGGTTGCAAGGCAGCAATTTCAAGTATCAACTTTTCACAAACCTCCTTCAGAAAGAACAGAGAGGCTGGTATTTTGGTGAACGAGTGTCAAACCTCCTCTGGAATTGTTCAAAAGTTCGCTCAATCAGTTTTTGAATATGATTTCAAACAAGCTGTTCCTCTTCAAGTGGACTACAGCCAATACTCTCAAAGTGACATTCAACTTGTCAGAACAAGCACTGCAACTGTCACCATTCCAGAAAATTTACACTTTGCTAATTGTGATGCTTCATCTGGTACCATTCAAGAATACAGAGATACCTATAACATTTCAATTAGTGCCAGTCCAGACTATGCCTATGATTTCTTAATGTCTGCATTGCGTCAAACAAAGAGATCTTTGAAAGTCAGTATTTATGAAATTTCTCATCCCGATCTCTGTGATTATGTCATTCAATTGAATCAACAAGGTGTTGCATTGACACTCTTTGCATCTCATTATGTCTTCTCTAAATCAGAGGCTCTTGACGCATACAGATGCTACCGCAAACTCTTGGACAATGGAATTACTGTGACATTGTCTGCAAAGGAATGCTTGGAATTCTCTCATGAAAAGTATTGGATTATTGATGACAATATTTTGATGATGAGTACTGGTAATTGGAGAGGTACTGACTATCCAAATCCACCTTATGTTTTCCCACCAAAGAAGGGTAATGAAAGAACCTGGAGAAATGTCAACAGAGATTTCACTTTGAGAATTGACGGCTCAACTGCCATTTTGAAGAAATTTATTGAAGTTCTCAACAATGACTACAATCAAGGATATCCATACAGCTCAGGAACAGCCAGCAAGGCCACCAATACTATGAATATCAGAAATTACTAAATTATTGTTCATTTATTCGACAAGATGATCCTCATAAAACACATTCGTCTCATCAATAACGTTGAATTATCTCTTGTCTCAGCAACGTGAAAGTTAGGCTCTTTCCAAATTCAGTCGACAACCTTTCATCCATGGCAAGATCCATCTCGATCAAACATCAACACCTTGAGCACATTTAAAAACACGATCAAAAAAAGTCTTCTCTTATCGAGAGTCTCTCATTCATGAGACCACAACCAACAAATGACAACAACAACAACCACACGAAGAGATTCGTTGCATCGAGACACCACCAACAGGATGACGGAAACAACCACCATCACCACAACAACAACAACAACCACAAGAAATTGCTTCAATATGGAAGGTTACAAAACATCATGTGCATCTTTATTGAATGACACAACGAGTTCTGTATTATTGACTTCTTCTTCCGAAATGTTAATATGGAATGATTTCAATACTACTTGTTCGTCGCCGTATTCATTGACGGCAAAAGGTCCAACGACCCATACGTATGATCATGATTTATACAACCAACAACACCATCAATACACGAATCATGACCGAAACGCAACAAGAGTTTCGAGTGGCGGGATGGACATGGCTCTGTCATCCTCAAAAGATTCTTTGACAGGTGGCATCTGTCGACGTAATACTGAAATTGCCAACAAGATCACTCCGGATGAATGCCGTAAACAACAAGATGAATATATTCGGAATAATGAACCATTATTATTACTATCGAAAATTTTCTTCCTTCAATTTTTATTTCGTAATAGAATTTACAAATTGAACAACAAGTCAACAGAAAAGAAACGAAATTTGCAGAAAACGTTTAAAACACAAGAATCTTCTCCTTCATCATCATCATTGGTTGATTCACAACAGAAAAATCAGATGAAATTATTTCATTTATTACTATTTTTAGTTATTTATTGCATCTATTCTTGGTACGTGTTCGACCAATTCCAAACTGTCACCACCACGTGGATACCGTTTGTGAGCGGCGCTGATCGTTCACACCAAGCTCGAATAGCTTCTTCAGAAGACGATTTTATCGGATCTTATCTTTTACAAGACGTGAAATTTTGCATCTCGTGTAAAATTAATCCTTCCAAAAAGGACAGCATGATCTTTTTCACAGAAAATGTCAACATTTCTTCGACCTCACAAACTACTCAACTTCTCTTGATGGCTTTTGGAAATAGTGATTTTTCATCAATTGATTTAACATTTCGAGCGCCTCTTTCCTCATCACGTGTTCCAACTCATGGAAATTCTTCCACTTCTCCACAAAATTATCTTCTCATTCTCTCCTCAACACAAGTTCTAAATTTTAACATTATACTTGATGCTAACTTTCCATTGAGTGGAATTGTCTCTCATTCTCCTCTTCAAAATTCAGTCCTTGTGTCTTGGATGTATTCGAGTTCGAATCAACAATTTCCTCCAAATATCCCAATCACGTATTTATGTCGATCGGGTGACAAGTGTACACATGACATTCTCACTGAAGAATCCACCTTTAAAATTGAGAATAGTGTTGCTTTCGCAAGAGCCATGAGTCAACAATTGGGTTTCGAATGGCGCGCTTTTATGTCATGTGAAAAAGGAACTCGACTTCAGATTCAACCCAAAGAATTGCCTTGTGTTCCATTAACGGATGAAGTGATTATTTATTTGTTTCTAGTGGTCCTTGTGTTTGTGGTGGCATTTCTGAGCTGTATGGGTATGATCTTATTAAGGTGGTATTGTGTGAAAAAGAGACAACGTCAATATGAGGATGAGGAGCAATTGAAGAGACAAAAGTTATCAACCAGTTTGACGTTTGCTCCTCCTCCCTCTTCTTCTTCGTTTTTAATAGAAAATGGAGACATTCGAGTGTTTTCATCCAACATTGCCGTGAGCCCGAATCATGATGACAAGGTGTGATCGTGGGGGTCACATAAATGTTAAATTTTCTAAAAATGTTTCAATTTGTTGTTTTTTTTGCCTTTTTTTTATTCATTCAATGGTTCTATTTACAATGAAAAGTATTATTCTTGATCTCTCTAGCGATATCTTCTTCGATCGTTGTAATCACCACTACTGCCACTACTGACACGACGCTGTTTTTGTTGTTGTTGTTGTGGTTGAGTATATCCCACTTCGATCGACCTTTTCGCGCATTTTCTCAAATAGTCAGCAATCTTTGCCGTAGAGTCCAAATATTCACTCATCATTCCAATATATTGAAAATATTCACTCAAGCGAGAAATTCTCAAAATCTTAAAGATTCCCTTCTGCAACACATGTTCAAAGTTCCCTTCTGGGCATCCATAATTCACATCGTACATTCGACCGATCATTTCCAAAGAACGATCTCGATGCTTTTCCACGAATTGTCTCAAAAAAAAGACATGGAACATGATCAATCTGCATGATACTTGCGAGCTCTCCCATGATATTTTCACACGAGCAATGTCATTGCCATCATTAAGATTTGCCATATTTGGATCTTTTAGTTGAATCCAAAAGGCATTTCGAACAGTAACTTCATGGACGACGACCTCTTTGATAGAATCCCAAGTTATTCCATCGGGGCCCAACACAGAAAGACGTAAAAAGACTCCCAAATCAGGACATTCATTCTTGTGGCATGCTTTTGCATAATTAAGGAATCGATGAACACTTTTTAAAATGCCAAGTTCTGGACCATAGGTCTGAGCCAAGTAAATCATCCATCGATGAAAGTGACAGTATCCTTGAAGTGCCTTAATAGAGGCATGGGAATATCCTTTCATAATTTCGACAATCATGGTATTCATTAACCTACTTAATAGATCCATTGCCAAATAAGGAAAATCATCCTTGCACTTCTCAGGAATGGCACGTTCATCCAAAAATCCAGGACATTCTCTTCGAATACATGCAATACTGTCTCTAAAATAATTCACATTTGCATGTTGCTTATTAATATAGAGAGGAAGCCAAAAATTAAAATTTGCATTCCACACACCCTTTCTCACACCATCTCGATGAAAGGCCTTATAACCAATCAAATCGAGAGAAGTACTAAGTTCATATCTTCCTTTTTTGTTTTCATAAATAAAGAGACCAATACCAAGAGTATCTTCTCGGAAGGTAAGTTTCGAGTAGAAACAAACCAATTCGCGAGCAGTGGAGAATTCTCGAGAGTTCACAAGTTGGCGAAAGGTTGTGCAAACTTTTTCGAGAGTTTTCAGTTCAATGGTGGTGAGATAGTCAAAGATGTGGATGAGCATTTCTTGAGGGAGATCCATGAAGAGACAAGTAGTGGAACTCGTCATGCCTTTCAAGTTGTGAATCTTTGGAGTGCTGCCACTTGTCAAACCGATCTTTGTAGATTTCAAAGCACTTTTTCCATTCAAAATTGCATTCACATCCCAATAAGGAGCACATGGCCATATCTTTCCATTCTCAGGATCATGATGTGGCAAATATTTAAACTTTTTACTCTTATTCACATCTTCCTGAATATAATAAATCTGATCTTTTTCTTCCTCAAACAAAAACGCTTGCAATTGCAACAAGATGGACATGACCGAATAACTCGATGACCAACCGAAATAACGTTCGTGAGAATGATGTGTTTGCAACATGTCCAAACAAATATGACCATCTCCATGGACATGTGAATGATGCAACGAATTCAATAATTGAACCTTGCATGATCTTTGTGGATAATCTTCAGGAAAGGCCATGACCAAGTGTAAGATGATTCCGGCATAGTCCGAATCTGGATGTGCCAAAAGAGTGGCATGCCAGGTCATTAAATCATTTTCTAAAGGTTGGGCCCAAACAGTGTCCAAAGTGGAGCTTTGAATTTCTTTCCAATCACGTAAGAGACGTTGAGAGGCAGAAAAGAGATGAGGTGCGTCGACGTGTGCGTATTATTGAGCCACACAAGACTGTGCTTATTTTTGTGGGAAAAAGCAACAGATTCTGATCATGTCAACCATATTTCACACTCCATCAATATTATTGAAAGAGAATGCAAAAAGAGAAAATTTGAAGAATGTTCCAATTTGATTTCTTTGTTGGATAATTTTCCTCAATCTAATAACTCCTTGCTTAATTGTTTTTCTACACAAACAAGTAATCCTACCTCGATTAGTAACAACTTAACAAATAGATTATCCATCGATAGTTCATTTGTTAGCAGTCCAATTATTGGAGGCTCATCTGTTGGTAGTTCCACTGTGAATATTCTACTGGGAACATAAGAATTCATAAATTCCGATCAAATTCGATGAACGGCAAAAAAACAAACAAAACGCAAAAAAACGCACAAAACGCTGAAATTCAGGTTTTATTGCATTCGTCCAAGTTTATTTATTTTTGAAGAGATTTGAAGAAGTGGAAGCCATGGCAAGGAAGATGATTTGTTAATGCATGTTTCTCCTTTTTGGAAAAATCGAAAGTTTGTTTCATCAAGTAAACTAACAAAATTTTGTCGAACCTTAGATGATGGGTTGTATACATACTATTGTATCAATACATATCTAGTTTGATTCTAATTTTCAAGTTTGAATGATATTTCCATGCTCCAAATAAGGTTATTGCTCAAATTTGAAAATTAGTCATGAAATTTATTTCCAAAAAAAAATGATGATCAACAACCTTTCCGCACCAGCAGCTGCAACAACATTGATTTTTATTTTGGCCCTCCTCATAACCTTCTCAAACATTCTTGCTCTTCCCATTGCAACCAATGTCATTCCTGGAGGAAGACAACCCATCTCTAATCAAACACTCATTGAAGAATTAACAACATTCATTCCAAAAGCCTCTTCGAATGGCGTCTGTCGAGTGACAAGAGTATTGAGTGCTCAACAGCAAGTTGTGGCAGGAACGATTTACTATTTGGTCGTTGAGGTTTCCACATCGTGTGATGCAACTTCTTCTCAAACATTTTGTGAAAAGTTAAAGATTTTTAGACCTCTTGTCACAAGAAGTGTTGAAAATCCTCAACTACAATTGCAGAAGGAACAACGAGTGGATTGTAATACACCTGCTTGAACAACGTATGTAAATTGTTCATTGATTTGTGTGAATAGGAAAAAAATACGCCATTTTCGAGCAAACTATAAATCTTTTGTGAGAATATTTCATAATATGACATGAATTGTATTATTCTTTAAAACATGTCACAACCATTTTCAACGATCTTTTTCGAAACCTTCAAAGCCAGAGAGGAATTCAAATGTCCTGTCTCTCAGGGCTTTACCCACAAGTTGAGTTCAAAAAAAATAACAATTCGCAAATCGATATCGAAATGGTCCTCTTCCAGAAACACACTCAGCAACATTCTCAAATACTCCCTCCAATAACTGATCGGAGTGATCATGATGCAATTATGTACCAACTGTAACATATCATCAAATAAGGCAGCATGAACCCTTTGCACTTCTCTTTTTGTCCGACATGTGCTCCCTCCATTTCCAATTTTGGAGGTTCATAAAAATTGTAGTGCCTTCAAGTGTCCACCCACCCACAACCCTCAGGAACCATGCCATAGCACCACCTCATCACATCGACAATGTTGTGTCAGTGGAGGAGAGAAATTGTATTCACAATGGCGCAACTTTTACGAGAAGGTGTAAATATTATTATTATGAGATTGGCTCCCACATGATTCAAAAAGAAAAGCGCCAACCATTATTCCAAAGACATTTACAATTATTCAGTTCAACCTTGTCGTCCTATTCATTAGAGAATCTATCGTCAAATGCCTTCTTCTTATCAAGCACTACTTTATACACCCTCCTCTCCAAGCTTATTTGATGATGATCCTGAGGTCAATGATCGGTTAGAAACTTCAGACTTTTTACTTGATCAGCAACATCATTGGATGTCTGCCTTTCCATCAGCGAGTACAACAAGAACAACCCCTCACCATGAGGAGGAGATGCAAGAACTACATCATGATGAAGATTCTCTATTCAATGACGATGACCTCATGATCGTTTCCAATAACAACAACAATTACAACAACCACCACATCATGACCACTCACCAATATAACAATTTCAATGACACGTACGCATCGATGGATCATACTCAACATTCCTTGGCTAATGACTCGACGAATGTGGCTTTTCTAAGTGCATCCACTCATTGGCAGAGGAATCTTCCTTACGTTGCTCCTGTTGAAGCACTCGTCTCCAATCAACAAACCCATTCACAACACGTGGTGCCACCAGAAGATGATGTCTCCTCTTCTTCAAAATATTGGAACATGGCTGAGGAAGAAGATGGTGAATGGTTGAATACTTCAGAGACCTTAATACAGAGTGATTCAAATACATGGAAAGACTTGTTGAACAATGGCCACAATAATAACACTCACTCTGAGTCCAGCACTCCCTACAGCAACTTGGTGATCAGAAAAAACATCTTTGTAGCTCGTCCGTTCACTGAACTGATTATTGAGGAAGGAGAAATTTCTGACATGGTTGCAGCGAAAGGAAGCAAAAATTCAAATTCAAATTCGCAAGTGAGTTCTCACCTTAATATTACGATGGAAGAAGAACCTGCAGTTCCTGAAGAGACAACTGACAGCGGTGATCATCTTCACGCTGTTACTGAGTCAACCAAACAATCACAAGAAACTACCGATGATAGCTCCACCGATGAGGAAGAAGACCCAGACTATATTGAGGAAGAGGAAATGGAAGAGAAAAACCAAACAAGAAAAACACGTCAGTCCATCAAACGGAAGAGAACTATTGTGTGTGACTCTACCGATGAAGAAGAGTCTCAAGAGATGCAGGCATCGACCTCTTCATCCATGTTGACAAAGCCAAGCAAAAAAGAGAAAAAGCTCAGGAAGAAGAAAACAAGTAACAACGAGAAGGCTAAACTTGAAAAGGATGAAAAACCTCTCAGAACCATGAGTGGTAAAATTGCTGAACGTTTCTCTTCCTCAAATCATGGAACCATCTCCGAGGCGCTTACCGTTGTCCCAAATGAATTCAATGACATCACTGCTCCTCATTTGCGAGTGGATTTGGACATGCCATGTTCAGATATGTATGTGAAACCAGCAATATTTGTCAAAAATGGTGTTACAAAGAAAGATGACAGTCGATCATCCATATTCACTGTGAATGTTTCATTACAATGGAGTTCTGAGACTTTGAAGAGCAAGGTCAAGCTAGAGAATTTGAGGCTACTCATTGTATCAGACAAGCAAACAAAGAAAATTGATGGAGAAAAGCTCAACGTCATGATGATCAAAAACTCCAATTTAAGTACTTACGCTTTGAAATTGAGCTACCTTGCAAAGGATCCAAATGATAAGGATCTCTTGTCTATTGTACAGATTGAGGAATACCAAGACAAGTATGTGTTCAAGTGTCAAGTATCAACCTCCAACAATGCAAGTGGATGGAAGAACAAACACAATGATTATAAGGTGTTGGTGTTTGATACGAGTGATAGTGGCGTGTTTGGAGGCATTTCACAAGGATTCAAAGTAGCTAAGGCACCTAAATCTCAATCAAAACAACAAGATCACGACAGCAATTCTTTCGACCTCTCTCAGGACTGTGCCGACTGTCTGTCCAATGTTTTCATTCAGCAAGGTAAAAAGAAAAGAAAACTGCAAATATCCAAGCCAACCATCGTCAAACATTCCGGAAAACTGTACAAAATCACAGTTCAAGAGATTTCAAAGCCATAAAAATTATTCGTACATGCAATAATTTTGAAGTCATTCATCAAATGGCTCATCATAGACTTTTGTATTGAATCATGAATTGTAAATTATGAAAATCCATATGATCGTTGTTAGAGCAGTAATAGTTGTAGTAGTTTATAACATTATATATCTTCAATAAATAAATCTCTAGAGATAAAAACAAAATTAAATATCATAACATTTAGAAAACTTAGTCAGTCTTGGTCTTCTTCTTTCTGTTGGTTTGCTTGCCTCGAGCTCCCTTTCTCTTGTGAGTATTTCCTTGCTCGGAAAACTTAGCTTGAACAGTTTCATCAATGTACTTTTCCAATTCTTCTTGTGGCAACTCTTTCACAGAGATGGTTCCAGGAAGTTCAATCTTTCCCTCATCGAATTGTTTCTTAACGTTATCGAAAATTTCCTTATTTTCCAATCGAAGAACTGCCTTTGTCTTGTCACCCTTTAATGGATAATCAATAAACTTCAATCCATTCTTCTTATTGACTGGCAATTTCTTTGAAAATTCAGCAAATCCAAACTTCTCATCAGCTGAAATGCCTTCAATATATAAAAAAGAGTTTTGTTTCAATTCAGTCTTCATGTTGTTGATTTCTTCTTGCTTTTTATCTTGAGCAGCCTTGGTCTTTGACTCCTCACGCTCCTTCTTCTTTCTTTCAAAGTAGCCTTGTTTAGACTCAACAAGAAGAGGCTCATCCTCCGGTCTGAACTTGAGATCAGTTCTTCCGGCTAATGAATTAACAGTGGATTCCGAGTCAAATTCCACAAATACGGATCCCTTAAAGGTTCCATTCTTTTCTCTTCTCATTCTAACACACATGACCTTTCCGTAGGCATCAAAGAAAGTCTTGATGCTATCCAAGTTGGAGATCTTCTCATCGAGAGGGAATCCTTTGGCATACAAACTACGAGCAGTGGTGGTATCATTCTCAGGGAGAGCAGTAATTCTACGCACAAGCTTACCCTCTGAATCAACTTCAAGCATGGCGCTCTTCTTGATTGCCGAAACAATCACGTCCATATTGGCGGTGAGTTGTTTCATTCGATTGAAAGAAGCAATAGTCTTTAATTCAACATCTTTTGATCAATCAATTTGTTTAGTGTTGGTGAATATGTGTCCAATTATATGATGATGACGCAAGGAGTTATCAATAATAACAATAATATGAACCAGAAATATCATTAATTTTCATCATCATCACGCATAACGGTCATTTTTCATCATCAACCCGAAAAGAACATCACATGATGGACTCTTACTTACATCCTTCAGGATTATTGGCCACAAGGCTTCTCAAGAATTTATCCTTTGGCAAGTTGCTATCACTAAAGTAAAATTCAACTTGTTCACGAATCTTTCTATCGAGAGTTTTAGCGTCCATCTGCAATGTTGTTGGGGTATTTTTTTAATCTCAAATTCATCAAACAATTTGCACTTGAGCACAAACACTGTCGAATGCGTTTGCAAGATGCACCACTTGATTTCATCCCGGATATACATTATGAAATAGGCAAATGAAATTGGAAAAAGAAATAATGCTCGTTGAAGAAAAGTTGTGTTATTTCCTTAAAGTCACAGGGTGGCATTATGCATGATGCTCCAATTTAATGGCAATGTTACTGGAATCGGTCGAAGGAGAGACCAATTCAAAATCAAAATTCCAATCGTTTTGTGGATTGATGAGCGAAAACAGAACATCGGAAACAAATTGACCGCGAAGATGCATTTCTTGTGTCACTAATTCGTCTGTCGTATTGTTATTACTATTTGGCGAGGATGCTTTAGCTGCATTTTGCGTTGTTGATGATGTGGATGACGTTGGTGGTTCATCTCCAAATAAATTAAAACCTAAATCATCTTCTTCATCCGCTGTCTCAAAATGTTTAATCACAAATGAACATGTTGGTTTGTGCTTTTTATGCTCTTCCCATGGAATGTCCGTTGTCTCCCTACCGTGATGTATGTAAAATTCAGAAAAACGATTATTATTAATTATATTGTCAAATAACCATTTAAATGATGAAGTTCATCAAAAATTCATGGGATTTGTTTTTAAAAATCAATTTTGAAATAGCGAAATTTAATTCCGATCCGTCATCACACAATTAGATCATAAATTATTCATTGAGAAACAAGTAGTTGATCCATATGTGTTTCCATAAAAATTCTTGATCAGCAACACGCACACTCGGATCATCATCTTTTTTAAACCTACCAATCTCTCAACCGTAGCCCACAATAATGACATTTACACAAATCTAAATATCCTTCAGTCGGAGCATAATAAAATCCAGCAGCTGCCAATAATTCAGGCGTGCAATTCGGATGTGTGCTCGAACTATGAGGCCATTGATAGCTCTGATTAAAAAAAAGAATCTAATCGGTTGGCTTCAGAGTCCATTTTTATTTATTTAGTTGGTAATCCTTGCAAGGATTTTGAGAAGTTTGATTGAGATTTCACTGTCTGCATGGATGTTGATGGTGGAATTGTTTGGAACTATTTTGAGAGAGTAAATGATTGCACAGAGTTCAGCAACATTGTTGGAATATGAGTCATGAATTCTAAATGAGAATTTGTGAATGTTCCCGGTTTCATCAATTATATAGACTCCAAAACCGGTTCTATCGTCGATTCGAGATCCATGTTTCAATGCCTTAAAACCGAATATCACAAAACTATCAAACAGAAAAATCCCAGAGTTTCCCTCATCAAAGTTAAAGGACACATTCATCCATGCAATGTAATTGCTGATTACCTCTCTAAAAAAGGAGCCAAAAGCAACAAATTACCTTAATATCAAACGTCTCCTCTCTAACAAGCAATTAATATTTTGGGATGGAACCGCAATAATTTTCGACTATCGTAAATGTATCCACAAATTACAAACCTCCTCTTTGGTAATGAAAACCAGAGATAAATCCAGTCTACACTTAATCGATGACTGGTTTGGAGAAATCTAACAAATAGTCCTATTCTTCAATTTAAATCCGTCTATTGTGATCAATGTGGCATAGACGTTGATTTAGAACACTATAAGGCAGTCACAACACTTAATAGTAGCAAAACATACTTCTTCCTTAATCATACATGACTTTGGCAACGAAAGAGAGAACCAATTTGTAAGGAATGTCAAGTAATTCAAAAGAAGTGGGTTGAGATTCAAACTGCATTAACATTGATGGTTCACAATCAAAATGCTGTTTGAAGTTCATCTTTTCTCAAAGCCCAATCCGAGCAATCCATTGTTTGGATAGAATTTATTTTTCCCAAACAACTGTTTTTCCTCTCAATTCTGAATTAATTGTTAATATGGTAGCCGTTCATCGGTTCGGTTGATCCACCCCAGTTAAGTTTACTCAACACAAACCAACAGTTCAAAAATAATAAAAAGGTTACAGCACTGCAGGTTCCCAACACCTCGGTAAAAAAAAAGAAAGAACTGAACAGCAATGTGGTCGACTCTTATGACGACCTCAAAAGGTGACTCAATGCTTCCTGATGAAATATTGAGAGAGTGAAAAGATCCTGAGAAGCGAGCTATCAGCAACGAAACTCCACCACGAAATGTTTGCTTTTTAGAGTCTTTATCAAGAAGGGTTAAATTCTTGATAGAATTGTAAAAGAGAGTGAATTTTGAGCGTTTCAATAAATCAAAAGAAGTCTCTTTTCCAATCATTAAGCGCTCGCATATTTCAAAAAGTTTCTGACCAAGAGATCCTCTCTAATCAATTCAACCAATTTTCTTTGTGGATTCCGCAAGCTGAGAATATTGAGATGCAACAACTTGCAAATGAACTGACAAAACCATTTGAGACATCAGTTTCATATGTGGAAAGGAACTTGCATATCGTTTATAATATTATATACAATAATACAATAAGTTAAGAATTAAGAATTAAGAATTTTAAATTTATAATTCTTATTAAGCCTTAATATTGCATATTCATGAGCCTAGAACAATATATTGTCGTTCAAACCTCTGTTTGAATAAACTTGCGATCAAGTAACCTGAAGAAGAACCCCTTGAGTTTTTGGCCTCCAAACTCACAAGATATCGAGTGTTTCCGAGCAACCTCTTCTGTATAGACACTTTTAAAAAGATTAAACTCCGAGAATATCATTAGACAAATGGCTGCTGGTTTAAAATCTTTTGATTTTGTTCTTGAAGATGATGGAATGGTTCACCCTGAAACTGGAGAAATTTTCGTTCAACCGGTTGGTCTTTCACTCCGACCAGAGGTGGTCATACACTGGGTCATATTGTGGCTCATTACAAGAAAAAAGTTGGGTTAATTCTTATTCCAAAGGATACTGTGGTTCCTGATGGATTAGTGCTTATTCATGAACACACTGATCATTATTCTCTTCAAACAACAAATGTTTGTACGGAAGATGAATTGAACGCCAAATTAAATGCCTTTTTTGAAAACACACCAGGCATTACAAAAGTATCGCTTGAGGATTATTTGAAACACTTGTTTGTTGTCGAAGATCATGGAACAGCCATTTCATTTGTTCATTTAACCATTGCCAAATGTCGCTCTCAATAATATTTGAAGGTTTCAATGTTTGCTTACCAACAAATTCGTTTGTTTACAAAATGTTACAATTCAGATTTGATACATGGCGAGACGATGAGTACTCAGTAAAAATAGGTTATTGTTGAACAGGGCAACATTTTCATAAGGAGAATTATCACTTTCAACAATCTCTGTGAATAGTTGAAATTCCTTGTCCCCATAAGATCGATAAATTTCCACACAATGATCATTAGTTTTTGGAACGGCTAGAGTATTGTTGTTGTGAGCACTAGAAGTAAAGACTGATCTACCAAGCAGCAGTTCTTCTTTGTGGTAGTTAATATCCAAAGTATCGGTACAAATAGCTTGTATCTTGTCGTTCAGTTTGAAAAATTGGACAGTGCTTTGCTTTGAATTTTCTTTTCCGACAAACATGCAAGTATTTGTGACATGGTTGAATTGAAGAGAAGTAATGTTTCCAGAAAAAAGATTATATGATTTTGTGTAACCAGAATAATTTTCATCGTAGCATCTTATGGATGATGAGTTTGAAACAATCAATCCAACATTTGGAACGTGAAACATGGAATGTAATTGTGCGTGAGACTTGTCACCAGTGGTCAGAAAAGGCTCAGAAGGTTTTCTTATATCATAGCATAAAATTGAGCCGTTAGAAAGACTTGCAAAACAGTAATTTACATTGGACCTATTCCATTCACAACATGTGATCGAGTCATATTCAAGTTCTGTTGATGTAAGGTAGGGACAAAAGCATACAGAGTTAGACACTCCTGATTGTCTCGAATCAGTAATTCGGATGGTCCTATCCAAAGAAGAAGTTAGAATTAAGTGCGTGTTGGACGAGCTGATATTCACAGAATAGCCATCAAAATTATTCGTACCATCAATGTTGAGTAGGTAATGCGCTCTGATGCAGGTGAGAGGAGAGTTATGAACTATTTTTTTGCTTTGCAATAATAATGACGGTTTTTGAATGAGTTGATCCACATTGGTAAATGAATAAAAGCCGCATGTTTTGTCTTTGCTCTCAAAACTCATGAGTAGTGATACAGCCTTAGAGCCAAGAGATGGATTTGAGATCTCAATGAGAGAACTTTTTTCTAACAAGCTAAGTTGAAATATTTGTTTTGGACATGAACTTGAACGTTTTCTTGGAAATTGACCCTTCTTTTTGGATTTTGAGCTTTGAATAACTCTACTTCCTTCATGGTCATTTAGTATAAAGTCTCTCTTTTTTCGTTCTGCAAGCTCTAGAGATCGTTGAATGAGCGATTTTTTTTGATCTGTTTCTTTTTGTTCCACATTCGAATCTGTGTTCGGTGACAATGCCAAAACAGCAGCCCCTGGCTGACCTAATTGTTCCATAAGCATCTTCACTCTGAGTTCTAAACCGTTCTTCATATTCTCAAGGGTCTTTCGAAGATTAACTTCATGTTCCAATTGTTTTTCGAGTTGGTCCAACCTTTGACTATCAACTGCAGATAAATTGTCAATATAGAGAAGACGAATATGAGATCTGTCTGCAGTTTTCTTACACTTAGGGCAGGTAGAATTCTTTTTCAACCATTTCTCAATACAATTTTTGCCAAACAAATGCCCACATCCTAAGCAACAAACTTGATGAAGTCCAGTTGAGCTCCAGACATTTAAGCATATGGAACAGATATTATTTTTGTCTCCCAAATCGTTTCGTGATGTATAGGAAGGAATGAATATTTTGTCTGTTTGTGTACAAATATCAATCATTTTCTTTGGCACAATTACTTCAATATTTGTTTCCTCATCTTCAGAAATGTTCTGTTTTTCAGAGTGGTGATGATTTGGTGAATTCGATTCAATAAAATCTAAATATAAAATATCCTCCAAAGGCGCATCAGGTGGGAAATTAATACCATTGTCACTCCTAATATTGTCAACATGGTGAGCTTGTGTGAAAGTTACAGTGTTGTTGTCATTCATGTCCTGGTTAACCATCTCTCCTTGGACGGGTTCAACTGTAACTGGTTCCTTTTCCTCCAATTCAGGAGTTAGCGATACAATGTATTCTTCATCCACCAAATTTTCTTGCATAGTATTATTAACATTATCACAAGGTGTAAAATTGTCGAGGATTAATTCTGTACCTGCACTGTTTGATGGCTCGGATTGTTCCAGTAGTGGTTTTTTTTCGGTGTCATTTTCTTGTGTTGCTTGAGAGCTTTTTTCAGAATTGTCTTTTGTGTTCACTTGTTGCTGTGTTAATATTAGAGATGGAATGACTAATTTCCTTTCATGTGATTTGATGTTTTCCGTCTCCAATTTTGTTAAATGCATTAAATCTAGATTTACTTTGATATCAGAACCATTGGACTGAGAGACTTTTCTCTTCTTGTTTGTTTCCACCTTCTTTTTTGATTTCTTCATGGAAAATAAACTCAGTTCATCATCAGATTCCTCAGACTCCTCCTCATCGGATTCACTCACTACTTTTTCTTTTGATAATAGAAGATTGTTAAAGTTACGTTTTGAGCTGTTTGAGTCCAACGTGAACGATAAATGATGGATATTATTCATCTTGGGGTTTGATGAGTTCATCACCGACAAAGCCTCATCGCCGTGAAAAACATTTTTTTCATCGTCTTGATCATGATGAACGGAAGGTGGTGATGGTAAGATGGAATCAAAGGAATACACCGATGATTGGTCATCATCATCACCATTGTCCTTGAGGATTCCATCATGGATACTGCACATTTGCTTACTTGTTCTCGGGCCACTTTGATCGACCGAGCCGATCAGTCTTTGATGTTTCTGATGAGTTTTCGGTGTACTGTACACCAACATTCCGTCCTCATCATCCTCATCATTACTGCTGGCTACTCGATGAAGTAAACCTCTCATCGGGAGTTGTGGTTCAGTTTTCATTGATTCCTTCATTTCCGAAGAGGAAGTGATGGAAGTCGATGGGTTCTCCGTGAAAAAAAGATTCATCATTTTCAAACATTGCAATTTGAGAGTCTACTTTTTTTTGTTCGAGCAAATGAAAGAACTATTTATTTCCAAGACACCGAGTTTAAACCATGGAGTTGAGAGTGAAGAGATTTGGGGTTGGCCCAACCACTATTGACATAGGAAAGGTCGTCATCCTCGACGAGCTTTTTGTGTTCTTCTTGTTTTTTATAATAGTAGGCCATGAGACGTTTTTGATCCTCTTCTGACACGGGTTGTTCTCTGGGTGGAGCTCCAGAACCTTTCTTGGCCAATTTTGCAATGATTTGGGTCTTGTCATTTCTTCCAATCGATTTGTTATCCATTAATTTGGTATTTCTGGGGAGCTCCTTGCCACAGAACCATAAGGTGCAGGTTGCAGGATCATACATTTCTTTCTGTGATTGATGATCAGGTGAATCACAATGAATCATAACAATTCACATAAATGCAAAATATATATTTTGTCTGTTAGTTCATGACGTGACAAACTTCAAAATTCAACTTACAGTCACAAACTTTTCATCTAAAATATTCAAAATTGGATCGCTGTTTGGCAAGCCCATTGGATAAGCCATCGTTATGGCTCCCTTAATATTCATTATACAATCCGACAACTCGCTTTCAGAGACTGATATTTTTTTGTTTGCCTTCTCGGCACTTAGCACTTGATTGGAGTCCTCAATCACCTTATCGATGGTGGAGACGAGATTTGGATCGGAAATAGGCTTTCCATAACTAGGTTCCGAATTTTGTTTTGCTTGATCCTCTTCATCGTCGTCGATTGACAACTCCTCAATTTTAGGCATGTCATCCAGAGATTTCTCTGGTAAGAGAGGTCCCTTTTCTTTCAATCGTTTCAATTCCGACACCAAATTCTTCAGGCGCACCCTCAAGTTGTTGATGGTTGCCACTCCCCGAATGACTGTATCGAGATCTGTCTCATAGTGTGCCTCGAACATAAACATGTCCTGTTCCGAATGTTTCACTTTGATGTAAACCATGATGGTGATGATGACGGTGTTAGAGGATGTTGTTGTATTTTTTTTTAATTTGAAGGAGCAAATTTGTATTTGTGTGGCGCGATTCGGAACTCTCATACAACATGTCAAAAAATCTGATTATTTCCTCCAAATGACATCGACCTCATCCGTTCGATATCGTTGTGTGACTGTGCATTCGCTCAGTGGATACAGTTCGTACAATCGTTTGGTATCGCCCAATAATGCTTCGTGAGCTCCTTCATGTGTTTTTGCAATGGCATCGAAATGCAAAATTCCTGCATATGCAATCATGCAACCATTATCAATGCAATATCTGTCATCCATGGCATGTAATTTTCCTCCTCTTTCGCTCACCATTTGTTGCATCATTTGTTGCAGTCTTTCATTGCATCCAACACCTCCCACAATGAGTACGTCATTGGAGTTGCAGTGAGCCATTGCTCGCTCCGTAATTTCCACCAACATGGCGAATATTGTTTCCTGAAGTGAAAAACACAAATCTTCAGCTGTACATTCTCCTCTCTTCATCATGTCCAAACCAAATTTTTCAAGCCATGACAAGATGCCAGAAAAACTAACATCCATTCCTTTCACAACGTACGGCAGCTCAATATATTTCAAATCTGATCCGTCTTCATTCTTCTTACGTGCCATTTTCTCAATATTGTATCCTGGACTTGGATCATTGGATAAATTAATGAGACGAGCAAATCGATCTAAACAATTTCCGACTGCAATATCAATCGTTTCTCCAAATATTCTATACCTTCCCATACTGTAAGCAATCACTTGAGTATTACCACCACTCACATACAGCACAATTGGATTATCAGCTTTACAAACGACTCTTCCCATTTCAATATGTCCAATGCAGTGATTCACGGGAATGAGAGGCTTTTTCCAGAGTTGTGCCAAGGTCCGAGCCACTACGGCGACCACATGTAAACACGCTCCCATACCGGGTCCTTTTGTGTAGCATAAACAATCGACATCATCCTGTGTAATATTTGCCTCTTTCAACGCATTCTTTATCATTTCATGAATAAATTCCTTGTGATGAATGGCAGTTTCTCTTGGTAAAAATCCAGTTCCTGGAGGTGTAATATAAGTATGTCGTAAATTACTCAAAATCTCTCCGTCCAATGTAACCACTCCGATGGCCAGCTTGTTGGCACTCCCTTCGAATCCGAGAGCAATGATTCGTTTCTTTTGTTCTTGAAGCATTTTTTTCTTTAAATTGACATGCTTCCCACAAAGATGTTATAGTTGACTCTGTGCATTAAAAAGTGAAAATTCGAGGAAAACAAGAAAAACCCATGAAATCAAGCAAAAACAAGGGAAATTAATTCAACATCGATGTGCGGATTTGATCCAAATCATGTGTTTTTTCGTATTTGTTTCATTTTTGTCCTTTCTTTCAACAGAGCAAAACTCAAAACTTGAAGAATTTGAAAAAATCAAAGCTTTTGGAATTTTAATACACTAGTCCAAAATTCCGTCAATGTTGAATCAACATTTAACCTTTGTGGCGTTTATTATCAACCTCGATACGAAACCATTAGCCATTTGCGAGGTGTTTCTCCATTCGAATTGAATGCTCGCTCTTTGACACCAATATCAATAAAGAAATTCATGATTGGCTTCTTTTCGGATATTCCACTGGCATGAGATCATTTTCATTTCTTAACTTTTTGACCCTTACGTGGGAAGAGACAAGCTTTTCAAGCAAGGCCATACTTGAGCACTCTTGAAAAAGAATTTGGAGTGCTGAATATATGCCAACGAAACACTTGTTTCTCACTGACAAGATGAAATACAACAATCATCCAAATTCCAATAGTAATTAATACCTTCATTCAAGTGGTAAATCATTGCCGTATTTCGTTAATCCCCATCATTCATTACTGCAACACTTGACATCTTCATCTCAAAAAGACCAAATCCGTCACGACTAACTGCGCAGATTTTAAAAAGCGGAAGTGAATATCCATTGTCCTACAAAAATTCCCAAAAACAACGACCCGAAGCAACCTTTAGTTGTAGGAAAGAGTTGCAGCAACAGAGGGCGAAAGGCTCGATCTCAACACGCCAATTCAACAATTCAACTCTCTCATATTTTCCTTCTCTTCTTCTTCTGTAAACAAACAAGAGAGTAGTATTCAATATTAACCGATTGCTGGATTGGTTGATTTAGATTCATACGGACCACTAGCTCTAGTAGTATTGTTTCATCATCATCCCGTCGTATACTATTCCATTAAAAGGCTCTTCATCATCATCACTCTCACCAGAAAGCCTAAAACAAAAGACTGGAATTATCATCATTTTCATTAGATTCACCATCTTGATATTTAGGAACACACATTTAGATAATTGCTATTTCAAGTTATTATCATTTTCATTAGCAATATCATTTCCCGACGAGATGACCTTGCTTCTTATCAATGATTCTTCATCATCATCACTCTCACCAGAAGAACAAAAATCGAGTGAATTTGTTCATTTGATCATCTCCTCCCCTTCATCCTTCTGTGCAGCCTCTTCAAAGAAATCGTCCTCCTCTTCCGACATGTTGGCCAACGTGCAAACGAGTGCCCATAACAATGAATGTGTGGCCAACAATGGTCATCATCAACCAGCACCTGCCACCAAGACGAAATCACGTCCATTGTCCATGTCAGTGTGTAAAGAAGGCCTCTCCAAGCTGTGGAAAAAAGAGACTTCCAGCCATGGCAACATTAAATCTGCGTCAACACCTGCATCCATCAACAGTGACGCTTCAGAAACGAGTGATACAAACAAGAAGAAAACAACAACGAAACAAAATAATAAGAATCGACATTCATTCTCACCTGCGAATGGCTCGTTGAGGGGAAAGCACCCTGCCACGAGAGATGTAAATACCACTCAGAAGAATGAGGAACAAGCTCCTCCCACAAAAAAGAAAAAGTTTCTTTGAGAAAAGAAGAGAAAAGAAAATGTTTCAAATTGAAGCAAAACCTGTATATAAGTGGAATTACAAAACTTTAGCCAAGTGGCTGAAATACAAAGGCTATGATAAGAAAGACATCAACATTCTCAAGAAAGATCACTTTAATGGTTATATCATGCTCACCATTGAAGTTCAAGACCTTATTTCTCTAGGTTTAGAACCTGAAAAGGCCAAGTTAATACTTTCATCTCTTGTGGACTTGAGCCTCAAGCAAGATGGACATATTGAGAAGTCATTTGATTGTGAGATTATATTGCCTTCAACTCCAGTCAAATCTACGTCGTCTTTTTCATTTGATTAGCAACCCAAGTAAATTCGAATGGTATGAATATTGACGATAATGCTGACCTCAGTGGACACCCCTGTCACGGGTGAAGAGTAGAGGGTGACAAAGAAAGCTTTGTAATTTCTCAACCTATCATGAACTGTTCAAATCACCCTAAAGAGAATGAGATGACTCGTGTCACACGACTTGTCGAATCGTTTTGATGGCACTAACGAGAGAATTCTCAATGAGAAGTAATTTATTAAACTCAATCTCTCTTTTACAAGTTGAACATTTCTCAAGAATTTAACAATTTTGTGATTCATGTGTGTTGAGATCAAAGAAAGGTTGAATTTTCAGAAACACAAAGGGCGTGACGATAACATCAAACACTGCTTCTGGGACCTCATTTTGTGGTTCGTTTCTTTTTTTGGTTAAAAGAGACGTTTGTTTGGAAGAAGGGACACGATTGAGGCGACTATTTATTGGCACCGTGTTGTTCACGAGAAGTTTCCCAACCAAAATGAATTCTTCAACATTAACGAAAATAATCGAAAAACAAAGAGACCCTAACTCCAACAAGAACCACAAAACGAAGATATGCCTATTATTGTTGACCTAGAACTTGTTGGACAGTGAAATATTCCCTCAAAATAAAATTATATGTGCCATCACAATGCATTAATAATTATTAGAAAATAATTTTTGGCTGCAATGTGTTGTCTTGATTGTAAGTTTACATTTTTTTCATTTCCTTTTCAGTTGACACGTAAAAAGCCGGATGAATAGGATTCATAATGTTGACGACTACTTCAGGTTGTACACTGTGGAATGACTCCGGCCGTATGGTCTGATCTTCACCTACCATAGGATGACTGTTGACCCAAAATTTTCCAGCTTGAGGTGGTATAGTTGGTTGTAATGCTTGTTGTTGGTTAACAATCACTTGTTGTTGTGGTTGGTTTTGCAATGGTTGTGGTGTACTTATTGAGACAGAATTAGTAGAAGTCTGTTGTTGTTTTTCCTTTAATTCTTGTTCCCTGCGCTTACGTATCACGCTTCTTCGATCTAAAATAGCAACAACGAACATAAAACCTGTACATTTTAACATTACAATACATGGTCCGCCAAAAGCCCATGGATCAGTGATACAAGTCATATGGAGAAACCAGCCGTTGTCACAACCAATTGCAAGCATTGCTAAAACAAAGCATGCCACAGTTGGAAGTAATGCCAATAAAATAACTAAAGCTAAACGAGAGGTCAATTTGTTCGATGATTGATTCGTCTTATTGACGAAGGGTTCGAAGTAGTTTACAATAGTCTGTTCCATTTTCTTATCTGCTAAATGTTTTTCGAGAATGAATCAACTGGGTTAAATGTTGTTTTCTGTAGTTCTGTATCTTGTTGTACACTTCCACTATTGAAAGATGAAAATATTCCTCATTTGAATGTTTATTTCATCTTTCAGGAGAGAAGTTTTTTCACATTCCTCACATCACATAAAGGATTTGACATTCTGTAAATCAGATCGTGCATGAACACAAAATCGAACGCATGATCGTTTGAAGCTTGTTTGAAAGGCATTAAAGAAAGCACGACACAACTTGTATCTTCACCAACATCTGTTGAAAATAACAAAATCACCAACAAGAATCGTAAAACTTCTTGTATCTCACAGTTCATACACCCAAAGGTTGTAGCGGGAGAGTCGTCATATTACTGACAGGCATCCCATCCAAAAGGGTCTCAAGAGAAAAGTAATACATTAATGCTTTTTGATAATGCAAAGCTTTGGTTTTGGATCGGTTTTCATGGTGTTAAACTTGATTTATAGGTTTTACAATTAATGATTCAATGGCTACGGCCATATCACGATGAATGCACCTCATCTCGTCCGATTTGAGAAGTTAAGCATCGTTGAGCTGCATCAGTACTGAGGTTGGAGACAACTTGGGAACCTGCAGTGCAGTAGCCTTTTTTAATTTCCCTTTATTGAGAGAAGATAGATATCACAGAGAAGATCGGTAGCCATATATTACTAAAGTTGTTTGCTTTAATGCTTTTATAAATTCAATTCCTTCCCAACAATTCTTTATTCTTCAGGATTCAACAACTCGAATATGGAAATGGAGGTTCTTACTTTTTTTGGCACTGCTGGACTCGAGACTGTTGTTTCAGCCAAAACTGAAGAACCTCTGCATGATGTGGTGTTTGGAAGTGCTTGTTCCTTATTGAGATTCAAATTTTGAATGAGAGAGGAGGTTTCTTTTGTTTCTTCACGTTGTCCACGACTGTTAGAAACAACAAGAATTGCTTGTTGGATGTCTGTGTGTGAGAGTACTGTCGAGAAATGATTGGTGGTTGTAAGTGTGTTTCGACCCCAATGGTGTTGTGACTTGCTAATTTTTGAACTCATTCGTTGGGTTGTGGGTTCTCGATTACAAACTTCCTTTTTTGGACGAGCTTCAAAACGAGGTTTTCGATGACGAGCTGATCGACACAAGACTGTTTTGCCATGTGCACTTTCAAACACATTCTGAGGAAGTGTGTTTGGAGAAAGGACAGGAATTGAAAGAATTGCCTCAATTGGTTCAGGAGTTATAGGTTTTGAGGTTTGTTTTGGAGAATGTTGAGGCGATGAAGGAGGAAGAGGAGGATTCATTGCAATCTGCACAGGTGGAGGTACATGACGACGTGTCGAAGAGGGCAATTCAGTTTCAACATTGAAATGGAGAGACAAATCCATGGATCCATCAAATGGATCAGAACATGAGTTTCTTGCAGTGTCTGTAAAATAAGAGACCATGGTGAGTGGTTTGGATCGTTTTCCCTTCACTTGTTGTTGTTGTTGTTGTTGTTTGTTTGGCACAAAGGTGACGTAGCTGAATTTCATGTTGTTCGTGTTTGTAATTTTTTCTTTTAACCATGTTATATGATGAAAGAGAGACAATGATTTAAATCCAAGTGGAGGAGTCTTCAAGGCGATTCCTTGGACAAAAATGGACAAAGACAAGATGTTTGATATAATCGAGAATGGCCATTGTGTTTTGGATCAGGATGAGCCATGAACAAAAAAGGAACTGTGATGGATTCTTTAGACAAAGTCAATCGAAAGCATTTGTCGACAGGTGTTGACTTGCATTCAGAGACATCTCATAATAGTAAGAATTGGCTTCCCAAAAAGAAGAAACGACATGCACCAATCACATTTCATTAAATGATCATCTAGATGATCATAAAAATTATATCATCGTCATTATAAATCATTAAATGCTGTTTCCTTTTTGAGAGTGATGTATATCCATATGGTGCGTTATAAAGTTCATGAAGAGTTTTTAAAAAATTTTCATAATATTATTGTAATTTCATTGAAAGATGAAGAAGAGCGACTTGAATTCTTAAGAGATTCAAAGTTGGATCAGAAAAAGTTGTTGCTGCAACATTTGAAACATTGTCATTTATACTTTTCAATAATATCCATATTGAAATAATGTTTGCAATAATCTTTCCAAAGTCTCATCAAATAATTCTTTTCACAATTTGGCAAAGCAAATCCTTGTTGTTCACTTCTTTTAATTGCTTCCAATAATCCTTGATAAGTCTCCAAGCATGTTTTTTTGGATGTCAATGGATTGAAGAGAACTATTTTCGAATTGAGCAAACCTCCTAAATTGCTAAATCTCACTTCGACAAATCGTGTTCTGTGATTATCTAATTTTGTTAAAATTCTCATTCCCAAGAGAGGCATCTTAATTTTGATGAGATCCTTTTTAGATTTTTCCTTCAGAACGTCACACGTTTTGAAAAAGGTTTGAACTTCGGTGAGTTCATCTTCACAAAAGTGACATTTCGTAGAAAATACGAGTTGAATCGATCTTGAAAGGAATAAAGAAACAGAATCAAAAGAACCTGACATGAGAACGGATGGATATTTGTGTAACGAATTGGACTCGTTAATGGAACTGTAAGAGGACCATTTCATATTTTTGAATTGATATTGCAAGTGATCATCATTGGCAAGTGCTTTGGCAACTTGTTCAATTGGATAATCAAAATATCCAACCACCTTACTCATTCTTAAACTGAGATTGTCCGTAGAAAAGTCTGAGAAACTATTCCAATAAGTAACTTTTCCAATTTGACTAAATGTCAAAAACCAATGACTTGAAAAATCATTACAAAAATATTTCATAAATTTCCAATCGCTGTCAATGACATGATCAACTGTGAAATCTTCAGGAGTGATTTTAAATTCGCCTTGCATCTTGTCATGATATTCCTTGTCTTTTCTATACAGTTCAATGACGTGATTGGGTAACACTTTGTGTTTGAGTCCTTCACTAATCCACTGTTTCATATATTTGTAATTCTTACTTTGGAAGATCATAAAGTAATCATCGAGTTCGACATAAAACATGTCACAAAGCATTTGAATTTGTTTTTTAAGTTGTCCTGCTTGAAAGTCTTCTGGTAAATCACTCACACTCTTCACATAATATTCATAAGTGTGCTTTAAAAATTGACCAAGTCTCTGATGAGTCATCCATGAATGGCATTCATCGTCGTTATCAATTGTATCAACTACCATACATTCCAAATATGGATATTTCATATGGGAGGCCTGATCTTCAATAATATCTCTCCACAACTGAGATTTTCGATCAAACTTGGAAAGTAACAATTTACAAAATGAATCCAAATGAGTTAAAATCGACGATAAATTTGTGAGCTTTCTCGATAACTTTCCAGAGTTATTTCCATACATGAAATCCATAAAATATAATTCAATCAGTAACTCATTTTCCAAAACTCGTGCAGCTTTCAAAGTTGAAGAAGAAGAATTCGATGAATTCATCTGAAACAGTGTCTGATTGGAAATAAATTGTAAAAATGTGGCTCTCAATGATTCAACACTTCCAAATTGATGTTGAACATTTGCAAATTCCTCACTGAGAATATTCTTTTTTCCAGAACCATTCGTATTTGTGGAGGAAGAAGGTTCCACATAAGTCAAATCACCTCCAGTGCTTGCATTATCCACACTTGCAGATTCGAGCGTTGCAAAATCAAAGGAACTACTACTTGTGTCTGGAGATTCACTCAATCCAAAACCATTCGAATGGACAATAGTTAAAGCTGCAGAACTATTGGAAGAACCAGAAGAGAGTCTCGAGTGATAATGTAGTGATTGAGAAGGATGATGATGATTTTTTAGTGCTTGTTGTTGCTGATGAGGAATGATTTGAGTGGAATGTGACGTGGTCGAGTGAATATTTTCCTTAAATTTGCTTTTTGAAGAAAAGAAACTCTTACTCCAACTCTGTCGAGAGGATTTCGAAATGGATTTTGTTGCTTGTTTGTTGGGTAAATGTGTCACAGTTTGTCCATTTAATTGAGGAGAAGAATTGGTGACAGATCCTGTCAATGATTTTCGAGCAGCATTGGATATTTTGAAACTTTTTGTGGCTTCACTTTGTTCATGTGTGAGAGATTTCCGAAAAAGGAAGGAGCTCATTCTTCGTTTGAGACTTGGTTTTTCGTGTGTTGTTGGAGTTTGATGTTCCTCTCCTGAAGAATTTCCAAAAGTTTCTGCTGTTGAAAGGAGTTGTTGTTCAGAATGTTGAGAAATTGGTTCCGAATGGGACGACAAGGATGTGACTGATTGGACCACACGTGTTGTTTTCGAATTTTGAGAATTCTCCTCAACAAGGTGATTCTGAGAATTCTGTGTCGTTGTACCATTCCCATGATTCATGGAAGGAAGTGATGGTTGTTGTTTCTCTTTCAAATCTTTGGTAATTTTTGAAAGAGATTTTCCTCTCTTGTTGTTGTCTTCCAATTGAGAAGGTTCCTTCTCATCATTATTCATCATCATCATCATTGGTCGTTTCTCAATATGATGTTCATGAGTGGTGTTTTTGCTCTTTGTGTGAATATGGTTGATATAGTCATTTTCGTCATCATGATCGACGACAAGATTATTCATCACAACGACAGTGGTTCTTTCACGTAAAGTTGGTGGAAGAACAACATGTTGTTTGGATGGTTTCATGGTTGGATTTCTATCATCCACGTCAGAAAATTCGAAAAAAGATTTTTCAATCGTGGAAGAAGATCGTTGTTGAGTACCACCATTGAGAGAGTGAGATGGATGTCCATTGGTATCACTAGTGTTGTTATTGTTGGTGTTGATGGTGTTGTTAATAATTGAATTATTATTGTGGTTGGAATGTTGTGAAGTGGGAGATGTGAATGATGATGAAGATGGAGAACCTGAACGATGATGAGATGATATATCACTGTGACGATTATTGAATGTCGTCGTCGTCGCTGTTGTTGTTGACAACGAACATGATGGGATTAAAAGAGAGGAAGGAGAAGTTGGATAGAAAGAGGTCGGAGAATGAGAGGAACTATTGTTTGTTGTGATGGTTGCTGATGAATGTGATGAATGATTAATGACACTTGTTGTGGTTTGATGATGGAATAAAACGGAGAGAGGTAATCGTCGATTATTGAGTGAGTTTTTTGAAGGTGAGGAGAACATCTTGTGGTGAGAGGATGTGTGAAGTGTTTGTTTTGACCAAAGATGACGTCAATGTGTGAACGAATGACAGTTGCAGTAAGAAAATTGATCCTCCTAGGGAGAAATAGGAGGTTGAAGAGGAGGTTTTGTTTTTTGGAGAAAGAAAGAGATGGCTGAGTAATTCCCAATCAGCAAAGGAGAAGCAAAGCCCTAAATGGAAATGGTTGCGAATGGGCATGAAAAGTTTGGCAAAGATTGATTAAAAAAGTATCCAAACAAAACTGACTCGAACAGACTTTGCGAGAATAACGCAAAAGATTCGAAAATATTTTCTCATGACTCATGAGGACAGAATGAATTTGGTACTGCCAATAAATGGTCACCCCCTCTTTTGAAAATTATGTGAATTGTTGAGGAAAATTTACTTCAATTGAGCAACAGCCTTCTTGGCAGCTTCATCCAAGTCCTTGGCAGTGATGGCCTTCAAAGTGCCCTTCTTTGCAGCATCTTCCAAAATTTGAAGACCCTTATCAACATTAGTACCTGCCAAACGAACAACAATTGGAACGTTGACTCCCAATTCTGAAGCAGCTTGGACAATACCGTCAGCAATAATGTCACATCGCATAATACCTCCAAAAATGTTGACCAAAACACACTTTACGCTTTCATCTTTCAAAATAATCTTGAAAGCTTCCTTGACTTGCTTGGTTGTAGCACCACCACCCACATCCAAAAAGTTGGCTGGTTTACCTCCATTAAGTTGAATAATGTCCATGGTTGCCATGGCCAAACCTGCACCATTGACCAAACATCCAATATTACCATCCAAACCAATATAGTTCAATTCAACCTTGGCAGCTTCGACTTCTCTTGGATCTTCAGCATCCCAGTCACGCATAGCGAAAATTTCTGGTTGACGGAAAGCAGCATTGTCATCAATATTCAATTTACAGTCAACACATGAAAGATCAGCAGTGTTATCGAGTTCTACAAGAGGGTTAATTTCCAATTGAGCAGCATCAGTCTTGCGGAACATTTTGTAGAGCTTCTTCATAACTTGAGCAGCCTCCTCTGGTTTCTTGAATTGAAGATCCTTAGCATATTGAATTGCTTCAGCATCAGATGGTCCATTTTCAAGATCTCTAATGAGCAAGGTCTTAATTGCTTCAGGCTTTTTCTCAGCAACTTCTTCAATGTCCATACCACCTTCGTAGCTTGCAACAAAAACTGGACATTGAGCTGCTCTGTCCAAAAGAATAGCAAAATAGAATTCTCTCTTGAAATCCAAGCATTCAGCAAAAAAGATCTTGTTCACTTTGATACCCTTTTCACCAGTTTGTTTAGTCACAAGAGTATTGTGGAGCATCTTTGAGGCAACTTCCTCTGCAGCCTTTTCATCCTTTGTGAATTTAACTCCACCTTGGAATCCATTTTCAAGGAAGTGGCCCTTTCCTCTACCACCAGCCAATACTTGGGACTTGACAATGAAGTTCTTGGTACCTGTTTGCTGTTTGAGAGCTGCCAAAGTACCTTGAACGTCCTTCAAGTTGTCAACGGTGATACCTCTTTGGTGTGGAACATCGAATTGTTTGAAGAGTTCCTTGGCTTGATATTCGTGAATGTTGAGGAATCTCTTTTGGATGTTGTTAACACTAGTGTTGCTAGCACGTGGATTGACTAAACAATGATGATGTTACAATTCAATTGTGTGCGAAGAGGTGTCAGTCAGATGGCAGGGTTATTTCAAAAAGTGTGTAGTATTGATGAAAGAAGAAAATGATAGATCAGAGGAGTTGTTGATTACGTAATTGATAATGATATTATATATCATTATGATGATAGTGCCATAAATCATTATAATTGTTTTGTGAATTAAATTGAAGAAGATTTTTGTAGGATGAAATTATTGATACAATGAGAGTCATATATCAATATTCGAAGGTACATCATCATCATTGGTTATTTCACATCATCATCGTAAGTGAGAGGTCATTGTGTGATCATCATCATCATGGCGATAGTGGTCCACACCATCATCATCCAATCAAAAAAGAAAAATGTGTCAAATCACCAACACAACACCATACGTCCACCAATAGAGAAAATTATAAAAACATTATCGGTAACCATGTATCCATCCATTGTGCTGTTCATCATGATAAACAACAACCTACCCTTCTTGGCAAATTGAGAAGAGGAACGAGAGATGAAAGACTTCATTTTTTGTTTGGGTGATGAAAGCCTCTATCAAATGATGATGAGGCTTCACTCTCCTTTGGGATTCAATTAATCGATGAATTATGATATTACTACAGAAGACTCTCTTTGAACATGAACTGGCATCTTTAGATGAGTGATAACAAGAGTGAAAACAAAATACTTCTTCAAGGCTTGATACTCCTCTTGATGTCGTGTCCCAACAAGTGCCAGTTCTTCTTCTGCAAGCTCTTCCGACCGCTCTCTCTTGACTTGAGGATTAGAAGATGGGATGGGTTGTTTTTGGAGTTCATCAACACATGTACCTCAAAACCAAGTTGATTAAGGGTATATTGCTCAAGAACCATGAGTTCTCATGAGAGAAATTTTGATCAGATTCTTCTCTCCATCTCTACAGTAATACATATTGGTATTCTTCACGAACCTAAAAACTAAATATGAGACTGAGGTTCCCAAACTAATCTTACCAGTATAGAAATAATGAAGGTATGAGTCAGGGTCACTATGAGTCTGGTGCCAACCAATTTTCCAAGAATGAGCGTGTCCCGAATTGTTGATCCAAATATTTGTCTCTCGCGGTGATCCATTTGGAAAGAGAGAGACTCCCCACGTGCACGATTCAGCTGGATGGAGAAGATGTCAACCTTTCATCGCAACCTTCCAACAACAACGACAACATCAAAAACATTGGCCAAACGATAATATTGTGTCGTCTTCTCTCTAACTGACATTTTCTCTCTCTCGACTTTACCGTCCATTACAGTTCACTTTCCAACCACAGCTCACACACGAAATGACATCCTTTTATAAAGTGCATCAGTCATCGACAACAAACTCATCACCACAGTCTGCACATCCCAAGCACAAGGTTGGAGACTACAAAACTCGACTTCCTCTCACGGCCTTGTTGTTGCCAGTTCCTGCTCGGTTCTACAATGTGATTCTTCCATCCCCGTCAACAGTAACGTCTTCTTCAGCAATGATCACAGCAGCAGGTTTGAACAATAGTAACTCCTCTGAATGCTCTTCCACGAGAACATCGTGCAACGGAGGAGAGCATTCCTCCACAAGATTAGCTTCTCCCAACAATGAACAGCAACGATCCTCTATAGCTCTTTCAAATGCTATTCTGCAAGACATGACATCGTCCTCCTCTTACAACTCTCGGTGGTCTCTCAATTTGCCTAATCCAACTGGAGCGAGTTATTGCTCAATGGCAGAACATCGACTTCTTTTAGAGGCCAAGTGGCGGCAATCCAATAGAGTTTTACGTGTTGCTACAGAAAGTTTGGCATCCAATAATGACTCTGAAGCGTTCGCAACAAGCACCAACCAGAATAGTTGTTGTAGTTGCAGTAGTGATGGTAGCAACGTATCCTTTAATGAAAGTGATAAAATTGGAACGTTGAGTAGTAATGAGATTCCATCTCAAGGACAAGCATCCTTTAGAGGTGTTTCAAGTAAGAGTATTGAAAAAGAGGAGTCAACATTTGGTTCAGTTGAGGCATTACGAAATAGATATTTGGATTTTGTGAAGCTGTATGGAAAAGAGAATAAGAAGCGATCAACTCCAGATTTGGATGTTGACTTTGAAGTTAAACTAATGTTTTTAGATTATGTTTATGACGGACCATTGAGAAAACCCTCTAAAAATTTGAAAGATATTCCTACCGTGATGAATGCGTTGGAAACTTATTGTCACAATGTCGTTTTTAACTATGATGGATGGCATTCATGGAGTGAAAATTCTGAGGAGCCATACCCCTATTTGAAATATGTAGTGGAGAAGCTTATTCCAAAGAAATATTCATGGTTTAGTCATGACCGATTTTCAAAATTCCTCAAAGATAGATACGAAAATAGCGTGACAAATTCATACCCTCCTCTTAGGTCAGATGAAATTCATCTTCAAGAGACAAATAACCTGTCAATATCTCCCAGAAGCATTCCAAATACCAATCAAGAGCAAACAACAACCCATCCAGAACCAAAACAAATTGTTGTAGGAATATTGGAAGAAATCCACATGTTGTGTGACATGTTCTTCTATGATTTAGAGGATTTGTTTGTGTTGTTCCAGGAAAAATATCAGGGTTATGTTCATCATTGGGTGGAAGTTGGACTTAAGAATGATCATTTACCACTCCATGTTATTGAGGTGTATAGAAAAAAATTGGAGTACAATGAGTCCATGCAATCACAGATTACTATTGACTCTAGTGATTTTGTGTCAACAAACATTATCGATAAGGATTGGAAATTCTTGAGATATCTCAGCAAGGAGTATTCTCCAGATTGGTACGTTTCGTATCAAGATAAACGAGGAAGCGTCATACAGTGGACGACAAAGAAAGACTACTCAACCGATAATCAAAAGCTTAGAACAGCCAAGGTGATTGACTATTATAATTTACCAATTCAAGATGTTGTCAAAGCGTTTTGTTATGACAGTCACTTTTCTAATGTGCTAGAGGATGTGAAATATTTTGACTACAACCCCATTAATTTTTCGAATTCTCACCAAAAATATCCTTCCACGACCTTGTCTGGAATATTCAACATGAAACTCTTTTCAAAGAAACCTATTGAAATGGTTCTCTCTTCAAAAACAGCTTTTGTTGGAAGTGAGCTAACAGAATACATGCTCATGTATCGTTCATGTGAAATACCTGCTTTAGATGGCCATCTAAAGAAAAAAAACAAACCAAAGTACATGGGCCTCCGATTCATTACAAAGATTGATACGAACAGAACGAGATGTGTTGAATTGAGATGCGGAAATGTTGGTGGAGTGGCTAATGCTAGTTTTATTGTCAACAACCCACTGATAAACAAGAAACTCGCCAAAACCGTCAGTACAAGTTTAAAACGCCATTTAGCTCAAGCACAACAAGAGGGCTTTCCGTTCCCAGCTCCTGAAAACAATCTTGCAAAAGTTTGGGTGGATTATTGCAAACAGTATTGCAATATTGACGTGAGAGAGTTGTTTGGAAACTCAGCATCTAACTCTACGTCAACATGCTCACAATCCAGTGAGAAAAAGGTTGATGAAACCAAAAACTTGCCCTCGCTAATACAAGTGTCAGAGGAGTCCTCAAGCAAGTCAAACACCAAAGAACTTGAACCAATTAGAGTTATTAATTCTTCGAGAGTAATTACATATAATTAGTCGCAATCCTTGTTGAATTTCACGTTTACCTGTGGAAAATGAAACACAATTTTCTTTATGAACATGCTTCTAGAAAGAACATTTGTTGTGAATCAGGAAGACAATCGAAATTGATATCATAGAGAAATCTACGTCATGTTCTGGTGCTTTTTCAATTCCAAGAATACAAAATGTTGCAATACGATTTTTTACATTCAAATATTGCTGAATCGAGGAAAGTTTTCCAAACCAAATTCTGTGGATGTAAATTATTGTCCACATGTAACACATTACAACCAACGGTATTCAGCTTTTTACATCGAACGATCAACACACATTCTTTCGGTGTATTGTTTATGGATTTATTTACAACATATTCACACAGAAAATTTCAAATCTATTCACACCCAAAATTCTTCACATTAAAATATTCACTACTCAACACAAATGGTATTTGAGAACCCTTAATGTTCAAACTGACCATATCATCTTGAGCTCTTAACAATTGTGCAAATTCAACACTTCTTGTTTCTGTGCTAATATGGTAGATCTTGGATTCTCCATTGTATTGATCTTGCCACAATTCAAATCTCAATCCTCCATCGAGTCCATATTTGACAAATGACACATAATAATTGGGATCTTGTTCTTGAATTGCCCAATAAGGCATGTCCTTCATGGCATAACCAAATTGCCAATACTGATTGGTCTTGGTGCAATTATAAAGAGTGATCCATTTGTTGTTGTTGAATTTCATTCTTTGATAATCAATGACGTAGGTTGTGACTGGAACTTGCAAAGAATTTTTAAGAGAATTCTTTTTATGGACACGAGGTCCATAAAAATTGATAATCGTCTTGTTGGTCAAATAAGTCTTATCAGTGTCCAACAAATCAATTCTTTCCATTCTAAAGTAATAATCATAATAATAAGTGGCATTGACAAACATCAAATTTTGATCGGCATAGGAAACTGTTACATTGTTGGCCATGAATGAGAGAGGCAAACGAGGAACAGGACGATCTGCTTGAACAACAATGACATTAGAACACAGAGCACAAATCAACGCAACAGTGAAACAAGTTGCTAAAGGAACGAGTATGTTCATCTTTGATTTTTTTGTTGTTGGAGAATAAGGATTTGAAATATAAACAGTGAATTTAATGGAATCCATGTGCATTCTAATATAATGGAAATCCGAAATGGAAGAGAAATTTCGTTGTATTGGAGTGAACATGATGATGGCTATGAATTCAGGTGGCAACGAATCATCTGAAATGATTTAATGATTTTTCATATGTTACAAAAGTATTCCTGCTTGAGTAATAACAGTCATTCAGCCACAAATTGACTCATTTGTTACTCTTCTGAATATCAATCTTGTTGACAATCTTATCCAAAAATGGATATGCCTTCAAAAGATCATCTGTGTTGAATAAAATGTAAAGAAATCCAAAAGATATGAAAGATACACAAAGTGATGAAAGGAAATAGGAGAAGAGAGCATAGAATCGGCATACCATTCGTCTATTGTTGTGATTCGATATTTAAAATTAAAATGGGTGACAAGGTTCTATTTGAAAAATTCCAAATTTGGAGAACACTTACGGTTCAACAGATGTCATGATATAATAAGCAGCTTGTAGGAGATAAGGACAAGTAAAAATTGTGACGTAAATTAAAAATCTAGTAAATCTATAACCCAAAATATTAATCTTCTTTGTTTTGGAGAGAATGAATAACAATCTGCCAGCTGTCACAATTAAAATAAAAACAATCACCACGGCGGCAATAATCACCACGACGAGGAAAAGCTGAACCACAATGTAAACGGCATAGTTAAAACTGGCAGACAAAATTAAGTATCCAATCATGTAAAGAGCTAGTGCAACAACAAAAACTACTGAGAAGATGATGGATAGAGAACTACACCAAAATTAGTAATTTTCGAAAATGGAAATTAAATTGGAAAATATTAAATCACAATATTTGTAACAATAAAAACATCAAGCCAACACCAAAACAACAACTTACTTGATCATCCAAGAAGCCTTCGACAAGTTCATCTCTGTTCGATAAATGACATCAATCCAACAAAATAAAATTGGAATGTAGGCAATAAATTCCAAACAAGCTGCCAATGTCATGGTCAACACAGTATATGAATTTCCAGCAACTCCCAAACAGCTTGAAATAATTGCCAAAATCATTGAAAGAGAAAATAAAAAGGAAGCTTGTAATCGAAGGTCTGTAAAACTGAAGAAAAATGTTTTCAAGGTCTTGTCAGACCGAATGAATTTTCGCACGTCACTTGTCAAAATGGGAATAAAATTGAGGAAGAGTGAGGCAAGAAATAGTAAGACATAAGTCACAATGGACGTGATCAAAATCTCCTTTCCTGAAAATATAGGATAAATCACATCCGAATAAAAATCACAAACATTTGACAGCACACCATTTCTACAATTACATTGAATGGTCACACTCACATCATATCCCTCATTCGTTGCTGAATATTCAGGTGCATCAATTGTTGGAATTCCATTTGCACAATGCTTGTTCGAATAAGCCAATTCCAAAGCTTTCAATTGAAGAGCATCTGGATTGTTCTTTTTCAATGTGTGAAATGCTTCAAATCTTGAATGTGAACAAAAATTACAATAATTGTAAGCGTCCAACAATTCTTTGAAAGAAATGGCATTTGAAAAATTTGAAAATGAAAGTGTCAATGGTTTGGACATGATTTTCACATCCCACACGAATCCAGTCTTGTTGTATCGTTGATAAAAGGCATTGTTGAGTGCTGTGAAATCGGATTTTACAAATTGATCAAAGTAAGTGGCATTTAGAAATTTATCGCAAAGAGATTCGGAATCACGAGTCGAACACAAGGAGACACCTACGGGATCGTAGAGGATGTCAATTCCTTGTAAATGGACTAGTCCCACTTCACTGCTGAATATTTTGATGGCATTGCAAGATTGTGTGGAATAGGAAGAAGCATTAGCTGGAAATGTCAAAATTTGACAAGTGGCATCATTGAGTGCAGGATAAATTTGTTGTGCGTGAATCATCATTGATGTCTCGACGAGAAAAAGAACAAGAAATGAGCTCATGAGAATGAATGATATGAGACCACGACCACTCGAAGAGGAAAATTTTTTCACAGTCAACCGTGTGTGAAATTGGTTGAATAATCTCTTTCCATTCATTTTTTTCGGAGCATGACAGATTCGAGAACTGTCTGTGCGCGAGAATGAACCCCTCACCTTGGTGTCACATGTCTGAGATGGCGAAAGACACTCCGACAAGAACCGTTTAGCCCCGACGATCGACACCTAACTGTCGGGTGATTTGGAGGGAAAAAAAATGCATTTAGTGGACACTAAATTCCTTCATCAAGTTCGAGTGGTGCTATTGGAATGGAGAAGGACACATGATCATGATGATGAGAATTCAAATTATTTTTCGGAATGGAGGTTTCGAATACCACAAGAAAATTACGACAAGTTATGTTTCAAAATGAGAAATCATCATCATTATATTCCGAAAGCCTTTTCAATGAAATTTCAAGCGGTTCATGGTGATGAGAATCACAATGAATTATTGTTGGAAAAAGAAGAATCGCCGGCTTTTGATGTAAAGATTTGTTATACCTTTCAATGGATTTTGATTTCAAAATTTGATGAACATGTCATTCAAGTGTTTGATGCAGACAAGAAAATATTGAAATATCAATTATATACACTGGAGAAACCAAGAATGATGTGTGTGGAAGAGAATTGTAAAGGTGTCATCCATAAGAATCTAAATTCCAATCAATCGGAAGGAGGAGAAGAAAAGACTTTTCTAATTTTTGGTCGTGACGATGAAACGGTTTTCAAAATTAATTTAAAATCCATCTTGGAGAGAATGCAACGTGGATTAAATTCAAGCTCCATGACCACTGATGATGTCATTTGGAAACAACTCATTGATACACCCAACGGCATTTGTGTGAAAGAATGTGAGGAGACGAGTGAAAACTTTGTCTATGTTGTGGATGGTTATAGAGCTCGAGTGGTGGTTCTTCGTTCAATGAATGGATCATTGGTGCAGTACATTGATGCAGAGCATGGTCTTAGCTTCAGTTCACCTTGGAGTATTAGTGTCATTCAACCTACGGGAGACTTGATGATCACAGAAGGTTTACCATTTCCTCACATTAGAATCATTCGACCAGAAAGAAGAAGAACAACTTCTTCCTTTGACAATAAGACACCATTACAACCTACACGTTGGGAATGTGTGAAAATTCTCGGTGAACAGCATTTACGTTGGCCTTTAGGAGCAGTTTGTGAAAATCAAACCTCAAAAAACATTTATGTGTGTGACAAGATGATGCCAGGTATTTTCGTGTTGGATCTCGAAGGTCATTTGATCACACGAGGACCTCCATCATCTCTCAAACGACATGGTAAAATCAATTCTCATTCACATCCATGTGTGACTCAATGTTATGCCGTTTGCCTTAATGAATGGACTGGAGAATTGTTGATTGCCACCGATTCGAGTCATTCTCTTTGTGTTTACAGGTGATTCATGAATTGATCAACAAGTCAGAGTTTAAACTCTTAAAGTTCAGTGAAAGTTGAAACAACAAATTTTCAAAACTGGGAACTCGGAACAACCACAAAAAAATGGTTTCACCATCCAGAACGACGACGAGGACGAGACTCTACGTCAATTACGATGGCCATGTCCATGAATCCATTCTCCCCGATCCGAATGATCATTTTGTGAAAGTGGTTTGTGAAGGATCTGTGGCTATTGGTGCAACAGGTAAATAATGATTGTGTTTCTATAATGTATGAATCGTTGGAGAGAGAATGTGTATGATGATTATACGTTGAAACTATACAACTAATGAATGATCAAATTGATGATATTCCTAAATATATATTTATGGTAATCATCGAAATCATTCATTGAAATGTTACAGCCCAAGGTCATATCTACAAATGTTCGGAAACCAAATGTCCAGAACGCATTGAATCGTGTCAAGAATTCAAGAAGGATGGAACGAAAATCAAAGTATGTTTCATCACTGATGAATCTCTCAATGATGATGAGAATCAATGACGTCGAATTATGAAAACATTTTTCAATAGTTTTTACTGGCTGGTTATTATCAATTTATTGTGATCAAAGAGAGTAATCGAGTGTATGCAGGTGAGTTTGATAGGCATAGGAAACATCAGAATGGATTCATTGTGATATCTTGATTAATAATTTTATGAACCCAAATCATTGAATGGTATTTTCATTGTTATTTCTGATCTTTTCATTATCATTGAACCTATCATCGTCATCATGATGGACACAGGTGGAGATCATAGCTATGTTGGAGGTGTTATTGGATTAGAGGAAGGTAGTGGCATCTATTTGAGAGTGGTGGACACTTCCATGATCAAAGGACACACCATTACTCATGCAACATGTGGAACATACTCGACTGTCGTAGTTGTTGGTAGGTATTGCATGTTTTCACAAGTGTTGCTTAACACCTTTTAAAGATGACACAAAGGTGTATTTGAATGGAAAATTAGGAAAAAGTACGAACCGATTTGAACTTTTGCAATTTAACAAACCTGTTTCGAGAATCTCTGCTGGTTATGATCACATGATCATCATGTGCAAGGATGGTACTGTCTACGGCATGGGAACGAATGGTTATTCCCAAATTATGGATCATCGAGAAAATGATTCAATAGTTCAATTGAATCCACCATTTTCACATGTGTTAGATTGTATAGCTATTCGTTTAAGTCATATTACCTGTTGGCTTACTCCAACAGTTGTTCATGTGTATGGATATTTTGGTGACTTGTATCGGCAAATGTTAGGTTTTGGAGCTGTTCGTGTTGATGATCATCATGTGACAATCGATCGTGAAAAACTCGGACATGACTTTGACATTTCTGGAGCTTACACATCATTGACATTTTTCGATAAGAAACAGAGGAAATTAATAGGTGGTGGTGGATCATCCAACTTAAAACAGTTCTCCAAATTAGATTTAATTGATCAACTATTTGCAGATGCATTACAAAAACAAAGTCTTTATGAAAATTTAGACGATACGTTGCTAGAAGTGTCTAATGGGGCTGATATCGTTGCTTTATTAATTGGAGGTGATTTGGAGAAAGTTACAAGTTACACCAAACAAAATTTGCTGAAAATGTGCAAAAGGTGTATTGATGACATGCCCTCAGGTGATGACCATTCAAATGGTGTAGTTCCATTTAGTGATATTGTCATTTGTATTTGAATTTTTTTTGAAAAGGCAATACGACGATCGAACTCGTGTCTGTACCTTGTCACACACACATTTGGAGAATAGCAATTAAAATTATGATGGTTCACGAAACCTGTTAAGAATGTTCATGACATTCATTTGGTGATGGACTGAACCATTGAAAAACTCTCTACATCCGACCTTTCATTGTAATGAATGTTCAGTCTTTGTTTGAAAAATAGTTTTTTGTAATCGTTTCATTTCCTAAAAAAGACCTGATGTTTACTAAAAGGGAATTAAAGAATGAACGTCGTAAACTGCAATTAATCTTCACATTGGACCAGCCATAATAATAAACACCACAAAAAATGAGCGAACAACCACCAAACAACAACACTACCACCTCCAACACAACACCTCACAAGCCTCTTCCTTCTCTCCGAAGAAACGATAGCTTTGCGTATCATGAACTTGCAAATCCTCAAATTCTTCCTTCCACTCCGATCACTCTCCATCAAGAAGAGGACGGAATTTCAGCACCAACAACTTGTTCCGATAATGTACAGCATAATTTACAGAGAAGAAAAAGTAAACAATCTCCTTCTAAACATTATGTGATTGTGATGGTTGGATTGCCTGCAAGAGGTAAATCATATATTGCAAGACAATTAGCAAAATATTTAAATTGGCTGAATATTGAGTGTAGAGTCTTTAACGCTGGAGAGAAGAGAAGGGAATTATTGGGATCGGGTCAATCTTCCTCCTTTTGGGATACTGCCAATAAAGAGGGTCAAGAACAAAGAAAGAGGATTGGTATGATCACACTGCATGAACTTGCGGACTGGCTCGAACAAGAAGAACCAGAACAATCGAAAGCTCAATTATATGGAAGTGGTAATTATGCTGAAGAGTACATTAAACGAGAAATTAAATGTGGAATTTTTGATGCCACCAACACGACCATTGAAAGAAGAGAAATGATCATTCAACATTTAACAGATCCTACTCAACGTAAATACCCTCTCGAGTTGAGCCATATCATATTTGTAGAATCCATTTGTGATTTACCAGAAATTATTGAGGCGAACATTCGAGATATTAAAACAAAATCTGCTGACTACAAAGGAGTACCTTCAGAGGAAGCCGTCAAAGATTTCATACAAAGAATGAAGGCCTATGAAAAGGTTTATGAAACTATTTGCGATGAGAAAGAGGGCAAATTGAGTTATATTAAGATGATTAATGTTGGAAATAAGTTCATATTGAATAGAATTGGAGGTTACGTTCCTGGTAAGGTAAACCAATGCTTGATGAACATTCATTTAACTCCACGTGTTATTTGGCTTTCTCGTCATGGTGAGAGCATGGATAACATTAAAGGATTACTTGGAGGAGATTCGAATTTGAGTGATAGAGGTTTGTGCTACTCCAAAGTCTTGTACGAATTCGTAAAGAAAAAAGCAAGCAGAAAGAAGAACACAAGAAATTTCTATCGACAAGCCTCCTCTTGATAACATGATGGTTTGGACAAGCTTATTGAAGAGAACTCAACAAACCTCTCAATATTTTAAAAAGGATGACGATTTTAGAGTTGTTCGTTGGAGATGTCTCAATGAATTGGATGCTGGAGTATGTGAAGGATATACCTATGAACGAATTAAAGAAGAAATGCCTCATGAATATTTAGCAAGAGAAGCAGACAAGTAAGTATGCTCTAAAAGATACATATTTCAAATCTCAAACCATCATGATGTATTGCTTTGATTTTAAATAGATTTAGATACAGACCTCAGAATGGAGAGAGTTATCTCGACATGATTTATAGAATTGAACCAGCCATTACAGAATTAGAAAGACAAAGATGTCCACTCTTAATTATAGGTAGGTGATACCATTGATTTCAGTTTAGAAACGTCACAATATTATTCGGAAATAGGTCATCAAGCTGTAAATCGAATTCTTTATTCTTACTTGACAGGAAATAGACCAGAAACATGCACAAGAATTCCAATACCTCTTCACACTGTCATTGAAATTATTCCTAATGCGTATGGTTATGAGGAGCATCGTTATGACCTCAACGATGAAGTACAACGAGAATATGAATTGTTTTTACAAAAAACAGGTCAAAAGTAATTGAAAACTATAGTACATTATTTGTTATTATTTACAAAACACAATGAAATTATACATTAATCATCGTCATTATCTTTTTCGTTTTTTTGTTGAAGGAGTTAAAGGAAGGTCGTCAAGAATTAGAATTGGATTGTCGTAAGATGTGCCTTCTTCTTCATTGGGTGCAACCTATGCTTCTTGAAGGGTTTGTCGCCGGCGAGTTCCTTGTCTATGTTGTCTACGGATTGGAATGTTTTGGGGAGCAGTCATGTCTTGAGTGGGGATGAATTGCTGATAAAATGCTTGTGGTTGGTGTACTTGTTGTTGTTGTTGAGAGTTATTGCTATTAATAACAGGATGAACCACTTGTTGCATATTGTTTTGGATTGCTGCTGCTGTTTAAGAAGGAACGTTGAAAGACACGTTGTTGTTATTTTGTGGAGCTTGTTGTGTCCTCACCAACAAACTTTCAAAATGTGACAAACATTTCGAATAAAATCTTTTGATTCGAATTTTGAAACGGGATCGGGAGATTCGTGTCATCACATAGATGTGATTGTTCAAACTCTTTCATAAAAGCCATAAAATTCTTTTCAACAAAAGGAATTATTCCAAGCTGATCTTTCAGTTGAAGCCCAACAGCAAGCCGTTTCATTTCATGTGCAAATTCGTTCTGTTTCTTTCTATTAATGTCCTTGTTTAAACCATTTTTCATGAATGAAGTGTGATCACACGTGACATCATGCTCTCCATCCAAGACTTCTAGCAAGTCACGCTGGGCATTTGGTTGTACCTTTTTGCTTTTCTCTTTTGCGTACAGTCACGTTCGAGGTTGTTTGGTTTTGATGTGGTAAAGACATGATGATGAACCAATTAGTCAAAGAAGAATGATCTGTGTTGTTTAATCCTGCTATTCTGATGAGCTTCGATCAAGATCCCACTTGGATTTGCCTGTAGTTTTTTTATTTAAATTAATATCCCAACATTGGTTGCTTTCTTTTTGTGTTCACAATTTTTTTTCAAGTTGCAATAGTTAAATTGCATTACACAAATTACTCATCCCTTCGAACTGGGTCAATAATTTCGAAATTCAAGTGATGCATGAACTCTCAAAAGAAATACTCATCGCGTTGAAAGTTACGTTTGACCTCTGTTTGTATATTTGGGTACAATCCATATTTTGATAGAGAAATGTAAGCACCTTTAGCTCAGAGGACTAGAGCACCGGACTTCGAATCCGGGGGTCGCGGGTTCGATCCCCGTGAGGTGTAAAAGAATTTTCCCAGTTGAGGCACATTTTAAGGATTCAATTACAAGAGATGAAAGAGAATTGAGGAAAATTCACCTCTTAAGTACATAGAGCATGCCCCATACGATTTAAGGAGAAATTGAGTGTCTGTAATTGTGTTTTCGACATTTATTTTTCTTAAATTGTTCGTCATTGCTTTTTCTGATGAGTCTCTTGACTGTAGCAATTTTGTGTCAAAATGTCAATTTTTCTTATCTTTTGGAATTGCATACTGTTTTAGACGAAATATTTTTTCATTCCTGTACAATATTTTTCATAAAAAGGTTAGTGAGACAAACTTCTCCACACTTCATGAAATCTTTTGGAGCAAAAATTCATAAATAAAAAACAAAATGCAAAAACCTGTAATCTTGTTGCTTGGAGAGGGAAACTTTTCATTCACAGAAGCCTTTGTGGACAAGTATCCTGAACCAGATGCTTGTGCAACTTTGTTTCGAGCAAGCAAAGGCTTTGCAGGTGTATGGAGATAGATTTCATCTCACATTGATTGTTGATGATTATTATGAAACATGGGCAGATCCAATGAATGTTGCCTCTCGTTCCAGCTATATTTTAATTGGGAAACGTAAATTCAATAACGAAATCTACACAGGATATCAACATGTTGCAATTGGTGAACGTGATTTCAATCATACTCCCAAGTTTGAGTATATATTTATGAACGCCAATTACCTAAAACAACCCAAAGAAGTGTATGGCAAAAAGTATTATTTATTGCCACCAATTGAAGAAGATGGCATAGCATATTTTAAAGAAGAGGCATTGAAGCCAGTTGTTGAAGAAATAGATGTTGATTTAGAGAAAGGCAATATTGGCAATGAAAAACAAGAATGTCAGGGTGCACATATTCCTGTCGAATATATCAAAGGGACTACTGCAAAAATAAGTAACATCATGAAAGATAGCAATAAAAGCAACAACCATTAAGTGGTCCAAAAAAGAATGCCTTGAAAATGTTCAATCACATCATCCTGTGGTTGGATGACATCATATTGCCTCCAATCACAATGTAATGCTTGTGAGCAATCTGAATTAGAAGATATTGAGACATGAGGAGCACCATACAATCATTCAACCGAGAGGATCTGATCATTGTTCACATGAACACACGACAAACACAAAAAAATGGCGCAATCAAGTCTTGTTCTCTTCTTCCTCTTCTTCTGCTTGATGTTCTCATCCTCGGACATGATTCATTCTCTCTCTCTATCATTTACCACCACCACCCAATTCACTAAATCGACCAAAATCATCAATACTACCATCAACACTGCCACTGCCACTCCTACTTCTAAACAAATTCTTTATTGGATGGGTCTCGAACGTACTCATGAAAATATCACTCAAGATCTCAACACCGTGCTACAGAGATCCTCTCGAGGTCAACTCACACAAATTAGTTATGAAGCCTATAATTTGGGATCCATGTCAGCATTTGTGGATAATCACTTTTATAATGTTTTACCAATTTTAAAATCTTCTCCTCATATTCAAGAGACATATCCCATGATCACCACTGTGAATATTCCATATTTAACAGACTTGTTGAATAATGAGACGAGTATGGACAAATTCATCAAACAAGCCATTCAAAATGAAAAATTAATTCAAGCCACTGGATATAATATTGATTTTGAACCAGATCGATGTGAAGCTTCCACTCGATTAGCTCCTGCTTTTGCTGTGTTTTTAAATCGATTTGCAGATGCGTTGCATTCGATTGGAAGAAAATTAACTGTGCGTCGCAAGTTGGAGTTACTTTTGGGATTGCAAATTAATTGCAGAGACACGAGTCGATAAAGTCATCACGATGGACACCTATGCAGTGAGAGCGGATGAGTTTGATAGTGCTTTTAAGAAGGCTCTTTCTTATATTCCGGTGAACAAATTAGGGTTGGGATTGATGTATGATTCGAGAGTGGATGTGACGGAATTGAGAAGAAGAATTGGTATGATTTTGAAGACAGGTATTACTGAGATTGATGTGTGGCAATACCAAGGAACAAGTGACATGTGGTTTTCAGAGTTGCAACAAGGTTTTCTCTCTCAACAATAATTTTGGTCCAATAACAATGATAAAAATCAATGAAATAGTATTATTGGTAGAAGTGTCGTATCCCACTAGGCAGATTTCATTGATTTATTAAAATACAGAAATGTTAAAAATCATCATCATTGCCATCATCATGTCATTGAACCAAGCACTTCTTGTTGGGATCTTCTGAGTTACTAACATTGGTTCCTTCTTGGCCAGGAGCAGTCTCATTTGTTGAAGTTTCAGCAGTTGAATTCTCTTGTTGCACGTTGGATGAGGTTGTGGCTTTCCCATCAACACTGACATGTGACTTTTGTATCACCTTTTCAATTTCCTTAATATTATCCTCAGTCAAACCACCCATCAATGCTTTGGTATTCGCATAATATTTCGAATTTCTCTTATCTTGAGATGAAGTATTGATTCTAAAATAGGGTAATTCTTGATCAGCCTCTGCAAAACTCTTTTCGACCAATTGTTTCATCTTTTCGTCCTCTTCCATATCACTAATACTGCTATTACTACTAGCATCATCATTTTGTGGAGAATTTTGTTCCTTTCTGCCTAATTTGTGTTTCTTGATGATATTCACAACTCCTTTCATTTCATTTTCTTCCTCTGTTTGTGTTAATTTAGAGACATGCATGTGAGCACCTGATTCTTCTTCAAATTCATGGTCACGATTGTACGCATGGTTTGTTCCATACTTGTTGAATTCTTCATATTCATCTTCTTGATCGTATTCATCACGTTCTGAATCTTCGCCACCAGAAACTTCACTTTCAGTAAACTTTTCATAATAATCTCTATCATTGACAGGAGGAATGAATTTTGGAATTTCCACCACTCGTTGTTTAAATACTACATTATATTTCTGAGTGAGTTTTTCACAAATGTCATTCACTTGATCCAAAATATCCTTTGTAACCACTTGAACAATTTTGCAATAAATGGTGTTAATAATGTCAGCACATAATTCATCAATTCCTTCTCCAGTAGCTGCACTCACTTCTCTATAAATAATATTCTTTTCACGAGCCATTGCTTCTGCCTCTTCTCTTGTGACATCTCGTTTCGAATCGGAAACGTTTTCTAATGGTGTTTTGATGTCAAAACGAGTAGAACCATGATATTTTTGGAAATTATCACACTTGTTAGCAACAAGGAAAATGGGAAGAGTTGGATTACGTTTTCTAATCATTGGCAACCATTTGTTAATAGAATTAAAATAGGATCGTTTGCTTCTCACATTGAAAACAATAATCGCACAATGTGTGAAAATGCCATACATTCGACAGACTTTTACATAGCTCCCAATGTCTACAATATTTGAATCATAAATTTGTAATTGGATGGCGTGATTTTCTTCATGAACGTTTTGAATAAGCGCAGAAAAATGTGACATGTGGTCAGTGCTAATTAATTTTTTGATCATGTCTCTCTTAGGTGATTGTCTAGTTAATAATCGAAGCATGACGCTGCTTTTACCAACTGTACAGTTGTTGGTGAAATGTCATCATACGTCCATATTTGGAAAGCAGTTCAACATTTCACAAGATTGCATTTTCATTCAACATGAATTCAGCATCATCATGTGTACATACATGAATCAACATGAATTTGATCATCACATGTGAACACAAACATCATGTTGATTTGATACATAAATAATGAACATGTTGTTGTTGTTGACTTTTCACACCTTTCGACTTACCTTTCTTATCTCCGATAATCATTGCTTTAAAATGATGATTATGAATCAATGGAGAGAAATAAACAGGATTGTTAAACATCATAATTTGTGGTGTCGCAGTTGCCTCATGGTCGTCCTCATCCTCTCCGTTGTTCAAATCCGTCCTCATCATCATTTTTCTCATCTCCTTCTCAACGTCGGTGTTTCTTTCGAGTCCACGACGCCAACGCCATCGTGAATAACGAGTTAATAACATGTAAATTTGTTTCCAATCTTCATCTCCGTATTCCGATGTGTTGTTCATTGTGTTGTTGTTGTTGTTCCAGTTTGATGGAAAAATGTTGTTGGGAAGGAATTGAAGTTTTAATTCGCGTTCGGTCAGAAATTGCCATAATGTTTTTTGGTTGTTGATGGCTTGATTCCACTCTTGTGAAACAAATAGACACACTTTTGTGATGGTTTTAATATCGAGGAAGAGAATAATTTTGTTGAAGAGAGAAAGACTTTCATGGAGACCGCTAGAGAGAGGGAAAAGAGGGGAACGGCGTGAAGTGGTCATATTTTTTCACTTAACGTTGACAGTTGACGGGTGTTAAAACTAGTTCTTTTTACAGAATGAAAGGTTTAATCAGCAGTGCGAATTAAAGAGAGCTTTTCAAGGAAGGTGTGTGGAGTAATGAGAGAGGTGCTTCCAAAGAATACGTCAATACCATGGTCTTGCATCAATTCATAGCAACTTCTTGTCTCGCTATAAGTCATACCTCCAATCACAAAGACGAACAACTTCATATTGCTCTCAAGTTTCGTGGATGTTGAGCTACTGCTGCTACTGCTTGAAGATGCAGAGTCGTCTTCAGTCTTCTTCTTGTTCCAGGTTGGTCCATTCTTCTTAGATCTCAAATCAGTAGTAGTTGAATCGCTTCTTGAAGATGAACTAGTCTTGGATGATGTGGTTGTTGCTGACTTGCCACTGTCCTTAGAAGAGAGCTTGAAATTGTTTGGTGGATCGTTGATATATGGATAAGCTTCAGGTTCCAATTTACCAACCATGGTTCTTTCAGAAAGATCCTTAATTTTTGGTGTATATCTGGAGAGTTGATATCCAACTTCCTTATCACTTTGACCTGATTTCTTGAAAGTGTCAAAGAGTTTAGAGAGTTTGGTAGAAATGCCAGATTTAGCAGGCTTAATCAAAAGTGATAGGTTATTGACAGTTTCAATTTGTTCGTCGTTCAATCTGGCCATTCTGAAAAGCTTATCTTTCTTGTCATCAGCAAGTTTTCCTTGATTGAAAACAATGTACATCATGATAAGTCTCATTTTGTTTTCAGCAGAGACGTTGGAGTTTGATAAAATAGCTCCAATTGTTGTCATGAGCTCCTTGGTGTTAACTTTGTCTCCGTCTGGAGTTTCTCCAGTAGCCATATTTTGCTCTTCAGCTGCAATTTTACTCAAGCTTTGTTCACGGAAAATTGTCAACAATTCCTTATTAATTTGTTTGTGCATAGAATACATGGAAAGACTCTTTTGATATTGAGGAAGCTTTCTAATCATGTCAGACATTTCGGCAGCCTCTAATTTTTTGCCAACTTCCTTCTTTTGAGTGCTGGAAATATCTTGGTGCTCATTTAAGAATTGATCAATTTCCTTTTGTAATTCTTTTCCGAGCTCAGCAAAGTGAGTATGTCTAAATCTTTCCCATACAGGGTCATATTGTTCATCCAATAACACTTTCTTTGTTTTCTTTTGATTGTCTCCGGTGGTGTATGAGTATTCATAAACATTATCCTAGTTGATTTCAATCAAAAACATGTGTCAATAAACTTTAGCTTCAAGAAAGAAGACTTACATTTGGAGAAACGTTCAACAAATCATATGCCATTGCTTGATAGGTGAATTCATGAAGAAGAGGAGCGTTGGCATCTTCTGTACGATCTACAATCAACGCAATTGATTTATCCTTCACAAGGTTTTTTGATTCTTTTGATTTGTTGAGTAAATCATAGACTCGATTAGCAACAGTCTTTGAAATTGGTGAATCGGAAGAGTAACGAATATATGGAGAAAATCCTGCTGTCAAAAAGAATGTATAGAGTTGGTCAGCCACTTGGGTAGCATATTTCTCTCTTGAACGAGTATCAGTGTTCAAAAGTTGTTGGATATCGTCTTGTTGTTTGAAAGTAAATATTGGTCTTTCTACTGCAAGGAAATCGATATTAACGTCTTGGAATGTTTTAACGCGAGTATGGAGTCTAGATCTGGCAATCTTATCCATTAACTCTTCGGTAATTCCTGTTGATGTTGTGATGATGAATTTTAAATTGGGTGATGATGGTATTGTATCCGTAAAGAAAGGAATACAATAAATTGAAAATAACAAATATCAACCATAATGGTAATTATTGGAGATGGATAAGAAGGTAATTGAATTCAACAATCAAAGGATGATTGCGGATACATCATCATGAATATGAAATAAATTCATCAGCAAATCAACTACTAGTATTACGTACTGCTTGTAAACAACAAGTGGGCATTTCCGTATGTTGGTTTGTTTGGAACGTTATAGTCTTCAATAATCTTGTCAATAGAATCAGCTGTTGGAGTTACAAAATAAATAGCATCAAGAGTAGGGAAAGGTTGTCTCTTCTTTCCCAAATTTTCAATAATTGTAACGTTCTTGGTCAATAGATCGCTCACTTTACATGCCGAAGAAATGACTTGGAGGGCATGCTCATCTACAATCATGACTTTCCACTGATCCTTCTCTCCGATAGAATCAACTACTTTCATTAACAAGTTCCTTACTTTCTCTCTGATGTTGAGAGAGGTGAGAGAGGATGAAGCACTGCTCGAACTTCTGGACATTTTTTTTTGATGTGGTGTTCTTCCAACGGAAACAATACAATCCAAACTTGGCATTCATTCCTCGAAGATTGAATGATGAAATCCGTCTCGAACAAAACAGAAGGTTGCCGTCCTTCAAAAGATGAACAATCATGCTGTATGAATTTGTGTTTTCATTGAATTGGATGATTTAATATTATCTCTACCAATCACCATCTCTCACATCATCCTTATTGAAAGATCCCTTAATTGTGGTAACATTATTAATTTGAACAGATGAATCGTTTTGTTGAGGCCAAGCATACTTTTCTTGATCCACTTCTTTGACCGATTTCACTTGTGACAAAATGTTACTCTTGCCAACACTTCCTGTATCTTCATTATAAAAATCGAACCATGGATAATTATAACTTGAATAAGTTTGTGCAGTGATGGGAGTTGGAGGAACGGTTTCTCCAGTGATTTGTTCATACATTTCGCTATTGACAATATGAATGAAAATTCTTGCTTTTGTAGATTCATCCCAGAAGGTGTGACCATAAGGATCTTCAATAATTTGTTGTTTCATTTTACCACCAGCTGCGAGTCCAAGCTCTATTTTCGCATTTTGCAAAACGTAAATACTGTTTGTTTTCAAAAGTTGCTATTACTTACCCTTAGCTCCACTCTTTTTTCTTTCTTCTCTTTCAAAACTGCCTTCAAAATCGAGATTATCGGCCTCCTCGTTTGTCATGGATTGAACGCACTCATCATCCAATGAACATTCACTAAATTTTTGTTCAAAGCTAATCGTCTGATGAGCCATTGTTGGAGCACATGGTGCTTCGAAAGAGCTACAACACGTTGTTGTTGGAGGCATGACAAATCCAAATGCTTCGGATGGTGGAGGAGGAGGAGAAGAAAACAAGCCAATGTCGACCGATGAGTTTGCTTTCAATGAAGATAAGTTAAAATCACTGGAGGCACCACCGCCACCATAATAACTCTTCTCACTTTGTTGGAGGGATCTGTGGATGACAGGCTTTGGAGTAAATTGTTTCAAACGTTGTTCATGATTTGGAGCATAGCAAACGATTTGACATCCTCCAACTTTCTCCTCTCCAGTAACTTGACCTTCAACAGTATATCCATCTCCAAGAGGCATTGCAATAAATTGCTTAATATATCCATCACCAGCATTGATACCGTCCAACCATGGTTGCAATGGTGTGACCACATAGTCTTCAAATAGTTTCAATTCAAAGTATCAAATTTGATGTTTTTCAGTAGTATATATAGCGAGCGAGCATTGTGATGAAATGATGATGCAATCATCGCCATGATCGTGAATTCGATCAATCATCACCCCATGTACATGATTCTAGAAAAAGCCTACCTTGTACATTTCTCTGTTTAATTTCTTCATCCCAAGTCTCTCCAGACAAGGCGTTGACCTTTCCAACAGCAATTTTCAATGCATGAGGATATTCTGTATTGAAATTCATAAATTCCAACCACATAGCTTCTCTTTGATAGAGTGGAATGAACACTCCTCCTTGTTTCTTCCAAGCCTCAGGCACTCGATCAATGTAATCATCAACTCGTTTCACTGGAAATGTGCCCAAAGATGGTGGAAGAGGATAGATCTGTGAGTAGGTTCACGTCAAAGTTGTGTTCATTGATTGCAAAATCAACAAGTCAAAACAACATGTAACATATTTACAGCAACATGAGAGTCATTCGGAGAGATGATGATGATGATCTAAACCTCTATTGGGACACTCTGACTTACCTTTCCATCATCCGGAATACGCAACGTTCTATGGAAGGTGATCCCGACATTATCATCAATTTCATTATTGGGATTATAAAAGATGAGCTGATTGCCACTTTAACAGAAAGCTTGTTCAGAGGTGTCATTTCGATTGATCTGGTTATTCAAAGATTCAATTTTTTGTGTCTATTTTGAAGGATAAACTGATGAGAGAAGGAAATTATTTGAGTTTGGCAAAGTTCACTCACAAAAAGGAACAAGTTCTCGCTCTTTCCTCTCTCTTCAGACATACCCTTCACTTGAATCATTTTTATGTAATATATTGAAGAGAGAAATGGAGCGTTCCACAAGAATACAAGCGCTTATTACCTCAACCAACCAATCAGGTTTGTCCCCGACATTATCAATACGTTGTTTCTTCACATAAAGACAAATTTGGATTTTTTTGAAAATAAAAATGCAAAGGCTTTCTCGTTCTGCGTTTCAACATGGCACCACCAAGCAGCAATCCTGCTTGCTCATGAGCAAGACCAACACGATCATCATGAATCATAGAGTGCCTTCCACATGGTTCGGAAACACAAAATCATTCAAGGGATTCTCTCATCATGATTATCAGGAATCTATCAGCCGTTGTTTTTCTGTTAATTTGGCAAAGAGAAATATTGGATCTACGGAGGAAAAAATTTCTAGCACACCAACAACAGCAGCAACACCAAACGCTTCGGTACAATCCTTTGAAACAGTATCAAATACTACTACATCAACCGCTCAATCAGTACCACCACAAAAACCGGTAGCTTTTGAAGAACCACTCCACGAAAAACAAAGTTTTAATTTGGATGATTTTGAAGATGATGTTGCCGGACAACAATTGGAGGCAGCAGAATCGATTAGCTCACTCTTTTCTTCATTTACTGATTACATTAATCCTTCAAAGATTTTGGAAGCTTGTATTGTTGCTCTTCACGATGCTGGTTGCCCCTGGTGGGGAAGTATTGCTCTTGTTGGTTTTGGACTTCGTATGCTTATGTCTCCACTCAACATTATGAGCATGAGAGCAAGTACTATCATGTCCAAGATGGGAAACAGTTTCACACAATTGAAAAAGGATCAAGTGGATCCCAAAAAGAGCCCTGCAGAACGAGAGCATGCTAGACGATCATATGATGAAATGGCCAAGAAAGAGGGATTCAAAATGTCCCACATGTTCTTGCCTTTAATTCAAAGTCCTCTTTTTATTGCCTTCTTCTTTTGTTTGAATAGAATGGCAAGAGAAGTTGAAGGATTCCAATGGGGAGGAATGTTGTGGTTTACTGACCTGACATTGAAGGATCCAACTTATATTCTTCCTATTATCTCTGCATCTTGCTTTATGGCTGTTTTTCTTGTGAACACTTTCCTTAGAAGCGCTGGATCAGGTAGACTTCAATCCGTGATTGCTGTTGGTATGGGTATTTTCTCATTTGCCCTTGTACCTTTTACAGGCAGACTTCCTGCTGCACTTTTCATGTATTGGATCCCTTCTAACCTTTTCCAAATTATATTTTACTTACTAATGTCAAGAAAACCAATCAAAAGATATTTCAAAATTCCTGATGTAGATACTGCAAAGGGAGCAAATAAGGGAATGGATAAGATTGAGAAAATGATTGATAAATTCATGCCAACCAAAGCAAAGTCACCAGTACATGCAAAATTGATGACCAAGCAAGATTTTGATAAAATAAGGGGAATCAAACATTAAGCGAGAATTTCGAATACTAGTACTAGTTGGAAACTAAAACAAACACTCGAACATGATAAAATATTATTATGACAATTATTCAAAACTACTCTTCATAGTTTGGGTCGACCAAATATTTAATATGTGTTAAAGATACGAAAAACACTTGCATTTGCAATCGCTGACAGGACACTCTTCATGGTTCTCAAACCAATCCAATAAATGCTTAACATGACCACCATGCTTGCAACGAGTGCACCATGAGAAACAAAAGTCCATTTCTGACGAGCTATTCCCACCCATCGAATGTGAAGGAGAGCCAAAGGCCATCAAACAAACGGCACACTTGGGGAGTGGTTTCCTACAAGAAGGACAACTGGTAGTTTTAGGCATGGATAAATTATTGCCATGTTTGTTGGCAAGCTGAGCTTGTCTTCCACCCTTACTTGAGAGCAAGCTGGAGTGATGGAGCGATTGGGAACAAAAGGCACATTTGATAGAAACACTGGCTTGTAGAATGGGAGCTGTACCTGAGAAAGTGTTAACAGAGCTCTGAGTTGGGGTTGCACCTTCATGACTAATGACAGACTCTCCACGCAAACTTTGTTGAATGCTAATGTCTAAAAAGGCCCGCTCTTCCCACATCTTCCATCGATCAAGTAAATCTCTGTAATTTTCCATCCAAATGTCAGCAATGCTATTGCTATTCTTGGTAGTAAGAGCTCTATTAAATACTAGGCATGCTGTTTGAACGTCACCCGTTCGGTCCACATATTTCTGCATTAATTGATAACTTTCGTTAGATTGCAAACCCGTTAGAAGTAGCCCTTGAATATCTCCTGTGGCCAAGCCTTTCTCTTTGAGAGAAAGAATATATTTACCAAGATCAAAGTCATTCAAATAGTAACAAGCAAAGGCAATTCGATCGCTAACTGGGATAGCTTTTTGTTCTAGTACACATTCCACGTCTTTTGGTTCACTTGATGTTAAAAATCCAAATGCTGCTGATAAATAAGGATCGTTGAGCTTTGGATATAAATTATTGAAAACATTGTGAAACTCCTCCCGTCTCGACTCTGAATACCCACCAAGTGCATAAGCCAAAAACATGTAATTACTTTTCTTGTCATTGTCACTCAGTACTCCCAAAATATTCGCTGCTGCCTTGATATCCATATTAAATATTGCGATGGCTACGCTTCTCTCATTCAAATACTCCGGAGGTACTTGAGAGCTTTTTAGTGCATTCAAATATTCTTGATCCCATCCACAAACATGAAGACAAATACTTCTTTGAGGGCTGTGATATCGAGTTGTAGAAGAGTGCTTCACAATTTCAGAATGAGGAGAAATAGTATTTCCTTTGAAATTATGAGAAACGGTTCCAGTAAGAGGCTTAAAGGGTAAAAATGTACTATCATCTTGTCCTGTTAAATTTTGTAACAGCATGGAAGAATCTAAAATAGTTTGAATTCCAATGTAAAATTGTTCGTTAGGTTGATTTCTTCCGTTCATTTTGTTAAGTTCTCTCATCTTATGTATCCAAGACCAAATAATAATCCCATCGATATCCTTTAAAGAGGTTGACACAGCAATGTTATGTTTTAAATCAAGTCCAATTGCTCGTTTTGCTCTTTCTTTCATCACAGAAATTATATCATTTGGTTGTATGAAGCTATTTTCTACTATTTGGTTGTTATGGGCCGATATTATTTCCTCGTGACACGATATTGAGAATTTAGTAAAGTCTTTCAAAAATGTATATTGAACAAATCCTGTGTAAGTTGACAAAAGTATACATTTAGGAATATTTGGATGGAAGGAAAAGGATGTGATTGGGCTATTATTTGATGAGAAAACTGTTTGATAATTAGATATCTTGTATTTCACAGTCTTGGCTTGTTCAGCTAAATCACAAAGTTTGATAGAATTTGAATCTCTGTTTAAGATAACAAATAAATTAACGCTAGAGAATATTTCAAATAGTGTCACTTACTTGGTCAAAACTCCAAGTACATTCTTGTGAGAAGTAGACCATTGTACTTGTGATATGGTAGGAGGAGTTTTTTGTGATGAAGCAGGGAATAATGAGGCTACATTCAACTCTTTGATAGGGTTGGGCATTTTCCTCATGTCCCAAATTCTGACAACACTTTCTTCAGAGTATGTCGCAAATTGATTACTATCGAAAGGATTAAAGTGAATTCCCAAAACTGATTTGTTGTGGACTGCAAAGCTTTTCGAAGGTTTACAACTTTTCATTGCGAGAGAATCTCTTAGATCAAATAATCTGATATATTTCAAGCTTGTTCCTAACAAGAAAATATTGGATTGATTTGGCATCCATGAAATAGAGGTAGCTCCTTCTCCTGGGCAAAGCTCATAAAGAGGTCTTGTCACGATTTTTGTTGTAAAATACGATCTAGAGGGCAATTGAAAAGTATTAGATTGTTTTTTCACAGAGTTTGAAACAAATGTCCCGTGATGCAATGAGCTGAGCCCTCCATAGTCGCTACTTATTGTGCTCTCTGTATCTGAAATTATTCCACTAAATCCACCTGATGTTATTCTTGACAAATCCCAAATTGCCACACAATTTTGTTTTGGTACTTTATCGTAACCAGCTGCAATGTAATTGGTTTCCACTGGATTCCAGTCAATACATCTGCATGGAGGTGAAGATGTTTTGCCTCTGTTGGCTGGATCTGTTCGAGTAAACTCTGCAAAGACATGTTGGTCACTTTGAATATCATCAAGTAGTATTGATCCATTTGAAAGTCCAACAGCAAATGTTTCTTTGTTTTCGGGAGACCAGGAATAGCACTAATATGATTGAAGATAGGTAAAGTATTTATCAAATCATGTCAACCTACCAATGCCTCTGATTGCAACGATGTTGTAGATATTGATGAGAATTCTTGAGAAATGTTTGTATTGGGTGTAGATTTTTGTTCTAAAACATTGCTCAATACCTGATTATCGGAGTTGATATGATGAATAACAATAATAATAATATTAATAATGATCAAAATCATATTCTCTACAAGAAAGACACCTACTCTTTCATCAATTTTGTAATAATAAACATCTCTTCCAGCAATAACCGAGAACCAGTTACTTGTGTTTGGATTCCAAGATACTATGTATGATTGGCCGGCATTCATTGATCCACCCACTAACGACATGGTTTGTGCATTGGAAACAATAGGAGAAAGTACCGAAGACAACATGTTAGATTAGGTTATTCAACAAAATATATCATCAATAATTTCCAAATTAAAATTCAGTGCTTCTGTCGAGAGCGAGCAGATCAATTATTAAAATTCTATTGTTATTTCCGCAAAATAAAAATGATGATGATCCTATCAGTATTATTGGAATTGTCAAACGAATTGGACTTGAGGAATAAAATCAATGATGAACGAAGTGTTTGGAACGGCACTCAAATTTTTTGTCTTTGAAAAAAAATTTCATTCTCCCGAACTATGGCATCCATAACCTCTTCAACTCCTTCATCATCATCGGTTTCAGCATCATCGGGAAATGACGATGATATGATTTCTCTCTCAAATAACCCAAATGGGAATGATCAACAACCAAATCAAAATGAGCATGTAATTATACAAAAGAAGAAATATGAAGAAACTGAGGATGAAATGAAATTAAGATTTGAAATGGAATTGGAGTTTGTGCAATTATTATCAAACCCATCATATTTACAGTATTTGGCACAATATAAATATTTTGAAGATCCTGGATTTATAGAATATCTAAAATATTTACAATATTGGAAACGACCAGAATATGCAAAATTTATCAGATTTCCGAATAGTTTATTCTTTTTAGATCGAATTGTCACAGATCCCCAATTTCGAGAAGAGTGCAAGCTCAATCCTTTCCGAGATATGCTGCAGCAGCAAATTATGTGTCATTGGTCGTTCTATCGAAAAAATAGAGAAGAAGCTCTCAAAAAGAAATCTTTCGAGTTCGACGAGCCAACAAATCCGATTGATGCAAATGTCACAATGAATGGATAATAAATTAAAATTTAATGAATAGTAACTGGCTTTGAAGGAAGAGTTAACACTTTTCCTGAATGCTTGTCCTTGATAAACATGCCTTTTCCAGCAACTGCATGAAGGCCTCTTTGTAATGGAAACAGTGGAATGTAAACAATTCTTGATTTGGTAGGTTGCAATTCTCCAATTACTTGCAAAGAAGATCCATAAACTGCAAGTGGATACAGTTTATCAGATTCAAGATGAAGCGTAAGATCCATAATATCCTTCGAATTATTTACAATTTCACACACTGCATAGAATGGCTTATGTAGGTAAAATTGCTCGGGTTTGAGTTGAACTCTTCCAGTTTCAAGAAGAAATTCATCAGACATAGGTGATGATGAAAAACCAAGTATTGTTATGTCCAAGTCTTGTTTCTGGACTCCTTTGTGTTGAATTGGACTGGTAATAAGCATTCCACTCTCTCCTAAAGTATTTTTCCATTGAAGGGAGATTTTTCCAAGAACATTCACTGCCTTTGGCTGTTTTAAATTTGGGACCAGTTCAAATAATAGTCTTTTCGTTTCTCCTCTCAATAATGGGTGCTCATAATATCTATCTCCATAATTATGAGTTGAATGGTCAATAAGATCAAATCCAAAGTTGGGTTCAAATTTTACGTTTTCAATATACATGGAGGGTGCTTGCGTTAAATTTTGTAAATCTAATTGTACAAAGATATGATTTTCAAGAGTATTGACTTTCACTTTCATTCCAAGAGGTTCATACACTTTAAAAGGAAATAATTTTCGGAATGATCTCATCCTTCCTTCTTCAGGATCATAGTATGCAACATTACACACAAGAAAAGTTTTGTCATCATCATCATTAATATTATCAGGAACGCTCAATGGTTGTTCAATAATAAAATCCTGTCAGCGTACAAAATATGGTTAATATATATAAGTCATGAGGAATAATATTAATACCAACCTTATTTGATTTGGAACCAAGCTGCTCCATAGGTGTCGAGCTAATATCCAGCAAGATGTGTTTTGTTGTTTTTCCTTTTCCAGTGTGTAGTTCGGCAGTAATAGAAATGTTCTTGATGACGTTGTAAGATTCATTATGCAAAGAGATGTAACATTTGAGTGTCTCGCCGATATAGATGGCACCTGGAGCACTTGGTAAAGTCCACGAGTCATTATAACCCAAACTGTCAAAAACCATGCATCGTTCTGTTAAAAATTGTGATAGGTTTTTCTCATTACTATTATCCTCCACGCCCGGAATTTCAATTAATTTTTCTTCTTTAAATCCACTCGTTGTTGATCTGGATCCAACCGAATCATTCCCGTACAGACTCTTCACATCGGAAGCATGATTTGGTGTTTTATAAAACAATTTATTATCTCCGAGAACATCTTTTCGTTCAGTAAGAATTGGAACGTCCACTGAAAACTCTGGTTTTTTTAATCTCATCAGCTTGATGCTCAAAGGATGTGGAGTTTCGATCATGGGCAGGTTCGATGCACCACCAACGCTGGGGGGTCTAACATTTGGGTCCATAATTGTCCAGCCTATTTTTTTGTCAGTACCTACGGGACCACAGATCAATCCTATCACAACAGAACCAATGTCATGACGAAGTACTCATCAACGTTTGCCAAACCATTCTGATGCATTAAAAGTGAACCATCAACCCGTGTTCGTGATTGAATTGGGTGAGATCAAAGAAGCAAAATCCTTGAGGCCTGGTTTGACACAAGTTGGCGCCATTTCATTACGAAAGACCAGAATAAAAAAATTAACCCGAATGTCCATCATCAAGCCTATTGGAGATCCAAAAGTATGTATTTTGGAATCAATGATCCGAGTTTTCTTATTTGAACCATCATTCGGAAACAGATTTTGGAGAAAAGACCTCCACAAAGTGTCTCCTACAAAGATGTTAAATCCTCTATTGACACTGGAATGGTCAAAAGAAAATCCGATCAAAGTAGGTGGTTTTATAATTCATATGAAAGTTGTTTCCGATTGAGATTTTCGAATAATATAGATGATAGCAAACTATTCAAAAAAGTCGAACATTTCAAACGAATCAAATCCACAGAGCTAATGAAGTTAATTTTACTCAAAATGAATTCGAATAAGGAAGGGCTAGCTAATGAGGATGAAGCCAAGTGCCCCTCAGAATCTCCAAAACATTCAGTCATCTCATCTCAAGCGTTTAGTAGTACCATTTCGGAGGCAAAAACTGCCGTGCATCAAATGGATCCAATCTTGATTAAATCAAGGTTACGAGAGGATGTATCAGATGCTGATAATTTAGTGCTAGTACTTGATGTGAGAGATCCAGAAGATTTTGCAAAATGTCATTTACAAACTGCATACAGTTATCCAGCTGCGACGGTTAACAGGACGGTTAATCCTTTCACATTTGAAATGTTGTCCTTTGTAAGTTGTTTCAATTGTTCGTGACACCCCAACAACCAACGTCTACCATTAGAAAAACCATCCGCAAAAGAAAATTGTACTGTACGATAGAGATGAAAAAATAGCGTGTCCTGTAGCAAACTTGTTATTTGAAAAAGGGTTCGATAATATTGTGGTTCTGACAGGTGGACTGCAAGAATTTTTCCAGAAGCATCCGAACTTAATAGTTGGGGAAGTGCCAAAGGAATGGATACCAACCGAACCAAAAAAGAAGCGCCTACAATCTGCCTCTTCAGTGACCAGTAAATCGACGCAAAACAAACCAACCGTCTCCAAAAAGCCACCTGCCACAGCCCTAAGTACCTCCAAAGTATGGAAATAATTGGTTTTACTTTATCAGGCCTATACGGTTATTTCTTATCTTGACCCAACTATTGTAAAACTAAAAATTAGAACCATCATCCTATAGGAACAGATGCAAAAATGTAATTACAAATAGTACCTTCATAATGAACAAGCTTTACAACGATCCAAACTGTATTTGTCAATAACTCAAATAGAGTTTTGCTCTGAGAGTACAATTTGAAAAAGGAAAAGATTTGTTGTTCCGTCCATCTGGAAAATACTTCACAATTTCTTCTCAATTCATCAATTCGTAAATCATGGATTCATGATAACTCCTCTCCTTTCGAATCTTTGAAATAGTCAAGCCCCCATTCTCGGAATTGTACCTGATATTTTTGTTCTCTTTTTTAGGAGTTTTTGCAATCGTTGACTTGTTCCATTCCAACCAACCTTACCGAAAACATTCACACCCCAACAATATTTAACATGATCACACATGAGCATCATCCTTGTTCCTAGCATGAAAAAATTATATTAACATTGCATAATCGTCATGATGATGAGAGTCACAACACTTTTACTTTTCATTGTTCCCTTCCTGTCGACATTCATCGCATTGGTCCACTCGTTGTATGTGGTCATTCCAGATAACACGGCTGTTCTACCAGTGAATCAAGTACTACCTCTCCTCTTTATTGGAGGTGGACCTTTGAGTGGACAGAACGCGACCCTTACCTTATATCGACAACGACAAACTCAACCTGATGAATTGATCATGCAAACAGAGGTTCATCTAACAGGTGCCTCAGGTTACGTTCCATGGGTCATTCCAACCAATGCAACAGCCTCATGTTCCTACTATGTGTGTTTGAATCCAGTCAATTCTTCCCTTCTTGCTTCTTCCATTGTCGACCTGAACGATCCCTATCGATGTTATGCCGTTGGAGGTTTCTATTGTGCTTTCAACCCAAGTACTGTGAACACCAATGGACCACCAAGACGTCCCTATTTGACCTTAGATTATCCTCAACAATATACCAAATGGTTGGCCAATAGAAACTACTCGGTGGTGTACAGCCAATTCTTTGGCAATGGTGTCGAGAATGGAGCACAGGGATCCTTCTCTGTCGCGTTGAGCTTGTGGAGAAACAATGGTGGAGCTCAAGGACAAGATGTCATGATTGATGGAACCAAAAAAACCTACACTCTCGATAAGAGTAAACCAAATGGTGAGGTAGATTTCTTTGTGCCTGAAATTTCTACTCCTGCCGTCAATAATAGATACTACATTTGTGCTGAATTGGTGTCTAATGAAGTGGGTGTGGATGCCCTGAATAACCACACCAATCGAGACGATGAAGGAAGTTGTTTTGCTAAATCTGGAATGTTCTCCATCTCGATTGGCTACTTCACCATCAATGCTCCACTCGCTAATGCCAAGTGGCAATTCAACACGACTCAATTTATGGATTTCAATGAGACCATGAAATTTGATCAATTCTCTTTGAGTGTCTTCCAAATCAGAGAAACCAATAAGGAGTTTATTTCAGATGATGTTCGATTGATTAATGTTAATCAACAAGTACCAACTCCGAGACAAGGTCAAATTCCATTCATTGTGATGTGGGGAGGAGCTTTAAGAACCACTCCTGGATGTAATTACTTTATTTGCGTGAATCCAGTCTTTGTAGGTCCTTACAATGTTCGTTGTTTGGTCAAATCTGAAGTTTTCTGTATTGAGGGAGGACAAACAGAGCCATTACCAATTCCTCAACAACAACAACAAGGTCAGCCACCGCAAGGGCCTCCTCCTCAACAACAACAACAGCAACAGCAACAAGGAGGACAGCAACAACCACAACAACAGCCTCAACAAAAGAGAATGTTGCATCACACAGAGGTCGCTTCTAGTAGTAGCGAACAAGTGGTTGCCTCTCTCCCAGATTATTCTCAAATGAGAAATCATATTCCGATTGCTCAGAGAGTGAATGTGTATGGCCAACACAATCCTCAAATGTATCCTTTCTATTCGCATGGCTATCAGGTACGACGTGCGATTTTGAATCATGCTCATCCTCGGTATCCACGTTTGCATATGCGAGTATTAAGAAGATTTTAAGTTGCTGAAGTTTGAGAGAGATTTTGAAAGACGAAGGCTGAAAGTGTGAATGATATCATCAGTTTTGAAGTCCTTTAAATTTTTATTGTTGTGTTGTTGAATTTCGAATGAGATGTCCTCCTCGTTTTTTTTTAATAAACAGCAGAAAGCTTATAACGTCCATTTGACCCGTTTTCGGATTCTTTTTCGGGCGATATCTGTCGCACTCTTCCTTAATAAATCGCCAGTTGATAAACGTTAAAAGACGTTTATTTTGATGTTTTCAAAAGTAAAAAAAATAAGGCAACCCCCATCATCACATCCTGAGTGCTTCAATCGGTTATATCATTCATCAAACTTCTGCTATCTCTTCATCACTTACAAGTCTATCATGACAATGATAGCCGAGAACGACCACATGTTCAATCGCAATCTTCAGTCTGCTTCTTTGGGATACAAAGCATTCGAATATGACCCGACGATCAATATCAGACAAAAAACTGATATCACCAACACAACTGGGCCGAACGTTTCTCATCTTTATCAAAGTTTGATCGAGAAGAATCCCACTGTGTTTCACAAGCGAACGTACTCTCGTTCTGTTCCTCGATCGGTCTCACCCTCTCAAATATATGCCCAGTCAACCCAGCAATCTGAAACATTCACTGCTTATTTAAATACCCTTTCCGAAAACAGGAGGAACCAACTCGAGAAAATCATGAACATCCCAAGAGATAAGCAAGCAGGGTTTTACGCCCCAAGTTTTTCTTCCTTCAGAAACTATAACAACCTTAAACCGAAAAATTTCAAACAGTATCACATATCCTTAGCTGACCCAAGCAGTGAACATCCTCTCTCTCTAAGCGACTGCTTGGAAAGTGCAAAATAAATCTATAGAGAATCAAGACCCCTAAGTTCAGTGAGATTGGCTCCTCTATCTCCAAGAATACCGTTGTCTCAACGAACCGATTCAACAAGAAGAACACCAAGGCAATATAAACTTGTAAGCTCCAAATCCACGAGTTCCCTTTTTTCGACGACAACACCTCGCTCTTTGACAAGTTCAAGACCTAGTAGCTGCCGAAGTGGGTCAAAAACGCCCTCTTCATCTCGAAGTGCAACTTATTCCTATATCACAAGTACCATAAGTAATAGCTCGAGTCATAAAAGCTCTGTGAAGTTACTACGAAATATGTACGACCAAAAGGTTTTTGAAAATGAAATAAGGCAAGAGGAAAAAGAACAACAAAAAATAGAACATATTTTGGAATATGACAAGCGTTTTGACGATCCAATCAAGCAGCTTGAGGAAATTGATAACTTTGAATTAAGGAATGGACTGAGACAACCTAAGAGTGTTAAATGTAAATAAATCCAATGTTGTAAATTCTTTCAAAACCAAATCAAATTCATTATCAACACAAACAACGACGTAATAATGGATTGATGATGGATCGTGATTGACAGTAGTCGGCTTCTTTTGAATCTATAACCTATATAAAAAAATGCTTCGCATACGCTTGCCGTCTGGTCAAATGAATCTGAAGGGAGTTGACTTTCAAAACTCCACTGTTGAATGGCTCAAGTCGGAAATACAGAAGGAAAGCAAAATTCCACTGCTAAAACAAAAACTCAAATGTGGATTTCCACCACAAGAAGTTACTGGGCAATCAGATCAAGAATTATTTAATTCAAAAAAGCTTTCGGAGATTGGCTTAAAATCGGGAGAAAGTTTGATCGTGGAAGAAACAAACGAATACTCTCAGGCAAAACAACCCATTTCCTATCAATTAGCGTCAGCATCTATGGGCAATCATGACGTTGTGGATCTTACTGCTGACTCCACCAACATTGTACAATTAAAACCAGAACAATATTCCGACTGTCCAGCACGACCACACGATTTGCAATCCTTTGATTCCTCTTTGATTTCAGATTGTGTTGCTATTAAACGAGTCATTCCAGCAGATAATTCGTGCCTGTTTAATGCCTTGGCTTATTGCCTGGAAGGAAGCAGAGCAAGAAAAAACAAAAGAGCCCGAGCCTTGAGAAGAGTTGTGAGGGATTGGATTATGAAACATCCGTTTTATTTCAATGAAGCCATATTGGGAAAACCCACCAAAGAATATTGTGATTGGATAATGAAAGACGATTCATGGGGAGGATCTATTGAATTATTAATTTTGTCCCAGTTCTACAACATTAGAATTGAAAGCTTTGATGTCACAGCCAATAGAAGAGATGTCTATGGTGAAGGAGACTCTACTATTACTTCAAAAATTTTCCTTATTTATGATGGTATCCACTATGATGCGTTTGCTTTCAATCCTGTTCCATCTGGACCTGAAGAATTAGATATTACCATTGTACCTGCTAACGAAGAGATTTCTTCTAAAAAAGCATTCGACCATGTAAAACAATTGCACGAACAGCATCAATTTACAGACACTGCCAGCTTCACTTTAAAGTGTTTGCAATGTGGAGAATTTTTGAAAGGAGAAAAGGAGGCCACACTTCATGCAAAGAAAACTGGTCATACAAGCTTTGGTGAAAAGAGATAATCTGTTTTGTATCACAGTAAACATTAAATACTCGAGTGGTATCGCAGCCATTCGACGTTTTAAAAAAATGTTAGCACATCGCAAGACAGCTTGTTTCCGAAATGCTATTAATTTTCACAAGTCGAGTTTATCATCATCATATGGATCATTCTGCACAAATGCTCATCCATCGTTGTGCCTATCAAATGAGAGTTTTTTCAATAATCATTCGAAATTCATTCGAACAACTGACTGCATCAATCGAACATTCAGTTCCAGTAACCATAAGACTTTGTCAATAGCATTACGAGAAGCACTTGATTATGGAGAAAACAAACTCCGAAATGCACTCACATTCAAACACGTAGAGCATGATCCTGAAGGAGAGGCACGTATGCTACTATTTCACACGCTCTTTCCGAAAGAACCTGTGGAACACTTGAGCAGTCGATGGCTTTCTCTTTCGCTACGAAAAGATCGTCTCACACCTCATCAACTCGATACTTTCAAGTCACTCATCGCAAGACGATGCCAATATGAACCTATTGAATACATCACGGGACGAGTCAACTTTTTTGGAAGACAATTTCTTGTGAATAAGCATGTCCTGATACCGAGAGTGGATTCTGAAGTGATGATTGAGGCAATCATGAAGAGAATGAACCAATTTTTGAAATTTTCGTCATCATCTGATGATCAGAGAATTCAAAGAGATGGACTTAACATTGTGGAATTGGGAGTGGGAAGTGGATGTTTAATTTTGACCTTATTGCTCGAGTTGGAGAAAGCAAATATTAAAGTACAGAGTGCCATCGGCTTGGATAAGAGTAGTGAGGCTTTAAAAGTTGCTGCACTGAATGCCCAACAATTACTTCCACCTCGTCTTTGTAAAAAGTTGATTCTGAAAGAGCATGACATGTTGTGTGATGAATTTAAACCCGAAGAATGGAAATCCCAAATGAACGATAATGATGATGATTCAAAGATGTGTGTCACTTGTAACTCAACTTTCGCAAACACCTCGAAGCGTAAAGTTGGTATTATTACTGAGGATGAGAGAAACCACCACTATGGCTCTACACATGTGCTCATTTCAAATCCTCCTTATATTCCCTCCCAGGTCATTATGGAAGAATTGGATCAAGATGTTTCTCTTCATGAGCCTCATCTCGCTCTCGATGGAGGTCCTGATGGACTCGACTTTTATCGTTTCCTCCTATCGGAGAAAGCCATGCACAAGTATCGTCTCTTATCCTCCTCAGAGAGTTCCTTAATGGCGTTGGAGCTCGGTTACGATCAGGCTCCCATCCTTATGAAGAATGTACTCTCAACAACGGTTCTCGCCAACAACGACGAAGACGACGACACGACTAATTTGCAAATCTCAAACCACGAAATGAAGCAGCAGCGTTTTCTTTTGGGTACGAGCAAAAGTGGATCCAATTTTGAATTTGTAGTCGAGTTGGAGAAGGACCTGAATCAATTCGATCGAGTTCTGATTCTGAAGACAACCAAACGCACACCATAAGGGTATACATGTTCCTCGTTCGCTCTGCACCGCCATTTCAGTGCTCCATTCTTACCCAAAAAGTCTAATTTTAAGGCTTCACAACGATTTCCTTATTTGTTATGTAACCAACAAGAATTTTTTCGTGATAAGGCTTCTTGCATTTGTTGTGTTTGCTTGAAGAGAGACACATTATGAAACCTATTGGCAAGAGATGTCATGTCTCTCGAATCTCATAAAAGCAATCGTGAGCACCTTATCAAAGTACATCGACCAGATTGAACGTTAAATTATAGAAATTTCAATGCGCCAAACAAGTTCCACAACAACAACCACTCCCGCCAAAAATCGTTTTGAACAAGAGACAAAACTACAGCCTTGGTTTTCGTCTGCAGGAGATAAATAAAAAAAATAATACAACAACGACAATATCAAACATGGGAGGATCGGCATCGTGTATGGGTAATAAGCAAGAAGGAAGCGATAGCACAGAGAAGGGCAACTCTAAAGGAGGAAAGGCACCAACTGGCAACAGCGACGGTATGTACAAAATTTATTTGATAAACGTTTTAATGACCAATCACGAACTTGGTTTTCCCTTGATCATGATCCCAATCACGAACTTGGTTTTCCTTTGATCATCATCATGCCAATAACAAAATTTTACCAAAACTTTGATGCTCCGCTAAATGTTTCAATATCATCACGATAAATAATAGAGGAGTTTTTGACTGGAAAGGTGCTAATTCCTTGGAGCGATCAAGAATACAAGCTAGGAGTAGGGATGGTGGACGAACAGCATAAGGTGCTAGTCATCCTAATCAACAAATTGAACCATGCTATCAATATGGGAGACATGGATCTCATTCTTGAAGTGTTCGAAAGATTAGCCATGTACACAGACTTCCACTTTAAGGAAGAGGAAGGCTTGATGGATAGATGCGCTTCTTACGAAGCAAGTGTAAAGGACAACCATAAGGAAACACACAGAAAATTCATCTCAAAGGTCTTTTCTCTGAAAACTAAGGTTGAGGAAACTCACAACTCTAGATTTGCGATGGAAGCTCTCATGTTTTTGAGTGACTGGCTCATTACACACATTTGTATTACGGATAAGAAACTTTGCAGGTTCTTGAAGGCTGAAAATATTGACAAGGCTTACGACAGAAATGCAGCCATGGACGACATTAAGAATTATGAAATGCAACCTCCACCTCAACAAGCTCAAGAGCAATAAGCTTGAAAGAAGAACAGTCTTTCACAAGTTGTTGAACCCGATTCATTTGTACAATACAATGGGTTTGATAAAAACAAAATTCATGCTTCCTCATTTTACACTTCTTAGCCGTTTTTCCATTTTACACAGATCGTTGAAAATCAATGAAAATGAGGGTCTTTCAGAAATATCCTTACTCCAACACTTGACCATCAATTCAAAAAAGTCATTCAGGACTGAAACATGAGTCTCGAAGGATTGTGATGAAATACTGTTTGAGTTTCGAAAAAAGAATTCATCAACCCAATTCCTTAATGTGTTTGAATTAGCATCAAGAGGAAGAGAAGGAATAGGCAAACGCAAGCCATCAGCCACTAATTTCGGTAAAACTATGATGGAATCATTGAGAGTGGAATACTGAGATATTTGCTCGCTGGTCATGAACGATGTAAATTTTGACTCTTTCGAGAAGGATGACGAAAAGAGAGTACTTTCATCGAAACATAATTGCCACATGATAAGAGCAAAGCTATAGACATCTGCTGTCTCGTTGTAAAACTCCCCTAACAATACCTCAGGTGCCTGATGCATTGCATAAATATATGTGATTTGGTATCACTGTTCAATATAATCATTCTTGTGCGTATTTTACTTACCATATAAAACAAAGTTCCTACACGACAGGTATTGGTTCTATGAACCTCTTGTTGATACAATTTGGACACTCCAAAATCACACACTTTACAGGTCAAATCATTGCTTAGTAAAATGTTTCCAGGTTTCAAATCTCTATATCCATTATTGATTTCATATACCATATGTATCATTCAGATCGTATCATAACAATCAACAGATCCATCTTTTGAGCTCATTCACTCACTTACCTATGAATGATCATCTTATCTTTTCCATGATGTAAATAACTCATTCCACTTGCAATATCACTCAACATGTGAATTTTATCTGCCAATGGAATAAATTTCTTTTTCACCTTGCATTGATAAATGAGTGAATCCAGAGATCCTCCATGCATGAATTCTGTCACCATAAACTTGTTTGATTCTGTGAGACAAACTCCGAAAAAGGTAACTACATTGGGATGACGAATATTGCTCAGCAATGATGCCTCATTTTCAAATTCATTACTATCCAAGTCTGAATCTTCAATTTTAATGCTTTTGAGAGCAACATCTGCATTTTTCCATCTATTAAACAAAATAATTCAAATGATCATTCAAATCAAAAGAAACTCACCTAGCCTTGTAAACAACTCCCTTCAAGTTTTAAACCAATTTTCAAAATAATGTTTTTGAAATATGAACTATAAGTGTCACAGCAGAAATCACTTACCTGTCCTCCTTCTCCAATTTTTGAAACAATTTCAATATCTTCTAATTTAATGAGCCATTCCTTAAATGAATGTCTATTCTCCAATTCACTGGCATATAATGTTTGTAAATCCAACAATTTTTGTGTCAATTCAATTTCAGCTTTTTCTTTTTGTTTCAATAATTTCACACTAAATTTCATCTTTTTCAATTTTCGTACTGAAATCACAACAATCACCACAACAGCAACCATAACTGCTAATCCAATCGCAAGAATGACAGGTAATAAGTAAGCCACATTAAAACTACAGTAATAAATCTTCTTTCCATTCAAATCAGTTTTAGAAAATGCAGAATGCATTGTTGGGCATGGGTCAAACTGAAAATTCACATTAAAATAATACGTCACAAGCATATCTTGAATGAAAGTTAGTGAAAATTTCACAGTGGCATTTTGAGGAAATGGATCTTGATATGAATATGAAACCAATGTCACAATGGGATGTAAGAGTGGAAGACTACCTTCTTCATCTTTTTCAAAAACATTACTTTTGGCTTCAGAATAAACGATTGAATCATCGACTGTGTCGATTCGCATAAAAGTTCCATCGTAAGGTATCATTTGACCAAAGGTGTCTTTCATGGTTAAATCAAATTCCAATTCTTCTCCAAAAAAAGTTTTAACAGCCACGACATTAAAATCGCTCGAATTACTTGCCAAAGGTATAACCGCACGTTGAAGTGCTTGTTTTCCAATTTGTCTTATTTGTTCTCGTTTTTGTGTAATTTCTAAAGTACTCTGTGGTCCTCGAACGATGAGTTGAAGAGAGGCCTCTGCTGGAAATGACGTTTTATCTTTCAAATGGAACGGTGTGAGCACTGAATTTTGTGCAATAAATTTAGGAATCATTTGTTGAGCATCCATACTCGATTCAGAATTGATTAAAAATTTTTCCTTTCGTAGTGTGACTGGATTCATACGAGATTCATACCAATCTACGGATGATTCACAATAATATAAACCTCCACCACTCACACCAGCTGTATTTTGTGAAATGAGTGGCAAGGTATTGTTAAAAGCAGACATTAAAATACCAGCACGTATCGAGAAGATTGCTCCTCCAAATTTCTCTGCAGAATTGAGACGAAATGCACATTCTTCAATGATGAACGGAAGAGTGGTTATTGTGTTTTTGGTGTAAATGGCTCCACCAATGGCTGCCTTATTTTTTAAAAAAAGATCTTGAGTCACCCACATTCGAATACCTAAATAGGAATATAGTACACCTCCATAAGTTTTGGCAGTATTATTGTAATAAACACAAGCATTCGATGAAAATACACTGTAAATTTGAACAATGTTTGAAATAAATGATGTGTTTTCAACCAAATAAGGATAAAAAAGATTTGTCATGTGATTGTGAAATTTCATCCATCGATGATAAATTACCTTTGATATTGATGAATGGCTCCTCCTCCAGTGGTTTGCAATCCAATATTGTAATTTGGAGAGGTTTGTCTATTGTGTGCAAAGGTGCAATTAGAAACAAAGACATAATATACACTTCGCATCATGATGGCCGCTCCACCTAATCATCAAGAATGATCAAATGATGATGATGTAGTGGGTCAATTTTGTTCGTAATATTGTTAAATGTTCATGACATTATCAAAAGAAATGTCAACAACAATATTTCACAAACCTACCTATTTCTGATTCATTGTCCAAAAACTGTGTATTCACAAAACCTGCCAGTAATCCAATACCTTCCAAATGTAGAGCTCCAGTTTGATTTGCGTGGGCAAATTTAGAGTTGATCATCGACGCAGAGCATCTTCCCTGTGACACAATATTTAAAGAAGAGTGTGAAAAAATCAATTGGCTCATTAATTTCTGTATTGGCTGATTTTGATAAGTGTCATCGATGGTTGTTAGAAATGATAAATATTGCCCATAACGAGAGGCGTCTAAATTTCGTGTGAAAACTCCTCTGTCAATCATGATTCGATTAAATTCTGTGATGTGAAGCAAAGATTCATACATGTCAATATTGTGAGCAGATAAAGTATTGTTTTCTTCTGGATTGGCGAAGAGGGCGTGAAAGAAATAAATCATGCTTTCTTTTGCATGAATGTCTTCTAATATGGTGATCGTTGACATGTCAACATTTCCAAATACAGTACTTTGAGGATTAAAGTTGATGGCATGCAACATTAATTTGGTATAAATGTTAAACACTAGTGTTGAACCATTGGATGGTTTTTGTGATTCTCTCATGGGTGTGACAATACTTTCACAATGATGCATGTAGATTAATCTAAAATAGTAATTATTAAATAATTGAAAAAATGAATCAATAATTGACACTCACGTCACATTTTTCAAATAAATAGTATCATAAAAACTATTCGAAATTGTGACAGATGGCATACTTGTCAATTTCAATGTCTTGATTGTCATTTGTGAAAATTCCACCGTAAGCTCTGGATCGTCCTTCAATTTCATTCCTCCTCTATGCAACGACAAGTAATGATCAGTCTTTTTAAAACTCACATCATGAGTCAAAATCGTTTCAGTTCTTCCCTTTCCCACAATTTTAAAAGTATTTTTAATGGGCAAAAAGAAAAATCCATTCATATCACTTGGAATTTCAAACACAGCACTCAACACATTCAATTGCACATTGGGAAGTACATTCTGATCCAATGCTCGATTTTGAACAATAATTGAATGAAATGATCGACAGGGTCGATCCTTGAAAGTGCAATCATTATCAATGGCATCCACACCATTCACAGAGTCCAAATAGAGATACAATGTATCATTCCTAATGTTCAGAAATTCTGAATGAGTTGCAAAAGTAGTGATGACCATTTCTTCTCGAGAGGAGATACTTTGAGAATTTACAAAAAAGAAGTGAAGTGTTTCATCACATGAATGGAAGGTATGATGATGTATTTGGGAAAGGAGTAAAAAAAGAAGAAATAGGAAGAAGAAATATTGAAACACCACTTTGGATCTTAAAGTTAGGGTCGTCTTCATCCTCGTCGTGGAAGTATTCTTCTTTTTGGTATTGTTGGTGCTCTCACAGACAAAGAACTGTCGGAAGAGGAGAAACAAGGAAGGAGGAAACAATGATGATGATGCATCATCATTCATTGAAGGCTTCTCGGATATCCTCCACCAACATCGACCACACATTTTTTGGGGAAATTCAAAAAATCGCACCACAAGATGTTGTAAACGTTTACGGCAAGTGGCGCTCCTTTTTTTAAACACTTTGGAGATGATGAAATTCTAATAGTTCAAAGTTCATCTCGCGCGACTTTCAATTTGGAAAATGAAAAAATTGAAAGTGAATTCATATTCCGAATGGAAAGAGAAGAAGAAGAGGAAGAAAAAAATTATCTTCTTTTCTGCTCCTTGCTCGATCTTTTGTGCCAAAACAACAACAGAAGTTCACCGCTGAAGATCAATGACACAAAAATCAAAATCTTTGAAAAGTTCAAATTCCACTCCGACCCATCTCATCTTGTTGTGTGGATTTCCTGGCTCAGGTGAGTGCAATTGATTGTCATCCTCATCATCTGAAATGAATATGAACGATTCATTCCGAATCGGATTTTGAAATTCATTTTGAAATTCATTTTGAAATTGATCTCAACACTGGAATCACACATGACGCGATATGAATGAATATTAATTTTCAAATCATCATGAATATTCTGAAATACATCATCACCACTCACTCATGTAAACTAACATTTAGGAAAATCCACGTTTGCCACCTTGTGTGAAAAACATGGTTTTGTCAGAATCAATCAAGACACATTGGGTGATGCCGCCGAATGCAAAAAATTAATGGAAAAATCATTCAAACACAACAAATCAGTCGTGCTCGATCGATGCAATATTCATCCCAAGGATCGAAAGATGTGGATCACAGAAGCCAAAAAACTTGGTGTGAAACATATTGATTTGGTATGGTTTACAACATCTCCTGAACAATGCAAAACGAATATTCGAGAACGAAAGAATCATCCAACGCTGCCACCAGAAAATGCAGATAAGGTTGTGGATGAATTTTCGAAAGGTTTTAAACCTCCACAAAAGTTTGAAGGACCTTATGAAAATTTGTTTGAAGTGAATAATGAAAAGGAAGGTCAAGAATTGGTGAAAAAACTTGCTCAATATTTGTCCACCTCGTCATCTTCGTCGTCTTCTTCAAGTAAATAGAGTTATTTTCAAATGTTAATTGTCAAGCAGTTTAAATGTTTCACATGTTTAATAAAATTTGAAAATGTAACTCAATCACTTGTCGTAACACTTCTCGTTGATTCATTCACAATGATTCATTAATCTGCTTTTTTCTTCTTATTTGTTTTAGTTGTCACATGTTCTCCTCCTCTGAAAAAACTGCAACAACATTTACAAACACACAAACAACACATGATGCAAATTAACATCAACACCACTCCCAATAAGATTAAAATTGCAAGAATAGCATAACCATAGCCCACCAATAAATACAAAATAAATTCAAGTGTTTGTTCATCAATTCCTAAATGAGCACCTAAATTAGCTCCAAATTCAAAATATTGGTCGTAGGTCCTTCGTTGTTCTTCATCACTGAGTACTTCGTAGGCTTTTGCAATTTTTTGATATTTGGCATTCAGTGATTCTTGTTCTTGTTTTGTTTTGTTTCGATTTCGATCGGGATGATATTTGATGGTGAGTTTCTTGTAGGCAGCTTTGATTTCTTGTTGAGTGGCATTGTGTGAAACTCCGAGAATGGCATAATAATCAAAATTTGTGTCAAAATCAAATTCAGGTGTTTCTTCATCGAGTGAGGATTGTGTGGACAAATTTGTGATGTTCAAAATCACCACCACAACCATCAAGAGAGCAAGTAAAATACCAAATCCACTGTATGAACGCCGATGCAAGAATGACATTTTTTTGATTGATTAAAATCTCTTCCGATATTAGGAAAGGATGATGACACCATTCTATATATATTCAATGACATTTCTTTCGAACAGACTTGAATCGATGGAATTGAAATTTATATTCAAAATAAATATGGTTCATACAAGTGAAACGGAAAGACATTCAAGTGTACATAAAGAACTCTTCCTTCTCTCTGTCATTATTAAATACAGGTATGAATTTGATTTTTCTCACTTCTGTTAAACCCTCATCTTTGGTGACATCCTCAAACTTCTTATTGTAAGTGTTATAAGCAACACCTGGAACGTGAGGGTGAGCACCATTCGATCTATTCTCTCTAAGAACATTCAAATGCTCTGCCAACTCTCTCTCAATATCAAAAACAAAACATCTACAAGGAATGTCATTCTCCTCTGCAATTTCAATGTAGGGCTTTCTTGAGGCGCCGTCTGGATTAGTATTGTCAACAACCACAGATTTACCTTGCGCAATAGCTTCTTTTGTTGCTTTGATGCATTTGGCAGGAGTTGAAAGTGAATCTCTGTTGACATGCACATAACCGGCTGGAAGGAAATAACGTTTCGCAAATGTGGTTTTTCCACTTGCTGGCCAACCTTGGAAAATGACAATTTCTTGTTTGGAACTAATCAAATCTTCTTGTTTGTAAGGTGTAAGTTTAGCATTTTCAAACTTCTTAATGTCGTAACCATCTAGTGACCACGTCGGATATTCAGCTTCTCCCAGGAAATAATTTTCAGGAGTATGAAACTTGATTCCAAGATTCATTGCAAATTTTCTGTCACCACAACTGTGATCCTTCTTAATTTTCTTCTTTTCTGCGTCTTTTCGTTCAGGTCTTCCTGCCGCATCACCAACATAAAAACTGTCAGATTTATCCAATGATAATTCTTTGTGATATTTTGGAAGAATCTTTTCTTCGAGATAGGTCCACATTCCAGTGCATGGTTTTCGTTGTGAGTTTTCACCCATAGCTGCCAAAACCAAGACTGGAATATCCTCTCCAACAGCTTGTCTAATAAAACCTTCCATTCTTTTCTCTAGATCTTTCTTTGTGAGTTTTCCCTTCTTGATTCCATTTTGATTCGTGAAAATCACCAACAGACGATTCTTCTTTTTTACTTCATCGATCAATTTCGTTGAAACATTCTTATGGAATAATTTCCAATCATTAGCATTTGTTGCAAATTGCTTTCCGCTCTTGGTCAAAACCAGAGTTGAGTCAAAATCAAACGATGCAACTCCAACCGTATCTTTGGGGAATTTCATTTCGGAAAACTTGTGATGGATGAAATAATAGAGCTCTTGAGAGGTATCTTCTTTCCATATTCCAAGACTTGCAGTGGTTTTTACTTGTTTGGTTTTTGGATTGTCTTGTCCTTCTTCTTCCTGGTCGCTCTCGGAATATTCCGAATCGTATTCGTTGCGATTTCTCTTTTGATCTTTGGAGGATGGCATTGATGATGAAGGTGTGATTTTTTTTGTTTGGATTTTTGGAAACGGATTGCTTCCATCAAAATCTTGATCCACCAATTTCTTGAAATAATAACAAACTGACTTTATCAAACTTTACAAAAGTTGGTAATCATACAAGAAAGATCGTGTTACGTTGATTGCAACATTTGAATGGACAATTCACTGAGATCCAAGATGCTTCTTTTTATCTTTCGTTAGAAAATATCGCATCAGCATTAAATACCACAAAATGATCCTTGAGTCTGAAAGAAATGTATTTGTGACATCGAAATATTGAATACCTTCCAGATCATTAAAAAAAATTTTGAGTGCTTGCTCTTTTGGAATTATTCGATCTTGCACCAAATCGTTCTTTGTTCCAATTAAGATGATCTCAATATTTTTGAAATAAGTGTTATGATCTCTCATATTTTTCATGATATATCTGAAGTTAGAATCATCTAATGATTGTGAATTTGTTATGTCGAACAATAACACAAGAAATGATGAGTTCTCTTAAAGTCTTTTTTGACGAATTTCCATTCCTCCTTGCCAAAATTGCAACTTGCTTGAAAATAACTCACCAATCTCATGATTATTGCTGTTATTCCTGTTATATGTGTCAGTCAATTTCCCATAAATAGCGAATTTTCTTATTGAAGGAAAAACATCTTTCAAAGATTGTTTGATGGAGTCAAAAGTTGTTACCCCTAATTTTTACTCATGGACAATTGGAGTGGAATTTTCTTTTGGAACAATCCATTCCATCCATCCGCAACAATTTTTGTAATTATCAATGAGTTTGAGAGTTGAGGATTTGATTGTTGTAACTTAATTGAAAGTTTGCTTTGACTTGTGACTTCAGAAGATGCTTTAACATCTCTACATGCTTAGTTTGTACCACAAGTTGAAATCACATATTCGAGCTTGGCACAATTACATTTCAAACAATTTCCTTTTTTTACTAAATCGTTTTGTTTTATAATTATGTGGAATTTTCAATCTTTTCCTTTTTAGCTGATTTTCATAAATAGATTTCAGAAGTTCGAAACGAAACAGAAAAAATTTAGTTGAAGCTCTTCGCCTCCTCTTTCACGCACACACGCACAAACAAACGGCTTGGACGATACAGTACAGATCCCTTCTTTGTATGAGTAAATATAGTCTTCAACCACCATCCTCTTCATCCGCCTACACTTCAGTTCCTCATTATGAGTTCCAACAACAACCATCCATCATGTCTTCCTCATCGATAGACAATCCTCCACATACAATACCTCCTCCATATCCGGAGGGATTTCCACCAACCCAAACCCATCAACAACAAACTGCTGTGATTTATACAAATCATGGAGTCTTTGTACCAGAACAACAACCCTATATTCCGAGCCAATATGAAGTGAATGGAGTTTTAAATCCAGTCTCTCACACAATCATTCAATACACGACAGGAAATAATGTAAATCAAGGACAAAAGGCTCACGATTGGAATGAGAACCCAAATTCATGTTGTATCATCCTGTAATGCCACATCGTTCATGATTCCTTCTTAATTTCTTAATTGAAGATTAAATGAATTCATATTAATTACATGCCAACTTTTCAATTATTGCGCATGGACGTATTAAAAAGTATTCAAACCAACCACACGAGTGAGGTAGAAATTATTATTTGAAATTTCAAACACTTACTGAGTGAATGATTGAATTTCAATTATTGAAATGGAATCTCATTTTGTAATCATCAACAAAAATGAAAAAGGCTTCCACTTCATTTCTCGGAAAATGCCTTTCCTTTGAGAGTCTCTCTGAACCACCAACTCCTTCTTCTTTGTTATACTCGATGAAAAAAAGTAATCAAGGAAAATCATAAACAAGAAATTAATTATTTGAAAAGGCATCCAACAACGGATGGAATTTTTCTCTCGGCAAGCACTCATGGAAAGCAAATTCATTTGTACAACAATAATCATTGTGAGGGTCATTTGGATTTGGTTTCTCATTACTTTCATGGTGATGATGCTATTGGGGATGTTTGCTGGATTTCGGAGAAATACATTGGGTTTCATAATTGTAAAGGAAGAATTTTCATCATTTCGGTCATGCAATCCAGAGTGGAAACGATGATTGAGCTGTTCCCTAATAATAATGACATGCAAGACGACGATGATGATCATCTTGGAATTAATAGAATGTATTCTTCTTTTGAACATTTCACTTCAGAAACAGGAAAAAATTATTTATTTGTAATTTGTAATGGATTTAAAACTGCTCATGTTTGGGAGGTTGAAACAAATTCCTGCATTTGCACTTTAACCACCGATGAAGATGCATTGTTTATTCATGCGTGTCCAGTCATTTCATTTAACAAGTTTTTAATTTTTCAATCTGATGGGTCTGTTCTGCTCTTAACCGTGGAGAGTGAAACCCATTCACTAGACCCTGTTCATATTGATCATAATTGTAAGGACCATCTTTGTGAAGAAGTGTGCAACAACATGAATGATACTATTGTTACTCGACAAATAATGTTCCAAGATGACCATGTATTACTTGCCATCAAAACGCCTCCCTTACTAATGTTATGTTCGCTGTATTTTAGAGAAGAAAATATTCAATTGAATTATTTATCTCATGTAGACATGGATAGCAGCCAGCTCAGTAACTTTGATTTGCTAGGAAACAAGGACGACGACATTCTGATCGTTGTGCCAATGGATAAGGACTTGTCGATCATTCGAGTACAGCGAGAACCAACAAAGACACAACTCCAAATGGCAAACTCTATCAAGCTTATTAGAAAAGGTTCCTCAATAGATAATTGTTTATTGTTCAACGGAGGTGATATCATTGTTGCCTCAAGCAGTACAGACTCTTCAATATTGAGATTTGAAATGAATTAACAATTTCACAAGAAACCAATGACATCTTCAAAAAAAATGTCAACTAGAATCCATCTTTATGACTTGCGTCCATCCAGATCATCGGCACCGTCAACATCATCACACACGAGTGCTACATCAAATCAAGATGATTGGCACAACAGTAATGATATAGAATTTTCACAATCACTTTTAAAGAAATTTCAACACAAGCTCCGAAACAGTGTACCATTAAAACCATTTTCCATGAAATTTGAACATGTTGGAGATATCCAAACAACTCAAGCCATTGATGTGAAAATTTCATATGGTTGTCATTGCATTCTTATTTCTCAATATCATTTTTTAACCGTTTTTGATCTTTCTTCAAAACAATTAATTGCAAAAAGTGGTGAAAGAAGTTGTGAAAATATTCTAGTTGAAAATAATTACAACTTGGAAACAAAAACTGGAAGAGATGCATTAATACTGGCTTCTAACAATGTCACTGCACACCCACTGCAGAAAGTATATTTGAAAAACTTCATTGACACACTCATGAAAAACCCTTCTGATGAGAAGTTTGAAATTGCCAGGATGTGCATTGAGAATAACAATCAGTCAAATTCAAATAATATTATTTATTCTGTTTGTATCAACTGGATTGCAATTTGGAACGTCCAATGGCCAACAAATAGGAGAAATTACTATGGACAATTGCCCTGGAATAACATTTAGAGCAGCGACAGGAATTGCATGGAATTGTAATAACAATCTTTTATTGTTTTCAGACTCTCTTGCCAATAAGGTTTAGATGTTGAGTAAAGAGAATAGCGAGCTAAAGGAGCCAAGATTTCGTTTGCTTCACACCATCCAAGACGATTGAAAACTCCTGATATTGATTTTCAAAATCTACAGGGAGAATCTTTTTGTGTGATGAATATAACAATACGCTGAAAGTGTTTTCCATGAATGGTGTCGACATGTTGGGAAACCACCAAATGAAAACTCCAAGCTATTTGTGTTTGAATGAATTTTCACTGGAGAAATGTTCGTTGTTTGCAGTTATACGCAAGTCAAAATTTTCAAATAAGACCTCTTTTATTGGTCATCACCATGCTCTCCTTTGAGTTCAGTAGTTTCGTCTTCATCTACAGGAGGGACGTCAGTACCGTCCTTGGTTTCCTTTTTCTTTTTTGGTTCAAGAGTACATCCAATAGATTTCAAAAGTACTGGTACATGTTCGAATTTAACATGTCTCGAAAGCGTGTGTTCACCCTTAAATCCAATGGCAAAAATGTCGTCATGGCTGCTCTCCTCACAATCTTTTAATTTCACTAGGACACCACCTGGCTGCATGGATGCTATTTTCTCCGCTTCAAGCGATTGACCATTTTCGTTGATGGATTCCGTTGATATTTGGTACTCAACTAAAAAGTTAATGAAATTATTCAAGTTCAGTTCAACTTTTCTGGTGTCATTAGTGTTATTCCAAATAAGCGATGCTGCTTCCTGAGTGATTCTGTACGGACATTTCAAAAAGTCAGCTTTGCTCTTCTCAAAAACTCTAATACCACAATTAATAATATTAAATTTTTGATTCTCTTTCTCATTTTGCTCAACAAATTGTCTTACAGATGGAGAAATGTACATTACTTTCCTTACTCCATCGGTGCCAGTTGAGTTTTCTGACATTCTTAAACAAAATTGTTCATTTGTGAATGCATTCTTATTAAATCCGTAAAAATCTAAAATGGAGTTGAGTTTCTCTGGATCCATTGATTGGATTGTATCCTTTTGTAAATTTCTTCCCTTGAACTGTTTGATCCTTTCTTTTGGTGTATCTGAGCTAATTTGAACGATTGGTTCGTCTAATTCTCCTATTTTCTTGAAGTGAGCAATGTAGAACCCTCCAGTATTGTTTTGATGTGGTAAAATTCTCATTGTATAATGCATGTTCATGTTTTTTACGTCTTCCTTTGGAAATTCACTTTCTACAATTCTATTATCTAAATTTAATTTTAAGGCATCCTCATAAGTTGGAATGACCACACCCTTCTTTGATGTAACTGTCCATGTTGTCATACCAGGCTTATATTTTAGAGTTGGAAATCTTGAAGAAAGATCTTGCAATACTAGCTTTCCTTTGGTTCTTCGTATTACCTCAGCAACCACAGCCTCGTCTTCAATTGGATTTAAAGCACATGTGCTGTACACAATCTCTCCTCCTACTTTTAACAGCTCAAATGCTCTCAAAACACAATCTACTTGCATCTTATGTAAGCCATGTCCCATGTTAGGCTTCCATTGATTCCATATAGTTGGGTTCTTTCTAATGGTACCGTCTCCGCTGCACATAATGTCACACAAAATTTTATCGAACTGAAGTTTTGGCTCGCTACTGAATTGCGGGAACTTTGTGGCATCATGATTTGTAATAATCAAATGAGGGAATAAAAAGTTCAATCTTTGAAGTTGATGAACCAAAAGATAAGCTCTCTTGACATCATTGTCGTTCGCCATCACAAATCCACTAATATTTTTTGAATCTCCACCACTGCTTTGAAATAATAACTCAACTAACTGAGCGGTTTTTGAGCCAGGGGCAGCACACATATCTAACACCTTATCTGATGGTTTCCAATTTGTGAACATCAATGGTGGAAGCATACTCACAACCTCTTGTCTGCTTAAATTACCCTTTTCAGTTTCTCGCATTAAAAAGTCTCTGAATTGAGCAAGTTCTGGTTGCTTTCTTAATAATTCTTTTGTGATTTTGTCTGACATTTGCCAAATGGATTCATCAGAAATGAATGAAACAGGCTCTAGTGAGGCATATTCAGGCTCGGTTGTCTTTTCAGGTTCTGTACTAGACTTGTACAAAAGTTGAGAGATGGCAGAGTTATCAATTCTTATACTTTTGATACTCTCAGCATAGAGTTTAATCTTTTGTTTCAACTTTTCTTGGTATTGCTTCGGAATGGATTGGTTCACTCGGAATGTATTTGGCAATGGAGAACGGAAGGTATTCAACATTTCATTCAGCTCCTCTTCCGTTTCTACCACCTTTTGATGACTGAAATAGTATTGTTCAAACATTTGGTTTGTTTTTTCAATGTCTCTTTGTGGAGTTTTGACTGGATTCCATTCATTCTTTCTCTCCTTCTTCTTTTTGTTGTTCTTCCTCTTCTTTAGTTGAGGGGCTCCATGTAATTGAATGTCCTCTTCAAGAGTCGGATGTTCCCGATCGTGATGATCATACATCTCTTCACTTTGGTTGTGATGAGGAACGCTTGAAGAAGATATCCCAACATTGTTGCTGTTTGGTTGTTGCATTTTTTCTTGCTCTTCCATCTTTTGGCCAACAAGCCTCCTTCCTCATCTCTTTCCCAACACTCAACAATATTGATGATGATGATGAGTAAAAAAGGAACAGCTTGTGCAACCCGTGCCAGTAGTCTGAATTGTGTTGCAGCCCAAGTGAGCTGCGTTGTTTATCTAACTAAACCTTTGCGGTGTCATCCTAGCCGTTTCAACCGAGTGTTTCCACCCAGGACCCGTTTCTGGTTCCAGGACATTAGCATTGCTGATTTACCAACCCCACTTCTCGTGAGTGGACGACACCTCAGACCTTCCCAGGAGAGAGTTGAGAGAGTGCAGTGGAGGAGTTTACGCTCTCCTCCGCTCGTATGTATTCTCCTCTAAACATCCAAGCACAAGATGCAAGCAATTCCCATTTTTGTTGCAAGAAAATGGTACCGATTCATTGATCGTTTTAAAGTTTATTTTTTCAGGTTGTGGTTTGTAAATATAGGAGGAGAGGTCATTGCACTCAATTTTAAGCCGTTTTTTGTTAAATAAAGAGTCTGAGATCTCTTGGCTCAATATTACCACACATTCTCACCATAGAGATCAAGTGTAATGGGTTGGTCATAAACTTCAAGGAATTCAGAAAGATTTAGACACAGTTCGCAATCGTTGGCAAGGTCTTTGATGTAGCTTTCTCTAGGAATAATTTGAGGAAAATTCTGATTAAGACCGTCGAGAAAAAGTGACATTTGTCGAATGCCCAATCCCATAACCTTTTTTCCCAATGCCAGGAGTTGCTGATGTATTTCTTGAATTTTAATGATCCACATTAAGCCTGCTTTTTCTTCTTCTTTTGTTAAAGGGGCACCATTAGTGAAGTCGTCATCATCGTTTTCAATTGCAACACCTGGAGGAATTTCTCTGCATGTCCATCTTGGAAAACTTAATGGTCCTGAATCATCAGTATATAAGAGAATTTTCACTGACAAAATTTTGTAATCAATCTCTTTTAGAAAATCATCTTCGTTTTTCGCTCGATTAAGCATTCTCAAAAAGTCGAAAATACAATCCTTTGTACCCTCCAAAATATGTACATAATACTCTTGAACTTCAAAGAGTATTCCATAAAAATCATCTTCTTTATGTCCAGTTTTCTGAAATAATTGCATATGAAAATCTAAAGACAATTTCAAATAAATTATTCCTTCTCCAAAGATTTTTGAAACATCAAACACTTACTTTCCGATAAACTCCCTTCTCCAAATTCCTTTTGAGTCTTTTTTGCAACGTATAACAACCGAGAATGTGTTTTTTGATCTTTTAAATTATTATGTCGGGCCATGATGACATCGAGTAAGGATGATCGGGACGATTGGGCCACATCGCTCATTGCTCCACCTGCTTCAGTCATATTCATGGATGTTCCTAACAATGCTGAGCTCGACATTTCAAACTATGAGTTTCCGACAAAGAGATTGTTCAACTACAATTTTTTTTGTTCTTTTGAAGGCGGGAAAAGATGAATGATTCATAGCTCGGGACACACTCTATTGAGAGGATAAACCAAATCATGAATGGAATATTGATATCAATTTAGAAAATCCTAATTATGTTTACATCTTGATGGAGTTGCTGTAAGGATGTGTTTTAAGAGTGTTGTTGGTTGCGATTACAAAAAAAATGTTGAACATTGCTTCATCAAGAAACAAGCATGATGAACACTCAGTGTCTTCCGATGACCTTTTAAAACACAATGATGAAACCATTCAACAAGACTTTTCATCCACAACATCATCATCATCAAAAAAACAATTTAAATGTTTGGATCATAACTTTGAAATTATTCAACGAAACAAACAACAATCCATTCAAGTAATAGAAGACATCAAAGATTGTACAGAGTTTCCAGTGATTGATAGTTGGAAATCCTTCGGATTAGACCGTAGAATTATTAGCGCCGTGTTTAGACAAGGCTTTCATGAGCCTACACGAGTTCAACAAATTGCAATTCCGATTGCGCTATCAGGGAAAGATATTGTTTGTAGTTCATCGACCGGTACTGGTAAAACTGCAGCCTTTCTGATTCCTGCAATACAAATGGTTTTACATGAACGGAAAATGAATCAAATGGCAGAGGATACACAAAGGGTAAAAAACATTGCAGAAAGTTTGATGTTTGAAAACTCTCATCATTCTGGTACAAACGTTTTACACAAACAACATACGACTTCCGTTCAACAAAGAGGTGTGAGAGTTCTCTATCTTGTGCCTTCACAAGAATTATGTATTCAAGTACATCAACAATGGAAGTTGTTGGCACAATTTTGTAAAGATGAATGTAACTGTATTTACTTTAGAAGCGAATTGAATCAATTACAACAGGATATTAAGGATCTATGTGATTTACAACATCCAATTTTAATTACTACACCAGAATCACTTGCATATGCTCTTTCTAACTCTTCAATCTCTCTTAAAGAAACTCTAAAGCTTTTAATTATTGATGAAGCAGATCAAATTATTAGAAAACAAATGGAGCAAATTACCATGATAGTGAGCAAACATTTACCAGGTCTTTTCCAGTGTATCCTCATGAGTGCTACCTTAAAGGCTCAACAGGCTATTTCTCTAAAAGAACAATTGCTGAAAGAACCAGTAGTTATCCAGCTCGACAGAAGAACTCAGAGTTTAGAAGGAAAATTACACCAATATTATGTTGACATGAAACAAATGCAAGCTAAATTACCAAACTTCAAAGTGAACTCAATATTACTGTTATATTATTTTCTGAGTCACAAATTCTATGGAGGACGTGTCATTGTTTACGTACCAGCAAACAAACTTTTCTTTGTTTATTTTGGACTCAGAGCTTTTGGTGTGAATTGTGTCATGCTTCCATATTTTTATCCAACCTTGGCTAAAATTGATATTATTAAGAGATTCAACACGAATGAGTATCAAGTTCTTATCAGCACTATGGAACCTGAGAGTGAGGTTCAAGAGGATGACGACAATGGAAAGGAACTTTACATACCAAGTAGATTCTCAGAAATGATTGCACACTTAGAACGACGTGCTAAAGGTCTTGACAAAACCAAGCACAGCACAACTGTGTCACATCTTTCGAGAGGTATTGACTACAAACGAGTGGCCTCAGTCATATATTTTGATCTTCCCAAATCGTGCACTGAATATATTCATGGAGTGGGTCGTACAGCTAGAGCAGGCAATGTTGGAGTTTCAGTCATGTTTGTTCAACCCTATGCAGATCAATCGGATTGGGAAAAATTGAAAACAGAAATTGAGTCCAAGTATGGTATTGAGGACGGGTTGAAACCTTATCCTTATATTGATTATGACATTGTTTTTGAAAATGAATATAGAGCCACTTTGCTTGTAGAACATTTTTCAAAGCCATTCACAGAAAAGTATAAGGAAGCTGTTGAAATGGAGATTGCCAACCAAATGAGACTTGCCATGGGAAAAGAAGTTATTCATGACATGGAACCTCCTTTCAACGTAGAATTTGAAGAACCAAATCCGGGAATGGTTCGACAAGATCCTTTTCTCTTACAAGCTGGATTGCTAGCAAACATTACTGCAAAGGGAGACACCATTCGAAGCAAATCTGATATTTATACAAAAGGAAAATCACTGAGGATAAAAACATCGGAAGAAAAGACATTGATAAATCGAAAAATTCAACAGGACATTAAGGCCAAAGATCCATTGTTCCATTTCCAAAAGCCATTCGTTGATCAAACTATTGAGAGACTTGAGAATGCTGCCCCAGTTGAAAACTTTATGAACAAGCTTACAAATAACACATTGGGAGTTGACAACATTATCAAACATCAGCGAGATGCATTGATAAATCCTAAAAAGACTGCAGAAATTAAGCGATCGATTGCCAGCTCACATAAACAGAAAGTTGAGTCTCTCAAGAGAGGTATTGCGAGTGCAGACATGTTAAATCCTCACAGAAAGAAGTTTAAGGACGGATTTTATCAAAAAAAGAGTGCAGAGTCTTTTGAGGATAATAATTTTCACGAAGACAACAGTTATACACATTATGACCAAAATGAAGAACAATCGAGGTACAATAGAAATCATCAAGGACGAGGAAATTATCGAAATAACAAAAACAATACTTACGAAAATGAAGCCTCCTATGACAATGATGACAATTATCAAAACAATAGCAGAAACTATTATCGAAGAGGTTACAACAGTTATGACAATAATTACGAAAATAACGAAGAGACCAATCATACTGAAGAAAGCTACTACGACAACAGTTCTCAAAACAATTATCACAACAAAAAGAGCTACCGAAAGTACTAAATTCAATATTGAAATTAAATTATTTAATAGTAATGCTATTGATTCTTGAAACTGCATACACATTTATACATCTGCTTGGCAGGACTTATACTCAATCTTTCAGCAATAGTTAATTGGATAGCGTGGGAGCATTTTGGCATGTTGGTTTTGACGTTCTTGAATTGAGCAACCAACAAGTTTTTCACAAAATTAATATGAGAAGTGTCCATGAAATAATCTTGAAAGTTGACTTCGAGCAGTTTTTCATTGAACACCTTCAAATTTCCATTGCTGGTTTGTTCAACAGTTTCATAAATGACGTTCAAACATTCACAAAATCTTGTGAACCTGTACAGAACCTGTTCAAAGAGCGCTTCAAATTTAGATCCTTGAATCAACTTGCGTATCTTCTCAGTGGTTGATTGGCTAAAAATGCAAACTCTAGAAATCTCAATCATATGTGTCAACACAATCTCTGATACCTGTGAAATTTCAGTTGTCTCTATTCGTTTTTCATTTCGTAGCTGAATATTTTCTAAAAGGTAATTAAGAGATTCATATTGAGGGCATGGAACTGACTCGAATCCAATTCCGTCCCACACTACACACTCTTTCACATAAAACGGGTCACAGGTATTTACGTATGCTTTCACCTCTGAAATGTTATCAAAACTTAATTCTATGATATCGTTCTCGTTTTCTATTTTTGAAAATACAAAGCTCTTTCTAGTGAGTTTTTGAGCTGGTCTGAGGCATTCCCTCAAACTTGACGTATCGTTGTAACTCGACAACAGTGTAACCGTCAGGTCACTAGCGAAAAGATTCGGAAAAACATCAAAAGTATAACTAGTTGGGGGATGTGTTTGAAAGCCTGATAGCGGAAAATTAATAACTTTCTGTCTTAAGAAAGTCCAAAACATCTCTCTGATCGAGTCATTACACCCATTAATGTGTTCTTGAGCGTCAAAGCTTTTTTCAGAACATAACATCCATTTCTGAGAAAATATATCGAAAAATAAATGTACCATCATGCTGTTTGTATATCTTTCAAAAACGACCGATTTCTTCCAATTCGAAATTTTGTACGAGAAGGCATTACTATAAGGTATAATCTTATTTGGAGGTTTGCATAAAATTTCACACTCTGAAAAGATTTCGTTCTCTTTTGAAATAAGTTCAGGTCGCTCTTGTTTGAAAAGTATCATTCCATAAAAGACCTCCTGAACAATTTTTGAATAATTTGGTGACTCCTCAACACCTTTAACAAACACATATTGCACTCCTTTTTCCTTCCAGGTTTGTGACTCTATTGAAAAGTAAAGTCTTAACAGCTCTATAAATGTTGATATATCTCCTTTCAATTTTCTTAATAGAGCTAATGCAAATGATCCATTCATTTTGTATTCTTGTTCGCTAACTAGATCATCTTTCTTTGTAATTTCATTAAATTCATCTTTCAATGAATGATATCTTGGATAATATTCCTTTTCAAAACTTGTCCAAGATTTTTCGTTTGGAAAGCTCGACATTATTTCATAATAGATTGCATTTGCTTCTGTATAATCAACAATTCTCAGATAGGTTGCAATTTGTTTTCCAAATAATAGGTCCCTAAAAGTATGAGCAATGTATTTCTTTTCTTGATAATTTGAAATAATACTGCCATTCTTCTCATCCTTTGTATCCTTGTCAAATGAATTCCATTTCCTTCTTGCCATTTGGAAGTGTTTTCCTGCCTCACCAACAACTGACACAATCAGTTTTCGAAAATAAATTTTAGTATCTGTATGAAGTTCTGGAAAGTCCAATTGCCACACATGTTGTGGAGGTAAATAAATACACATGAGCGCTTGTAACCAATTTTCATCTAGTTTGGCTTTAAATGTTGAATATTTGTAGAGATTTACATTCAGTTCTGCAACCTCATTGTCTGCCATCAAAAAAGACAAAAAAAGACATTGATAGCCCTCAATAAAACCATCTCCAAACAAGGAATCCTCGTTTTTTCTCACATCATACTCGCCTTCTTCAAAAGTTATTCCAGAATAATACCACTGATTGTTGAACACATCATGCCTCGTTGTGCTAGCTGTTTCTAATGATAAAGAGTTGTTTTTTCTCTTATTCCTATAGTGAGTGTCCAACTGGAGATAATCATCATCAGAAATAATTACGAAAAAGTCATAATCAGAATTAGGCTTTGCTGTTCCATAGACCCGAGAACCTGTCTGATAGACATTTGCCTTCATTCCGATGCCCTGATTCCAATCATGAAAATCCAAAGCTTTAAAAAGGATATTGATATCAACCACTACTTGCTGTCGTCCTTCTTGTTTGGTGGTCGTTGGAAGGGCAGATGGAATTGAATGCATTTTTTATATTGCATTAAGAAAGTATGAGTGAACTTGGAATCAATGAATATTTAATTCAGCTCATTCGTGAAAAAGTAGGAGCTATCTAACAATAATTGTGATAATTCCGATCGCTCAGAGCTGATGAATGAGGTTGTTCTCTTTTTGTTGGTAAGAGAGAGCACTTCAAAAAATTTTACGAGCCTTTGTTGACCGGCAATGTCTATCAAGTCTTCGGATGTTCTGATGATCATCATCTATTTGTTGGTTGTTTTCTTCTTTTGATCCTTCTTGTTGTTGGAAGAAGCCTTTCCATTGGTTGTGGTATTGGTGGTAGAATCTTTCAAAAAGTGTAACGGCTTTCCATCTTTCTTCAATTTTGCTAACATTTCACCTTCAATGTATGCAGCGGTAGATGCCGTACATTGCTTTTTAATTTGTTTTTTAATTTCCTCTTGTTTCGTCTTGCTCTTCTTTTTAATTCCGTTTGATGGAGCCCTCTTTGATTTTTGCATTTTGGGATTCTTTGAAGCTGATTTGACACCACCTTGAGCCATTTTTTTGAAGTCGAAATTTGAATCCGAGTTTTACCAAACTTTATCACAAATGTGAGGACAAGTCGTTACGTCTGATGAATCAGATCCTTATACAAACACCTTAAAAGATTTGTTGTCAAAGTGTCACATGAAACAATGAATCTCGAGATCCAACAATGTTCACATCCCTCTCGTTATCAAAACACTAAAAAAAAATCTCTAAAAATGCCTTCCAATTTTTTCGAATACGAAAAGCAGAACAATCGGCTCATTCGGACACTTCGGGAGAACAAACAGTTTGCATCAATTGTCAAAACAATTATTGATAATGATGCTGTGTTGCTGTTTCCTCACGATCAGAGTGTAGCTATGTGTTTATCAAATATTAAAAATCATTCGCTGTTTAGTAAACCATCATCGACATCAAACAGTGCAATCACTCCGAATATTGATTTCATGCAGAGTCATATTGCTTTTGTCAATCAACACAATCCACATCAATTTATTACGATGAATGGAATAAGAGGAATATTTACGGAAGATTTCGGAGCAATACAAATTCTTCAAGGACCCCCAACTGGAGAGGAATGTATCAGTTTTTTCCAAGAGCCAAAATCTTTATTTACGTACAAAAATAGGTAAGTAGTGATCGTACTCTCTCGAGTATTCAGACATGACATTTATGATAGCGAAACTGGAAAATGTGTCTTTGATCCACCCTATGATGTTAAGGCAAAAATTCAAATATTACGAAAGGGAGAAGTTAATTTAGAAGAAACCATCATGAGTCTACCGTCACAACCCACAAGTAACTCTTCAAATTATTGGATTGTAGGATCGCCTGAATCTCAAAAAGACAAGACTCTTCATTTGGAAGAAAAAACAATGAATTTAGAATCCATACAAGTCAAACTTTATTTAATATCCAATCCTATCACATATGCTGGGTGTTCATGGACAGATGACGAAAAACTAAGTTCACACAATGAGAAAAAATTTACTAGATCCTATTCTATGGTCTTTGATGACTCTGATCATGATTTTGTTACTGTAGACAAGAATAACTCTCCTCTCGGATCGTCTCACACAAAATCTATTGATATTCCTTCAAAAAGGTCTGGATCTGGGCTATCCAACTCTGTACCAACATATCCATCATCAATGGAAGATCATTTCATTACAGATAATGTGGAATTACCTGCAGATGAATCTGAATCATTATTTATCAAAACAGCAAATATGAAAAACAAAAATCATGCCAATGATACTCTTACCTCTCCAAGAAATGTAAATACCAACAACAAAATTAATCAACTCATTGATTCTCATAATGGAAATTCGAATGACCTTTTTCAAAAGAAATCAGAACCAACAGAAACAACCTCTGCTTTTAATGCTGAGAAAAAAGATTACAAATTTGATTTTAAGGCTTTTCTTCAAAAGCTTAAAGACAAATCCGTTGTACAGTTGACTCGAAAAATCAAGTCATTTACTTTTGAAATTTCCAATAAGGAGTACAATCCTAATACTCCTAAAATTGTTCAAACATTTTTGTCAGATATTATGCGAGAAATATCACAACATGAGCAATGGAAAAATGCTACAGAACAAGATTTGATGAATGCCAGAGAGGGTATTGAGAAATACGTCATGACTAAAATATTTTCCAAGTATGTATTATGATCCTTTATGATTTCTAATATTGACATGGAATATTAGAGTTTTTTCTCCCACATTGGAAGATATTGAGATTGATAACCAAGTAGCCTCAAGAATTTCAATGTTTAAGAGAGTGATAACCCCGAAAAACCTTGACATTTCACCCAAACTGGTGGAAGATGGTCTTTTTGTAAAAGCTGTTGAAGGTTTGTACAAATTAATGAAGAATTCTTCAAGACTGACAAGTTTTGATGGTATAAATACGGTTATCCATAGAACTCAAAAAGATTACATTTTACAAAACTCCAAGAGACAAGCTAATCTGTATTTCTAATTGTTGCCATCTCACAATGAATCTTTTGAAAAAAGTAATGCATGAAATGGATGCTCCAGGTGCAGATGATTTTGTACCTGTACTAATTTATATTGTCCTAAAATCAAATGTACCCCATCTTCACTCCAATATCAAGTAAGTACAACACACCAATGATTCTGATGAAATGAAACATATTGTTCTCAGATATATTCAAGAGTATAGGAACCCTCAAGGGTTGGAGGGACATACAGGATACTTTTTAACTTCGCTTGAACTGGCAATGACATTTTGGCTTTCATGTGATCACAACCAGCTCAATATGGACGAATTCACTTTCCAACAGGTCATCAATTTTGAAGATGTGTTTGGAAAAGCAATTTCTACAACCGATGAATCTGAGAAAAGAGACAGTAATGTTAAAACAGAGCAAAATCAAGTCATTCCACAATCCTCGATGGACAATGTGGAGCATGCTGAGGAGGAGCAAGTGATAGAGTATAATTCCAAACGAGAGGACACAATTGTTCCTGTTTCATCGAGCATTGAACAACAAGATACGACAGCTGAATCGTCATCGTTCATCCATGAACCAACAAGTTGTATGGCACTCATGACAGAAGAGCCAAAGCAGGAAATTGTTAATAGAAGTGATCTTCCAACTGAGGATCAAGCCAAGATTGTTGAAAGCTGTACATATTCAGCTGAAGACAAGTGGGAACGCCTCACATTGTTTGTCAATGACTCAAACCTGACTAAGGTAAGTTTTTGATGAATCATTTTCATTTTACTAATTGTGAAAAAGCTCAACTTTGAACATGTTCAAGTTCAAGATCTTTGCATTCGAGATTTAGAACACTTAATGAGTGAATATAAGAAGCTAGCTAGTATTTACAACTTTATCAAAAATCAAATGAATAATAGCAATGAATAATTTATTATCCCTATCAAATCAAACATGCCTATTGTTCGTCAAATTCAACTGTAGAAGTATTTTTCTTTCTTGGTTTTGATTCTTCGAAAAAGGAGTCTACATAAAACTTGTCTCCATTAATATTCTCAGGGCGAAGATAATCTGGAGCTTGCTCATCTGACTTTACAAACCTTTCATTGAACAACTGGGTTCTTCTTTCTCTGTCAGCAGGTAAGAAATTGGTAGTATAATAATTGAAAACTAGTGAAATTCCAGCAAATAAAGTTCCGAAACCAATGCCCATGGAAGGACTAGCTTTGAAAGCTCCAATCACAGAACCAGCAGCAAATGCAGAAAGTGTTTTTTGTGAGAGAGTTTGTTCCTTCTCGAATCTGTTATATCCTCCAGAGTTATAAACATCCAATAAGGAACTAACAGCTGAGTGAGTAACACCAATCGCTGTTACGAGTAAGAATGGGCCTCGGATGGTTCTACCGTGAAGAGCAAGAGCTTGCGTATATGGCATGCGTGCTACTTTTTTATAGTCATAGAACCAAGCAACAATAGTTCCTGCTCCAAATCCCCAAAATGCTGTTTAAAGTCATCATCATCGTGAATTGATTTCATCCACCATCATAGTATAAATTAAATCCGCCGTCAAATAAACAATAGAACAATAAACAATCAATAAACATCAAATGGTTCCATCCAATGAAAATATTAATATTATTATCATTAAATTTGTTCCGTGATGGCATCGTGTAAAGAATATTTAACCAACAAATAGTATCATCAGATTAATTTGGCCAATCTTGAAATTCGCAATCATTATTTTCTTTTAAATCCAACCTACCTGAATACAAGGAATTGGTAACGAATTTTTCACTTGGAGTAGATGGACGTTTAAATTGATATCCGAATTTACGAGTATAGGGTGCTACTGGAGGTGGAGGAACCTTCACCCCTTCTGGCAAAGAAGCCAAAACCTCGGTCAGAGTTTTCGATTCACTCATTTTTGTTCTTATTCTTGTTTCGAGATGAGAAGCACTCAGACAATTCAAAAAGAGAATCGTATCAAGTGAAACTCGATGAAAGGAATCAAAAACCAAATCACACTGGAAAGCAATTCTCTTTTGAAAGGACAACTCCAAATAAGATACATTCAATTCAATGGCCATTCATCTCATATTGAATCCATCATGCTTTGAGACGAACGGATCTTCGCCCGCACGTTAAAAAATAACAGTTGTTTCTTCATCACCCTCTCTCTTCTTCCGAACGTGATGGCAACTGTATCATCATCACCAACAAGAGAGGAAGAGTCTATGAGGCCTTCTTCCAACAGTATTATAGAGGAGAAGGAAAACGGAACAAGCGAAGGTTTGATCTCAGACAATTTTGATAACGAAGCTGAACCTTGTTCGAAGTTATTAATTGGCAACAAGAGGAACAACAACATTGCAGAACAGCATACGAGCAAATTATCAACCATGATTAAAGGGGAAGGAACATTTGGAGAACAACCTCCCGAAGATGACTATGTTGTTATCGAGAAGAGGTCTGTACAAGAAATAGGTGAAAGCACTTCCTCATCCTCTTCTTGTCCTTTGGATACCGAAACATGTATTTCCCTTTCATCTTCTTTCTCATCTCCTCCTTCAAGTTTTCAAAGAATACCAGCTTCTCTTTCAACTCCGAGCAGTGTACCTAATAGCTCAATCCCTTCCTCCGATAGGTCGTCGGTGAGGGATGATTTAATTGTATCTTCTCTCAGCTCTGCATTTTCTCCAACAGGCGTGAGTGGTATTAACTCAGATTTTGTTGCGAACTCTCCATCACACAACACTCGAACCGAACCAAAAGTGGCACATGACGCTGATGAACCTCCAATAACTGAAGAACCTGTAGTTATCAAGAACAATTCATCAGTTGTTCCTGTATTTTTAAATCAAGACAACTTTGAAGCTCTCGAAGAAAACATTAGAAAGCTAAAAGAAAATGTAAAAGAGTATGATGACTTTACGATATCTACAACCAATACAGGCTCTGACACTATCATCAAAGTAAGTATCACATGGCAAATTGGATCTTGTTAAATATATATTTTAGGCAAACTATTTTATACCGCCTGCTAAAAAGAAGGAAGAGAACACCACCAAAACGGATGATTTGAAAACAATATTGCCAAATGTGGGTGCTGTTCCTTCCTGGGTCGCAGAACTAAGAAGTGCATGGGATGATGAAATTACAACAATGGATCAATCGAAAAGAGAATACTTTTTAAAATTTGCAGATAATGATACAGATGATGATGTTGAAGAGAACGACGAAAATGGTGTAAGCTCGAAAAGAAACACCAAAATTAGAAAACACATGAAGCAGTTTATCCAAGAAAAAGAAGATTCAAGCTCAAAAAAGTATTTCTTGGGAAATGAATCAAATTCTCCTATTAACAAGGAAAACAAACCAAAATCTTCACCACCAGTTTCTATCAAAAACAAAGCAGCTATTAGCAAGCCATCTGAAGGCTTTGCTATCTCTGAAAGTTTTGTTTCTAACTCAAGATTAATAGACTCACTTGCCACAAATGAATTTGATATAAGCTTGAGCTCTTTTAGAGAGGAGCCTAATGAAGTCCAGTCCACAACATCGTTCATATTCAGAAAAGACAGCATGCACAGTCCTCTAACGGACATGTCTACAAAGCCCTTGTTTGCAGAAGACAGATTTAAACCAAAATCTCCTACTACTCCAACTGAACCCTTGTCACCAACAAAGCAGAGAAGACAAACATTTCTTACTAACAACTCTGAAATGAAGCACTTCCAGCCCAAGAGAGACAACCTTCTCAAGAAGTTATTCACATCAAATCCTAAGAAACGTACCGAAGATGATTGGAAGGACGAACTGGTTAAGTATGAACAAAGACTTTGTAACTATCTTAAAGAGAGCAAACAAGTTATCAAAGATTTGAGGAAACGACAGGATGTGGAATATGAAAAGATTCAACAAGAATATTCATTTATTCAAAGATGCCACGATTCTAAACTACTTCAAATATATAAGGACTTGGCCAGATGCAAACTAATTCGGCTAAAGCAAAGAAGAGAGCTTGAAAAGGGATGCAAAAAGGTTCTGAAGGAGAAGATTGATACCATCCGAGACATTTTGTTGCAACAGACTCAACATTTAAAACAACATCAAGTCGAACAAGGTGGAGATATTACGATCAAGTGTTACAACTTGTTACCTCATTTCGTAAAACAAGAAGCTTTCTACAAAGAGGTTGACGAACTTTTAAGCGAAAACGAAGTACTTTGTGCACAATGGAATGAGATCTCTCTATTAGAACAGCTTTCTAAGGATTTATCAGAAAAGTTTTTACAAATGAAGAAGGACAGTGGAATTACAAAGAAAGTTATACAAAAGAAAGATGTGACAATCAAGCTTAAATCAATTTTGAAACGATACATTGAAGAGCCAGCACTTCCATTATGCAACTTTCATTTACTATCGGATACTAACAACTTCAAAGATCCGAATTTGGATGATCAGATTTGGCAATCATGTATTCATTGTATAGAAAATGACCAAAGATTGGAGATTGAACAGGAATTCTTTGATTTGATTGCAGACCAAAGAACAGAAGAAGGTCAATCACTTCGAACATTTGTTAAGGAAATTAACAATGTTGGTTTAGAAAAGATATCTCCATCTGAAATTGTGGACTATGTATCAAGCTTTGTAGATTACTTGAGCACTAGACATTCTATTACGCTAGACATTGAAAAACAAGTTCTTGTGAGATTACTATCTAGACTCATTTACAATGAATTTGGTTTAGGCGTAAAGCTTCAAAAAATTGAAGTTGAAGCTCACTCTGCAGAAAATCTCAAATTTCAAAAACAAGCCAATCTATTGAAGCAGCTGACGCCAAATCAGCTCGGAGTCGCCAACAAATTTTTGCCATTAAGGGTAAAGTTTACAGGAAAACAGAATTCCATTAAGGAGATGATTCACAAAATTAGTCAAACACCGTTTTATGACCCAGTCACCACTCTTAGCTATCTGAATTATTACGTGTCTCCAATGGATATGTTACACTGTGTCTATTCTTGCGCAAGACAAATACACATTATCGCGAAAGATAATTGTACACAAAGAGGAAAAGAGTTCTCATTTGGAGCAGACGAGTTTTTCCCAATTTTGGTTTACGTGGTGGTCCATTCCCACCTTCCTAACATTCATTCTGCCTTGTCCTATTTATCAAAGTTTGCTTCTCAATCCAGAAACAGTGAAGTTGTATATTACTTGACTTGTCTAGAGGGAGCAGTCATGTACGTTCAAGAAATCACTCCGGAAGATATCCAAGAATTAACCAAGGATGAAGAAATGCTTGACAAGGAGCACCCATCTTCTCCTAGACAAAAGAATCTTCATGACTCGCCGCAAGTAACTGATTCCATGGAAAGTGAGGACATTTCGTAACGCCTTTTCACTGTGCAATAAAGGAGGATTGGACTTTCAAAAGAAACAACCATTTTTCTTCAGAAATTCCTTCTCTTCATTTCCACATATATTAATGTTATATTTCGACAAGACATTGATTATTAGAATAAAAGACGAATCATTAAAAAGCTTACCATCAAAATCATCGACACCAACAAGTTGGTAAGGTCCAAACCTGTGTAGTATTCAAAAGAAAATTTTTTGCCGACACCAGGGATCGAACCAGGGACCTTAAGATCTTCAGTCTTACGCTCTCCCAACTGAGCTATGTCGGCTTCTTACCAATTCGAATCTTTACAAAATAAGAGACACTGTCCTGTAAAAGATGTTAAAAACATCAAAAAGAAAAATATCACGTAAATTCCTCCGCCAATAACTAGAAAACTGAATGCAATTAGATAACGAGACCAGCTTCAGACAGATTTGAGCAAACTCAGGAACGAAACTGCAAAATTTTCATTCAGTCAAAGAAAAAACAAATAAATTGCTTGGTGTGGATCCTATTCGTGGTGGATTTATGCTATATTTCTAATTTCATAAAGAAAAGAAAAAATTATTGAAGATAAAGATTTGGGAGTAAGTTTCAAATCAGCCAACATTCCAGAGCAGGCAAAAATAAGAATTGAACACAATAGCTCATTACAGAATGGTGAGCTCTGTGGATGGATGGAGATCCTTTGAGGTGACTCTTTCTGTGGCTGAGAAACCATCTAGCAATTTTGTCCATCGATCCGTCTGAGAGTAATAATCATCGTAAGGATCGATGGATGTGATTTGATGTTTTGGTCTGTAGGACACATCTCCTTCAATCACATAGATATTAGAATCAGTGACAAGGTATGGATATACGACATCACTATTTCCAACAGGGGAACATAATTTCTCAATCTTTTCATCCTTCAAGATGAATTTTGTCACACAAATTCCAACATGCCAACATTCATTGTTTGATTTGAATCTGATAAGAATGGAGGCACCATGATAAGATTCATCCGGATGCTGCTCATAGCCCTGCAAAAAAGCATTATTATCTTCACCAACAAAGACCTCAAACGGAGTTTCCGATTGTTTAATTTCCTTGATGAGAGCAAACCATGAGGGGCATGAATCACCAGCACACCAATGATAGAGTCCTTTTCTGACAATGATAACTCCACTGTTATTCATTTCCATTTCCTGTCGAATCAAACAACTTGAAGAGACTTGGTTTGTTGTTGGTTTGGAATAGGCATTCTCATAGATATTGACTTGATCATTTCGGATTTCAACGAGAAAAGGTCGTCCACCATTGTCGTGAGTAGAATAAAAGGCTGAGGAATTTGAAACGTTTACTTCGGGGATGGGAGTTTCACTGTAGCGGGTTGGTGATGGAGTGTTGTTGTTGTTGTTGGGTAGAATCATGGGTGTTGAGTGCAACATGTTGTGTGGATTTTTTTACAATGCTTGAAAGAACTGGAACAAGATCTACGGCACTGTTAGTGAGTACAAATTAATGGGAACAAATTATTATTATTATGAATCATTATCACAAATTCAAATTCACATTTACATAATTTGTAAACAAATTCATGAATTTACTGATTGTCACTTCATGTGTATGAACAGGGAGGTTCTCATTCCAAGGTCGAGAATTGGCTGAAAGAATTTTCGTTCGGGATGTCCAATAAACTTGAGGCATCCATTGGTCTGACTTGAATGCAAGTTGAGTTGAACAAAATTTGATCAAAATGAAACATTGAATTATTCTTCTTCCTTATTTTCTTGCTTTTTAGAGGAGGTTGTTGTTGTCATCTTCTTTGTTGGATGTCTCATAATATTCATCTTTTCTCTCTCTTCTCTCACTCTTTGAAGTTCCTGAACAAACTTCTTATTGACCTCCTCAATCATTTCGCTATCAACTCCTTCTTTATCTTTGAAAATTACCTTATTGTTGATGTCTCGATTGTACATTCTTAGAAATATATATTTCAATTTAAAGTACCATCCAATACCAAACAGAACTAGAACAATGATAAACAAACGTCGAATTTTACGATTCCGAATTTTCTTTAACTGAATACCTAGAGCTTGCTTTTCTTCCTCCGATAATTCATAGGTAATTGGATCAGGAGGAGGACGAGCCATGCCATCTATATCTGAATGATTGGCTGCCTTCTCTTTTTCTAATTCATAAATTTCCAAATTATATTCACTTCTTCTTCGGGGATTGTTCAATACACTGTAGGCTTCTGTAATTTCTTTAAACGTAGCCTCTTTGAAGGCTTTCTTTGGGTCGGAACTCTCCAATAAATCAGGATGATAAATTTTGGCTAATTGGACATAGGCTTTTTTGATATCGGCTTGTGTTGCATTTCGTGCTACTTTGAGAATGGAATAATAGTCTTTGAATTTACGTGCAGACATTTTGTTCCAGGTGCTGGACCGGTCGCCGTATTATTGGTGGGTGAAAGGCTGCGTAATCGAAGAGTGCGATAGATAGGGACACTTGTTTTTTATTTCCAAAAGAACTCTGCAGCGTGTATCAATGTCGTTGCTGCCACCCACAACAACAAGCACCACATGTCTCACTGTTTTCTAGCACTCATGGAAGGGGTAGCTCGTTTAGCATCCACAAGAGTTGAAAATGAAACAAGAGAGCGCCTCGAAGTGTTGTTGCCTTTGGCAGGTTGTCCTTGAGAGGGTGCAGGATGTGGTGATAAATTCGATTGAGATTCAGCCGTCACGGAAAGATTGGAGGAGGAATCTGAAGTTGGTATTCCCAAAAGCTGTAACAAATTGTTCGTCTTCTTTTCTGGTTTCTTTTTTTCCACTTTTTCTTGAGGTGGATCGATTTTATCCTTAATTCCAAATAATTCTTTTCTAGTCTTTTCAAAAACATCTTCTTCAATTTCAACAGATTCAACATTGTCGGTTGGTTGTGATGCCACAAGTTTTCTATTGTTGTTGTTTTTGAGACAATTTGAGTTGAAGATAGTTATTCAGAGTTTTCATTGTCAAACTTACGCCGCAGACTTTTTAAATGACATGGATGACAGCATGATTAATTTGCTTGAAGCTTTCAGTTTGCTCTTTAACTTTTGTTTTCGTTCTTGTTTAATGTGTGCTTCCAGTTCTTCTCTCCTTCTTCGTTCCTCTTCTTCTCTCTTTCTTCTTTTTTCTTCAATGAGCTCAGGAATTGTATTTCGCGGAGAATGTATCAACTCATGCATCTGTTCATAATACTTGGAGTCTTTATCAAAATCTTTTATATCCTCAATATCTCGAATTTCAAAATCATCTAATATTGAACCATGTGTTTTCATCAATGTGACGAATCACTTGTACTTACATCCTGTTTCAGGATACCTTAAATGTAACGGCATTAGATATTCATCCGCAAGATCTTCTGATTTTAATCCTTCTTCATACATAAACTTTGAAGTTAGACCTCTCTCTTTTGGCAAAACAATTATTCAATGATTCCCATGCTGATTTTCATGATGAACTTACTTCTTGGTTTACTGAAAGGGATCTCTGTTCCTCGTTCAGATTCTACTCTCATACTTTTTAAAAGATTAATTGCATTCTTCTTTTCCTCCTGTAATGGAGAACATATTTGAAAGAATGGCCATCGTCATGCCAAATAATTATATTTAAATATTCCGATCGGGATATTCGGAATGTTGTTGTCAAAACATACCATCATCAGCTTCTTTTTGAGCCGATCAAGCTTTCGGGAATGTACATGTATTTCATGTTCTGTGGTTTCAATATTTCGACAAATTGCTTTAAATCGGGAGTTCCGTTCCGTTTGAGCAGTATGAGATGCAGTGGTTTGCATTTGCATTAAAGGATTTATAACTTGTCAATAATAAAAATCAATTAAAAGATGATCGTCAATAATCTAAATTGAATTCAAGTTTTAACGTTTTGGTTTGGCGCCAATTTTTACTGCTCGACTATTGTCTCTCAAATTCGAATATTCGTTTTGATGGTAACGACAGAATAGATTAAGAAATGACATCATCATCATCATCATTTCATCTCTAGTTCAACCTGTGATCCCACATGGTCCTTCTTTTGTGTGGATTCTTTGGATTTGGGTGAAAATCTCAACTCTTGTGTCACAAATTGAATGGGATGACTCAAAATAGGTAAACGGTAAGGCCAAAAAATTAAGGAAATACAAATCATGAAAGTCACATATGGAACTCCCTTCGCTAAAGGATACACCACAAAATTAGGTAATTCCAAATAATTAGTCACAATTCCAACTACTTCCATCACTGCTCCTAAACTCATAATGAACACTCCAATTGTTAATTTCATCATACTTTGTTTTTGTAATCGATAGACTTCACTATCACTTGGAGTGTATTTGGAAGAGGATCTTAACATGAACACAATGGAAACTGCTGCAATAATTCCAAACAAAAAAACAATGGCAGTTCCAATGCCTACAAAGGGAACACCGACTGCGAATGTTAAAGTTCTTCGCAAGTTTCATTTTCTGCTGAGGAGGAACTGAGAGCAATGATGGACAAGACAATGACAGGAATCAAACCACATAATGCACTTAAATTTGAAATTGCAAGAAGAGTATAAATCACTCCAGTGACAATTTTCTTTCTTCGAATTTGGGAATCTCCGAACAACTGATCCGCAGTGGTGGTGAGAATGAGGAATGGAGATCATGATCCATTCTTGTTGGAATTAAAAGGATGAAAAGATTGAAATTGTGATGAGTGAGTTGATGAGAGTGGTGAAGACAGCAAAGAGATGCAGAGAGAGAATTGATTCTTTTTGTGTGTTTGAGAGAGAGGCGAAGCATGATGGCACCTTGCAAAGAAAATCTTAAAGGGTTGCGAATGACAAATTTGGAAAGTCAACATGGGAATCTGTTTCAGAGAGATGCATCTCTCTCATACACGACACGACGTCGAATAATAACAAAAATTACAACAAAATCTTCCAGTTTTAAAGAGAACAAGAGATCAAGCTTTTCCCTACGAAAACAAAAAAATGATCTCTCATCATTCTGACTTTGTCCCTTCATCATCATCGGATGCATCATCAAACAACAACGCTTGTTCCGATCCTAATTCTTCCATTTCGTGTTGTACCTTCAATGTTCATTCATTCAAAACTGACGACAAGAAAGATAATCGAGAGATGGTTACAAAGTATTTCATTGATAATTCCTATGATATTATTGGACTGAATGAAGCCTATGAAAAACGGAATGCCAAGACTCCTCTTACTGATATTTGTAATACTTTAACCGAGCGATTTCAAAAACCATACAAATATTATTATGTAAATACGAGTAACTTGGGCAATGCGATCATTACATGGCTGCCAGTCAAAAAAGTTAAAAAAAAGTATTTAAAAAGAGGACCAGGAGGACCTCGCACTGTCATTGGAGTTCAATTTGAATCAAGTTGTTGTATTGAATTTGCATTTGTCACACATTTGGATTACATTCAGGAAACTATGCGGATTCAGCAATTAGCCGAAGTAATGAATTTTATGGCTGAGTTTATGGCATTCGATTTATCGAGTCAACAGCAAGCTCCAAAATATGTTTTAATGGGAGATTTCAATGCAATGCATCGTTCAGATTATACATCTAACTTCTGGAACTTTCTTCAAGAGATGAGAGACAAGAGAAAATGGGAGCCTGTGAGCAGTGATCTAATGAACTGTTTATTTGCCACAAAAACACATCAAATTCCCAAACATCACAATATTTTGTCCAAATTAGCGCAACAATTACAGATCGTAGATCCATGGAAGCTAAAAAACAAGGATCAACTTTTCGATGGAACACCAAATACATCTTCCTCTCGATTTCATACTAGGATTGACTATATTCTTTGCAGTCAAGTGACACAAAGATCAGTCGTTGAGAGTTATATTGACTTGAGAGAGAACACTTTACTCATTTCAGATCACAATCCTGTGGTCGTCAGACTTGCTAACAATGCAGAATTGGACAATATTTAAGAGTTTATTCGATTGTCGAATTTGTGGCATTTGCCAACAAAGAGTGGCAATGAGGACGGGTTTCTGACCATTGTGAAGATAGCTCTTTACATTGCCGGTACACATCACTGTCTATGGGAATGAAATTAGAGATGATAATGGATCTAGGGTCTTATTGTGTTGTTCAGCAACAATACTTTCTGTGTCTCTACCTGAACATTTCGAACTTAGACAGGTTGAGTAATTGGAGTGTAAGACCCTACTGCTCAACCTTATGATTTCATATAATTGAAAGGTGTCCTTTTATTAAGGTGATTTACAGATTCCTTCTTTAGAGATTGTGCAGTGTAACATTTACATAAAACTTAACTGGTGTCCAAGTTAGCAAACTGAAATGCAACAGGAGTGCTCAGCCCGTTGATCATCCAAAGTACTGTAGACTTTGAATAATAAAATTAGTTGTCTTCCCTGATCTAAGGTGGGTCTTAATTTCAAAGCATTCTCTATCATTTCGTGGCTCTGAATAAAAAAACCAACGGATCTACCTGCATTAAGAGAGCAATGCTGCAAAAATCACTAGGTAACGTTAAAGAAAGGTTCAACAATGAACTTTCTGAGAATGTCAAATCTGTTCTATCATTCTCAAACTCATCAGTCCACGAACAACCAGCAACCAAGAGATTACTGAACCTCAAAGTGGCAGAAGAGGTTGTTGAAGATGTAGAGAGGTGGAAATTTTGACCAGTATTCTCTCAAAGCATCATTTATGAAAGTTCGAAAAGCAAAGAATACTATTCTAACAAGCATCTGGTTAACTGTCAATTTGTACAAGTTGTTTACATTATGGGATGTAAACTTCAACAGTGTACAACTAGCTTTGCGGAAAGATTATGATGCAATACTTAGTTTTATTATTCATCTAAGTGTGTATATTTAAAACCTTTAGGTTTGGAAGAACCGTAATTAACTTCTTCAGCAAAAGTAATTTCCTCGTTCTTTGGAACAATTTTAGTGTTCTTGGCAAGCTTGGACAATACAGGGCTCAACCATTCCATGTCCTTTGGAAGGAAAAATGATTCGTCCTCCACGAAAACTTCAGAAATGGAATCAATATAATCTTTTTTAAGGATTTTAAGGTATGTGGTATTTTCTGCTCTGGCATCAAAATCAGGAACAAAGCTCTCTCTTGTTAATGCGCGTTCACCAAGGAGAGTCCAAGGTCTTATTTCAGTCACAAATTTATCATCACCAAACATGACCTCCATCTTTCCATGCAGCGTTAAAATTCCAAAATCACAGCTCTTTCCTTTTTCGAATAAGAACGTCATATCATCACCATGTTGTTTAAGTTCGACTACCTCACATTTGTGAAGTAATCTCTTCAAATACTCTTCAGGAAGTAATCTAAATGTGGTAGAGCTTCTGCTCAAATAAGAGCTAATTGTGGCAACTTGAGTTGACGTTAATTTGGAAGGAATTTCCAGTTTAAAGATGTGGTGTGGTCTATTAACATTCTCTTTGCTGTAATCAATGTCATTTTCATCAGCAATCTCGTCCTTTATGATTTCTTCAATCACATCTTCCAGAGTCACAATACCAAGAATTGTGTATGGTTGTTCAGAACTATTCTCTCCAGTATTTTCTTCATGAACGATTGCAATGTGAGTTCGACCAGTTTTGAAAATTTTCAGAATTTCATCACAATAGGTATCAGGAAAGACTTTCAGGACTTCTCTACCATAAAAGGTTAGAACTTGTGAAATAGGCAAAGCTTCCTCAGGATTTATCAAAATTAAATCCTTAACGTATAACATTCCTACAATGTTGTTGGTGTTTCCTTTGAATATTGGAATACGAGAGTGACCCTCTTGCCAAATTTTTGTCATGGTGTCAACATCAAGTTTGCTATCAATATCTAACATGTATGTTTTTTCAATAGGTGTCATGGTTTGTCTCACTGAAGTTTTGGAAAAATCTAAAGCACCACCAAGAATTTTGGCTTCATGTTCTGTTAAGTGATATCTTTGATCAGATGTTTGAGAGTGAATATTTACAAGTTCTTTCAATTCTGTTCTTTGATATAATGTACCATGACCAGACCCCAACATCCAGTCTAACACTTTGCTTATTGGCCATGCAATAACAAAAACAATTACAATCAAAAGCCAAACAAGCCAAAACAAAGTACCACCGATTGAAAGTCCATATCTTGAAATTACTGCTTGAGGAATAACCTCACCAAAAAATAGAACAAAAGTGACTCCGAGAATGATGGCTACATATTCAGGAACAATCTTGTGTAAAAACAGGGGCAAGCATTCAAAACACAAAGCATTCCACAACAAAAGAGTAACCAACAGCAAGTGGTGATGTTTTAAAATAGGAGCCAATCTTGAAGCATATTTCTTCTCTGATTCTGTGCCTGTGTTTCTCAAAATATCGAGTTGCATGGGATCTATGGAGAGGAGGCCAAGAGTAAAGCCAGACATCAAACCAGCTCCTCCAACAAAGAACAAGCTTGCACAAGCATAAATTATGTATTCATACCAAGTTAATGGACCTCCCTCTTCTGACTCGGTATGTTTAGTTCCGTTATTGGTAGCATTTAAATATTTATCGCAGAGGGTAGCTAAATCTGAATTATTTGATTTGGTAGAATAGGTATTCATCAATGAGGGAGTTGTCATCATCATCTCGGCACGGAAAGTACTGTCTTGTTTGCCAGCCGCTTTGACAAATAAATTAGTATCAGAATAAAAATAGCAACCACTCGTTAGCAGTAGAATCATCATCAGAACAGATATCATTGAAAATAATTTCTTCTTCATGTTTCCGTTCAGTGATGAAGGCTGTGTCGGCGATGGTGCATGATCCAAAATCATGAGAGGAGTCATTTTTTATGATGTTGAAGAAAATCTTCAAAAAATCAATATTTACAATTCAAAAATAAATTGTGATTGGAACTCAACGGGTGAGTCAAAGCCTTTTTACTTCCAGTTTTTATTGTTGTTCTTGTTATGATCAAATCGTTCATCTTGTTCGGACGCTAATTCGTTGTTGTTGTTGTTCAGAGACTTGGTAAGGAAGATATGAAAGTCCTTAAACATTTGGAGTTGCTGTTGAGGGTGCAGAGTCATCATTAGTGGTTATAGAGAGACACGACGAGTGATGATGAGTTGTTATCATCATGGTGGTGCTGGTGGTGCTGGGTATCATCTCTTGCATACCACTCACATTGGACAAGGTAGGTGTTGCAGAGTCGAGTTGCGCGTTGAGTGGAGAGGACTCTTCAGTGATGAGTTCAATCGTTTGATCATTCGTAGGAGTCATGAGAGTGGTGGTCGAAGAAGGCTTTTGTTGTGTCGTCGTGGTGGTGGTGGTCTTCGTCATTGAATCATCGGGCAACTCTTCTCGACCACTACCACTACTAATCTTTATGATTTTGGATGAGCCATTCCCTGCCAGTTGTTGAGGAATTTGATCATCATCATCATTCAAATTCTCGACAACAGTAGCTCTTCTTCTCTCTGGTTTTTGAGAGAATTTAATTTCATGCATGACAAATTGAATGGGATTGTTCAAAAAAGGAAGGTGATAGGGCCAAAAGATTAAGGCCACACACAAGGTGAATGAACAATAAGGAATGGCCTTAGCGAATGGATAAAAGATGTAAGTGGCCACATCTAAACCGTACAAACCAACTCCCAATACTTCAATTAAAACTCCAGCTGCTAGAATAACCACTCCAATCGTTAATTTCACCATGGTTTGTTTTTGCAATTGATATTGTTCAGAATTATCAGGAACTAGTTTTGATTTTTGTCTCAACATGTAAACAATAATGACCACTGTTCCAATACTTAAAAAGAAAACAATGGCTGTGGAAGTGCCAACCAATGGAATGGCAATGGCTGTGGTGAAGGTTTTTCTTAACTTTTCCAAATCATTGGTGAGATCAGGTTTAGCCAGAACGGCAATGGACAAGGCAGTCACAGGAGCCAAACCAAAAAACAAGCAAATATTTCCAACAATGAGAAAGGTGCTCATGGTAATGATAATCAATTTTTGATGCTTTTTTCGATTGACCCAAACCTGTGTTGGATAAGTGCGTGAAAGGAATGTTTCATTCGTAACACAATCCACTCATACTTATGATCATTTCGAATTATTTTCACTTACCATGCACACTTTGAGCCAAATGGGAATGATGAATGTGAAATTGAAGGTAAACCAGAAAATACTGGTATAATCAAAGATTCTTCTGATTTGTAACACCACTACAAATGTGGAGTAATCCTGTTGAAGATCATAGTAATGCTGGGCGATAGTAGCTCCTTCACACGTTGTTGTTTTTTAAAGGATATTCATGAATGGTTGAAATTTGAAAAAGAATGATTGAAATAAAAGTCCGCGTTCGAAAACAAAGAAACATTGATAAAGAAAACCGTTCAATTTGTGTTGAATATATAACGATGATGATGATTCCATTATCGACTTCTTACCTTCAGCAGGGATTCTAAATAATAAAAACGCAATGACTGTATGCAGTAACACGAAGAAAAATTCTCTGTTTTTGGTTTTCTCATTGTTTTTCCACTCGTGAATCAAATCATCTAATTTTGTCCTCGCACTTCTTCCCCAACAAAAACAACAACCCATCAAGAGCGTTACACGAATAAGAAAGCCGAGTAGTAAATAACAATGTCTTTTGAAGTAAACGATAAATACAGGAATAAGAACAAGCATCATGGCCATTAAAGTAACCGAGTCTTCCACTAAACTTGCAATGCCTTCATTTCGGGTCATGAAGGAAATTTGGTTGTTGGAATTGTTGTTGGATTGTTGCAATGTCAGCATCTCGGGAGAGTGAATCATTAGATTCATCCATTCCATGTTGGTGGTTGATGTCATTGCAGTTAGCACATGTGCAGAGAGAGAGGCAATTTGTTTCACCAATGATGACACATCGGTGGTTTGTGGGTTCGTTGATCTGTTACCAATTGATGTTGATGGTCAACTTTCCAAATCGGATGATTTTATAGAGTTATGAAAGAATATCCTTAATAAATGGCAGAAAAAAAACGAAATTCATCGAGTGACTTGGAGACCAATTAAGTGAGCGTAGATGGAAATTGAACTTGAGATCCTCATGTTGTTTGATACAGTTCGGTAAAAAATGTTGAAATTCATTCCCGAAGAACTTTTAGAATTTCACGTGTGTTCGTTCCTTGATCTTGGAACAGTCATGTCTTTATCATTTGCCAATAAATTATTGTATGAATTAATCTCAAAATCGGAAGTGATTTGGACACAACTCACCATTCATCCTCATGCCGATGAATCATGTCATGCCGATGATGATCAAGCTTCAGAATTATTAAAGTATTTAGGACTACGGTTACGGAAGGATTTGAATGATGATGATCATCCTCCCATTCTGGACGATCAAGAATTATTCACCATTTTCAAAAACAAGAGAAATCAATTCTTATTCCATTGGTTTAGACTCTTTTCGTTTTGCACTACAGGTTTTCCCAAATATAATCCTTCTTACAATGATTTAATTGTTTCAAAAATTCGTTTTACAAATGGAAATCATTCTTTGAGGGTCATGCATGACAAGTTGAAAGGTGATTGGGAAACTTGTATTGCCAATAAGAAACTTCATCGAGGAATTACATATTACTGGTGTGTGCATTTGACCACTTACGATGAAGAGAATGCAAATAATGCATGGGTTGTACTCATAGGAGTTGATAATTTAGAAAATCAACCTCGAGATGGCTTGAGTTCTTCCATGCATTACTGGTTTGGACGATCTCCTTCCAAGGGTTTTGGTTACTGTGTTGCAAGCGACAGTGGATACAATAGCTATGAAGGAGCACATTTAAACAAACAAGGTGACGTGATTGGGGTGGAGTTTTATCATGATCCTCACCTGAATCAAGTACGAATGAAATTCTATCCCAAAAACGGATGTGAAGAAAGAAGTTACAATTTCTCATATACCACATTGGATGAAGAGTCAAGGAGTGTAGAAGTATCCTTTAGACCAGCTGTTTCAGTAGTTTCCAATATGGCTGTTTCAATATTCCCATGGGATGGAAATGTGGAAACTCTCAAAAACTTTTATCCAAACGAATGAAAAACATCCCACCAACAATAACAAAGACCTTTTGTAAGAATTTTAAAAAAAATGTCCTTTCTCTCATCGCAATATCAACCCTCCAATGGAGATCAATCATCATCGAATAGGAATCAATCCCTCTCGGTGTTTCAGCCAACGTTTTTTGAAATTATGACTGCTCAAAGGATGATATCTGGATTGAAGTCTGCACTCCGATATGTGCTAGTGATGGCAGCACAACGCAATTTTAGATATTTACATTTTGTTTCTTATTATGATGAATACTTTGCAATGTTGCAAACAATGATTGAGAGACATTTTTTGTACAATTTTGATTCATCATTTGCGGAACACTTATTCGGATTGAAGCGAATTGATTCTAAACAATTTACAGTATCAGAGATGAATCAACATCAAGGAAAAACAAGTTTTTTGACAAACAAGCAAAGAAATGAAAGCTTGCTGTGTTTAGTTTTAATTCCATATCTGAAAGACAAGTTGGAAAATTATTATATTGATTTAAAGAGAGATGATATCCTCTCTTCAAGCGAAGGCATCGATAATGACAGTTTGGTAGTGCCCTATGAGACGCCAAGTGCTTCCAATCGATCAAATTCAAACACTTGGAAAATTATCAAAAGATACTTTGTAAAATTATGGCCCTATATTAGCACCATTTATGAGGGCTCTCATTTTGTCTTCATGTTTTTATACCTTTTGAAGAGCAATTTTAAATATCATAATCCTTTCATGTACTTAATTGGATTATGTTTGAAAAGAACGTCTCCTAACGAGCATTTACAACACATGAAATTAATGTACACAAAAAGAAATAATTTAGTCAATAGTTTCAAGCAGCGCGGCGGCATAATTTTCGGCTCACTATTAGGATATATTGTGAATATCTTGTATTCTCTTTCTGACTATTCGACCCATTTATTACTTGCAATTGCATTTTTATTTAAATTTTTTGAATGGTACTTTAGCAACGAATCATCTCTAGTACCGAAAGGCAACATTGTCATTCCTTCTCCCCCTGAGCAACCTGAGAGAGCCGTGGGTGGGTTAGAAGTACCAACGAATCCAAGACATTGTCCAATCTGCAAGAAGGAGAGAAGAAATTCCACACTTTTAACAGTCTCAGGTTTTGTGTTTTGCTACAAGTGTATTCAGAGCCATCTACAAACACACCAAAAATGTCCAATCACACACATTGCATGCACTAGCTCACATTTGGTGAAAATATTTGAAAATTAATTTATAGTTGCCAAAAAGGTTTTATTTCTCAACCTAAGGTTTGAGTGATTTGGAAATTAACTCTGAGCATGAATTGATTTGCTTTTGAAGCAAGGCCAATGATTCCTTTAGATTTGATGATTCGAAAGTATTATTCGAATACGTGGAAATTGAACCATTCCAATCATCCTCGGTGGATGGTGTTGTGACAATATCATCTTCCATGTCATTGATTTGATTATCCATGTTTGCATAAATAGACTTTTGGTGGTTGATTGTCTGTAGTAACTTTTCATAATCTTTCATAGAGTCTTCAAGGTTTACGTATGTGAAGGTTTTCCTCTTTTTGGTGTCTTGTTTTGTTTCTGAATCACGTTCTTTGATTCGTTTTTTCTGTTCTTCGACAGGTTTTGTTGGTATAAAAGCTTTTGGAATTTCATCTTGCGGTATCGATGAAAAATAGGTTTTCCCTTCATCTAATAATGTTAAGCTTTCCAAGAAGGAATTTCCACTTTGTTTCAATACTTTCATGATATCCTTTTCAATCTTTTCAAACCTTGTTCTTGTGAACAAGAAACCATAAAGTGGATCTGCATCAAAAAGCATGTCCAAATGAATCTTCAAGAAGAGTTCAAAGAGTTTAAAAGTGGCATGTGAATAATTTCCATCCGCAAAATCTATAGCAATGTCTGCAACATTAATAGGATCAAAAGAGTCCATAGGACATAATCCTCTTCTTTTTCGCAATACTTGTATGTAGTTCAAGCAATTTTTAGCAAGCACCTCCAAATCGCAATTTTCATCGCTATAAAAATCAGTAGTACCATCAATAATAGGTAAGGAGAGATGGCCAAGAAGTTCTTTTTGCAATATGGCATTTTCATCAGTATTCCAATTTTCCTTTTCGAACTCAGGAATAGGCCAATTAATTTTGCGCATTCTTTCTGATTCATTTTGGACCTTGGTAGCCACAATTTCACAGACATAATTATAGGTTAAAATAACATCTTCAAGAGGAATACTATGCCTATCTTCAACAGATAACTCTTGCAACAAATCTGTAATATGACTTTGGGAACATTCTTCTAATAATTCACGAATTGATATTTTGTGAACAATGGGTGGCTGTGGAGAGGTGTTTGCGAGCTTACTAAGCATGTCCATAAAGATTTTGTTCAATTTCCTGATATTCTCTTCTGAGATGTTTTCAGAGATGTTTGTCATAGCCATTGACACACACATGACATGGCTGAAAACTGAGCTAGAATATTTGTTTAACATCTGATGGACTTGTATTTGTACTTTTTCTTCCGAAACTCCATGCTTTAAAAAGTCTTCTTTCTCGAACAATACAAGGATTGGAATTCTTGTACTTTCCATCTTTGAAAAGAAAGACACAATATGTTTGTTCACTCTGCTTTCTTCCAATGCCCAATACTTGTCAATGTTCAAATTGTCAGGAACAGTGTGTAAAGTATAAATGATAGATGACGTTCCTTTGAAGGGAAAGTTGCTCTTATCTAATGAAGCTGAGGTGTTAAATTGTTTCACGCAAATATGAAGAGTAGATCGTCTTTTTTTCAGATCCAATTCTATCAAATCATCTGATATAATGTCTTTTCCCTCCACTTTGAATTTAGATAATGTAACAACTGGTTCATTAGGGTCCTGTACTTTTGAACCTTCACTCAAGAGTTTTTGTGCAGTCCAAGCTTGCAGTGGGGCATTGACATCATCTACAATGAGTACTAACTTCCAAAAGAAATCAGAAAATATTTTGTACTGGTTGGTAACCTTAGAATTAAAAACAATTAATCCCAAGTCAACTCTCTTGTATAATTGTTCGATCAAATGTGATCTTATTTCTTCTGCATGAGAATCCAACATGGTAATATCGTCAAGCACAGTGACATCAAAATTATTTTTCACATATCGCTGAGATTTTTGGATGTGAGTCTGTCTTTTTTGTCGTAGAAGCTTCTTCTCTTTTGAATAGTGTTTCCATGCCTCAAAATACTTTCTGAGGATTTCTCTATTGATCTCCTCTTCAGTTTTTTGAGGAGGTACAATAATTGGAGGTATTATAACTGGTAATTGAGGTGGTGGGGTGATTATGGGCTGTTCTCTTGCTTTGGCAATCTCGTCAGGTGGCTGTACAGTTATTGGTGGTTGTTGTTGTTGTATGGAAGGAGGTAGAGCTGTTGGTGTTTTTGGATGTGATGGAATTTTATGAGCTTTGGGAGATTTTGGGAAAGAAGGAGTCACTTGTTTTGGTGGTTGAGGTTCTAATGGTGGAGGAATAATTATATTAAGGGTTTTCTCTGATGGAGTGGGAATGGGATGAGAAGGAATTGAAGGAGGCGTAATTTTGATCTTATCCTGAGGAAGTACAGGTGGAATAATTTCAGGAGGTATTGTTAGAGGAGGTGTGGATGGAATTATTGGTCGAGATGGTGGTGGTAATGGGAGTGATGGGAGTGATGGAATGGGTTGTTGTACTGGAGGTGTCTCATGGGGTTTGGGAGGCTTGCGAAAATTTATCAGAGCCAATGTCGATCGTTTGATTCCAAAAACTTTCTTTTCAATAAATAAAGATTTCGTCTTTTCAATTGGTTTGGATGGTTCGGTGAATGTAGTATATTTGAATAAGACAGCATCATCTAGGGTTGTAATTCCAAAGTGGTCGCAATAGTGAACACACTCATCAAAACTATCAAAGAGCAACAGTTGCTCCAGTTTTGAAATTGGATATTTTGGAAATTCATCAATCGTTCCATCGAAACCGTCCTTTGTTTTTAGGTTAAATGTTCTATTCATGATCTGTAATGCATTCTTTCTCGCGATTGGAAAATATATATGCATGATACATGCATTCAAGTATGTAGCTTCATCTACAAGTTTAAAAAACCTGCTATAATTATTGGTAGAGAAGGCGTCAAATACTTTGATTGCAAAAGTAACCTCAGGTGACTTTAAAACATCATTAGGAAGACTTTTTAGACATCTCATAACTTCCTGATCAGAAGCAAGTCGATTCAATATAAAATAGCATGTAAATTCACTCTCATTAGGACATGAAATCCCACTCATTCTGAGTTCCGAGTAAAATTCTTGTAAACTCTTTAAATAATTGTTCAAGAGCTTCAAGTTTTGATGAGCATCGAAATCTACCTCTTCTGCCAATAAATGATGACTCATAATATGAAATCTAGCAATCACTTCATGCAAATCTACACTTCTTTCATCTCTAATATGCTGAACGGTCAAATCTTGTGCAATAGCTCTTGCTCGGTCTCTTAGGAACAGAAAAACTTCGTGATAATCAGCATCATCTCTGTCCAAAATTTCATTAATGAGATAATCTAATGATTGACGTAAAATAGAGGGAGGTCTAACTTGAGAAGCAACAGGTACGGTACCTGCAGCAGCTCGTTGATAAGCTTTTACGCAAAGACTTGGTTCAGCTTTTGCATATTCATGACCTCGCTCGTCGATTAACTTTCTTGAAGCAGTTTCAAATACACTTAATCGTCTTTCTTTTTCTCTGTTTCTGACCTCTTCATCTGAACACATTTTGTAACATGTTCCTATCAAATGTTTGGTATCAACAGGATACTTTTTTGACCATATCTTTTCTCGTATCTTATCAGAATGTTCTAATTGATTGAGACTTTCCTGCTCCATGTTAGGAGGGCGTTGTAATATGCTTGCTTTTAGCTTTTTGTATGCTATATCTGCCTCTTTGGATCTTTGAATGGGTTGTTCCTGTTTTTTTTCAACTTGTTTTTCTGGAGATTTTTTGTGAATATGTTCGACTATTTGCTTGTTAATGGAGACTGGAGAAGTGACAATGGACTTATCTCCTTTCTGATCCACAACGATCTGGAAATTTTCGAATTTGTCACTTTCTTCTTCCTCTTCTTCTTCATTTTCATCATAGACCTCTTCTTCTTGATCGTTTTCTTCATATTCACCTTCTTCTTCTTCATACTGCTCTTCATATTCGTCTTCTTCTTCATATTGCTCCTCCTCTTGCTCTTCTTCTTGCTCTTCCTCATATCCTTCCATGCCTACATTTCCCACCTCTTCGTAAGGAATAATATCTTTTTTTGATTTCTCTTTTGGAGGTTCAGCAATTTTCGGGGGTGCTTCGTTAAAGTATGAGCCGAATCCAGAAAATCCAACAGGTAAATTAAATAAGTTTTCTTCATTGATCTCATAAGGTCTTGTTTGAGCGAAAGATGTCAATTCAGAATATTCATCTTGTTGAGGTGGAATATTGCTTGTAAACTTCCTAGTACTTTGAGGTTTCACAGGTTGTGAGTATTGTTGCTGTTCAAAGTGTGAATAAGAGGAGCTACCTGCAGGCTTACTGGTTGGTTTGCCTCTGTAAGGTTTTGTGGCTCTTGTTTTTTGAGGTGTATTTCTTTCCGTAGTAGTGATGGTCTCTTCTGTTTGACCAGCCCATTTTCTACCAACATGAGAGTCTTGAAAAGCAACTCTTTTTCCTCGAGTAGCAGCGCCTCTAGAAGATGATGTCCTCGGAGTTGATGAACGAACCTCTTGTGTTTGCCTTGACTCTTGATAGTCTCCTCTTTTTCCTCCTCGTGTTGTGCTACCTCTACCTCCTCGGGTTGATGGTGCTGATGTCTCATACGTCTGTTCGGTGGTACTAATGTTGTCTTGATAAGATTTTCCTCTAAACCCCGGCCGATAGACACCTCTTCCTCGCGATCGTTGTGGTCTTTGAGAGGTAGAAGCTGTATAGGCTGATGATGATGATGCTGCTGTGGAGGTTGTTGAAGTGGTGGTCCGTGATGGTTTTCCACGAGGAAAACGAGAAGACGGCGTTGTTGATGATTCTCTTTGGGTGTGTGTTGTGGTTGAATGAGTTTTTCCTCGTGATGATGATGATGAGGCTCCTCTTCCTCGGTACGATCCTCTGCCCCGACTGTTTCCTCTTGATGATGAAGAACGGGATTCAGAAGATGAATACATTTTTTATAGTCATCTTATATTTGTTTTATTTATATTCATCAAATTAGACTTCCTGGTTTGTGAGGGTTGATGGTTGAAGGTGAAGAGCAACAATTAGAGTTCTAACACACGCTTATCGTGATGTGCGGAATGATCGTTGCCGTTATTTTGAGTCATTTGACCGTTACACAAAGTTGGCGCCTCAAAAATTAAAAAAAAAATTTAAAATCCAATAATAACCAATGTTGGATATCCATCATCATTCTCCACAACAATATGAAGCCACTCACCAACGATTCCTCGCCATGTCCAACGAGTTTGGTTGGGCCAGTGTAAATTGGACTGATTTCTTCAGCCATCCAGAGCATGTATTACCCAAAGGCTTACTCTCTTGCTCGGAGGCTCTGCCTATCACTCAAGAAGCACAAACATGGTCTGTTCATATGGATCATGATGATGATCACCATTCTTGTTGCAACAACAACGGAACAACTTCTGCTGCTGCTTCCTACAATCACACCTCATCACATTCTTCTTCAAGAAGAAAATCTCTTGGCATCAAACGAAGACCTTCTTGCAATCCAACACAAGTTATTTGCATTTCGGATGATGATGATGTTGAAGAAATAACCAAGGATAGTGCATTTACAAACTCAACAAACTCAACAAATATCACAAACAAAGTGTACATTTCGAACCCTGTATGTCCATCACAAAATAGTCAAAAATCTTATTGTGATGACGATGGTGAGGCAGAGTATGAATTTAAAGAAGAAGAATCAGAGATTGAAGAGGATCTCAGTGACAATATTTATGAAATTGAAAAGATTTTAAAAAAAAGAATTCGAAATTCAAAACCTGAATATTATGTGAAATGGGTTGGATATCCAAGTTCTGAAAATAGTTGGGTCAAAAAGTGTGATATTTTCGATGAGGAGTGTATTAAGGAGTTTGAAAAATCATTTGAAAGCCAATCTCATCATACAAAACAACAACCCATTGACTTGTGTGATGATGTTGACAGCGATAATAGTATTGAATATGATGACGAAGAAAGTGATGGTGATGATGACGAAGAAAGTGATGAAGAAGACAAAGCTAATGATTTCTTATTAAGTGATGATGATGATGATGACGATGATGACAATATATTCTCTACTGCTGGAAAGAAAACAACCTCTCGTGAGACTCCAAAACTTCATGCTGCTCTTGACTTTGACAGCACTACTAAAAGATCCAAATCTCAAAAAACTCTAAACCAATCCAAATACATTGCTGATCCTAAACAATTTAAAAAGGTTCGAGGAGAACTTCTTCAAAAATATTATGATGAAATTAATTCGGTTTGTTTCAAAAACAAACTTCCTGCTCTTAAATTATCAGAAGGAAAAGCAAAAGATCTCAAAGGAAAGCCTTATTTATTGTGGAATCACCATTTAAGGAAAACCGCTGGTTACTGTAAATTATTTACATTGAAAAAATCAAGGAATGGTAAATCCACACAATTAGAAAAGGTAGTTGCGATTGAAATATCGACCAAAGTTTGTAATTGTGAAGAGAGATTGGTTCACACGTTAGGTATGTTTGATTTTGATGAACCACGACAAAATAATTGATGTCTTGTTTTATTACTACTCGAATACTACTCGAATATTATTCGAATACTACACTTCTCAAACACTACTCGAATAGCTCATGAAATGTGTCATGCTGCAAGTTTTTTATTTGATGGAGTCACAGGACATGGAAAAACATTTTATTCGTATGGAGATTTAATTAAGAAATATTATCCTGATATTCCCATTACGACATGTCATTCCTATGCGATTGATTACAAGTATCAATGGCAATGTGTAGATTGTGGTTCCATTATAAATAGACATTCAAAGTCTATAGATGTCACTAAACAATGTTGTGGAGTATGTAAAGGAAGACTTCAAGAAATTGGAAAGTCGTCCAACACAAAAAACAATGCATACAATTCGTATGTGAAAGAACATTATAAAAGATTTAAGGAACACCATCCTCATCTCAAACAAGGTGAAATTATGAAACTCGTTGCTCAATCCTACCGAGAACAAAGACATGGTACTACTACTACTCATGATTAGTACCAAACAGGGATAATTATTCCATTGTCCTTGTTTGGTTTTTTGTCCAACAAATTTCAAATGGAATGAAAAATAAACCCACAAAAAATTTCAAATCAATCATCATCATGATGAACAAAGCCATCGGAAAACTGCACAGAAACAGAGCTCTTTTCTTTTGTTGTGATATTCAAGATCGATTTAGAAATTTAATTCATAATTTTCCCTCTGTGCTCTATGTTGCTTCTATGATGAATCAAGCCTCATCTCTCATGAATATTCCTTTCATTGCTACCGAGCAATATGTAAAAGCCTTCGGAAAGACTTGTCCCGAAGTAAATTTACCAAATCCTCCAAAAGAAGACTATTATCTATTTGAAAAGAAGAAGTTTTCAATGCTTACAGAGGATGTTAAAAAAGTATTAGAAAAGTATCCACAACGAGATCAAATTGTGTTGTTTGGTATTGAAGCTCATGTTTGTGTTTTGCAAACTGCTTTGGATTTGTTAGAGGCTAACAAGGAAGTGCATGTACTTGCAGATGGTACATCCTCACAGAGATCTTTTGATCGAAGTGTAGCCTTTGAAAGAATGAGACAATCAGGTGCTTTCATCACTTCATGTGAAAGTGCTTTATTTCAAATGATGGAAGGAGCTGATTATGAAAAGTTCAAGGAAGTGAGTGCATTGATGAATCCAAAACTCAGCCAACTTCGTCCTCATCCTGGTGAATTCAATCAGTAACTTGTAACAACCATCAAACGCAATGACAGGTTGTCATCTCCAGATGTAAATATTAACCACAATGCATCACAGTATTTCACAATACTTTTGGCTATTCGACTTATTTGGAATACACATTTTCGTTTTGTCATTCACAAGACTAAGGATGAATTATCCTTTTGTTTCAACATAAGGCTTTACATACAACACTACAGTGTAATCGTAATATTTCTGGGCATGAACCTGTCACTACCTGTCCTTCTTGCTCATACAAAATTCCTTTTTTATATTTATATTTATTTGCTCAGTCAACCGAGCTAAAAAATTCCAAATTCAATTTGTCTCCTCGTTTGAGATTCAGATTTTTCTCCAAGTTCGTCTTGCAAGAAAATCACTGCAATTCCACAGAATATCCCAAATTTATGCGAGTCGATCTCTGGAGGTTTATTCACTCTCCTATTTGGAGAAAACAAGCGGTTAAAGAAACTAGTCACGACCACATCATACACCATACCGTCGACAACAAACAGCCATCAAAAAAAAGCATCCTGATTCTCAAAGAGAGTGTCGAGTTCAACCCGAAAGTCGAGAGTACTCTCTAGCTGATCTTCATCATCATCAACATTACATCAAAGGCTTTTCTCTCTACACTTTCTCCATCATTTCTTTGAGAGTCTCAGCAGCACAGCTTACAACACTGCGTTCGGTCGAGAGAACCTCCTTATTTGAAGACCGGAATATATACTGTTGAAGCCTAAAAAACATTGGTGCGAAGAACAGAACTGGTACTCGGCGAGACCCAACAATCACATCGATCCAAGACTTGGAAAAATCGGAATTTGAAAAAAAACTCTTCAGAAGACACAATCACCACCACCATCACCATCACTTGCAATTCTTGTTGAGGCTCAACATTCTTGTGATCATCTTTGGCCTGATATTGTGTGATTACTATTCATATAATTCTTAATTGTGCAAACGTTATATATAACAACAACAACAACAACTCAACCATGACACCCAGCAACACACAGTCCACAACCATTCTTGATGATGGTTCAAGCAAAATCCATACAACATCATCACCAACCACCAAGACAGCATCAAGAAAGAAGTCTTCTAAATCAGGAAAGACCAAGATTAAATACAATGCGAATGGATCTTCCACAGTTTCATTCAAATTGGATAAAGACTGTGTTAAGCAACAATACCATTCGGCCTCTTCAGCCCCAACCAAGAAGAGAAATTCCTCAAAACTCATGTTTGTTGATGAAAGTGATGCAGCACCCAACAGCAGCAGCAGCTCAGATGCTACCTCTCAAGACTCCTCTTCCTACTCAGCCACTACTGGAAAATCATCATCGGGCAACAACAGTTCCAACACTGCTGTAACCTTTGGACATCATAATGTGAATAAGCGATTATGTAAACTTAGAAAGCAGCTCAAGAGTTGTGATCATTTCACGGATAATTACTTTGTGATTGACTTAACCTCAAAGGGTGGACAAAGCAAACCTCAAGTGGTTTCCTTCAAGAGCCCTACGGAACACTTTATTCTTCATGATGACCATACAACTTCCGACTCCTCGGAAACAAGTCCAAAACATTCGACTCCCTCGAGCGAGTATGACAATGGAGTGTTGAACAATTGTGATGAAGAAGACCCATCTTCTGAAGACCACGATGCCAAGCAACAAACTCACAAGAGAAAGAGAAAGAAATCTCAAGAACCTCAGAATGGTGACACTAAAAAGTGTAAAGTTTCCAACAAGAAACAAGTGACCACTACGACCACCACCAATGTCATTCAAGAAGGAACAACAGCTCAACCCTCCTCGGAACTCATGAATTCCGGCGGCTCAAATCCTCTTCTTGAGGAACTGAAGAAACAAGATCCAATGCTGCTTGCACAACTCTTACAAGACTTGCTTCAACAAAATGGAAGCGAAGTGTTCAAGCAAATGCAAAACATGTTACTTTCTCAATTCCAACTTGAAGTTCAAAATTTAATGAGACAAGCCTTAGAACAACAATATGCAACATTGATACCAAGCTCTGTAGATATCACCCCTGCTGCTACTACTAACCTTGCCAACACATCCATGACTGACAATACAATCGACAATGATATCTTTGCTGACGACCTGCTTCGATTATTGGACGAAGAGCCTTCCACCAACTGTACAATGACTTCCACACCATCTGCTTTGGAGTACACACCAACATCGCCTCTTTCTACATTGGCTCCTGACCATCAAGAAATACTCATGGAACAGGGCGATTGTTTGATTGAACATCTCTAATGCCACTTGAAATCACGAGCTGATTGGGAGTATAATCGGTGAAACAAAAACAGACAACAGTTCAATATCCATAATAGTACGATTCCACCGCATATTAAATATTGTAAAAACACCAGTCGATTGTATTCGGATCGTATTGTGAAATCGATGAATCACTACTTGATAGAATGGAATCTAATCGATCACACATGGCAATTGTTTAAAGACATGAATATTGGCACTTTATTAAAACGTGACATATTTCTTGTTAAACAGTGTTTGCAATCTCATTATTCTGTTTGTAAGGGAGGGGCAACATTTAACTTTCTCAATTGTTTCGAAAGATTATTTGCTTTCGCAGGTTAGTGTACTGCAATCTCATTCAATATTGACATACCTGTTTCGGATTCAAATTGTGCAATTAAATTCTGGCCTTTAAATACTAGAAAATATGGAAATGTATTTATATTATACTTTTCGAGTATTCCCTCTCCTTCACAATCCTCGTATGAAATCGTAAAAAAGTGAGAGAAAGGACATTCCCTACTGATCAGTTCGAATGCAGGTTTTAATTGTGAATGAGTCGGTGAACTGTCGTCATAAATATATACCACTGTATATCCCATTACTCCACTCTCTGGTGTGTCCTTTGAGTCAATTAAATTTGCAATATATGATCACATTTAATTTCAATTCCGAATTTATATTGTTCGGAACCAACATCCGAAAATACGAACCACTCAGAGAAAAATCAAGATCGGCTTGTGATTTGAGTTGTCTTGTTGGCATTTTGTAATTTTTTTGTGTTAAAATACAGAAGCACTTTTATTTTCAATAAAAATAGGATTCAGTGAGAGATTTCTTGCTGTCTTTCTTTGTTATGAAAACAAATTGAACTTTTGGATTCATTTCGGCCAACTTGCTCCATTCCACTCCACAATAATCATATTCGACCTTTTGAAGATGATCGTTGTTGCTGAAAGGATTACGGAAATTGTAAATCGTCACAGGCCCTTCAATGATAACATGCTCCAAATTGCACAATTTTGAAATGCATTTAGCAATGTGTCCTTCATCATCACCATCACTAATGATATGTAAAAATTTCAAATTTGGACTTTTTGAGGATAGAAGCTGAGGTATCTTGTCACGATTCGTGGATGGCATGCAAAAAGTCAGTCTCTCTAAATTTTCAAGACGTTCTAAAGTGGCTTCTATTAAGGAAACCCCATAGGAGTAATTCTGTTCATAGTATTTTGAATCGTACACAATTAAACGTTTGGCATACTGGACAAGCAAGGAATTACTCAAAGCCTTATTCACAAATTCATGCATTTCCATTCTTTGGCGAGGAAGAAAGAGTTTGGAGATGGTATTTCTGGAATCTATTGCTTTTTGATAAGCATTAAATGTCAGTGAATTTACACTAATTTCAATATCATTTTCTGAAATGAATTTTTGAACCAATCCTCGCCAATACTTTTCAGTGGACGATGAGACAATTAATTCTCTCGTTTCTAAATATGAAAAAATATGCAATAGAGTATCATCACTCAACAATCTATAATGAAAGAGTGTGACAGGTTTTGCAAAAGGATTGATTAATTTAGCCTTAAATATGTCTGCATCTCTTTCCTTAGTCATTCCCTTTCTTGCATAGGTGGCTGCTCGAGTGATATAAACTTGATCTCGTTGTTGAGTAAGTGGCATGAGAGAAATGCATTTAGTGAAATCATCCAGAGCTTGATCCAATTCATGTAAATAGTAATGACAAAGTCCTCTATTGAAATAGCTCGATTCTACCAAAGAGGACTCATATTCTTCACCAATTTCAATTGCTCTTGTGAAATATTTCATGGCATCTGCATAGTAGGCACCTCGATAAAAGGAAACTCCAGCTCTAATGTAAAGTGATTCCAATGTAATAATGGTACGAGGTTTTGGTTTCAAAATTGGCTTTGAAACATTCAGACCCATATCATGATTGAAAAAGTTCTTGACCGATCCAGATAGATTCGAAACGGCATCATTCCAATCGTTGAGACCTTTCGAGAGAGACAACACAGCTCTCTCAGTGGGTTTTTTTGCTCCCAGTTGCATTTGAAAAAATTCCTTTTCGAGTTGAAGGAGAGCCTCTTCATTCGTTGATGATGATGATTGAGAGTCGTCATGATTGACCACCTCCAATTCTTCTCGGAGTTGGATAGCATTGACAAATATCCCAGCAGCACGTTGGAAATTTCCCAAACCATCTTCGCACATTCCTAGCAAGTATTCATATAGATATGAATGGTGGGTGAAATTGATGGTGGTTGGATGTTCGGTGCTTTTTGATGATGCTGCTGCTGAAGGATTAGTAGGATTCAGCAAAGTGAGGCATTGCAAAACATCTTGTTTAGCCTCTTCAAATTTAGAGAGCTCTAACCTGGCGATCGTTCTCTGAATGAGTAATTTGGCTAATTCCTCTCGCTCTTTCTCCTCCATTTGAGAACTATTATATCTGATTTCCTCAATGGAGAGAGAGGCTTTCTCATCAAGAGCCATCGGAACTTGATATTTGTACTTTTTAGATTGAGCTTTGAAGAATTCAACAAGTTTTTGGTTGTTTGCTCGGATGAAACCATCAATGGAGGACACTCCTGATGAAACAGCATTAAAAGCTCCTCCCACTAAAAAAAGCGGAATTGCAAGAAGAGGAGGAACATAACTGAAATGATGATGTTCATTCGATCAAAAGCAAGTTCACAGATCTAATAACTTACGGTCCATGACACATTTTTTTGGTTGGTTTTGAACTTGCTTTGTCACGATGTCAACAGTTTTAATTCTTATTTGCACTTTTGTTTACAGGTTAATTGCTGTCAAGAAGCCGACATAGCTCAGTTGGGAGAGCGTAAGACTGAAGATCTTAAGGTCCCTGGTTCGATCCCTGGTGTCGGCAAAAATTTTAATATTTTCGAAACGGTCGTACGATAGAAGCCGAACAGGCGTTTATATTTGTACCTAAAATTGAGTGTTAATTGTGATGTGAAATTGTTTATTGATGATGATCATGTTACGAGTTGGCAATGCATCTATTGACAACGGACAACAATCGCTCATTTTCCAGAGCAGCTGCAACTCTCTCCTTATCATTCAATTGTTTGTTCACCTGATCTTCCGATTGGTGTGTTCCGGGAGTGATTTTGATATCGACTTTGAATCTTTTTGGTAAACTTCTTAATAATTTTACTCGTATACTCAGTCCGATAAGTGTGGCCATCGAACAATGTGTGATTGTTGGTGTAAAATAGATTAAAATGGTTGAATTCTTGTTATCAACATGAATAAGATCGTGTTGGGTGACTTTTAATTGTTCCAAAGAGAGTGGATGCTCTGGATCATTAATATTTCGGATCAAATCATAGACTTCAAGAGCATCAAATTCATCAGTAAAATCCTCATCTTTTTCATTCTCCAAACTTGCATCACGTGTAATCGATGAAGGAGCATAAACCTCGGGATTTGGATTAATCAGTTGAGACATTTTTATTTACTATCGTTGAGGCTAAACCTCCAAATTTTAAATTTGGTTAAATTTATTTTGACTTGGGAGTTGGATCACAGGAGTCCGTGTTGTCTCCACATTTAATTTGAACTTGAGCACTGAATGTGAGATCCGTGAAGATCACGACATGAATGCATTCATCACTAGTGGACAGCACCTGTATTGTGAATGCATTCCACTAGTGCTGTCGACAATTCGCACACCTTTTTGACCAATTTAAATTATGCCTCATTTGACAAGTTTGGAAAAGCAAATTTATAAATTAATAAAAATATTAAAAACAAATCGTCATGAGTCTTTTAAAATCAAAAATTCCCAAGTACAGCGGACTTCAGAAACAAGTACTCTCCTTGTACAGACAATTTTGGAGAGCAGCAAGCAAGAAGGAAAATCCAACTCTTCTTCGGAAATATATTCGGAAAGAATTTGACACGTATCGAGTGATTCCAAAACATGAAACGATGAGAATTGAATGGTTTTTGAGAAATGGACACAACAAGCTGGAGGTATTGCAAAGCGAACATTGTATAAATATTACCTTCTTTTATTAGATTAGAAATCATCATCGTATGTGGTAGTTGATTGTGTGAAGCAGTGTTTTGAGTTTCGGAATATGAAGAAATTCAACTATAATTTTTGTGGTCAATTTTACAATTCATAATGTTGGTTGTAATATATTGATGATTGTAATGATTTGGAGAAGATGATTTGGATGATCATCCTCAATGGCAATAATAAATATTTACAATATTCTCTGGTGATGAATATATTTTTGATTGACCCGAGTGAGTGAGGCTCATCATCATGACCTAAAAAAAATGCAATCGCTTCTTGAAGGGATCGAACAGGCTTTGACGGAGCAAGATGCCTACACAGCAGCAGATTTTCTGAACGAAAACTACTTTTACGAAACATTCTATGGTGATCAAGCCACTGGCAAAATTCCGAACATCAATTCAATTGAAAAACTTGTGGATTCTGCCATTTCCAAAGTTTCATATCGACCATTTCTCTATGATTATTTCAAATCCATGATTTATTTATTTGAAATGGAGGACTACAAGAATGCCTTTGAATTCATGAAAAAGAGTGTAGAAAAATTTATTAATCAAGTATTCGATAAGGAAAATTATTGGAGTGTTAAACTCATGAAATTCCTAAGTAGTGCGCTATATCGGGCGGCTGTAAAAGCAGCAGATGCTCAAGAGCAAGAAGGAGAAACAGGAGACTCGGAAGATTCTCATAAATTAAGCCCACTCGCTGCAGCAGCAATGACTCTGCAAACAGCATTGGCCGCTTCCAATCGAGATAGAACCAATAACATTGAAGAGTCAAAGAAATGGGCATCTTTGCACATTACAAATACGCTCATTAGATTTTATTTCAAGTTAAACAATTTGGATTGGTGCTCGAAATACATCAGCAAAGCAGTGTTAAACGATTTGAATTATCCTCTCTCAGAATTGGTGACTTTTAGATTCTTTGCTGCACGAGTTGCTATACTACAATCCAAATTTGTTAAAGCTAAAGAAGATTTAGAATATGCTTTGACGTACTGCCACGAAGATTATACGAAAAATAAGAAGATGATTATTCGATATTTGGCATGTGTAAATTTAATGCTAGGAAAATATCCAACACAGGCGTTATGTGAAAAGTATGATTTAATGGAGTTTATGGAGCTTTCAAAAGCTTGTAGAACTGGAGATTTACGAACCTATAAGAAATGTCTTGCAGAAAATATGAATTTCTTTATCAAAGATGGTACCTATTTAATTCTAGAGAAAATTAAGGTGGTCGTATATCGAAATTTATTGAGGAGAGTGTATTGTTACAAAGAGAAAAGCGCTAGAATACCAATTCCCACATTTTTAGCAGCCTTGAAATTTGTTGAAGATGATCCTATCGATTTAGATGAAGCAGAGTGCATTCTCTCTAATTTGATTTTTTCTGGTTTCGTAAGAGGATATATTTCTCATGACAAGCAAATACTGGTCGTCGCTAAACAAAATCCATTTCCTTCCCTTTCCACACTCTTTGCAGAAGAATGAGATGTCTGTACTGATTTTATCCTAATAATAAAAAATTTTGCATTCAATTGTCAAATCTCAATTCCAGCTAAGTCTTCTTCAAAGGGGTGAAACAATAACTTTCTCAATAAGGTACTAACAATAATTGATGACGCTTTGTTCACAAAGAACACTTCCTCAAAAAAAGAATCTCTCTTTCAAAATTTTGCTGTTCGGTTTCTTTAAAAATGACTCAAAGGCTTTCTCGGAATGATTTGCCTTCTCTCTCTCCCAATGATGAACACGAATTGTGCGAAGTGTTGAGAAGATCACTCTCTTCAGTAACAGGAGAACAAAAATCAGCAGAAAAGACATTGTTGGAAATTGAGAAGCGGAATGGATACTTGTCCCTGCTCATGGTACGTTTTTAATGTTTTTATATGCCAATCATTTGAATCAACACACCTCCTCTTCTTCATGGTTGATTCCATTGAAAATGATAATTCCATTCATCATGATTCAATTCTTCCGTATCTACCTTGGTGTGTTTCATTCAATCCGAATCGGATGGATGCAAAACTTTTTTGATATTTAGCAAATCATTGTTAATACCAATGTTGATATGGATGTCAGATATTTATCAAGTATTTGTTTCAAAAACACTGTGGATAAATATTGGAGACCAAACATGGATTTGTAAGTATAACATCATCATCAAGGTTCAGACTGAAGAAGCCTTCTATTCCTCATCGGTTGCTGCAGTTCCATATCCCAAGAAGAAAAAGAATATCTCAAACAAGGCTTGTTGAATATTCTGCTCACCAATACGGATGTGGTACTATTTAATTCTCAATTTGTTACTCAATTGGCGTTGGCTACTTCTAAGATTTCCAGAATTGACTATCCATCTCGATGGACAAATTTAATCTCATCAATCGGAAATTGTATTGTTGCATCAACCAATGAAAATATTCGGAATAGATGTTTAGTAGTATTAAAACATTTTGTAAAAGAGCAAGCAGTAAGAACAAATTTGGATGAGGGGAAAAAAGCATTTAAACAGGTAAGTTTGAATAAGAGAAATGATTCATTGACAAATGTGGTGACTCAATGTTCAGTTCTCGAGTGACATTACTCCATTTATATGTCAGTTATGGTTCTATTACGCAAACAAGATTTACCAATCTGGTTCAAATATTGATGATTTGGAATACAAGAACTGTTTGATTTGCACTCGGATAATATGGAGAGTTGCAGTAATGGGTTTGTCGGCCATTGACAAGAACACAACCCTCATGGAATTTTTAACATCACTTTTGGATTTTATTTCAAAATTTTACTCTGTACGACAAAACATGCTTTTATCTCAAAACACAAATTTAGAACTGTTTCACAAGATTACAACTTTAATTTCTTCATTCATTAAGGTACCATTGAGAATTCAAGCAAAACATAGCATTGGATTTAGGAAACATTTACTCTCATATTCAATGCTATTTTCTCAAATCATGTTTGAATGTGATCCAAAGGCGCCTACGACAGATTATAAAATTTTGTTTAGAGTTTTAACATTTTTGAAACAGATTACGGACTGTCAACATTATGATGAATCTGGCTCTCCAGAGGCTAAAGAGGCATTTGATATTATTCACCATCAATTTTATACAGATCAAGTACTACAAAACTTTATTTCATGTTTGATTACAAAATATTTAACAAATTCTCCAACTGATTTAGAGAAATGGGATGAAGATCCAGAAGAATTTGTTAAAGAACAAGAATTAGATTGGTCAGACACTACGAAGGCAGCAAGTGAATATTTCTATTTAGCCATCATGGGAACGTTTGAAAATAGAATTGCAAAGTTTGTCATTCAATTCACTGAGAAGGTACTAAACGGTATGTATTTATTCAATTTTTTTTTTCTGTATGTGTATCAATAAGGAAATACTCATCTTCTCGAATATTTCACACAACTATAGAAACGTATGGCTCATTGGAACAGGATAAACTTTTACTACGAGATTCATGTTACAGTGCTATTGGTTGGGCTTCATATAATCTCTACAATGACATTCAATTCTCTCAATGGTACATTCACATGCTACGAAAAGAGTTGTTACCAACTGAATCGTTCGCAATGGACAAAAGGTACAACATTATTAGAAGGAAATGCATGTGGCTACTTGGACGATGGGTAGAGAAGTTTGACAATCTTGTTAGAAAGGATATTCTCAGTACACTGGTAACCATACTTATCAACAGTGAAGATCTTGTCATGAAATTGACATCTCTGATCACGTTAAAGATCGTTCTAAGTGAAGACACTGAATTGAGAGCTGAAGATTTTGCTGAATTTTTACAACCATTTATGAGCGCTCTTGTTCAGCTATTGGATAAGGTGGAACAGGAAGACACTAAACTTTCTCTTTTGTCATTAATATGTACAGTGGTTGAAAAGATGGAGAATAATATTTTACCATATTGTGAAACTTTGGTGAAAATTTTACCAGTTTTCTGGAACTCTGTTGGAGACTCTACACTCGTGAAAACTCAAGTGATTGCTGCTCTCTCTAAAATTGTGAAATTACTTGAACATAATTCAGTAATCTTGTATGATTTCCTTTTACCACTCATTCAATACAGTACAGATATAGATCAAGATGAACACTTGTACTTCATTGAGGAGGGTCTTGATTTATGGCACATCACCATGCAATATGCTCCAGAGCCAACACAGGGATTACTTTCTCTATTTCCAAATATTGTGAAAATTTTTGACCATACTTTGGAATATGTAATGCCTAATCTGAGATTGATTGAAAGTTATGTGCTTCTTGGAAAATCACAATTTTTGAGTGCCTATGGTCCTCAACTCGGTTCCATATTTTTGAACGTTCTTTGCAACACAAAACCAAAAGCCATGTATTTATGCAGTACAGTGATTGAGACGATATTTACTGAATTTCCAGTGGAGGCTTCCATCAATTTTGCAAGACCTGTAAAGAAAATGATAGAAATATTCCTCAACAATGAAGAGAAGAGTGATGTATTGACTGGATTTTTGTGTGTATTTTCTCGATTGGTATTTTTCAGCAAGAATGTCTTGTATGAAATTTTTGATGCCATTCTCAAGGAGGGAACATTGAGAGAGATTTACATGAATGATCATCATAATGGTAACAACAACAACAATAACAACACCTCCACCACCACTACTACTACTACAACGACTCCAAATGCTATGAGTGTTGGTGGTGTTGGTTCGAGTTCTGGTCAGAGTGGTGCTGGTATTAGTGCTGGTATTGGTGGTGGTCACATGCTACTCGCAACAACAAAACCACCTCCTCAAACTCAACATGAACTTTTACTTCGATTCATTGATGCATGGACTGATCTGTCCGATTCTATTGTTTCTCCCTTCCATAGAAAATACAGTACGTTAGCATTATTATCCTTCTACCCTAGTACAGATTCAGAGATTTTGCAAAGATTTTCAACCATATTGGCAATTAGTATTCAAGTATTGTATGACATTGATGAGCAAAATGAATTGGCCAAGAGATTGACTGGAGAAGATGAACAACTCTCTTCCTCCACTCTCTCACCTCAATCACCACCTGGTACCATCGTGACGAAGAATGAATATGATCGAAAACGACAATCTGCACGAAACGATTCTCTCCTACATATGGATTTCTATTCCTATCTTGGATCTAAATTATCAGAAATGGCTCAAACATTGGGAGTGACAGAATTCAATGCATTCTTACAACAGAAGGTGGATGCTGTATTGCTTGCAAAATTGCATGAATTTGAAAAAAAGAGTCGACAACACTCTCAGCACTAGTAAAATGTGTGAATCATAGGTTGGAACAATCCATTCAATCCACTCCATTCATTCCTTCTTCGAGTATAGTTTCGATGAATCGAGTAGTAGTTTGGACATTAGGACAGTATACACTGTACAGTTACAAATTTTTCAAAAATGTTGTGGCGCCAAAACATTTTTGAAAAATTTGCCTCAAAAGAAATAACCATCACTTTTGCTTTTTTATTACTCACACACACAAACGATCGTACCACTACTACTACTACTGCTGCTGCTGCTGCTGCGGAATTGAGGCATTGACTTTCTTAATAATATCCTATCAGAAATGAAGGAAAGAACATGTCCGACTTGGGTCGAGTCGTCCCATCATCAACATTCAGCAAATTCATTATTATTGGAACCTCATCATCATCATCGAACACATCATCATCCAGCAACAACATTGACCAACCACTCAACCTCCTCCCAATATGACCCAACGTGTGGTGGAAATAGTAGAATGCTTACTTCACCTTCATCTTCTCCTCCCAGAACACCTGGTTATGAAGACTGTAAAAAGCAAAGTCGAGTCTATCTTCAAGATCATGGAATTGAAAAGGATTGTAATGGTAAAGTCATTTGTCCAGTGTGCTGTCAAAGCATCGAATATGGAAATGTTGAAGATCATATTGAAGATTGCCTTAATTTGAGAAATATGTTAAAGACGACAGGTGTATCATGTGTGACTCCTCAAAGAAAATCGAAACCCATTGGAAGGTTTTCACCTTTCAATTCATACCAACAAGATTTCACTTCCTATTATGGAGATGCGTACTTACTAAGCTCAACTTCTCCTGATCAACAAAGGAAAGATGAACAAATTGCACGACAAATTCATCTGACTGATTTGAAAGAGTTAAAGAAACAACAACAAGAAGAAGAATGTATCAAGTGTGATCGATGTGAAAAAAGTTTGCAAATTGACTCGGCAATTTTTCTTGATCATTGTGTCCATTCGTTTTGTGCTGAATGTTTGAGGAATTGCATTTCTCAATTTATGGACGAAAAGGAAGAATCCGATAATACCTCTTGTGATTTGTCTTGTATTCCTTGTCCAGCTGCATGTTGTTTTGAATTCATTCCTCAAACTGTCATTTCCCAAGTATTGACAGAAAAGGAAAAGGAACGACTCTCTGATTTGGGTTTGAAGAAGGCATTCAATAGTAATACTTTTGTCAAATGTCCAAACCCAAACTGTGGAACTGTGATTGAAAGAGTGCTTCGAACTCGAGAAGAAATCATTCAGGAAATTATTCGACAAAAAAGACCTCCAAGTGAGACTGAGGTACACAAAGAACAGTACAGATTCCGATGTCGAATATGTTCCACTGAATTTTGTTCCAATTGTCATTCAATACCTTACCATGAACAATTTACCTGTGCATCGTATCATGCATTCCTTCATTCTAAAAAGTGTCGATTTTGTGATAAAATGATTGACAAGTCCTCAAAGGATGTATGTACGAGTGAAGAATGTCAAGAGAAACTCAAGTATGCTTGTTCTCATGTACACAAATGTGGACACTTGTGTTGTGGTATCAAAGATGAATTTCTTCATTTGCGATGTCTTCAATGCAGTGATGAACTTGAACTTCAAGAAGGTGATGATTTTTGTAACATTTGTTACACCTCTTCTTTAAAACAAGCACCATGTATTGAATTGAAATGTGGACATATCTTCCACTATGAATGTATTCGAAAGAGACTTGAAAAGAAATGGTCAGGTGCTCGAATTACATTCAACTTTGAAAAATGTCCATTATGTAATCAAGTGGTGGAACACTACTCTCTCAAAGATTTAATCCTTCCTATTCGAGCATTGAAATCCATGGTTGAGAGAAAGGCCTTAATGCGAATGGATCATGAAGGTCTTTTGAAATGTGAAGAAGTTACCAATGAACATGGCAAGTATTATAAGAAACCATTAGAATATGCCATGAATACCTTTGCTTATTATCTTTGTTATGAATGTAAGAATCCATATTATGGTGGAAAGATTCAATGTGGTGGTGAAAATGATGATGAGAATGAAGATTTCAATGAACAAGATTTAAAATGTGGATCATGTTGTATGAAAAGCGTGAGAAGTAATTTGGTGTGTGATTTACATGGAACTGAATTCATCGAGTACAAGTGTAAATTTTGTTGGTAAGTGATTCCTGATGTCAAGAACGAATACACACACATTCACATTGATTCACCAACAACAACAACAATTATTTACTGTTGACGTTCTATTCAATTAATAACTACTTCATGTGTATTTGTTGTTGTTGTTGTGTTGTTGTTGTTATATATACTCACACACACATATACACACACATATACACACACATATACACACACATATACACACACATATACACACACATATACACACACCACCAATAGTAATATTGCCACATGGTTTTGTTGGGGAACCACTCACTTTTGTGACAAGTGCCATCGTAAACAAGTAGAAGTCCAACAACTCACCAAAACACCCAAGAGTCAACTTGCCAAATGTTTAGGTCCACAAAAATGTCCTTCTGGTGGTAATCATCCAGAGAATGGAGAGGAACATGTTCTTGGCTGTTCGATCTGTCGAATTAGTAGGATTCACATGGATTGAAAATGATGAATCTCATCTCGTAATGGTGCTGGTGGTGCTGGTGCTGGTGGTGGTGACTCTGTGATGTGTTATGGTGGTGTCGCATCAACTCACACTTGAGGAGTAGCAGCTGCTCCTCTTTTTGGCGCCAACACGTACGACCACTCTCAACAAGAGTTGGCGCCAACACACCTCAGAAAAAACAAAAAAAATGAACGATGAACAAATCCAACGAATCAGACAACGCAATAAATTGGCTGCCTACCAAAAGGCAATGCAGGAAGAGAGAATGAAAGAGATGGAAGAGAAGGAGCGCATGCTGAGAGAGAAATTGAGAAGACAAGATGAGATGATCAACCAGGCCATTGAGAAGCGGAAGAGAGAAACCATGAAGGCCGAAAAAACCATACAACAAATCCGAGCAGAGAGCGAAGAGATTCGGGAATTGGAATTAAAGTTACGAACTGCCTACGTGAATGTCGAGAGAGATCGTCAACTCAAAGCAAAGGAACAAGTACAACAGCAAGAGAGGGAGTATGAGAAAAAATTAGAGGAAGAAATGGAAAGGGAGAGATTAAAGATTGTGCAACAAATTAATGAGATTGAAGAGCAAAAGAGAGCACAAAACATTTTGGCAAAACAAAAGCTTCAACAACAAATGGAAGAAAAGGAACGTGAAAAAGAAATGGCCTATCTAGAATACCTCAGAGACAAGGAAATGGTGGATGCCATAACAAGACGAGTGATGGAAGAGGAAGAGCGTGAAATGCAAGAGCGACAAGAAAAGAAAAAGCAAGTTCAATCATTTATTGAAGAATTCAAGAAGGCAAGAGAAGCATCCAAAGAAAGAGAAAGAAGACAAAAGGAATTGGAAGAACAAAGCATTATTCAATACCAAAAATATTTGCAAATGCGAGAAGAAGAAGAGAGACTCAAGAAGGCCACTGTGCAAGAAAGAAGAGACAAACTTCTTGAAATGCAATCCAAAGAATTGGAAAAACAAAGAAGACTCATGGAAGAAACAGAAGAACTTCTCAACGAATTATATGAAGAAGAGAAGAGAGAGAAAGAAAGACTTAAGGAAATTGAAGAGAGAGAACGAAAGCAACAACAAAAGATGGAAATGCTTCGAGTTAACCATGAACAATTGATGATGAAACAAAACAGACAACAAGAAGAAAAATTGCAAGAAGAAGCATTTAGACAAATGCTCATACAAAAATTCGAAGACGACGAAAGAATTGCCCAATTAAGTGCTCAAAAGAAGCGATTGAAGATGGCAGAATTCAGAAGAGATGTCGAAGATTATTTATCTCAGAGACGAGAAATGAAAGAAATGGAACGTCAACAAATAATTTTGGAACAAAACAAGGAGATGCAAAGAGCTGCAGAGAAACAAAAGATCATCGAACAAGAAAAAGCAAGACTTATCAAAGAGCATGCGGCGAAAATACTTAAATATTTACCAAAAGGTGTTTTATCGAAAAAAGACCTTGCGTTATTACCCGAAGAGCTTCGACAAGAGATTGAAATGTCCTCAAAGAATGCTTTTCCTCATTACATGTAGATATTAAATTATTGAATTATTCACTATTATTTTAATAGCCTTCAATCATATGGTTTACAAGGATTCCTTGTCATTGGTCAAATTGTTCCAATCTTAATGAGTTACATGGTGATAAAATTGTGACAGGAAAGAATTGAAGATCAGTGAAAATAAGAATGTCTTCGTATTCGGCCTCTGCCACAGAGTGCTTGTGAACTATATTGCCATTCTTAATGCTTTTCCATTTGTATACCTTTCCATTGCTATTAATGATCATCATTAGTATTTTCCAATGTATCACTATCATCACTCTCTTCATTCATATCATTTTCAACCTGAATAATCAATGAACAATTATTACAATTAATATTATAGGACTTGAAATAACCAAGTGTTGTTTCATTACTACTTGAAATTTCATTCATAGAAATGATATACAATCCTCCACATCGACAATCCATCTCACAACAATCCATCTCTTCATTAAATCTCATTTCCGATAACAATACAAAATCACTAATATTACCAATATATTGTTTTTCTAAACTATACTTATTCAAATGATATTGTTTATCATAATTTCTTCTTTTTTTAGCATCCCGTAATAATTCATAGGCTTGTTGTAATTGAATGAATTTTTCATGATGATTCATTTCAGTAGAAATTGTAGAGGATGAATGATTATTGAAATTTACAGCTGCATCGGGATGATATAATTTTGCAAGAATTTTATATTGTTGTTTAATTTCATGAAGAGAGGCATGAGAGGGAACTTGAAGAATGTCGTACGGCGAAGATGATGAAAGAGAACAATTTTTGGAAGGAAACATTTTTTTCTGAAGAGTACTCGAGTGTGGTTGAACTCTAAAAGTCAAATTCCAAAGTCTTTCACACCACATTCCTCATTCAACAACGCTCCTCATGCAACACGCAGTGGAATTTCTGGGAGACGCTCAGAAAGAAAAGGTCTTTCGATGGACTAATTCCATCATGATGATCCAGCGAACACCCCAGCTAAAAAAAACTCGATCAATTTTGTTCTTAACTGTCGAACTTCAGCAAATTTGAGAGGTTCATCCTTCAGTGATGATATCGATACCAAAAGCATCCTGTCAACTTTCATTTGATCATTTTCAACGCATTTAAAAAACACTTTATCAACACGTTGCATCACTCTCCTTTGATATTCAAAGGAAACAATTACCCCACCCTATTCACCTTCATCATCACCGCCAATTATTGATCCCTATTTTTGTCATCACTTTGTAAATCACCACCAACACCACCACCACTGACACCATCATCATGAACCTCTCCAATCCTTCTTGGAGTGGTGGTGGAACTATGAACAGTGCAACCTCCACAACCACCACCTCCATGATTCTTCTTGTCAATTCCACTCAATTTCTACTCTCTTCCAATTCCATTCAAGATTTAACCATTTCCTTTGTGTCACTCTTTTTATGTCTCTTTTTGATTGGTATTTCAATGATTTTCATGATTCATTATTTGTGTGTCTGTTCAGTATATACATTTCGAGAATATTCTAATATGAGAAAATTAAAGAAACAAGGAAATGCTTCTCGATCCTATTATGAGAGTTTAATACCTTACAATGGAAGTGTCAAATTCTTTGAAACTTCACAACCCATTCTATTTATAGTATCTTCTTTTTCAATACTTGTGTGGACCATTGGTACTTTATTGTATTATAATTTAATAAGAATGCATTGGTATGGACCAGAAGATGCAACGAATCAAGTAGGATCATTTACTACTCGAAGAATTTATTGCATTTTCACATACATTTGGTTTCACTATCTTTGGGGATCAAATTTGTGGGGAATTGTCTTATTGGCTCGATTATTTTCTCTTTTTGTGTATAATGTGAGATTTGATTTGAAATCAAGAAAAAATTCAAATGCTAAAAAACAATACTATTCACTGGTGATGATTCTATTGATTGGAAGTGTGACAATGTGTATTGGAGTGGTACATTCTATATTTATGAAATTTAATACTCAACCGAATTATAGTTATAATACTAGTAGTAGTGTTAGTAATAATAGCAGTAGTCGTAATAATAATGATACTATTAATAATAGTAGTAATAATAATATTAATAGTGGTAGTATTGGTTATGAAGATTTATTGAATTCACCTATCGTGTGCAATCGATTAAATTCCATTCCAAGTAGTGATTCCTCAATTTCACAATACGATCCAAATACGATTGCATTAGTGTTTTTACAATATTTAATATTAGGTGGAATTGCACTGTTATGGATATTGAACTGTTGTGTTTATTTTAAACAATGTTTATGTTGTGCATGGAAGAATGAATTTCCTAATATTCTTTTTAAGAGATTAGAATTTTATATCTATCTCATCACTTTTCTATTCTATTTTTTGGATGTGACACAATTCAATGTGGTATCATTTTTATATGGTTTTGATCAAGTCTCTATTGAAGACATTCCATTAGGTATTCGATATAGTAATGTGTTGGCAATTCCAATTTTAGAAATAATCCTCTTCTTTGGAGTGAATGCCCATGTATTGTTTCGATTTTATTGTATATGCTGTTGTGGAAATAAGGAATATATTCGATCTTACAAGACTTATGAAGACAAACAATTGTCATGCAATATTGTTCTCGATACAACGAGATCTAGGAACACATCCAAATTATTATTCACTGGAACCACAGTCTCTTCCAACTCTCACATGACTCTTAATGATTCTTCAACAAATAGTTGTGGAGCTTGCACTGCACGACACATGACACATGTCATGACCGAATTGGATGAATATTTCAAGAGACCCACCAATATGAAGACCACTCTCTCTTCCATTGCAACTCACAATGTTTCACCACCACCAGTAGCACTCACCACCACCACCACTACTGTTTCGAGTAGAGAAGGTACCAATGTCATGTATAGTCCAATGAATAGCACTAGTCGTACTAATAGCAGTCATTCATTGCATTCCACACAACCTATTCTCACCACACATTACATTCCATCCAGAAACATTTATGTCTCAAGTCCTAAAAACAATAGAAATTCGTTGAAATCAGAGCCTTTACCCTATCATGGTTTAGAAAATTCAGGAAAGACAAGTAGTATGAAAAGTAATCGATCAAGTATTCGTTCGAGTTCATCCAAAAAATCATCTGATTCTCGAGTGCATTTCTTAGAATAGTCAAGAGTATTTTCATTGGCATTCGAATAAACTATTTAATCATCAGTGATCACGTGTGGTATACCTCCAAGGTCCAATGCGAGAGAGAGAGAAACGAGTTGAATTTACAATTGACAACTTCTCTCATCTGAATGACAAATCAAAGTAACTTTCCAACATGTTATTCAACCATCTGGATGCAATCAATTGCACCTATTCTATCGCACCACACCTGTTGCACCAATACTATTCGTTGGTCTATTTGTCGTGTGTTTGTTGGCGGCAGTTGTCAAAATGCTTGAGGCGATACTACTCCGAATGGTTGTGGATTTGACAGTACTCGTACTTGTATTGATTGCATCTTTGGGTGCATTCATTCCATTGTTATTGTTGTTGTTGTTGTTGTTATTCAGAACAGCAAGTCGACTAGTACTCTGACCAAAGGAACGAATGGATGTTTTTGATAGTCTTCCACTGTTTGCTCGAGACAAAGGTGGAGGTGGTGGTGGTTGAGGCTTACGTCTCATTGGAACACTTCCTCTTGCACAAGAATCATTGGGTATTCTCAAAGGCTCAGCACTTGGTTCAAGAGGAGAAGAACCTTCTTGCAAATGATTCAAAGCCATTTCTCCATCTCCTTCATCCTTTGGAATGAATGTATACTAGTCGAGTAATGAACAATCAGGATGTTGTTATAATGATAATGATTGAACAAGGAGTTCATTGAAATAAGTAGGATGTTCAACAAGGATGTTGTTATTGGAGTTCATTGAAATAACACATTGTTATCAAAAAGAATTGAAACATGGTCAGAAGAGGTTTTGTTGTTTCTTGTTCAGATCAACAACTTACATCAAGAATTGCAAACATCTTTTCCATACAATCGTCTACCGTGTAATAAACACTTTCCCTTTCAAAATGTCGTTCTTCAATAATATTCAATCCGATCCGAACGATTTCATTAGATAATTGAAAACAAAATTGTTCTCCATCTTCCATTTCAAAAACATCATCCAATTCTTTTTCTATTCGATTTATCATTTCAATATATTCCGGTGAAACTTGATTCGTTTGTGGTGATTGTTGTTGTGTCGTCATGGTATGGTCGTTCAAAGGATTCCTAATTTTATAATAAACGAATAACAATCAATAAGTAAATGATAAATATTTTTTTGTAAATTTTTCATGGCGCCAACTGGATCTACCAACAAGTCAGTTGGGTCACAACAATCTAACGACCTATGTTGATCAACATGTTGTTAGCGGAAACATCTCGAAATTCGTTCATGAACAGACGATGATGTTTATTTTCTTTTTAAAGATGGTGGATGTTGTGGTGGTTGGTATTGTTGTTGAGTGGGTTGATAATAATTGACTGGTTGATAGTGCTGATGCGATGAATGATTGTAGTGGTGCTGCTGGTGCTGCTGGTGTTGAGGTGGTTGAGATTGAGGTGACAAATCACAAACCAAGCACAACATTCTCAATGTATCTAAAAATTCTTTCAAATGTCTTACAAATTCCCCTAAATTAGATTTCACTTGAAATAGCCTCTTCACATCACATTCGACTTCAATTTCATAACATGAAAACTTTGAATCCTCATTAATTTCACCATTTCTTTTACAATTAAAAGAATCGACACTTGTCAAATCAATTCTGTAAAATCCAAATAAATAGGAAATTCTATCCTTTTTACGAACTTTCTTGGGTCGATCGACATCAGGATTTGGAAATTTATCAATACTTGATTCTTTTCTGAATGAAACTCTAAAATCATGAGAACGATGAGGACATGAGAAATCAATGTCTCCTCTTTCTAATCGTGTCTTAATCATTGCTCGAATGGGTTTGTCAGTTTTTGTATCAAAGGTCACTCGAATATCTTTGTGAGAGAGTTGTCCATATTCATCTCTTTCATCATCATCGGATGCTGGTAAATAATAAGCAAAGAATTTATCAGTCTCTTGGGCCTTTTTGTATTCAATTAATGGTCCATTGTATTCACCTCTTTTATGGGCCTCTCTCATGGCTGAAAATCTTTCATTCAATAATTTGTTCACGTGTTTGAATGTATGTTGAGAAATTCTAGAAACGAATTCACAATCTGATCTTTGAATAATAGCTTCAGATACAATTTCACAACCACTTTCTAATCTTGGTGATATTCTCTCTTGTGTTCCTTTTTGAACAATTAAGCCAATTTTTCCTTCAATTTCTAAACCATCTTCAGAAACTTGATTAATAAATACTCCTAATTTTCTAATGGATTCATCACAAATAAAATCATTTCCAAATAATGCGTTTGCACCGCTGATAAAAGGATGGTAAATTGATTTTTGTGGAATATTTGCATTGGGTTGAGTGTTCGCTTGCGCATTCTGTTGTTGAGTGGAAGTACCACTGTTACTACTACTAGTTGTCGCATTCAAAGATTCAGGTTGTTTTTGTGTGCTTGCTGATGGCTGTGTACTCTTTGTTTGTTTGTTTGATGTTTCTTTGGATGATTGTTTTTGTTTTTTAGGTGTTGGAGAACTTTTTGAATTTACATTGTGAGCTGTCGTTGAGGATGGCAATGCATATTGTTGTGGCATGAATTGATGATGTACAGTATTAGTAACAGAAGGAGATGTAGTGGACGGTGGTTTTGTTGGTGTACCACTATTTCTGCTCAATGTCATTGGTTGTTGATCTTCTTCTTCTTCATCTTCTTCATCATCCTCTTCTTCATCTTCACTTTCTTTAGATCTCTTCCTTGAAGAGGAGGAAGAAGGAAAAGCGTTCATTGTAGAAGCACCCATGGATGATGGAACAAATCCAGGCATCATCATTCCGAAGGTAGGCATGAATGTAGGAGGAGGTATTGATGATGATGGTGGTGGTACAGAACCTGTTGCTGTTGGAATTGAATTAAAAGAAGGAGGTGGTACTAGGGTGGATGATCCTCTGGGTGGTGGAGGTGGTGGAAAGGATTGCTGAGGAGAATACATCATGTTTGGTAACGGTGGAGGTGGTACATTGATCATGGATGGAGGTGGTACCGAAGATGATACTGCAGTATTGCTGGTTTGTGGGAGGAGGGAAGAAGCATACATGGGAAGAGGAGGAGGTGGTTGCTGCGGGTTCATTTTTTTTGGTCTTTTTTGAAAACCTTTCCTTGAGGTACTGGAGAAAAAGGGAATAAAGCCTCACACATTCCAATAAAAATGTTCAGACCAGATCAACTAGGACTCTTTCATCTCTCCGAACGCAACCATGAAGCATCTCTGCAAGAACAAGCCTCTAGTCCCTCCAACAAGTCTGTTCTATCATTTAAACAACAAGATTTGAAAGAATCCAATCATTTCCAAATTGCATGCAATCGAGAGAGAAACAATATGGATGAAGATGATGATGTCCTATCTTCAACAACCTTCCAATTGGATGATGACCTTGATGAAACCATGAAAAGCTTTCTTTCATGCCAATGCAAGGCTTGTAAAGAACTTTCAAGTCATCAAAGACCTCTCGGCAACAAGGATGAATTAATAGAAGAACCTTCTCATGATTTGAATGGAGCTCCATCTGGCTTGGAGGATCATTTGAAAGTGATTTCTGATGAGAGTCCCCATTCCCCTATGAAAGACAATTCATTCTATCCTTCTTCAAGATATTACAGCTGTGTTTTGGAAGAGGACATGACCAGAGAAGAGAAAGAAAGAAGAAACCAAGAGAGATTCTGTTGTTCAATGTTGACTGACTCTTATGATAAACATTTAGAAGAAGAATTCAAACAAGAAGACATTCAAGAGAATAAGATTGAATCTGTGTTGAAAGATGAAAGATGTGCGAAGGTCCTTTTACTTCAAACTCTTGCAAGGTGCACACTTGTGATGAAACACTTTTCATTCGAAAGGAATCAAATTCAACGTTTTCAAGCAGTGATTCGACAGTTTTTAGAATGCAACATGTTTGAACTCTCACGGAATGCATTAAGGAGGATACAAGCGATATGCAGAGGCAACTCGTTAAGAGTTCACTTTCATTGTGTTATTTCAATAATTCCTCTCATTCAAGCATTGATGAGAGCCTTGACCGTTCGGAGAAGAATGAACATGGTCAAGAGGCATGGAGAGAGAATCCTTGCACTTACACGAGGTGTTCTTACAAGGAAGATGACGAATCGTCTTGTTCTTCTTTCATTGCAATCCTCATCAGATTTAATTAGATCTGTTCAAACATCAAGTATGAAATCCAATGATGATCTAACATCGGAGTCACACAGTGATAGAAATGTCATGTCAGAGAAGAAAGAAGAAGGAAATGACAGCAACAACAACAACTACTACTACTTTAGTACTTCTAACAATTATTCCTTTACAGATGTTTTTATTTCCTATCAAGAGCCAACACTTTCTTCATTGAAAGGTACCGATGTGCCTGAGATTACCACAAAGAATTCCACGACAACCATCATGATCCCAAAAGAAACAAGAATTGCTAAAAAAAAGGAACGATTAACTGTTTTCCCTCCTCAAAGAAGCAGCATCCTTGAGAAAAATCTCAAATCTAAAAGGACAATGACATCTAAGGAAAAGGATGATCGTTCTCCTTGTGCAGAACCATCCTTGTCCTCGGAGGTGACAAAGATTCGAAATGTTTCCACCCTTAGCGGAGCTTTGTTGATGATAAGGAATGATATAAGTAGAAGGAATGATGAATTTTATGATGAACATTTGTTAATGTCTGAGAAAGATTTGTTAAAAGGAGAAGAAGAAGAATTTGAAGAAAATTCCAATCATGAGAGCTCTAAAGATGAGGACATTCCAAGTTCAAAAGTCTCTCAAGAAGAACATTTTGTTCATACAAGTTCTCATCTTATTATGAGTGAACAGGAAATGGAAGAATTATTTTCAAGAAGAGAGCAGATACAAGAAATGGAAAAACAAATTCAAGAATTGCGACAACAAGAAAGGTATGTTTGGAATTTCTTTTTTTCGACGATACTTTCCGAACATTCCATCTCTAGATCTCTTAAGGAACGTTCAAAAGTGAAAATTGATCTTCTTCACAAGTACAACAAAATCAAAGACGTTGGTCAGTTTTTAATTGACAAGCTTTCCACAGTTGAGAATCGAATTGTTGCAAGTATATACGAAGAGTATAATCTTGAAAGTGAGGATATTCAATAAAAATTTTACATGTTCAGTCTTTTTAACATATTTTGTTTTGCTCTCTCTTTGATGGAAATGGATCTATTGTTTGGATTTTGTTTCAAAATTTCATGACAAGAAAGAATATCTTTCTCTGATATTTCATGATTCTCTGGATAACTATTATGATTCTTGTTTTGTGTGAGAATTACTTCTTTTTGTTCAGAAACTAATCGATCTCTCCCATCATCATACTCTTGTGTAGCAGTAGTACTAGAAGTAGTAGTAGTAGTAGTAGTCGTGATCTGATGAGATAGATCTAAACATGTTTCTTTTAAGGATCTATTTTCAGAATGCAATTTTTCAAAGAGAGAATGGGTGAGGAGAATGGATGGTGCTGAAGGTGGTGTTTTTTGTTGTGGTGGTAGTGTTTGTGGTGATAGAACTTGTTGATCATTCTCCTTGTTGTTACTCTCAGCAGATAATACATGCGTGGTCCTGTTGAGAGGATTCTCCTCTTTCTTTGAGACTTCTTTCTGAGGAGAAGGTATGGATGGACAGCTGTCACTTCTTTTACTTCTCACCTTTGCAAAATTCGATAAATTCTTCACAATTACTGAATCATTTAAAAGTGGTGTTATGGAGGATGCTCTTGATCGATTCATTCTCATGTTGTGAAAAGGAGGAGATTGTCCATTCAATTGTTCAGCAATATAACTGTGTTGTCGATTTAAAAGTTCCTCAGCTGCAATTCTCTTCTTTTCTTCATTACTAGTGGTGGTATTCGTGGTGGTATTCGTGGTAGTGGGAGTATTATTCATGGGAGTATTATTCATGGGAGTATTATTCATGGTAGTGTTGATGTGTGTGAGAGAGTTCTTATTGTTGTGAGGATGTTTGTGAGGAGGATGTTTGTGTAGTCCAAGTGGTTCATGATGATGAAGTGATGAATGAAGGTGACTGTGATCATGAGGAGAAGAATGGACGGTTCTGAGTGTACTTGAAGTGTACCTGAGAGGAACTTGATGATTATTCACCATTCGAAAACGACCATTTTCATGGTTCTGGTGGTCATGGGTGTGATGGTCATTTTGGTTCTGATGGTTCTGGTGGTCATTTTGGTTATGATGGTCATGATGGTAATCCAATGGATGACAAGCTTCAGATAAAGAACCATTCCTTGAAGGATGGAAACCACTCCTTGTCCATATCATTTCTTGTAAATCTCTTTCCTCTCGATCCATTATTGGACATGCCAATGTCGTTGCACCATTAATGAACCAAACATTATTACACTTTTCTAAAATTTCTTCAAAGATCAAATTTTCTTCTTCCAAGGATTGAATTGGATTTCCTCTAAAATCAATATTTGTTAATTGTTCCAATTCCAATACTTGAGACATGTCATTCAATGTTTCAATTTCATTCTTTTGAATATTCAATACTTGTAAACTATATTTGAGAGAAGAGAGTCCATCTAACTTTTTAATTTTGTTTTCACTCAAATCCAATACTTTAATATTTCCATAAATTGGTATTGAATGAGAATTTAATTGAGATATTAAATTATTTCTCATCATGATAAACTCTAAATTTGGAAAGAGTCTTATTAAATTAAATAAATTCAATGATTTCAATTTGTTATGACTCAAATTTAAATATTGCAATGAGAGTAAAGGACAATTATTAGGTAATTTTCGAATTCCATCTTCAATGAATGAAATTTCATTATTCTCTAAATGTAAATGTGTAATGGAGGTAATTTTTTTAAGAATCAAATAATTTCGTAATTGAACCATTAATAATTGAAAACAAAGTACAACAACACCAGGTGATGATTTGTTTTCTATCATTGATGATGAGAATGATGGTTGTGATGCCGAATTCTTGAGATGTTCATTCGTAAGGCACATGGAATGATCATCATCTAGATATTTAAAAAGAGAACATCTTGTACAGTCGTCATTATCGTGAATGATTTGATTAAGGAAGAGGGAATCTGATGAGGAAGATCCTGCTGAAGGTATGCTCATGTTCCGATGGTAATAGGAGAGGTTCAAGATCAATTTTATCTCATATACGAAGATTATGGAGAGAGAGAGGGAAAGGCTTCTTCAATGAATTCAGTGGCCCTCGAGCGTTATTTTTTTTGGCGCTAAAAATGAGAAACGCCAAATTTCAGACCGTTATGAGAGACTCATTCTCTCACACACACACTCTTTAAAAAAAAATTAATCTACTACCTACAATTGAATGATGATGTCTTCTAATACCACACAAGAATTCACTCAATACCACCAATACCACCACATTCCACCTCTAGAGGCAGTCGTTGCTGTTCTTCTCCAATCCAATGGTATTGGCTACAAGGGTGATCTTCCATGGAGAGAAGATGGTCTTTCAGAAGATTTGAAACATTTTCAGGCCATCACTACTTCTCGGGATCCTCTCGTATTCCGAACTCCAAGCATGTTCAAACAACAACCACCAACATTATCACAGTCACCATCCTCTTCATCATCACTGACCTGTGGTAATACTACAACCACTCTGACCACTCTGACCACTACTACCACTACTACCACTACTACTACATCTGATTCATCAGATTTAACAACAACAACAACAACACCACCACCACCTCCAACACCTCACAAATTAAATGCAGTCATTATGGGTCGAAAAACTTGGGAATCCATTCCAGCCAAATTCAAACCACTCTCCAATCGAGTGAGTATTGTCATGACATCTTCTTCTTCCTTTGAATCATGCTCTCACACTCGATTTGTCAAGAATATCGATGAATTATTTGCCTTGTTATCCATCAATGAATTTCATCGAGTATTCGTTGCAGGTGGTAGTACCATCTATAAGATATTATTACCTTACACGCATGTGATTCACTACACGAATATTGTAGAGTCTATTACTACTAGTACCAGCAGTACCAATACTAATACCATTCAAGTGGATACCTATTTCCCAATTCGTTTATTACCCTCTCTCAATGGTTATACAAGCATACCTTTACAAGGTGGTGGTGGTGGTGGTAGTGGCAGTGGTGGAGTATTCATTCAAGTGATGATGACGACGGATGGAAATGATGAGCCCACCCGTCGAAGAATGAAACCCACCCGTCGAGAGGATCGAATTCAATACTATGAATTCTTAACCTTTGAACGTCGACATGAAGAATTCCAATATTTGGATATTTTAAGAGATTTGATCGTGTATTCGGGTTCAAGTATTCGATCCGAACGTACCGGAGTGGGTACTATTTCCAAATTTGGATATCAACTACGATTCTCATTAAGGAATCACACCTTTCCTCTTCTCACCACCAAGAGAGTCTTTTGGAAAGGTGTTGCAAAGGAATTACTTTGGTTCATCTCTGGTGATACCAATGCACGTACTCTCTCTTCACAAGATGTTCACATTTGGGATGGCAATGCAAGTCGACAATATTTAGATTCCATTGGATTGACTCATCGTGAAGAGATGGATTTAGGACCAGTCTATGGATTTCAATGGAGACATTGGGGTGCACACTATGAAACCATGCATACTAATTATTCTCAAAAAGGTATTGATCAGTTGAAAAAGTGTGTCGATACCATTCGTCACAATCCAACCAATCGTAGAATTATTCTCTCTGCATGGAATGTTTCAGATTTACCTCAAATGGCACTTCCACCTTGTCATTTATTATGTCAATTCTGGGTGGATACAGATACACAAGAATTGAGTTGTCAAATGTATCAAAGATCATGTGATATGGGTTTAGGAGTACCTTTTAATATTGCATCCTATGCTTTATTGACTTGTATGATGGCACAAGTATGTGGATTGAAACCAGGTGATTTTGTACATTGTTGTGGTGATTGTCATGTCTATTCGAATCATATTGAACCATTGAAAGTACAATTAGAGAGAAATCCCAAACACTTTCCAAAATTGTACCTAAATCCAAATGTGAAGGAAATGGATGATTTTAAATTTGAAGATTTTGTATTGAAAGATTATGAACCTCATCCTACGATCAAGATGGAAATGGCTGTGTAGTGGTGAAAATGTGTGCACGTTTCACTCGAATGTGCACATCAAACGGTAATATTCGGAGGGTTTGTTTTGAATGCATTGAAATGCTGTTGTAAATAAACATGTTCCAGTACACACTTGAAAAAAAAATGATCACACCTCCTCCCTCCACCCACGATGCCATTGTGGAACAATCAACAACAATTCCTTTATCATCATCACTACCCAACAATATCTCCATTCAACCCACATCACCTCCATACATGCTTGAACAATTACTTGAAACGATACGAGACTCTAAATCGTGTAGGTTTTTTATATCAAAAAGGCTTTCATCATCTTTGGAATTCATATTACAATTACTATGATCATCATCATTGTGTATCATTTAATGTCCATATACAAACACAATTTTCATCATCACCTCTATCACCTTTATCACTCATACACTTCTTCTAATCTTGTAGTATCGGATGAAGTATTAAAAGAATTGGCTCATCTCTTTCCTTCTACAACACTAGTTCATGCTCTTGAATTATTGGATAAAGAAAAGATTATTAAATACATGGCCACTCCATCACAACGAGAATTATATGCAGTGGAACCAACATCGAATCGGAGTTATTCAAGTAGTAGTAGTAGTAGTACTCACAGTGGTAGTAGAAGTAATAGTAGTGGTTTGAAACTCAATCACCTAACCAACAACAACAACAACAATTACAATTCAAACATGAACACCACCACCTCTTCTTCCTCATTCAAATCCTACAAGTGTATTTCTCATAATTATTGTACCTGTCAATCCTTTGCATTTGGTGTGATTGCAAGAAAAGAATCCAAATATTGTAAACATTTATTAGCAGTGATATTGGCAGATGCCATTGGATGTTACAAGACCATACAAGTCAAAGATAGTGAAATGGGTTTACTATTATTAGATGAAGAATAAGAGAGAAATGTATCAATGAATATGTGTGTGTGTGTGGTGACCATTAATTATTATTCACATGTGATGATCACCATTGTTGAGTGTTGTTGAGAAGTTCTCAAGAATTTTATCAATATTGATTGCAAGAATCATGTTGTTGATCCATTGGTGTTTTACTTTGTATTTCATAGTGTATGAATTTATAATATCATTCCTCACCAATGATATTCGAAATATTAATACTATGAAATAATATTAATAATCCATTCAATATTGATATATTTACAAATTTCTTAAATAAACATATCGCTCGAATGGTATCAGAATTATAATTCAATTTTAAATGATTCAATTGAGAAGAAATGATTTGTTCATCCTTTCGAATGCACATAAATTTTTCAACAATGGAAGAATGTGATGAAGAGTGAAGAGAGGAGAATTTCATCATCAACATGATTGAGTGATGTGGTTGTTGTTCTTTGGTGTGTAATGGTGGTTGTTGTTGTTGATGATGAGAATGATGGTCAATTGGTTGTTTCCAAAGTGAAATCAATAATTGAAAATATTCATTATTCATCAAAGAATAATCCTTCCAATCAAGACCATCCATCTCTTCAATACTACCACTACCAATACTACCACTACCAATACTACCACTACCAATACTACCACTACCAATACTACCACTACCAATACTACCACTTTCACTATTCTTTACATTCAATTCACAAAATTCTTTTAATAAATCACTCTGTGTTGTGTGTGGATCATCATCCATTATTATTGAGAGAATGCATTGCAATGATGACGATGATTCATCATTCTCCAAGAGTGAATTTGAAATATAGGAGCATATTTTAGATATTAATAAATCTCGGGATTGAAATGTATTTTCATGAATCCAATAATTTAGAAAATTATTTTCACTGGTTATTGTTGTTGTTGCAACAACACGGTTGATAGGTCCATTCACAGAATTTTGAGGATGTGATGGTGCACAATGGTTATTGGCGGTTTTCTTTTTAGATGATGATGAATGAATTAATTTAACGATATTACATTGTAATAATTGGATTCCTTTCTGAACACGTCGGGATATATTTTCAATCATGAGAGATTGAAATTCTTGAGGAGTATGATCTTGTTGAAAATCGCAGACGTGACACAACAGACGGTCCATCTATTCAATTTTTTTGGTATGCAAATTGGAGGAGTTTTGAAACGAAAACAAAATATTATCATGTAATGCTGCAACTTGAAACTTATCTATTGATTCAACTTCCAATACGGTTGACCTCTAGCAACCCACTTCCTTATGCGATTACTGTATTCGCATGATTGATCATGACAGTACTTGTTGAATGTTGTTGTTGGTTCATGGTTCAATAATTTAAATTATTAAATTGTTGGAGGCTAAATTTAAGAGAGTGAAGTCAACACGAGAGGATGCGTATTTTTGGCGAACAAAACTTATTTTTACATGTCAATAATGAATTACATCAAAAAATAAATCTATATCTATTAACTCCTACCATCATCGTTTTCTTGATGCTACAATATTAATTTCAACCACAAACAAACCATTCACATTCTCCTCTTTAACATATTCATTTTCCTTACTACATAAAGTTATAATGAACGTAATAAGAAAACAGTGAAGAGTTAAAAGATGTTCATTATCGATAATATCAAAATCGTACAATTATTATATCTTTTATCAAATATATAGAAGTTTCATGGAACAATGATTTATGTTGAATATTAAATCAACATAGATTATATAAATATAAAAAAGAATTATGATTTATTCGAACAGAACTAAAATAAATGGTTTGGTGACCAAAGGATGAAACATCCTAACCCATAATTCAAGTTCTGACCTTATGTATTGCTATTTACCATTTGACAGTTATAACATATGGGTTAATTGAAGCCTCCTGTACAATTGTCCCTTGAATTAATGGATAAATATGAAAAATATCTGGATGTTATATTTTGGAATAAAATTCATCATTGTAAAATTGTTGGAAAGTTTGAAAATATAATAAGTCAAGTAAAACAATGCCTGCTTCTGTTAGTGATGTCATATTCACTAATGTTAGTTCAGAATAAAAATTTCGTAAAGCGATGAAAACAAATCAATGACGAGAAAAGAAATAAAAAGTAAAAGTAAAGGCCAAAGTCAAAGAAATTACAACAAGTGTTTGAAATTTCTCTCGTATTAATGGGAGGGTGTGGTGGGTGCCAAAGCAGATGGCTGTGAAGATGCGACTGGGTTGCTCTTTTGAGAGTTGCTTGTGCGTTGGAGGTTGACAAAACACTTCTGTTCCTTTGCAAAGAACTATCAGGTTATTGAAACCACTTTATTTTCTGATCAACATATCAGACTGAGTGTTGTTAATAAGGTTATAACTTTTATTGCCTAGTCATGACTGGGACTTTTGTTTACAAAGTTTTTTGCCTTTTGTAAATATCCAGTAGTATAGTATCAAACGTGAGATGTTCTTCGTAAGTAGACGGGCACTTCTATCTCTTGGATTCCTCTTCTTCACATCTTCTCTTTAATTGTTTCATTCCCTCCTCAACTCTCTTTGCAATTGCCAAATACACTTGATCGAGTTCCATTTCTCCACTTCTTCCCTTTTGTACTAAATCTTGTACTTGAATTTCATCTCCTTCAAACATGATGGTAATTTTCTTTCCAATTCTAGGTATTATTCCATCATAGGGTAATACATCAGATAAACCATGATGATAAATTGGATAGATATGAGGTGTAGGATCACAATCATAAATTAATTTACCAATTCCTCTTCGACATGTATGTATTTCACCATCTACATAAATTCTACCTTCAGGAAATACATTAATCCAACCACCATTCGATAGTTTGTGTACAATTAATTTCATTGCATCTTGTTCCAATCCTCCTTGTCTCGTAATGGGTAATACTTTGACTGTTTTGAAAAATTCACCTAAAAGAAAATGACCAAAACACATATCACTGGCACAGACAGCATATCGAATCATATCAGAACGTAAGAACCAACTCAATGGACATAGACCAGACATGAGAATGGGTTCATCCAACATGCTATTATGATTCACTACTGTTAAGAGACCACGAATAGGTTGTTGTTGTTGTTGTTGTGAATGTGATGAATGTACTGTTGGTGGTGGTGAATGTGATGAGTGTACTGTTGTTGGTGACAAGGAATCACCACCCTTAGGATGATGATGATGGGAAGAATCCATCATCGAATGTGATTGTTGTGGAGATGGGTCGAATGGATCTACTCCACTTGCAGTACGATCATCACTCATGGCAAGCATCTCTTGTTGTTGAACTCTTTCATAATGTTCCTCAATTGTTTTTCTAAATAAATCTTTTCCATAGAATTTGGAATGATTCAAAACATTAAGAAAGAATTTAGCAAATGTTCCTAATCCTATAATTAAACTCAAAGACATGATCTTTCTCATGATACTAAATTTAGAATAATCGTAATGAAAATATAAATTATAATTGAAATAGGGAAGTTTTGATAAATCTCTTAATATGGAACAAAATGGAAATAATTGAATTTTAAAGATGGAACAATGTTGAGAGAAAGGAAAAGTGGTACTATTATTACGATCGTAAGTAATGGTGGTGATATTACTATTGGTGGTAGTAGTAGTAGTACTTCTCATGGTGGTGGAGTGGAAGGATGATGGAGAACCATCTAAGTGAGTGGTGGTGTTGGTGTTGTTGGCATTTCGGAAAAAGTATGGAGATGGAGGAAGAGATTGAAAATATCGAAAACATTCTCTTAGAAGTGATGGATAGGATTGGTCATGATTGGATGATGGTGATGATTGAATGTAATATAACACTGGTATAGTCTCCTTCTTCTTCTGGTTGTTGTAATAAGTATTTTCGGGATGAGGTTTTATCATAAGGGCAATAGAAGAAGAGAGTCGTAATTGTGAGGACGACGAGGATGAGAGAGGGTGGTCCGCAGCACTGTGTTGAATCGATTTTGAAGAGGATGTCGACATTGAGGACACTCCCAGATCCTGTCGATGTTGTTGTGAGGACATTTTTTTGCGACATGTTTCAAGTCATCACTTTAATTGAAAAGGTTTAATTTAAATGGAAAGTTGGAAACAACACTGTGAAGGGATATGAGGTTGTTGTTAATATTTAATTATAATATTATGAACAAATTAAAATATGACAATATGACGAATTGAAAAACACTTTTCTCCAAAGATCATTTCATTTCTCAAAGCCCTCCTCTTACAACCGTTAAAATTAAAATTTATAAAAAAAACAAAAAAATGAATAAGGCTCAACCGTTAACCATTCAACTTCCCCCATACAACACCAACAACTCAAGTCAACCACCTCCACCTCCTTCCTCATTTCCTGGCTATTCTCAACCACCCCAACTTCCTACTAGTAAATCATCATCATTCCCTTTCAACCTCGGGATTCAGCACAATAACCCAACATCGGGATCAACCACCATCGTTCCACCTCCCTCTTCTCCTCTTTCAACATCAACAGCCTTCCATAACAATGGTAATATTGCAATAACAACAATACCATCTCTCCCACTCTCTCCAATTCTTCAAACCAACATGTACAGTAGTGGGTCAAATTTACCTAATAATACGACCAATTCATCTGCAACGTTCCTTGTGTTTGGAAGGAAACTTGATGTTTCCGAGTTACTTGGTAATAACAAACAACAAGCACCACTCTATTCCATGATGAGAGGATGGTATTTATCCAACTTTGAAAAGAAAACTCACCCAAACGCTCTACCTGCAGTCGCATCTTCGACCTCATTAGAATCATCCTATGTGGTTATTAGAAAGCCTCCGGTTTCAAATCAAAGATTCCCTCTTCATTATAAAAGTGGTACAGAATTGGTGAACCGTAGAGGTAGATTCAAAGATAAGAAGAATCTAGTTCAAGAATTAAAAGATTGGTGCAAGAAATGTAAGGAAATGAGAAGAGAGGAACGAAGAGTTCGAGAACAGCAGGAAGAATTTCTTTGCAAAGAAGTTGTGTTGTAAATGCAATCAACGACTTTCAGACTTGGAATCATCCGATCAGAATGAAAACTACCTTTTGAAAATACATCGATGTCGAAATTGACACATTGACCAAGATTTTGCTGAACAAGATGAATCAATGACCCCAAACTAACTAGGAAATGGTAGATGCTTGTCGAATTAGCCCGTTCATGAATTGGCACTGTCTGTAAATTCAATAAAAATGTCCAAATCACAATCTCAACCTGTAACAACGAGTTATGCCTCGCGAGTGATCAAAAAGATAAAAGGCAACAATGGAATGATGGGAGGTAGGACTGCCTCACCACATGTGATGAATACTTATAGTAATCCTAACAACCAAATTGATTTAAAATCCTCTTCATCCTTCAAAAATCGATTGCTACGAGTGGTGAATCATCTCCGACCTTCCTCTTATGAATTTTATTATTCGGATCCATCATCACCCCATGGTGGTGGTGGTGGTAGTGGTAGTGGTGGTGGTACTCAGTCCGATCATCATCACTCCATGTTATTAGCAACATTGGATTCGAATCTACACACCACCCATCATCGTCCTTCCTCGACGACAGCACAACATGGAACATTCGAAATGTCAGAGGATCATCAATCTTCTCTCAGTTTTCTTCACCATCAACAACAATCATCTCCTCTCTTTCATCATTTATTTTCTCATGATTCATCGATCAATAACTCGACTCATTCTTCGAGTCAACACAACACAATGATTCATGGATCATTAAGAGATTCTCATGATTCCGATCATATCTTTATACATCCTATTCAATCTTTATCAAAATTATTTCAATTTATTAGAAATACTTATTATGTCTTGGAAATGGTAGATGAGGATGAAGATATGAAAAGATCAATACCAATTGAAAATAATTCAAAATCTTCAAGTAATAATCAATCGAATGAAAAAGAACATAGATTCAAATCATCATCACCTGTTGGATTTGAATTGGATGAAAATGATCCTATTATGGATTCATCCTTTCAACTTGAAGTCATGAATCATAATAGTACAAAAGTCATGAATAGTACTATCATTGATCAATCATCACACACACCATTTTATTCAAATATTGACAAGTTTCTATTTCGATTATTTGTTTCGAATGATACCAATGATGCTACTACTTGTCATCCTCAGACACCAGGTGGTAACAGTACTATTCTTACTGCTACCCATACTGCTCATCCAAGTGGTAAGAGTACTGTTCCTACTACTACTGTTCCTACTACTTCAACTCTTCATAGAAATACCACAACAGATCGAAAAACATCCATCTCAGAAATCTCTTCTCACCATTTGCAACAAGGTGATGATTCGAACAAGAATACTTTTATGGATCCATTATCCATATCCACAACATTACTTTCACATCATCATCATGGTCTTTCCAATTCAAACTTATCAACAACACAACAACATTCAATTCATTTCAACTCTCCAACAACTTCAAATGTCATCATCTTCTTCATTGAAACTATATTCTCTGTGATTAAATCACTCTCACTCATCACTCTTGTCACAGTGAGTTATATTCATAAGAGATTTGACAAGTATTTAAAACCAATCATTGTGATTGAATTTGGAAAATTAGAGAAATTATTAGGAAAATTAATTTATAATTTTAAATTATATTTTAAAATTGGAACCAATGCGAAATTGACCATTGCTCGATTACTTGCTAAAATTAGAAATAATAATCCAAGAAATTTCTACATGATACTCTCAATATATTTGAGAATGAGAAATTGGATGCATATTCCAAAATCATTTATTAATCAAATATTTTGGACTGTCACTTCTATATATTTTAATATTTTATTATTTTGTATTTATTTAATTGAAAAAATTGTATCACCAAGATTACTCTATTTATTAACAATGACTAATGACAAGTTAATTGAAATATTAGATCGAGTATTAAGTTTTGTTGAATCTTATTATCATATTGTGATTGAAAATGATCGAATGGTAGGAGTGAAGAGACATTCGACATTGAGTTCCACACAGTCTATGAAAACATCAATCAGTCCTTTACAAGGAACTGAAAATTAAATTCATTGACCACATCACACTACACTACTACCCGTCCGGTTTGATTGTCGTTGAGCGGCTGAGGTGAGCATTTTGCTCGATCAAGAATGGACCTCACTTTTTAAAGCTAGCTTGAAACGCTCAATTCTATTTAAAAGGAAATTGATGCAGAGAGAAGCATCATAGATTCTACTCGAATGAAACGAACCTACAATTAATTGAACAAATTCAACACTCTGAATGTCAGAGTCTCACAGCTGTGGGAACAGAGAAAGAACAAACTCTCTACAACACACCACAGATGAGAAAGAAGAACAAATTCTCTACAACAACACCATTGAATCATTATTAGGAGTAACGAGCGAGGGTCAGAACGATAGCCCCTCATCGAGAGTTGACCAGCTTTTTCATTGTAAATCCATTCATACTCACTCGATCATCATTGAGGAAATTTAAATAGATCGATCAATATTGATCGGATTTTGAAAATAGTAGACGCTGCGCTGAGCAATCAAATGCATCCGATCCTCATGGTTAATTAAATTACCTCATTGTAATGAATCCATATGGACTCTTTGTATATCCATTTCATATCAGTAATTGTCCTTTCCTCAGATCTGTCCTACAAATTCCGCAATGAAAATTGTATAGGACTCAATTTCAAACCAATGAAATTAGCATTTTAATGTGAGCACACATTTCGGGTGTGTTTTGGTCCAAATACTTCCACCTTGAAAGACAGTCAATCCAATTAGAGTGTATTTACTTTTCGTGAAAACACCAAGCTCCGAAAAAACTTTTAAAGTTTTCTTGAGAAAGAAAATTATCGCCTTAATCAAATGCAAATAAGTCTTTGTCAAAGGGAATGATCATTATCTATAATATCAACTCCAAAAACAGCAGATTCTATCAAAAGAAAGTCCGATGTGGACACCAACAACAATCCACAAAGTAATGATGAAGGAGAGGAGACAAGCAATTACTCTCACCATGATGATCATGAAGCGTATTTATTTTTCAATCTTTCATGACAAGAATAAATTCTCTCTAATTAAGGCATTAAGGCTTTATGTGATACATCGTTTTTCAATCAATGGCAGATTTGTCTTTATCATTGAATGTCATCTTTTATTGTAAGTCAATTTTTCAGCAATGACACTCATCTCTCACCACCTATTGCATCCTTTTACAAACTCGATCAATCTTCACCTTGTAAAGTTCAAAAAACACATGATGATGATCATCCTAATCAGGAACAACAACAACAGCAATACATGTATACAATCATAACCTCATCATACTCTCCAAATATTCCACTCATCATCACTCACACTCCAAATATTCCACTCACCACTTGTGGTGTAAAAAAGAAACACACCAACGCACTCATTACACACAACACACTCACTACCATAAATTCTCTCTGTCTATAAATTACTTTCAAATGTTCCATTCTCAACAGTGGTCCCTTCACAAACTTGTGTTTACAATATTGAAAATACACTAAAAAGAATACAAAATGTGCTAAAAATATAAATAATTGCATCGCCACAAGTATTAATAATCTCTTCCAATGTAATATTCTTCTTGATACCACCAATGAATAATAAATATATTCAAATAGATTCATTTGATCAATATTGTATTGAGATTGAGAGACATCTGTAGAGACCACAAAAAAGAAGAATAAAGATCCAATTATTAAACATGTGAAATAGATGAGTAAAATAATTGAAATTGTTTTAAAGGTGAGAAGTGAATAGATTTGAGAGAGAATGGAAGAAAATTGATGAATGAATTCATGATCATGTGTGTACGTGTGGATGATGGAAGATGGAAGAAGATTCTGTGAATTTTGAAGTGATGATGAATCTATTATCATGTCACGACCAACATGTGATGATGATGAATCTATTATTTGGTTTGGATTCATACTATGTGGATTATTTTTCATCCTTTGATGATGATTATTCATATCCATTATTGAATCGAGAGTGTGTTGATGTTCATCATCATCATCATGATTGGAATCACTCATCTCATCATGATTGTAGTGGTGGTCAATGTGGTGGTCAATGTGGTGGTCAATGTGGTGGTCAATGTGGTGGTCAATGTGGTGGTCAATGTGGTGGTCAATGTGTTGTTGATTCGGGAAACTTGATGGATCAAGCACAGACATTTTTTAAGAGTTGTTTTCATCAGCTCTTGATTAACATAAACACGCACTCAGAGGTATCATCATCCTACTAGGTCCAATCATGATTTGGTTTTAGTGTGCTTGTTGTCAAGATTCTCTCTTGAAACACATGCATTTGTGAACTTTTGAGATATTAAGGTACAATCTTAAAGTGATGATGGATGATGTTTGAGAATATATTTAGTCCAAAATCATCCTTGTTCCAAAGACCAATTTCATCCATGGTCTCTATTAATTGTGAAATACCACACACACCCCCGCACACATTCCTTTGTACAATCCCGCCTAGCGTATGCGCCTCTCGCGAGTAACTCTTATGATGCAGCTGATTGTGCAAGTATTGCGAATGGCGGCAAAAAAAACAAACACACCATCTTCAAATCGACCATAAAAAATACGTGTCGTTTTATATAGATTCTCAAAGACTCTCTCTTGAATCCAAAATCATCACATCCGAACCCTCCTCTCCTCTCTACAAGGAGAGCACCCATCCATTGTTGTTTTACCTCTCAGACTCATTCCACTGTTGCCTCCTCCCCTATTTTCCATCCTCATCCCCACTATTTGACTCTCAAGAGTGAGTAAACCCACCTTTCCCGAGCGATCAGCACAACAACACCTTCAAAAAAATATCAAATGATCACTTGTTGTTCCTCTCCAACGACAAAGACGACTATCACCCACCCAACAATCACTCCCATCCTCAACCCCTTTGAACGTTCATTTATTGCTCGATTCACAGGTAATTATTCATCTTGTCGTGAAATTGTTCAAACAAGAATGAACCATCATGATGATGAATACAATAATTTTCAAAACGGAATTTCTTATGGTGTATCACTTTTGGAAAACTGTCAGAATAGAAGATATCCACAACAAGAACAACACCACTCCATTGACCATCAACATTGTTCGAATAGATTCAATCCTTCTTCATTCATGATGAATACAAACCATCACTACCATCAAAACCATCACCACCATCAACGAAGAGTTTTCTTCAATGGTGTGACCAAACGAAGAAGACCAAAAGCACTGTGTTTCACTCCACCTTCTTCAAGCAGTTCTCTCTCTTTTGCATCACCATTGGAAGGTAACACTAAGAGAAATGATGCATCCTATCCTTTTTCCTCGAGAAGAAGAAGAAGACCACCACCACCACCACCACCACCACCACCACCATTCACATCCAATCATTCATGTTCTTCTTCTGCCACCACCACCAACATGTTGCGAATTCCAAGTCATTGTCATGATGATCTCTCTCATAGACCCAACAACACATCTCCCATCATCTCAACTCAGCAGAACCTCTCTCGTTCCTCCAACCACACCAACCACACCACCACCACCTCTCTGATGATGACAACCACTTCTCTCAAGAAATCTCAATTTCATCCTCTCTATGTGGTACCAAATGCACCTCCATCCACAACACCGACCACTCCAATGACTCCTACCACCTTTAGTAATACTCCAACACCACCATTGTCTTCCTTTGACACGATGGCACCTCACAATAATAATGATTTTATTATCGATAATTATCATCATGCATTGGTGAGACATATTCATCCTAAACCTGAATTGAATCAATCGGTTTCATCTACAACCTCACAACCATCTTCTCTCTTTTCCTCACAATCTGACATTTCCACTCAAACAAATTCACCATTTTCACCTTTCTCTGATTTTTCGGAATGGAATTTGGACATGTCAGGTTCCATGTTTGATATTATTGTGAATAGTAGTGATGACAATGTCTCTACACGACCATTCAGCAACAACAGTGATGGTGGTAGTGGTGGTGATAGTGGTGGTGACACTCACATGACGAGTGAGAGTAGCAGTGAGCAGATGATGGATTCATCCATTCATTCTTCTACTACTATTCGAACTGTTTCTTCTCGAGTGAATCCTTCGAATGGAACAATGCTGTAGCAATAAAATTCATTTAAAATTCATTTAAAATTCATTATTCATTAAATGAGAAGGTATCGGACTTGAAACTCTCATTGGTGTGTTCTAATATTGAATGGTTTCTGATGATCATTGACCACCACTATGAAGGTACCTTCACCATCACCACCGTCGATACACCGATTAAAAAATATCCTTTCAGCCCATACCACCCAATCCCAATATTAATTCTTTCATTTTCCAATTTTCTCCAACCCACACAAACATCATACCACGTTGATTAGTAACCAACGTAACCAACGTAACCAACTAGAACATCGGAACTCAGTGACTCCAACAAACACTCAACGTTGAGTAGAGAACGACAAGATCATCATCATCATTACTGTCCAATTATTGAATATATTTTTCATCATTCCCTCTCCAAGACTTGTTGTCTCGAGAATTGTTTAACCAAAAGATCACAACACGACCACTACTACTACTACGATCAATACTACTACTACTACGATCAATACCACTACTCCTCGTCCTTACACACTCCCATCATCATTCATCTCCGAATAACATCATGTCAATATATATTTCATCACGGACGATCACAATAATATTATTATGCTTGACACTCGTATTTAATGTTGATTCGAAATGGATTGGTGTGTTCCGAACAGTGGAAGCAACACCAACAACCACTAATTCTCAAATCACGACCACATGGAATACCATTTCTTCTTTCGATCGTCATTCTATCAGCTCTACATGGAATTCTTCTCAAAACAACAATCTTTTATCACTTCCAGGAGATGACAAGGATGATTATGTCCATCCAATATTTATTTGTTTTTTTGTGTTTTATTTCTTTGGATTTTCACTGGTCTTTTGTTATGCTCTTCATTTACTTGGATCTAAATTTGGAAAATGGTATAAAAATTATCGAACAAAAAGGAAATATTTACATGGAACTATGATTCGAAATCGAACTCATAGCAATCAGAGTGGTGGAAGAGGAGATATTGTTACTCCATTCAAAGTTACAAGTGTTGTTGAATCACATACAGGAAATTCTAATGCAATACATTCATCACAAAACCATCATATTGTTAATAATTATTTATATCCCATGAATCATCCATCGAATCATATTTTACAAAATTTATTTTATGTTCAAATTATACCTTACTTTCTGATTCGATTTTTAATTTATTTTCTAATTGGATTTGAATTAATACCTAAGGATTATTTTGACATTGAAAATCATTGGGCTCAATCTCAGATATTTCTAGTAGCATTTTCATTGAGTGGAATATTATTACACAATTCCTATTTTTTAATTGTAAGTCATTCATTCTCTTTTTAAATATTTTTGAATTTTATTTACATTTATCTTTAAATATTCTTTTGAATTTTATATTTACCTTTAAATATTCTTTTGAATTTTATATTTATCTTTGAATATTTTTGAATTTTATATACTAGGCATTCTTTTGGAGTGAATTAGAAAGTTTCAAAAGAGGAATTCCCACTCGTCAAAAAAAACCTCTTCTCATTTTTATTACATGTAGTTTAATTTGGTTTGGAGCTGAAATTGCTATGGCTGTTCTAGTATTTGTGAAATGTTATCCAAATTTATATTCACCACCTTCCAATACAGTTTGGTTCACATGGATTGTGAGAGTAGAACATGTTCTCAATGCCATTTTAAGTCTAGCATTAATGATATGGTTCATTATTTACTCAACATGGAAAAAGAGATCCATGTGGAATTTAAATTTTGATGAAGGATTGAAATATTTAAGAACAAGATATTCACGACGTCATCGTGATGATGATTTACGAAAGAAGATGACTAGTAAGACGAGTAGGAATATTGTTAATAGTAATAATACTATTAGTAATAATAATAATAATAATAATAATACTACTATCAGTAATAATAATAATAACAATACGACAATGACGACTACAACTACAATGGTTCCAGTGGATGAAACTTCCATTCTGATACCCAAATCTAATTCTAATTCTAATAATAATACTATTCATGAATATCCCTTTCAACAGCAAGAGAATTCATGTCATCACACCTCTCAACCTTCATCATTGCCACCATCAACACCACTCAAACCATTCTCAATGGTGAATCATGGTAGGGAAACTCCTCACAATGATCAATCTCAACAACAACAACAACAATTATTAGCATCTCAACATTCCAATTCCACCTCTCAATATACATATCTTTATCACAACAACAATAATAACAACACAACTCGTGGACCACATTTAATTACTCGAATCGAAAAGACAAAGAAATGGCTCTATCGATCCATGATTGTGTGTATTCTCGTCTATTTATTACAATCCTTGTCACAATTAATATTTACAGAAATATTTATTGCATATCATTCCAATGATAATGAGACAACAAATGGTGGTGTTCTCATTCTTTACAATTCCTATATCATTGTTATTGGATTAATTAATTCACTCTCTGATTTTACACCCTTTCTCATGTGTTACATTTTCCACAAATCTAATGAAATTGTAAAAGATATTGTCAGACAAGATATGAATAGTAGTGGTGGTGGTGGTGGTAATTACGATGTCATGACTCATGAATCATCCTATAATATATTAACAGGAGATGGATATTATTTAAATTCACAACAAGTATCCACCGATGATGCAACCTCACTCAGAGAAGAAACTGAAGATGATGATGAATTACCCATTCCAATCATGATGATGCAACCACAACAAATGAACACCATCTATGGATCTAGTAATCATGACACCACCATCACCATCACCACTACTACTACTACTCATCACTTGATTTCAAATCAACAACAACAACATGACCATCCTTCTCAACTTGCATTACTCCCAAGACAAGAATATATTTCTCATTTACAAGATTCATCACAATTACTACTGAGAAAGACAAGTGTTACATCGACACCCTGTTCAACAACCACAGACATGTCCATGACTATTACTCCACAGCATTTGATGACTGATGGGATGGTCCAACACACTCAAGTTCACACTTCTCAGAATTTCTTTTCAAAATTATTCAAAAAGTGGAGAAGTGATGATGAAATGCTCGTACAAGTTCCTTATAAAGATTAAGTCTCTTATATATTGAATTTCAAAAAACTTTATGTGTTGTTGTGATACCGGTATCGATCGGATCACCATCACCACCAGGATGGAAAATCGAAACCAACCTGTTGAAAAATCTTTAAAAAAAATATTGAAATCGCGATTGAGTAGAGAGCGTTTTGATTGTGGTGGTGGTGGTGGTGGTGTACAGTCGATCGATTCTTTTCTTGTCATTACACGTGTAACGTTACAATCACACCATTATCCTACTTGCTCGGATTAAAAAGTCTTCTTCACATGGTGGATCAAATATGAAATCAACAACAACTTCTTCGAACAACAAACAACAACCTTCCATTCCAAGATCCAAACCATCTTCCTCATCATCATCATCATCGGAACATCAAATTTTTGACGCTCCTCACCAACCACCTCCTCCTCCTCCATTACTTTCCATGAGTAGTACGAGTCATCACCACACCAACCAATCATCCTTTGGTTACAATCTGACCACAGACATGACAAGTAGTGGTGGTGGTGGTGACAGTGGTGACAATATGCAAATTGTTGCACTCTCCAAAGATAAATATGAAAAATTAATTAAAGAATTTCAAAAATATAAACAAAAGTATAACAAGTGGAAAAAGATGGTCCAACAGGTATGTGGTTTGTGATGAAGAGATTGAAAAATTCACACTCTCATTGAATCCTTGATGAATATTTTATTATATTTCTATATTATTCAATCACCTTGTGAATATTCAATATTATTCCATCACCTTGTACAAACAACTCCTTCTCACACACACTTCTCCAATTTCACTTCTCATCCAATAGGAAGAATCCAAATGGAAACAAACTCAAATAGATTTAGAAAAGAAAGAATCTGAATTAAAAAACAAAATTGAAGAAAATGATATTCTCACTTTCAATAATCAAAGATTAGAAAAGAGAATGGCTCAACTCATGTTTGATCTTGAAGAACAAGTGAATAAGAATAGAAATCTCAAAAGTAGTACTTCATTCTTTTCAGGATTATTTGGAGGTGGAACGAGTGGTGGTCAGAGTGGTTCAACCAATGACCATCATGCTCCTTCCTCGAGTGCTTTTTCCTTTTTTGGTAGCTCTAATAACAACTCTCAAGATCTTTACAATGAATTACAAGTCCTAAAAGAAGAATTAGAATCTAAAATCAAAGAAAATGAAGGAATTCATATTCATTTATTTGAATTGAAACAAGAACATGAAAAGACGATGGCTAAATTCAAACATACGATTAGCGATTTACAACATTCCATTTATGGAAAAGATTCTACCATTCATTCTCTAAAAACAGCCATCGATGAAAATTGTAAAAAATTTACAAATGACAAACAAGTCATGAAAGACAAAATTAGAAATTTAAAACAAGATATTAGATATAGAAAAGACTCTGAAAATATCATTCGTAATTTTACATTGAAACAACATTCTAAATTAATTGATTATGAAAATTATATTGATCGAAAGATATTATTTGATGATACCAAAATAGATTCTCTCAATTTATTGAACATTCCAAATTGTAAAAGAAATCCTCTAGAAATTGAATTATTAGAAAATTTAATATCTATTTTAAATAATCTATCAAAGAATATCTCAAGTACTTATTTATACATTCCACAAAAGATTCAACATTTAAACAAACTTACAACAAGTCAATCACCACTATTGAGATTTATTAACTCTAAAATGAATACTCAAATCGACATGTCCACCTTTCCTAATTTATTTTCTAAAATTATCAAACAATGTGAACTGTATGCAAAATATATCAAAGATCAAAGTAATAGTAGTAGTAATATCACCTATTCATCCTCTGAGATTCATGTCATCCATGAGAATGGAAATGATAGTGGAATTTCAATGACCTCTTCTCTCTTACAAACTCTCTATTCTACAGTGAAAGATTTATTGAATTATAATCGTAAATGTTTATTGTATTTGACAGTCACTTCACAAGAAGAAGAATGTGAATTGAGAGAAGTGGTGAACAGTAGTGGTGCAATGACCAACACCAACACCACTCACTCACATTCCCACTCACATTGCCACTCCCATCATCAACATCATCATTCAGACATGAATCTGAGTTTAAATGTTGAACATGATCCTAACCATGTGAATGAGGAAAGAGATGCTGACAATGACGATGAAGATGAATATACACCCTTTGAAGATGGAATTTTTATGAGAAATACGATGGCCACACGTTCATTGAAGTATCTCTTCTACTTGTATGAAAAATTTATTATATTTTTAGATACCTTTTATGTGAGGCGATTGGAAATTGAAAATTATGAACCCATTCAGAGATGTTTGAGAAGAGATGAAAAGAAGATACGACGAGTGTTTTTAATGAATCATGTTGAGGAGAAGGAGGAGAATTCAACAACAAGTGAACGAACAGTCTTATCGAATTCAAATCAAAGGATGATGACATTTACCTCTTCATCACAAACACCACTACAATTATCATCACAAACACCACAACAACAACAACAAGGACTCTTATCACAACAACAACATGATGCATCATCATCACGTAATGAACACGTTGACCAACTACAACAACTACAACCCTATCCATCCACAAGTCATTCTCTCTCTGTCGAACATTATTCTCATGGTGAACAATTTATTCAAAAATTATTGAAATTATCAAAAAAGAATGGACTTATGGATAACAACATGAACAACATGAACACTACTAGTCAAATCTTTTCAATTCGTGAAGAATTCAAATTACTTCTCAAACACATGTGTGATGCATGGAAAGATTACAGTGAAATTGTCTCTAATTTATTACTAAAAGAAAATATTAAGAATTTCATTTCACCTTCCATTAAAAATATTAATGAGAAATTGATTCAATCCTTGAAAGGTATGGCATCTCTGTATGAGAGTATATCCTTGATTCATAAGGGATTAATGGATTGTGAAAGACAATATGAACAATTGTATTCAAGAGGTGCCTATGTAGATTTTGAAAGTATTTTGACTCAACCAGTGAATTTGAGATTTCATAGTGGTGGTGGTGGGAATGATGGTGATATGAACCAATCTCATTACCATCATGCTGATCTTCTTCTTCCTTCACACGATCATGATTCACACTACTACTACTACTACTATTACTACACCGATGAAGAGAGTCAATACTATTTGAATCGAGAATCTCAACGATACATGAACTCTCACATCATGATTCATCATCATCCAATAAGGACTATCATGTCCAATACTATGACCAATACCATGTCCAATACTATGACCAATACTATGACCAATACTATGACCAATACTATGACCAATACTACTACTCGTGATGGTGATGGTGGTGGTGGTGATGAGAATAATCAGAGTGTTCATGATGGTGGTCATCCAAGTGCTGGAATGGGCGTTGTTGGAATGAGTGGCAGTGGTGGCGAGTACACGCTTCGAGAGGTGAAATTCATTCAATCAAAATTATTGGAATTGCACTCGCACATTCAACAATTGAAAAAGGAGAAGGAATGTTATGAAATTGAGAAATGTGAATTTATTCAACAAATTGAACACCATCGTAGAATGATGCAAGAAATGGAAGAGAAATTTAGAAAGGAATGGAATGAAATTTCAATGATTTTGAACGTGGATGATCAAAAAGACTTGACTCTTTTCAATACTACCAGTAATAGTAATAACACTAATAATAGTAATAACACTAATAATAGTAATGCCAGTAATAGTAATATCATTGAAACCTATCGAGTCTTCTCAAGTAAGGTCATTCATGATTTGAGAAGTCAAATTGATTCCATGAAGACTCTCTTGGAAATGAAATCACAAGAATTGAATCATCATAGGACTACTCCCACTATTACTGGTATTGAAGATGATGATCAAGCACAACCACAAGGAACATCCTCTCTCAGAAGCATTACCACCAACACTACTACGATGAATTCTCCTACTACTACTACTACGAATAGTAGCTCTGAAGAAGAGACAATGATGTCGAAGAAGAAGAAAAGTGAGAATGATCAATCTCAGGATGCATTCGTCTCATCATCATTCGCTTTTTCTTCATCCTCTACGACTACTCCATTTGGAACAATGATGAGTGAAGTCAATGACCTTGGACCTAACAATGCACCAAGCAATCATCATCATTTGATTTTACCTCAACAATTACCATCTCAACAACCATTGCAATCGCAACAATCATCATCCTCCTCTCAACAACAATCCTCTCAATCTTCCTCATCATCATTCACATTCTTTACTCATGAAGAATTAACAAGAGAACGAGAATTAGAAAGAAAATATTCCAAACAAATTGAATACTTGTTAAGACAAATTGAAGTGTGTGATTTAAAGACTCTTCAATACAGAATTCAATATCAACAAGCCATTATGGATTTAGAAAAAGCTCAAGAACAAGAAGAACGATTGAAATCTAAACTATCCCATCTCACCATGCAATTAGAGAATGCTCAAGAAGATTATGCAAGTGCTAAATTGAATTATGAACATCAAATTCAATTATTGAGTGATAAATTAGTGGAGATTTCAATCAAACATAATATTGATTCATCGAGAGGAGGAAGTGGTGATGCATCCTCATGGGTGGATGTCAGTAGTGGTGGTGGTTTGAGTGGTGGTGGTGGTGGTGCTAATAGTAGTGGTGGTGGTTTGAGTGGTGGTATTGGATTTGGAGCTCTTTCATCCTTTTTTGGAGGATCTTCAATGACCATTTCCTCTCAGCCACAACCACAACAACAGTATTCCAATAATGATTTTCCCACAGCAGCATCATTGAAGAGAAACAAATCTTCCAACCTCAATAATAAATAGTGGGACTGTCATGTTCATCTCATTCGGAGTTTCATACGTCGTATATATTCGAGCCTTGTTGTTGTTCCAGAACGGACTCAAACGAGCACAAAAAAATTGAACTCATTTTTCAAAGGCTATTATCATCATCGACGAAGACAAACAAAATTGATGATCCATCCCTAGCCAACCAGCCTCCTTCTCATCATCATCATTCTATCATCCGATAAATCCTAGTACTACCATATCTCAAAATAATAATTTAAATATACAACTTATACTCTCACAGTGAACTTGAGAATGAATCAAACTGAAAATCACTCAATGGACTCGGAACAAAAAGCCATTCTCTCAAAACTTCCCAATCTCACCCACTCGACTCCTCCCAAAGATAAATTTCATATCGTCTTTTTCATTTTTCTCCTTCAAGGAGTGGGAGTTCTATTTCCATGGAATGCATTCATCTCTGCACCTGATTACTTTTCAGCTCTCTATGGTGAGAATACCATGCTTTATTTTAGTGTTGCCTATTCCATTCCAAACTTGTTAGGTGTCCTAGCAATGGTTAAATTATCTCCTAAAATACCAATGGCATGGAAAATGTATCCAAGTTTTATACTCACTCTACTTGTGCTCATTCTTGTTCCTATTTTAGGATTTAGTGGTGTGAATGGTATTCGTGGATTTATTGTGACTATTCTATTGATTGTATTGAGTGCATTGAGTACAGCAGTGTTACAAGGAAATATATTTGGAATGGCTGGAGCATTACCTCCTAATTATATTACTGCAGTCATGTCTGGAAATGGTGTTGCTGGTGTCGCATGTTCATTCTTGAGAATTGTCACTAAATTAACCATTGAACAAAATAGAAAACATGTTCCACTTTTAATCATGACTACAAGTGCTGCAGTTTATTTCTTTGTTTGTGCATTGGTCATTTTGGCATGTATTGTGACTTTCTTCCTTGTTATGAGAATGTCATTTACTAAATATTATTTGAATAAGGCCAGTTCAAAGAATGAACCAGGTGTGAATAGAAATGAAAGTGTGAATACCGAACATGATGAAATTTCAACATTGGTTCCAAAACAAGATGTTGTGATGACCACAAAAAAACCATCCGTGTTTTCTGTCTTTAAAAAGATTTGGGTTCAAGCGGTGATGGTCATGACTGTATTTTGGATCACTCTTTCAGTGTTCCCTGGTTTATCTGTTTCAGTTCCAACATGGTACAAGGGTACAGAGATGAAAGATTGGTTACCAATTTTAGTTGGAACTACTTTTAACATTTTTGACTTTATTGGAAGAACTGCTCCACGTTGGATGATTCTCTTTAATCGCAAAGTTGTTCCAATTCCAGTGTTAATTCGTATTTTAATTCTTCCTCTCTTTATTTTCATGTACAAACCAAGTATTGTAGGATTGGAAGCTTTCAATGATGCAGTGCCATTGTTAGCGATTGCTTTTGTTGCCTTGTCCAATGGATACTTGTCATCATTGTGTATGATGTATGGACCTTCCTTGGTGGATGATCATGAAAAGGAAGTTGCTGGTACTCTCATGACATTCTTTTTATTGGTTGGAATTTGTTTGGGATCATTTACTGGTTTGGCCATTGGACAAATTCTTGGAGCCATCCTACCAAATAACAATAATTATGTGGATTAACAGAATTTCAATTTGATATGATTCATCTTAGAGACTGCTCTCTAAGGTCTTGTTACATAAAAGATATAATGTCGAGGAGGTTTATTGTTGGTGATGCTTTTTTCTTGTCACCCTTTTACAAATAATGTGGATGGCAGAATTGAATCTCACTTGACTTCCTCGATAATATTCTTCCATGTCTCTTGTGTAAAAATCGTCCACTAATGGCACTGTGTCAGTAGTTATATGAAATTCGAGTTGGGATGGTCCTCCAAAATATTGTTGCAAAGCTAGTGCCAAATCAATGGCTGTTGTAATTGCTGCACCTAGTCCATGAATTTGAATGCTATTGTTTGCATGAAAAGATGATCCTTGTTCTAGTAATGTTTTTCCTCTTGAGAAGAGAGCATGAAATTTTGATTTTCGTGACACGTAAATGTCATTTCGTTTTATAGAGGTGCCTTTTGCTGGTGCCCTCTTTTTCAGTTTGTCTAATTAAAAATTAAATTTGATTGAAATAATATTTAAATTAATGCCAAATATTGTCAAAACGATATCAACAATGATTAAAAGTATAATGATATCATAGTATTATTATTATTATTTTCTATCATTATTTTCTATTTGTTTGAAACACTCACATTGCATCGGGAATGGTTTTATAATATTACTTTCCACAGGTATTTCCGACAAGTCAAAACTACAAATCGTGTTATCTTCTTCATCATCAGACATCCATTCATCTTCATGATCGTTCGACGATTCTAGTGTTGTGTTCAAAGTTTTCATTTTGGAATTTAATTTTCTCTTTTTGGGGTCAACCTTGCTTTGGGACATTTTTTTTTCAAAGATGAAAAAATCCTTAACAATAAAATTCATCCATTTGGTACCAACAAATAATTTATCTTGACCAATTTTTATTCGATACAAAAAAAGGATGGCTATAATAATTATTGTACTGAAAGAACATTACTGGATCATCTTTTGAATCAATGTATCATCATCATCATTGTCTTTTTTTTTCCTTACACCATAAAATGTTCCAAAATTTCATCATCGGAAGAATCGGGTAAGAAATCAGAGGCAGCAGCGGTTTGAGATAAAATCTCAGACAACAAGTCCGAATCGGAATCGGAATCACCTCCATCATCATTGGTCGTCGAGTCATCATCATCAAAATCAGCCAAATCAAAATCATAACTTGCACTCAATGCAGAATCTCCTCCAACAAATGAAATGGATGGAATTAATACATTGAGACATTCATCCACACCTGAAGATACCAAATGAGCAGGTAATTTAATGGTCTTGAAATGATCCAACGTTAAATCATTTCTCTCAAGTAGATATCGAAATGGCATTAAACTCAAATCATCACACAATGAAATGTCCAATTCAGTGAGTGATGGAAATCGGAGATTACGTTCATTCTTGTTGAAAAAATAATTCACTAATTGATCATCGGTAATATTCTCACAAATTAATTGTAAACTCTCAATAGAAGGATGTTGAGAAATGAGGTCAATGAATCGATTTTGGACATTGTGAGGTAAATCTTCTGCAAATTCAAATTTTAACTTTTTCAAAGTGGTACATTCCAAAATGTAATTGGCATAGTGTTCAATTTGTTGTAAAGTTGCATCTTCGATATATATTCTTAAATTTTGTAAACTTCTCAATCCTGTTAATCGATATTTAAATGAAACAAGAGGAAGTGATAATCGTTCGAGAGTGTCTAGTTGGAAAATGGCACTCAAATCAATGTTTTGTCCGTCAAAGGTTTGTTCTTCGTTGATTTTAAGTCTTTTTAAATTTCTTAAATTAGAAATTTGATCAATATTTGCTAAATTGCATGAATCTACGACGGTTAGAGAGGTTATTTGAGTGTTATGGCAAATGCATGCAAAATCAATAAATTCATAATTAAGCAATCTTAGGGTGGTCAGATTCGGAGGTAAGTTAAATTTAGTTCCTTTTATGGAAAATCGTTCGAGGTCAGAGAATAGTTCAAGAGTTTTCAAATTGGTTAATTTGCAAAATGTTTCTCGATAGTGATGCTCAGAGAAGTCCTTGTATAAAATTAAGCTTAAAAAGGTAATTCTTGGTAATAATTTGGAGTGTTTCTCTAATAATGTTAAGAAATTGCAATCTGTTAAATAGAGACTTAATTTCTTCAAACTTGTAAATCCAGAAAGGAAATTCAAATTGGTAACTTTTGGATCAATGAGTAGTTTGACATCTCTTGCATTTCTATACATGGGTGTCGATTGTCCCATTTGATCCTTCAATTTCATTCCTAAACTTGAATAAATTAAATAAATTCTACGGGAAGGATCACTTTTAAATCTTCCAAACATTCTGTGAATATTCAAGTGCAAAATTGGATATGAAAAGAAGCATTCTTGAAATGGAACATAGATGTAACCTAGAATATGTAGTCGAATGTGGATGGGTAGGTCATCAAAGTTCATGCATGAAAATTTTGTTTTTTTCACACTGGAGGAAGAGGTTGTGGAAATAGTGGTTGTCGTCATTGCTGAAGATTGAAAGTTGGTAATAGTCTTGTCGGTCTCCATTGAGAGTGTTGAAGAAGAAGAGGCAAGGGTAGGATTTGTTCTCTCCATAGTAGTAGTAGTGAAAGTGGAAGTGTCGATGGTAGAAGCGGTGGTGGTCAGAGTGGTGGTGGTTGTTAGCAACACATCTTCTTCAACTCTCTTTCTCTTCAATAATAATGTGGAGGAGGAGGAGGATGGTAGTTCTTCTGTACTGTTCTGTGGCTGTTGTTGTGGCATCAATGAGTGATTGAGACCCAAAGAGGAATCTTCGTCATTTCTCGATATCATCTTGGATGACAAAGATGATGAATGATGAGTAAATGTTCGATGGTGATCAGTGTTCGTGGCAATACTTGTCATGGAATTAGGAGTGATCGTCAAACTGGAACTAGTACTATCCGGAGTAGGTGAAGGTCTCTCAGGTCTGACACTACTCAACTTGACACTTCTCCATTCCTCACCATTCACCAATTCTTGAATCATCTCAAAGAGCGGAATGAAGCGAAACAAGGCTCCGTTACTGCTGCTTTGAAAATAAAAAACATGAGAGGGTGTTTGTTGAGGCACAAGAGAGGAAGACGACACCGAGTGATTCAATAAAAGAGAAGGAAAGACTATGCTGTTGTTGTTGTTGTTGTTACTAGTTCGTGGAGGAGGTGGAGGCATCATGATATGGGTTGGATCCTTAGGATCGGAAGAAGAAACGTTGGGTGGAGATTGTTCCGTTATTATTGAGTTATTCAATAATGGTTGGGAAGAAGAGGGTGTTGTTGGTTGATCCGATAAGGTTGAAGAGGAGGAAGAATTAAAAACGTTCTGCACCACACCTTCAGAATTACTAGTTATTTCCAAAGGATTGGAGGTGGTTTCATCGCCATGATGATGATTCATCAATAATTCTTCTTCGGAAGATGAGCCTTGATGTTGTTCGCCGTTTTTGGCGTTTTGATTGTCATTGAATTGTTGAGAAGACATGGTACGGATAAACACACTACTGCAAAATGAAAATTATTGCACGTAGAGTAGTGTGTTTTTGTGTATGTATTGTCCAATAATATTAATATGATTATTATTATTCTTTGGAGTGAAATCAATGTTGTTGTTTGATGGCCACACGCGTGTGTTTCCAAAACCACACAATCAAAACCTCAAAAATATTGTTGAAATTGAAAAGCTTGATGATGAAAGCGAGCTTTTTAATCCGAAGAATGATGATGAATCCGAATGGTTGCTGTTCTTCGTTGAGAATGTGATGACGATAATTATAACAGCAACAAGTGACGATCAGTAAGATGGCGTTTATGAAGATAACAAGAAGAGATTCTTCAAATTGATTTTCGAAAAATCTCCTTCACTCTTTTTTTTCAGAACCAAACTCCACACATTATTTCACATAGAAATTTGAAGTTTACTTGCACATGGTTGTTGATGAGACCATTGGGCAACATGTATTAACCGAGAGGTTCATGAAATTGGAAAGCCTGGTGGTGTTGTCATGTGGTGTGTCTGATATCAGACATTCTCTTGAGTCCTTCTTTGCAACCTCTCTTGTTGGAGTAAGGTCAACATCACATCCGTTTTGATCAAAACACAATCAAATCTAATAACATATTGTCCCACGATGATGATGAGATCCTAATAGATCAAAAAAATATATCAACCCAACAACAAAAAATGCTTCAACCCTCGTCCTCCCATCCACAACACAGCCACCATCACCACCATCCCCGCGGCGATCACCAAACAACACATTCCCCTTCTCATCGACACGAGGCTTCATCATCATCATCGATACATCCCATAGAAAGTGTTCAAGGATTTGTCATATTTCTTTCCAACATTGATATCAACACGGAAGAGGATACTCTGAAAGATGTACTTTCCGATTACGGACGAGTTATTTCACTACATTACGAATTATCCCGAAGAACAGGATATCCAATTGGGTATGCTCTAGTAAAATATGAAACAAAAGAAGAGGCTCAACAAGCCATCCATGCACTCAATGGAAAACACCAATTTGGAAACAAAATAGTCAAAATCGATTGGTGTTTTAAGGAAGGACCTCCTTCTTCTTCATCATCATCAACAACTTTAGAAAGTGATCAACACACAGAATTAAGTTCAGAATCATCCAATGATTCATCAGTACTGAAAAGAAAGAGAGATAATGAATGGGAGGAATCTTCTGAGGCTCGACCAACGACGTCGCAGGATGAAAGCACAAATTTGAAAAGCGAACCTATTACAACTGAAGAAATTTCACAACAAGAACAAATCAGTCAAGTAGAACCACCACAAAAAAAGAATAAATAATAATAGTAATTTATTGTATCATATGAAATCCTTAATATTTTATAAATGTTGTGGGGTTGTCACTTGTCAATTTTGTTCTACTCATCAAAAAAAATGTCTGCAAACACTGAAACCACCACCGTGAAGAGAGGAGAACTCTTTGTGTATATTAGCTACATTTCAGTATGTTTTTGAATCATTTGTGAAAGAATGATGATGATTTGAATATTCAACAACCCATTTCTCATCACACCATGACCTGTCAAACACGTCGTCGTCGATTGGTCATTTGTTACATGTCGTCATTCACTTTTAATGCCATCATCATCATTCTCTCACTACTATCACCAATATCACCACTATCAATATCTCATATTTTAACATAAAAATCTTCTCATCATATTGACATCAACATTTATTCATGGTCTTCCTTTTGACATTCAAATTCTCTCAACTTAGGCCATTCGATCTCGTTCCTCCAAATGTAAAAAGTTATTACAAATTCTTGATAGCAATCAAGTGAAATACACTGTGATTGATTTGGGTATTGTTCCTGAAAAGATTAACGAAATGTTGAAATATAATGGAGGTATTCATGATTTACCACAAGTATTTGTGGATACCAAATTTATTGGAGTATGTGTTTTTCATTGTGTTTCTATTTGAATGTGTGTGTGTGTGAAAAATGAATTATGATGAACAATATTACAACTATGTTACTACTCACACTGAATTCATTGAATGTGATTGAATCATTGTTATTGATACATATTATTCTATTATCATGATTCAAATGACAAATTTGAAAATTCATGATGATTCAATCATATAGACCTTTGATGATGTTGAAGAATGGATTGAAGAAGAAAGACTTTTAACTGAATTGCAACAAGCAGGATATAAGGGAGGTCCTAATGTAAGTGTGAAATTGAATTCAATTGAATTGATTTATTGTTGTAAAAATATATATTCGAAATACACTAACTGAACCAACTAACTCACACACATCAATGATAATCACTTTCCATGAATGATATCTATATGTGAATATCACATGAATGATATCTATATGTGAATATCACATGAATGATATATATATGTGAATACTTTTCAAATATGAACAACTTTTAAACATCATGATGAAACAATTCTCAAAATGTATGATACAACAATAGCCACCTCATATTGATCAAGAAGAAGTCCATAGAATCAATGAGGAATTTAAAACTAAATTCCCAGAAGAAGTTCTCTCAGAAGAAGCCAAACAAGAAAAACTTTCCAACATTGAAAAGATGAAAACAGAAAAATTGGAACAACGAAAAAAGTTATTATCATCACAACATGACAACCATTCAACAAATGTTGCAGAGAATGCAGAAACAACATCCAAAGCTCAACAAGAGAAGGACGAACAAGAAGAAGAAGAACCACTTGCTGATGAAGATGATCAGTACGATGATGATGATCAAGAGGAAGAAGAAGATAATTATGTTCGTAAATATGATCCAAACCGTGACTCTGATGATGAATATTATTAAATGATTTATTTGTTTTGCAACAAAGTAGTACTGGCAGTGTGTGTTGTTGACCAACGTTGAGTAGAGATTTCCTTTTAAAAAAATCTAATTAGTTTATTGTTAGCACCATTGGTGCTGGTAAAACTATTAAACGCACGTTCATGCGGTTGACTTTGGCTTGAATTGTCTTGAAATTGGTTTCAATTCTGTGGAGCATATAAATCTTGTTGAGGTTAGTCTATTCAATTCAGTGATGTCATTAAGCTTGTATTCAACAATTAGGTATGAGTAGGTATCTTTTACCTTTTTCTTAATACTGAGTCTCTCTTTTTCGAATTTGATGGTTGTGTTCTTGCATAGTGTTTTAATAGCTTTGGTAATTGCGAGTTCACTTGTTGATTCAGGGAGTGTACAATTTGCTATATGTGTTTCTTGCTTTCTTTTGATAATTTCAAATCCTTGTTCAATCAATTCAGTGTTGGGATTCTTGGAATCAAAGTTAATTTTAAGTTTGTACAAGGTTTCTTGTGGATTGAATGTTAGGCACATTTGTTCAATTCTACATTTCTTTTGATTGATTGAGTACTTGATGAGAGTTTGGATGTTCGAAATTGATTTTTCTTTGGCTATTAATGTGGTTGGAGATGATGTAAAAATCATTGGTGAGGCGAAATATTTTGTTTGTGTTTTTTCTGTCATGACACGGCTGGTGAATTAAGTTTCTTTAGTATTTGTTGTTGAGTTTCGGCATTTTGAATGACTAAATTGAGAGTGTTGGTCTTGCTGTCTGGGATGTACCAGTGTTGAATAACTGATTCAAATCTTTTTAGAATAAATTTAACAAATGAGGATGAGATATTGCTGTCCGAGTAGATTGAGATTGAATTAGTTTGGTTTTTGGGTTGACCAGTTTGTTCAATTTCGAGTTGAGGAGTTTCTAAATGTTTAGTTTCCTGTTTTGGTTGTTGGGTTGGTTCAGGTTTTGGTTGAGGGTGAATTTTTTGCGCTTCATTTTGAGCTTGAGAAATTTTAATTGTTGATTGTTCAGGTTTTGGTTGAGTTGGTTTTGTAACTTCAATTAATTGCTGTACTGTTTGTGAGCGTCTTAACAGCGTCTTGCAGTTCTTTGATTTGTTGTTGTTGTTGTTCTAAGTGGTTTATGAGTTCTTTGATGGTTTGTTGTTGAGTCATTTTTTTCGATTCGATTTCCTTTTAAAAAAATGCAAGCATCCTCACAAAGGAGAAATCATTCCATTTCTCATCATCAGGAAGACAACCTTGAATTGGAACAACACACAACATCATCGGAGGAAGAGGAAGAAATTTATTCCACCAATCCAAATGATAACTTTTCTCAATTTTCAAATAATCGGAGAAGCAATCCCGAATCAAAATCTTTATGGAAAATATTTTGGTATATTTGTGTGAGTTTGTTTGGAAGTTATATTATTTTCGGATCTAGATTTTCTCCCATTAGATATTTAATAGAAAAAATATTTTATAAAAGAACATCCAGAGAAGAAACAAACTCTATGAATTTTTCTTCTGCAAAGGACAATAGTTCTTCTTCATTCTTTGATCGATTATTTACAAGTCCATTTTTGGATGATGATGAAAGAGTGAGATTACGACCTGTTGCAGTAAACACGTTTGTTCACGTATTTCCAACTCATCAGAATGAGGATGGAGTGTTTGTTAAAGTGTTTATTGAAAACTCATCAGAGCTAGCCACAGAAAATGTTTAATTGACTTGTTGAATCACCAATTTGTGAAAAGTGAACAAACTTGTCTTGCAAGGTGTCTCAATGAGCAATAGAAATAGACACGCACTTACTACTATGCAAAAGGCAATAGATTTATTCATCGAGTTAATTTTTGTGCAAATCTAATGCCTTATGACACATCTTGTGCATTAATACCACCAATGTTTTCAAGTTATGTATTAATGGTTTGCTGAACTCATTGCTATATAAATCAAATAAAAACATGCACAACAAGGCACACTCTAATGTGGACGTTCTGTCTTGTTCTGTTTGCTTTCTAAGAGAATTAAAAATTGGTTCTTTTTGTTCGTAAAGATGAACCACCTTGCTTTGATCAAATTTGACACGTGGCAGATTTTCCTTGTTGCATAGTCGTTTTAAGACATGCTTAGTTTGTTGCCTAAATTATTGTTATTGAATAAAAATCGGTTTGAATCGAACAAATTAACATACCAAGTACTATCAATTAAAATTAAATTGATGGGCTTTCTAGGTTGTTTTTGCACAGTATTTGCAGAGTGGTTGAGCAGTGATGAAGACAACTGTTCTTGCTTTTCCTTAATAGATTTTATAAAATTTTCATCCAAATCTCGAGCATCGTCTGATGGAAAAAGTAAAAAAGTTAAATTGTCCTCAAAATTATCTCCTGGCTTGAGATGGTATTTTTCACAAAATTCTCGTTCATGCTCTTCCACATCTACTAGATATATTTCAACAAAACCGTCTGGTAAAGTATCCATTAACACTTTACCAGTATTTGATTTTCTAAAAAATTCCTTTGCATGCATTAATAATATAAATTTCAAATGTGGTTCTGAATTTTGAAGAGGAGAGGACTGCTCAGAATGTTTTACAATTTCCATCATTTCTTGAATTTGCGATTCGTTAGGCTTGTTATGCTTACTATATCCTAAATTCAACGTTGAATCATTAAATCTCAAATGTGTATTCTCTCTCCATGCATATATAAAGGATTTGCAAGCACAAAAATCAATCGGTAACCAACAAAAAGGGCAACAACGATTATAACACTGCTTAAAAACGTGATCAATTAATAAAAATGCAATTCGTCGTTGAACAGCGTAGCGTTGCTTTTCCGTGTTTTTCTCTTTTTCGTTTAAAAGTGTTGAATTATTGCTGTCAGAATTTTTGACGTTTTCAAACATTTCTAAATCCTTATCGGAATTTGGAATTGGAACTGGCGTGTCTTGTTTTAATTGTCTTAATTTAGGAAAATATTTTGAAACAATTCTGAAAATGTCATGTTCAATGAAATATCTATATTGTGGATTATGAGGAATAATTTGATGGTGGGTATCATAGGGATATGAGGAGTCCTCCAATTTTTGTTTCTTGGAATTCATACACTCCGAAGATGATGATGATGGTTGAGCAGTAGAATTTTCTTTCACAAGTGTCTCTTTCGGACAATGGAATGTTGATTCGGATGTATGTTCCGAACATCTTTCATGGGACATATCATCATGGCTTGGTGTTCGTTTCATTTTTTTAAACGAAAAACGAATTGTTGCTAGAGTTACAATGCTGTCACGTGTTTCTCTTTATTGGTCTCCACCTCAAGTGAAATAATGGGAGAAAAATGGCTCAAATTTGACTCAAAATCCTTCTCCTCGCCCGTCTAGCAATATTTCATGAGAAAAAACAAAATCATGAAGGACCCGTTACGACGTCCATTACTTTTCACCTCTGCATCGAATCATGGCCAACTTGCAATTTCAACTGATGAAGATTTTTTAAATAATAATGAAGAGGAACAAATTCAGCAAAGCTTGGAAGATGATCAATACAATGCTAATAGCAAGTGCTGTGGTTCCGATGAAGGCATGAACGGAGAACAGTGTACCGATAAAACAAACTGTCAAAAAGAATCTTCTTCTTGCACGCACGAGGTACACGATGGCAAACCAATGAGTAGTGGTTGTTGTTCAAAGAGTTGTTGTGAGAGAGTCCATGAAATGGAATCAAGCTCTAAACAGCAACCAAATTGTTGCAGTGGAGAGGGTGGTGACAATGTTCAAGGCTCTTCTTATTGTCCAACAAAGAAGAAAATTCAATCAAGTAACAACGAGGAAGGCACAACCCAGTCCTTATCAACAACAACATCCAATTTGAAATTACCCTCTTCGACATTCAAAAAGAGAAATTTGCTTAATACCAAGACAATCACTCTCTCCATGTTAAACAAAACAAAACATCAAAATATGGAAGAGAGGAAAGAAGTTGCAAAAGAGGAAGTCACCTCGAAAAATGTCGAGTCCTGTTGTCCCAATGACATTACTAGTTCGAACAATAACAACAACACTAAGGTTGCCATCTCACAAGAAGCCACAGTGGCCTCCTGTTGTACCAAATCAGGCTGTACAAAAAAGAATACTTCTCACCTTAACCAGATGGTGACACTCACAGAAGAGGATAGTAAGACCTCTACTACGACATCATTGACAACCTCCACCACCACAACAAAGACTGTGAGCGGATGTACCAAGTCGTGTTGTAAAAAGACTTCCTCAGAGGGTGGTAGCATATCAACAAACACTCAACCATCACTACTTGCACCACTAGAGAGCTCTAGTAGTCCTTGTTCCAAGAATACCTCCTCATGCTGTACGAGTGGAAAATGCACCAAAAAATCCACAAGTATTCAAGAACTCGATCATGATTCACCCACTACCGTTGTGATCAATATGAAGGATTCCAAATCGACCATTCTTCATCTCACAGTTCAACAACTTCATTGCTCAGATTGTGCCATGATGGTCGAAGAAACTCTACTCAAACGAAAAGGCGTCTTGCAGGCGAGAGTCATGGACATTACCAATTCGGCACGAATTATCTATGATTGCACGACCATTGGAGAGGATGAAATTATTGAACATATTGAGAGGTTAGGATATCCTACTCGAAAACAGTTTGTTCCTGTTGGAGATGCTAGCAATAGTAATGGTTCTAACGACTTTGGAACGACCATGAACAACAATACTTGTGCAGTTTCTTATTATTTCCAACAAGAGGTATCATCTCAACAAATCACTCAACTCCAGCAAGGCTTGAAACAACAATTCGGTAGTGCTCTCTCAGGCTCTTTTTACGATACTCAAAAGAGAATACTCACCGTTCATTATGATCCAGATGAAACAGGTGCTCGTTCTTTGAAGGTTTTCATTTCTCATCGCTATGGGCTCTCCATTTCGTTATTCAATGGTGGTGATCCACAAGGTGGTGAGCACTCTCAAGCCTCAACAGCCATTCAATCCGAGTTGGAACTTTGGAAGAGGAATTTAGGGATATGTTTCGCATTGTGTTGTCCAATCATGTTACTCGTATTTGTTGTACCCATGATGAAGGAATTGCATTCTTATTTAGATCAAGAAATTATTCAAGGCTTGTCGAGAAGTGTCTTGTTATGTTGGTTGTTAGCGACACCCATTCAATTCTATTTTGGTAAGCCATTGTATTTATCTGCCTACAGAGCCTTAAGGTATGCCCGCAAGCCCAATATGGATGCCTTAGTCATGCTCTCTACGACGACAGCCTATCTCTATTCGGTCCTGAATGTTGTGATTGCATTTTTCTTGAAGAGTTATCATGCGGAGGTATTTTTTGAAACGAGTGCCATGTTATTAACGTTTATTATTTTGGGAAGATTTTTAGAGATTTTAGCGAAAGGACAAACTTCAAACATGTTGTCGAAGATGATGGAATTGAAAGTGAGTCGTGCCTTATGGATTCATACACAAGCAAGTCCAGAAGTGAACTCTAAGGGTGGTTCGTCATCGTCGTTGTCGTCTACAACCACCACCACTCCTATTGCTCCTACGACAACTACTATTACAACAACTACAACTACTACTAGTAGTAATATAGACGTTAAGGTGGGTGAAAATAGTCATTCTCAAGAACATTTACAAGAACTACTCCTCTCACACATGAATTCCATGCACTCATCATGTACATCTCAACAACACCCAGTACTCATTGAAGAAGAAATTGACATCCATCTTGTTCAAAGAGGTGATATTCTCAAAGTATTGCCAGGATCAAAAATTCCCACCGATGGTATGGTCATTCATGGAACCACAAGTGTCGATGAATCCATGATTAGTGGTGAACCTTTACCTGTTCCAAAGAGAGTCCGCGATTCTGTATTCGGAAGTACGATCAACCAAAATGGAACCATCTACATGAAGGTTACAAAAATTGCCTCAGAAAATACCTTATCTGCCATTGACAAACTCATTCGTGAATCACAATCTTCAAAAGTTCCTATTCAAAGAATTGCAGATACAGTGAGTGCTTATTTTGTACCAATAATCATGATCATGTCTGGATTGGCATTTGTATTGTGGATTTCTCTTGCTTATGGAGGTGTGTTAAAATTGCCTGAAAACATGCACCCTTTTACTTTTGCATTGCAATTTGCATTGGCTATATTGGTGATATCGTGTCCATGCGCCATTAGCTTGGCAAGTCCTACTGCCATCATGGTTGGCATTGGAGTGGCTGCTAAATTTGGTGTTTTAGTGAAAAGTGGACAAGTGATGGAAATGTGTCACAAAGTGAATTGCGTTATATTTGATAAAACTGGAACTCTCACTCATGGAAAACCTATTGTGACAAATGTTGAAATTTTGGAAGAACATGCTTCAGAATGGAGTGAAGAACAATTCCTTCAAGTCATTGGAAGCGCTGAATTAGGAAGTGAACATTTATTAGGAAAAGCCATTGTTGAACATGTTCAATCATTGAATAAGGGAATTTCATTGTCACATCCAAAAGATTATGTGGCTGAGCCTGGTAAAGGTCTCACTTGTTCCGTTACCATCCATCCTGCACACCCATCATCAAATTCTTCTGGAGGATATCCTGCACACCCATCATCAAACTCTCCTGAAGGAATTTCCTATTCTGTCATTGCAGGTCATTTTGATTTTATTAAGGAACACACATTCATTACTTTTTCTCAATCCTTCCAAGATCGAATTCATCAATTAGAAAATGAAGGTAAAACAGTAGTATGTGTCGTCATTCAGTCCAAACTCATTGGAATGATTGCATTGGCAGATACTCCAAAAGAAGAGGCCTCTCTCGTGGTGAAAGAATTGAAAAAACGTGGAATGGATGTTTGGATGATTTCAGGAGATAATCCTCGTACGGTTCAATACATTGCCTCTCAGATTGGAATCGATCAATTCATTGGAGGAGTATTACCTGCAGAAAAGGCACAAAAAGTGAAAGAATTACAGAATGGTGAGCTACAACTTTCAAGTCACAATGAACCTCTCTCAAATACCATTTCATATCCTAGACATGACAATAATAATTCGAGTAACAATAATGGACCCCTCTCAACTACCATTTCCAATCATGAGAACCATGATGGAAAGGATCATCCTCATGGAAAACGAGTAAGGAAGGTATTAATGGTGGGAGATGGTCTCAATGATGGAGCTGCACTCGCTACAGCCGATGTGGGAATCGCCATTGGAGCTGGTTGTGATGTTGCACTTGAAGCTGCCGATGTCGTGTTGGTGAAGAGTGATTTGAAAGATGTGTTAGTGGCTTTGGATCTATCAAAAACGACCTTTCAGAGAATTAAGATGAATTTTGTGTGGGCTTTCTTTTACAATTTGATTGGAATTCCATTGGCTGCTGGTGCCTTGTATCCTGCATTGGGAGTTGTGATACCACCTGCATTGGCTGGTCTCTCAGAGATCTTCTCTTCATTGCCTGTTGTGTTATTTTCATTGTTGTTGAAGACATTCAAACCACGTTCTTGTATTTCTTCTGAATGATCCACAACAAGAATATGTTGATCATGAACACCATCATGACTATCATTTGTATCAAATTTGCGCATCTTCATATATGAAGAATTAAAAATTTGGAGTTTTTGACAAATAATATGACGACGCTCTGAATAAATTTTGTAAAAAATAAGAAAATATCATTTCTTTTTGATTTCGTCAATGGTGTGTTGTCATTGTATTTCATTCATCAGAATAGTTGTCATCTCGGAACTATTATGATCATGATCGGAATGTAGAGTGCATTATTTAATTTTGAAAGTCTGATACTGAGTGTGTTATTACTCATTTGTACCAGTGCCTATATCCATGCCTACAAGGCGAGTTGGCTTGATGATCGGAAACAAGGGTATGAATGATGATTATTTGAAAATTAGTAATATTTAATATTTGAAAATATATGATGGAAATATTAATGATTGTTGTTACGTTAATTATATTTTTAATGATTATTTGAACATGATGAAAACGTTAATTATTATTATTTTGAACGTTAAATCATTTTAATTTCATTCAAATAACATGAACTTACCATCTGCCATAATAATACACCTATCATAGATTTGTTGGAATATTTTGGAAATGTGCTCGAGTGGGGGAACGATTAAGCCCTTGGATTTCTCTAATTTGTATCTTCATGGCCATGCGATTGCTGTTCTTTTCAGAGTAATCTTCGAAATAAACAAAACCAAAAATTACCTATTTAAAACCTAATTGAATGTTGATAGATGTCTCTGAGGTTTTAAAAAAGTAGATGTCTTTTGTGCTGAAATTGCCTTTTTGAGTCAAAATATTTTACTCTTGTTAGTTTTCTTCAAATGAGCTGCATGAATTTCGTTATGGTGTCTCTAGAACTTTAATGGCTCCCAGCCCTCCTGTTTGAGCAACATTTATGCACCTTTCACAACAAGAATGGTATGACAAAACACCATTCGCGGAATTCACTCGAAATGTATTTTGTCCCACTTCACTTTCTTGAGCTTTTTGAGCCAGCGAATCGACAAGAGATGCCTTTGTTTCACCACACCAAAAGAAGATTCGCAACAACAACATGCCCTCTCACATTCAAGACGGTAGTAACAACCTCCCATTTGTGATTCCATCACCCGTTCATGACAAGACCCAAGTGGCAAGACTTCAAGATGCCAGAGTCCCTCATAAGATTGTCAAGTCAGGAAAGACATGCGACCCCAAATGTTTCTTTCATTGGAAGAATTTCAAGACGTATCAAATGACCACAAATCTAGAGAACTCATTGGTATGGCATGAGCAACAACCCGTCATGACCTCTTCCTCCTTTTCATCACCACCAACCACAACTACATTATGTACACAAAAGCAAGCCATTGCAACGGAACCATCCAGTTTAGTGACTGATCATTCTTATGGTGTCAAAGAAAAGAAAGATGAAAAAAGATCTTTTTCATCATGTATGAAGATATCTTCATCTCAACAACAACTGATGACTGCCATAACTCCATCTTCTTCATGTACAATTCCTCCTCAATCTCGATCAATCTCGCCAACGATGGTTCGAAGAGTTAAGAAACACACATGTACCTCAACATCTGACATGAACAACATCAACAACACACAACTTCCTATTAACTCTTGTTCAAACCATAATATGCCAAGCTCCACCACACTCATATTCACTCAATATCACCAACCACAGCAGCATTCTTCGAAGAAAAGAACGATTTCTGTTGACCTCCATGAGCCAACCACCTGTCAGATGTCACCTTCCATTGAGTTTGTTCCATTTAAGCTTGAAAATTTGCCGAAAGATTACTCACTTTCTTATAAAAACACTGCCTTAAGGTCATCGGTCCAACCTTCACCTCAAGTAATAACCACTCTCCAAAACACACAATCACTTGTCCAAAATGTTTCTTTCACTTCGAGCACAATTCCATCTTCCCAACCAACAACTGTGCAAAGCTGTAAAACACATGCTATCCGAACAAGAATGCTATCCTTAGGTGAATTGTTGAACTAAGCGATGATGAAATAAATCCTTTGGAAATCTTTTAAATTGAAAAAAATTTGACTTTTGCGGACGATGCCCTATTCTTTCAAACATGTGATTCAGCACAGCAGCAATACAGAGTTACAAAATAATTCAACAAGCACAACAACGCGTTGCTGGAAATTTGATAATTCTTCGGTTGTTCGAAGAAATTTGTTTTCTCAAACGTACAATGGAGAAAACACAGAAGATTTCGTCATCATCGGAAACGATCATGAAGACCACAAACATGAAAACATCACGAAAGTGTTGTTCCCTACACCTGATCTTGAGAATGATTTTGTTGCAACATCGGCTTTTGTGAAAAAAGTATTGCAGAGAAACAAGGAAATTCCAGACAAGTCTAAAACAATGCAAGTCGATGACGACGATGTGGTACTTGTAGAATTTGATTCTCTTGATGTTGTAGTAGATTTGGACGAGTTATAACTGTGTTGATGCAACAAACTCTAGTTTATCTTAGATCTCAATTAAATAATTTCATTTCAAATGTACACGTATGTTGTTATTATTCATAGTCATGATGGCCAGGAGTGATTGGATTGGCACCAGGAGTGATAGGATGCATCATTCCAGGAGTGATTGGATTCATACCAGGTGTAGCAGGGTTCATTCCAGGAGTCATAACAGCACCTGGAGTGATTGGATGCATCATTCCTGCAGAAGAGCCATAAATATTCATTCCAGGAGTCATTGGATGTTGCATGCCTGGTGTCGTTGGATTCATTCCATAAGGAGTAGAAACAGAAGGAGTCAATACAGATCCATAACCAGAGTAATCTCCACTCATTGGCTGACCACCAGGAGTTTGAAGCATTCCACCTGGCGTGGTATAGGATTCATGTGGAGTTGAAGCACCAATACCTGGTGTAATTGGAGTATGATGATAGCCATAACCTTCAACACCAGGTGTCATGGCAGTCGCACCACCAGGTGTTGGATTGCTCATGTGAACACCTGGAGTCGTGTAAGAGTCGTGTGGCGTCGATGCACCGGGTGTTGGAGCACTATCTTGCCAGTCATGCATGGGTGTATTTGGTCTACGAGGATTCCAAGCATCACCACCATGACGAAGAGATGGTGTTTCAGGACGGAGTGGTGTCTCGTGACCCATTGAGGTATGAAGAGGTGTCTTTGAAGAATCTCTGTCCCAAGGTGTGGATGGTACTCCAGCGCTGGTTGAATGGAAAGGAGTGGTAGCACCTGAGCTGTGGTATGGAGTTGACACGCTTGAAAAGCGTTCTTTTTGTTTAGTACCATCAACTTTGATATCAACATATGAAATATCCACATTAATAATCTTGTTTTGGGAGTGCAATTCAATACGAGCAGTTGTATCTGTTGCATCTTTGACAATACCTAAGTATCCCTTGTATGGACCTTTTGTGATGATAGCTGTCTTGTTCGTCCATGGATGACTTCTTCTTCTCTTGGAAAAGACAAATCCTCTCTTGTTTGTAGTGTTACCTGCGGCACCAGAAGTTTGAGAGTTAAGAATTTGTCTATTTCTTGCTCCTCTCAATTCACAGTGATAGGATGGCACAGCAAAAATACCGGCATTTTGAATCAGGTCAATTGAGCAACAGAACAGGAACTTTCTAAACACTTGTTTAACAACTCCTTCTCTTCCAAAATGTACAGATGTTGGATCAACAACTCTAATGGTATCACTAATACCAACTAAGTGTTTGTTCTTATCAGGAGCTTTGTAACCTGCTTTGGTATTTTGTTTTCTTCCCAATTCTTGTAATTTCAAAGTTCTAACTGCGTCGTTGTTGTCTACAATATGTACTAATGTATCTGCAGCATTCTTATTGGAATCAAATTTCACAATTACACCCATTGTTTGAGTATCAAGGCGAACCATGTCAAATAATGAATAGTTACCAACTTTGCCTTCAGTAGCAACAGTTGTTGTCTCTTGAATTTCGTTGATAAATGTTGTCATTTCGCATCTCTTCACCTCGTTATAAAGAACAACTGTGTCATCATCTTCATTGACGCTAACAATGTATCCGGACTCTCCTTCCCACTTGCTTCCTGAACCAATGACTTTACAAAACTGACCAACTGTAAAGTGTTTTTGAAGTTGGCTGCTTGGGAAAACTAGAGGAGTCTGAATATCCTGATTCTTTGGAATAAATGTTACATGTTGAGAATCTTCGTCTACATTAGTAACTACACCATACATTCCTCGCAAATCACCTTTAACAACTTTTACATGGTCACCTCTCTTAAAGTGTGTTTTTCTTGCAAGAGAAATTGCTTTGCTTGGATTTTCATGTTGGTAGTATGTTTGAATTTCTTCAATTGTTGGTTCAATGTTCTTTGTATCCAAAGATTTGAGGTGAATTTGTTTGTATAAATATCCATTTTGGAATCGGTTACCTTGATAAACGACTCCATTGTCTCTTAAATCTTCCACTTTGTCTTGTTCAGATTGTGGTAGAAGTTCTCTGTCAAATAACTTTTGAGGAGGACGCTTTACGTTTTGTCCTGTGTAGTCAATTCTTGGAACGAGAGTAACTTGGCATAAGCCTCTGGCTTCGTCTAAACCAACAACTTTACCAAGATCTCCTTTGTATGTACCTCTTTTAACTCTTACCCAGTCTCCAATTTTGAGATCTTTTAGCTTTGTTGACAATTGGTTAATGTTCAAAACATCGGGCATCTCTTTCAAAGGTACCAACTTGATACCATTTTCAAAAATAAGGTGACTCAGCCCTTGAATAGCTTGCTTGACGTGCAGCTCTTTAAGTGCTTCAATATAAATTTTTCCTTTGTAACCCTCGATGTATAATGCTGATGTAATTTGAAGACGGTCCTTCTTGACCGGAGAATTCTTTAAGTTAAAATGTTTTTGTAGTAGAGTGAAAACTGCTTCTTTCTCTTTTCCTTGTTTGCACTTCACTAAAAATAGCTTTGGATCTTCGGGTGTTGGTAGATTTGATTGTTTTTGAGTGGCTCTTACTGCGGTGGTGTATGCTTCATCTTCTTCATCTTCGTACTCATCACCTCCTCCGATATATTTTCTTTCAAGATTAGCAATAACATCTTTTCTTCTTGGTGCGGTTGGTTGCGGCAGCTCCGAAACAGCGGTTGGTTTGCGATATGTAGCAGCTTCTTGTTCAAAATCTTCTTCACCCATTTCCTCCTCTTCTTCATCATCTTCTTGCGCAGTATCATCGATGAACATGCTAGCTGCTGATTTGACTTTCTTTTGTGATGGTTCGTAGTCTTCTTCTTCCTCTTCTTCTTCAAATTCTTGATCTTCATAGTCGGATCCTTCGTTATCAGACATTTTTGTTGTTGTGGGTGATGATCACAAAAGTTGTTGTTTTGATATTTTTTTGATTGTTTTTTGGTTGGTGCAAGTACGTTACAACGGCTTTTTGTTTCTTTGCCGATTCAGTGATCGAATTGGTTGAACAACCACTTCACATGAAGAGAAACGAATTCGTTCATCTTTACGAGTTTGGTTCAAATAAACCATTTACTTGGATTTATTATTGATATATTCTTCACAATGGTTCGCCCAATCGTGTCTCTCAATGTTCAAAAAGATGGCCTTTGCTTGTTCCAGCTCTTTAACACCTTCGCTTGTCTCCTTCAACCCAATTTTACTCACTCCTTTGAAATATTTCATATATGCCAATTCAAATTTTGCTTCCTCAGGGTCTTTCTTAAGCCATTCAGGCATAACAGATTCAGCGAGTTGATCCAGTTTTGAAAAAGTTTGATCAGCAAGTTTCAAATGACCTTGCAGGTATCTACATGAGCCCATCATATTTTCAAGCTTGAAAACACACTCCATATAAGTTTGAGAATCTGTTTCTGCTTTTTTCCTTCTTAGAATGTTGTAAACTTTTGTAATTGTAGATTGTTGGAATGGTAAAAAACCCTTTCTTTCGTAAGCTCTGGCTAGATAGGCACCAGTAATTGTAATGAATGGAGCTTCATAGCTGTCAAGGAACAGTTCTATTCCTACTAGAGCCTTTTCACCAAGTATTATACTAAAATCTACTTTGTTCGTTTCCAAATATAATCTACTGAGAATTATTGCAGTTTTTGTAGTTTGAGGAGTTGTCCATCCATAAAAACCTTCACAGATAGAAAGAGCTTTCTCGAAACTTTGGATGGCTTTTGCAGTTTCGACCTTCACTCCTAAATAATATTCTCCTAATTCATGAAAAGCAATAGCTGCCTCACTTCCATTTTTCCATGTGACTTTTGGTCCAATTTCAGTGATTGCTTTTGTGTGAAGCTCAAATGCTTGATCGTGAAGACCCATACTGTTGAGAATACTAGCCTTGACGATTTTGATTTGAGGGAGTTCCTCAGAATTATCTTTTGGAACAATATCTAAAGAATTACTAATGAGCTTGAGTGCTTTTTCGACATCTCCGATTGCTTGTAGCACAGTTGCTGCTTTCCAATACAGTTTATAGAGAGGGAAAATTATATTTTCCTTTTTTTTCTGAAAGGCTTTTTCAATTTGTGTAATATGTGCAACTGATGCTTTTATCAAATCATCAATAATGTTTTGTGCGTCTGGTGAAGATACCAAGCTAGATTTGTTTAACGTGTTGTACATTCTGCAAAATTTAGTTGAGTTCAATGTATCGGAACGAATGATGAGATACTTACTGTTCATATCTCTTTTGTGTTTGGATGGCATCTCCAGATGCAAAGCAATCTTGAGTATCTTTCAAAAAACTACGAATTCCTTGTAAAAGATTTTGTTCGAAAGGGTTTGCTGCTCTTTCTTGTTCATACTTTACTCTCGAAGAAGAAAATGCTCGGAATTGCTCCTTAAATAAATTTGTTGTGTTGTCTCTCGCTCTACTACTTCCAAGAACAATATTAGTACTAGTTTTCAAGAGAAATCGTGGAACCAGCAAAGATACCAAGCCTTGCTTCTGTGGGGAGGCCTTGAAAATAGGTTTGCATAGAAACAAAGAGAGCGATGATAGCATTTTTTTTCTTATTTTGCCATAAATGTTCTTGTTTATTTGTTGTTGGTTCCAATGTATAACGAGAGCACGGCCTTGGTGCAATTAAAACCTACGATGAGGGGTTGACACATTGGTTCATTCATAACAACAATTGTACATCTATTTAACATGGACGTACTTACCTGTGAAAATGCAGACAACAGTGAATACCAATACAGCTGCGATAGGATAAAGAAATATCTCCGAGTTTTTGATGAAAGTCAAATTTAAATATCCTCTAAATGTTAAATAATTATAGTAAGAAAAAGCAAACATGAAAAGCAAAGCAGAAAGAGTAGTGCCAATAATATTGTCCATTGTAAGTATAGGAAGCATGGTATATTGAACCACATAGAGCAGAATGAAGATTGGTATGAAAGAGTTGGTATGAACATCAAAACTGTACAGCCACTCAACATTTTCTCCACTCTCTCCACTAGAATCAATAAGGAATTTGTTGCAAATAAGCCTAAAATTAATGATAATAAATTGATTAATTAATTAATAAATTTGAAAATGTGTTCATCGTCTAATTCAATACACAAACACACATACCAACATATCGTCGATATGAAAATTCCAATGAATAAAAAGTCAAACAGAAACAAGTAGGACATTAGGGAAACATAATTAGATAATGACAATTTGTGGAATGTAATTGAATAGATAAGTCCGATTATCAACATGAAAATAGCCAATAATATTACAAAAGCAGGATCATCTCTAGAATATCTATCCTTGATATCTGAACACAGTTATCATAAGAATACAATTCCGATGACCTACATTTTCGATTTCTAGCGTTCTTGTACACTGTATCGGGTGAAATGATGATTTGAGCCATCTGAGTGAGTGATCCTTTGAAATCTAATTGCCTCCATTTAAACATTCTCAAAATGAATTGTATGATTTGTTCTTGATCACCACTTGTGTGGTGGATCGAAGATATGGAAGGAGTGGGTGTTGTTGGAGGCTTGTTACTGCTTGTAATCATTTTTTATTATTATTTCGATAAACTTGAGCCTTGCATTGGAAGTGAGGATGTGGTTGTTGCGTCATCATTCCGTTAGTCAACGGTCTTCTGATCCAGTCAAACGATTCTTTATAACAAACTTAAGGTTATATCATCTTGGGGTGTTGAGGATTTGGAAACGCGAACATCTTCATGGTAAATGTTGAACAATTCTTGAAACAAAAAAATGTTACCTACTCATCATCCTTCTCATCCTCCTCCTCCTCAACAACAACAACAACAGAATAAAACAACTGAGAGCTCACGCATCCAATCAAAAGAACAAGAATTGGAACAATACAATCTAGAGCAAGAATCCAAATTATGGATTCGAGAGTTTGATACTAAATCTATAGGAGAGAAATTGTTCGATAAAAAACAGTCCGATAATGCTTTGGACTATCCCTCTCTTCATAAATTATATATTCACTTTGATGAGCGACTTCTTTCTAATTTAACTCTGAATGCTATGGAATATTCAGTATTTGGACTTGTCTCTACATCTCTGAATTTGAAACATGCCAACAAACAAGTATTTGTCATCCTTTTGAAATTAGTGAATATTCTAACTTCAAAACACAAAAAGGTTCTTGACTCGTTACTTTCCTCACATTCAGAGAGTTTGAAACATGTCAATTTCTTAAAGTTTTTATTTATTTATGAAACTGTCCTTAGAGATGTCTATTCAACCAATCACTATGGATGGGAAAAAGAACAAGAAGCATCATCTCTACTTGAACGCATCTCTCAGGAATTAATTGCTTATAATTCTCAGAATAGTGCCAATAGCTTAGAGTCTCCACAGCAAGAAACAGATTTAAGAAAAATTATTTCTGTTGCATTATCACTGAATGAAATTTTCTCTGCAGTTTTCACAGCACATCTAAGCGAGCCCTCAATTTTAGAAATGGTTGAATCCTTGAATAGAACAGCCGTTCATATCCTTTCGAGTAATCATCATGAGTTGAACAAATTTGATTGGGCATTCCGAACCTATCTCAATATTTCATCTCGTGTCCTTAATCTTGCAACAATCATGTTACGACAGTCCTCCATGAATATTGTGTTTACCTCCATGTTTGTCAAGAAAATGATGAATTTGAAAGCAAACTTTTTGAAATTAACACAAACACCACATTTCCTATTATTCAAGCATAGAATTGACGAACAAATTTCACACATGGACGATATTATTTATCAGTATCTCAAAAACACGAACGGTGGACTTTCCAAATCATTGATCGATACAGACATGAATCATTATGGGTTAATCGTTTCCAATACACTCTCATTTAGATGTCAATTTCTGAAACAAGAAAACATTGGCGACACCCTATACTATTTGTTTAAAACACTAGTTGCTATTGCTAGGAAAAATCCTTCATCTTTGACATGTTCTATGGATATTATTTACAAGGCATTTGAACATGAAGTGAATCATAATACATTTCTCACAGAATCCACAGGCCTTTACATCAAAACCAAACAAGCTTTTATGTTTAGTATTATTTGGTTGATCTATCTCGAGTACAATAAGGGTCACATACAAAGAGAGGATTTCTTTTCCATATTAGAAACATTGTTGAGAATTCTTCATGATTATGATGTTTACAAGACAGCATCAGAACAATCAGTTCCATACAAATTTTTGGAAGGACTTATCAATCGAGTATTTAGAAACGTTTTAATATTTGAATTGGATTCATTAACAACCTCTCAAGTGAAACAAATAATGACTTGCTTGAGAAGAGTCATTATCACTGACTACAGAATCATTGAAGGATATTACTCCTATATCTGGAAAATGGTTTTGAGCATTCGACAAGAAGACATCGAAATGCTTCATCTGAGTGAGTTTATGGGAGACATGTTGAGCATATTTGTACACTTTGCCAAAGGAAGACAAGCTTTTGACGATTTATTCTCTGCAATAGACATGATTCATCGTCATTCCAAATCTTTCAATCTTCATTTTCCAATCATTCAATTAGAATCATTCAGAAATAGTGTAAAGAGCCTTGTCCAAAATATTGCACCTACAGATATTGTGATATACTTTAAGTATTTAATTGAAATAGTGAACCAGAGATTAGATGAATATGGAAATGCAGAAAGACTTTTGGTGGTATTACTCTTTCCTTTAACCTCTTTTGCATTTTATGTGACTCTCAATGAATCCAATTACAAAAAGTTACAGAAATTAGCAAAACAATGTTGCACTAGAATCATCAAGAGATTAATGAGTCTTGAAGTGAGTGAACAAAATCAAGCAGCAGTCATTCAGCTCTATTATTCGATGAGTAATATTATTTATAGATCAGAAGAATTCTCATCCGATGTATTTTCAATGAAGGATATTAACAATCACAATGGAGAAGACTATATCATTAACTTTTATGATGGATCAGGACTCACCATGAATTCTTTCACTCATGGAAAACCATTTAAGGAAGTTTTTAAAACACTCAGTTTCAAGAATAAGGGAATTTATTGTTATATCATTTTCAGAAGAATGATGTCCATCAACCAGCAAGTGAACATTAGAAAACATAATTTAATTACCTCTAATCAAGAATTATATTCCTATGAGACTCAGGAAAGCAAAAAAGAACAAGAATTATTAACACACAATTTCCAAATCTATTTTGATTTTATTCAAAATGAATTGAATGCTCTCATGCATTTACACAAGTTTGAAGAACAAGATTTCACTCATGAAGAAATTTCAAAATATGATTGGGGAGGTTTTATTGAATCCATTGATACTGAAAAGAAGTATCTCTCCATGCTGTGGTATTTAATCAGTAGTAACTTTTTATATATCATTCCATATTGTAATGAAACTTACATGAGAAATTTGAGTCAATTTATGCTCACTCAACTCATCAATGCAATTCGAATCAAAGGACATTCTTTTAAATTATTACCCTATTCACTTGAGAGAGTCACTCTTGATTTATGGAAAGATGACTTGTTGTTTGAACAACGAGATGTTCAAGACTCTTTTGAAGAGTTTTTATATTGTGAAGTGAAAAAGTCGATCAAGTATGCTTCGGAGATTATGTTTGGTGATTCCAAATGGGCGAAAAGGATCAAGTCCATTCTCAGAAAGGCAACTTTGGAAATTGATGTTTCAGATTGCAGAAAAGTGGAGAAGAAGATTCATTCCTTGTTGAAAGATGTCCATTCTAAACTATTCCAAAGTGGTGAATTCTCTTCAGAGAAACATTCTTCCATCCCCCTTATCGATGAGCACTTGTTCTCTTCATTCCAAACCGATTTCACTCCATCTCAAAGCATTCAGAATTGGAATGATTATCTTTGCCCATTCATTAACTTGATTCCATTATTTCCATTCAAATACTTTTCATCAAGATTTGCCATGTCCATGTTTTGCATGTTATTGTGCTATGATGTGATTATTAATTGTGATCTTGCCAGTTCGAATACGATTAAGAAGAGAGATTCAATAGACTGCTCATTCCCCTTATTTGGATCCAATCGAATCAAATTTATGGCATCTCTTCGACATGTTCAATTACTACTCTTAAAGACATTACCAGAAGAGAATATTCGAGAGATGATTCAAATAGGTTCTCCATTCTTGTGGTTGAGATATTACATGAGAACTTGTCTTAATTTAAATTCAATGCATCCATCCATTCAACAACAACAACAACAAATTGCAACCACAACAACAGCGACTACAACCACACATTCAACAATGACTTCAATGATGGATGATGACTCCTCGAGTTTGGAATGGTTGAATTCTTATAGCAATGAAGTGTTGAGAATTTTCCTCAAGAGTCTTCTTCAAGGAGGGGAGAGTTTGATGGAAGAGAATACTAAATCCATTCTTTCCACACTCTTGCATGCAAATTCTATCGGAGATTTGAAACATTCCATGTTGAAGATACGATTTTCGAATACCTTATTGAGTGTGTTGTTCTCTCAAATGCGTTCAACAATTTCTCAGAATGATGAGAACAGTCGTGATGGTGGTGTTGAAAAGAATAACGACATGTGTTATGAATTACTTTTCCAAAATTCAAAACTTGGAAAAACAAGAAATATTTATCCATTCGAACAAGCAATTTTAGAATATTCACTTCGAAATAGGAACAAAATCTCTGTGGAAGTCTTTGAGAATATTGTTCTATTTGCCAAGATTTTACTGGTTGCTTCACATGGTCCAAAAGGTCTTCCCTCTCATTATGATGCATTGAATCCTCAAGAATTGATGAACAAACTCTATGAATGTATGAGTTGCTTCCTTCATTCGAGTAGTGGTGAAGCAAATACTTGTCTTTCACCAGTGTTCACAGAGCTGATTGAACTTGTTACTCTCGATGGTCCAAATGAAGAGATTCAGAATTCATCTCATTGTCCAATTCCACCTAGTTCCTTATTTGTGAAAATTATCAAATTTATTCAAGCTCATATTTCATCCATACGACTTGACAAATCACTTGTGGATAGAAGTGTATCATCTCTTCAGCATAAGAATATTGGAACAAAGAGTGAGGGAGAAAGAATACTTTCAATGATGGTATCTTGCCTTTCTCAACCACAGATAGATTTTCTTATTCGATTGCATTTAGATCAATTGAATGAATTCAATCAACATCATTCCATGCCAACCATTACCATACAAAATGCATCTCATCACAGAAACCAAGTTCAATCCAACTGTGAACAATTGGAGAATATTATTTCATCACTTCACATTTGTTTAGAATCCATTCACAAGAAGGAATTACTCTTCTATTTATGTAATATTATTGAATCTTTGAAATTGAGTACTCGATCTTATTTATTTAATACGGTTCCAGTTTCTAGTCATTCTTCATTGAATAAGGAATATTGGCAAATCAATGCATCTATTCAATCGATGATTATGAAGTTATTGAAAATTGTTTCATTTATTACCAATGAGATGAGAACAAGTCAAATTGCAGTTCCAAAGTCAGCCATTGATTTACTCGTTTCATTCATTTCAGATATTGCTGTTTCATCAAGCATTTTCATATATTCTTCCATTGATGTTGCCAGTAGAGGAAAGAGTATTTTAGAACTTGCCAAACTTTCCTACTCTGATTTAAATATCATGAAATTGGATCCAAATATTATTATTTCACTTTCAGAGATTTTAGAAACTCTTGTCAAACACAACATTTTAGATATCTCAAAAATTAATTGTGTTCAAACCTTGTTGAATTGTATCCTTAATATGTTATTCGAGAGAGTAGTTGTATTTGATTCATTATTAGAAAGCAAAGATGATCAAAGAATGTCATTCTCTTCATGTACACAATGTGCAGAGGCTATTGGTGCTGTTTATCATTGCATTTCTAAATTAGTGAGCTGGGATGAATTCAAAGCTCATATTGTGTTTGAATTTATTTCCACATTTTCAGCAATTAATGAACTTGTTGGAGTGGACGAAGGAAATGATGATCACATGACAACCATGAACCATCATCACCACCTTGAAAATGATCAACAATTTATTTCTAAATTATTAGCAAGCAACAAGAAGAAAATTTTAGATCACTTGATTAAGAATGGAATTTTCGTTTTACTTTCTTCCAATGTTGTGAAATTTAAGATTAGTAATTGGATTCAAGAGTCTTCCAAAGTACAATCACTTCAACATCTCTTTACTCACATTTTACAGTATCATGCCACAGAGATGGGTTTCTAAATTTCTGAACTATCATCACTGATTACCATGACCACTGATTTGTTGCGACAAGTGAAACAATTCAGTAGTAGTGTGTTATTTATAGTGGTTGTTATTCTTACATATTAAAAATGCATGGATGGATTAAGAAATGCGCGGATTCTCGAAATTAACAACACGAGTTCCATGTCCATAGACATTGTTTGATCCATCTTGAAACTGAACAATTAAAAAAAGCTCTCAAAACTCCTTGATGCGACTCTTGATCAGATCCTTGACGGGTAAAACGCTTGTACTTCAAGTGGGTAAGTGAATATGATCACTAAACTCTTTTTCAATGACACTATTTCTGAAACATCCATCTTGTGTCACTCTTTCATCAAAATAAGAATTACACACTCGCATCGAAGAAATCAAATCTCACATCCATGAAAAAGAAAAGATACCTCTCGATCAGCAGAGACTTGTTTTCTCTGGAAAATCATTGCAAGATGATAAAACCTTATTGGATTATCAAATTCAAACAAGTTCAACTCTTCACTTGTTGATGTGTTTGGAAGGAGGAGGTAAAAAGAAGAAACGAAAGAAGAAACGAAAGAAGAAACGCACGACCTTGAGACCACCTCCTAAAACTCATCGACACAAAAACATTCCACTTTTTCCTATTGAACGAACAATATATGAAATTCGAGCCAAAGATGGTTTTATAATTTGTCATCGAAGAACTTGTCCTAAATGTGGTCCAGGTGTATTGATGGCCTCACATGAAAATCGAGAATATTGTGGACGATGTCATTTGTCTCTCTTTCATCAACAAAGCAAGTCCTCTCCAACAAGAGCTATGGTCGAAATGTTGTAATTAAAAGACGATTAATTCAATCTCAAACTGGATTTATTGTTGTTCATAAATCTTATTAAAAAACGAGTTGACAAAGATTCAATCTTGAACTGGATTTGTTATTAACGATTTAAAAAAAATGCAAACACAACAAGATGTGATGAATCAGGCTTTAGAACAAGATTGGTTTCGGGATCGACCGGAATTGAAGGCAATATTTGAAGAATTTATTAAAATTCCTCCGAAAATTGATTTGAATAAGCCATCGAAAATACTCAATGATGAATTAAAAATTCAGCCAAATGCGGAAAATCAAACAGGAGAACAACTTGAAAGAAATATTCCCGAAATTAGTCAAACAGCAATACAAAATGAGGATCATTCATTAATAATTTCAAATCAACGACAACACGAAATTTCCCATAACAAAAAACAAAACAAGCCTAAAATTAGGAACAAAAAAAAAGTGAAAAAACTTCAAAAACAATCAATCAGTTCCGATGGAATGGACAATATCACCAACCAATCTATCTCTGTTAGTGACAATACAGCCAAAGTAGACACATTACAACCTCGTAGCAAAAAGAAAGATATTCAAAAAAGAAAGAAACAATCATCTAAAAGTAATGAGGAACAAAAGACGAAAAAAAAGAAAATAGAGAAGGAACCTGAGAAGCCAGTAGTGAGGGATTTGTGTAAATTTTTCCTTAGTGGTCATTGTTATAAGGGAGATTTATGTCCTTTTCTGCATGATAAGAAGTTATTTCCATGTAAATTTTATCATCTCTACAATAGCTGTAAAAAAGGAGAGTTATGTGAATATTCTCATCAAACACCTCTTAGTGAAGAATATCGACAATTATTGATAAATACTGAAAAGAAAAAGGAAATTCCACAAGACCAGAAACCCACAAATATTTTGCAACAACCCGTACTTCCATTTATTGAGACTAATCCGTCTGACGATCATTCCATCAACACTGGTTATGATCCATTTGTTGGAGGAACGTTTCAAAATCATGTTCAACCACTTGCAGCATCTTCAGATGCTCCAATTTTGCCATTTAACCTTCCTAATCAATAGAGCATGCTCTTTCGGATGTTTAATTTTCCAGAAACGTTATTGTGTTGACTCGTAGTTACGTTTTTAATTGAGTAATTCTTTTATTGACAACATTGAGGTTCTACCCTTGCGAGTTATGCTTTGAATCGATTTGTTCGTGTCATCATTGGAATTATGTGTAGTTTCAGACACTGTATTACAAGTTGCCTTTGCATGCTTAGGTTGTTGAGGTTTGACAAATAAAAACCCACTCTTGATAAAGAAATCACTCGTTGATAACAAGGAAGGATGATTCGACATTGGATCATTCACCACAATATCCAATACTTGTTCATAAGGTTGGCATTTATCTTGTTTGGTTCTTTTCGAAACAGCAATCATGGATTTATCTTGGAGGACCATGGTTTGAAAAACGCATGTGTTGAGGTTGTCACATGCTGACGATGGAGAGGACGAATTTTGGTATATTCTCACATTGGTGGAGAAGTGGTATGGAAAGGAAGAAAATAAACACGAAGCGAACTCGGTGGACTTGCTCTTTTTGTTACTTCTCCTCTTCTTGGTTATCTTTGGCAGAGAAGTGGTTGGTACGTCTGATCGAGTTGCTGCTGGTTGTGTGAGAAGCATGGTTGTGGTTGTTTTCTTGAGTTTAGAAATTCATCATCTTGATTGAGATAATCATAATTTGAGCTATCATGAGAACTCTAAAATATTACAATTCACCCATACACGAAAGAGATAATTGCGCAATTATAGCTACGAACTGGATAAAAAAGTGCTTTTAGCTTTCCTTTTCAAATTTGAAGTATGGGACTCGGTTTCGTTTTTGTATTCTTTGTGCATGCTATTTTTTGTGCACGATACTAACGTTCTAATTTTTGTCTCTAAAAGGCGAATGTCTCAACAAAATGAGTATTTCGCTCTAAAAAGAAAATGATCAAGTTGTGTCCAAAATCAACAAATCTGGCCTTTTTGACAGAATCATTGTTGATGAATTGTTGTTCAAAGAAATGATTCCTTCTTTGAACCTCAAACCTGTTGAAATCCTAAATGAATCACGTGTTGCAAATGAGTCTCTTTCCTGATTTAATTTAAAACCGCCTTTGTTGAGAAAGATCTATTGTTGTCGAGAAATGTCACAATCTGAAATGCTAAACATGTATACAATTCCACCATCATCGCCAGAACAGATGGTCTGATCGTCTGGTGACATGGCTACCACTGCGAGCGGATTCTTCTTTTCCTCAAAGGACATTAGGAGAGGGTCTCCACTTGAAATTGAGTACACATGCGTGGCATAATTATCTCCACAGGTTGCAAGAAGCCATGTGCCATGCTGATGAGACCATGGACAGCGGGTGGCACCTTGTTTGTGAATGAACTCCAAATTATTCGAGTATCAATGACTCTAACTAATCCATCATAACCACAACTTGCAATATACAAATCATCTGCAGACCAGTTCACAAATGAAACCCGATTATGAAATCTTTGATTATGCAAATTTCCAATCACTTTTCGATCCTTAGTGCTATAAGTATGAATAGATCCATTTTCACCACCAATAGAAACCCTGTCACCTCCATGAGAAAGTGCAAATATCTCATTTCCATTATTTCTTGTACTAATTTTGCAAACATTTTGGAAGGTAGCCAGGTCGTAGATGAGCAAGTCTCCACATTTCTTATCATTCAATGAATGTATACTCATAGCGTATAATGTATTATCTCTTGAAAATTCAATTCCAGAAATTTCATTCCTTTCTTTTTCCCTACACATCAAATCAGCAATCATGTTACCATTACGAATATCCCATAACCTTAGTGATTTTTCTTTTTCAGAACAGGATGCCACAATATGTTCCTCTTCTGGATGTATAGCTAACAAACTCACTTCGTCTTCATGGCCATCTGTTGTCTCTGTTTTTTTAATAACTCTTTCAATCTTTCCGTCTGATGTATTAAATACTCGAATGGTCTTATCGAAGGAAGACGTCACAATAGAGTTAGATGCAAACTTTACATCTGTGACTGTATCTAAATGCCCAGCCAGCGGATATCTTTTTCCATGTTTGAGATCAAACATGTAAGCATTCTGGCTCTCCATTAGTGGATACAGCAGCAACCTTCTCTCCAGTGTTGTTAAAAGCAATTTCCACTATGGGGCCAGAAAAAGGAGGGGAGTGGCTTTTGGTTACCTCAGCGTTCAGCCATGCTTGACGATACTGAAAATTCAAATTAAATAGAGTATGGCTTGGAAAATTTCTATCCATTTTGGATAATTTTTCGAGATGATTCAACGTCAAGTTACCAACTTGCTTGCCTCTTGAAGCCATTAATTCTGAAATAGACTTTTGAGCAACAATGGGCATTGGATTCTCGTAATAAGTGAGAGCTTCACTATGTTGTCCTTCATTCGATTCCATATCTTCGAGGTAATTTTTCACATCACTTGTACATCTATTTTCTAAAACTATAGAAATTTTTTTGCTTGACCATTTCTTGATCTTTAAGTATTTGATCACCTTCACTTCTGCCGGGGTGAAAGGGCAATGAACCAAATCGCCATGGAGTAATCCCAAATCTTTCAGCTCCTTGCTACTCATCTCTAATAATTTATCACATTTCTTTCGTTTTAGGTAAGGTTTGTAATAGGACGAGAAGAGAATGTCTTCACCTTCATTATTTCTCCGTAATGTCAAGTGAAATTGATATTCTTTTTCAAATGCTTCAATGTCATCTTGAACGACGTATCTAAGATATCTTTGAATTCGAAATTCAGGAATTGTGGCGTCTATTCTTGCAATTTGAAGTGCACATAATTCGCTATCACTGTCTAAAAGTACATTTGAAGAGGATGTGGCATTATCAGGTGATGCCTTCTTTGGACAATATAAGCTCTGTGCAGGCAAAAAGGGAATTCCTTGATAACAAAGGTTATCTGTTTGTCTGTGTGCTGTTTCAACATTTTGAATTGAAGAGTTTTTAACGAGTGTTGATGGATACAGAATTTGTTTTCTCTGTTCACTCTTATCTTCTGATGGATAATAAAAATAATATGGTGGTTTGGCATACTTTCCTCTGGTGTGTTTAAATGCACTTTCTAATATTGCATTTGTATCTTTTTCTAGATCGCCATCCAATTGACATATTGGAATTTGGAGCAGTAGGAACTTCCTGGTCATCGTCTGAAGAAGGTATGTTTGTGAAAAGTGGATCCACTCGGTCCTTTTTAGTTTGTGTTTCTTTAGGTTCCTTAGAGGTAAGTTCTGAGGTAATCTTAGATTTGGTTGTCCGCAATTTTTTACGCTTTCCTTGCTTAATTGAAGAGGATGAAGAATCACTTTCCGATGATGGAGATGCAGACATTGATGGAGATGGTGGTTGCAGTAGTGGTGATGATGCAGAAGATGAGGATGTATTTGTTTTTGCAGAATTATTTGTATTAGTTTTCTTCTTGATCGTCACCGTTGGTTTCTTGGTTGTGTTATTTTGATTTGTAGTTGGTGTATGATTTACCATCATCATCGTATCATGATCAACCTCAACAACTGACGGCTTGTGATGATTGAAATGGTTAGAATTGCTGTGAGAAGATTCGAACACATCATCCCATCCACCCATATCAAATCTATCCATCGGTTCCGAAGCAATTTCTAAAGAAGGTTTTACTACCTGTAGTTGTTGTTGAATAGTTTGTTCAATTTCTATTTGTTCTTTTCGTTTTGTTTCGGCTTTTGATGAAATATGTTCATATCAATGAATGTCCAAAATATGGTTCAATCATCACCACCGGTCAGTGTTGGAATGTTGATACAATCCCGATGATGAAATCATCATGTATCCATGTTTTATATGGATGGTTTCATCGCACAACATACCCTCTTTAATCATTTTAATGACATTCTTCTTTTCAGTTACTAATTTACTCAACGTTTCAATGGCTGGTTGCATAGCGAAGAATACATTCACCTTGTTTGCATAGTAATCAATTTTCTCAATGACGCCTTCATCTTCGTCCCCCATTTTCACTTCCGAAGAAGGCTTGTCAGTCGTTTGTGAGGTAACCGAATTTTCACTCATTTTTTTGGCGGTTTTCTAGAGTGAATGCCAAACATCATTCCTGTCTTCTTCTTTCGAATGAGGACTTTGAGCAGTTCTCCAATTTCGTTGGAAACCAACTAAAAAAATGGTTGATCGCGATTTGAAGAATTCACAATCGAAGTGGTTGGAAGCAGAGGCGTCGGAAAGAGTGCTCTTTCGTTACGATACCTTCAAGACTTATTTCTTGTGGAATACGATCCCGCTATTGAAGAAATCGAGAGAATGCTTACAAGAATTGATGACACTAGTTGTTTCTTGTATATTCCAGAGCATTATGATCGTTGGAGAGAGGAAAAACACATCACAAACTCCAATGGCTTCTTATTGGTCTATTCCATCACTGATCGAAAGACTTTTGAAGAAATTATTGATTTCTATGAACGACTGAAGAAGAAGGATTGTGAACACATTCCAATGGTTCTTGTAGGAAATAAATGTGATTTAGAATTGGAACGAGTGATTTCTTTGGATGAGGGCAAACTCCATGCCAAACAATTAGGAATTCCATTTATGGAAACTAGCGCCAAGGAAGGGCTGAATGTAAATGATGCATTCATCACATTAGTGAAAGAAGCGTTAAAGGTAAAGAAAATACAATTGGAGGAGAAAAAGAAGTGTATTATTGTTTAATGAATCAACTTGTTTGGGAAAGTAGTGGCTTTGATGTAGAACTCCTAAAAGATCCGTCCAGTTGAACAAACTGTCTCCTAAGGACCTGTTGGTCTTTTCTTACAACTTTTGACTCTCTAGTATGTAATAATTAGGTACATTTCATCTCTTTATTTTTAGTTGATTTACAAGGAATGAAATGGAGAAAATGTTTGGACCTTAAATTTAATTCCCTTCTTTCCTCTCAAAGTACTTTTTCCATTGTTGGAAGACTTTGTTTCTTCATGCGAGTGATTCCTCTCTAGAGGGGATAAAGGCTTTGCTTTTCTTTTAGAAGAATTAGATTCATCTGGACTGGCGGCAGTGTTGAGAAGATGAAAGGTCCACGAAGGAAATGTAAATTGCATGGATTCAGGTTTTGGAGGAGTCTTGAAACTCGAAGAGTTGTGGCCATGAGTGGTCGATGAGGGTTGTTGTTGTTGTGGTCGATTGGGGTTGTGGTTTGGGTTTCTGGTTGATGTTGAGGAGCATAGTTTTGGAGGTTTGGTGAAAGTGGTGGTGGTGTTCTCAACGTTTGGTTGTCCTCTTGAAGAGGAGTTCTTTGAAACCATGTTCACCGGTGTTGAAGCATGTTGGATAGGAAGATGGATCCATGGAGGAGAGAAGAGATCGAGGTGATTTGTTTCATTCTGTGTTATGAGTTGTAAATTTTGGTGAAAGAAGAAGAAGGATGATGATTCATCACCATTCAACTGCACCGTTCGATCGTCCATTACGGTTGGAAAGCTCATGGCTGTGGTGGTGGCTGATGAATTTTGAACCTTTTGGATGAAGAATTCTGGAATCATGTTCATCGGTGAGGTTGAACAATCTGGACTACTCTTCATGAGTAAATAGCAAGTCATGAAATCATTCACATCTAATTTCAACATGAGTGATCCTTCATGACAAGAGCAAGCATTGGAATCATGATTGCCAGTTATTGTGGTGGCATTATTTGCAATCTTTCCAGCTCCAGTGCAAGTTGTCTCAGAGCAGCTCCATGTCATGTGATTGCTTGGAGTGTTCTCATTCCATAATGGAGATGTCGAGTGATCATGATATTCTTTATGATCTAACCTATCAGTGGTCGTCGTGAGAAGTGAATGATCGAATGAAGAACAAAATTGACCTAGTTGTTGTTCTTGTGATTGTTGTTGATGAGAATCAAACAACTCAAAGAGGTCTTGTTCATCACCCTCAATGAGCATCATGGATGGAGAGGAGGTCGTCATCTTCAGCATCAATTGAAAAAGAGGAATGTATTTGAAAATCCAATAGGAAAAGGTTCAAGCACCCAATGAGATTTTGTTTTTTGTTTGAATCTTACGAACAATGGATTTCAATCTCCCTGGATGGATCGTCTGATGGACATATTAATGAACTTTTGAGACGCACGAAATGTTGTTGTGTTCAACACCGAGTGTGAAAGAGAGATTTTGTTTTTGGACTGGAGATGTATTTTTAAGAATGACGCAAGACAAAATGAACTGGTTAGGGATCGGAAGGAATGTATGTCAATTCTCAGATTTCTATTATATCCAATTTCGATGATGTTTAATAAAGACCCAATGAGAAACTTGTCAATGATCAAATTGAATTTTTGAAGACAAAGAGGTGTACATAATTTTACTTTTCTGGCAAGCGGTTAATAAATAAATTAATGCATCCGTTTTTTTGATACCTTTTTTTTGATGTCAAACACATATATATGATGGGAACTGAAAGAAAACAAAGAGTGCGCCTTCTGAACACCCGATCGATCTTTTTGGAGGGGAACCAAAGTGGGTCACAACAACGTGACAAGGGAAATAACTTGTTTTGTATTTTGATGAACTGTCGTTGATCAAGAGCTTATTCACTTTATTGGCCAGTAGTCAGGATTTCTGTGTTGTTGACCATCACCTACCTCATTCCTTTGGACTTGTATTTGGGAGGACCTATTGGTCAAACACGACCAGATTTGAGAATTGTACATTGAGTTAGTACAAGTTGTACAAAATTTCATACAGCTGTGTTGTTTGACAGAAAACGATGATTTTTACCACCTGATGAGAATTCTCACACAATAAAACACACACAAGACCAACACAATCACAACAAAAACTAGCTGGTTGATTTTGAATCGAGTTTACCACCTTGTGGGTGACTTGTTTGTTTTGTATAGAGGTTATTGTTAAAATTTTGGAAACAGAACTGAGCGAACATTGTGTGGTGTTCGTTAGAAATCATACACTTTGCAATTAAATGTTCGTTTTTGGTCAGTTTGTAATATGGAAAAGCTCATGAACAACAAAATTTACTTTTTCGTAAATCAGTCTAAAATAATTTATTTCCAAAAATAGATGGCTAATGATTGAAAAGGATATTTTCAAATCTGGAAGCTCAACAGCATCTCAAAGCCATATTCATCCCAAATCCCAAACAAACTCTCACTGATATATTACAAATTCCTTCACCATTGGATCCAACCGAAAGATCTTTCAAAAGGAATTTAAAAATGTCGTCAATTAATGAACAACAAGAATTCCAACCACCACATGAAACTTATTACATTCCAGTTACCTCTCGATCGGGTGGATCCAATGAAGTTCTTTCACCTCCTCAACCTCAACCACCACCACCTCAACCAACAACAACAAAAAACACTGTTGGTCACACCACAGGTGGTGATGGTCATGATAGTGGAAGTGATACCTTTCATTCCTTGTTTGGATCTCATCGGTTGAAACAATGGAAAATTGCTTGCACAGTGACTTCCTTGGTGCTCGCTATTTTAGGTAGGTAATAAAAATTTATGAGAATGTTTATTTACCATCTCGTGATGATGTGTGATATTGTGAATAATGAATTTCATTGTGCATTTGGAATGTCATGATTCCTATGAATGATTAACAATTCTTTCTTTTCGCAATAACATTCTTTAACAACATTCTTCTAAGGTGGTCTTCTAATTCTTCACCATTTCATTGTCATGATCGTTTGGTATTCAAAAGGAGTGTCTTTATTTGGTACTTCCAATCTCTTTCTCATGCTAATGAACATTATTGTTCTACTGACTGGTTTGACAGGTGTTTTTGGTGTCCTCAAAGGAAATTTGGAAGCACTTCGAATTCATGCTTATGGATGTGTGTTTGGTTCCTTCTTTTTCTTCTTTGTGTACATGATTCATCAATTACCAAGTTGGTTTTATGGTGCACATGCATTGTTTTATGATGGTGCCATTTCAGTGGTGTTTTATGTGTTGAGTATTCCCATTGGAATTACAGTCTCTTTTGTTGCTCAGATGTATATGAGATGTTTTGAAAGGGCTTTGAAATCTGATCAGAAAACATCTTCTGGAATGAATCATATTTAGAGGATGATTATGAATACACAATAATGATGAATTCAATTCTTTAATGAGAGATCTAGATCATTTGTGTGAGAGAGTCATTTAAAGAGAATAAATTTGAATATCCTTTTGATGTGAATAATAAACAAATGGGAATGTGGTGAAACAAAAGGGCAACCAAATAAAGAATCGCTCTCAAAATCAGGTCAAGATCGTTTTAATCAGTTCATTAAATTCAACCGATTCCATACTAAAAATTCATTACTTCAAACATTTTATCCATTTCACATTCACACATTCATTATAAATAGACATTTCATCATTTCACATACCGATTTACATAATTGCTAACACATTATTCTCCACTTTTGTGTAAATATGTCCCTCTAAAAAAAAGATGATCTGTTTTTCACAATATGAACAAGAATGAAGCATTTTACAACAACAGTGTCATTTATGTCATGGCAGACTTGAAACAGATGACAAGTCCCTCATGTGATGGAGGAAAAATCGTGAACCCCATCGAGTGGTCGTCAGAAGAATTTATAATTGTTCTTTTACAATTCGTTTGTGAGAATTCATGATCAAAAATGAAATGCTCTCCAACCTCTCCAATCCCAACGAGGACAGAGGTTCCATCGACAACCTCGTGAAAGAAAATCCAATTATAAAATCAGACACAAGAACATTCATAGCTTTGGAGATGTGATTCCATTGATTGTAAAAGTACCATTGTCTACCAAGTCTCGTTTTGAAGCCCACATGAGAACAAGGAACCTGACATATCAGTTGTGGTCTCCATGGAAGGAAGATCTGCCTCTGTGAATGCCATAAGTTGGAGTCAAGAAGATATTCAATCCACTCATCAGTTGCTTTTAAAGATTTAGAGAGTGGAGGAGGCGAATATGTGACTGCGAAAGTCCATTCTCAAAGAAATTTTGGCGCGAAAAACTGCATTCAGTTTAACAGATCCGAATGTGGTTTCGAATAAGGCTGAACAATTAATTGACAAATTCTTGGATACACATGGCTCTCAAAATGATGCGATCACAAATGTTGAGCAAGCGAGAAATTCAAAAAAGTTATTGAAGGGAACTGGCTTGAATGCCGAGGATTATCAACCTATTGTGGTCATGTGGGAAATTGCTGACAAGTTATCCACTATTGATGATTATAAGAAGGCCAATGAAAAATTGAAAGAGTACTACATGGAGAACAGAGATAGAGTCAAACAAAGCGTTGAGGCATCAGCAAGTTGTTGTGGGTTTTCTGTTAAAGCTGGATATGAACGTGAAATGTCAACAACAAACATTGAGCTATTTCCAAACCAAAGAACAATACGCAACTTTCAAAAAACACAATCATTCTGAAAGTGGAGCAGAGCCGAGAATTACTGTGAACAGCACCTCAAAAGTGCTTTCATTTCAAGGTCAATACTTCAATCGTGGTGGTTGTGAGTTGAATTTACGGGCCCGTAAAAGTACAAAGAAAGAACTCCAATTGATTGGAGCCATCTCAGATTTAGGTTGTAGCGTTACCGTATCTTCTACTTTTGATCGTAGACATTCTGCCCTTCATATTGCTCTTAATAGCACTCCTCGTGAGGGAAGTGGAGATTCCGGGTCATGGTGTGCAAAAGTGAATGACCAAAATCAATGGGTCAAAGTATATTTTGGAGAAATTGTGTCTGTGTATGAAGTAGCTATTCAAGGTCGCTCAGATTATGGTCAATAGGTGACTCTTTACACAGTTGATTATACTATCGGCGGTGTGAAGTGGGAAGTTGTTGACGGGGGTCGTGATTTTGTTGGTTGTTCTGACCAAAATACAGTGGTTAAAGGAATATTCAACCTCATATTGATATGGTTATTGAACAATTTTGGTTTGATTCTGATTGCTCTTGCTAAAACTTGTTGAGAGATATACCAAGTCTAACAGTTTAATTAAGGAAAAAGAACCACAAATCACAAATGAAACCGTCATCGTGGGAAATATAGAAACAAGTCAAGAAGATATTCAAATGTTTTATGATTTGAGATGAGAGAATCAATCCAGCTTCAAGACCTATGAACAGGTTATTCCAGCAAATCAAGAGAACAAACGAAATTGTCCATTAAAAATTCATGTCACATTTGATTCTCTCATGGTTTTATTCTTCACGAAAAGATTATTTACACAACTTTTTTCAACAGTTACTTTTTTCTTCTTATTTCGAGAGTAACTTGAAGAAACATTCTTTTCTTTTCATTTGGAATTCTGGATTTTTCGGTCGCATATTTAAAACCAAAATGCATGAACCCAGCAACACCATGAGTCAACAAATTGGTTTTGAAATTGATCATCTTTTCGTCATTAAACCCGAAATCGATGGTTTCGTGATCCAGAGGAAGGTCTTTTGTAAACTTGTCATCAGCAACAGGCATCTTCTTATCGACGGCTTGCATCAAGTACGTCTCAATTCTTGTGGCACAGTTACTGATCATGTAATTGTGGCCATTTCTGGAGTAAATGTTGTTTTTGTCTTTCATAGAGCTTTGCAATCCATTCCAACAAGCAATTCTTCCCTTGTTTTTTGCAAAGAATTGTTTCTTGAAATGATCTTCCAGGCATGAATGTGCAGAGGGATTTTCCTTGTTGATTTCAGCATCAATAATTCTTAAAGGCTCGACCAAACCTTCGACATTTTCCATACAAGAATCCACATTTTGTGTGTTGAGTATATTTTGGATGGCTTCTACCCGTCAATCTTTTGATTATGGTGTCTGTTCTTCTTTTGTTGAAGAACTCGGTAATGACTTTTTTGTTCTGGACAAAGCAAATTGCTCTCATTGTACAAAATACCTTCAGAACTTCTTAGTAGTCTGATTAGAGACCACTCTTCCGAAACATATTCCTTCAAGTTGCTAACATATTCATAAGAAGGATATTGACGAGGTGGCAAATTCGAGTAAGAACAATGTTCGATGGTGTCACAATAAAAGGGACTGTGTGGTGTATTTCTCAAACACAGAATTCATTGCACATTGAGAAACTTTACCATCGAGTGAGAGGAAAAAAACAGGTGCCACTCTTGTTTTCTCTTTGTGGTTCAGCAAAACTCTTGAGGGAGTCAAATTCTTGAATATATCAACATTCATCTTCTGTGGGTCTATTAAGACCACTTGCAAATTCTTTTTGATTGAAACTTGCACAATAATGGCCCTAACTGGTAAATTATCTTCTTCAGACACATAGATGCATTTCGACTCGTCATGTAATAGAGTCACTATTTGAAATAATTCTTGCACCTACCAAGGATGCAATATCTGGATAATGTTCTTCAGTTGGTATTTTGAGAACACTTGGATTCTTTTCCTCTCTTTTCACAGGACAAAAGTTACTATGGAAATCGTAACTATCTGAACCAACATCTCTTGTCTTAATAAATGTAAGAAACAAATCCTTCAAAACACCTTTCACTTCAGTGACAAGGACAATATGTTTTTCGTGGTTTAAATCAAAGAGAGGAAGAATCGCTTCGGAAAAGTTTTTCAAAGCCTTTTTAAAGGTGACATCTGGTTTGAATAGCAGTTTAGCCATCGCTCTGATGTGCTCTTCGATTAACTGCAAGTGTTTGGAGATTGCTTTATCTTGTGTAGTAATTCCGCTCCTTAAATAAGGAAATCTGTCTCAAGCAATTCTTCAATGTCGTTCTGAGGATCTAGTGTAGTGGAATTCTCTTTCGAATTGTACATATTTGGTGTTTGGTATGGGTATAATCATGAACTGATCATTCAAGAACTCCAACATTCTTTTCTTGGATTCTACAAATTCAACTTGGCCATTGACAGGTTTCTCGTTGGGAGTATCATCGAATTTGTAATCAAAGAAATCTGAGAGATACTTTCTGAATGTCTTTTCGAATTTTTGTCTCTTCTTTTTACTCAAACAACCAAGGAACTCTTTAGATGCCTTTTCTTCGTTAATGGTAATTCCTCCAAAACAATAACAGAATGTTTTGGGATTTCTCTGAATGTCCTTGTCTGCAAAGATTCTTCCCATCAATTCAAAGTAATCCGTTGGAAATTCTGATATCATGTTATTTGGAAAGATCAAAATTCGATCGGAAAGTTTTCCTGCTTTCAAAGCCAATCGTTCAAAGATTTTGCTGTGAGAACCACTATTCAAACCTGGAACATCCATCAATTCACAATTCAATTCTTTGAGGAAAGGAAGAGGGGCCTTCACCTTAATCATCTTGATGCGAAAGAGATCTTTGTCTGTGGCTCTCTGTTGGAGTGTTGTCAAAGCATTGAAGAAATCTCCTAGCACAATATTGAATTCGTTTTCACACTTTAGTAGAAGGTGAATAATAGTGTTGGTTATTTCATCATCATCTTCACCATCAGATGAAGCATAAACCGTAATGATGTTAATAGGTTTGTTTCTGGAGAAAAATCTTGTCCATTAGACAAGTCTTCCAAAGAGTTGAAAGTTTTCTTTTCCACAGTACTACAAGATGATTCTTGAGTCTCGTCATCATTCTCTTCATCCTCATCATCTTCATCATCGTCATCATGGTCGTCTTGATTGTCCTCCTCATCATCTTTTGATTCAATGTACTTGTGTCGTTCTTCAACTTCTTTTTGATTACACAACACAGTCTGCATGTTCGAATCTTCTCATCCTCCTCGTAAGCTTTTTCGTGAATAACCTTGGTTTCCTTGTCAAGTTTATCAATGCCGGAGTCCTTCTGCATTCCTTTGCGAAATTGTTGGCTGTTTTTTTTAAGTTGGATGTTCAGTGATGCTGATTCTTGCAAGGTTTATGCTTTGCAAAGCAGTTTTCAAAAAATTTTGTTCGAGCATTTCTCCAAATGATCACCTTTCAGTCTCAGCACACATTACAATACATCACTCTTAAGATTGTTAATAGAACTTGTTTTGGATTCACACATTTACTTCTTTTTACCAGACTGCTGTTTGGGAGGTTCTTTTGGTTTGAGACTCTCTTGAATTTGATGCAAATAATCCCAAAATTTTGTATTAGATGGATCCAATCGAATGGCTTTTTGAATCATCTTCAATGCAGCATCAGGAATACCACTCTCAAACGCAAAGGATGATAATGTGAAAAAGAGTTCAGATTCCGTTGGCATGAATTGTTTTTCTGCAAATAACACTTCTTCAGCTGGTCCCCAATCCTCTTTTGCATAATACACCCAGTACATGTTCAAACGTGATAATGGTTGGTCAGGTTCAAGCTTCATGGCGAGTTGGAATGCGTTTCCTGCTTCCTCTAAATTTCCAAGAATATATTGCAATTTGCCATACATGAGATAGAGTGGCGCTGATTCGTTGTTAATATTGATTGCATTCTTTGCATATTCAATTCCACTCTTTGCAATAGCAGTGTTATCTTTCTTGGTGTCTGAAATGCACATCATCAAGCAAATATAACACAATTTAGCATTAGCTACAAAATGATTATTCAAATCATTGGTCTGTTTTGAAATCACCGAGCAACAATCAAGGCAATACTTGGCCATATTGTACTTGCGTTGATTCATAAAAAGCTCAGAAAGGGTGAACCATCCATATAAATTTGATGGATCTTTTTTGATTGCATTAGAGAATAATTTCATGACCTTATCCATACTCTCTCCTTTCGCAAGAATACACTTTCCAAGTAGTGAAAATAATGTTGCTTCAACCTTGGCCGAGACGTCTTTGAATCGTTCCATCAACTTTTTCATTTCACCCATACACTTGGTGTATTCTCCATTTTGAATAAGTTGTTCTAAAGATGCTACATGTATTGCAATTTCAGAGTCACCGCTACTTGCATTTTCATATATATTTAAATAACCTCGTAAGAGAGAGATTGCTACCTTATTAATAGATTTTTCTTTCTTGAGAATAGACATGGTATGTGTGCATGAAGCAAGTAATCTTAATATTTTTGGATTACTTGGATCTAACATCATTGCTTTTTGAGTCATTGATAGAGCATGTTTGAGTGTAACCAAAGCATTGTGATAGTATGGAGCAGATCCCATGGCATAGTACATGGATGCAATGTTAATCAATCTATCAATAACAGCAAGCTTATCCTCAGGAAATAATTCTGTAGTTAATCTGGAAATAGAATTCTCCATAAGTTGGGTCGTTAGTTGTGAAATAGCTCCTGAATTTGTGGATGAAGTTGGAATTTCACTAACTTCAAATTTTGATTTGCTCTTCTTTGTCTTTTTCTTTTGGTCCAACGAGGATGCAACGAATTGATATTCAAGAGTAATTTGAGACAACAGATCCCATAATTTAGGCTCATATGGATGCAAATAAATAACTCTGCAAATGGAGTTTCTTGCTTTCTCATATTCTCCATAACTTGCATAAATGATGCTTTCTAACTTGACTGTTTCTAAATTCACACCGACTTGTCTTGTTTTCAATGTTCTGATCACATTTAGTGCAGGTTCAGGGTTTTTAGGCTCCATCACGACACACAGGGAGGCTAAGCTATGATAGGCCTCGAAGTGATCTGGAAACTGTTTAATACTACGAAGATGAAGGTGAGTATTAGAACACTAAATTAAATGTACATACCATTTTTCGAAAACTTCCTTGGCTTTTTTGTGATCCTTTTGTTGATAGTAAACCCGTCCAAGCAAATTATACAGCTCAATGAGTCGTTTTTCGAGTGGCTCACCACTTTTGATCTTTTTGAGAATATTGTCAATGGCTGAATTAATACTCTTGATAGAAAATGAAAAATCAGATGCAAAGCAACTGGTGACAGCTGATCCCATGACAATGCCCATATCTTCAGAGCTATATTTCCTACATAATTCGAACACGGAGCTGGCTTCATTAAATCTTTGAAGTTTGCATAATACTCGTGCTTTGTTAATTCTTGCAAGATATAACATATTTTCTATGGAATAAAGGTTTGATTCATCGAAGGCCACAGATTGGCTGTTCTCAAGATAACCTTTTTGTTGTGAATCATGAGCAGTACTTTTAGTCTTAATCTGATGATCAAGAAGTAATCCTTCACACTTGTTATATGCCTCTAGGGACTTATCAAAATGTTGTTGCATCTCTAACGCGACGCCCAATATGTTCCATGCTGCATAATCGTTTGAGCTGAATTGACAGTATTTCATGATAGATTGAACTGCTTCAATAGGATCATTTGTTAAAAGTGATGCATATGCAAGACCAATATAAGAAGGAGCAATGTTCTCTAAGGTGGTTGCATGTTTAAAATCTTCTTTCGCTCTGAAAATACCCTCTCTGTTTGGAACATTTTCATTGATGAGTGCTAATCCCACCCAAGCAACGGTGCTCTCTGGATAAATGGCCTGTGCCTTCAAAAAAGCTTTTCTTGCGAGTTTAAGATTTGATTTTGTGAGATAGAGAGCTCCCAAGTTATTCCAAGCATCATAATTCTTGTTATCAATTTGGACCGCTCTAATAAAACAATGTTGTCTTACAACATGGTTGTCTGACAAAATTCCCAACAAATTCCAATAATTACTATTGGTAGGATTAAGAGTGAGAGCCTTCTTAATGTGTTCCAGAGCTTGAGCTGTTAAATCGTCAATGCTTTGTAATCTTCCAGATGAAATAATATTAAATATTTGATTAAGTTTCGAAACTGTCAGGTCATACCATGGATCACTATCGTTCTCATCAAAGGAAAGATACTTTTCATAAGATTTAGAGGCCTCTTGTAAGTAATCTAATTTGGTTTTCAAGTTACTATTAAAATGATCAGTATAAAGCTTGTCTTCATCTTTAAAAGTATCTCTGTAAGACAAAATAGCTTCGATAATATTCTTTTCTGGCAATAAGTTCATAAATGTTTGAATATCTCCTAGAGACTTCCATAAACTTCTCATGATTGAACCAAATCCCTTACTAATACCATATATAAGAACACATTGTGCTTTGATTAACTGATGAGCACATTGTGTAAATAGACCATCAGCATATAATGTTTTTGCAACTTTGAAAAGTACATCTGAGATGCCTTGATACGCAACAGAATACTTCTCATCGATGGAAATCACTTTTTCATAAATTTCTCTACTGTTGTCAAACTCGCTCAACTGGAACTTAATATACGCTGATTGTACTAGTGAAAATACTAAAGTAGGGTTGATCTCAATTGCTCTGGAAAAGGCCTTTAGAGCAGCTAAATATTTTCCTTCTCTCTTATAACTTTCTCCAAGTCCTTCCCAACAAAGAGCATCTTGTGGAGATACTCGAAGAGCATGTTGAAACGAAAGAATGGATTGATCCAAAAGGTTTTGTGACTGTTGATAAAACCCAAGCTTGCTCCACGCCCATCCAGCTCTATTGTTTCTTGTGGTCGCATCTTTAAACAAACTTGCAGCAAGGGTGAGAAGTCCTTTCCCAATATAAATATCTCCAAGGTTGACTCCTGCTTCCTCCTCTAATGGATTGAGAGTTACGGCTTTCTTGTAACATTTGATACATCTATCTTCGTCTTTTTCGATATGTTGATAATATAATCCTAAAAAGGTATAATTACTAGAGAAAGTAGGATTGAGTTTTGCAGATTGTAAAAAGTAAGTATAGCAATACTGCTTGTCGGCTCTAAATTTCTCATTCCAATCCCAGTAAACTTTTCCTAATCTAAAGTAATACAAATAATTATTTGGATTAACTTCAATGGCATTTTTGATATATCGTATTGCTGCCTCGAAGTCCTTGTCCAAATAACAGAACCACCCAGTTTGACAGAGAGTTAAGTTATCTTGAGGGTTAATTTGAATGGCTCTGACATAGTATTCTCTCGATTTTGATAGATTGCCTCTTTGATATTCAATATCAGCAATTCCTTTAATAGACTCCAAATGATTAGGGTCAGCCATTAGAATTTCATTGAAAATTTGTTCTGCTTCGTTGAGAGATCCAACTTTTTGCAAAGAGATGGCCTGTAGCACTTTCAGCTTGCTTGTGAACCTGTGTTAAACAAATAAAAACATAACAAGACTGTTAAACATTACAATGCATAGATGTTAAACTTACTTCTTGAGTGAGGCCTTGGTTGTCAATTCTCTCTCTTGAATGATAGCTAGCCCTTTTCTGGCAATCTCAGATGCGTTTTTGTACTTTTCTAATTGTAAATAGAGTTCTGTCTGAAGAATCCAACCTTGAATGAAGTAAGGAATCAAGCCAAGTCCTCTCTGCAATAATACCATTAATTCATCCTCTATTTTGTCGCTCTTTACATTTTCTTTGGCCAATAACTCATAGAGCTTGATGTAGGATAATCCTTCGTGTGGGAACAAGTATAACATTCGTTTAGTTAGAGGCTTTTCTGCATAATTTTCATCAAATATTTGATAGTCATCTTCTTCATTGATCAAGAAAAGCTGTTCTATTGCTTTAAAGTAGTTCTTGTGCATTTTCAAAGCCTCTTTGCAGACTGACGAAAGAGATTGTTTGATCTATTAATGGAGTTATTTGTAAAAAGCAAAATATTAAATTACAAAATTGTACAATATAATTATTCACTTACTTTTGTCACTATTGTCTTGTCCTCAACAAGTTTCAACCTCTGTTGTGATCTATTGATAATCATGTCAAATATATAAAAATCACAATAAATATCCTTCTCTTTGCAAAAAGATAAAATCTCATAAAGCCTCTTGTCAACGTTGGTTTCCACATTTTGAGACAAGAATTGTTGAGATGTTTCATCTTTCCAGCTCGACTTAAGTTCTTCTCTCTTGTTAAGAGGTAATAACTCAAGATCAGAAGGCAACAATTTTTCGAGCTCTTTTTCACTCAGCTTCTTCTTTTCTTTCAAAAGTTTCTTCTTTTGCTTGTCTTTCAATTCATCTATTTGTTCTTGAATCTGCTTGTCTAGCAAAATGTCAATCTGCTTCTTTTCATTGTATTGATCAATAAATAGTAAATCAAGCATGTGGTTATAACCTAAAAATCGATCCGATGAAGATTCCTTCTTTCCTTTCAAGGTGATCATGTCCTGAACTAGTGCTTCGAATTTTCCAATGTATTGACCTAAATCGCTTTCCGAGGTACTTCTCACATATTGACCAAACAATTTATAATATTTCAATAAATTATTGTACCACTTGTCTTCATCCTTGCTCTTCAATAATTGATTTAATTTTTCATAAATACCTAAAAGTTTCTTTTTCAAGGCTTGATCTTGACCATTCTGATATTGCTGTTTTTGCTCATATAGTTCGGATAAACCCATCAGAGGTTGTTCACTGTCTTTTTGCAAGGTAATCGCTTTCTCATAGGCTTGCTCAGCCTGCACGAATTGCTCGTCCAAGTGTTCCGAAGCGTACAGCTTTCCTAAACAAAAGCCAGCATAAAGAAACATGTTGAAATTTGTTGGATCAATTTTAATAGCCTTCTTTAACTCGCTGAGTGCTTCCTTGTAATCTTGTTTCGCGATACACTCCTTGATGATGCGAGCATGTTCTTTGATTTGTTTGGACATTTTTTTATGCGTGAATTTTACAATCATTCTTGTTTTGCTCGAACATCCATATATATATTATTATTGACAAAAATTGATGAATTATTATCATCACTCGAACACATTCCCTTCTCTTCACACCAAAGTTGTCCTTATGAGGGTGTTTTCTTTTATAAAATGTTGAAAATCATCGTACGAATTTAATTCGACAAACTCTTTCACATGCTCCTTCCATTCGTTGTGGCTCAAATCATGAACTCTTTGTCGAATTAAATTCACAAAATCTGATGAATCTCTAATAGATTCATTCTCTTTGCACAAACTGTTCTTCAAAGTTACTAGAAAATCAGTATGAGATCTGGAATGTCTATATTCAGGTTTCTTTTCTGGCATTTTCAAATATCTTTCCATCCATTCACTATTCATGTCCCATAGAAATGATGTATGATGTACCCATCGTTGAGATTTTCCTCCAGTCACATATTGGGCATTTCCACCAAACTTTTTACCTCCATAGAAAATATAATCATTTTCTCGCAATTTGAAATTCAAACTTGGAGGGAAAATTGGATTATAAAAACCATAGGTCCATGACATAATCTCTTCTGGATATGCTTTATATTGGATTTCATGGTCATGTTCTCTTTCTATAATTTTTCTCGTTAAATTTGGGTCAAAACTTGAATATTTCAAAAATTGATGTGATCCAACAATTGACACAAATATGGTTTTGTCATCAACAAGTACCGTTCCACCTCCAGAAAATCTTTTCACTATCGGAACCTTATCTAGTGTCGTATTCTCTGTGAAGACCAACTTTTCAACATTTCCACTGCTTCCCATAATAATACTTTTTTCAGGAGTTCCTTCATTGGTAAGGATGTAAATATTTTCCTTATTACTATCGCATCTCATGATACTTTCTTCTAATCGCAACATATCATAGATTGGATATTGTTTGTTCCGTAGAAAAATCATTCGGAAGAGAGATTTCACTGGTTGTTGGAATTGATGCAGTGGCATGACGTGAGAAAGTGTGTTGGGCTGCATTTTTTTTGGATTTCAATTTTGAAGTTTGAGGATTTCAAAATGATTGACTGAGAGGTAAATATCCTATCTTAAATCATGCATGCAATCAAAATAGGTCCTAATGATTTCATAAGTCTATGAAATGTCAATAAATTGTTTGAAACGAGTTCAACATTTACTTAGTGTACAATTATCTCTTCTTTTTTTGTGTTCGATCATTATGTTCAGAAATCTCTGGACTTGATTTTCGTTTTGTCGTGGAGGTACTGCTTGGAGGCGACATGTTATTGGAATCTGTCAAGACATGATTACTTGTGGACGTTGAAGATGTGTTTTGATTTTTCACACCTCCTATTTGTGAAAGGTTGTGAGAAATATTGTATCGTTTCAATTCATTTTCTAATTCTGCATAGAGAGCAGCACTTGATTGTTGTTGCTGCTGTGGAGTATTCGGTGTGGACGAAATGGGAGAAGGAGGTATTCCATTCATTCCAACACCACCTTGATTCTTTGAACTACGTACAATGGATATTCCTTCTTGTAGTAATTCCTCCATCGTTTCTTCTTTTAAAATGAAATAGAGTTTCATGGTTGTTGTTGCATTTAAATTCATTCCATTGTTGTTGTTGTTGTTGTTGAGGATGGTACCATTTATGGATTTAAAGTTATTGCTGTTGGCAGAGATGTTGGTTATTGTCGTCGTCGTAGTAGTAGTGGGCGTAACCGGAGTTGATGTTACGGACATGTTTGATGGAACCACATGTTGTTGTTGTTGTGACGAGTTCATGACCATGTTGTTGTTGTTGTTCTGATTTTGAAGAGGAGGTGATGAAGAGGGTCGTAAAGAGAGGGACGACGATGATGTCATTTGATTCTTGACACCACTCACCTGAAATTGTGAAGGTAAATTATTATTGGGAGGAGAAGATGTGGTGGTTGGAGGTGTTGGCGTGAATCGATTTTGTTGTTGTGAATGATGATTGTTGTTTCCATTAGAAGTCACAGCTGTGACGATGGAAGGGTTCATTGAAAATTCGGCCGTTGTTGTTGTTGTATTTGGTATTCCCATGTTATTGTTATTTGAATTTAATTGTTGTTGTAACTGTTGTAATTGCTGTTTGACTTGCATGCTATTGCCATTCGACATGATTTGCGAGATGAGTAATTGCAAAGATCGGTTGTCCAAGTTCATTAATTGTTGTGGTGTCTTGATGGAATTGCCATTATTGGTGTTGTTGTTATTGGTTAGATTAGTGGTTGTGGAATATTGAAGAGAGAGAGAATTGGCATTTCCATTCACCAACATACTTCCATTGTTGGGCAGGTTCTTATTCATGGACATCATGGAAGCCAAGATGCTTTGCATATCAACAACAGAATGATTCATGGGCGTGGGATTGATGTTTGACTTTTCAAATTGTTGTTGTTGGAGTTGTTGATTCGATGCTATGGCTGTTGTTGCTGAAACCAGTCCAGCATGTTGAAGCAAGTGATGATGAGAATTTGGTGCACTCGTATTGATGCTACTGGACTGTTGCTGCTGATGTGAGTGTTGTTGTTGTAGTGGTTGTTGCAGTGGTTGTTGCAGTGGTAGTTGTTGCGGATTCATCATCAACATCATTCCATTCCGCCGAGAGGCTTGATGAAGAGAAGAAGGAGGCTGCGAAGAAGATGTGGTGGACGTTGGTGTTGAACTGATTGAAGGGGACATATTCTTTTGTTGTTCTGATGGTGGATATCTGTTGTTGTTGTTGTTGCTGTTTTGAGAGAGGGTGGTGGTGGTGGTGGTGGTGGTGGTGGTGGTTGTTGAAGTTGTTGTTGCTGCGAAGAAAGCCACAGGTGTTTCCAATCGAGAGAGGGTTTCTGGACAAATTTGGTCTATTTGGATTTTAGGATATTGATGATGATTGTGCTGTTCGAATTCCTTTGTCGACGAATAGGTGTCAAAATGGTTGTTGTGGTTTTGTGGTTTTGTGGTTTTGTGGTTGTTGTGTTTTGAAATTAGTAGTGTACTAATATACTTCTTTGACGGTAAGTGGACTGACTCAGAGTGAAGCTTCTGTGGCGATGACGACGACAACAATCACGCTTGTCAACAACGAGTCGAATGGAAGGTTGCTATGCTTTTGAGCGAAATCAAAAAACTTCTCTCGCCAAGGAAACTTAACGGCAAGAGCTGAAATTCTTGAGTGCCACACGTTGTGATGATGATGGTGAGGATGACAAGTGTTGGGTTTGTGTTTTGAATCTCTTCGATTGTTGATGACCACAAAGACAACAATTAATGCACAACTCTATCTCTCTCTTTAGAGGCCAAGTTCGAAAAGAATCTGAAGCGAGAGAGAAATGTGTACGTGTGGCAGCGACGGAGTGTGTGAGCGACAACAGTGCTGTTTTTTTGAAGGATGATGCTTGTTTGTTTCTGGCTTTCAATGATGAAATATTAAATTGCTCCTAACTATGAATGGAAAGTCTTCGCGAAAATAAGCAAAAGAGGTCAATTTGAATGGTCCAAGTCAAGGCAATATGGCAAGGATGGGTTGAGGAAGGAAAGATTATGAGGTAATAGTATGGAATGAAGATATGTTGTGTTGTATAGGATACCAACCAAGAAAAACGTTTTTAACAAATTTTCTGAGGAGAGTTTTGAAATAAAGTCCATTCACTGCAGGTTTGGCTGATGTTGATCCATCTGACTTGTTTGAGATGGTCAGTTCCCAATTTGAAATTATGAAGACTCAAAAAGTAACATTGATATCACTTTGCCAGCAACACACAAAAGATCTCTGATTAGAGTGAGATAATCACACTAGTTTTGAGTCGTGATTGATACAAAAGTATGTATTTGTAATGTCATCAAAAAGAAATGCAAACACTCCAAAACAAATTCAAAATTCCAAAAAATGCTTCGAACAACAAACAAGAGAAAGAAAAAAGTTTTTGTGGATTACTCGAAACGAAAAAAGCAACGATATTTTCTCATAGAATTTATTCCTCTTTCATCTTATCATGATCCGAATAGTCTCGCAAAAAAGATACAAAATCATGAATTTGAAAAATCATTTATTCCGAGTACAATTACTTCCGATCTTTTTCTTAAACAGCTTCAACAAATTATTGAAGAATGGTTTGGATTATACAGCTTGGCTCACTCTATGTTTTCAAGATTTTACCAAAAATTTATTTACTTTAATGAAAAGACAGGATTAGCAATTTTAGCTTGTCCTTGGAAATTGGCTCCTATTATGTCCACCGCTCTTTCTTTGATTAAAGTTCCCACAAACAAAGAGATTTTTATTGTGAGAACGATATTTACCTCTGGATCTATTAAGAAATGTAAGAGAGGAGCTGCACAATATCAAATGAAATGGATCAATGAAAAAGGGGCTCTTGTAAATAATATTGAACCAATAGATGCAAACGTCACACTTTTGTCTTTCAATGAACAACCAACTAATGATGCTGACGATGAGAATGCAATGAATATTTCAGAGTCTTCAACTAGAGATGAATATGAGGAGCCTCAAACGGATCGATTTATCACACTGTCTACAGGAGAGACAATCACCAATTTTATTCAATTGTATCTCAAGACAAAATAAAGAAATGCATTCAAATGAAGCAAAATAAGGCTGTTCCTCCTTTTTCATATCTCGAGGATATAGGCATTCCTCCCTGTGAAACGGGAGTTCGACACACAGGACATGTTTGATTTCCTGTTTGAACCCACTCACTGATGCACTGTTAAAAAATTGAAAAAGTGAGCTCACATCATCATCATCATTAAACAAAACTTACCTGTTCACAAAAAACATGTTGACATTGGAGCCTGACTGGCCTTTCATAGTTTTGAAGGCAAATACTACATTCATGATGCTCACCCAGCTCTGAAACTTCACTTGACGATAAACGTTTTCCATAGGGGCATGTTGGAGAAAATAAATTCTTGCAGGAGATAAAAAGTTCAAAAAGAATAGTCAATAAACTTCCAAGTTTGAATCCAGCATAAATAACAATCGTTATGATTGCAAATACTTGATTGTAATTGTTCAATAAATATCTAATCCAAATATTGGGAGGTAATGAAATTCTGTACAGTTGAAAAAGAACTTCAGAGACAGCCAAAATCCTTCCGATATGTATCTGTTTTAACATGGGAGGAAGTATTAAAACGATTATTGTCTTAACAATCATTCCAGCAAGTTTGATAATGCTATCTATCAAAAATACATAGAACAAACAATCCCAAAAAGTGTCAATCACTGATCCCTTGTCCAGCTCTGGAATTGTGAAATAGAATAGATGCCAAATTTTGTCCTTGTAAAAGAACAAAAAGATAAATCCAATAGAAAGTAACAAAAGAATTGTCTGAAAGATGACAACAAATATCTTTCGTGCTTGTTTGAGTGCCACTTGTTCCTTAATTCTGATATCACTGTTTATGCTTGTTGTCGATAGCCAAATAAACAGTAATACACCAATATAATGCCAATACATGAGCACCATAAATGGTAAAACAACCATTGGTAAAACTCTAAATGTAAACAAGGATAGGTCATGCAAATTAATTCGAATCGATCGTTGATTAGCATTATTTTGTTGTGGAGGTGTGATACTGTTATTATTATTGGGATCAATAGTATTGGTGTCTGTAGTTGGATTGTTCGTTGTTGTTGGTGTTTGTTGTGTGGTCAATCTTCCGGATAGAGTGAATTGATTATTATTATTTCTGAACCGATTCAACAAGTCGAGTATATTTCTTCCATCCAACTGAATTGATGCAAGATATCCTGCTGTAACCCCTCTATTATTGTTGTTGTTGATAGAGTCTTGATTCGGTTGTTGTCGAGTTTCGGAAGTTGTTGTATTATTATTATTCGGGAGGATTGGGTGCGAATCACTCACTTGTTCTTCTGAAAAATCATCATTAGTTGATGATGTATGTTGTTGTCCTTGTTGGTGCTGTGAGAGCAAGTCATGATTCAAAAGTCTTGCGTCTCCAACATTCTCTAATGGGTGATGATGGTCTTCTTCGTGATCGTGCTGCTGGACAGTAGGGTAGTGTGATGCACTATTATTCGACGACATTTTTTTGAATGACGAAGTTCCAACAATGGTCTAATTGCAAAGAATCACCTCAGCACGGAGGTCTCCGGAAGTGAATAAAGGCACAATGTTGATGATGATGATGTACAAGTGAAATACGCAGAGATTCTCTGAGATGACAATAAGATATCTTTGGTTCTCATCAATGATATTAAATTTAAATTTATTTTAAAAAAAACCAAACAAAAAAATGTTCAAAAAAGCCTTGTCTTCCTCCGTGTTGCGTCATTCATCCATTGTTCAACCAAAGAACCTTGCAAATACTCATAGCAGATTCTTCTCATCAAACCAAATCTGCCAAAAGACTACCGCTACATTGTTCCCTGGTCATGGTATTGGTATGTTGATTTGTATATATGGTTGGAGGATGTTGTGTACATTCTCCGGTTGGTTTGGAAAATTGTTCAATCATTTTGATGTTTTTAATAATTTGGATGTTGTTGTAATTTCGATGAAAATCTTGGATTGTCTACAATGGCTATTTATATTTCAACATACATTTATTCTGATGATGGTTGGATGGATGGAACGAATACAACAAATTAATATTCTTAATGATCATGAACAAAATCATGATCAACAACATAGGTCCTGAAATTTCTCAAGCTGTTGCCAAGATTCTTGATGCTGCTGGAGCTGATATTGAATGGGAAACTTACGACATTGGTATTCCACAACCTGGAAGTATTGAGTTGATTTCTCCTGAAGCTCTTGCCAGCGTTAGAAAGAACAAGGTGGGTTTGAAGGGACCTTTGGCTACACCAATTGGCAAAGGATACAGATCATTGAACATCACTTTGAGACAAGCTTTGGAACTTTATGCCAACGTCAGACCAGCCGTCAGCATTCCTGCTATTAAGACAGGATATCCACACGTTGACGTTGTTGTGGTTAGAGAAAATACCGAGGGAGAATATTCTGGTTTAGAACACGAAGTAGTTCCTGGCGTTGTTGAATCTTTGAAGGTTATCACTCAAAAGTCATCTATGCGTATTGCTGAATATGCTTTCAAATATGCTTCTGAAAATAAGCGAAAGAAAGTTACCAGTGTTCACAAGGCTAACATGTAAGTTTAATTGCTTGTGACTGCTTTTTGTGAAACAAAATTATGATTTCTGAACAACAGCATGAAAATGAGTGATGGTCTTTTCTTGGAATGCTGCAGAGAAGTAGCCAAGAAGTATCCACACATTAAGTATGAGGAAGTTATTGTCGATGCTTGTTGCATGAAGTTAGTTCGTTATCCTCAAGAATTCGATGTTTGTGTCACACCAAACTTGTATGGTGATATTTTGTCTGATCTGTGTGCTGGTTTGATTGGTGGTCTAGGTTTGACACCAAGTGGTAACTTTGGTGAACATGCCAGCGTTTTTGAAGCTGTTCACGGAACTGCTCCTGATATTGCTGGTCAAGACAAGGCAAACCCAACTGCTTTGTTGTTGAGTGCTTTAATGATGTTGAGACATTTGCACATGTTTGATGTCGCTGATCGTATTGAAAAGAGTGTAATGAAGGTACTCTCTGAAGGAAAGGTTTTGACAGGCGATTTGGGTGGTACTGCTAAATGCTCTGAATACACCAACGAAATTATTAAGAATCTCTAAATGCATACAAACATGTGAAAGTTTTCAATAAATATTTATGTGGTTTTAAAATTGAAAATGCCAATAAATTAGGAGGACAAAAATGGTTTTCCGGTGTCAAATAATTGCCACCGGTGTGCAAGAATCGAAGGGTAGATTGAATCTCTCCAGAAAACCATTTTTTCTGCGTCCCAGCCTGCTAATTGTCGTGCGTTTATGCTTGTCGTGATTGCTGAACTTAGGTTTTCCATAAATAGACTTTGGAAGAATGGAGATCATTCCTAATATTCAAACCATAACTTGAGAATAATAATCTCGTCACAATAATCAACTACGTCGTTCGTCAATAATGCTCTTGGCTAAGTCGTAGTGTAAAAACTTACAAAATTCTTAAAAAAGAAGAAAAGGACCGGCCAACAAAAACCCCTAAAAAAAGGGACCGGTCACACTGCGGCTTAGCTTTTTTGCTTTACGAACCTTTGAAACTCTCCAACCAGCAGTGCTTTAACTCTATTGTGTTTTATGAAAATAATCAACTATACATCTTAAGACGAAACTAAATGTTATGTTTGAACACTGAATTCATTTTGAATGGTTCTTCATAACGAGTTGAGAAGAATATTAGATCCTATTAGATCTTCCAATCAAAAAAAATGAACAACAACTCCAAGCAAGACGAAGCCTCCTCTTCGTCTTCTTCTTCATCATCATTGGCTCCGAACACACTTTTCAATATACGAGAATTGGCTGAAATGGCTGTTTATGCTTCACTTGTTGGAGGATTATTTGGAGGAATAAGAGGGTTCTTACAAATTAGAAAAGCTCACATTCCGACTTCTACATTGGAAAAGATGAGAACGAATATGTTTTATCGAATACAGCTACAACAACAACAGCAAGAATTTACTCAAGTAGAAAAGGAAAATGAATTCAATCCCAATAAGAGTCAACAGTCGGAAAAGCAATACGACCCAAAGACTGCTCGTGTGGATAGAAAACATGTTATTTTAGGATATGTATTTCATCAACTAATACGAAATGCAACAAATGCTGGAATTTTTGCTTTTACATTTTCTTTAGCTGATTTGAGTTTGAGAAATTTCAATATATTTAATCCTATTAGATATGTGAACGACGACGATGATGACGAAAAATCGAAAACCTCTCTACATTCGTCGTCAAACAAAATTTTGCAAAAAATCCACGATTATTCAGAGAAAATTTACAAAATGACCTTAACAGATGAACAAATAGAGATCATTGAAAAATCTGAGGCTATCAAGCAGAGATTAAATCAACTGAATTTACTGCACAAGCCATTGGCAGGAGCTTTCGCTGGAGGTGTTTTCGGATTGTTGGCCTCGGTGCCTAATTTATTTTTGGGAATTGGAACCATGTCATCTGCGATCTCAATATCTACGTCGTCATTTGCTTATGGATTACTTTTTGGAGCATTATCAGCAGTATTCATTTTACCCCTTCAGAGTTTTTACATTGTTGAACGATTGAATAGATACAATGCAGTGGATAAAAAACAAGTAGAGGCCTCAAAAGAGCTACTAACATCTAAGGAGAAAGTGCGCAAAGTAATCAATGTTTCATCGGATTCAGAACAGACAAAGATGATACATCAATTTGTTCAAAACGAACAAAATTTCTTGAACGAATTGGAGAAAATTTCAGAAAAGATTGGAAAGATGAAATCATTAGAAGAAGCTGACTCACCTAATAAAGACCAGCAATAACATCAGTGACAGTCAAAAAAATGTCTTCAATCAAAGATTTGATTGCGAATTACAAGGTTAGCTCGGTTCTCAACAAAAACAGCAAAGAGTTCGGAAAGCAACACTTGTTTGACGGAAACGACGAAACATGTTGGAATAGCCATCAAGGCAAACCACAATACATTTATTTAGAATTTAAACAGCCAGTGAATATTGCAAAAGTTCACATGATATTTCAGGGTGGATTTGTCGGAAAAGATTGTCAATTTTTAATAGCCAATGGTAATGAAGAGCTTACCTACCATTCTTCTTTTTATCCCGATGATTCGAGTGTGGAACAGGTATGCAATTATTATTTCGTAATTTAATATGTGAATTAATCTGAACAAATATTTTTCAATATTATTGTCGTTTCAGGTGTTTGAATTAGGAGCAACGTTGGATAAGCTAAAAATTGTGTTTGAAGACAGTACAGACTTTTACGGAAGGGTGACGTTATATAAATTAGATTTTAGTTAAATTGAAATTACTTTTTTGAGACTTTTTTCCTTCGTTTTCTTGCTTTTTGGATTTTTCAACCTTTTTGTCGCTCTTAGTTTCCGAATGTTTGTCTTGCTTTTTAGGTTGTGTTGAGTGGTTTGTTTCTACTTTCTTTGCAGATACGTCTGATTTCTTTTCTGAATTCTTGCTTTTTTCGGAGCTATGCTTCTTCTCTTCTGCCTTGTGTTTACTTTCGTCTTTTTTATCTTTCTTTGTTGACAGCTCAGGTTTGTCTTGTTTCTTTTGCGTGTCAGCTTTCTTTTCAGACTTCTCTTCCTTATTATCTTTCTGTTTGCTCTCGTTGGACGATTTCTTGTCATCCTTTTTGTGTGACTTTTCCTCTAAAGGAACTTTTTGTGTGACCTCTTTCTTTTGAGATTTTTCATGTTTCTTGTCGTCCTTGTTTTCTGTAGCATGCTTCTTTTCGTTTGATTTAGTTTTCTTCTCCTCCTTCTTGTCCTTTCTCGTCTTTTGAGGCACATTTTCTTCTGAATATCCATCTGGCTTGAAAATATTTTTTGAAACTTGATTTGAGAATTCTGCTCGTTGCTTCACACTGGCTTTGTATATTTTGCTCTGTCTTTCCTTCTCTTTCATAGCATCAAATTTTGGCATTTCAATTCCTTGTTCAATTCTATAAAATCCATCAATATGGCTATTTCTTAATAGGTGATCATCAGAATTAATTGACGTAAACAGTGGCACAATTGATGACTTGGAACTATCCTCTCTAGTCACGGTAATTCCTGATTCTGAATCAAGAACTAACTGTTTCTCTCCAAAACCAGAAATGTTTTGTAATTTCTTTTTAACTTCCTCAACAGTAAATCCCTGCGGTATCTCGATAACGAATAATTTACTGTCTGAAATGTCTTCATATGAAATAATAGGTTCCTGTTCGACATGAGTTAAATCTGTTGGAAGTGCCAAAGTGAACTCTTCATCCCTCATTAGCTCCTCTTCCGCAGTAGGAGAGGATGAGGATTGGTTTTCCTCTTCTGGCATTCGAGTATCTTCTTCAATGACTTGCTCGTCATCGTCTTGTTCACTTTCCGACTTTTTTTCTTCGTCATCCTCTGATTCCTCCTTTTGAACCTTCTTCTTTTTCTTTTTTGGCTCTACTTTGTCTTCGGAAGCCTCTTTCTTTTTCTTTGGTTTTTCTTTATTGCTATCCTTGGAAGTCTTTTTTTTCTTCTTTAATTTTTCAGATGGTTCCTCCTGTTCCTCTTCGGATTCCATGTGTTTGAGTGATTCTTCTTCATTATCACTCTTATCATCGTCAATCATCTGTTGTTTTCTTTTGCTCATTTTTTTTGAACTCGTTTTCAAAGGTTTGGCAGAACGAAAAGGCATGGACGAAGTCATTCATTTAGAAAGACAAAGCAAAGTATCAACCATGAGGTCCTGAACAGACGGCTAGTTGTTCCAACGATCATTCCTTTTCTAATCCGTTCATTCTTGATGATCCTTCAAATTTGAAAAAATGTCTTCGGGTTACTCCTTGTTGGGTCTAGTGGCTGATTTTGCCATGATTGTTGGACCTTGTGTGGGTTATATGGATCAAATTCGAACTATTCGCAATAAAAGATCAAGTGGAGGATTTAGTAAATTTATAAGTTTGATTTTATTGATTGCCAATATTCTGTAGGTGTTGTTTGGTTTGATTTTGCTTTTTTGCAATACGAGGATTTCGGATTGTATTACATTCAAAATATTATTGATTTGTTTGATGTACGATGGAAATAATCATTGACAATAATATTGGATGATCCTTTTCATTGAGCAGTCGTTGTTTCTTTAGATATTACAAGGAATTCGATAATGTATTGCTCTATCAATCCATTCTCATGATTGCTTGCCAATTAATATTGATTTTTGTTTGTATCCGATTTCCATCTTCGGAGACAGGTTCAATTTTCTCTCATCCAATCAAAAGCTTCTGGAATTGGACTGATTTCTTGAGCTATTTCATTTTCTTGGTCTTCTTCACTGTTTGTACTGGTGTCATTTCTTTCATTTTGCATCCAATGCTTCAAGAATTATACACTGAAATGCTTGGAACAGTTGCTTTATTTACTGAAGCTGTGTTAGCTGTTCCTCAAGTGATTAGAAATTGGCAAACTGGATCAGCAGATGGATTGAGTTGGGTATTATTGGGCACTTTCTTTTTGGGAGACTCCTACAAGACTGTTTACTTCTATCTCAAGAATCAACCTTTTCAGTTTGCGTTGTGTGGTTCATTCCAGCTTTTCATTGATTTTGTGTTAGCTTTCCAAATGCTAAGAGATCAACAATCAAAGAAGAAGCAACAACCACGTGGAGGATTGTTGGGATATTAAATCTCTACGTTCAGGATATTTCAATTGCATTTAAAACGTGTAATTCCCAAACTAATAAGTTGCTCAAGTACTGCTTGACTAGTAGATTATTTCTCAACACAGATAAAATCTCCTTGATTAGGAAATGTGAAATTGCAATCTAATTGTACTTGTTTGGCCTCTTGATTGAGTTGACGAGTAATAATTGCTCTATTGCTTTCGGAAAATATGGTTGTGAAAGTTGGTTTGATATGGGTGATGACAACTTTCAAAGTTGAGAGAGAAGGATTACCCTTTAAGCTTTTAAGTTCGAGCAATAGTTGAATTAAATCCTTTGGGCGAAGATGTCCATACAAAGAGCTATCGGGCACATCATTAGAAAAGCTGACCTCAATTAATATTGCTGCGAGTTTTGTAATGTCCACACTATTCCAAACATCTGTCACTTTGGAACGCCAATCACAACTTGTTCCAGTATTAGGACCTGTGTCAGAAAAATAAACAAGTTGCACATTGGCTGTCTCAAACAAGAATGCTGATGATGTCACTTCATGGCAAAGAGGAAATATTTTTACCGTTGTGTCAGAAAAATGGTAACTACCTGGGGATGGTAATTGTCGAATGTCATTTGAGTTTTTGTCAAATTTGTTATTGGTCATGTAAAGTAAATCGCTGACATAATATTTGTTTCCAAAATTAATTGTTTGATACTGATACCAATTTGTTAATTGTGGAATATTTGGCCAAATTACATTATTGAATACGCTTGAATTTAAGACATTAGCTACTTCTTGAGATGCTACAATACTCTTACTTTTAGGTAATATGGAGTAGTTAGCATTAAAATAAGATCCTTCTGGAGAAGAAATTGCCAAACCAGCCACTGATTATTCAAGAAGGTTGTTTCAAAATTATTAATATTTAACAATTTTCAAATATTCACCAATCATTATTTCAAATGTTAAATGTGTAAATCAATATTATTATTATGATTAGTAACATATGTGTGACCAATGAAATCAGAAAAACTCACCATGATCCAAATGAGAATGTCCAATGAAATATCCCAAAATATATTGTTTCATAATATATCCTGACAAGCTCATATAGTATTGTCTCTTGTCTTCTGGATTTTTTGAAAGCTCTGCCAAATCCACATCTGCCAACCATCCTGGTAATCCTGGAAATAAAGCTTTGAAAAATGTTAAATTCAACTTTTCATTCATTGTAAACTTGATCAATCCACTCATCATGGTGCCAGCATCCAAACTAATAAAATTTCCTTCACTCGTATTGGTTCTCAATAAAACACTTGTCAAATCAGATTCAATCATTCCACCTTCAGCTCCTAATATCGCCACTCCAAAGGTACAATGATTACTCAACATGTCTTTAATACTCTCCGAAATGTTTGGTTGTTGTTGATTGTTAATGGCAATCGGAATGGTTACGGCTAAAACAAAACCAACAACAATACAAAATATAATAAATAGACAAATAATGAGAATAAGTCTTGATCGCTGTGGCAGAAATGAATTTTTGAATTTCATACACAATGATTATTTTGAAGAAATAACATTTTACAAAATTCGGAATTGGATATCAAGATTCACACAAATGTAACAACAATAATACTCCACGAAATGTTCATATTCTATCATATTCACATACCCATTCCATTCGTCTCTTCTCGGCAAGATATTGAACATCTTGCAACAAGGAGTCTTGATGGTCCATTTTTTTGAATATCAATTTTTAATTAAATATCATAATAATATTAATAAATAAATTCAATTTTTAATTAAATATCATAATAATAATAATATTAATTAATTTAATTATATTCATCATGATATTAGAACTTTCAGAGCTATTTTACTCCATAGAGTAGGTCTCACACTTATTGCAATCCATGCTGTTCGAATGGTACATGCCATGAAATTCAGAACGTTGTGAAATTAAGAAAAAAATGCTTGATGTGGGTATGTTCAAAGAATTCATTTCGGAAAACATACAAAATGAATGCTCGTGTTGATGTGTCGAGCTGCGAATATAGTTTTGGCAATTTCATTGTGTGGACTAGTTGCACTGTTTATTACTCCTGTGGATTCTCATACATCCCGATTTAAATACGTATGTGAAAATTCTGAAAATTAATAGATTAGAATTTTGGAATTAATTTTAAAATTGTTTGGAATGACAAATAGTTTGCGAATCGAGATCCCATGGAAATTATTTACAGAATTAAAAAAGAAGAAGAATTACTGGCGATCAAGGATGAATCTTCGATGAAAAATAATGTCACATCAAAACTACAACAACACAACGCTCGAACTACTTCTATTGTGCCACATTCGAGACTGGAAAATACAAATAACCAATTAATGATTTTAAGGGATCCTGTCATTTCCAATCCCTCATGGTTAGTTCATGTGACACCTCTCTCCTCTCCTGTAAATTCTACCAATATGGTTGTTCATATATTGACTAATTCATTGATGGGAAAGATGTTTCAATACATGATTAAGACATTTGAGAAAGTAAGGAAAGAAAGAAATCAGCAGTCGATTGCTACTGTGTTACCCATGACCAAAGTTGTTAATCAAGTATCACCACAAATACTGAACACAAAATCCTTACTTGACCCTTCTCAAGTGAAATAGAAATTGCATGATGTTTTTGGAATTTTTCATGAGCTCATCCATCAGCAAGAGGCAAGCAAGGAATGCATTTGTGGTATCGTAGCGTGTTGTGTCGAAATGAATGACCAATTTCACACACGTTGTGAAAATTGTTTGCATCATGACCAAGAATGAAGATGATCAATAATATCAATACAAAGTATATTGAAAACAAGTAGTCATTTCTCCTATTCACAACAATTGAGGAGTCAAAATTGCCAAAATTTGAGGTGTGTCAGGGAGACTGAGGGATTTTTGTTTCGAAAAACGGTGCCCAGCACACGGTTATGAAAGAAAGGTCCACTAATTTGTTGTGCGTTTTGAATAATTATTTCTTCTTCTTGATCTCATCAATAATTTCTTGTTTCAATTCAGCAATATATGGCAAATTTCGATACAATTCGCCAAAATCGAGACCATAGCCAACGACAAATCTCTCTCCGATATCATAACCCACAAAATCAGCATGGAAGTTAGCAACCATTCTCTTCTTCTTTGGAGCAGTGAGTAAAACACAAGTTTTGATGGACTTAGGACTTCGGGTCATGAATAAATTGGTAAGGAAAGACAAGGTATAACCAGTATCAATAATATCTTCAATGATGAGAACGTGTTTTTGGCACATTGATTTTCTGGTGTCCATAATAATCTTTACCTCACCACTTGAAGTGAGAGAGTCTTGATAGGAGCTCAATGCAATGAAATCAACAGTGTTTGGGACTTCAATATGTCTGGAAAGGTCTGCAGCAAACATATAGGAGCCTTTGAGAACGGGAACAAGAATCAAGTACTCCCCTTCTTGCAATACTTTGGAATAATAGGCTGTAATTTCTTGTGCCAATTCCACCACTCTCTTCTTGATTTGTTCTTCGGTGTACAAGATGTTATCGCAGCATGGAGGTAAAGGAATCATTCTCAGCTGTATTGTGTTTTGAACAGGTTTAAAACGTTCGGTGATGTAATGGCAATGTTTTTGTTGAAACGAGTTTGTTGGGTGGAATAGAAGGACGCGAAGTGTCGCCCCCAGCTGGAATTAAATTGAAGTGGGTACCTCCCATTCATTACTCGTTCGTTATTCATCGTTTCTCATCATCATCATGATGACCAATTCCGAAAGGGTTGAGTGCTTTTTGGTGAAGGCCTTCGCTGGCTTTCAAAAGTACAATGATAATGACGGAAACCCGATTTATTAGACAAGTCTTTAGTAAACTCAAATCATCACAAAAGAATCAGAAGATATGCGCGAGTAGAAGAAAGAGATTGTGATGGAACAAAGACCTAGAGGATGACCATAATTATTTCGAGAAGCATTAGTTGAAAACTTGCTTGATAGCCATGATAGAAACAGTGAGAAGAGCAAAAGTGAAAACACCACAATAATGCTTTGATTCGACTGCCTTCTTGTTGGCTGCTTCTTGTTCTAAAACCTTTTCTCTGATGGCAAGGAAGGAAACATTTCCATCATTGATAGTAATTTGAAGAGGCTTGAAAGGAGTATTTTGTCTGTTATGTTCTCCATCACAGAACTAGATGATGATAACATGATGTTAGATTGGTATTATTATGCTATTTCAAATAGGTAACTCAAAGTTATTGAAACATACTGGTTTCTTTGCAGACAATCCGCAGGTGCACAAATACTACGTGATCATGATGATAAAAATTTGTCGTTGATCATATGTCCGCGAAATTGGCAAGATTCAACAAGGACCACCACACAATTAACGAAAACATACTTGTTTGGTCTCGAATGTGCTGACTGGAACTTGGTATTCTCCGTTTACGAGAGTTGCTGACATTTTTTGTTCTTTGAATCAAAACTTGCGTTAGTTGGGCACTCCATATTCAAACAACACATACATATTTTTAATTATACCCTAAAGGAACTCTATGGCTCCAACTATTGAATAGCAGTGTTTGTGAGTCATTACATCTCGAAGACACAAAGGGTTTAAATTCACAGGAAGTATTTGGTGGAAGTGAGTTTGATTTGAAAGCATGAATCGAGTTTCTGGCTACGGCAAAAAATAATTCTTGTTCTCCTTCCATGAAACGTCTTACTCTTCACAATGCGGAAAGCAGATTGGAGAAGAGAAGAAAGAACAACAACGGTGAAGAGTATGATTTATTTAAGGATGAAAGTTTAAACTCGCTACTAGTAAGAAGTAAGCGAGATTGGGAAGCAGGAGAAATCATTCAGAGAAATGGTTACAAATTGATATTTACTGATATAGCATTTCATGTAGGTACCTCTAGAGGTGAGCAATTTTTAAGTTCTCTCAATATTCATCTCCCTTTTCAAAGGAATCCTTTACAATCAACAAAGGAACTCAAATTAAGGAAATCATATGCACCTCCGATTTTCTGTTTGTTCTGGATTTTGCGGGTCATGCATTCGTGTACAACAGAAGTATGTAGTAGTGTTTGTTTGTTTGTTTGTTTAAAAGTGAGAGTTACACGGTCGGTACATGAACCTGTAAACAAGACTCTAAATGCATCATAGGAACAATTAACGGAGATAAGGAATTCATTCAGAGCTTGTTCTTCAACAAGGAAAATTCTAGCTTGATCGTGGTGTACTGCAAAGATCATGACTGCTATCAGAGAATATTTTGTAGAAGCATTCATTTAAGGTACGTATACATATATTATGAATTCTAATGTGGAATCTTTTTGACCATAAGCTTGATTACTAAAAACCAATTCGACAAAGGCATCGAAATCTTGCAGTCAGAGCATTTTGAACATCCAAGTTTTGTTGAGTTCGACCATGTGAATAAGGTGCTACTATCGTTTTGCGCTTCAAGATTGTAAGTCTTTGAATGCAATGAGTCGCACACTTCGATTAATGTTATCTCATGATAGCTCTTACAAAATTTGGGATTTGAAAAATTATGAATTAAAATTTGAGATGAGCGGAAAAGATGTCTTTGAGGTACGATTGAGGTATGTAATCCTATTGGTGCGCTTTAAAATGTAATATTTCTGTACCAGTCCTGGGAACATTCTTGTTATCTTGAAGGAAAAGAACGGAATTCAACCAGTTAAGTTGATTGATTACGCATCTGGACAGGTTGTAAAAAGTCTCTATCTCAAAACTCAAAACAGGGGAAAGGTACTGTTTTTGGAGTTGTTTCTTGATCGCTTGTTCTTTTTCCAAGAGAGGAGAGATCTGACAATCATTGACCCATTCAAAGAAAAGGTCTTATCTGTTGTAAATAACTTTAAAAAACCCTACTCGTTCATATACATGTACAATCATTGTAAATACATTGGGTTTAGAGGTAACAAAATTGCGATTTGGAATCTGCAAGGCACAGTTGACGTCGAGTAAGTTGTTGTTAAAGTGTGAATTGCAGATGATGATGATGAATTGACTAAATGCTGTGATTTTAAGATTTGAGGACAATATACTAGCTGATGCTGAGGGAAAATATTGCACTTTCTATTTAAGTGAAGAGCAAGACGTGATAATATCAAGTTGCTTAGTCAATCCTATGGACAAAAATCATTGTACTATCAACATTTCAGAAATCAAAACTGGAAAGTTGTTGAAGAAGATTGAATGTGAACTTTGTGACATCACAGCTCTCACATTTTGTGAAAATAGGCAGGAGTTGTTTGTAGGACATGGAAATGGCCAAATTACCGTTTATAGTGTTTTGGAAAGCAAATAGAGTCTGGTCCTTTTTTCATCAAAAGTGTATTTTGACGATTAAACAATTAATCTTCGTGTCTCTCCTCGTCATGTACTACGAGAGGTCTTCTTGGTTGATATGAAGGAGCTAACGAGATGAAAAATAGGTACACTATGTGAAAAAGAGTTCCAAATACTCCCCTATTTTGAGGTATAGCTGCTTGACTGAGCTCAATAGTTGGTGGTATTTCGGATCCTTCACGTTCGAGCCTTTCTTGTTCTCTTCTAGCCTGCTCTTCTCTCTCCCTTCTTTCTTGATCTCTTTGTACACGTCTATTAATGACATTATTTAGATATTTCAAAAGAATTATTCCAATATAAAATCCAATTGTGCAAGATAACCATGTCACCCATCCCTCTTTTGAAAAAATGACAGTAGAAATTAAAAGAACTTTTAAAAATGTATAAAATAAATTATATCCTTCATCTTGAGCTGCGGCTGCTGGTGCATTGTCATCAATGAGTCTTTGAGGTTGCTCTTGAGCAGCTGCCGCAGGTTGTTGATGCTGCTCTCCTTGTGGTTGTTGAACGTTTTCTGGTTGTTGAATATTTTCTGGTTGTCTTTCTTGTGGTTGTGTTGTGGCTGCTTCTGCCACACGAGATTCTGCCGATTGTTGTTGAAATGTTGGCTGGCTTGGAAACATATTTTGTTGAAATACACTTGCAGTAAGAGGAGTAACTGGAGTAGGAGTTGATGGGAAAGGGTTGAATGATGATGTTCCTACTACAGGTGCTGAGTGTAGAGTAGGAGAATTTGCCAAAATTAATTGGTTCATCATCATTTGTGTCATCAACATTTGCTGTTGCAATAATAGTTGTTTTTGTAAAAGAATAGTTGCAGCTGAATTTGGAGTACTTGGAGTGAAGGGAGTTGTAGGAGTTTTTGGCTCAACCACTTCTATTGTTTCTTCATTCTTGTTCGATGATGATTTTTGATTTTTAGCTAGTCCTCCAAAGAGGTGCACAGTTGGTACATCAACAGATTGATCACAATGTAAATCAAATATTTGAGAAAATTTCTGATTATTTTCTAAAATCTTTCCCGAAAAGATCATTTTCGATTGAGAAACATCGTCAATTATTCCTTGTCTTTTCAATTTTTCTTTCACTATTAATACTGTATCTGAAAGTAAAATAGTCATCTTTTCATTGTGCGTCTTGTTGTCGTGAGTGGTGGTCCATCTGAACAGAACTGGACGTTGGTTAGGAAGGCTCAATGGTGGTTGCCTGACTGTGGCCGCACTTTCACTCATTTTTTGTTCTAAAGATTTATCAATAAATCCGCAACTGATCGGTGGAACACGTGTGTTTTGGAAATTTCAACATGAAACCCCAAAGTGAATGAACTGAAAGGATGATGAAATCGAGGATGAAAGGCTGCAATGGTCATAATAAATCAATGCATTAATGGATAATATCAGTTCAAAAGAAAACTATACATTCCAAGAAGAATGGACGTTCGATCGTTTTTTCCGATCTTCCGAACTCCTCATCCTAGGATTGGAATGTATGTACTCGCACAAGACCCATCACACCAACGATCTTCATATCATGCTCTTTCATCATGTCAATAAGTGGCTCGAACCGTTCCAAACCATAAAACCCATCTTCCTCTCGAACGAAGTCATCAAAACATCCCTAGCGAGATTTAATCTCAGCGGTGCCTCGGTTTTCAGATTCGCCAAAAGAAATGCAAGAACGTTCTTCCACTTCCCGTTCAGAAGAAGAAAAGAATGGCCACTCCACCACTTCATTATCATCCGTTGGTAATAACGGCAGAAGTGATGATGAAGTGCCTCATCGACACCACTTTGCAGAAGAGAAATCAACGAAAAGCAGCATCACTCAAATCACCAGTGTTGGTTCATCTTCTTCTTCTTCTAAACATTTGACGGGAAGCAGGAACAACCATTCTGCGAATGAGAGAGGTTCTATCAACACCTCTACCAACAATCATTTCCATCCTTCCTCCTCCTCATCTTCTTCATTATCAAGTAGTAGTAGCAGTGTGGATGAGGCTTCGATCACACCTGCAACTACCACCACTACTACTTCTTCTTCAAGCAGCAACAGCAACACTCCAATTTCAAATACGGATGACGATGAAGTGGAACAGCAGCAGCAGCAGTTGGATGGCATTCCTTCATCATCATCTTGTTTGATATCCAAATCGGTTTCATCATCAAATAAGCAGCAACACATTTCAAATAACAACAACAACAATACGCAACAAGAAGAAGAAGAAAAGGACATTGAAGAGAGACACACAACAGTGTCTTCCAGAGTATCAAACTCCAATCACCATCATCATCATCAACAATTACGATCTGAAAAGAACCATCATCATTCTTCGAGCAACAAATCAACAGAAGACTCGACAGAAGTTGGCAAAATATCTTGGTGTGAAGTTTGTAACAAAGGTAAGCTGAGCCGAGGAGATTTGTCGAGATTCATTGGGAGCTTTGAAATTAATACTTCACCATTACTATTTTTGTGAAATTTCTGGTTTTCTTGATGATGATACCACTCCTCTTTTAAAATTGACATGCCCATGTTCACTCTCATGATCCAATAGAAGTAAAATCGTGGAGACATCACGAAAAGACTCGACTTCATCAATCCAATCTGTGGAATAACAACAAACGATTGCGACCCACACCTCCAAATTTCAAGTTTATTCAAGTGGATCAGTTTGAAAACAGTGTGGTCAGTCAGAACCACAATATTGACCACTACGTAGTGGAACACAACAACAACAACATTTCCAACACCTCGAATTTTGGAAGTGGTGCTGGTAGTGGAAGGAATGATCATGCGACCTCCAATGGCATTGCAGGAACAACAACCTCCTCGTCATCATCGTTATCATCCGAACGGTTGAACAATCAATCCAAGTCTTCGAGTGATGAAGATACGGATTCCAATACCACGGAAGGAACAAACAGTCCCAATCTCAAGCATAAAGAAGGTAAATCGGCTCGATCATCTCTCGAAGCAGGTAAGCATTTAATTTAAAGCTTAAAGTATGATGAATGAACATGTCCTTGTCATTGCAAATATCATCTTGTTGAAATTCACTCTCATGAATAGAGAAAACAAATCATTCGAATTATTACAAGAATAATAACCACAACAATCACAACAATAGCAACAACAACTCGACGTCAAGATATTCCAAGTCATCTTCTTCTTCTTCCTCTCAAACAGGAGGATCAAAAAAGAAGGGCAATTCCTCCTCACAAAGTAGTCGAGCTCAAGCAAATCATGACGATTTAGTCTTGTACAATGATTTCAATCAGTCCTCAAGGAGTACAGATGCTTTTCAAGAGCCCTCGCTACATCATAATAGTTCATCAAGTACAATGGCATCTTCTTCTAATATTCCAGCAAGACCAACGATGAACTACACAATGAATGTAAAATTTATGACCGATCAGAGGACTAGAAATTTGTTTCTTTCTGCATCTCCTCAAGAACAGCAAGAAATGTTTGAAAAAAGTGAAACAGGAATTGCCTTGCTTGGACATTTAAGGAAAATGAGAAATAATAATCAAGGTTGTGACAATGAGAGACAAACGTACGGTAGCAATAATAATATTCACAATGGGAGCTGCGTTCGTGGAGTTATGAATCCTTCCACTGCCAACAGTAGCAACAACAATCACAATAGCACAACCAATCAACAGCATCAGCAGCAGATATCTTCTTCTCAATCGATACAGCCAGAATCACCTCTACTCAACAACGACACGAGGCGATCGTTACATGGAATGAAAACACCACAATTTAACAGCGCTAAACCAAACACATCCAACCAGTCAACACCCTCAGAGTCTAGACCCATTCAATTTGTGGACCATTTCAATCCAACAAAACAAAAGAAGAAAAAAAAGTAAAAGCATTCGCTGCATCAATCATCTTTTCCTAGCTCAGTAATTGTTCAAGGCCAGTGTTGTGTGTTCACAGATGATTGATCTTTATTAATGTCATTTCTCGAGAAAACTCGTTCCCGAAAAGATGAGTGGTTGACGTTCCTTGAGAATAAGAGTGGGATGTAGACACATTCATAATCAGGATTGCACAGTTGATATTGCTGAGTAATTCATTCACTCGTAGCAGTAATCACCTTGATATTGGCGATCTCCTGCATCACCTAAACCAGGTACAATGTATCCATTCGAATTTAATTCCCTGTCCACACCACAACAATAAATTTCTACATCTGGATGTGCCTTATTCACATTGCTGATACCCACATGAGCAGCCAAAATGCACATGAAAATAACTATTATAATTAAAATTTCCATCCAGAAAATGAATGTTACAGAGTAATAAACACATACCTTTCTTGACTCCCCAATCTTTAATCCTCTCAATAGTGGCAACTGCAGAGCCACCAGTGGCCAACATTGGATCCAAAACAATTGCAATATCAGCATCACATTGAGGTGGACTTCAACAAACAAATGAATAATTTAAAAATATTCAAATTAGTATCACCAGGCAAATGAACTCTTCAAGACTTACAGCTTCTTGTAATATTCCACAGGTTGTAAAGTTTCCTCGTTTCTGAACAGGCCAATATGAATTACTCTTGCCTGAGGGACGATGCTATGGAGACCTTCCAGCATTCCCAATCCAGCTCGTAACACTGGAACAAGACAAATTCTATCCGCAACGACATTTTGTACTGTCTTACAAATAGGAGTTTCAATTTCAATGGATTTCATGTTCAACTTGCTGGTAGCTTCAAAACAAAGCAACACACACAAGTCCGAAACTAATTTTCTAAACTCGGAAGGTTTGGTTCGTTTGTCTCTCAACTGATAGTGAGTGTTGAATATTATTGAACATTGAAAACCACCAATGAACAACAACAAAGATGATGGACAAGTCGACTTACCTTTGTAAGTTTGTCTTGAATGAGTGGATGTCCAGAGCAACGATAGCTCAAATTGAGTGTTTCTTCATGATTGAATTGGGACATTTTTTTTGAATTTCCTAATTGAATTTGGTGCCGACTGAATTTGTTGTTGTTGCTGCTGTGTCTGAGAAACCCATTATGCATGAAATCCCCATTGGAGCGATTGTTTTCAATTTAATATTAAAACAAACCAATCATTTGGAATAAGACCAAAGTGTCGTTCCCTTATTGTTTCATCTCCGTGATGATGATTACAAAGTGTATTCTTTCAAAGTGTTTCCTTTGTCATCGCTTGTCAAGCATCATCACCACTTTTAAAAAATGGGGAGAAAGAAGGCTTCTTCTCGACCCTCCAATAGTAATAGTAATAATTTGGGTGATTATCAACCGATGGTTGATGATGATAGTGATTCCTTGTTGGCTACGAACAATCCACCAGCATCAACAATACCATCATCCTCGCAGCAACAACCGATTTTTGTAATTAATGGCGATGATAATCAATCCGTTCCGACGATGAACAATAATTTCGATCAATCTCCATTGATTCATGAATCATCATCAAATAATAATAACGGTGAGAAAGAATTTAAAGTCTTGACCTTTGAAGAAGTTGTAGCTCAAATCGGATTTGGATGGTATCAAATATTATTGATGAATGTTTGTGGAGCTGGTTGGTTATTTGATGGAATTGAACTAACCATGATTAGTTTCATTGTTCCTCAACTGACTGATGAATGGTCATTGTCACCAGTACAAGCTGGATCCCTGGGAAGCGCTGTTTTTCTTGGTATGATGTTTGGAGCATGGCTTGGAGGTTTGTATTTTCAAAAATTGATACTCGTTGAGAGAGGTTGGAAAAATTCTGTGTTGAAAATTCAATTCAAACACATTTCTATTTGCAAACATGTAGGAATTATCTCTGATAAAATCGGAAGAAAAGTAAGTGAAATGATAATTTTGCATGATTACTTATTCCTGAGATTTGTCACTGATACCTCATCATTTAGCTCGTATTCTGTGGAAGCGTTTTCATCACAGCAACATTTGGACTTGCTTCTTCATTTTCAAATGGATATGTAGCATTCTTATTTTTGAGATTTTTCGTTGGCCTTGGCCTTGGTGGTAAGTGAAAGGATCATCATTTTGCATGATTATTTATTCCTGAGTTTGCCTCTGATACCCCTAATACAAAATAGCAATGGTTCCTGTTGATTTTTCACTGTTCATGGAATTTATTCCTCCAAAGAATAGGTAGGTAAAATGAAAAGATTTGATTTTACAATAATATTTCAAAAAGAGGTGCAATTTTGGGAGTTTTAAACATTTACTGGAGTGTTGGAGCTGCCTTTGAATGTTTAATTGCTTGGGTTTGTCTTCAAGCTGGTGGATTTAGTTTGGGTATGTTTTGTATGAGTAAGAAGTGAAGTGATTTCAACAATTATAATCAACAATTATTAGATACCGGATGGAGATGGGTGGTTGCATTGTCTTCCATTCCTGGATTTATTATTTTCATTTCCAGACTTTTTGTACCAGAAAGCCCAAGATACAATCTTTTGAGACAACATGGAGGGGAAGTTCACAGAACTATCAACAGTATGGCTGAGATTAATTGCGTTTCAAAGGATAGTCCTTCTTTAGGATGGATCTATAAGAGAAGTAAATGGAGATTGAGAGTTCCCAAAGTTGAGAAGCAGCTAAATCCTTGGGAGCAACTGAAATGTCTCTTCCACAAAGACTACATTTTGGGAACACTTTTGTTGTGGCTGATTTGGTTCATGATGAGCTTTGGGGGTTGGGGATTTAATTTCTTGTTGCCAATTGTTTTTGTGAAACTCCAGAACAATAATGTGTATTTGAATACTTTTTGGGTGACTGGGGTTGGCTTTATTTCCAATATTATAACCTTATTCATAATTGATAGAATTAGCCGTCGAGCTCTCATGAGTAGCACATTCATTGTGACTGGTATTTTAACTGCAGTTGTTGGAGTGAGTGAAGATCCAAGTAAGTAATTACTGAACATAATAGTTTTATCAGAATCGCCACTTCTTTTCATGTGACATTAGTCTATGTATTGGTTCTCTCTATGCTTTCCAACTTTTTCTCTTCCTTCCCTTGGGCTGGTAAGTTTTTTTTCAACGATTAGAATAATTCTACAATTTCATTGTGGTGTGACATGAACAGTTGTTTACACGTACACTCCCGAGTTTTATCCAACTGCCTTCCGTGCTACTGGAATGGGTACATGCTCTGCTTTTACAAGATTGGCTGGCACTATTACACCAATTGTTGGAGAAGTTTTATTGAAGTCTAATTATTTCTTCCCATTCTTAGTTTTTGGAATTGCATTCTTTGTAGCTGGAGTTTGTGGAATTTTCTTACCAAGAGATACTTTAGGTGTTGCATTGGAGGACGTAGCAGGTGAAAGTCACTTTTTACCAAACTCGAAAAGCCATTTTGGTGTCGAGCAGTTGTCTACCTATGGTGACAGCGTTCCTCCATCTGTTGATGATTTAACTTCTTCTTTGTTGAACGAAGAAAAAGAAGGTAATGAAGGCTACAATCCTCCTTCAAATGAGACAACCATTAATGTTTGAGAGTGAGAAAGACTTGTTGTGAATTAAAAACAAATTGTTGAGAACGATTTCCCATTCGAGGCTCGAATTCACCAAATGAAAAAATGAAAGTGTTTCAATTCTCCAAATCTACTTTCCAAAACATGGTGTATAGCAACAGCACACCGATTCAAAATTATTTATTATTCGGAATGAATATTTCCAACAAGAGTTTTTTCCATCATTATTTTAAATCATTTGAGGAAAAACAATCATTCTCAAAACAATTCAATGATGCTAGAAAAGACATGCTTCCAGAGGAAGCTGCCATCTTTGAGAAAATTGTTCTCAACAGAAAAGCAATTAAATCATTTATACCCGATAAACCTGTTCCACCAGAAGTGTTAAGTCATATTCTCGGACTCACACAACGTGCTCCATCCGGATACAATCTTCAACCATGGGTCGCTGTGGTTGTTTCGGATCCCGAGAAACGCAAAGCTCTCTACACAGCCTCTCTTTCGCAACAGAAAATATTGGAAGCACCCATTACGGTTGTATTTGCTGCTAACTTGAATGCTCTGGCCAATCAGAGCAAAGTGATATCAATGGGAGTTCAAAATGGGACCATGACAGAGAAAGAAGCTCAGCAAATGTATCAAAAGACAACAGCTTACTTAGGTACTGGACCTTTGTGCTTGTTTCAATTGGCTAAATTTATTGGTGGCTCAGTAATAAGCATGTTCAGACCAATGATCGTTCCTCCAATCAATATGAAAGCTCATGTTTGGAAACACACCATGTTGCCTGTACAAACATTCATGTTTGCAGCCAGTAGTCATGGCCTTGATACATGTCCAATGGAAGGCTTTGATGAAAGACGAGTACGTGAAATTGTTGGTCTTCCATCGAATTTTTCAGTGCCGGTTATTGTCTCTCTCGGTTACGCATCTGATCATCCCATTAATCATAAACCTCAGTCTCTTAGAATACCACCAGAAGATCAATATTTTGATAATCAATATGGAAATCACAAGAAGGATGTCAGATCGTTTAATGACGTTGTTCTTAAATCAAAGAAGTCCGAAGAATAATTTTGTGGATTTTGGCATAATGCTTGTACAAGTAGGATTAATTTATCTGATAAACAGGTTAAACGCAGGTCTATTCATTTACCTTAATATTGCGTAAGTTTTTGTTGCAATCAATTACAATTAAAATATTTCGATTGTAATTCGTAAGGCGAATATTAATAGCCATCAAACCTTAAAAAAATGTCCAGAAAAGAAGATGGGCAGAAAAAGCCTGCCAGCTCCTCCAACAAATTATCGGAAAAAACGAAAGATCTCAATGAAGACCATCAAGGAACCGAGACACTTTCGAGCAAGAAAGAAGAAGAGGAGTTAGACGAAAATTTTGATGATTGGGTTTTTGATGATGACGAAGACAGCGAAAACACCGTTGATGAAAAGGAAATTCTTGAGAGCGTTCCAGAAACATGGAGACAAGCGAGCATGATTGAAGAAGTTCTTGAAAGAAGGCAACTACATAAGGACGCACAAGGTGGAAGTATCAAAAAACAAAAGAATTCCACCGATCAGGATATTTGTGAGGATCCCTTGGATTTAGTAAGGTATGTACAGAGGAACCTTTGAATTTTTGTCGTTACTTTCACCCACACACCATCAGAAACTTGCAACTGTCAAAACTTAAGAATGGTTTAAATCCATACGAAGAGGGGTTTGTCCCAACCAAGTATATAGCCTCCTTTCATTCAAAGTTCAGTTTTGAAATTTTGAAGAAATCTCGGATTACATGTAGACAAAGAAAAGAAGCTCAGTCACGCAAGCTAAGACAATTTGTACAGGATAACTTGGAAAAATATATTTACTTGAAAGACAAGTTGGAAGAGTTTTTTATAGGAGACAGAGAAGGCAGAAACATTTTTAATGATACTGCTGTACAAGTTCTTGAAGAATCTTTTAATTCATTGCAAACAGCTGCTAAAGCCTTATTCTCTCCTATCATTAAAACCCAACAACTAAGTGAGGAGATTAGAAGCATGACAGTAATTGTTGACAAACTCAAATTTTTGTTTGTTATCCCCTCAGAGATTAAGGAAAATAGAGAAAGGGTAAGTTAAATCGCTTTTAGGTTAATTAATGATTCAAAAATATGATTAGAAAGAGTACAAGAAAATAATATTGGACTACAAAAAGGCAAAATACTTTATTAGAAATAGTTCTTCAAAAATTCTTAAATCCCTTTACACACAAATATTGAGACAAGTGAGTGAAGTAAGGACAGACTTATTTTCAAAACTTAAGGACCCATCTATTTCTATTGATCAAAAAGACAGATACATTGGATATTTATACATGTTGGATGCAAAGGAGGCGGATCCTATTTCATTTTTCATTTTCCATCAGTTCAATTATATTGTCAGTCAAATTCAAGACCTGTATGCTAGCGTGATTGAGAAAGAACGTCAACAAACCGTCGCCAAAAAAAGTCAAAGGAAGCGAACATGTAACAGTTCCATTTTTCGATGTTGAACAAAGAGAAAATGGTGATTTAGAGGGAGTTGACAATATGCTCTTCGAAGAAGGAATATTGTGGTCTCTTGATTCTTTTATTGGAAAAACACAATTCAAGCCCAGTACAAGCTTCACCCTTTATGTGGAAACAGTGAAAAAGTTATGTGACTTGCTTTATGAAAACTTGCAATTGTTTTGGAGGTTTTCAAAATACTCTTTGGAAGACAAGTACAAACAAGAAAGAATTGGCAACAAGAAAAACATCCAAGTGGTCAAATCTCAAGAAAGAGATCGACAGGTTCAAAAAGAAGCAGAGATATTAGGACTATTCAATGAAATTTACAGTACTTTCTCAATTCTCATACGTGAGCTGTTCGAGAAAATGGATACAAATGAAATCAGTCAACCTCATACAGAAGAAGCATTGCAATACTTTTCCACAAAACTACTATCTACATCCGAATTTAAAATTCAAACTAAATTCATCAAACCACTCTACAGCTTCGTTCAAGAAATGAAAAATGATATTACAACGCAATATTGTTTAAGAACAATTTCAAAAATTCAAGATTTACATGAATGTGAAGATTGGATCCTCATTAAGGAAAGCAATACGACAAAACTTCCTCTAATATTCATGAGATACATTTATTCTTTGATTGATATCTTGAATTCAATTATGACACATGCAGAGGTATGTTCACCTTCAAGGAAAATTTTTAGTCTGAAACCATTTTGCGACAACCGAATAGGACTGCAAGGACGTAAAGACCTTGTTCATTGAAGCGTTAATGTCATTTGCAGACTGTATCTATACACTCGCAGAAGATTTAGATCAGAATGATATCCTTACCTCTCTTCAATCTAGCTCTGCTCAATACACCTCAATTACCTCAATCGGACACAGAACTGCAGATCAACGACTTTTACTTATGGTGAGAAACTTATTTTTCCTTACAAAGAGTGATGGAGGATTGGACAAAATGATTCATTCTTTTTCTGAGAAGATACTTACCAAAGATAACAGTTGTGAGGAGCAAGGTGATGACGAAGAGGATTTGGAAGATATCGATTTCGATGATATAGATCTGGAAAATATACCCCAATCATACAGTAAGCCAAAAGAAGACTTTAGAGACAGCGATTTGGTTAAAAACGTGTTTGACATATTCGAAAAGCTTTCAAATATTGTGTTAAACAAATGGTTGAGAAGAAAAATCACGTCGTTGTCGGCAATCATAAGAAAAGGAGTGTTAAATCCGGGCTTCAAGTGGTCCAATATGTTGAACCCAACCACTGTTCGAAGTTACATCATTGAAACTTTACTAGGGTTAACACTAATTCACCATGAAATTATTGATATGAAAGCGAAAACTTCCTTTACAAATACTATTTGTAGGGAGTTAAAAATTGGATTGCTTGATACTTTAAATGACTGTTGCCTTCGTCTTCCAGAGGATATTTGCCTTAATGGATGTCTTCAACTTGATATTGAGGTTACCTTTTTTGACGAGTGCCTTTCATGCTTTGACACTGAAGAGAGTATTTCTATTTTCTCAAAAATTAGAAGGAAACTAATAACTTTTCATGAAGAATTGGACAACATTAGTGATGTCAATTCTCAGCTTTCCAAAACAAAGCAAGATGTGATCAACAAGTACAAAGAAAAAACTGCTCAGCAACTTGCTGGTTTCAACAACTCATTATGTTCTAGAGATGTTAAGGAGCCAATAAGACGAACGACTGTAAACACTTTAACTGTCAAACTTCCAACGACAGACAATGCTTCATTTAATAGGGAAGAAAGTAGAACAGAAGATTTGGGCTTGACTTTTGGTTTGAAGCAAAAACGAATTCAAGCAACAGCCCTCAAAGAAGGAAAAGTTTCAACCACTCCAAAAACCTCCAAGGTCAACAGAAGTGCTAATTCGTCTACAGACACACCAGACAATATTATAAGAAAATCAATGAGGCAACTCGATGCTGCATCTGCTGGCAATACCGAAGCGAGATCACCCGCTACAACAACAAGCCCAAACGTTATTTCGACTCCAACAGCTCCCAAGAAAACTCTTGCAATGGCATCTGTCACAAAACGAACTCCTTCCTCGTCATTGAATCCCCAAAAGAAACAATGAAAGGTTGGAAACATTTGAACACCTTCCACAAGATACAATTCACCCGTGACATATCCTCTCAAGATATCCCATTAAAGATGGATTTGTGTCAGGCTCTGATACCTCATACTTACCTTAGGCAATCATCAAAGGTCAAGGTACGCCCTTTCCAACCTGATTTCTTCTTCTTGTCAACACCGGATGTGATATTGCCTTCTTTCATATTTTTGGGAGACTGAATAATTTTTCCACAAAGAAAAAATGGAACAAAAAGTTAAAGAGCTTGTGAATCAAATTGTTTCTGATCATTGTCTGAAAGATCAGATTTTGCAAAATTCAGCATCAACCTTTCACAGGTTCATGATTGGAGTGTTTGGAACACCAGGATCCTCTAAAACCACAACCAGTGAAATAATGAAAAATTGTTTCATCAATGATTTTTCAATTCCAACTCAAATCATTCCGATGGATGGATTTCATTACTATAGAAAAGAATTAGATGTCATGGAAAATCCTCAACATGCTCACAGTAGACGAGGAGCACCATTTACTTTCAATGATAAGGCCTTTGAAGAATTATTGAAAAAAGTGAAATATCAAACAACACAACTTGTTAAAGCTCCATCTTTTGACCATCACATTGGAGATCCAATTGAAGAGGACATTATTGTGGATTTATCTCATCGAGTTATAATCGTGGAAGGCAATTATTTGGCCACATGGAACAACATTAGACCTCTCTTCGATGTTTTAATTTATATTTATACAGCAAGCAAGGAAGAAGCAATGGAACGAGTGGTAAGACGACACATGTCCACAGGAAATTCCGAGGAATTAGCAAGACAACGAGTGAACTTTAATGACGGTCCGAATGCAGATCAAATTATTAGTGATTTTAACAGGATTCGGAATGAATATGACCAAACCATGACCTCACCTCGAAAACTCTATACATTACTTTCCGAGCACGAGGATAAATTTGCAATCAAATGAAGCGTGTGAACTATTGTTCTAGTTCTGAAACATTATTTGTTATTTCATTCAAATATTTGAATGTTTGAATTGTTGTGAAATATTATCAAAAAAAATGATGAAATTTGGATCGAGTGTCTCTGCATCATGGTTGTTGATGCGTAGGGCCAGCACTGGTCGGAACAACAAGTCTGTGGTATCATATTTCGGAAAATGGTGTAGTGCCCATCCTCCTATGAATTTATGGCTTCCATTTCATCCAATCATCATGATGACCAATGAGTATCATATTTCAACAAATATTCAACGTCATAAGAAACTGTCTTCATCGCCTCCGACTGTTAAACAATTAATATTACAATCGGAAAAGAAAAAAGAAACCTCTGATGGAGTGAAACTCAAGAAGAAAGGCGAACTCACCTATACGCCTGAAGAAAAGAGTAAATATTTTCAACAAATTATATTTCCACTCCGAAAAGCGTTAAAAGAAAAAGACATTGATAAATGTATATGGTATTTTGAGAAGGAGGCTCCAAAGTATTTTGTATCAATTCCGTTGGAGGAATCTAACGAATATCTCAATTTACTTGCTGGCGTCGGAAATTTCAGGAAAGCATTTGAATATTACAGTAAATTGTTTGAAAAGTGCTCATTAAAAGGAGGAACCAAACCTGACATCAACACCATAGAAATTTTATTCTTTGCAGCTAAGCAAAATAGAGATCTTCCTACCTTGCGAGTTTTGAAAAAGTTAGAAATTGTAATTTTTGAAGATTTGAATGTGTTAAAGCTAAAAGTGAATAGCAAAATTCTTCACGACTTGATTGCTGTACTTGTCTATGGAATACGCAACAATGAGAGCAAAAACCACAATGAATTAATGGCTGTTCTGCGTGGAGAAGCGATTGATGAGAAATTATCCAAGTTTACTCCAGATACTATGATTGAACTGTACAACAATACCAAACACAAAAGCAAATTCGTTCACACGTATATGGTTCAATATTTGCATTTGATAGGGAAATTTGAGCAAATTTTTATAATTTACGACGAACTGAAAAAAGAAGAAAAATTAGATGCCTTAGATATCAAGTTTTATAATGCCCTATTAATGAGCTTAATTAATCACAGGTTTTCGACTCATGAAGACGTTTTATTTATGTTTGAAATCTATCGAGAAATTGTGGAAGTAGGTGGATGTCAACCAACCTGCCACACTTTTAACATGATACTTTCTGCGCTGAAAACTGCCAATGAGAAGCAGCTATTCATTAGCAAGGAGGAGTACCGAGAAAAGGTGTCAGGTCTTTTTAAAGAAATCAAGTTTAGATTGAATCCAGCTGATATTGATCCTCCTCTATTGAACTTGCTCTCCCAATCGTTAAGCTTTGTTGGCATGCTTAAAGAATCAAGGGATTTAATCTCCGCTCAACCTCTCAACATAACACCCCTTACTGTTCAATATCTATTGCGAAAGTCCATTATTAAGGAATGTGAAACTCTCAACGATTTTAAAGCAAATATTCAACCCCTATTGGCTTTGCTTTTAGATAAGGCTTATGAGATGAAACCAGAGTTGTTGAACTTTTTGGTTTTGAGAATGCTTGAAACCCACAAGTCACATAAGGTTATTGAGGCCCTTTGTGAGTACTGCTTGAAGCACTTTGGTCTTAGAGTGACGATCGACCCAAGAGCGGTGGACAAAACAAAACAAGAGTTTGTTTTTCGCTTGAGCAAAATAAATATTTAGTAGTCGTCATTTACTCTTCATCATCAGACATGTGTTGGGCAAGTAAGGAGTCGAAGTCTGTGGGATCTCTGGTTTCTCCAATGGCTGGTAAAATTGGTTTTCTCGATGAAAAAACAGTGGGTCGGCTTTCGATGCTTTGCATAACAGGACTGAGGTCATCATCAAAAGTTGGAACCTGTGCTGAAATGGCTGTTGTAGTAGGAGGGTGAGAGGAACCAACAGATGCTGAGCTAAATCCAGAAGATGATGGAGTTAGCTTTCGTGGTGGTATTTCTTCTTCGTCATCGCTACCACCTGCATCGAATCTTGCAAGCATGGCGTCAAATCCACCAACTGCCTTGTTTGTAGTAGTTTCGGCAATATTTGTTTTTGGACTTGGTGTTTTTGAACGTGTTGGAGCGGTGACATTGCTAGTGTCATTCACTGTCGATGGCGATTTGGTTACTGAGGACACCTTTTGAGGTAGTGTCACTTCTTCATCTAGACCTGAGCTGAGCATTTTCTGCTGCAATCGTTCAAAGTCAATATCGGCTGTAGTTTTAAACTTTGGAGATGGAGGTCTCTTTGGAGATTCTGGAACATCAGACCAATGTTTGTTCATCAAAGCATCAAACAATTTTTGATTTTCTAAAAACGCTCTTTGCTTTTCCTCTTCTTCCTGTTTTAGCCTTTCTTCTTCTTCTTTTTGTCTTAATAACTTTTCTTTTTCTTCATCATCCAAGAAATATGATTTTTGATCGAGCACAGGCAGTGGCTCATTCAATATCTTTTGAATTGGATTTTCTGGTGAGTGAAAGGATGAAGTAGGAGTGAGTGTTGGTGTGAATGAAGACGCAGATGAAGGTGGTTGGTTAAAAGTTGGGACTGGTTGCTGAGAAAATGCTGTCACACTTGAATCTGGAATATTTGCCTCAGGATCATTTTGTCTAAACTCGTCATATCGAATATTTTCCATCATCTCTATCATACTTTTCATAGCTTTCATGTATTTTGTGAATTGTTCCACATTGAGAGAAGTTTGCATGGCAATCGGTGAAATGGATGGAATAATTCTTGTGGCAATGATCTTTCCTAGCGAAGGATCTCCAATCTTTTGAAGATGCTTTGAAATTTTAAGGTAAACACCAACACACGTCATGAGAAGAGCCGCTGAAAGTTGAGCTCCAGATCTATCTGCTGCAAACAACGGAGCAAGGGATACCTCTAATATCGGTATAACCGTTACTGAAATGACTTCTGGATCTAACTGTGGTAAAATTTTTCCAAGGCAAACAATTCCGTTAATTCTGACGCTTTGATTTGTAGTATTGTGGCAAATAATTTCAATTTGAGGGAGAAGAGACGTTTTAAATTCTTGATAGGAAATTCTTTCACTGTTTAGACACTCTTCACATCTTTTCAGTGCCTCGTTTTGTACATCAGGAAATTTGCTGTCGAGGCAACGAATTAAAAATGGAGTTAATTCTTTCATGTGATCATCTTCTGTTGTTTTGTCCCACATTAAATTAAAATTCTCCAATAGTTTCAATGGTATTTTTACATTAGTTGCTTGAACAAGGGCAAACTTGGAAAGAGTAGGCATGACTTGTTTGCTGAATTCTTTGGTTGTCATTCTCTCACTCAACGCACTAATTTTATCATATCATTGCAACGTATATGATATTAATTAAAAGAATTACAATCAATGAACACTACTTACAGTACATTGGGAAGTGCATAAAGGAGCATTTTAACATCTGTGCATTCTTTTAGTAATGGTGGTAGTACTTTTGAAAATATAATACTGTTAGAGAAGCCCTCTTCTGTTGATGTATCTTCTACACCATTGACCAGTTGATGTGGTTTTGGCGCTTTTAGCATTGGAGTCAGAGAAGACAAAAACTGAGCTTTTTTAACTGGTTCTCTCATTTCCATATTTGCCAGATATCTTAATGCTTTGACCTCATTTCCGAATAAAAGCTCACAATTTGAAAGAAGGAAATGTGAAGTTGGTCTTTCTTGAGGTTTTATGGAGCAAGAGGTCAGTAATGACTCACGAATTTCTTGAGAAACTCTCAAATTTCGAACTACTTCGTTAAGTCTAGAAACACTGTTTGTGTATGCGTTGATGTCTTGTTCCGTTTCTAAAATTGGATATTGTTTCTCCATAATCAGTTGTAGATAAATCAAAGCGAAAGAGAAGATATCAGAAGGATAACCAGGGCTTTGCTCCAGTACATATTCCGGTGCTGTGTAGTCAAGTGAAGGGAGAAAATCTCTCTTTGAGAAATTTCTTCGGAATAGTGTTGGAGTGGTATTGCCTCCCTCTGACGTTGGTGCTCCCTGCGAATAGAAGGAAAAGTGGAATCCACTAATTTTCCAATGTCCATCAACCGTGATGTAAATATTGTGTGGATTTAAACCAGCATGGGTAAGCTTGGCATTTTGGTGACAAAACGTAAGTGCTTCCATCACTTGGCACATTCCGTATTTAATTTCCAATTTGCTCAAATTAAAATTCTTCATCATTAGTAATACTTCGGGAATGTGTGTATAATTTTTGAATAGTAAATTACTCAGTGAACCCAACACAGGTTCTGTAATCATGGCTAATTGTGTTTTTGTTTCAAAGAATTGTTGCTGTGGAGATAATATGAGAGGATGCCGAAGTTTTTGTAGTGTCTGACTCTCCATCTTGAAGTGGTTAATCACTTGCTGAACGTTATTCTTTCCATAGACCGTTTCAATATCCTTGAAAGAACAGCAAAACACAGAAACTTCCTCTCTGGTTTGTCTATGTGTTCCAGTGTGTATTCTCCATAACGAGAAAGGTCCACCGGTAGCAAAAGGCTTCTCACTGATGGTATAATCCTTTTCTAATTGATTTCCCATCTTGTTATAAAATTCACTGGAAATAATGAGTTCGCGTGATGATGATGATAATTTCTTCTCTTGAATGACGATTACAAAATTTGGAGGTGCAGATTGCGTTGCAAACTCCGAAGTTTGTTGTTCTCGTTGATGTTGTTGTTGTTGTTCTCGTACGCGAGGATGCGCTTTTTTTGGCTTGTTGTTCCAAAGCACGTCGCCCGTTTCAATTCACTGCACCAACACAAAAGAAAGGTAGTGGAACCTCAAGAAGGGGTTGGTTCATCCTCCTTCTCAACGTGTGTGTCGTATCGCTCCCACGCTCTCACTTCAGAACATGAATGAAGGAATAGGCATATTCGGGATGGGATTGAAGTCCTGCATGGCGAGATTTATGTATTATCAGAGAGATTTAATAATCAAAAAATGTTTCTATCGCCAAGTTGCTGCAAAAGTCTTTCTCAAAGTTATTTCAAAAGTTGTTTCAAAGGTCCTCAAACTCTTCACATGAAGAGGATGTTTTCAGTCCATTTAAGCCATCATCATGGTTCCAAGCATGCTGAGGATCCAACAAATAAGAAGAATGATCAAGGAACGGAACAAACAAAACATCAGCCACACGAAAAGGGATCATCCTCCTTCTCAACGTCGTCTAGTAATAATCAACAAGATCCAAACAATTCCGATCAAAACGTTAAAAAAGCAGAAAGTAGTCTTCCCTTTCTTCATGAAGTAAAAGAAGAATTGATTTCTCAACGCCATCAATATTTCCTCTCAAAATTCTTCTCTCAGCCTGTTGGAAGTACGACTGTGGTTCAATATGTCATGCACACGCAAATTCCCAAGTACTTGACTGCACTTGCCATTCTCATTGTTCTGTATGTGCTGTTCACTCAAATCAAACTGAAAACACAAGTGGGTGAATTCATTAAGCAGATCAAGGCTGCAACATTTATTGAAAAACACGATATCGATGAGTCAGACGACAAGGAGAGACTTGTTAAGATATATGGAAAGGTGAAATGTTCTGCGGATAAGCCTTTGAATAATGAAAAACCTCAAATCGAAGCGATGGGCAAAGCAAAGCATTCACAAGTTCATCACACGCCAAGACAAGTTCATGATATTCTCATGTACCATTATGTTATTAGAAGTGTCAACAAGGGAAGCAAAGGATCTGCAAGTAACACGGAGTTTTACGAAATTGTATATGTCACAAACTTTCCAATTTATTTGAAATTTAATTTGGGAGAAAATATCAGTGAGAAGGAGAGAACAGCGTTCGAAAACAAATGGTGGTCTAATGACAACATCGACACTCGTCGAAAACCAAAAGTGATACCAAATTTCTCTTTGATTTTGGATGTAAAGAATGAAAATCAACACAAAAATTTAGTGACCACATTTTCTGAAGAGGGACTGCACAAACTTTCACCAAATGATCTAGCACCTTTTCTTCATACAGAACGAATTATTACAACCACTAACAGGTTCCATGTTGCTGAATTTTTCTCAGAGCTTGAAAAAATTGCACAACAGTCCTCCATGAAATCATTGGCTCGAGTTAATAACTTGGGGGAGGCAATAAGACAGGGCCACACTTTTTACATCACCGAGAAGGTGTTACGAAGTGATGATTCTGTGCTGGTCATGGGTCATTTAAGGAAAGAGCAAGAAGTCTTGCATTTAAATTGCAATATTATTTCATGCCACACAGAAAAAGAATTAATTCATAACCTAAAGAAACAAAACAGTATTTTGGCGAGAAAATATCACGAATTTTGAGCGATTTGGTTCTTTATTTAAAATTACATGGAATAAATTAAATTATATATAATAATATCCATTATATATTATATTATTATTCTTGGATTTTTGTTGGATTATGTTAGCCAAATATACATTAATCTTCTTGGATGTCAATATTTCTGACTTTCTTCTCTTGCTTTGGCTCAGGTTGTAACTTTTCCAAAACAATCTTCAATTGTCCATCCTTCATTTGAGCTTTGAGTTGATCAATCTTTACATTTTCTGGTAAAGAGAATCTTCTCTCAAACGAGGAAGTAGATCTCTCTTGAACCAAATATCTTCCCTCTTTATCTTTATCCTCTCGTTCCTTCTTTATTTCACCTCTCAAAGTGAGCATTCTGCTCTCTTCGTCTAAATCAACCTTGATATTGTCCTTAGTGAAGCCGGGAACGTCAGCAGTAAGCTCATAACTATTATCAGTTTCCTTTACATCCACACTTGGAGTAAATCTGGCGAGTGATGCTGTTGGGAATTGAGTGTCAAACTCTCTAAACAATGAGTCAAAGTATGGATCATTGAAAAAAGTACTTGGGAAGCCGAAGGGTCTTCGAGACCATGGGTTCATGGCTCTACTCACACTCTTTACAAGCTTATCGATCATGGTGGAATTCAGTCAATATTTCAAAGTCTTGGAATAAGTAGCTGTGATTGAGATGTGAATTGATTTGTTTTTTTTGATTGGCTTTATGCGAATGGTGTGTGTTGTGAATTTGTAGCATTGCCAATTCCGGTCTTGTTTCCGACTAAAAAAAGAAATCTGTTGGAGTTGACCAAAAGTGGGTCCCATAGGAGTCCTTTCCCTCAATTCAGACACTTCTTAATAATAAATCTTGCAGTTATTTGCGTCACATCGGAAGTTTGATTCCAAACAGCGGAATGGATCCAATTAGCAATCATCCACGCACTAGTCCGCATCGCGAATGATGTATTAAGCTTGATTGAAAACTTGAGAGTTTTATGACAAATCTCGTCTATCTAGCAAAAGTTGAACAAGCAACTTGTTGTGGTGCGAAATTGCTTGAACAGAAACGAAAGGAAGGTACATGGTGTAGAGTTCAAAATGAGATTTGGCATGTTTCAAGTTGTTTCGTGTCATTTTGAGTTCCAGAAATTTTTCATCTTCAAGCCACTCTTTAAACCAATACTGGACTCCGTCTCCACAAACTCCAATTTCAGTGTAACCTTCATCTCTGTATTGTTGAAGAGTGTAACACATTTCCCATACTTTTTTCTTTAAAAAGGCTACTTGTTCTTCGTCACTCTTCGGATTAGAGCTCGTAGTGTTGAGAGGCACAATTCTTGGTGCAAATACTCTGTTATATACACGGTCAACAAAAATGAAATGGGCCAACCCTGGACAATAGTGTAAGTAATTAAGCATTGTGACATGTGATTCGGCCTTAATTTTCAAAAAAGAAAATCGCTTAAAATTGGAAATTTCCTCATTCACTCTAATTGCTGCCTCCTTTAACTGATCGTGAATAGTTTCTTTGTCTTTTTCTTCTACAGATTGATCCTCAATATAAGAATTAGAGAGAGAGGCAGAAACTGAGGCATTGGACTGATAACTTTTGGCTTCGATTGATCCAGTAATGACCTTGGATTGTATGTCCTTAATGTTTGACTCACAAATGAGCATAAGATTCATTTCTTGTTCCTTATCGAATTCAAAATATACCCCAAATCTACACAATTTTTGTTCGTAGTCTCCCTGATTTTCTGTAACATGAAAATTTAAATACTCAAATCTAGAGTCTATGGTTGGTATATCTTTTTTGTTGTCATCTTCATCATCTGATGAAACTGAGCTGTTTCTACCCATCATTCTTTGATCAATAAACTGATCGCTATTTTCGGATGAGACTGACTGATTTGAAGGTGGTACAGAAAGAGTTTTGGGAGTGGTTGGAGTTTTAGGCTTTGGCTTTTCATTGTAAAAAGTACTCTGAGTATAAATTATTAGACAAAGTAAATCACGAGGAAGGAGGATCCATGTTTTGTCACGAGAATAAATAGCAGCTAATTTTGTACCAACCAAGAGCACTGCATGGAGTATAAATGAATATTGTTGAATTCCTTTCTTTAGAGCGTCTATGATGGAGGCTCTGTTTATGTGATTCAAATCCACATATTCAATTCCTTGGACGAGCACACTTTGTTGTGTTTTGTAAAGACGTTTCATTGTTTCTACAACAGGTTTTAGAATGCTGTGAATAGCAGCCTGGTTCAATGTTCTATTGTTAAAACCATGTTGATTAAATGGATTAACAACAATACAGAAATTTGTCAAATCGTGCAAAAGATTAATTTGTCGAAATAATGCTGCTGTCGTTTCTTTCGGCTCATCCTCATATTCATCACTCTCCATCTCAATACCGATTACCCTTTTCTTTCGTTCAACTTCTCGTATGTAAATAATACAGTAGTGTAACTCTCCACATTGATGTGTCAATAACACTTTATCATTTCCGAGAGTGTGAATTTGCCTACACGAAGTACTGAACGCACTTTTTAAAGTTTGTTGTGCTGTGCTCAGTACAGGAATTCCTAATTTTCCACTCGGATGATCAGAAAATAATTCCATCGATGTTTGGGCAATCGTAAAATACTTATGAGATGTAATTTTTGAGTAAAATGGGCTTTCGGAAGAGTTGCCAGTAACATGATGATTTTTAGATGTTCGAATTGATTTTTCAAGAGTTTTCTCGGTGATGTGAGGAGAAGATACATCGGAGCCCAACAGTTGTTCAGGAGAAGAAAAAAGGCTTGAAGCCTTGTTTGAGAGCATTTTTTGACAAGATTTTTTGTTATTCTGATGAGATAGTATTAGTGACCAACGATTCAGTGGAACATGGGATGACACTTCAGGAACAACATTAACTTTCGAAAGATAGAGAAAATCAAGAATGACATATCTTTCTTGAATTTTCTTTCACTCCCTATTCTAGAATTTTTATTGTCATCATCGTCATAAAAAAATGGTGATTGTGCTTCATGCAGCGTTGCGGGAGAGCTGCGTGTTTGCTGGATCGAGCATTTCTTTCTCAATAACACTCATGAATGCACCAAATGAGAGCGTCGATGAAAGTGGTCCCTATCATGGAAAATTAGTGGATGTTTTTTCGGATCGTCTGGATGTGTTCGGAATGGAAGACAATTCATCAAGCCAAAATGTATCATCACCGAACACCAAGTATTATTCCTCAACAACAAGCAATTCTTCTGGAGGATTATTTTACTGGCTTTTTTCATCATCAACTTCGAGCCAAGAAGAATCTCCTGAACAAACGGATACATGGAAAATTGATCAACTATATGGACAAGTTTATGGATTGTGTTCAGGAGATGCAAAATGTTTGAAAGATATCAACACGGTGGTATCATCTAAAACATCACTGACAAATAAGATATTATTTAATGATGAAGACAATAATCCTAACAAAAGTGATGTGCAACTTCCTTCATTGATCCCTGTAAAGTCAAATAGTAAGCCAATTTTTGCATCCAAACCAAAAAGCTTCTTGGATGAGACCTTGGCCCTTTCAACATTAGAAAAAAAGACGATAACTGTCACTCTGTCAATACCAAACGAAATTCCACCGAGTTTTAAGGGAAGTGTGATTAGATACAATTACTATGTAGCTCTTTCAGTTCAAACATCTGACTTCAACAAAAATCAACATAAGAAAGTGATTACCATTCCATTCAAAGTATATAATCCTTTCTCCTCTATTTGTTCTGTTAATTCTTCATTTTCGGAGACCTTTGATTTTAATTGGAATATTCATGGGTCGCTCAAGAAAAACAAGAACTTACAATTAGAAGACCTTTCTTACAAGTACATGCTGACATCAAACATTAATATTTCTCCCTTTTTCTATTCATTCAGACAAATTTTAAATATTGTTGCTCATCATTCTAAAACCAGTAAGTTTAATATTTTGTGATTAACAGTTTCAACATTCATTTCACAATCAATTTTACAACAGATCACTACGATATTGCAGATGAATCAAGTTTAGTGTGTAGAGTTTCACTATCGAGTAATGCTTTTTACATAGGAGATACAATTTTAGGAATTTTTGATTTCACGAAAAGCGTCAAGCTTTGTGCCAAGGTGAAATGTAAATTAATATATCAAGAACAAGTAGCTTCAAGTGTCGTTTTAGATTACTACAAGCAAACACAGTCACCGACAGAAAGCGTCAGTCACAACTCGGAATATACGTCATTTGACCCAGAATACTATCAGCCATTAAGGAATAAGGTTACTCTCAACAAAGTCTCTCGATTTGATCGATACACACTCAACACCATCACCTCTGATTTTAGGATGATTATTCCTCCACACTCACCATCTCAATTCTCGTCTGACCTTATCAAAGTTGACTGGTTTTTGCAATTTAAATTTTATCTCGTAGACGGCACCCTTACAGATGAGAGAGTTCAAGTCCTCAGCACCAAAAACCTCTCTGACAAAAAAAGACAATTTTAAGGTAAAGCCAATGACATGGCTGCTGCCAATCCATGTTTTTGTTCCTTCCAATTTCCGCCCTCTCCATGAACAAAGCCAAAACAAAGAACATTGTGTTGTCGTTCTTTAATGTTGCATATCACACAGACACGTCAAGAACAAAATTGCACACCCTATCTGCTCCATCGAAAATGCATGATCCCTATGTGTTGAACTTGGAATTTTTGAATATCTTGGCCAAAAATCTTCAAAATAAAACATCTTTGATTTTATTGAGAACATTTGGTTGGAAGTGGCTATTTGAAATTCAAGTTGACCAGCTATAAATAGCGGTGTTTGGGAAGTTGAAATTGCACTCAACAAAAGACAAGGCAAAATTTGAACCAAAAAATTTATTGAATCTCGGCATCATCAATATTGACAACCGTTAATAATTCTCAAGCGTGCTCTCTCAACACCGCAACATCGATATCAATCCAAGTTATCATCAAGCAATCTGTTGTACAAGTTCAAAATTCTTTTCGTGTAATATTTCCTCAACTCCGCAACAAGACAAATACGAGTAGAATCACTCTCCTTCTTTTTTCATTTAGCATTCAAAAGGCGATCATATATACCCTAACAACGCTTTTTGAATCACCCGTACATAACAAACAAGTAACAATACCATCATCACCAATAACATTTTGCGAACACCGCAAAATTACTTTCAATCAAACGCTTTCGAAATTATATTTCATGTTCTTTAACGCCAACAATAACAACAACACCATCATCATCAATACCAACAACAACAATAACTCATTCGTAACCATCACTAACAACAACACTACTACTACCAGAACCGCAACAACAACCACAGCAGCTATAGCCACCGCCTTTGCGGCCATCACAGCAGGCATCATTCACGCCGTGCATCAACATCCAACTCCAGTTCCACCACCACCAATTCCCATTCAACAACAACAACAACAACAACAGAAACAACAACAACTCTCAAAACCCTCCTCCTCTAAATCGTCCTCCTCTGACATTTCCTTGAAAGATCAATTAGATTTCCTGCTTCTCTTAGACATTTTACTGAAGTCATTGCTTTTGGACGACTCAAAGAAGGAAGGATCAGATTTGCGCTATCGCTATTATAGAAGAGAGGAGGAGGTTGTTGTTGTTGTCGAAGAGGAAGAACGGGAAGAAGAAGAAGAATTTAGAGGCTTTAGGAGAGGAGGCTTTAGTGGCTGTTGTGGAAGAGTGAATAGTGGTAGTAGCAACGGGGTAGTGGTTGGAGGAAATAGTTATTGGGCTACTTGCTGGACGAACTGCTCATAAAAACTTTAAGAACTTTAACAACTATTAGGATAGATATAATGAGCTCAGCAACTGTTCTCCCACCAATGCATAATACTGGCAACTCTTTAGAAAAGAGAAGTCAAGCCAGCAAGCCGTCACAGAAGAAAGTTGGTACTTGTGATGATGGCAACACGAATGATGTTACTAGAAAAACAAACAAGAAAAACTACAAGAATGGGAATTCAAAAGGACAAACCCGTTTTGTAGAGTATTTGTCATCCAAAGAGGTTGACGAAGGTTTAAAGAATGGTACACTTTTTGAAGGTGTTCTCCATATCAATCAACAAAACAGACAATTGGCGTTTGTTGTCTTGGAAGAAGCTTTGAAACAAAAACTTCAACATGATATGGATGTTAGAATTAGTGGTGAAGCTAGAAGAAATAGAGCTTTCCACGGTGACAGAGTGATTATCAAAATTGATGATAGAAGCGAATGGCAGGAAAGAAAGGTCTCTACAGCCATTGGACAAAGATCAGATGAACCATCAGATTTATTTGAAGATGAAGGCAATGAAACTGGTATAGATGATGAAAGTACTCCAACAACAACAACAGATAATTTTAGAAAGTTGCTTCAACCCACTGGGAGAGTTGTTGCAATTAAGGAACGCGCAAAGAAAAGAGATTTTGTTGGATTTTTAACAACCTCACGTGAGAATGGTGTTATTGATGAAGCTGACCAACATTGTATTTTTGTTCCTCTCGATAAGAGATGTCCTCGAATGGTCATTCCTCTTTCTCAATGTTCAGACTCTTTCAAAAGTAATCCTATGGCTCATTCCATGGAACTTTATGTTGTTCAATTTTCTACATGGAGTGAGAAAGCTACTCTTCCTTATGGCAGGATTATTAAACACTTGGGAAGAGCTGGTAATATCAAAACTGATTTAGAAGCAGTCGTTATTGATTATGAAATTGACGTGACATCCTACTCAGAGAAAGTTATTGAAGAGATTCGTAATGAACTTAATATTCCAGCTGCTGATGAATGGAAAATTCCAGAAGCAGAGATGCAAAAAAGAAAAGATGCAAGATCAGAACGAGTTTTCACCATTGACCCAAAGCAATCGAAGGATCTAGATGATGCAATCTCAATTCAAAGACTTGATGACGGTATTTTCAAAGTAGGAATTCATATTGCTGATGCTTCTCATTTCATTGTTCCTGGCTCAAAGCTGGACAAAATTGCTCAAAAGAGAGCTACCAGCGTCTATTTGGATCACATGACCATTCCAATGCTTCCAAACTTTTTATGTGACGACATTTGCAGTTTATTACCTGGTAAAGAGAGACTCGCCTTTAGCGTTTATGTACTCATGAACGAAAATGGTGAGGTTTTAAGAGATCAAAGAGTTGAATTCCAAAAATCCGTTGTCAAGTCTTGCGCCAAGCTCACTTACGAGATTGCTCAAGATATCATTAGCGGAAAAATCTCTTCTGACTCTGAAATTTATATGGATGATTGTCCAAGAGAGACTGAAACATTTTGCCCAAATGTCCCTGGTTCACTTGTTGAAGATGTTTTGCTTCTTCACAAGCTCGCCATGAAGAGAAGACAAAGTAGGATTGAAAATGGAACACTTTCTCTTAGCAAGCCAAGAATTCAGTTAGAACTCTCTGAAGATATGGAAACTGTCAAGTCAGTCAACATTAAGGAAGAAAAGGAAAGCAATAATATGATTGAAGAATTAATGTTGTTGGCTAACTATTTAACAGCAGAACACTTATTGCGAACAAGTTCCAATCAAGGTGTTTCTGTGTTGTTACGGTCTCATGGTAGTCCATTTGAGAAGAAAATGAACGATTTTGTCGAGTTTTGTAACAATGCCAAAGTTGACATCAATGTCGAATCTGCTGCTGATCTCGACAATAGCTTACGAATGATTACCGACGACGAAGTCTCTGCAGTTATTAATTTAGAGGCAACAAAAGCAATGCAGTCTGCCAAATACTTTGCCTACAATGACAGAGATGGTTATGTTCTATCTACTCATCACTATGCTCTCAACGTTCCTTATTATACTCATTTTACATCACCAATTAGAAGATATTCAGATGTTATTGTTCACAGACAATTAGCATATGCTCTATTTTCTGATCGCCCTGTTTTATACTCGAATGAGCTGAAGAGATTGATTGACCAATGCAACAAAAAGTCAACTCTTGCAAAACGTGCCGAAGATCAAACAAAGCACTTGTATCTTTGCCAATACATTGAACAAAATCCAGACCTTAACAGAGTTCTTGCTATTGTTCGTGGATTGAGTGGAAAGACCATTAGAGTTGTGATTCCACAATTATCTCTTGAATGCAAGCTGCCTATTGACTCTTTCAGATCAAGAATTAAGGATAAAAAGCATGATAAGGAAACTGGAATTTTGAGATGGGTATGGATTGAAGATGAAAAAGAAGAAAACATTCATCTCTTCGACAAGATCCCTGTTCGTCTCTATGTCAAACGATACAATCCTCTACCAGAAATTGCCATTGCTCTGGACAAATAATTAAACAAACTGTAAATAGTTCAAACGAAAGATTGTCTGGTTGTTCGTTTAATGTCTCGCTTACAAGATGATGCACTTTTTCTTTTGCCTCTTTGGTTTTGTGGCTGGTTTGGTTTCGGATGCGCTTGGTTGAGCAGGATCGGAAGAAGCTGTGGCTGGCTTGGTTTGAGATCCTCCTTCTGCAGCAGGTTCCTCTGCTTCTTCTTCCTCCCCCCCTTCTGCTGTGTTGATCATTCTGACTAATTCCTCAAACACAGAGTCCACGTTCTCACCAGTTTTTGCTGATGTCTCAATCCATTTGCAGAAATCACCAAACTTCTTTGATTGATTTTCGCCCTCTTCTTTGGTTACACTTCTTTGCTCTTCCAAGTCAATCTTATTACCAACAAGAATAATAGGGATTTTAGCTCCTTCTTTTTCATCTTTAGCCTTAAGAATTTCTTCGTAATATTTAGGAGTTTCATGGAAAGTTTCAATATCGGTAATACTGTACACAATAACAAATCCATGTCCCTTTTCCATGTACATTCCTGTGAGAGAACGATATCTATCAATGATGATGTGTACGGTAAGAATAATTTCTCAAATCATCATAGAACTTACTCCTCCTGTCCGGCAGTATCAATAATTTCCAACATTACTGCGGAGCCATCAATTTCAACTTGTCTCATGTAGCTATCTTCAACAGTGGGGTCATATCTTTCTACAAATTTCTGATGAATGTACCTCATGGTAAGGCTAATAATTAAAAAAAGAAGGCGATTATATAAATAAAAAAGAGTTGATAAACTGCTCTGTTGCTGCTTACTTACGCGCTTTTACCTACGGATCCGCTGCCTACTACGATGATTTTATATTTTGACATGATGAGAAGAAGTGTGGTTTAGGACGAATGTGAAAAACAACTGTAGAGGTATTTTTTTTAAGGGAAGGCAAAGTAAGCCCCACGAGAGGCTTGTTCGCCTCAAACATGAGAAGTAGCAGGCGGAACCAACAATGGCGCTCAAAAGCTTATTCTCTGCAACCACATAGCCATGTGTTTCCTACCTCTCTGTCGCTGCATAGGTCGTGACTCAAAAGCACGTTTTTCGTATGCGGAGCAAACTTTATCGCCAACATCACAAACATATAACAATACATGTGTGGCGGGATAGTGATTATCATTGAGAGTTCAACATCATGTTAGCTGAAGGCTAGGTCGAGCTTTCTCCCGCTTCTCCATTTCGGTTATGACTAAACGGTTGAAATGTCATTATCAGTAAAATCCTGGCGCCAAAATCAAACAAAATGTCTCGACTGCGTAGCAGCACGCTAGACAGAGAGCGAAGAAGCAAAACCATGTTTGCATCATCTTTAGACTCAACTCCCTCGACATCATGTCCAGCATTTAAATATCATCAATACGACCATCAACGATACTCACCAGAAGGTTTTACATACTCATCAAACGAGCGGTCTTCCTTCAGAGAACCCACCAATTTTGCAAATATTCTAGGACAAAAACCCAAATCGGAATTGGACACTTCTTTTTCGTTTTTGCGGATTATTTCAACTTTTGCAACTAATCTAGGAATGGTATCTCCAATCACACTAAAACACTTCCTCCAAATAATCTTTTGCCTGTCCATCATGATACATATCTTATCAATAATACCTTACACATTGGCACAGTTCTATAACCCTCCTTTAAACATTGACAACTTTTATAACTCTGAGAAACGAAGATGGTTGATTGCAGGAAACTTTTCGTCAATTTCTGTAAATACCACAACTTTTAATAACCTCAATAATATTGCAGTTTTCAACGGGAAAGCATGGAAAGGTCTTGGAAATGGAACAAATGGAAATATACGAACTGTGTTTATTGATACATGTTTCAACATGTATGCAGGAGGGGATTTTACGCAAGCGGGAAATCTAGAGACAGGACCTATTGCAAGATGGTCAATAACGAAAAGAAGATGGGAATCAATTTCGGAAAGTGTAACATGGAAAAAGAATAGCTCGGTTCGGTCAATATCTGTAGACTGCTTTCAAACACCCTCTGAGATATCGAGATGTCAATGCAACGTTTGGATTGCTGGATCCTTCGAGTTAGAAATTGCCTCAGGAAATGCTTCAAAAACAGCTATTAACGTTGCCATGTATCAACCGCACACTAACACATGGTTCTCAATGAGAGAATACATGGATCATAATCTTACTATTTCAATGACTGCAAATTCAATATTTAAGAGGGACTTTGGACAAACATTTCATTCAAGGAAAACATTTGTGGGAGGAAAGTTTCCTTACATTTTGACTTGGGATCCATATTACAAAAATTGGAGTAAGATTATGATGAATGATACAAATGCAGAAGTGACGCAAATTCACTTCCACAAATCTATTCTCGGAGTTAATCTATTTAACTACTGGAACTATGTTGTTGTGGGAAAATTTGAGTTTACCTTTCCAGATGGGGATTCCAATTCCACGTGCAAAAATCTGTGCATGATGGATTTTAGAAATGGGCAGTGGGTGAAAGTGGCTGACAACTTTGAGCTGCTTGATTCACCTGTTCGACAAGTCTCAACAACAGATGGTCATATTTTTGCTATTGGTGACTTTCAAGACATTGATGTTGGAAATCTTGCTGTGATTAGTACGGACGGTGTTGTCAACTCCTTTTTCAATAACACCATGATACCAAACAACAATTACACCTCACTTTACTTGTGTAAACAAACAGACCTCGATTGCACTCTGTACAGTGCTGGTCTTGCAGACACACAGGGACGAATTTGGTTTTATGACAGCGAGACAAGAAACACGCACCTTTTCGGCACGATTAATGCTGGTGGACTTATCAGCTACTTGTCGTCCATCTACTTATACTTTCTAAGCGATTACATGTAATTAAATATTTATTTATTTGGCTTTGCCATTGTTAATCTTTCTAGCTCTTGTGCGTATTGCTGATTTTGTTTTTTCAAAAATGCAATTTCTTCTTCGAACTTCTTCTTTTCTTGCTTACTCTTTTCTCGCTCTCGTTTTTCAGTTGCCTCGCATTTGGCTTGCCATTCTTTCACTTGTTTTTCTAATTCAGTTTTATCTTTCTCAAGTTGGATAATTTTGAGCTCCATTTCTGTTTTCCCGTCCTCTGCATGCAATGATTTTCTCATTCCAAACGCTACACTGCTTTCGTATAACTGTTTGTACGCCTTGATAGTCATTCGTATCTCGTTTCTCACTCGTAGCAACAGCAGACCTCTCTGCTGACAATTTACAGTTACTTGTCTAATGAGCTCATCAAAGCATTGAGAGTAGAGCTCTTCTCTGACAGGGCAAATTCCTGTTTCCTTTGCTTTTCTCTTCAAAAGCTGTGCGTCAAGAGCCTCTTCTAAATTTGTAACATCCAATCTTGTGGCAGGAGTTGACGAAACATATTGAATCCATTGTTGATTGTTCTCCGAAAACACCACGGGAGGAAGTATAGAATTCAAAATATCTTCAGTTTGCGTCATTCGTTCTGCTCCGACCACTTGAATTGGTGGCAAAGCCTGGCCTTTGTTTTTCCCACTGGTGCCCATGAGAGCCTTATTTCCCTTCTTCTTTATTGCTTCCGACAATAATATTGGAGTATCATATTTTACAAGTGTATTTGCTGGGGAAGTGCTTTCAGCACTCATCTCTTGTGTCATCATTTTTTTAAACTTGCATCATACAAAAATTATTTCTTGGCACAACTGCCGCTGTAATCAAATTATGGCGGGAATTGGACCATTGAAGCTGCTAGTCATGAACAAAAAGACACCCAAATTCAAATTTCAAAATTTGTGGACACTTGTGAAGCTAGGTTGCAGAAGATTCATTGCAAAGAACGTGTGAACGTTTGTAGGAACGTTCGAGTGAAACTCCTTGTTTGTCTATGTCAGATTTTTATTCGAATGCTGAATGCGCCAAACTCTGTTGAAAAAGTCAAATTTAAGCAAATCTGATTCAGATTAGATGCGAAAGTCTTTTGTTCTTCCTCACATTGTCCTCAGAGGTGTACAAAGATGAGTCATCATCATCTCTTTCTGTTAGCAATGTGAACACAAAGGTTCCATCCCATGCAAACAAATTCCAAAGCTTGCGACAGTCATTCCTCGCAAATTCTCTCTTTGCGAAAATAAATTATGGTTACGAAAAGAAAAATTCAAAAATTGTGTTTTAAAAAAATATTGAAATTCAATATTTTACCACACGAAATACGCCCAGAATTCAAGCTGATGCGATGGAAGGAGTCAATTCAAAATTTAAAAAGCTCATGTTGAAAGTATTTGATTTGACAGAGAGCTGGCAAGCGTTACACAAAGAAAATTGTGATTGTTTTATCGGATTGGTGAGAGATTTGTCGAGTTGGGATATTGTCGGAGGAGGATCATGCGAGGACCACTCCCAAATTGGTGATGAACGTCATCAAAACAATCATTTAATATTGAGTGGACAATCATCATCGGGTTTTGGAATTTTTCAATATTTTCCTCAGACAGTGAGCATGATTCAAGGAACTTATTTACGGAAATTGGATGAAAAGTACAAGATGATTCTCGCAAGTCTGTACGTGTGGTTCAATTAATTTCATTTGAAAATTTATTCATGTACTTTTATTAGTGGAAAATTTGAAAATATTTGCAATCAATTAGATGCCATTCAACAAGAGGCAGATTTATTTTATCATCAATTGCATGGGGAATTACTCTCTAGTATGGAAGGAAAACGAAACGAAAAATCTCAATTTAATTTCACAATTATTGAAGAATACATTTCTGGAATTCGAGAAATATTTATCATGTTTAAAAAAGAATATTATCGCTATGAAGATTTATTTCAAAATGAATTGAATTATCTTGGAAAATCATTGGAGCAAATCAAAGATGTGTACAGAAAATACTCGACACATCAATACATAAAAATTCATAGAGGTGAGTTCTATATTCATTACATCCTATACGAGAATTGCTCATCATAATGGTCATCACAGTGATTCAAGTACTAGAAAGCACGGAACGAGAAGTACAACAAGATTTTGTGGACAAGCATAGATTCAAGTAATGTTCTCACAAATGTTGTCAACATGACCATTTCATGAAATTCCGTTTATTGGGTCTCACAAAGAATGACAAAAATGTTTAAAAACTGAGATGACTGGTAATTGGCTAAGATTAGTACTTTCTCTTCTTAAAACGGCGAGCTCTACAGTACTTATTGCCATACTTCTTGCCGTATTTTCTTCCGTACTTTCTGTACTTCTTGCCATACTTCTTGCCATACTTTCTACCATACTTTCTGTACTTCTTGCCATACTTCTTGCTGTACTTCTTGCCATACTTTCTACCGTATTTTCTGTACTTTCTACCATACTTTCTACCGTATTTTTTAAGGTATTTTCTTCCGTACTTTCTGTACTTCTTGCCATACTTTCTACCATATTTTCTTCCATACTTGTTCTTTCTCTTTCGTGGAAGATAGGTAGAGAGAGCAGAGCTTTCCGCGACTGAGTATTCTGCACCACACAAGGCGAATACTGCAATTGAAATTGCAAGCAATAAGGCAAGGATTAGAAATCTCATATTTGATTTGTTTTTTTTGAATGAGAGCCAAGGTTGCCATGTTGTCAACATGTTTTATAGGTTCGAACAACGATTCTCTAAAACAGAGTTTCTCTTAGAAATGGATGTTGATTGAAATTTGGGTGTGACAATTGACAAACACTTTCGAATCAACGAATTTGAAGAATGGAAATTGAGTAGTAAAATTCAACATCTATTAGAACTCCAATACGAATATTTCAAAGAGCACCCACATTCATCACAATCTAAAAGAGGAAATTGAGAATTGACCAACTTTGGAGTGACAAGATGCAGTAGTACTGGCAGTGCAATGGTACAAAAATTGCCTTAATTTGAATTGGTTTGACCTCAAGATCTTCTGAGAGGCCTGAGAAGATCTTCACAGGTCAGTCCGATTGAACTTTCTCTTGATGGAGCAGAACGTTGATTTCTCTGTCACAGCGCGTTGAGAGCTCTCACAAGACAAAAAAATGACATCACCAACCACCACCGAAAATGAAATTAAACATGCCATGAATATTATTGAAGAAATATCTAATTTAGTGTACACGATTGAACAAGGAATTGTAAAGATACAAGAAACAGTAGCAATCATTCCCGATATTGAATCTTTAAAATTTAATATTGATGAAGGGTTGAAACTCTCATCGGAAATGATGAATCAATTGGAATTGTATTGTGAAGAAAAGATTAAAGATCCATCGGTGAATCATCATTTAGAGACTTGCTATGGACGAATTTTGGGAAGATTACCACAGTTGAAGAAACAAGTTTCTAATTTAAAAGTCAATCTTCGGAAGGCTGTTCAAATATACAGTAACAAGGAACATGAAACATCAATCAAAAAAGGAAAATTATTGGGATCATCAACATCGGAAGAGAGGAAGGCTTTAAAATCAAATCAAAGTGGAAAACAACAATCACGACAATCGCGAAAAATTACTGACTCTTTGAAAAGAACAAAAGCCATCATTGCACAAAATTTGGAAAGAACATCCAATTCAATGGAGCAACTCTCAGAACAATCAAGTATATTTCAAAAGGCTGTAAAGTCACAGGATGAATATCAAGACAAGGTTAATCAAAGCACCAAATTAATTAGAGAGTTGAAATGGAAGGAAAGACGAGACCATTTCATTACTCTTGTGTGTTTCTTATTTTATGTGGTGGTGATTTTGGTTGTGTTTAATCACAGAATTCCACTCATTTCCATAGCTTTTTATATCATGAGCACATTATGGAGTTTATTTTCAGGAATATTTCATTCATCCAGCAGCGCAGGCAGTACAACCAGCTCTTCTGCACCAATAGATAACTTTAACACATCAACCATTGAAAATATAACAATGAGTCCTTAATTTATTTCTTCTTAGCCGGTTTTGACTGGACAGTCTCTTGTTTTTCGAACATGGCTGAGAATTGTTGCATTTTCTGTTGCTTTGAGAGCATTTCAACAAACGAGTCTAATATTTCACCATCCATCATCTTATCCAAACCAAATTGAGTATAGGAAATCCTGTGATCTGTAATTCTGTCCTGAGGGAAATTGTAGGTTCTAATTTTTTCAGATCTATCTCCACTTCCTATCTGTTCCTTTCTTTCAGATGTCATTTTCTGCATTTTCTCTTCTTGTTGTTTTTGGAAAAGTCGTGAATGCAAAATTTTGAAGGCCTTTTCCTTATTTCGATGTTGTGATCTTTCATCGGCAATATACACAGTTGTACCTGTAGGAATGTGAGTCAAACGCACGGCACTGTCTGTGGTGTTCACATGTTGTCCTCCTGCTCCACTCGCTCTCATTGTCTCAATTTTTACATCTGACAAGTTGATCTTAATGTCTGATTCAGTGATCTCTGGCAAAACTACCACTGATGCAGACGATGTATGAACTCTTCCTTGTGACTCTGTAACTGGTACTCTTTGAACTCTATGAACACCACTTTCAAATTTCATACTTCCGTAAACACCCAATGCCGAGTCATCATCTCCACCGTACGATGAACCTGAAATGAGCGCAATTCCTTCTCTGCACCCTTCTCCTCCACAGTTTACACTCAAGCTCAATACTTCAAATTTCCAACCTTTAGCCAAGGCATACTTTTCATACATTTTAAATAATTCCATTGCAAACAAAGAAGCCTCATCGCCTCCTGTTCCTGGTCTAATTTCGATAATTGCGTTATTATTGGAAGAAATTTGAACTTCGTTGCTATCTAATTGAGGAGCATTCAGTAACACTCCAATTAAATTATCCTGAATTTTCAAATATTCCTTTTCTGTTTCAATATAATCCTCTTTTGCCATTTGTTTTAATTCGGGATCTGTTTCTGTTTGTTTCATTTCTTCGAGTTGTGCTAATTGTGTTTTCAAATTTTCATATTTATCAGTTAATTCTGTTACTTTAGTGAAAAACTTCAGTTCAACAAATTGTGTTGGTTTTGTTGGTTGGCCCGAATAGACAGAATTGGAGAGCTCTTGATGTCTTTGTCTGGCTTGCTTTAAATATTGCTCAACTTGTTGATTGACTTTAAATGTGTACTTTCCGATAGCATCATTGGACTCTTCATCATAATTGTTAAGAGGCTGAAGCGTGGTGTGATATTGCTGTTGTCTTGCCATCGTCGGAACATAATGAATTGAAAAATTATTAAATAAATAGGAAGAATAATTGTTTGATAAATATTTCATGCTGTGTTGATATGTACAATCCCGATGAGAAGCGAGAATAAATTTTAATGGATTGAATCTCTTGAAGCGAGAAGTGGAGCTGTTGCCAAGCAACAATGACCGAGGAAGCATTTTTATTCAAACGAAAAATTGAATTTATTTTTCTCGAAATGTACAGAACACATCTAGTATTGAGAGTATTTCTTCGAGCGAGATGAAGAGGTCATTTCTTCATATTGATCATAGTCAAACTCATTGGATCTGTTTAAAATTTCTTCAACAGTCATGCCTCTCTTTCTGCCAGGGCTTGTCATCTTTCTTGCTGGACTGCTTCCACTGAGGCTCAAGCTATTTTGTAACTCAGCCAAGTGAGCTCTTGCATTCTTGAGTTCCTTGTCCAATTCTTGAACTTCTCTGCTGGTCTTTGCGTTGGATTCGTTGAGTGTCTTCATAATCTTATGGCTTGCAGACAAATCTCTTTCCACCTTCTTCTTGACAGAGCCAAATGAAGAGGAAGGTGTCGATTTTTGAGAGGAATATGCTGAAGATGGCTTTGGAGTTTCTTCTGTCTTGAGAGATTGAACAGAGGATGAAGCGCTTGACTTAGTGGCAGATGAAATGTACTTGGAAGTAGATGGAGTAGCAGTTGTGGAAGAGGAGGATGAGACTGGCTCGCTGTCACTAAAGATTGAGTTATCTTTGCCTGGCTTCTTGAATAGTTTTTGTCTTAAATCAGACACCATATTCTCATACTTGCTCTTTTCCTTCTCCAATTCAGAGAGCATTTCTGTAGTCTTCTTTGAGGTGTTGAACAGCTTATTGCATTCTTCTCTCTTCAAGTCCAATTCTCGTAAGGCAGAGTCAAGCTTTTGTGACTTCTCAGCAAGTTGATCTTGCAATTCTTGCAAGTCTGATCTGTATTGGTTGAGTTGACTAAGTTGAGATTCAAATTCTTGTTTGAATTGCTCTTTCTCAAATTGAACTGTAGTATAGTTGGATCTGAGCTTTTCAACTTCCTTTTTGATGAGTTCATATTTTTCAGGCTCGACAAGATTAAGATTTTCTTCCTCAAGATCATTAATTCTATTTTCCATGAATGAAATCAAGTCAGACTTCTTCTTGATGATTTCTTCAGTCTCCTCAACTTTCTTTGAAAGTCTTTCCACCTCCTCGGTCAATTGCATCGTCTTCTTTTGAAGACTTGTCTTTTCAGCCTTCAATTCTCTAAGGGCTTTAACAACTCCAATGGTTGTTTGTTGAACAACGCTTAAACCTCTCTTTTGTGGGCTTTGATGAACAATGCTTTTAGCCTGCTTCTTGATTGGAGTAGATAAAGCCTCTGATGCGTTGAATCTATATCCAGTAATAATGTGTCTGTTGATACTGGAAGAGAGACCATCTTGCAAACTTCTGATCATTGAGAAGTCTTCTTTCTCCTCTTCAAATTGAGGATCAAGATGGTTCACGAGTTGGAGATAAGTATGAACAGCTCCCTTGTATTCATCGTTGGAAATTTGGAAGTCCTTGTTATCATTGATTGCATCAGCTGACAACAACGCCAACTTGTCTCCTCCCACAGTATAGTACAGAGTATTGGATTCTTTTTCCTCTCTCTTTTCTTTGAGCATCTTGTTGAATCGGTTTCCAATGATAACGGCAATAACTGCTGCTCTGAAAGATGTCTTGGTCTTTTCAGTGGAGAATTCCTTGGGGAACTCAAATTCATGAATAATTTCAAATTCATTGGATAGAGATTTGACTGTTTCATACACACCTCTCAACAATCTTTCGTATTGTTTGAGTTGAGACTTAAGAACTGACTTGTGCATCTTGAGATCATCAATTCTATTCTTCATTGGTCTCAAACCTCTGGCAACCAATTTCAGAGCGGCATGCAACTTTCCTTGCTCGAGTTGGGAATCTCTGAGCTCTGTCTTTAGAACTTCAACAATCATGGTTGACTTCTTCAACTTGCCAGATGTTTCAGAGAATTGTTCTTGAAGTTCACGGAGGGTGTCTTCTAATTCTTTGATCTTTTCAGAGTAGTCAATTTCAAGCATTTCAATTTGATGTTCGAACTTGTTTCGTTGTTCATCAAGATCGTTTTGACTCTTCTTTTGCAATTCATTCTTCTCAGCTTCATACTTTTCTGTAATGCTCTTAATGGTCTTGAAAGCTTCCTCAAGCTTTTGTGCTTGGTCATTAAGCTTCTCCTTTTGAGAGGCCACTTCCTTCTTCAAGGATTCTCTTTCAACGAGGTGAGTGGTCACTTGCTCAGAGAATAAGGACTGGAAGGTCTCCCAGCTAATAGGCTCATCACTCTCAGCTGGTTGTGATCTGCCTCTTAGAGGGGATCCGTTTCTCTTGTCATTGGTTGGAGTTTCCTTCAACAACTTGTACAAAGAGTAGACAAATCTCAATCTGTTCTTTTCTTCTTCTTGATGGTTGTCTAAGAGTTCCTCCAACTCATTGACGCTGTCTTCAAGCTCTTGTTTTTGTTCCTTAAGGGCTCTACAAACCTTCTCGCTATCGGAGAGTTGCTTCTTCAAGTTGATCAGCTCCTTATATGTGTCAGAGTGGTCATGGTTAAGGTTTTGGAAATTGTTGGATAAGCCATCAAGCTCTTCTTGTAAAATTCTGTTCTTATCTCTGGAAAGAATGAGTTCATCCAAGCAATCCATAACCTTGGTTCTGAGCCCTTTGTAGTTTGGCTTGACAGACTCGATACCTTTCTTGCTGATTTGAGTGTCATCTTCAGTTCGGTTGTACTCGTGGCCTTCCATGACATGCTCAATTGTCTTCATCAAGGCATAAAATTCGCTCGCTAAGGCTCCATGGGCTGAGTTGATCTCACTTTCCTTGAGGTCTCGTTGTTGAACAGTAGCATTGTATTGCTCTGTCAATCGTTCAGTTGTCTCTTTGTAATGAGAGAGTTCTCGTTGGAGGAAATCATTCTCGGCCCTAACCTTAGAAAGTTCGTCAATTTTGTCCTTGAGAGAGTCATTCTCATCCTTGAGATCAGCAATGTACAACTCGAGATTATCATTGATCTCACTCATCTTTCTTAGTTCCTCAGTTACCAACTGCTTGCTGTGGTTCTCTTTGTCTAGTTGGTTTTGAGTTTCTTCCAACTTCTTTCTGGTAGAAGTGATTTCATTTCTTAGCTCTGGAATGATACTCAAATCCTTCTTGAGCTCCTCGACCAAATTCTCTTCCACATGCAGCTCGGACACCTTATCTTGTAAATTGATAATGTTGTTTTGAAGTTGGTTCAAAGTAATGTTTTGTTCGTGCTTTTCTTGCTCGAGTCTGTCAATCTTTCTCTTGAGCTTGTCGATCTCCAAGTCTCTGTCTTCGATTGACTTTTGGCTCTTTTTAAGTTTGTTGTCTGCCTCATTGAGCTTGTCGGTAAGCTCGGATCTAGTGTTGAGAAGAATCTCGATTTGTTCTTGAAGTTTCTCGGCAAGCTCTTTTTGTCCCTTATTTCTCTTATCTTGAAGCTCTTGTTGTTCTTTCAAAGAAATGGAAAGGTCTGCCAACTCCTTTTCGAGCTCTCCTCTCTTCATCTCAGAAATAGCAACTTCTTCTCTTGCTTGTTCGATTTCCTTCTTGAATTGAGATGATTCTGCATCTCTTTTGGTCTTCTCTTCAGTAAGAACTTGCTGGAGTTGAAGCAATTCATCTCTTAGCTGCTTCTCAACTCCCTTTTGTGTGGTGATACGATCGTTGGATTCAATCTCTAGCCTCTTTAGCTCTTCATCCTTAGCTCTTACTCGTTCTCTCAAAATGTTAATCTCGTTTCGTAATTGAATACCCTCATCTCTCGCTTGCAACAAGTCGTCGACCTGTCTTTGCAAATCATTTATGAGTTTTTGCTTCTTTTGATTCTCATATTTGATTTGTTGTACTTGAGTGAGTTGTTGTCTTAGGAGTCTAACTGAATCATCATCTTCGCCTCTCTCTACATTCAGTTTACTCTTCTCTAGAAGTTTTTGGAACTCTTTAAAGTCTACTTCATCCTCCTCTGTATCGATTGTTTGTGGTTGCTGCATCTCGGCCTCTTCGGAAAGTTTTCGGTAAAACTTCTCTCCTGTTGGGCTTAGAAATTTAGCGAAATCATCAGCCTCTCTTTCATCGTCCATAATAACACTTTGTCTCTTTGTGGTGCTGCTGGATCTTCTCTTTGGAGTTTTGTAGTAAGAATTCGATCTAATTGGCGATTCCTTAAGGGATGATGTTGGGCTTGAAACACCTTCCGTCATTCTTCCCTTAGTACTGTTGGTGTTTATAGTCAGTGATGAGCGATTACCTTCACGGGGCGTAAAGGTCGTTCGACGTTTGGGGGTAGCATCAAACATGAATGAATCTTGGTCCATTCTCACTTGATGTATGAGCCTTATTTTTTTATGTAATTATTTTGTGAAACGTTTCTGTGGTTGAGCGCCAAAGATTTAAACGACGGGCTGTAGTTTTTGTAGATGGTTTTTACAACTCGAATGATATTGAAACCCATATGGGAGAGAGAGCACATTTGTTGTTGTTCAAAACCGTTTCTTGATGCAAGCGGGTTGAGAGTGGTGATGTCCTTTCATTTGACCTCAACTCAGGGTTATTTTTAATCAAGACCACATGACAATGGTGTGTGTGGATGAGGGAAGAAGAACATTATTTAAGCTTTGGTTTCTTCTTGTTGTTTGTACTCTTGATATTTTCGGATTTTGGTTGGTGAGAGACAACATCAACATCAGTACCAGAAGAAGCATCATCATCATCACTCTTCTCTCCACCATTTGTGCGGCGGCTCTCTTTTGCGAACTTTCGTTTGTGCACTGAAGTAGATGTCGGTTGTTGCTTTTCGGTTAGTGAGGTGGTCAAAGATGATGACATGATGATGTTCGTCGTGGTGCCAGTACCAGTCCTGGAAAGGTTCTTCTCCAAGTAGGGCACCAATGAAGACTGCTCGTTGGCTTTGATGGAATGAATAATGCCCTTTCCGAGCTGCTCCATCTCGAGAATGAATTGTTCAGCGTTGAATTGGAGTTTGTTGAAGGAATTAGAAGATCTATTTCCACCACTCGAGTTGTTCTTCTTATCAGAGGATAATGGTTTCATACACCATGTGTGGGTGATCGAAGCTGGTTGAGGCTGCCACACGTTCGGATTTATGGCAAAAGTAATGGTGGTGTTTTGAACGTCCTTGAAGAACAAACCAAATCGAGAGAAGCGTTCTTTGAGGTCTCTGTAAAACAAGTCAAATGGGTTGAATCCAGTTGGTAATGAAGAGGTGTTGTTGTTTCTCATTTCTTGTTCACTCTTGAGAGTGAGGATGAGATCGTATCCATCCATGTCTGTACTTGTGAAGAGTGAGGGAAGCTTTGATGATGCCTCTTCTACTCGAGAGAGAATATACTCATTCAATTCAATTTCTGTGTTTTTAGCGAGCTGAACCATTCGGTGGACAATCTGTATAAGATAATATGTAAAAAAAGTTAGGTGAGAAGGTGTGGTAAGGAACAATCTTCCAAAACATGAAATTGAATGATTCCTACTACTTACAATAGCTGGTGGATTCTTTTTCGTCCAAACATAATCCAAGTTATATGAAGCAACAATGTACATGCTTGGTTTGGCATCTAACTTTTCGTATTCTTCAGACCTTCTCGAGAATTCTCTTTGAATATTCTCCACATCTGCATCACCAACAGAGGTGTTGACAAAAAGAGGTGTATCAAACCATGAATGACTAGACAACAAACTTAAAAATCTGAAAAATCCACAAATAGCTGTTTTTGGAGCTTTGTAAGGGGAATAGACGTCGGTAAAGACATGCATACACAATAATTCCACAACACTATCTTCCAAATAGTCTGACATGAAGTGAGTATTGACCCATGCCTTTGCCAATCTCACAGTCTCTGCATACTCTTTGAAAGTGTTTTTGAAAATTCCAGAGTACTTGCAATGTAAGGGAAGGATGTTGAGTGTTTTTTCCAACTCGTGTACATTTGGATTGAGAGCCTCTGATCATTGGCAAAACCATTTTCAATAACTATCATCTTCTCATAATACTTACGTCCTGATCTCTTAATAAGGTTAATCTCCTTTGAAACAAATAGGACCACACGGAATGTAAATCCATTGCAAACAATATCAATCCATCTTCTAGTTGGAATAGTCTTTAATTTCAAGCTATAAATTGTTGTTGTTGAGTAAATATAAATACAACATCGATATATGTATTATATATGTAAAAAAACGCATAGTAAAAATAAATATAAAGTTCCTCGACAAATACTTACACTTCGTTATATTTGAGATAGATCAGTTGTTTCAACTTGTCCAAAGCTTCGAAATTATCTGGCCATTTTGCATTGCTTCTAAATTGCAAAACAGTCAACAAAGGATTCGTAGGCTTTGGAGTGGTAATGGCAACTTCATAAAACTCTGGTGAAATCACACAAATATTCTCCGGCGTTAAATTGATATCTGTGTCCATAATGATGGATTCTAACTTTTCAAATGCTTCTCTCATTGCAGCATTGGCTTCTTGAGATTCAACTTTAGAAAGATTCAACATGGAATAAACGTACGATGTTGATACTGAGCATTCAACAGTCTTGTCTAAATGTTTTTTCAAAACATAGTTTGCAATTTGCTCAATAGCCTTCACTGAACACTCATTATCAGACACTTGCCATTCTGTGCAAATACTCAGAGAACCATCACTAAAGTCCTTCATGAATGCCTTCTTACCCCAAAAGCTCTTAAAATCTTCAGTTTTTTCCTTATTGTGTGGAGATGGACCTTTAGTGAGAGGCTCCAACCAATTCTTGGTGAACACGAGTCCAACAAAAACCTTATGCTCATCATTGCCGACCACTCTTAGATATTTGACTCTTCCTTCGAAGGCAGTACTGAGAATGGAAGCAATTCGAGCATTCGTGGAGACCTCATCGTCGTTCTTAAATGAAGTTGGAACGCTCACTTTGAGAATGGCGTCAAATTTGTGCCAAAATGTGTGCTTGGTCAGGAAAAGTAGTTCCACAGACTTGACGCTTGTTTCATCTTTCATTTGAGCCAATGTCAATTTCGCTTCTGATTTCAATTCATTCCATGCATTTTGTGATACTCTATGGAAAATGTTGAAATCTCCTTCCTTGTCTATCAACGCCACATTAAATGATTTGACAAATACGGGGTCAACTGGTTTTGGAGAGAAGGATAGGCCCTTAGAAACTTGTTCGTTTGATTTAACAATCCAATTCATCAATAATTTGATCATTTGGAAAGAGCTCATGGTCTTGTTAATTTTCTTTTGGGACAACAAATATAAAACAAGCATGGAAAGTAAAAAACCGTTCAAACTGTCATCCGATTGGTAAATATTTCTATTTCTTGCCCATACACGCAATAAAACTGCTGTCTCTACCAAAACTGGGCAATCTTTCATTTCATTGTGTAACATTTCCAAATGTTTGTGGAAATATTGATCCTCAGCAATTCTGTGATATTGAACAATACTCTCAGGTTTTAAATTTTTAGCAAAAATGTCATTCGTGATGGATGGAAGAATTCTGATTTTGAAAAAACTTTTACCAATTTTCACATTCGAAACAATGATTGGCTTCCAATAATCTCCTCTGAAAGGTACTATTTCTAATTGCGAGAAAATTTCATTTTTCTTTAAATGTTCGGCAATAGCACATAGATAACAAGCTCTCTTTTCAAAATATATTTTTCCAAAGTCCTTAGATGTGATAAATCCCTATTGAAAATAGAAACATTTGAATGATTGAGAAGAACACAGTGTTAAAAACCCATTCCATATCATTGTTGATGCAACATACCTTAGGCATAGTGACTGCAACATCGATATTCTTGTATGGTTTTGCAATGCTTCGCAGTAAATAGGAGCCAACAATTGCAATACTTTGTGGGGCATTGCAAGCCATTTTTCGAGTCTTTTCCGAAATCTCAATAAATCTCGAAGAATAAATTTCATCCAAATGTTGAACCTTATACTGAGAGATAGAGTCCAAAATTTCCTTCAACGACCTCAATGCATCCTCTATTTTGGTGCACTTTTTCCAATTTAATGAAGCTTTTTTCAACACTTCAGCGAACTACTCAGTGGTGAAAGTATGCATGGGTTATGAGAATTATTTCAGTTGAAAAAGTGGTAGATTATAGTTCATGTGAATAACAAAAAGAAGAAATGAACCATCAAGTACTTACAGAAAAACGAAAGAGTGGAGATTGAAATAAATTCTTCGTGTCTGTTAAATTCCGAATTTCCTCTTGTGTGAAGTGTTGTTTTTTCTGTTGATTTTTGGTGCTAGCATCATCATCAAGGACGTATTCTTCTCCCATTTGTTCTCTCAAAATTCTAATTTTCTCTTCTTCGGTGAGAGTGGAAGACGTTCCATAAAAATCATCATCCTGATCCTCTTGTTGTTCCTCATTCATGCCTTCCATAGCATGGTCCTGATGCTCATCATCAAATTCCGATGCTTGCTCTCTTTGGTCATTCAAATCTTGTTCTTCTTCTTCTTCGGCTTTATCTTTGAGTGAGGACAAATAATCTTCAGCAGCGGATGACATTTTTTTGATTTTCGAAATTTTTATTGAACAACTTTTTGTCTGTGTTTGGGTTCGTTTTGAATTTTTGTTTAGCAGCCATGAAACTCTCCAAAACAATCCATTTCTCATCCAAACACTTTTGTGAATGACGACAAGACTTCATGAAAATTTCAACGCCTTCTGGCTATTTAATAACAAGGTAAAAATTGTAACATCTGTTGACGTTGTGCAAAAAGATTGGGAATTTGAAAGTTTTGAAAGATTGAATTAAAGATGCATGCTTAAGGGTTTGTGTATTCGTTTTGACTCTTGGACGTTCGTATGACACCATCGAAGAGGACGTTCTTTGATTCAAGTTGTTCTATTAATTAGTTTCGAGAATATCATTAACAATAACATTTATGGAAGTGTTCAAAAAAATGAAACACAAGACGAGGCTTGGGTGTGGCCTTCATCATCATCGTCCTCAACCATTTCTCGGATACAAAGTGCTTGTTCTGATAACGATTTTTAGTATTTTATCAGCCCGAGGGATGGTTTGGATCACTTGTTATGGATCATCGTCCCATTCTTCAATCATGATTAATCCCAAAACAACAATAATATCGGAAACAAATGATGAAAGTCGGACGAATGATAGTAATAATAATAATAACAATCAACGTCCATCTGCAACAGCTATCACTCCAGAGAGTGCTTTTCTTGTAGCTACAAATTTAGGTCTGCTAGCTTATAACTATAACAAAGGCTTTGCACAAAATATAAATAATATGTGGACAGGACTCACTAGTTTTATTTCTAATCGAGGTTCAGACACGATCAAACAAATAGCATCTGGTGCTGAACCTTCCGCCACTGAAGTCTTTATTACTAACAAGGAAAACTTAGTCGCCAAAGCTGAAGCCGTTAAATATTTATTGGAAAAGAGAATGGGATTATTCTTTTCATGGAAAAATATTTGTACGGTCACAAAGTGGGCTCTCGTTGTTGCATCATCTGCTCAAACAGTCAAGTTATTATATGAGTTGTGGATTTATGAAGATATTTTCCATCATTCAGCTGAACAATTAGCAGGTTTCAAGAGAGATCAAACAGAAATCCACAAGAAATTGGATGAAATGATTTCCATTCTTGAACATATGTCAAACCTTATCATCACCCAGGAACGATTTACTCAAACCACCTCAAACTCTCAATCACTCGTGTTACTTGTTGAGAAATCTCTTTTAAACGACAGCTTTGATAAGAATTTCCTATCTCTCACCAAAAAATTCAAGAAATTGCAAGAATCTGTCCAAACAGAAATTGAAAAACTCAACGATCAAATGAATTCTCTCAAAAGCCAGATACAAAAAGACTCTGACTTCTTTAGTGGCAGTGTTGAAAGATCAAAGACCAACATGTTTGTTGGCGCTTCATGCTTTGCATTGAGCACAATCTCTACTCTTATATTTCCTCCATTGGCTCCTGTTGTGTTTGCTGGACATGCAGGTGGTATTATTAGTGGTGCAGTTGCTGGAATTAACTATGCTCTGTATTACTACTCTAACTCAAAGAAAGAAAAGGCTGAATACAGGCTCAAAGAGGTCATTAAATTGCAGCATCAAATTTCCCACATTAGAAATCAATCAATGGAGCATCTCAATCTCTATGAAGAACAAAAAGCAAAACTTGTTGAGCATTTGAAAAAACTTCGAGAGCAGGAAAGAACTAAGAGATCGAAAATGGAAGCTATTTCTCCTGCAATTACTGACGGAGGGCAAACCGTGGATACAATGCCAGATGAACCTATCATCAATCAACTTTTACTACAATTAATTGAATTTTATAATATCAACAACTTACTGTTTTGGTACAGAGTCATGAGTGGTATCATGTTTAGTTTGTGGTTGACTTCTCTTCTCAAAGATGGTTTTTCTATCACTCACAAGACCTTAATTACCCTCATACTTTACTGTAGTATTATGTTTACACTCAATATGGCTTATGACTTGACAGAGAAGCAACAAATTACATTTGACATTCATGTAAATGCGTCTTCTCATTTAGCAAAAGTGACAAAAACTGCCTATGAAGAACGATACAAGCATGAATGCATTTGGTACGAACTTCCTGTTAGCAAGCAATTTGAGTTAGAAATCAAATCTTTGTTCCTTAGACTAATTCCTGGTTATGGCGATCAAGCAAGTCAACTACTTGCCCGAAATGCTACCGGCCACTTGATTCACAATTCTAGATGCCTGCATTACATTCAAGTTCTAGAGAGCCAAGACGAGAAAGTTGTGTCACATCTCATTCAGACCAGCTCCCATTCTTCCTCTGGAATTGATGTTCAACAAATTAATAATCCTTCAGAAATGGCAGGAGGAACTTATCTAGATTTTGCTTATTCGATTGTTATGAAAAGTTTCAAGGCCATTGTGGACGGATTGGAATTATTTTCCACAAAAACTAGTTTTATTACCAAGATTTGGTGTTTGGCAGTCATTGCTCTAGTGTTATTGGTTATGGTTAAGAAAATTGTGTTCTGTTGTTAATAATAATGATTCAAAAATTATTAAATTATTTTTCATATTGAGATTGTAATTGCTCTTGTTTTTTCTTTTCTGCGAACTTTTTCACACAATCATTATACGCTTTCATTTCTTCATCACATTTGTTCTGATTGAAATTATTGTTGGTGAGACAAGTCTGTATTTTACCTGCATGTTTGGGTGTAAAATTATTAATATATTTACATTTTAATTAAGAGATTGATGTTCATTAAATGAATTCATAGTTCAAAAATTAAAGATAAAATTATAAACCTACATGCAAGCTTGTGGCATGGATCATCGCTTTGTTTTTCTGAAATCCGAAGCAAAAGATTCAATCAATATCTTTTCGTGCTTTGAATGCCTACCTCTCGTTACTGCTGAGTTGCCCATTTTTTTTTGTTTGAAATTGTAAATGTCAAAATTCAATAATGGATAATTCAATAAATAATTTAATGTATTCTCTAAAGTTGTTGGTTTGTGTAGACAACTTTTCCATTCATAATGACGTGTAAGATTGGTGAGTCACACAATTCATAAATTAAATGTTCCCAATTTGGATGGTTAATAATAACACAATCTCCTTTCTTTCCCACAGCCAAACTACCATGTGTACTTGCCTTACCAATTGATGCAGCTGCATTCAACGTACAAGCCACAAGCGCCTCATTTAAGGTCATTCTCATGTTCACACAACTTAAATTCATCACAAAAGGCAAAGACATGCAATGAGCATTTGGATTAAAATCGGTGGACAAGACAACAGGTACTCCCTTTTCAATCATCTTTCTTGCTGGTGGATATGCAATTCTCAAAATGTAAGCTGTTGTTGGAAGCAATGTAGCACAAATATTCTTTTCAGCCATCAATTCAATACCCTTATCACTCACATGTTCACAATGAGACACAGCCAATGCATCCAATTCATAGGCCAACTCTGCACTTCCCATTGGGTTCAATTCATCTCCATGAAAATTAATGGCAAGTCTCAATTTTTCTTTTCCTGCAGAAAGAACACGTCTCGTCTCTTCAGTTTCAAACACTCCCTTTTCATGAAAAACATCAATCAAACTTGGTCCAATTTCATCCTTCTCAATCATTTCAGCAAGTGCTGGAATTTGTTCTTCTAAAATTTGTCGAGTATAATCTTGCAAATTCGTGGTCTTGGGAACCGAGTGAGCTCCCAAATAATTTGAAACAATTTCTGGCAGACCCAATTCCACATGTTTCTTATTGGCTTGGTGTAATACTTTCAACATTTTCACTTCCGTTTCTGTTTCAAGTCCATATCCAGATTTTCCTTCCATCAACGTGGTACCATTGCGCAACATTTTACGACCTCTCTGAATGAGTAAATTCAATAAATCCTCTTCCGATGATTCACGAGTGTGTTTTACTGTAAAACCAATTCCTCCTCCCATCTTATGGATGTCCATATAGGTGGCTCCTTGTAATTTCAAAACAAATTCATGACAACGATCTCCACTCCATACGGGATGAGTATGAGAGTCCACCAAGCCTGGAATAACACTCTTTCCGGTACAATCAAGAATGGTTTCAAAGAGATCTGAGAGTGAACAAGTCGTATTATTCTCATTATTATTATTATTATTTGATGATGAAATCATTCGAGAAATAATTTGTTGAATTTCTTGAGTGGTTCCGAGATGAGCAATATTACCATCATGTCCAATAATCATGGCTCCATTTGAAATAATCTCAATGGTGTTTTGTTCGGCTCCTTTCAGGAGAGTAACGTTTTTATTGAATGAAACGCATACGAGTTGAGTGGCGTTTGTGATGAGAGTACGGAATCGAGAAGACATTTTTTAATGTTTGTGTCAACAATTAACTGCTAAATTAAATAGCTTGATATATTCTCTCTTTGGGGGCACAAAATGAATGGAGAGAGTCACCCTCTTCCAAATGACCTATTGAAGAGTCGTTTGTCCATAATTTTCATCCTATTCAATGAATGTGGTCACTATCAAGTTTTTACAGAGACTTTGGAGAAGGGCAGAGTGAATTTAATGCCCAAATGGTTCTCGAGAAGAAGACAGCATGCTTGTTGTGTGTCAGTGGTTTCTAATGGTCTTACCTCAATTCCCTTGCTTCCATAAAAAGTGGAAGCCAACTGATTAAATTTGTGATAGACAAAGTCTACAATTTCAAATTCATCCTTTAGATAAGTACCATTAAAGTAATGAAATTTTCCATCGTATTGAGAAGTGGAGAGTGGCTCCACAGGTTTGTTTTTGATGTGAATAGTCGTTGGATCGTATTCAATTTGTTTTTCTTGATGATCAGCCCAATCCTCTGTATAAAAGTATTTGTGATTTCCAAGACGATAGGCACTTTCATGTCTGTCTGCAGAAAGTTGCATGACAAGAACATTTCTTTCTTTCATGATTTGAAGAGTATGATGAAAGAGCTCTCCAACTTTGTTGTTAGGATTTTGAACTTCACTCTCGATATTGGGATCATAGATGAGAGGATATAATGGAGATGCCTATTTTGATTAATACCGTTCGATTGTTTCGTTAAATAAAGTAAATTCACCATTAATTCAAAATATTAATTCGAAAAATTCCATCATTTAAGAATTTGAAATCTAATTGTGAAAGTCACATTCCACACTTACATCACAAAAGACAACATTATTCTTAATTCCCTTTTCAGCAAAGAATTTCTCGGGATTCTCTAAAAATTTACTTAAATGACCGTAATAATTCAAAAGAAAATGTTGGATTAATGACGTTGAAAATAATTCTTCTGCATCGAACGTATTATGTAACAACTCTCCTGCAAATAATGAATTATTATGTGGTGTCATGAAATTTACGGCATATCCAACTTTTTTCAATCGATCACATAATTTGTGTTTGGACGTCATGATATTCTCTCCTTCGAATAAAACAATTTTCGGAAATGATGAAGAATCATTGTTGTGTGATGTTTGAAGAAATTGTAAGGTGTTGTGGTGAAGAAGGGAGAAATTTCTTGTTGATAGGAGTGGATGATGACCGTGATGATGATGGCTTGAGGAGCATAAACAAGATGCAAGTCGTGGCAGCGTTCGCAGAGGATGTGTGCTGAGAGATCTTGTTAACATTTTTTTTGCATTCCTGCCGAATCGAAAAAAATGACTCAACAACAAACCATCAAAGAACTCATAAACCACTTAGAACAACAACAACAACAAATCAAAGAACTGCAAGATGCTGTTAAGACGCTCACACAAACAGTACAGCAATTAATTGAAGTTACAAAACCAACTCAACCAAAACCTGAACAATCAACAATTAAAATTTCTCAAGCTCAAAATGAAGCGCAAAAAATTCACCCTCAACCAAAACCTGAACCAACCCAACAACCAAAACAGGAAACTAAACATTTAGAAACTCCTCAACTCGAAATTGAACAAACTGGTCAACCCAAAAACCAAACTAATTCAATCTCAATCTACTCGGACAGCAATATCTCATCCTCATTTGTTAAATTTATTCTAAAAAGATTTGAATCAGTTATTGAACACTGGTACATCCCAGACAGCAAGACCAACACTCTCAATTTAGTCATTCAAAATGCCGAAACTCAACAACAAATACTAAAGAAACTTCATTCACCAGCCGTGTCATGACAGAAAAAACACAAACAAAATATTTCGCTTCACCAATGATTTTTTCATCATCTCCAACAACATTAATAGCCAAAGAAAAATCAATTTCGAACATCCAAACTCTCATCAAGTACTCAATCAATCAAAAGAAATGTAGAATTGAACAAATGTGCCTAACATTCAATATGGCATTTTCCACAAATGTTGGTCTTCCCGTCGCTCTCTCTCTGTTCCTGAAAGCCAATCAAAAAGTTTGTGAATGCAAAATTGAACTCCTGAACGTCGTTCGGTATTTGCAATTTGCATCTTCAAGTTCTAATTTTAAAAAAAACAATCGACGTGATTGTGTCTCAGAAAGATATAAAAGAAACTCAATTTCAATCACGTTCAAAAAAACAACAATTTCATCATCATCATCAAAATGATCACTACCAAACAATGTGCTCCTTCTCATGCTAGCACTGGATCTGCTCGAGTGGATTTATTCTTCAAAACAGTGAGAGGTTTGGAAGAAAGTTTTCTCTATCAATTACTCGAGGCTTCCTGGAAGGAAGATCCTTTAGATACTCTCAAACTTGTGTTTTATATGAGAGATTGCCGAGGAGGTAAAGGAGAACGAGATCTTTTCCATTTGGCTTTGAACTGGCTCATTGATCATCATCCAGAAGATGTTCTCTGTAATTTATCTCTCTTACCAGAATATGGACGATGGGAAGACTTGTTGCGACATATCAACAATGAGAAGGGATTGATTGGTCCAACCATTGCCAAGATGTTTGCTACTCAATTACAGGAAGATTTCAAAGCCATGCATGAAGGAAAGCCTGTTACCTTGTGTGCCAAGTGGGCTCCTTCTGAAAATTGCAAACACGATAAAAAGTACTCGGCCGTGAAATTGATTTGCAAAGAGTTGGGAATTAAGAAGGCTGAGTATAGAAAGAATTACATTTCTCCACTTCGTGAATACATCAAGGTGGTTGAGCGATTGATGTGTTTGAAAAAGTGGGACGCGATTGAGTACAGCAAGGTACCTGGTGTTGCAATGAACAAACTCAAAAAGGCTTTCCTCAAGCACGATAAGGAAAGATTTGAAGAATATATGAGCAAGTTACAAAAAGGTGAAGTCAAAGTCAACGCCTCTACTGTGGAACCTCATGAAATTGTTGCTCAATTCATGCACAGATCTCATTCTCAAGACACAGATACCATTCTTGAAGAGCAATGGAAGGAAATTGTGAAGAGGGTCGAAAAATTAGGTACCATGGATCATGCTCTCGCTGTTTGTGATGTCTCTGGATCCATGAGTGGTCTTCCAATGCAAGTTTGTATCAGTATTGGTTTACTCGTTTCACACCTAAGCATGCCTCCATTTAAGGGTCGATTAATTACCTTCCATGAGGATCCTCAACTCATCAATATCACATCGACCACTCTTCATGACAAAGTCCAAGAAATTATGCGTATGCCATGGGGTATGAGCACCAACTTTTACAAGGTGTTTGAAATGATTCTCAACGAGGCAAAGAAGAACAAACTTACTCAAGAAGAAATGCCAACCACGATTTATGTTATTAGTGACATGCAGTTTGATAGTGCAGCAGGATCAAGCATGGCTAACTTTGATTACATGAAGAATTTGTACAAGCAATCTGGTTATGACATTCCAAGAATTGTCTTTTGGAACGTGAATGGTAGTTCTAGAGATTTTGTCTCCAATGACGCCCATGAACAAGGAGTAGCCATGATTGGTGGATTCTCACCAAGCATCATGAAGGCAGTGTTGGAAGGTGAGGACTTTTCACCACTTGGCATCATGAAGAAGGCCATTGATGATAAGAGATATGAGAAGATCAGATTGGCCTCTTCACCTCAACAAGAGTAATTGGTTGTTCATGAAAATGCACAAAAAACAATAAAAAAAGAGAAAAATCAAAAATTCATATGTATTTTCGTTATAATTATTCGAGTTGAACCACAGACGACATAAATTTCGAAACGAAATCTAAATATCCTGGTTGAAAGTATTAAATTTAACGAATGTAAGGTATTCAACTTTGTTTTAAAGAATATTGCAGATCAAATTACTTGAACTTTCGCTTATAAAAAAAATGAGTTCATTTTCCTTGCCTTCAACATTCTCTGCCCAAGATTTGGGAACAACAGCCTTGCGATACAATCGCTCCGATGACGAAGATAATTTTCGATCAAATAATAATGAAATTAACAGACAAAAGTATGAAGATGATGATGAATCAAGAAGTGAAAGTGGAGGAAGTGAAATTAGCGAAGATGAATACGGAGGTGATATGATGAGAAGAAATGACATGTATCTTGGTCCTGAAGATGATGACGAAGAAATTGCAAATTTGGGGGTGTCAGCTTCAATGGCATCATCAATCAAAAAAAGAAAGCGAAGACTACGAAAATTAAAGGAAAAACGGGAGAGTGAAAAGAAAGAAAGACTAATTGCACAGCTTTCTAGTGCGGATCATCCTCAATACGAAAGATATGAATGCTTCATTCGGAGTACATTTAAACCTGTAGTGAAAAGATTAATTAGTGGATCTTCCAATGTCACTGCAAACAAGCATGCAGAAATTATTATTGCAGGTGTTGCCAAAGTTTTTGTGGGAGAAATGGTAGAATTGGCAAAAGCAATACAGAAAGAATGGGGAGACAATTTGAATACACCCATCGAGCCTAAGCATTTGCGTGAAGCATACAGAAGATACAGAGAAAGCCAAAACAGAAAAAAGAAGTATGCATTTCGATAATTTTGAGGATGACGAACATCAAAAGTATGGCACAACCACCTTCTCTTGGAACATTTATTCTATGTAAATAATTATTTCCAGTTGATTTCAAGAAATTTCGATCAACAATTCAAATAATAATAATTCTTTGAACAAACTAAAATAAATTCCCTTTACATATCAAATTGTTTTATTTTTTTAGTTATTCATGATGATCGAACAATAACGACAACAAGACATAGTCTACAATTGCAAGTTGACAATAGCCTCAAGGCCAACTTTGCCCATGAGTTCTTCTCTGCTATGTTTCAAATTTACATCAATGAATACATTTTTAACTCGTTGAGCTAATACGAGAGTAGCGGCACAAGCCTTGACGGAGATGGTCTTCGAGCAACGGGCCAAATCGAGCAAATGGAAAGATTCCATTTCGATTGCTTTCACGCCCAATGTCTGCAATTTTCCTTCAATATATTCATTGTCATCATCAAAATTGTCATCTCTTCTTCCTTGACTACTGTAGAATGAATCTCCTGATGCATTTCTTCCACGATGGAATGGGAGCTCGAGTTGTTTGAATGCTTTTTCAAGTTCATCTTGAAAATGGGAATTGGACTTGACAGGAAGAGTAAAATTGTATGGTTGTACACCTTCAGTACTTTGTCCTTCAATCTTCAAAGTAAAATAATCAGGGTTACGATACACAGAAATTGAATCTTCTGCAATCAC